GGCGCCGAGGCGCTGCGCCCGGTCGAGCGGCGGCTCGTGGCGCTGGGCGAGGCGGTGCAGGCGGCGCTGCCGGGCGTGACTGCCGAGCTGGGCGTGTTCGATGGGGCGCGCGCTACACACGTGTGCCGCCAGGGGCAGTGGCACGCACTCTGAGTCTACGGGGCCAGGAGCTGTGTGAGTCGGCGCGACGTACCGTCTTGGTCATTTGGTAGATGCGCTCCTTCGAGGCAAACAGGATGGCCGCCGTCAGAATCGACTGTAGCAGCTTCGACGAGATGCCGCGGTACAGGCCGCCGAGGCCCTCCTCGTGGACGACGTCGGTCATGGCCGTCCACACGTTCGCCCGCTGGGGGCGGTCCGCGTCGTTCGATATGGCCTGCTGGCGCGCCTTGATGACGATCTGCGGGTACGTGATGCCCGTCGCGATGAGCTTGCTCAGGGCGCCGAGCCAGAAGTAGTCCCAGTCGCGCAGCGGCTGCGCGCGGCCGCGCGCGGCGGCGCGGCTCGCGAGCACCCACGTCTTGAGCTGCTCGAACGCGGTGTACTGCAGCACGGGATTCGTCACGAGCACGAGCGCGGGCCCGATGCCCTTCCACAGCGCGCGCACGCCGTCCTTCTCGACGATGCTGCGGAGCGTCGCGAGGAACGAGAGGCGGCGCAGGACGGGGGCGGCCGCGCCCTCGCTCGTGCGCCTCGTCGTGCGCACCGTCTGGCGCGTGTTGACGACCCAGATCGGGTTGCTGGCGACCGCCGTCGCGGAGCCGGCGAGGAGCCCGGCCACGATGCTCTCGAGCGTCGTGAGCGTGCCGAGGGCCGCGGTCGTCGAGCGCGTGAGGCGCTTGGACGTGAGGATAAAGTCGCGCGCCGCCTCGAAGAAGAAGTAGTACACAAAGTTGCTCACGCCAATGCCGAGGAGCGACGACCCGAGGCCGTCGTACAGGCCGAGCAGCCCCTCCTCGGCGAGGACCGTGCGGACGGCCTGGACCAGCGACTCGCCGGGCTTCCGCGAGCGGTCCACCGCCGCGCGCGTCGAAATTGCCATCAGGGGGTACGTCGCGGTCATGGCCACGAGGCCGCCCGCGCCGCCCGCACACGCATGCACCAGCGACTCGCTCACCATGGTTCGAGGAGAGGGCGCGGGGGAGGCGGGGGGAAGCGGGCCCCCGGCCAGGAGCTGACTCAGGCTGACACACGGCGGTCGGGCGCCGCCCGCCCTCACCCTCGACCATGACGGGCCTGTCACCGGATTATGACTATTTGTTCAAACTGCTGCTGATCGGCGACTCGGGCGTCGGCAAGTCGTGTCTGCTGCTGCGCTTCGCGGACGACACGTATACCGAGTCGTACATCTCGACGATCGGCGTCGACTTCAAGATCCGCACGATCGAGCTGGAGGGCAAGACGGTCAAGCTGCAGATCTGGGACACTGCCGGCCAGGAGCGCTTCCGCACGATCACGTCGTCGTACTACCGCGGCGCGCACGGCATCATCGTCGTGTACGACGTCACCGACGAGGCGACGTTCGCGAACGTCAAGCAGTGGCTCCAGGAGATTGAGCGGTACGCGTGCGAGGGCGTCAACAAGCTGCTCGTCGGCAACAAGGCGGACCTCGCCAGCAGCAAGGTCGTCGACTTTGAGACCGCGAAAAAGTTCGCCGACGAGCTCGGCATCCCCGTGCTCGAGACGAGCGCCAAGGACGCCACCAACGTCGAGCAGGCCTTCCTGACGATGGCCCAGCAGATCAAGGACCGCATGGGCGCCGCCTCGCTCCAGAACAACGCGGGCGGCGCAGGCAAGTCCACCCTCAAGGTCGGCCAGGGGCAGAACGTCTCGTCCCTCAGCAGCGGTGGCTGCTGCTAGATAGCTATGAGGTAGCCTGCGCCACGAGGTCCCGCAGCGCCGGCCGCAGCGCGTCCATGCGCCGCCACGTCTCGACCCAGATCGCGCGGCGCAGCGTGCCAGGCGCACTGCCTTCCACCAGGTAGCCCGCCGCATGCATCACAAGCACCATATTCTTCAGCTGCTCCTCGATCAGCTCGTGCGACGGCCGCGCCGTGCCTTGCAGCACGTGCGCCGTGGCGCCCAGCACACCCTTCCACAGCCGCACCACCCGCTGCGCCCCCGCCGCCTCCACATCACTCGGCGCGTCCCGCAGCAGCACGCCGACGTCGCGCACCCACACGCGGCAGACGAGCAGGCACACGTGCGCCTGCGCCTCCGGCAGCGAGGCCGCGGGGTCGCTCGGCGCCGACGCGCACGCAGCGTCCGCGCGCGCGGTCTCGGGCGCCAGGAGCGTCTCGAGCAGCGGCAGTAGGATCTGGCCCAGCAGCGCCTCGCGGTGCCGCGCGAGCGGCGCTGGCTCCAGCAGCGCCGGCGACAGCACCGTCTGCTGCAGGCACGACAGCGCTGCGAGTCGCGTCGGGCGGTGCATGCTTACGCACGGCTGCGACAGCGCCGCGAGCAGCGGGAGCCAGTACTCGGCCCACGCCGCGCCGGCGTCCGGCGCCGCGCGCACGAGTGCCGGGAGCGTGTCGCGCACCTGCGAGAGCGCCTGCAGCGCTGGCGCACTCGCCGCATGCGCCGCCGCCATCCACTCGCCCAGCTCGCGCTTCTCAGTGAGCGTGCGGCGCGCCGCGCCCGTCTCGTGGTGCCACAGCGCACGGTCCGCGCTCGAGAGCAGATCGCGCACAAGCTCAATGAGCGGCGGGAGCGAGAGCGCCGTGGGCGCGGCAAGCAGGTGCGCCGCGAGCGCGAGCGCCGCGCGCGCCGTCGGCGCGCGCCGCACACGCGCAAACGTCGAGAAGAGGTGCAGGAGCGCGCGCCACTCGTCGTCCGTATCGAGCGGCACGCCCTGCCCACGCACGACCGTCTCGAGGCCGGCGAGGAACGCGGGCGAGACGGTCGCATGCAGCGCACTTGGCACATCGCGCAGCGCCTGCATCACACGCACCAGCTGCGTGTGGGCGGCGCCGGGCGCCGCAGCGACGCCCTCGGCCGTGGCGTACGCCGCCACGAGGCGCAGCGCGCCAAACACGGCGCGCTCCAGCTCCAGCGGCGGCAGGCGCGCGGCCTGCGCGATGCGCGACGTGTGGCACTCCATGGCCTGCGTCCCATAGGCCGCAAGGAGGGCGGGATGCGCACGCAGAGCCCGCTCGAGCTGCTCGAGCCAGTAGAGCGGCGCGGCGCGGTACTCGGGCGCGGGCGGCAGCGCGGCCAGGCGTGCCAGCAGGGCCTCCACGTACGTGTGCAGCGCCGGCGCAGGGAGCGCGAGCACGCGCTCGTGCATGTCGTCGAGCTGGCACGACGCCAGGCAGTCGAGCGTGCAGAGCGTGCTTTCCACATCGGCCTCGGACACGTCCATCGGCTCGGCCGCCGAGCCGTACGGCGACAAGAAGTAGCTCGAGAGCGTGGAGAAGAGGCCCGCGGGCGCCTGGCTCGGCAGCGGCGCCGCGTCTTTGCCGGTCAGCGGCACAGGCACCGCCTCCCCGTCGTAGTCGACCATGGTGGCCATGCGCGGCGGCAGCAGCGCATGGCACAGCAGGCTCTCGATGCACTGCAGCAGGCTGCCCCAGCTCGTGCGCAGCGACGGCCCGTGGCTGTGCGCAATCGTGAAGAGCACCACGGCGGCGAGCTGGCCCTTGAAGTGGCTGCCAAATGCGACGGACAGCGGCGAGATGGTGATCTGCGTGCCGTCGTGCTCGTACAGCGCATGCGCTGAGGCGTCGGCCGCCGTGTCGAGCAGGCCCGTCGCCTGCGCGAGGTGCTCGACCATGTAGTCAAACACGTCCGGCACGTCGTACGCGCGCGCGAGCTCCGCGCACTGCCGGCAGCCGGCGATGACGCGCTGGAGCAGGTGCTCGTCCTGCAGCGTCGCAAACGCCTGCACGATGCTCGCGACAAACGGGCGCCAGCTCGTGCGGAACAGGTCGGCGTCCAGGGCGCCGTCCGGCACCGGCAGCAGCTCGTTCCCGAGGCGCGCGCGGCGCAGCAGCTCCTTCCACGTGTAGTCAAAGCCGAGCTGGCCCGCCTGCTCCTCGGGCATGACAATCTCGCGGCGCCGGATGCTGTCGTAGATCGCCGCGAGGTACGCCTCGTCAAAGTCCTGCCCGTCGTTCACGCCGCGCAGGTTCCGCTGGTAGTCGGCGATGGTCATGCGCCGCGTGACTTGGGGGTTGTGCAGGTCCGTGTTGAGCATAATGATGCTGTACGCCAGCACATACACCGCGTCCTCGCTGCGGATGCCCGCCGGCTGCGTGAGAAAGTACTTGTGCGCAAACGTCTCCGTGATGCGCGCAATCTGCTGCGCCTCGCCGGGCAGGCGGAACGCCTCACACAGGCCGCGCATGGCTTCCGCCACGTCCATGTCGGAAAAGTCGAACAGGTCGAGGAACGCAGAGAGCACATCGAGGTTCTCGGCACGCGAGATGTAGTCGCCCAGTAGGCGCTTGTCGACGAGCGCCGAGTCCTTGAGGAAGCGCGCCAGACTCGCCGCGCGCGCCGGCGCATCGGGGGCCAGGAGCCCCGCCTGCTCCAGGAACGCAATGCCGTGCTTCGGCTTTTCATTGAACGCCGCGGCGCCCGCGGCCAGCACCTCCTTGCGCGCGCGCGCCGCACGCAGCGCGTCCGGCAGCGCCGCATCTACCGGCGCCGGCTGTTCGTGCCGCTCAGCCATGCGCGCCACGAGGCTCAGCACGAGATCCAGCGCCACGAGCGCGAGGCCCGGGACGCCCGCACGGCCCGTCGCGCCGCTCGGCGGCGAAAAGAGCGCGAGGCACAGAAAGTGCGTCACCTGCTGGTACAGGTCCGCACAGCTCATGTCGCAGTCGTAGTTGCGCCACAGCGCCACGAGCACATCCGGCGCGCCCTGCTCGACCTCGAGCAGGCTGGCCAGCGCCTCGGTGAACAGCTCACGCATCTCGCCCTGCGCACTCGCGCGGAACGACGGGAGCGACACGGGCGACACGGGCGCCTCGCCTGCGGTGCGCCACGGCGCCTCGGGCGCTGCCTGCGCGGGCCGCAGCTGCTGCAGGAGGAACTGCAGCACGAGCTCCTGCTGCATCTTGAGGTGCGTGCGCTGCTCCTGCAGGAGCAGAATCAGCACCCGCAGGCTGCCGGCGACCAGCAGGGGCTGCTCGGCGTTGGCAAGCTGCAGCAGGTAGCGGCACGCCGAGTCTTCCAGCAGGGCACGCAGCGACGGGAAGCGCATAAGCAGCGCGCTGTGTGTCTCGAGCAGCGCGCCCAGCAGCGAGAGACCCAAGAGCCGCATCGTCATGGTGTGTCGCAAATTCCCGGGGTCCAGGAGCGAGATGACAACGCGCAGCACTTCCTTGAGCGCCGGCAGGCTGAACGGCGCTTGCAGCACCGCCGGCGCGCGCGCCGGATCGTCCGCCAGCGGCGCCGCAGCGCTTGGCGCTCCCTCGCTGTTCAGAATGGGCTCGCTCGTGGGCGCCGCGTCGTCCGCGCCGGGGGCGGCTGCCTCCTGCACGCCGGGCGCCGCTGCCTCCTCTGCCCGCTGCGCCGCCTCGGTGTCCTCAGCTCCCTGCGCCGCCTCGGCGTCCTCAGCCCCCTGCGCCGCCTCGGCGTCCTCAGCCCCCTGCGCCGCCTCAGGCGCGTCGCCGCCGCCCGCTGCGGGGATCGAGCGGCTCTTCGGGTCGGGCATAGCCATATGCAGACGCTTCTCGTCCTCCGCGTCGGCGCCCACCGGCGCGGCGGTCAGCGTAGCGAGCTCCGGCTCCGGCGCGCGACCGCTCGCCGCGTACGCCTCGTCCCTGTCGAGGGGCACCGTGGCGAGACGCGAGTAGATCTCGCGCAGCATGCAGATCATCTTCTGCTCGGCGGTGCGCCGCAGCGCGGTGCTGAGCCGCGTCTGGCAGCACATGCTCAAGCATGTCTCCATCAACTCACACACACTCTCGTCGCCGAGCATATCGACCAGAGGCGCACCGCACGAGCCGTCGTCGGTCGTCGCGCGTCGGCACACGAGCGCATACATCAGATCGAGGATCGAGAGCAGGACGACCTCGTCGCGACCCGCGTCCGACGGCTCAAAGCGGCAGTGACTCGCCGCATGCGCCACGTCCTGCACGGCGCGCTCCAGGCCCACACTCGACGAGCGGAAGAGACCGCGGTCGAGGAAGGATGCGACGGCCTCGAGTGCCACCTGCGTCACGGCGCCCGAGGTGCGCGCACTCACAATCACACCGAGAAAGTGCTTGAGGACCAGCGGCAGAGGCAGTGCGCCCACATCGGACACGAGGCGGAGCTGCGCGCGCAGCACCGTGAAGCCGCCCAGCAGTCCAACGTTCGCAGGCTCCGACTCGCGCGCGGCCTCGGCGCCCGGCGCTTCGTCCTCGCCCGGCAGATCCGCGCGTGCCAGCACATACGCCGCGCGCGTCAGGCTCAGCGCCGCGGTGCTCGTGGTGGCGGAGCTCAGCAGCGCGTTCGGCGCGCTGCCCGCCTGCATCCACCGCGGACTCGTACGCATGGCCGACGTCACCGCATGGACGTGCCGCAGCACGAGGCGCAGTGCGCCCCCGGCCGGCGTCTCGCACGCCCGGTCCTGCATCACGGAGGCGACGCTGTGGCTCGCCCGCGCTGCGACGCCGTGGGTCGGGGAACTAAGCCTCCACATATCGGCCGCGCGGCGCTCCCTCCCTCTGCATGCCCCCCGCCGCTGGAGGCGCGCCGCCGGACCTCGATCCCGTACGCCAAGCGAATCAGCAGCGGTTCTCGCGCGACCTCGAGTTTCTTTCGGCGCTCAGCAACCCGTTTTACCTGCACCAGCTATCGCAGCAGGGCTACTTTGACGACCCCGCGTTCCTGCGCTACCTCAACTACCTCGACTACGTTCGCGCGCCTGCGTACGCCAAGTACCTCACATACCCCCAGGCACTGTACTTCCTTGGCCTCTTGAAGCATGCGTCTTTTCGCTCTGCCGTCGCTGACTCGGCGTGGCCCCACGACACGGCTGCCCGCCAGATTGCTCACTGGGCTACGTGGCGCCGGCCTGCGGACGTTCCATTCGACACTCCTCCGCGCGTCGGACAAGAACCTGAAGCTGCGTGACGAGGACATCCGCGCGCCGCTCGTGCGCCTCGTGGACCCCGCGTCGGGGCAGCTGCAAGGGCCGTTTCAGCCGAGCGACATCCTCGCCAAGATCGACCGCAAGGCATACGCCCTGCTCCAGGTGACCGAGGCGCCGGCGGAGGCACGCGACCGCGCCGAGTGGCACATCAGCGAGCTGCCCATCTGCCGGCTCATCAGCAAGCGCCAGGCGTACCAGAAAGAGCGCGAGAAGAAAAAGGCGCCGCCGCGCGCCGCGCCGCCCAAAGTCCTGCAGCTGTCGTGGAACGTCACGGAAAACGACCTCACACACAAGGTCGCACGCGCACGCAAGGATCTCGAGCGCGGCGCGCGCCTCCGCACCGTCATTGTCTCGAAAAAAGGCACGCCCCGCGTGCTCCCTGGCAGCCAGGAAGACGAGCGGCGCATCGGGCTTGTCGACACGCTCCTCCGCGACCTGTGTGCGCCGCACGCCGATAGCGACGCCGATATCGCGCGCGTGGTCCAGGGCCCCACATGGAAGAACGGCCGCTCCCTCGTAGAGTGGACGCTCGACGCCGTCGCGCCGTAGACCGCCACCTCCACCATGTCCAGCCGCCCCAGCGCGGCGGAGGCCCACGCTCTGTGGGCGCGGCATGCGTTCCTGCTGCTGGCGGGTCTCCCGCGCGGCGCGCACATAGCGCTCGACACGCACGCGTACGTGGTCGACACGCACTTCCAGGGCTTCAAGATGGTGCCGCCCGGTCTCCATTGCCTCGCATGGCAGGCGGGTGCGTGGGACGACGACCGGCACGACGCCCTGGCCACCGAGGGCGTGCGCTCCGTCCTGTTTCTGTACACGGCGCCGCACGAGGTATTTGTGCGCACATACGATGCGCCGACGGATACGTGGGCCGTCGCGCCGGGCACCGATGCGCGCACGCCGGCCGCTGTGTCGCAAGAGCACCTCCAGACGCTCGACGCGCATCTCGCGCCGTACCCAGGCGAGGCGGGCGCGGGCTGGAGGGCCCTCACGCACTGGCTCGCACAGAGCCCCCGCACGCTTGCGCGCGTCTTCCGCACGCACGAGCACGCCGGCGACGCGACATGCGACTCGTTCACGCCCGTGGGGCCCGCTGATCCCCTCGCGACCGTGCGCGAGCTGCGTGCGCAGCGCCTGCCCGATACCCCGTCCGCGGTGCCGCCGGGCCTTGCGTTTACGCCCGTGGGCCTCGCGCACAGCTGGCCACCAGGCGCACAGGGCGCCGAGCGCACGCAGTGGAGCATGGACAAGTCGTGGCGGCTGGACCAGGTGCTTGCGCAGGCGAGCGCCGCCGAGGACGCTAAGCGTGACGATGCAGGGCCGCTGCTGCGCGAGGCGGAGCTGTGCTTCCTCCTTGTGCGGTGTGCGAACCATGCGGGGGCGCTGGAGCACTGGCTCGCGCTCGTCGACCTGTTCTGCTATGCGGGCGCGCGCCTCGGCGCGCCGGCGCCGCATGCTCTGCATCCTGCCGAGTGGGACGCGGCGACGGCCGCGGCGTGCACGCTGGACGTGCAGCTCGAGGCGCATGTGGCGTGGATGCATACGTTTACGGCGCAGTGTGGGGCCCTACCTACGACTGTGTGGACATCGGAGCTCGCGCCGTACGAGGCGCGCGTCCTGCAGGCACTCGCGCAGCTGCGTGCCCACATCGCGCGCGCGCTGGGCGCGTGGGCGGCGCGTGCCGCGCGGCCGGACGGGCCTGCGCCGCCGCACGAGCGCCTCGTGCAAGCGTGGCGCGCGCTCAGTGCAGTGGTGCATGCGCGCTTTGCGTGGACGCTGGACGCGCGCCTCGACGAGGAGGTCGAGGCCGACGACGACGACGAGGCGCCGGTGCTAGTCGATCTGTAGACTCCAAGCTGGCGTAAGTTCTGGAAAGATGCGCCGCCGCAGGCATCGCTTCAGCATTGCAGAATTCACGGTCCACACGGGCGCTCGGACAAGATAGATAGGTATGTGAAGGTGTCATCCTGCGCTGCCGGCGGCGGCGCCCCGTACGTACCTGCTGGGGGCGGATCGTGTGGAGGCGCGGCGGCGGCGGCGGGCGGCGGCCGCGACGTCCATGCTCGGCCGAGTGTAAAACTGCAAAATGCACGTGATGTGTCGAGTTCCGCCGGGGTCGAGAAGGAGAAAGTGGCCGCCGCAGCTTGGTCTCTACCACTTCGAGGCAAGACAATGGGACGTGGTATGTGTCGCGCGCCGCCTGCGAAGAGCTGAAGCTAACATGACGCAGTGATCCGTGCTCAACGTAAGAGCGGTGGCATTTTCAAGGCCCACACGCGCCTGAACAAGGCGCCGGCCAAGCTGCGCGCCTACGACTTTGCCGAGCGCAACGGCTACATCCGCGGTCTCGTCAAGGAGATTGTCCACGACGCGGGCCGGTACGTGCTTTTCGACTGACCCCAGTGGCGCGCCGCTCGCCAAGGTGACCTTCCGTGACCCTTACCGCTACAAGCTCCGCACCGAGACGTTCATTGCGACCGAGGGCATGCACACCGGCCAGTTCGTGTACTGCGGCAAGAAGGCCATGCTGAACGTCGGCAACGTGCTCCCCCTCAGCTCGCTCCCCGAGGGTACCATCGTGTGCAACGTCGAGAGCAAGTCGGGTGACCGCGGCACGCTCGCGCGCACCTCGGGCAACTACGCGACGGTCATTGGCCACGACGCCGATGGCCTCACCTCGCGTATCCGCCTGCCGTCCGGTGTGAAGAAGACCGTGCCGAGCGCTGCGCGTGCCACGGTCGGTATCGTCGCCGGCGGTGGCCGTATCGACAAGCCCATGCTCAAGGCCGGTCGTGCCTACTACAAGTACCGCGTCAAGCGCAACAGCTGGCCTCGTACTCGTGGTGTGGCCATGAACCCCGTCGACCACCCCCACGGTGGTGGTAACCACCAGCACATTGGTCACTCGTCGACCGTCAAGCGCGGTGCGGTGCCCGGTCAGAAGGTCGGTCTCATTGCCGCCCGCCGCACGGGTCTGCACCGCGGTACCGTCAAGGTCCGCGACGCGTAAGCTGCCATGCTTGCTCTGGCTTGAGTGGCACAAAAGGGACAACCCATAGACGCCGTCTTTGCGGCCGTCGTGATGTACGATGCCGGTTCTCTAGCTCCATATCGGGACGCCCCATCCTGTGTTTCCCCTAGTCTTCCTCCACTCCGCGATGCGCCGCCGCGCGTGGTTGCTCGTCGCCGTGCTTGGCGCGGCGGCCTGTGTCGCTGCAGCGCAGGCGCCCCCACCCACGGCGTACGACGCAACGTTCGCGCGTTTCCTCCCGCCCATCTTTCGTGTCGTGCTCATGACGGCGCTGTGCATCCTTGGCTTCGGCGTGGACATGCAGGTCCTCGCGTACTGGGGCATGAACCCGTGGGGCGCGTCCAGCCGACCACCGGGCGCGCACCTGCCGCTCACGCATGAGCACGAGGGCCACTCACTGCCAGAGGCCGCCCACCGCAGCGGCGCCGACACGCTGTACCTGCTGGCCGTGTGCCACGTCGCATGGGCCACCGTGTGCTGGCTCTTTTACCGCGCCAACACGGATCCCGCGACTGGCGCGCGCACGCTGTACGCGCAGGCATGGGAGGCCGCTACGATCCTAGGCCTTATTGCGCTGTGGCTCGCGCCCGGGCCGTTCCGCCCGCTCCTTCGCGCGTGGCTACACACGCTCCAGCGCCTCGCGACGCCGTCGCTGCGGCAGACGATCGCGTTCTCGGACGTGATTGCCGCTGACGTGCTCACCTCGTTCGCCAAGGTGCTCGGCGATGTGTGGCTCTCGCTCGTGGTGCTCGTGTACCTGTTCGCCGGCCAGCGCCTCGACGACCGCGAGCTATGGCGCGCCGAGATGCACCTGGCCGTGCCGGCTCTGATCAGTGTGCCGTACGTGGTGCGCTTGCGGCAGTGCCTATGCGAGTACTCTACGTCGCGCACGCACCCCACACGCTCGACGCGTCCCCTGTACAATGCGCTGAAGTACATGAGCGCCCTGCCTGTCATCTGGCTGCGCTCGGCCGCGGCGCCGCCGTCGCGCGCCGTCGAGCTCCTTTGGTACGTCTCCGTGCTTGTGAATACCCTCTTTTCCTTCTGGTGGGACGTGACGAACGACTGGGGCCTCGATTTGCTGCACCTGCCGTCGTTCCGCGCCATGCTTCAGCAGCCCCGCGCGCGGCTCCCCCCGCTGCACCGCCGCACCCCGTCGGATGCGAGCGACGACGGCGTGGCGCTCATGCAGCGCCACGGCGCGCACGCACGCCAGCCGAGCGTGCTGCGCGCGCCTGAAAAGCCGCTGCCGCTGCCCACGAGCGTGTACTGGGTGCTCCTCGCGGTCAACCTCGTGCTGCGCTTCACGTGGTCGGTCAAGCTCAGCTCCCACTGGCAGTACCTGCTCGAGTGGCAGCGCGGCCTGCTCCTCTTCGAGGCGCTCGAGCTCGTGCGCCGCAGCATCTGGGTGCTCCTGCGCGTCGAGTGGGAGCATGTGCGTACCACGTCCTCGTTCTACCGCCCTACTTGAGCCGCTTCTTCGCCTGCGTCACATGCTTCCGCAGACGCTTGCTCTTCTCGCGCAGCGACGCCTTCTTCTTGCTGCGCACGCCCCAGCTATGCGCGACCATCTGGAAGTTCTTGCCGCGCGCCTTCTGCCGGTTCGTCGAGCTGCTCGCGACCTCCTTGTTCTTCTTGCCCTTGCGGCTGCCAAACTTGTCGCGCCCTTCGCGCCCGCTCTGGATGCTCGCCATACGCTCTTCATAGTCGGCCTTGGCCTTCTTCCGCGGGCCCAGGATATCGGACTCGTCGACGACCTCGCCTGTGCCGCTCGTCCGCTTCTTCTGCAGCTGCAGCGCCGCCAGCTCACGCCGCGCCTGCGCACCCGCGGCGCCGCCCTCCTTGGCCTTCTCCTCCGCCGCGGCGAGGCGCAGCTCATTCAGCTTGGCAAAGTCGGCCGGCGTCAAAATCTTCGTCGTAGCCAGCTCCGAGAAGGTATCAGGCGCCTCGGTCGGCGCAGGCGCCGGCGGCGCCTCTCCGTCCTCGTCGCTCGCCGGCGCCTCGGCGCGCGCCTGCCGTGCCGCCCTGCGCTGCCGACGCGACTCGCGCACGCGCTCGCTCATCGGCCGCTCATCGGCCGCCTTGTCCGCGCGCGGCGGCGCCTCGTCGTCACTCGAGTCCAGCTCAATGTGCCCCTCGTCGTCGTCGGAGCTCACGTTGATCCAGCCGGACGAGTCGCTGTCCGACGCACTCTCCAGCTCCCAGCCGTCCCAGCCCTCGTCGTCGTCGCCCTCGTCGTCGCCGTGCTCCCTGAGGTGCTGCTCGAGCAGCTCGATGCCCTGAATCCCATGCACTTCGCGCCGATCCGTGCCGTAGCGCTCGGCCGCATGGCCGTGGGCCAGCGCCATCGCCCCCGACTTGCCGCGCTCGGCGCGGCGCAGCATCGCGGGATTCACCTCGCGGTACAGCTGCATGAGCCCGCGCGACGCGGCGCTCACGCCCTTGTCCTTGGAGCGGCGGTACGCCACGAGATCCTCGAGCAGGTCCTCCTCCATGCACCACGGCTGCCGGCGGCACACCTCGCGGATCGTATTGATGCCAGCGGCCACGACCTCGGCGCCGACGCCGGGGTGCACGAACGCATAGGCAATCTTCCGGAGCGCCGGCGTAAGCACGTCAGGCGGCGTCTGGTCGTGCACCGACTGCGCGAGCGCCACGAGGATCAGCGTGATGTGCATTTGGTGGGGAACGAGGTACTTGGCCAGGTAGCTGTAAAAGCTCAGCACCGCGAGGCGGTGCGCGCTCATGACGCGGCTCAGCAGCTGCAGCAGGCGCACCTTCATCTCGAGCGAGTGCCGCTTGTCGTTGCGCGTCAGGTTCTCAAACACGCGCTCCGCGAACGACTGCGGGTCGTGCAGCAGGTGGATCGCAGCCATGTTGCCGCTGTCCTGGTCCGCGCGCTCGAGCGCCTTCTCGTCCTGCTCCTTGCGGCGCCGCTGCGCGTGCGCCTTGGCAAGCTTGAGCTTGCGCTCACCCGCCTTGGACTTTTTGCCGACCTTGCGCTGGTGCTCGAGGCGCCCGAGCTCCGCGCGCGGATTCGACTCGTCGTCGCTCTCGTCGGCCCCTGCCTCCGACGCGTGCAGGTCGCCGAGGAAGAAGCGCACCGCCGACGCTTGCACCTTCGGATGGGGGTGCGTGCACGCCATGGCCAGGAGCGCCACCGTGCGGTCGTCCGTCCAGATGCGCCGCCGCCACATCTCCGCAGCGACACGCACGGCCCAGAGCGCCTCTGTGCGGCCCTTGAGCTCGGCGTCTGCACGGCGCAGCACGGTGGCGCCGGCGCCATCCGCAGGGAGGCCCCGCTCGACCATACCAAAGAGCAGGCCCTGCACCATGCGGTTCAGGCGGGGGTCCTTCGTCTTGTGGTTCGCCTGCTTGAGATCGTGCACAATGGCATTCAGAATCGTCGTGCGCATCTCCGACGACGTCGTGCGGCTCAGCAGGGGGAACAGCGTCCGGAGCAGCGTCTCGCTGGTGATGACCTGCCGGTGGCGCAGCATCACGAGGCACCGGAGGCATGTGCGCCGCAGATCCGGGCTCAAGCTCGCGTGGTGCTCGAGCAGGAGCTCACTGAGGTGCGAGGGCAGCTCTTTGGTCACCGCCGGGTAGCTCGGCGCCAGCTGCGTGACAAACGACACGAGCTGCTCCAGCTGCGCCTGCTGGTCCTTGCTCATGCGCACGCTCTGCACACCCGACACATCAGCGCCTTCCACAGACTGCCCGAGACCCGACGCATAGATCCGGCGCAGACTCTCATAGTGGTTCCACTGCGCCAGGAACTCTTCCGTGTACGCCGACGGCTGGCGCTTGAGCAGGTTCTGCAGCGCCGGCAGATTCGACGTGTCCTGCAGTCCCCGCGCCTTGGAGCGGTACACTAGACCTTGGTCGCGCACCACCGCCGAGGGCCGCGCAGGTCCCGCCGTCTTGCCCATCGTCGTTGCGCACCAAGCGGCGCCGGACGCCGCGCTCCACGGCCGCGCAAAAAAAAAGGATGTGGAGGCGAAAAGACCCACCGCGGCCGCCACCCGTATGGACGACGACGGGCTGCTGCTGCACTTTGATACGACGGCGCCTGCGCCCAAGGCACAGCGCCGCGACGCTAAGCGTGGGCCGAAGCGTGCGCGGCCGTCTGAGGCATCGACGCCGTCCGCCGACGCGCCAGCCACGGCGCCCAAGCGTGCGAAGCCAGCGCCTGCGGCAGCGCGCGCTCATGCGACGGCGGACCAGCGCATGCTCGCGCGCGCGCGCGAGATGGCAGGCGGCGAGGGTGCGCGGCCCCGCACGCAGGGTCCAGGCGGCTACATATCCTCGCTGTTTGCGCGCGACGAGCAGAACGCCGCGGAGCCGGAGGCTGTGCCGGCTGCGCGTGGCGCGGCACCGACGAATGCGCCGTCGGGCGACGCCACGTTTGAGCAGCTGGGTCTCGACCCCATCATTGCGACGCACCTGCGCGAGCGCATGGACGTGCATGGCCGTCCGACCGAGATCCAGCGCCTGGCGATCCCGCCGCTCCTCGCTGCGCCGCCGTCCGCGCTGGCGATGCGCGACGTGCTCATCCAGGCGCAGACCGGCAGCGGAAAGACGCTCACGTACCTGCTACCGATCCTGCAGACTCTGCTGCCCCTGTCAGAAGAGAGCTTTATGGACCGCAGCGTCGGCACGCTGGCGATTGTGCTCGCGCCGACGCGCGAGCTCGCGCGGCAGATTTACCAGGTCCTAGAGCGCCTGCTTACCCTCTCGCTCGCGTCGACGGACGAGGATGGCGCGCCCAAGCGCCGCGCGCGCTGGATCGTGCCCGGCCTGCTCACGGGCGGCAGCACGAAGAACCACGAAAAGCAGCGCCTGCGCAAGGGATGCCCGATCCTGGTATCGACGCCGGGGCGCCTGCTCGACCACCTGCAGAACACGTCGAGCTTGGATGTCGGCAAGTGCCGCTGGCTCGTGCTCGACGAGGCGGACCGCCTGCTTGAAATGGGCTTTGAGGCGCAGCTCACAGGCATCCTCCAGGCGCTCGACGGGCGCCGCCGGCTCAGTGTGCGTGCCGCGCGCGAGGCCCTGGCGGAGAGCGGCGCGCTCCCGCCGGGCGCGACCGACGCCGAGATCACCGACTCGCTCGGCATCGCCTGGTGGGCGTGGCGCCGGCGTCTCGTGCTGTGCAGTGCGACACTTGACGAGCATGTCCAGGCGTTTGCTGGCACGGCCCTGCACGACCCGCTGCTCGTGCGCGCGGGCGCCGCGCCGGCCGCGGCGCCGGCGGCCAGCGGGGGCCCTGCGCCCAGCACCTTCTCGGCGCCGGCGCAGCTGGAGCAGCATGCGGTGCTTGTGCCGCCCAAGCTGCGGCTGGTGGTGCTGCTCGCCCTGCTGCGCCGCAGCCTGCCACGCGGCGGCACGGACGGCGCGCCGGTGCGTGTCATGGTGTTCCTGACGTGCACGGACGCGGTCGACTTTCACTGGCACGCCCTCGGCGGCGTGCGTATGGGCCGCTCGGACGAGTCGGCGCCTGACAAGGCGCCGGACGATGCGCTTGCGCTCCGCAGCGAGCTGCTCCCCGGCGTCTTCCTCTACCGGCTGCACGGGTCGATGGCCCAGAAAGAGCGGATCGCCTCGCTGCAGGCGTTCCATCGGCTGACCGACGGCACAGACGCGGCGCGCGCGACGCGCGGCGGTGTGATGCTCTGCACGTCAGTCGCGTCGCGCGGCTTGGACCTGCCGGACGTGGGCTGTGTGATCCAGATGGATGTGCCGACGGAAGGGGGCGTCGAAGAGTACGTGCACCGCGTCGGGCGTACGGCGCGTGTGGGCCGTGCCGGCACAAGCTGGCTCATGCTGTTGCCGCACGAGCGCCCATGGCTCGCTACACTGACGAGCCGCATGGTCGTGGGGCAGCCGCCACAGCGTGCGTCGGTCCCGCTGGTCGGTTACGATACCGTGCTCTACGAAGGCCTGGGCGGCGCCGCGCGCGAGTACGAGTCGCGCGCCACGGACGTGCAGATGGCGCTGGAGCGATGGGTGCTCGCTGCGCCGGCGCACGCGTCGCTCGCGCGCGCGGCGTTCCTTGCGCACATTCGCGCATACGCCACGCACCCGGCGAGCGAAAAGGACCTGTTCCACGTGAACCACCTGCACCTGGGGCACCTTGCGAAGGCGTTCGCGCTGCGGGAGGCGCCGCAGACCGTGCAGCGCACTGCCAAGCGCGAGCACGACAGGCAGACGCAGCCGAAAGAGTCGGAGCGGGCGCGCCTCTCCTCGGAAGCACGGCGCCAGCGCATGCTCGCGAACCTACCCTCGGAGTCTATGTAGCTATGCCTCCGTCTTGCTGCGCTTGGCCTCCACGGCCGGCGGCTCGTTCGCCTTGCGCTTCTCGCTCGGTGGCGGTCCGCGCCCGNCGGCGCGGCGCGTGCCGCTCGGCCTCGCGGCGGTCCAGCAGGAACGAAGCACGGAAGTTCGCGCGTTCCACGTAGAATGCACGAGCCTCCTCCTCACCGACACGCGCCCACTGCACGGGCTGGCCGCCGACGGTGATGCCGTGCTCCTGGATCTGTGCGAGTTTCTCGTCTGAGACGGGGTCGCGGAAGCCGACGACGCCCTCCGTCGCTTCCGCGGGGAACTCGACGAACGACGTGGGGTGCAGCGTCGTGAGCGTGTCCTTCAGGTCCTTCCAGCTGCCGGTCGCCGCAGCGCCGGTGAAGCGGAGCACGCTCTGAGCGGGGACGGCGACTTGCTCGGCGTCGACGGTGCCGTCAGGGCGCGTCGTGAGCTTGGAGCCGTTGTACTCAAACTCGAGCGGCTCGGCGCGCGTGTTCGCCGGCGCAGCACCAGCGCCCTGGCGCTCGCGCTCCATCTCGCGGAAAGCATTGAACTTGCGGCCGCCCTTGGACGGCGGGGGGTTCTGGCTCGGGTCAATACCCTTCTCCTTCATCTTCATCGAGACGTACGCGGGCTTGCTCATCACGAGCAGCTTGGTGCCGTCGGTGTACTTGATCGCATGGCCACCGTCCTGCTCGGGCTCCTCGGCCTTGGCGCGCTCGAGGAAGGCCTGCATCTCGTCCGCAGACGCGAACTCGACAAACACGCTGTGCTTGAACGCACGAGGGCGCTCGTTCTCGCGGCGCATACGCACGCCGTTGATCTTGCCAAACTGCGCAAAGAACTTCTCGAGCTCCGCCTGCAGACCCTCGTGCTCGTCGGGGAAGCCCTTGGCGTAGATGCTGCGGGTGTGCGCGTCGGGCACGGGCACGAGCGGCGTCCTGCGGCGCACACGCTGGCCCTCCGCATCGACCTCGAGGAGCGACGGCGACGCGCGCAGCGCGTCCGCGATGCCGGCGACGTCGAGCACCTCGCGCAGCGGCTTCATGCGCTTGAACGAGGCAAGCGTGTCGATCGGGACCCAGCCCTCGGGGTCCTTGCGTGTGAGCGTGAAGAGGAACTTGTCGAACGGCAGGTTCGCATCTGCAAAGTAGAACTCGACCTGCTTCAGCGCAGCCGCCTTGGCCTCGTCCACACCGAGCGGCGCGCCAGACACGTCGGCACCTGCGTCCTGGCTCATCGTCGCACAGGGGGACCCTGCGGGCGCCCGCACAAAAAAAAGACACGTGACACTATGAGACGTTAGTTGAGCACGCCGCGCTGGAGGCGGGCGTCCTGCGACTCGATCGAGCGCAGGAAAAAGTTGATGGCCGTCGCGCTGAGAATGGCAATGCACAGGAGGGTCGGGCCGTAGGGATCCGAGTAGACGTTCGACGCGCTGCGCTCGCGGATCTTGAACGCGCGCCACATGTACAGCACACCCGAGTAGGCCACGGCGAACAGCGCCACGAGCGTGAACACGGCACTCGTTGCGAGACCGCCCGTGTCGCCGGCGCGCTGGAAGTTGAGCAGACCCGTGGCGATGGAGGCCAGCAGCACGCTTAGCTCCAGCCACTTGAGGAACGTACGCTCATTGGCAAAGTACACCTTGGGCTCAATGCGGATCGGCACCGACACCTTCTTGCCGGGCTCCGCGTGGAACTCGGTGACGTACTCGACGCCCTTCGGCGGGCCGGTGCCCTTGCCGCGCGGCTCCTCCTCGTCGCGGCCCTGCAGAGCACGGATCGCACGCTCATCGTCGTCCTCGTCGTCCTCGTCTTCGTCCTTGGGCTGGCCGTGTTGCCACAGCTTGCTCAGGTTGTTGCCGACCTTGTGCAGGTAGTTCTTGTCGAACACGGACGACGGCGCAAGAATATCCGCGCGGCTCATCGGCACAGGCTTGTCCTTGTCAGAGCGCGACGCCGACGTGTCCTTGATGGGCGCCGACGACGCCGCCTTCTGTGCACCCTCCGACTCGCGGCGGTGCTCCACGAGGTACTTCTCGCGCTGCGCACGGATCTCCTTGATGCGGGGGTCAAACGCCGACAATCCAACATTGTCCGCCTCCTGCTGTGCGTTTGCAATGCGCGACTCAAGGTGCTCGTCGTCGCCCTCGAACTCGTCCTCGCTCACCGGCTCAAAGTGGGGCAGCTTGCCCTGGCCATGGCTCGACTCGGAGTTCGACGCGCTGTGGTGGGGCCGGTCGAGCGCCAGGTCCATCGACACCGGCTTGCGAATATCAATATCCATCTGCGGCAGCCAGAAGGGCACGAGGTCCACACGGTTCGACAGGAGCGTCGCACAGCCGTGGATGAACTTGGAGAACTTGGGCACCGCCTCCACGAGATGGCTCGACACCAGCTCACGCACCCACTTGGGCGGCTCCTGGCCCATCTGCGTCTGCAGCTTCACCTCCAGCACGCCGTACGGGAAGCGCTCGACGTCGCCTTCGGGCAGCTGCTCAAACGGATAGTCGATGCCAATGTCCATGCGGCGCCAGTTGTCGCCCGAGCGCTGCTTGCCGTCCCAGTTGTCCTCGCGCACCAGCGTGAGCTCCGTGTCGAGCGAGATACGCACCCGCGCATCGCCCGGCAGCTGGAACGCCGTACGGTTGTAGAAGGAGCGCATGACCGGCTGCAGCTTGCGCGAGAGCACCGCGTACTGCACCTCCGAGGCCAGCTGGATCATCGAGTCGATCTCTTTGTCCGACTTCTTGCCTTTCTTGCGCATCTCCTCGAACGTGTCGTTCATGCGGAACTCGCCGCGCATATACGCATTCACCTGCTCCTCCTTGATGGGGAAGCGCGCCTTGACACTCTTCTCGCCGGTCCAGTCCTCGCGGTGGGTCTTGCGCTCCACGAAAATGGTCTTGTTGTCCATACCGCCGTACCAGCGCAGACGGATCGCCTCGGCACCCTCTGTCTTCTCCAGACGGCCGAGGTACAGCTCCAGGTCCTCGTTGTCGTAGTAGATCGACGTAATGGCGCTGTCCTCCGTCTGGTATTCCTTCTCCGAGTTGAAGACGAGCACAGGCAGGTGCTTCAGGATAAACAGCTTCAGCGGCACAATGTTATCGGGGTGGACCCAGTACTTGGTCGTCTGACGCACAAACGCACTCTGCGAGCCACCCGCACTCGAGTCACCCTTCACAGGGTGGCCGCGTGTGTGCACGATGTCGAACATCTTCGACAGTTTGACAATGAGCGCGTCGTAGTTCTCCTTGTAGAACGGACGGGTGCTCAGGTAGTGCTGCACAAACTCCTTGCGCAGCAGACGGCCCGTCTGCTTGTCGTGCTTCTTGACGATCTTCAAGAAGCCTGTGTAGTTCAGCTTCGTAAACAGGGCCAGGTCGTGCACGTCCGCAATCACATTCGCCAGCTGCTCCTCCAGGTCCAGGAAGCGCTCCTCAAAATGGTCCGTCTCGTCGCTGTCGCTGTCAAACTCGTCATCCGAGCCAGCGTTGTGGCGCGCCTGGTACATCACCTCGCGGTGCTGGCCGTGGTGCTCGTCTGCGCCAGCAGCGGTCTCCGCGGGCGCCGGCTGCGAGGACGAGCTGGCACCGGAGCGCTCGCCGCGGCCATGTCCATGCTCATGGCTCTGCTCCGCCGCCGCACGCGCCGCAAGCAGCTGGTTCACCTCGGTGTTCACCTGCTCAATGCGACCGGTCAGCTCGGATACCTTGCTCTTCTGGAATGAGTACACCTTGTCGAGCTCCATGCGCAGCTCCTCGACGAACTCGTCCTCATCCTTGTCCGTCCAGTTGCCCTGGTTCTCAGCCAAGCGCCTCTTGATCTCCTTCTTGAGGTCCGAGTACTGCAGATACTGCGACTCCCATTCAGGATACAAGGACGTCTTGATGGTACGTCCAAACTTCATTGTGCTCGAGCTGCGAGAACGTCGGCAAGACGCGTACGCTGCCCTTGCGGCCTCGTTCAGACGGCGGGACGTGCCCACGTGCCCCTTGGACAGATTTGTTTCGGTGCGCACGTGGACCACTCGCACGGCCGTCCACCCTGGCCCGACGCCGTATCGTGGTCGCCACGGATGACCACGTCCTCGAACGTCTGCATAGGCTTGTGAACTCTGCCATGGCCATACCGTGACTCTCGCTACTAGGCCGCTCATCCCGGTGTTGGCAGCTCTTCTCCCGTATGTGCGCCGACCCGACCTCCATGCCATGCGCACTTGCTCTATAGTCGACTGTATGGATCTCTCAGGCCTACGTAGCGCCGTACATGGTAGCCTGCGCAACGACGCTCTACACCGCACGCCACCATGTTCTCAAATCGTTCGCGATGGATTTGCTCGTGCGCACGTGATACCACGGCGGGGACCACACGCGCCACACGCCGAGCCCCTGCCTCTGTACTCATGAGCATTTTTGCGCTGGGCGTCTGGACCGTGCGTGCAGGCCGCCAGGGTCTCGTGGCGGCGCATGCCATGCCTAGGCCGGTGCTTCCTAGAGCGCTTTGCACGCTTTCTGCCGTGCGCGGGTCTACGGGGTTGAAGCAGCACCATGTCGTTGCTTCGCCGATCCTCTCGCAGCTTGGCTCACGCGCCTTGCTCCGGGGGGCCGCCGCGTCGCGAGCGCCAATGCAGCGACTCTACTCGACGCCGGCTGCGCCAGCAGCGCCGGTGCCTCCCCCCCCCGCGGCGGACGTGCCGCCGACGACCAGGAAAGTCGTCGCGTACCACCTGCTCGTCTCGGCCGCGCTCGTGTTCTTGATCATCATTGTGGGCGGTATTACGCGTCTGACCGAGTCGGGTCTCTCCATCACCGAGTGGAACCCCGGCCTGAAGGGCATGCGGCTGCCGCAGACGGACGAGGAGTGGCATGCCGAGTGGGACAAGTACAAAGAGTCGCCTGAATTCAAGATGCTGAACTCGAAAATGACGCTGGACGACTTCAAGTCGATTTTCATGTGGGAGTGGTCTCACCGCATCCTCGGCCGCTTTATTGGTGCGTTCTTTGTGGTGCCGGCTGCCCTATTTGCGATGCGCCGTGGCATGACGACGCGCAGCACGCGCTGGAAGCTCTTGGCGATTGCAGCGGGTATTGGTTTCCAGGGCTTTTTGGGCTGGTACATGGTCGCTAGTGGCCTCAAGAACCCGTACGAGCTGGAGCCAGTTTCGACGCAGCCGCGTCCTGACTGGACGCCGCGCGTCGACCACTTCCGTCTGGCGGCGCATCTCGGCACGGCCTTTGTGGTCTACATGGGTATGGTGTATACGGCTGTGGAGATCCTGCGTGATGCCTCGGTGGCCAAGAAGCTCAAGTCGGCGTCGCCGGCAGAAAAGGACCATGTGCTCGCAACGTTCCTGCGCAGTCTGCAGAACCCGACTACGCGTCGCTTCCGCGGCGTAGCACTGGCGATGCTCGCGTTCACGTTCACGACAGCCATGTATGGCGCATTTGTCGCAGGCCTCGACGCGGGTCTCGTGTACAGCGAGTTTCCTTTCATGGGCGAGCGCCGGCTGCTACCGCCGAAGGACGAGCTCCTGGACCCCCGCTATGGTATCCGCAACGGCCTCAAGCCATCGACTGATACCCAGCTGGTGTTCGGCAACGTGACGCAGAACCCGGTCACCGTGCAGGCCATCCACCGCTACCTGGGTCTGTCCACACTGGGTCTCATGTTCGGGTTTTTGTACTACGCCAAGCGCGTCAAAGAAAGCCTGCCCAAGGCGGCACCTCGCTTCGCCACGGGCGCCGCTCACATGACCGGCTTGCAGGCGTTGCTGGGTATCACGACGCTCATCTACATGGTACCCATCCCGCTTGCGTCGCTGCACCAGGCCGGCTCAGTGGTCGTTCTGACGATGCTCACTTGTGTATTGGCTGTGACACGCAAGCCGAGCCAGGCCTTCCAAGCCTTGGCCAAAGCGCGTCAGCACGCGACGGCCGCGGCCCGCCCCTAGGTAGCTGCGCAACGTACTCCCTCACCCATCCACCCATGTACGCCCATCACCCATAGTGCCGTCGCGCAACATGCACCTGGCGGGGCCGCCACTTTTGCGCTGCCTGTCGAATGGCCCGCCAGGAAATACACTCCCCCGGACCAGCGAGTCACGTCGCAGTGCGCCTCCCTCCACTCCAACCACCTCGTGGAGGCTCGTCGACCCGTCATGTCGCTGAGCGAGGAGGACCGGCAGGCGTTTTTTCGCCTTATGGACGAGTACTTTGCGAGTCGCCCACATCTGTTGCGGGAATTCCATCCACCGCCGGCAGCAGATGTGCCGCCTGCGCAGGTGTCTGCCAAAAAGGCACCGCCGCCGCCACCGCGGCAAGCCTCTGGCAGGTCAGCAGCCATGACTGCGCAGCCCGTCGAGTCGCTCGCCACATCGATGCAGCAGACAAGTGTGTCGGAGCCAGCGTCTGGACCCCATATCCCCGCAGGTCTGACCCGGGGCAAGGTGCGTGGCGCGTGCTCACCTCAGGCCATCGGTAAAATCAATACGACGTCGACCCAGTCCATTCTGACGTCGTCGGCGAGTCTTGCTGGTCAAAAGGTCATGGACAAAGCCAAGACTCAGATCGACTACTATACAGGCCGCGACCGCGCGCAGGACGAGGTAGCGGCGGAACCTTCCGCGCCGAGTGGACCTATTCAGCCACCACCACAGCGCGGCCCCACGGAGCATGCGCTGGAGGGTGCGTCAAGCGGACTCGGTGAGGCGGTGGCCCTATATCCGTACGTCAGCGCGACTTACACCAGGTTTGCTGGCTCGCAAGTGGGCGACCTAGCCGTGGAGCAGGGCGAGCGCATCACACTACTGGAGGAGGTGACATCCGACTGGTTCCGTGCCCGCAGCGCCGATGGCATGCGCGAGGGCATCGTGCCGGCCAACTACATTCAGCGCTCGTAGGTCATAGGCGCGGCCGTGCGCGCCGAGGGCGAGGATGATCACGTGGTATTGCGCCACGTGGTGTGCCACGGGTAACGTGGCCGCCCGCGTGGCTTGCTCGTGTTTTGCCACGAGGGTTCCCCACCGCGTGGAAAGGATGAGCGCCGAGCCTGTGGGTTTTGATCCGTCGATCGCCAGCCGTGGACGATCGCAGTCGCCGGGTCTCGCAGTGCCTGTGGACCTGGGGCCGGAGTCGCACGTGTCGTCGTATTCCATGCATGCGGCGACGGACAAACCGGAAGGCAGTGACCTTGCTTTTCAGAGCGGCCATCCGCCCGCGTACTCGAACGGGGCGGAGGGCAAGAAGGATGCAGGCGACCACAACGCGTCGATGGATCCGAACCTGACGGGTCCCCGCCGTTCGGAGGGAGCGCAGTCTGGATACCCGAACGTTCGGCAGGAGCAGCCGGCCTACCGCTTGGACTTGCTTCAGACCGATCCGAACCTGGACTCGAACGCGTCGCTGCCAGGCGACGGCGCGGAAGCTGGTATGTGGCACCTACTTATGCAGACCACGTCTCGCGTGCCTTTCCCTTCCTCTCGAACACGATGGCGGCGCAGGAGGGCGATGCGCGCGCGTCCATTTTCCCATCCAACTTTTCCGGCGTTGGCGCGGCGCCTGCGACAAGCGCCTACAAAAAGAGTGATGCAGATGCGCTTACCGGCTCCGCTGGCGGGGCAGATGCAGCAAATGCAGCGAGTCTGCATGGTAAGGCGCCGCGCGGATCGTCGTACGATTCCCTCTCGTCGGAAAAGAAAGAGACACCCTACAGCCGCAGCCCCAGCCTGCGTGTTACCCATAAGATTGCCGAGCGCAAGCGTCGCAAGGAGATGAAGGACCTGTTCGACGAGCTGAAGGACTATGTCCCGGTCGACCGCGGTCCCAAGACCAGCAAGGGCGACATCCTGACTAAGGCCGTGCTGCAGTTCCAGACATTGCACCGCGAGCGCGAGCAGCTCATCGAGGCCCTGGAGGCCGCACACCAGGAGCTGAACCACCTGCGCCAGGTCGCCGGCAGCTCGGACCATGCGGGCGCCGCCGCTGCCGGCCTGCCGCAGCACGTGTACTCGCACTCGAGCGCACCGCCCGCGTCGTACCTGCCGCGGGGCGCGGCCGATGCGCGCATCCACGAGCACCTGCCTCTCGGTCGCAACGACAAGGGCGAGGCAGCCGCTCCGTCGGCGAGCGGCGTCGGCATCGGCGGCGGCGCACCGCGCTCGAACGAGTTCCTCTCGGACCTGCGTCTGGACCGCCTACGCCAGCCAGATGACAACGTACACCCAAACTTTAAGCAGCTCGAGCACGGCGCGAGCGTGTTGGACCAGTCGCTCGGCGGCACGCGCTCGTTCCACCCCGAGCCGTACCAGGCTGGCCTCGTCTCGGGGCTGCCGTCGGGGCAAGATGCGTCCGCGATGGACTCGGACGCAGGCTCCCATGTAGGCCGGGCCTCGCGCGACCAGGCCTTTGGTACCACCCGGTTCATGCCGCGCGAGAGTGACGTGATCCCGGACGGCGCGTCGAGCAACGCGCCGGCCATGTAGTGCTAGTTGTGGAATTATGCAGGAAACGGCCTCGTGCGTGCGGAGCTCGCGACGCGCCGCCATGGACCGAGCCGCGGGGGACACGCGCGGGGGGCCGGTATGGGCCCCCGACGGGCGTGCGCCTCCCGCTGCACCGCGTAAGCGCCGGACATCGTCGCCGGAACGCGGCACGAAGGCGCGACGGGCCGGCCGCGCGCCTCACACGCTGCTGGCGGCGTGGGGCCACGAGCCGCCGCGCGCCGCCCAGCCGCGCACTCGTGCGAGCCCCGAGGCGCCTTCTGCGCCCCTCCCACGTCTTGTGCGTGGGACAGCGCAGGGCGACAAAATGCATCCTTTCTTTGCGCAGCGCGAGGCAGTGCCTCGCGATTCGCAGCGTCGCAAGGACGACGCGTCTTCCAGCGGCGCGCCGCGCGCGCGTCTCGGTACGCTCGCTGCGCCGTGGCCCAGCGCGGATGCCGCCCATGTACAGCCGCCCACGCAGCCTATCGCGCACCAACCTGCTGTGTGGCCCCGCCGAACGCGCCCGGCCCGGAGACCGCCGACATGCGCACCTCTCCGGCTGCCTCTCGAGCCTGCGGCGCTGGCAGCGGCCGAGGCACCGGCGTGCGAGGCCGCCCTGGAGCCTGTGACAGAGGGCCCTCTTCCGGCGGGATTTCCCGCGCCGCGTCCACCGCTCGCCTACGTGGCCGCGGACCTTGCGCTGCCAGCGTCGGCGCCGCCTGTCGTGCAGCATCTGTATGCACAGCTCAACACGCGAGGGCCTCATGCCCTCGTGCCGCACCGCCCGCCGTCGCTCGCGCATGAGGCGCTGTGGACGGACCGGTGGCGGCCGACGTGCGCGGCGCATGTGCTGGGCAACGAGGCCCACGCGATCTATCTACGCGACTGGCTCCGCGAGCTGCGTGTAACAGAGTCGGACGCACAGAAACGCGCAAGCTCGCGCAAGCGTGGGCGCGCGCGCCAAACCGACTCGGACGACGAGTTCTTGCCAGAGGAGGCCGCGTGGTTTGACCAGTTTCGTGCGCCGACGGACAGCCGCCCAGCCGCCCAGCCGCTCGCCAACTGTGTCGTGCTGGCGGGCCCTACGGGCGTCGGGAAAACGGCCGCCGTGTATGCGTGTGCGCAGGAGCTCGGCTTCGAGGTGTTTGAGCTGTACGCGGGCATGGGCCGCCGCAGTGGCAAGGAGCTCGCGAGTGCGGTGGGGCAGCTGACTCGCAACCACATGGTGCGGGGCGAGAAGCGCGCGGCGCAAGCGTCGCTTGCAACGTCGGCGATGCCGCCACAATCGCTGATCCTCCTGGACGAGGCGGACCTGGTCTTTGACGACGACGCGGGGTTTTGGCCCGCGGTCGTGGAGCTGGTCAGCGAGTCGCGGCGTCCCGTCGTTCTGACATGCACGGACGCACAGGCGCTGCCGCTCGCGGACCTGCGCGTGCAGCGCGTCCTCACATGGGCGCCGCCACCGCCCGATGCAGCCGCCACCTACCTGCAGCTCGTCGCACTCGCCGAGGGCTATATTGTGTCGCAAGCGGCGATGCACACGCTGTATACCCAGACGCGGCCGCGGCCCGTGCCGCTCGACCGTTCGAGCGGCCCCGCGTTCCCGACCGCGCACTTGTACCCCTACGACCGCGTGTCCGATGCGGCGCCTGCCCACGACCTGCGTGCAGCGCTGATGCAGCTGTCGTGGCTGTGCCTGCACACGCGCGCCGACGATGTGCTCCGCGGCACGGCGCTACCGAGCGCGGCGGGCCCAGGCACCAGCGCGCCTGCATCCGAGCGCGATGCCTGGAAAGCACTACAGCGCGTATGTCGCGCTGCGGAGCGCCGCTCGTGCATGGACCTGCTGGATATGGCCGAGGTACGTACATCCTGCTGACCCAGGCGCCTGCCGACAGCGACGAGGCTGTGCCGCTGCCGCCGCGCGGCCGTGCGCATGTGGTGCCGGTCCCGACCGCCAACGTGCCACCGTCTGCGCAGGTGCCAGTAGACGCTCGGCGCGCGCTGCGGATCGGAGCTGCGCTCCGTGGCACGGACGACGAGGCGGGCGATCGCGCCGCGTACGATGCTCATGCATGTGTGGACCTGGGCCGGTACGTGGATCTACTAACGCCAGTGCACGCTACAGTCGGGCCGTGCACACCATGCTGGCCGTACTCAATGTGCCGTGCTCGGAGCAGCTGCCGCGTGCCGGCATTGCGACCGAGTATGCCCCGTACGTGCGATGCATGTGTCACGTGGATATGGCGCGGCAGCAGCAGTGGGCAGCGCAGCGTTACGACGCGGGGCTGTGGACAGGCCGAGTGACACGCGCGTCAGCGCGCCTCGGACTCGAGGCCGAGGCATGGCGCACTGCGCCGCCGTATGCATGGCTGCCACTCGGTCCCAGTGAGCTCGCGGCCGTTCAACAGACGACGTTCTTACTGCCTACCTAGTCATTAGCGGAGTAGAGAGGGTGGTGGCAGACCCGCCTCGCGGTTCAGACGGCACTGGGCTTCAAACTCTGCCCACTGGCGCTCCATATCGTCGGCGCGCGCGCGGCTCAGCACCGCATCGCGGTGCGCCATGGCCTCGTCCTGGCGCGCCAGCCCCACAGGCGCTGTAGAGTCGATGCTCAGGAGGTGCGTGGCATCTTGGAACTCGTCGACAAAGCGACGCTCCGTGTGTACGGCTGGCATCATGCTCAAGCTAGGCCCAGCCATGTTGCCTGCTTCGGCGAGTGGAGCCAGCGACGAGAGATCCGCGTGCTGGACCGACTCGCGTGCTGGGAGCACCGTCGTGGACAGGCCCGCCGGCGAGACAAGCGTGCGCTGCGACGACAGATACGGCAGCGATGCCGGCTGCGGGACCGCCAGCGCCGGCTCAGCGATCGCCGGCTGCTGCACCACGGGCTCAGGATCCAGCGACGTGACGGGAATACGCGACAAGATCTCGTGGCTAAGCGGCGGGGCCAGGGCCTGCGCACTGGCAGGCGCTTCAGCGCTGGACACGACCGTCTCCGGCACAGGCTCCGCGTACGAGAGGGGCTGCGTCAGCCGCTCCAAGTGCGGGTGCGCATGGTGCGCATGGTGCGCATGACGTGTCTCGACCGCCTCCGGCATAGGCTCGGCATACGAGAGGGGCTGCGTCAGCCGCTCCAAGTGGGGGTGCGCGTGGTGTGCGTGGTGTGCATGGTGCGCATGGTGTGCATGGTGCGCGTGACGTGTCTCGACCGCCTCCGGCATAGGCTCGGCGTACGAGATGGGCTGCGTCAACTGCTCCAAGTGGGGGTGCGCGTGGTGCACATGCGGCGGCTTTTCTACCGCCCCCGGCACGCGGTCCACATACGAGACCGGCGGCCTCGGCTGCGCCAAATGAGGGTGCTGGTGCGCATGCAGCGGCTCCTCGGCCGCCTCGGGCACAGGTTCCGCGTACGAAATCTGCTGCGTCAGCGGCTCGAGACCGGGATGCGCGTGGTGCGCATGCGGTGGCTCCACGACCGCCTCAGGCACGCGCGCTGCCTGCGAGACGGGCTGCGCCTGTCGCTCCAACTGGGGGGGCGCAGGCGTGTAGTGCGCGTACAGCGGCACCTCGACCGCTTCCGGCACGCGGTCCACGTACGAGACCGGCGGCCTCGGCCGCTCCAAGTGAGGGTGCTCGTGGTGCGCATGCAACGGCTCCTCGGCCGCCTCGGGCACAGGTTCCGCGTACGAAATCTGCTGTGTCAGTGGCTCGAGACCGGGGTGCGCGTGGTGCTCATGCGCATGCGTGTGTGCATGCTTGTGTGGCCATGGCGTATGGGAGGTCGTCTCGGGCACCTGCGCTAGCGCTTGCGTCGTAGGCGGCGCGCCAGACCAACGCGTCATAGGCGCCTGCGACTTGGGCGGCACAGGCGGCGCAGCGACCGACTCAAGCACGACTGCGCCGGTCTGCACCGGCACGTTGGCCGCCGTCGGCACACTCACCGGCCGCGGCAGCGGCAGCTGTGCCTCCGGTGCTGGGCGCACAGGCCGACCAGCGGGGGGGACGCCGACCGACTCAGCGTCGCGCGTCCCGTCGCGCGCAGCCAGCAGAGAGGCACGCTTGTCGCTGCGGATGGCGAATGCCTCTTCCGCCGGGTTCGCGCCCGGCATTTGCGTGGGGGGCAAGTGCTGCATCGACGACAGGCGCTGCACGTCGGCGCCACTCGAGGCCGTCGCTGGCATCACCGACGGCACAGGCTCTGGCAGCGGGATGGGCGCAGGCGCAGGCACCGGCGCCGAGGTAGGCATCGCATAGGCCTCGTTCGTAGACAGTGGTGCGTACGCGTTCGCCGATGTGGGCACACGAGCACGCGGCGCCTCCGCATACGGAGGCACAGTGGGCATGTCTGACGACGACGGCACAGCGGGCTGCCTCGCCTCATACGGCGGCGCGGCCTGCGGTGAAAGCGTCGGCACAGACTGGACGCCCAGGCCCGCCACGCCATGTTCGTTCTGGCCCCACATGTGCGCATGCTCGTTGCGCTCCAACGGGGGCACAGTGTGGGGGTCCTCCAGATGCGCTCCTTCCTCCATGGGCACGCCAACGGCGGCAAGGCCGCCCTCCGGGACATGGTCCATAGGGACAGACGCGCCCATATCGTCATCGACGGGCACAGACTCGGACAGCAGTGCTCCGCTGTCCATGGCCTGCGACGGCTCGTGGCCGCCGCGGATCAGGCCCGACCGCTTCGGCTTCGTCAGGCGCTCCTGAGCCCCCGAGCCCAGAAACGGCGCCGCGTACAGCGGAACAAACAGCTGCGACATGGCCGACTGGTTGCGCGACTGCAGCGTGGCCTTGGCGGTGCCAAAGAGCTGCGAGCGCGTGGTCTTTTTCTTCTTCTTCGACAGCTTCGGCGCAGTGCTCCCTGATTTCGCCGGATACACGCCAGCGAACGGCGAGCGCGTGTTGGAGTCGCGCTGGAGCCGCACACGCTCATGGGGCAAGCGCGATACGCGCTCGGTGCGTGTACGGCTCGCCGCGGCGGGGAGCGCCGCGCCGACCGTCGCAGCGGGCGGCGTCGTGCCGGCCGGCATCGTAGCGGCGGCAGGCACGGCCGGCGCCGTCGTAGCTGGCGCCGTCGGTGCAGCGCNAGCGCCCACGGCCGGCGGCGTCGCGGCAGCCGTGGCCGGCGGCGCCGCGGAGGCAGCCGTCATGGCCGGCGGCGCGGTGGGCACCGGCGGCATCAGCGCCGTGGCATGCGTGCCATTCGGTGTGGGCACGGCACTGTCTGCGGGCGCCTTCGGCGAGCGCTTCTTGCCCTTGGCGATGCGGAAGTCGGGGATGGGCTCGCCCAGCTCGGCCAGCCTCGCGCGTGCCAGCTCGCCCGCGGCGCCGTTCGAGCGCGCGAGGCCCTTGAGCTGCGCGAGCTGGTGCGACTCGATGCCGCGGTTGTGCGTCTCGGTCAATACCGTGGGGCCGAGGCCGCCAGGCGCACGCGACGCAATGCCGTGGCCTGTGCCCCGGGTGTAGACGACCTTGTACCCCTGGCGGTAGTCGGGGTATTGGAAGGCGTGGTAGTTGGTCGTGGGGTTCGCTTGCACAGACGACGAGTGGGACGACGGCTCCGTCGGGTGTGTTAGGGTGTAGGCGGGCGCCGCGTAAATGGCCGGCTCGTCGGGGCTGACCGAGTAGTCGTACCCCGGGCCGAGGTCGGGCAGCCGTAGATCCGCGAGTGTGAAGCCAGGGTGCAGCTTGACGCTAGGGTCAGTCTTTTATACATACACAATCTCGTCGCCATGCTCGAGCGCGGAGCACTTGTGCTCATCGAGGAGGGGGAGGCCAAGCTCGACATCGTCGTTGCGCTCCGAGGCGCTGCCGCCCTGCACCTGCACGAGGTCGAGCATGCGCAGGCGCCAGCCCTGCACGGTCATCTGCTTCAGCTGCTCGCTGTGGGTGAGCAGCTGCGGCGCAGAGTCCTTCTGCCCCGTGAGGATGCGCAGCACCGACAAGCGCAGCAACGAAATATCGGACGTGGCCGGCGGGATTGGGAAAGGCATACAGAAGGCCGGCAGCGGCGGCTCGGACCGCAGAATCATCACAGCCGAAGGGTTTGGCGTTGCGCCCATGTCCCCAGCGACTTGCGACATGGTAGCCGATGAAGGGGTGGGCTTGGCGTGCGACGCGCCGCCCGTGCTTCGCGCCGCCGAATTCGGCGGCGCGCGTGGCCCGTGTCCCTCCACCTCCGAATCCGGTGGCGGCCGGTGTGGAGGATAGACCCGCGGCGCCGAGCGCCCGAGCTGCCGCCATGGCCGTCGACCCTGCCAACCCGTGTCAGCCACACGCATGCGACATTCAGGCGTGCATCCAGCGCAACCAGTTCCAGCAGGAGCGCTGTGAGCATCTCGTCAAAAAACTGTACGCATGCTGTGCGGCCTTCTATGAGAAACACGGGCGTGATACGGAGTGCGTGAGCTGCCCCAAGCCCGAGGCCGTCGACCGCAAACGGGCGGCCTGGGGCGATTCGCACTAGGTCACCATTCGGTAGGTGACGATCCCAGCATGCGCAGCCATGCGCGTGCTGGTGACGGGAGCTCGTCGCCCGAGTCGCCCGGTACACTACTGCACGACGATAGCGAGTCGGGCGACGCAGGCGCATCCTTCGTGGTATGTGGTGCCGAGCGCGCAGGCGTCTCGGGAGATGCAGGCGCATCCTGCGTGGTATGTGGTGCCGAGCGCGCAGGCGTCTCGGGCGATGCACTGCGCACGCGATACGCATCCAGCGTCGTTTGGTGCGCGTCCGTAGAGCGAGGCGTGCGCGCCACGCGCCGCCGCTTAGCGTGCGGCGGTGGCGTCGGTGCCGGCGTAGCTACTGCCTTATCCCATACACGCTCAATCACGGCGAATCGGTCGTGGCCACGCTGCAGGCGCGCAGCACTGGGGGGCGTGCGCGGCGCGGGCGTCTCGGCCGGTGTCGCCAGCGCCATGAGCTCACGGTACCGGGCGATGCGTGAGTCCAGCCCCTTTTGCCACGAAAACACCGGGGTGGAAGGCGCCGGCGCAGGCGCGGCGGGGGGCGACGCGTCGTTAGGCATCGCGCGGCCCGACGCGGAGCGCCGCCGCGGTGCCCAGCGCGCGGTGGTGTGTCACGTGATACCAACACGGCGCTGGGCGCGGCGGGCGCGGTTTGTTGTTGCTGTGTGCGGGCGCCATGCAGTGTCCGCTCCCAGTGGCTGCGGAGCCTGCGGCGCACATGGTCCCAGACGACTCCGACCTCATTGATGCTGCGAGTGTCCCCGCGTGTGGAGAGACCATGCGGCCCAGCTCGCCGCGCGCCGTGCGCGCGCCGTCGCTGCGTCTCGCGCACGACCTGGTGCCTGTGTCAAATCGCTTTTGGTTCGGTATTTTTGCCGACACGCTGCCGGATGCCGACGAGCTGAATGCGGGCGATGGTCTGCATGCAGCGGTGCTACCGGCGGATGTGCCGCTCTCACAGCAGCCCACGAAGCTGCAGTGGTTCTGCATTGACGAGGACCTCGTGTACCTGAGCTTCTCGAACGACTGGGGGCCGCTGAATGTCGCCATGTTCTACCGCTTCTGCGTGCATGTCCACCAGATGCTCATCGACCCCGCGATGCAGGACACGCACCTCGCGCTGTACACCAACACGCACCCCCACCACAAGGCGAATGCGGCGCTGCTGTGTGCCCTCTACGCCCTGACCATTGACCACATCTCGCCGGCGGACGCCTTCTTCCCGTACAGCGAGATGGAGCTGATGCCATTCCGCGACGCGGGCTACGGCCGCGCCGACTACTGCCTGACGATCCAGGACATCCTGTACGGCGTGCGCCGCGCCCTCGACTGCGGCCTGCTCGATCTCACGACGTTCGACCTGGCCGCCTACGAGCACTACGAACAGGTGCAGCATGGCGATTGGAACTGGATCACGCCCCACTTTCTCGCGCTCGCAAGCCCGAAAGACCGCGCGTACATGGCCGCTCTCGCGGCCGGCGGCCCCGCCGCCGCCAGCGCCGCCGCCCGCGCTGCGGCGCGCGTGGCGCCGAATCCCATGCTGCGCCACACGGTCGACTACTTCCAGGAGCACAAGGTCGGCCTCGTGGTGCGCCTGAACAATCCGCTGTACCTCCGCGACGTCTTCGAGAACGCGGGCATCGAGCACCTCGAACTCTACTTTGACGATGGCTCCAATCCCTCGGAGGACATTGTGCGCACCTTCATCCACGAGGCGGACCGTGTGATTGAGAGCGGCCGCGCCATCGCGGTGCACTGCAAAGCGGGCCTCGGACGCACCGGCGTGCTGATCGGCGCCTACCTCGTGTGGAAGCACGGCTTTACCGCGAGCGAGGTCATTGGGTACATGCGCCTCATGCGCCCCGGGTGCGTCGTGGGGCCACAGCAGCACTTTATGTACGAGCAGGCCGCCACATGGCTGCGCTGGGGCGTCGAGGACCGCCTGCGGGCCGAGCTGGCCAAGGAGCCCACCTTGGCGCCGGTGCCGGTGCCGCGCACGCCCGCGGCGCCTACGCCCACGACGAAGCCGACGCCCTGTGTCGGGCAGCCGCGCAAGAGCCCCAGCCCCAAGCGCCGGCGCGTCGCGCTGGGCGCGGCGACCGACAGTACGCCGCGCGTTGCGTCGGACGAGCACGACGCCAAGGCAGTCGCCGAGCAGCTCGAGAGTGACACGGCGCCCCGGACCGACGCGGAGGTGCTGGGCGTTGTGCCGCGACCAGCGCCGGACGCACCTGCCTCGCCGACGGCGACGGCGGCCGCGAATGCTGCGCGCCTTTCCGAGACAGCGCACACGCCGTCGCGTGTGCGCCGCGTCATGACGCCCGCGCAGCCAGCCACCACACGCGTGGCGCGCTCGCCCACCGCCAAGCCGGTGCTGGCTCGCCCGGCGGTGCGTGCGGTGCGCCCTGCTGGCGCCGAGAACCGCCCGCCGGCGCCGCGCACAGCGCGAGCTCGGCCGCGGCCGTAGAAAAAAGTCCTGTATAGTAGGCTATCGCCACTGTTATACAATGCCCCACAGGTCCTCGAGGCTGCAGCAAAACTTGCCGCAGGCGACGCTGGCGCTGAGGCTGTATTCGCTGATGGAAATTTTTTCGTCCACGACGCCGTCTGCAAAATCGTCCTCGCCGTGGGCCATGGCGCCGACAAACACAGCAATGCTGCGGTCGGACGGGATGGTGGCGAGGTACGACGTGAGGCGCTGCACAGGCGCGTTGTAGGACAGGGTGATCTTGTGCGTGTTCGGCGGGAAGTAGTCGGTGACCGGGTTCTTGATGACGCGCAAGAGCTTCTCCGAGCCCTTGATTGAGCGAATGCTCAGGCGGTGCAGCAGCTGCACCATAAGCCCGCTGAAGCGCTTGAACGTCCGGGGAATGCGCACCTGGGGGTTCACTTCGATCAGCACGCCCTTGGAGGTGTGGATGTACACCTGGAGCAGGCCCGCCTTGTTCAGCGGCGAGTCGAGCAGCGTGAGCAGGCACTGGTGCGTGATGTCAGGGCGCGCCTCGGCAATGTCGCGGCCCATTTTGGCGAGCACCTTCTGATGGTCGTCGCAGTTCAGCAGGGCGTACTTGTCGCCTGCCTCCTTGTTGCCACGCGCGTGCGTAGCGCTCCCACTCGACACCTTGTATGTCTCGAGACACGCCTGCTCGAGCACCACGATGAGGCGCGGCGCGTTCGCCTTCTCGGCGTGCGTCTTCGGTACCTTCGGCGCCACCGGCACCATCGAGGGGCCGGCGCGCGTGCGCTTCGGCGGCGGCGGCGCCGCCTGCGACTGCAGTACAGACGCAGGCGTATGGGGAGGCGCCGTAGGCGAGAGCTTGGACTTGGGCTTGGACGCGCCCGCGCTGGCCGCGGGCATCGCCTCCTCGGGGCCGGCGCCCGTATCCACATAGGCATTGTGCAGGGCGGCAAAGGAGCGGGTCGCACGGGGCGCGCGCCCCTCGCCCTGAGGCAGCGGAGCCATCACCCGGTGGTCCGCAGGCGCACTGATGGACGAGCGCGCCGCCTCGTCGTCCGACGAGAAGTAGTCTGACTCGGTCATGCAGGCGAGCGGCGCGAAGAAAAAAGGTGGCGGCGTGGCTCGTCCACGTGCCTATGGAGGTGTGTATGTCACAGCGCCCGCGTCGCGCGGCGGCGTGGCTTGGCGCGGCGCTGCGCCACGAGATGCCGTCCGTGCCGGAGGGCCAGATCTTCAAGGCCACCTACTCGGGTGTGCCCGTGTACGAGTGCATCATCAAGGATGTGGCGGTCATGCGGCGGCGCAGCGACGCGTGGCTGAACGCGACGCAGATCCTCAAGGTCGTCGGCCTCGACAAGTCGCAGCGCACGCGCGTGCTTGAGAAGGAAGTGCAGAAGGGCATCCACGAGAAGGTGCAGGGTGGCTACGGCAAGTACCAGGGCACGTGGATCCCGATGGAGGTCGCCATCGAGCTGGCGGAGCACTACCGGATCCGCGAGCTGCTCGAGCCGATCATCTCGTTCGTGCCGTCCGACCGCTCGCCGCCGCCCGCGCCGAAGCACGCGATCGCGTCGTCCGGCCGCCTCAAGAAGATGGGAGACGCCGAGCTCCCGCGCGCGCGCGCCTCCAGCGACGACAGCAGCGAGATCCTCGGCGGCGAGCACGACCGTGGCTCCGAGGGCAGCATCAGCCCGTCGCCCAGCGACGTGAGCAGCTCGAGCCGCACGCCGAGCCCGATCGGCCCAAGCATGGTCAAGCATGATGCGTACGCGGCCGCAGGCTACGCGGACCCCCGCCACGGCGCCATGTACACGCCGGGCGCGCGTCTCGCGCCGCCGTACGTGCCGTACCGCGATGCCTACGCGGCGGTGCCGCCGGCGCCACACGTCCCTGCCCACGCCCCGACATACGAGGAGATGGAGCCGCAGGCGCGCTACGCGGAGATCATCCTGGACTACTTCATCAGCGAGACGACGACGATCCCGCCGTTGCTCGTTAGTCCCCCGCCGGACTTTGACCCGAACATGAGCATCGACGAGGACGAACACACGGCGCTGCACTGGGCGTGCGCGATGGGCCGCATCCGCGTTGTCAAGCTGCTGCTGACCGCCGGCGCTGATGTGTTCCGCGTCAACAGCAACGGGCAGACCGCGCTGATGCGCGCAGCCATGTTCAGCAACAACTACGACCTGCGCAAGTTCCCCGAGCTGTTCGAGCTGCTGCACCGCAGCATCCTGAACATTGACCGGAACGACCGCACCGTGTTCCACCACGTCGTCGACCTCGCACTGAGCCGCGGCAAGCCGCACGCGAGCCGCTACTACCTCGAGACCATGGTGCTCCGCCTCGCCGACTATGGCGAGCAGCTCGCTGACATTCTCAACTTCCAGGACGACGAGGGCGAGACACCGCTCACGATGGCGGCGCGCGCACGCTCCAAGCGCCTCGTGCGCCTGCTGCTGGAGCATGGCGCGGACCCAAAGATCCGCAACAAGGAGGGCAAGAACGCCGAGGACTATATCGTCGAGGACGAGCGCTTCCGCGCGAGTCCGCTGCGCCCCGGCAGCGCGCCGGCGCCCGGCCCCAGCGCCGCGCCCCACTCGTCCGAGGCTGGACAGCGCGCGGCAGGCCGCTCCGTCGGCCTCGTGTCGACGCTGCTGCATGACCTGGCGGACAGCTACGACACGGAGCTGTCCGTGCTCGAGCGGAAGCTCACGCACGCCCAGTCGCTGCTCGTGCAGATCCAGAGCGAGATTGCCGACAGCTCGCGCGCCGAGGCGTCGCTGCACGCGGACGGCGCTCTCGCCGACGAGACCGCCTCGCTGGCGGAGCTCGAGGACCGATACGTGCTCGCGCGGCGCGCACACAGCGGCGCCGAGGCCGCGCGTGACTGGGACGCCGTGCAGGCACGCGTCAGTGCGGCGCGGCCGGACGGGCGCCTCGGCGATGCGCCGCACGCTGACGCAGCGACACAGGCCCTCGTCGCCGCACCGGGCGCACCGATGCGCGAGGAGCTCGCGCAGCTGCTCGCGCGCGCGCGCGCCGCGGCCGATCGCCTCGCAGAGCAACATACCCAGCACCGCGCGACGGTGCGCGACGAGGGCGCTGATCGCACCATGACCATGTACCGCCGGCTCATTGCTGCCGGCTGCGGCGGCATCTCGACTAGCGAGGTCGATGCCGTGGTCGGCGTGCTCCGTGACCTGCTCGTCGAGGGCGAGGGGCCCCGCGCCCCGCCGGGCCCCGCGGCTCCGACCGAGGCGCCGGCGCCCGTCCCTGTGTAGAGGTAGTGGAGGAATGGGTCGTTTTTTGTCTGTCCATGAGCGCTCCGCCCAAGAGTGCGCTCGCCGTGCGTCGCGAGCGTGCGGCAGCCGCTGCACGCGCACAGGCTGCGGAACCAGCGCCTCCAGACGCATGCGCCTCGACGGAGCAGGCACGCTTGGATGCGAGTGCCGTCTCGAAGGAGAGCGCACGCGACGCGACGCCCCGCCCCGTGCGTGCCCGCACGCCGCGCGCGCCTCCCGCCGCCGAGGCGCCTTCGCCGGAGCATGGGGCGCGTGCGGCAGCGCCCGCTGAGCTGCGGCCGAACGTACAGCCGCAGGCGCACACGGGCGCCGCTCCTGCGACGCTGGACACGGACGGCGCGCTGCTGTGTGGCCTGCAGCTCGGTGAGTCGGTCGTGGTGCGTGGGCTGTGCTACGTACATGTGGTGCGGGGCTGCGCTAGCGTCGCGGGCGCGCGCCTCGACCGCCATGCGGCGCCGTTCGCGCTGTTCGTCCCTGACGTGCATCCTGCTGCGCCGATCTGCGCCGTCGACGGCGCACCCGCCAAGGACGGCCCGTTGGCCGCGCATGCCGTCGTTGTGCGTCTCGAGAATGCGCGCTGCGGCCTCGAGCAGCTGGCGCGTGTATGCCCGCTCGCAGGGATGGACCCCTTCGCGACGGAGCGCTGGCGCCCGACGTACACGTTCGTGCTGGAGCGCGAGCCTCGCGACGGCCTGCATGTGCCGCGCGCCTGGGCCGACACGCACGCGGCGCTGGTCGAGGCGGCCGCGTCGCCGCTGGTGGTGGTCGTGCGCGGCGCGAAAAATACCGGCAAGTCGACGTTTACGCAGCTGGGTCTGCATGCTCTGCTCACGACCGCGGGGCGCGGCCAGGTCGCGTTCCTGGAGCTCGATCCCGGGCAGCCCGCGCTGGGCCCGCCTGGCCTGCTTGCGCTGCATGTGCTTGATGCGGCGCACGAGAGCGGCGTCTGGGCGCCCAGCTGGTGCACGGCGCGCACGCCCGTGCGAGCGCATGTGCTCGGCGACGTCACACCGCGCGACGATCCCGCCCGGTACGCGGCTGCCGCGCGCGATCTCATCGAGTACTTCCGCGCGGAGCTACAGTATGGCGCGATCGGCGCGGACGGGCGCCCGGCGATGCGGCGCGCGGCGGCGCCCATGCCGCTCGTCGTCAACACACACGGCTGGGTCAAGGGCCTGGGCCTCGACCTGCTCCTGCATGTGTGTGCGGCGCTTGCGCCGACGCATGTGGTCGATCTGGGCGCGCCGCTGCCGGCGTCGTCCTCGTGCGTGCTGCCGGCGCTGGGCGACGCGGACGTGCCGGCCAGTGCGGCGCGGCGCCTCAATGCCGCCGAGGCGCGCGTGCTCAGTATGCTGGCCTACCTACATATGACGCAGCTGCCCCAGCCCGGCACGGGTCTGCGCGCGGCGTGGGACTTTGCGCGCCCGCTCGTGGCGCGCGTGCCGTTTGTGGTGGATGTGTCGACGGGCCTGGCGGCCGGCTGCGCCGTGCTGGACACGCACGCCGCCGTGGACGAGGCGCTCCAGCTGCTCGCGCTGAATGGGCGCATCGCCGCGCTGGTCCTGGGGCCCGCGCGCGAGGCGGCCGCGACGGATGTGTGGCGCGCCGCCTTTGAGCGTGGCGCCGCGCTCGTCCATGCGCCTGCCGGACGCAGGCGCGAGCCGGTCCTCAGCCCGGCGCTTGGCCTCGCGCTCGTGCGCTCGATCGACCGTGCACAGGGCACGGTGCATCTGCTGACGCCGCTCTCGGGGCCGTACTTGCAGGCGGCCGTCGAGGCAGGCGACGCGCTGGGGCTCGTGCAGGGCGCCCTCGATCTGCCGTTCTGGGGCGCCCTCGATGCCGAAGCGTATGCGGACGTGGTGCACATGCGGCGTGCGCCGGCGGCCGAGCTGGCGGGTGTGCCGCGCGAGGCGGTGCCGTACCTCGCGTGGCCGCGCGAGCTGCTGGGAGATGCAACGCCGCCCCGCGCGCATGCGACGCCAACAAGCGCGGCACGCAGCCCCGCTGAGCCGGTCGGGGCGCGGCCCCGCAAGGTGCGGCGCAACCTGATGCGGCGGGGGCAGCAGGCTACGTAGAAGTGGAGTTTCACGGGTCGCGGCGCCGCTTGTGCCGCCATGCCGAGGGACGTGTCCGAGTCGGCCCCGTCGTACTTTTCGTCGCCGGCCGTCGACCATGCGGTCGCTGGCGTGGTGGCCGGGACTATATCGACCCTGTGCATGAATCCACTGGACCTCGTCAAGACGCGCTTCCAGGTGAACCAGTCGTCGTTCACGGCGGATGTGGCGGAGCGCTCCATGTTCTACCAGCGCGTGGCGCGGCGGCCATGGCTGTTCTACCTCATGGGCGGCAAGCCGGGCGTGGACATTGTGGATGCGCTGCGCGGCATTGCCGAGGAGAGTGGGTGGCGTGGCCTGTACCGCGGCGTGATCCCCAACGTGGTTGGCAATGCTTCTAGCTGGGGCCTCTACTTTCTGTGGTACACGATGATCAAGGACTCCATGACGCAGCGCTATAGCCGCATGGACGTGCCGCGCCGCCTCTCGGCGGGCGAGCACCTGCTCGCGGCGACGGGGAGCGGCGTCATTACCGCCATCATGACGAACCCGCTCTGGGTGGTCAAGACGCGCATGTTCACCACGTCCATGACGCCGCCGAGCGTGGTGCGTCCCGGTGCCGGCGGCACGATCGGCACGGTCGGCGAGCCGTGGCGTGCGGGCACGCGCCCGGCGCCGCCGATCGCCTACCGCGGCCTCTGGCACGGGCTCACGCACACCCTGCAGACGGAGGGCATCGCCGGCCTGTATCGGGGCGTGGGGCTCGCGATCATCGGCGTGTCGAACGGGGCGATCCAGTTCATGGCGTACGAGCAGCTGAAGCAGTGGCGCACGGCGTCGATGCTGCAGCGGCAGACGGGCCAGCGCACGTTTTCCGAGGGCCAGCTGGACGGCGTCAAGCTGAGCAACACCGAATATACCATCCTCTCGGGCGCGGCCAAGCTCTTTGCCATCACGCTCACGTACCCGTACCAGGTGGTGCGCTCGCGCGTGCAGAACCACGCGACTGCGCATCTGTATCCCACGACGTGGGCGTGCATTGTGCGCACTCTCCGCGAGGAGGGGCCGCGTGCGTTCTACCGCGGCTTTATGACGAATGCCGTGCGCATCCTGCCCGGGACATGCGTCACGTTCGTGGCCTACGAGAATGTGTCGTGGCTACTGCGCACCGCGGCGCGGTAGTTATGCGCCCGGCGGCGTGCTGCTCGTCGACGTTGTGTCTGCCTTGCGCAGCGCGCTGGTCCCTTGGAGCACGGCCTGCTGCCGCTGCGCCTGGTCCATGCCACTCACGTTCGGCACCGCCTCCGTTGTGCGGTTGCGCGCCATGTCCGCCTGCGACTGGCGCGCGGCCTCGTCCGTCGACTGCGCGCGGTGCAGGTCCGGGATCACCTTGCGGTGCAGCACGTCGGGGAGCGACGGCAGCGAGAACGGCCACACGTCGTCGTCGCGCGGCTGCTTGTCGCCGGGGCGGTTCACGACGTGCGCGTACGTCGTGTACTCGGCCTTATCCACGGGAAAGTCGATGCAGTTAAAGTCCCAGTGGCGCGTGAGGATCGCATCGCCACACTGGTCGTTCGTCCACCGCGACGCATACGAGAGCGGCGCGTACCGCCAGAAGACCAAACCGGCGATCGCACCGAGGAGCAGCGCCGCATACAGCCGGACCATCGGGCGCACACGGCTCGTGCCGAGATCAAACACGACGGCGAGCAGGAGCACGCTGATGTAGAGCGCGGGCAGGTAGTGGTGCAGGAACAGCTGGCGCTTCATGAGGAAGAAGGGGAAAAAGTGCAGCGCGTACGCAGCGGCCAGGAAGCCACACGCGCGGTCGTACTGCACGACCGTGCTGTGCGTAAAGTCGCTGTAGCCCCGCTGCGCACGCAGCATAAGCACGACGCGCGCCACTGCGTACAGCGCCACCGCCGCCGTGGCGCTCCACCACACCGCCGGGTTGCCGATCAGGTAGATCTGGCGGTGGTGCTTGGTCCAGAAGTTGATACCGCGGCGGAGGATCGGCCACGTCTGGGGGCGCGACTCGTACACATGGTGCGCCGTCAGGCCGCGGTTCACCGTCCACATGGCCTTGTGCAGCTCGAGGAACTTGGCGAGGAAGCCCGGCAGCACGTAGTTCACCTTGGGCGCGTGCTCCGTCAGCAGGGGATGCGCATTCGTCTCGATGTACCACAGCGAGTTGGGCAGCGTGGGACTGCTGTTGCACGTCACCTCCTGCTGCCCGAAGCCCCAGTCGGGCAGCGCGACCGAGTGCGAGAACAGGTAGCACTGCTCCACTGTGTGTTTCAGGCGGAAGATGGTGCGCAGCGTCAGCACCCGCTTCTTGTCGCGCGCACGCACGCCGTACTGCTGCTCGTGGATTTCCAGGACCCAGTTGTCGTTGATGTCACCCCCAAACTTGCTCTGCGGGAAGCCGTAGCCGGTCACCTCGTGCTGGTAGTCCGCCTCGCTGACCGGCGGGCGGTGATCGCCGTGCGAGTGCAGACGCACCTGCGTCATCTTGTGCAGCAGGCGCACCGTGTCGCCATGCTTCACGTACGTGAGGTTCCGGAAGAAGCGCGTCACCTCGTCGTCGGGCGTGATCGCATGCCCGTCGGGGCCCACCTCGAACCTCTCCGCCTCCGAGACAGGCGCCCGCAGCAGGATCCACTCGTTGTTCTCGTCGGCGAACGGGTACAGCGTCACCTGCTGCTGCTGGCTGCCCGTCTCGTAGCGGTGGTCGTGCGAGTGCAGGTAGCCACCGAGCGTGTGGTAGTGCTGCAGGCGCACCGTCGAGCCAAGCGCCACGTCCGCGAACTGGTCGCTCATGCCGTTGCCCCGCAGCGTGTGCCGGAAGGGCCAGCTCATGAAGGAGTCGCCTGAGCCGGCACGCACGAGGATCGCAAAGTGCACCGCAAAGATCGAGAGATACACGACGAGCGGCAGCACGATCAGGCACACCGCGCGCGCGCAAAAGTGGCGCACCAGCGTGGGCAGCGGCACACGCAGGTTGCCGAGGTGGTACCACAGCTGCACCACCACGGCGGCGCCCACGCTGGCCACGGTAAAGAGGCCCACCCACTTGCAGCTGAGTACGAGGCCGAGCGACACGCCCGTGAGGCTGAGCAGTATCCACCACGCACGCGAGAAGGGCGCGCGCTGGTCGAGCTGGGCGAAGTACACCCACGCACACAGCGCCGCAGCCACGAAGAACACGAGCGGCGCGTCGAGCAGGATGAGGCGCGACTGCGTCGTCAGCGCATTGTCAAAGAGGACCAGCAGCGCGCCCAGCAGCGCACTCGCGGGGCGCATGCGCAGGCCACGCAGCGTCAGGTATGCCAGCGGCACCGTGCATGTGCCGAACCACGCGCCGACCGAGCGCATCGCCACGTACGGCACGGCCTCCTTGCCCTTCGTCGTTAGGTACTCCGTACCAATCTCGCCAAAGTCAAAGTCTCCATGGAAACCATGCAGCCACGCGGCCAGCGTGATCATGAGCTTCGCCAGCGGCGGGTGCACGTCCATGAAGAACTCGCGCCGCAAGTACTTCGCCGCATAGCCCCCAAAGTGCACCTCGTCAAACACAACACTGCTCGGCCGCTCAATATGGTAGAAGCGGACGAGCGCGGCCAGCAGCGTCACGATGGCCAGCACCACGAGCTCGGGCCGCGTGAGAATCGGCCCGGCGCGCGGCGCCCACGCCGGGTCCGCCGCCCGCCCGGGCGCGCTGCTAGGGTGCTGCAGGAGCTTTTCTCTCTCGGCGCCACTCATCGATGCATCGGCAGCCGAGTCGACGCGAGACTCCATGTCCGCAGTCGCCGCCTGCCGCGCCCGCATCGTCGGCGCGCGCGTGCGATCCATGCCGTCAAGCCACGAAGATGCACTGCCGCCACGCGCGGCGCGTGGGGCTCGGGAACTTGCACGTGATGCCTCGTCCCAGCCACGATGGCGGCCGTGCGAAGCGCCAAGGCGACGCTGCGGCGCGACGTGCGGCAGGCGCTTACGGCGCTTCCGCGCGCCGAGGTTGATGCACAGTGTGCGTCGTCGCACTAACACCAGCGAGTGCTGTGACGGAGCGCGTGCTATCGCACCCCCACTTTCAGCGCGCACACGCCGTGAGCATCTACCTCAGTGCGCCGGCCGCGGAGGTCGACACGTGGGCGCTGTGTCGTGCTGCGCTGCACAGCGGCAAGTGTCTCTACGTGCCGCGCTTTAGCACACTGGCTGCCGGCGCGGACGTGCGCGAGGCGCATTCGTTCACCGATATGCTCATGCTGCGCGTGTACGACACGCACGAGCTCGAGCAGACGCTCACTGTGAACAAGTGGGGCATTGCAGAGCCTGCGCTCGTGCGCGCGGACGGCATGCCGCGCGAAAATGCGCTTGATGCGCCGGGGGGCCTCGACCTGATTGTGCTCCCCGGCCTCGCGTTCGACCGGCAGGGCTCGCGCCTGGGCCAGGGGAAAGGGTACTATGATCGGTACCTGGCGCGGTGCACGCAGCACGCACAGGCGCGGGGGCGCGCGCCGCCATATACCATGGCGCTGGCGCTGCGGGAGCAGCTGCTCGACGCAGTGCCGCGCGACGCGCACGACCAGCCCGTGCACACCCTTGTCACGCCGGACACGGTGTACACCTTCTGACTACGAGCGGAGACTGCGCGTGGACTCCATAGCGACGCCGCCCAACACCATACTCGTGAGCAGCGCACGCAAGGCTGCCTGCCGGTTCGCCGGCGAGGCCAGCCACTGCAAACGGCCACGCAGCTGGCCCAGCAGGCGCAGCGTAATCCACGGGTCGCTGCGACCAGAGAGGCGCCGCAGAGCGGCCACAAGGAGCGTGACCATGAGCGTGATCGACGCCAGGTCCAGCAGAACGCGGAAAGCCAGGCTCGCGACCAGCACGGCAAACTTGAATGGCGAGCGGACCAACGCCCACAGCCCATGGTGTCGTGCGCGCCATGCATCGTAGCTCGGTGCATTCGCCTCGCCGGGACACCCTGGCACCAGGCCGAGGCATGCCCCGATATCATGTAGCATGCGCTGCATGTACTGATGGAGCCGCCGGACGTCCAGCGCGTTCTCGCGGCGCACCATGCGCGACTCGGCGCGGTCGAGCCTGTCTGTGAGCGCTGTGAGCGATGCCTGGATCGCCCTCAGCGACTCTTCCAGCTCGGGTGCACGCTCACCCATGCCTGGTGCGCCGGCGCGCGCGCCCTTGGCGAGCGCCGAGCGCGCTGGTGGCACGGGGCCGCCTGAGCGTCCGCCGACCGACGACGCGTACCGGCCGAGCGGGCCGCCGGCATGCGGCGCGAGCGGGACGTCGGACGGCGGCAGCGATGGGGCAGCCGACGCGAACGAGCGTGAGCCGCGGTCGCTCGCCGCCGCGCCCGAGTACATCGACTCGTCGCGGCGCGCCAGCGACGCGCGGGGACGAGGCGCCGCACGCCGCTGTGTCGCTGGCGCGCCGCGCACCGGGAGCACGCCGCGGTCTGCACGCCGCGCCTTCTCGGGGGCTGCTCTGGGCGCGGGGCGCGGCATGTCGCTGCCTGTGATGGTATCGTGAGAACCACTTCCCGTATGGGTATCGCCTTCCACAGATGTGACAGGGGGCAGCCGGGAGGGGGCACGGGGCGGCTCATCGGCGAGGCTCGACTCGTCCACAGACGGCACCGCATTCAGCGCGCGCTGGCGCGGGCTCTGCCCGACACTGGATGAGTGAATGCTGGCGGTCTCGGCGAGGGTGCCGCTCATGACCTGCTCGGCGACGTCGCCACTGTATGCCTCGAGCTCGGCCATGAGCGAGATGGCTACCGGTCGGTCCTCAAAGCGATGGAGGATCTTGATCATGCTCTCGACATAGAGCTGCTTCGCGTCCTGCTTCGAGAACCCGCGCTGGCGCTCCCAGGCGTCCCTGGCGTGAGTGTGCGCCACGTACCACTTGGCGCGGCCAAGCATGTCAAACATGCCGGGGCGGCGTGTCTGGATATCGCCTTCCGTTGCTGCGTCAGTGCGCGCTACCCACCCTGCTTGAACAGTCTGCGTGAGCGGGCGTGACGTACCCATATAGTGCGAGTTTCTCCTCGTACGATGTCTGGATCGGGCCACTGGGCGGCAGCGACTGCACAATGTCGACTGTGCGCTCAAAGAGCCTGGCGTGAGGACCAGCACACGCACGCATCAATCACCTTGGCGCTGCTCATCACGCGTGGCGTCCGTCGCACGGCACGCTGCGCAGCGCAACACCAGACCCCGCGTCGGCACGCGCCCTACGAGGCCCGTTGGGCATGCTGAGTCAGCACGCGGAGGCCTGCCGGGCCGGTGACGGGCGGCTTCGTCATGGCGCTGTCGCAGGGCCGTCGCAAGTGGCTGCGCCGCGGCGTGCGTGTCGCGGCTGTGGCGACGGGCGTCATAGGGGGGGTCTACTTGCTTGCCCAGTTTGCACTCGCCAAGTTCAATGATATGCAGGAGCGTTTCCTGCGTGATCGCGTTGCGCGCGAGAAGTACGTACCTTGGCACTCACGCGTCAGCTTGCGCCGCCGTTTCCTGCAGAACCAGGAAGACTGCAGCTTTACGATCATGGCCCTTTTGCCGACGCTCTCGTCGCAGATATTTGAGGCCATGGATGTCGAGTCGATCAGCCAGGCGCTGCTTGCGCAGAACCGGCGACACAAGAGCCTGGGCGACGTAGCCAGCGCACCGCCTGCCGACGGCGCACGTACTGAGGAGAGCTCGCGCGACGAGGATCCTGCTCCGCAGAATACGTCGGCGAGCGAAGCGCCAGCATCCCTCGAGGTCGTGTCTGAGCCAGCGCCTGCGCCGCCTGCGCCGACGGCCAAGCTGCCTGCGGCGCCGACGGAGGCTGCGCCGACGCCCGAGTCGGAAGAGGAGCGTCGCGCAACCAAGCTGCGTCTCTGGGACGGCATCAAGCATACCTCATTTGAGCGCACACTCACGTCGCTGTACACGCTCGTGTTCCTTTCGCTGCAGACCTATATCCAGCTCAATATGCTCGGCCGCCGAGCCTACTTGGCCGCGCTGGAGAACCAGGCGAAACGCGACGCACTTTTGCGCACACAAAAAGGCGCTTTAGCAAGCCAGGAGCCGCACCAGATTGCGCTGCATGGAGATGGCCGCGATGTGGCGCTGGACGTCGAGGCGCTGGACGACCTGAACCTGGCCGAAGGGCGCCTATCCCAGGACACGGAGAAAAAATACCTCACATCAAGCTACTGGTTCCTGCACCATGGCTGGAAGACGGTGGCGGACCGAGTGCGCCAGGCGGTGCGCGCCGAGCTGGGCGATATGCCGGTCAAGACGCCCCTTACGTACGCGCACATGGAAGCTCTCGTGGGGCGCCTGCGTGCGCACCTCGAGAGTGATGCATCAGACACGTCGGTCGTATGGCTCTCAAATGATGGCTTCCGTAACATCCTGCTGCCCGAGACGGAGGCCGACGAGGTGCGCATGCTGCGTGAGGCGGGGGCCCTTGCGGCCAACGAGGACGAGCAGGAAGCTCTCACGCCGCAGCTGCGCACCCTCCTGGACGAGACAAAGGACTACATTGACTCGCCTGACTTTGCGCAGGTATTCCAGAGCTCCTGTGAGCATGTCTTTTCGCTGTTCCTGCAAAAGCTTGGCACGGGCTTTGAAGCGCCGGGTACGGATCCGCAGCGCGCGGACAAAACGCTGCTTCTCGCCAAAGTGCTTCCGCTCGTCTCGCAGCAGGCCAAGGTTGCGCTCACATCGACGCCGAACAACTATGTGGATGCTATTGTCGAGGGGCGCGACCTGCGTGCGCTCAGCGTGCTCATTTACGCGGCGTGGGACGACGAGCTCGGTAGCGATTGGTAGCACGTGCACATCGGGATCGGCGCCTCTTTTTTTTTCCGGGTCGAGCGTAAGCTTTGTTCCGGCCATGGCTACGTGCGCAGCGCTCGCGACGCTATGGCAGAGTGCCAGTACCGAAGAGGCCCACCATGCGGCTGAAGCGCTGTGCGAGCATGTGAATACGAATGGTTTTCGTACGCTGCTCAAGGACGGCATCCTCGCCGAGCTGCAGGACAAACTGAAGAATAAGAAGAGCGCCGAACTCCGCGAGCGTGCGGCCATTGGCCTGGGCGCGATTGCGTCCAAGGTCGCCGGGAAGAATGCCCCGGTGCCCCTGGGTGCAGAGCCATGGCTCCTGCCGACGCTGCCGCTGCTCCTTGATGGCTATGCCGACAAGAACGAGGCAGCGAAGAAGGCCGCTGAGAGCGCCGTTACGATGCTTGTCGCGCTCTTCCCCCCCGAGGCCGTCGCCGAACTCTTTGATGCGCTGTACCCCGTCATCGAGTCGGGCGCCGCCAAGTGGCAGGCTAAGGTCGGCGCACTCAAGGTCATCTCGCGAGCCTCGGACATGGCGTTCGAGCAGGTCGGTGACGAGCTGACGCAGCTGACGCCGGTGCTGACGACGGCCATGCACGAGACGAAGGCAGAGGTGTCGAAGCAAGCGATCAAGACGGCGACAAAGGTGTGCGGTGTGATCGACAACAACGACATCCGTCCGTTCATTCCCGACCTGGTGGGCTGCATGGCGCGCCCCGACTCGGTGCCCGACTGCATCAAGAAGCTGTCGTCGATTACGTTCGTGGCCGAGGTAACTGGGCCCGCACTCGCGGTCATGGTGCCGCTGCTGAGCCGCGCGCTGAATGAGCGTAGCCAGACGGTGCAGCGTCAGTCGGTAATCATTGTCGACAACCTGTGCAAGCTCGTGCGCGACCCGCACACGGCAGCGATGTACCTCCCGACGCTACTCCCGTCCGTGGAGCGCATCGAGGCAGGCGCCAGCTTCCCCGAAGTGCGTGAACATGCCAAGAGCGCGGTGCAGACGCTGCGCGCCGCGTTCGACGCGGCGCATGCGTCGAAGCAAGAGGCTGACGGCAAAGACCCCCAGGCCGCCGTGCAGGCGGCGCGCACCGAGGCGCTGCAGCGCCTTGGTGATGCAGTTCAGCCGCACGTGCCGGTGGGCGTTGTCTTCTCCGCGCTCGGCGATGCGTGGACCAAGACGGGGCTCGAGTACGTGTCGCGCGTGCTGGTGCGCCTTGCCGACAAGCGTGTCGTGCAGGCGGAGCCGTGGAACGACGTGTATGTCCTGCCGTACCTGCGACGTGTGTGCGCGACCCCAGAGGGCGCGCAGCAGGCGACAGACGCGGTGCGCGACGTGTACGTGAAGCTAGACTTGGAGCGCTTCGGCAAGCCCGAGGACGATGACGAGGATATCGAGGGCGAGAAGCTGTGTGACACACTCTTCAGTCTGGCGTACGGTGGTCTTCTGCTGCTGAACCACACGCGGCTACGTCTGTACCGTGGCCACCGCTACGGTATTGTGGCTGCGAACGGTAGCGGAAAGTCGACGCTGCTCAAGGCCATGCGTGACGGCAAGGTCGAGGGCTACCCCGACCAGGACCAAGTGCGCACGGTCATGGTCGAGCATTCGCTGCAGGGCGAAGATGGCTCACGGCCGATTCTGGACTTTGTTTGTGGGGACCCCAAGCTCGCGCACAAGCAGCGCGACGAAGTGGCCGAGGCGCTGCGCGCCGTCGGCTTCGATGACGAGCGTCAGCAGACGCCGGTCGGCAGTCTGAGTGGTGGCTGGAAGATGAAGCTGGAGCTGGCACGTGCCATGCTGATTGGTGCGGACATTTTGCTGCTGGACGAGCCGACGAACCATTTGGATGTGGCGTCGATCCGCTGGCTCGAGTCGTACCTCGTGTCTAATTCGAACATTACTGTACTTACGGTGTCGCACGACTCTGGCTTCCTGGACAATGTGTGTACGGACATTATCCACTACGAGCACAAGAAGCTCAAGTACTACCGCGGCAACCTGTCCGAATTTGTCAAGACGCGCCCTGAGGCGAAGAGCTACTACTCGCTCGCTGCGACGAGCGTTAAATTCACGTTCCCGCCGCCGGGCTCGCTTATGGGTGTGCGCTCGAACACGCGTACGATTCTCAAGGCGTCGCACGTTACCGTGCACTACCCGGGCATGCCGCGCCCGTCGCTGGTCGACGCGAGTGTGTCAATTAGTCTGTCGAGCCGTGTTGGTGTGGTGGGCCCGAACGGGGCCGGTAAAAGTACTTTGATCAAGGTGCTGACCGGCGAGATTATCCCGACGGAGGGCAAGGTCGAGAAGCACCCGAACCTGCGTGTGGCCATGATGGCACAACACGCGTTCCACCACCTTGAGCAGCACCTGGAGAAGAGCGCGTGCCAGTACATCCGCTGGCGGTACCAGGATGGCCACGACCGTGAGATTACAGAGAAGGCAACGCGCAAGCTTACGACGGAGGAGGCCGAACAGATGAAGGTGCCGATTGTGTCGCAGACTGGCGAGAAGCGGATGGTCGAGTTTATCGTTGGACGCAGCAAGCTGAAGAAGAGCTACCAGTACGAGATCAAGTGGGTCGGCCTCGAGCACCGCTACAACACATGGATTCCACGCGAGCGCCTGCTGGAGCTCGGTTTCACGAAGCTGGTGCAAAAGTTTGACGACTTTGATGCGTCGCGCGAGGGCGCGGGCAGCCGAGACCTGAGCCAGAAGGCGATCCGCGCGGAGCTCGAGGCGGTCGGTCTGAACGGCGAGATTGCCGAGAACAATGCCATGGGCGGCTACAGTGGTGGCCAAAAGGTCAAGGTCGTCTTGGCTGCAGCGCTGTGGAACAACCCCCAGGTGCTCGTGCTGGATGAGCCGACCAACTATCTCGACCGCGAGGCGCTCGGTGGTCTCGCCGTCGCGATCCGCGAGTGGGCTGGCGCCGTGATTATCATCTCGCACAACCAGGAGTTCATCAGTGCGCTGTGCCCGGAGATCTGGAACGTCGACGCCGGCCGCATCGTGTCCAAGACGCGCACGGACGTTGCGTCAGAGAACTTTGCCGACTCTTCGGCCACCACGCCTGTCAGCACCGAACCGAACAGCGAGGCCCCAAGTGCCGCGACAAGCGCTGCGCCCAGCCGCGCGCCCAGCGACGATGAGGACATGTCCAAGCTCAAGGCCAAAAAGGGCAAGAAGAAGCTTACACGTAATGAGAAGAAGGCACAGGAGGAGCGCCGCCGCCTGCGCCTTAACCGCTGGCTCCAGTACGGTGGCGAACGCGAACCGGACACGGACGATGAATAGCTGGCCTAGGCCATGAACGCCGCTCGCGGCTCTGTAGCACACGTGACGTTTCTCGCCTTCCACCACCATGCACGGCGCCCTCCACGCCCTGCCAGTGCAGGCGGTCGCCGCGACGCCCGACTCGCTCGCGGCGCTGACCGGTGCCAACATTTTGGTGTTTGATCGGCGCACAGGCACGCTCAAGGCTGCCCTCGACGCGCGCATCGACGCGCGTGCGGGTGTGTCGCCTGGCCCTGGCGCACCGAGCGCCGTCTTTCCACGCCTGTGCGCCTTCTCGCCGAGCGGTCAGCACCTCGCTGTGGCCTCGGACGACAAGATCCTGCGCGTGTGGCACGTTGACGCGATCGAGTACGGTCGTGAAGTCATGTTCCAGCGCCTCGCTAAGCGCGCTGGTACGCTGCAGTGGGTCCCCAGCGCTGAGGGCGACGAGGTCGTCGTTGCCGACAAGTTTGGCGATGTATGGAGCTTTGTGGTTGGTGCTGCGCCTACGCAGGATGTGGCAGACGCCGCCGACGAGGCAGAGGCGTCTTTGCATCCCCGCCTCGGCCACGTCAGTATGGTCACCTGCCTCGCCTTCCTCCCGAGCGACAACGCCGCGGAGCCCAGCGCTATTGTGTCCTGTGACCGCGACGAACACATCCGTCTCTCCCGCTGGGGTGCCCGCCGCGCCGCCCATGTTGTCGAGCAGTATCTTCTCGGCTCGCGCAGCTGTGTCGGCGCCGTGATTGCGCTGCCCGCCGACCGCGCCGCCCGAGCAGGGCTACCCCCGTCGGATCGCCCCGTGCTCATTTCGAGCGATGGTGGCGCTTGCTTGCGCGTATGGTGCAGCGAAGAGCGCACGTACCATCTTCGCGCGACGGTGCATCTGGACGCCGAGAAGCTCGCATCGTACGTACACATCGATGCGGCCACGGAGCGCCGTCGCGAGCGCGCAGCGTCCAATCTCGCGCTCCAGGGCGCCTTTGATCCATCCGCGCCTGAGCCAGACACCAAGCGTCGAAAGCACGCGGACGATGCGGACGACAGCGAGTCTGCGCTGCCAGCGCATGGCGTCTCGCTCGTCATCCAGCATCTCGAGCTCTTCGAGGCCGAAGGGCGCGACTGGTTGCTCGTGCGGATCGAGGGAGCTGAGGCCGTGTTTGTGGTGCCGCTCGCTGCGCTGATGCACGACGCCACGAATGTGGAAGCGAAAGTGTGCCATGTTGGCGCGCCTGTGCTGCAGACGGCGCTTGTCTGTGCGCCGGGTGAGACTCCCGAGCTGTGGACCTGCTGCGACGACCGGCCAGGTATCGGCGCAGGTCCGGCACTGCGAAGATGGTCGTGGCAAGACGGCGCCTTTAGTGCTTCCCCCCCTGATGTGCCTGAGCCCCTGGCAGAGCTTGTGCATGGTGCGCCAGTGACGCAGGAGGGCGATGTGCCGGTGCCCGAGCCAGGCACGACACTGGTCGCTGTGGCACGCACGCCGCGAGCGCTGGCGCCACTGGCCACGCTCTCGAAGCTATGCCTGTACTCGCAGATCATGACATGGCCTAAGCCGCCGCAGGCAAATCCGGACGGCTCGCCCTTCACGAGCTTATTCCTGCACCAACGCACTGAGGCCGTGGCACGCGACATGGTCGAGCGTTTCCAGGCCGGCAAACGTGCAGCAGGCCGGGCCAAGAATCAGGCGAGCATTCAGCAGCAGTTTGGCACAGACTAGAATAGAAGTCTAATCAGAATCACTATCGCTGCTGTCCTCGCGGTCGTCGTCGTCATCCTCCTCCTCCTCCTCCTCTTCTTCCTCCTCGTCATCATCCGCGTACACGACGTTCGATGGCTTGACCTTCTCGCCACGCATCAGGGCCATCTGGCCCGCAATGGTATCCTCCTCCGGGTCGGAGATCTCATCTTCTTCCTCTGGACTGGCGAGGCGCTGCTCCGCGACATTCAGCTTCATGAGCTTCACAGCATGGGAGCCCAAGTACGAGTCGCTTGTGATCTGTACCTGGAACGTATAGAGGCCCGGCTCCGGCGGCGCAATGACAGGCAGATGCACCGTGCGCGTTTGTGTAGCACCCACATCACCAAACTTGGTTGGCGGCAGGATGAGGTGGTCGTTCTTGTGGTCGCCCATCTGCACGAACCACTGCGGCTTGCGCTCCTCGGCAAAAAACGGCGCATACACATAGCCCGTTGGCTCGCGGCCGGCCGCGGCGTCGTCCGGCAGCGAGTCTGATGCCATCCCCGAGCGCACGCTATCGCTACCGTCCTTGTTCTTCGCGTCCAGGCGGCGGCCCTCGCGGAGGAGCGACCCATCGCGCTTCAGCGGCAGCAAGCGCATCTTGACAACTAGGTGCATAAGTGAGCCAGCGCTCACGCGCTCCTCGCCGACCACGGTAAAGTACGCGTCGACGAGTTCCAGACGCGGCCATTCGCTCAACGCACGCATGCACTCGGCGTACGCATCCGTGGTCATCCCCTGCGGCCCCGCAAGCACGGCGCGCCGCTCGGCGTCCGGCACCTTCCACAGGCCCTGCAGGCCGTATTTCGCCACCATGTCGAGGTGGAGTGCCTCCTTGGCAAGCGCCACCGTCATGTGCGGCAGCTGCAGCAGCTCCGACACGCGCCCACCGCTGAGCGGTACCGCCTGCACGAAATGTGCCATCATATCGCGGATCACGTTGGACTGCTCCAGACGGCTGTGCGACGTGCTCATAGCCAGCAGGCTCGTCAGCAGCTTCTCCGTGTAGCGTCCCATCTGCAGCTTGATCTGTTCCACGTGTGCTTGGCGCGACTCGATGCGGTACAGGTACGCCATCAACAGAACGAGCGCGCGCGCCACGGGCGCAGGCACGCCCTCCGGCACGAGCTCTTTGCCAGTGTCGTGCTCGTAGGCAGCGCGTACTTTCTCGGTCAGCTCGGTCATCGCCGACTCATCACTCGCACGCAGCGCGCTGACGTACTGTCCCTTCAGCTCCTCCGTCTTGGCCAGGAGCAGGGGGAGGTCGTCCGCCGTCACCGTCGGCTTAAGTGCGAGGAAAAAGGAGAGCGCAGTGGCATTCAGCACGCCATCCTTGGTGCGCGAGCGCGTACCATACCACCAGCGCGCGACAAGCAGGGGCAGACCGACACCGAACACGAGACCGTACACGGCAAGGACTAGCCAGTTGTTCTTGCTCTCGACGATCCAGGTCGGGAGGGCAATGCCCATCGACATCTCCTGCTTGCCATCGGGATGGCCGTACTCTTCGTAGTTCTTCCGGATCGTCTCATCGGTAAGTGCCTTGTATGCCTTGGTAATCTCAATATAGTGCGATTCGATTTCTGCCTTGGTCTGGTTCGACACGTCGCCGACCTTGTCGGGGTGGAACTCAACACTTAGCTTGCGATAGCGGCGGCGGATTTCGCGCTCCGTTGCGGTGGCCGCGATACCCAGGATCGAGAAGGGATCGTATACTTTGTGCTCCGAGTGGCTCACCAGGTACGCGACCTTCTTGAACAGCAGCGCCACGGCTGCCCATCCAGCCGCCAGAAGGACCCAGTGCAGAGTCTTCCAGACGGGTGACGTGCGCATGAGCTGCTGAACCGCTTTGACCTTGTGCCCACTTTGATCCAGCCAGCCCTGCGCCTTCGCTGCATGTGAGGGGGCAGACGACGTACCTGTCTTGCGCTGCGGCCGGAGCATGCGGTAGGTATATGGCACCATAAACGCCAAGAGTGCCGTGAGGCAAAACGTCATAAACTGACCGCCCTCCTCATCATACTTGTAGCCAGACATGGGGAGCGTCTCGCACGGAAGAAGAGCGTCGCGTTGCGTTCGCGGTGGCTCCGCTGCTCCGCCGGCCCTGGTCACCTCCACGTGACAGATGACTAAGGCCACGGACAACGCCCCACGGCGACGCTGCGCGAATCTCCTTATGCTGGGGCCGCCCCAGGCGTTGCCCGTCGATGTCTTCATGCGGATGCATGGGGCGCGGATCATTGTCGATGACCCACCCAGCTCCGAAGCACGCCGTGATGGCCACGACATTTACTTGCCGAACCACACTGAGTCTGTGTCGCACATTGCCGTCGATGTGGGCGGCTCGCTTGCGAAGGTGGTGTACTTTACGCGTGCGAGCTCGAATGCCAACGCCTTAGAAAATCCGCATGTGGACGAGCTACATGAAGATGACTCCGCATCCTGCCCGCCCGTGCTGTTTCACCCAGCAAGGCTTCGGCGTCGCTCGCTGCCGCCTGCCTTTCCCGGCGGACGCCTCAACTTTGTCAAGTTTGAGTCGAGCAACATAGACGCCTGTGTCCAGTTCCTGCACGATCTGATCGAGAAGAGTGCGGTGGCCAACCAGGTGACCGTGGACGAAATGCAGAAAAGCGTCAAAATTATGGCGACGGGCGGCGGTGCTCACTTGTTCTATGAGCGCTTCACGGGGGACCTTGGCGTCGAGGTGCAGCGCGAGGACGAGATGGAGTGCCTGATAACTGGTCTCAACTTTATGACACTCATTCCCGACGAAGTCTTTTGGTTTTCCGACCGCCTAGTTGACGAGATGATGCATATAAGCGCGCACACTGACATGTCGTTCTCGCGAGGAGACTCAAGCGTGATTGAGGGCGGCTCGGAGACGCTGCCGCGCCCGAGTGCGAGTCCGCCATTGTACGAGCCCATGTTTGAGTCATCGCCATCGCCCAAGCTGCCCTGTTTGTTGGTAAACATTGGCTCGGGCGTGAGCATCCTCAAGGTCGATGAGCACGGACAGTTTGAGCGTGTGAGTGGCACTAGTCTGGGTGGCGGAACACTCTGGGGCCTACTGGGCCTGCTTACGGATGCCCGCAGCTTTGATGAGATGCTCGAGCTGTGCGAGCGTGGCGACAACAGCCACGTCGATATGCTCGTTGGCGACATTTATGGCCCCATTGGCCTAGACCACCTCGGTCTCTCCGCATCGACTATTGCATCATCGTTCGGAAAAGTGTTCCGCTGGGACCGCCGAGGCGACGTGCCCGACGCGCCGAGCGATAGTGCTGGCGCCGCCTCGGCACGCCGCCGCGCGCGTTTCCGCCAGGAAGACATCTGCCGCAGTCTGCTGTATGCCATCAGCAACAACATTGGGCAGATTGCACACATGAACGCGGAAAAGTACAAGCTCGATCGTGTGTATTTTGGTGGCAGCTTCATCCGCGGTCATCGCGCGACCATTGCCACGTTGTCGTATGCGATCCGGTTCTGGAGCAAGGGCCGTCGGCGCGCCTATTTTTTGCGGCATGAGGGCTACCTCGGTGCGGTCGGCGCATGGGTGCGCCACATTGCGACGCGGACTGAGGAGAGTGCGTCGACAGGGCCGCCCGTGCCTCCGATGCTCGCTGAGGCGCTGGGTGGGGCGCCGCTAGATCCTCCCTCTACCACCTCCCGCGGTGGCACGGATGTCGCCGATCTGCTCGACCAGCTCGCTGAGCTCAATACCCAGGATATGCCGCAGGATGCGGCGTCTATCGGGAAGCTGATGACGCAGCTTGACCAGGCGCACCAAGTCGCGGACATGATCGAGACGCGCGTGGACCAGCTGCTGGAAAAGCTTGGTGCGGTTCTACCGGATCTCGAGTCATCTACAGACTCGCCTGTATAGTACAATAGCTACGCGAGGCTCTGCGTTGCAGGCAGCACAGCTACTCGTATCCGTCGGGAAGCCGGCCGACCACCTTGACGGCGTACAGCCCGACCATGCGTTTTTCTGCGTGAGCGGAGAAGCGTACCTATTCGCTGCCACTTGGCGACCCAGCTTTCTTCGGGCTGCAGCATGCATATAAGCCCATCAAAATTGGACGTAGTAAAGTCGGCGACGCGCTCCTGGCTGCCTTGCATCTAAGGTGAGAGGATAACACGTACGTCAAGGAGGTCTTGGCAGTTGGGACAGCCCTTGGCGTGGAACTCGGCGGCCGACTGCGCATAGTGGCAGCGCAGGCACGCACGCAGCTTGGCCGTCGTTGACATGGCACCAAAGCGATCCGTTCGCGTTCGCCGCACGAGCACACAGTGCAGACAAACCGTGGCGGCCGACGGGCGCCGCTCAAGCCTGCGCTGACGTAATCGATACCGTCGCTTCTCTCTCACCACCATGCCGCGCGACGAGCGAGGGGGCTGGAGAGACCAAGGCGAGTACCCGCGCGGCCCGCGGCGCGGATGGGGACGGCCGCGCGGAGGCGGACGTGGAAGACATCCCTATGCCGACACACGCTACGTGTCAGCGCCAGCTTCGAGTGAGTATGGCCCGCCGCCCGACCGGCACCATATGCGGCAGGTGGATGCCACGCGCCAAATTCATCAGTCACTTTTCCAGTTCGGCGAGGCAGAGGGCGTCGATATTAGCATCGAACTTCCCAAAGTGTGTGCGTGGCTTGAGTCGCAGGCCGTCGAGTTCCCTGCGGCCGTACTCAGCGCCGTGCGCATCCTGGCCACGGAGCAGCCACACAAGACGGCCCTCACCGCTGCTCTGATTGGTCACCTCGCGCTCGCGCCGTCGCAGGCGCCTACCGAATCGTCGCCATCGCTGGGTCAGCGCATGGTCGACCATCTCGTGCAGTTGTTCGTGCACGACATGGAGGCGCACTACTGGCGGAATGTGCGTCTGACCCTGCATGTATTGGCGGCGCTCGTGCCGTTGGGCATTGTGTCACCCGCGTCTGTGCGCCGCGTGCTGCAGGCACTCGTCGATGTGCTTTCCAGCGAGGGCGTCGCGCGCGACGTGGCTGATCCTGCCGCCGACTGTGTGATTGAAGTTGTGTGTCGTGCGGGCGCAGACCTACTCCAACCTGAGCCACTGCCTGCTGAGAATGCCGCACCGTCAGCGAAAGAGCAACTCGATGCTGTCGTCGACGGCGTCGTTGCGTATGCCGAGCGCCGCGGAGCCGCGAGCTCCCTGCTCTCGCCCTTTGATTTAGACGGCATCGAGCACGACTTTCTCGCTGAGGAGGGCTTCCTGGACCGTGTCCATGCACTCCAGACGATGCAGGAGCGCGGGTACGTGCGTCCAGCCTGTCTTCCTGCCGCGAGCGATCTGCTCCCGACGACCGTGTCGCCGGTTACCAGTGCCGTGCCGCCCGAGCTTCGCGTGCTGGCATTGCCCGACTTGCATGTGGCACCACTGCGCGATGCGGCGCGCGATACGCAAGACGATGACCTCCTTGCGCCGCCCGCTCACCTAAACACGGGCAAGGGCATGGTGGAAGTGGTGCGTGCGCGGATCGGCGCGCCACCTCTCGACAGGGCCCCACGCTGGTTCGGCGCGAGTGTTCCGGCACTAGCCACAGCTACGAGTGTCGTGCTGCGCTCGATGGTACTTGACGTACTGGATCTGTACGTGATCAACCGCAAAGAGTGTGCACATGTACTTTGGACGCTGCCGCACTGGCTGCGTCGCGGGACGTTTGATGGGCGCACGCCGCCGACGCGCGGCCTATTTGGCGAGGCCGACCAGTCATGGCATGAGGCAGGCGACGGCCCGTGGAGTCTCGAAGATCTGGTGCTGGAGAGCGCGCTGTCGAGCATGCTCGTTCTGCCCACGGCGCCGCAACTTGAGCTGTACTATGCGTCTCTGCTGCGCGAGGTTGTCACGCTTGCCCCCCAGCAAGTCGCGCCGTCAATCGGGCGCACGATTCGCCGCTTCTATGCTGCTGCCGGCGAGGGCCGTGTGCATGCGGAGGTGCTGCGCCGCATCGCCGACTGGTTCAGTGTGCATCTGAGCAACTTTAATTTCACGTGGGCATGGTCTGAGTGGCAGGACGATGCGGCACGACCTTGGCCGCATCCGCGCCGGGCACTGGCACGCCGCATTGTCGAGCTGGAGGTGCGCCTCGCATATTACGACCGCATCAGGGGCACGGTGCCGCCAGAGCTGGAGGCAAGTGTTCTCCCCCCGACCGAGCCAGCGCCTGTGTACGCGTACGGCGATCCGGGCCACGCGCACCATGCTTTGGCGACGCAGCTGTTCCAGTCGATCAAGGCGAAGGCGAGCGTGCAGGTTGTGCAGGCGGATCTGCAGAGCTACCAGCAGAGCATCCTGGCACCGGCCACGGATGTGCCGGACACGGAAGATGAGGCGCTCGCCGAGACACCCGCGGATGCGGAGCGCATCGTGCGCGATCTCGCGGTGCAGACGTTGTTAAATGCAGGCAGCCGCAGCTTCTCGCATTTGTTGAATGTGATGGAGCGCTACCACGAGCTGCTGCGCTCGCTCTCACAGACGCCAGATGCGCGCCTGTCCATTCTGGCGAGCACGGCGCTGTTCTGGACACAGTCGCCGCAGTGGGTACTGATCGTGTGCGACAAGCTGCTGCAGTACCGCATCGTCGAACCTGTGGACGTGGTGCGCTTTGTGTTTACAAGCGAGACAGGTCGCACGAATGCGCCGTTCGCGCTGGCGGATCAATCACCTGAGTGGGGTCCCACGCGCCGCGACTGGAGCTCGTTCAACTGGTGGGCCCTGCTGCGCCTCACGGTCGACAAGGTTCTCGGTCGAGTCACGCAACTCACGCGGCGTGTAGACGACCTGCGGCGCCAGGCAGATGCTGCGGACGGTGCACCGCCGGCGTCGGGCGCGGCGGACGAGGTGCAGGTGCACCTCGATGCCGTGCTGCTCGAGCAGCGTAAAGTGCTCGTGACGGTCGTCTCGCAGCTTGTGCACCAGATGCAGATGCATCCGGTGCCAACGCTAGATGACAACACCGACAGTGCGGGCTGGCAAGGCTGGTGGCTGCGCGAGTGGTACCGTGCCTTTGTGGTGCTGTACCACGATGTGCTAGCAGCGAACCGCGAGACAATCATGGCCAATGTCTTTGCATCGTCAGCCGCGGATGATCCGTGCCTAGCCATCTTTGATCACGCGTGTGCACTGGCCAACTCTACGTAGCAGCTAGTAGGATAGGTCCATGGTATCGGGCTGAGCGCCATCGAGGTCCTGGTAGCTACGGCGCGGTGATGCGTGGTCCACCGCGCGGCTCGGTGCGACTAGTGGCCGCGGCTCGCTCCCCTCATCCTTCAACCCCGAGGGAGACACGCGCATCGGGTCGCACAAATATGAGTTAAAATACGCGGCAAAGGCATACGTATCACCGCCTCTTCGTTCGAGTAGGTCCAGGTGACGACGGCGAATGTGCTTGCGCACGAAGCCATGCGCCTTGAACAACTTGCCACACTCGCCGTCCCCCCCCTGGCCCGTGCGCACACAGCAGCGCACTTTGCCTGGCTCCATCTCGCGGATCCAGTCACGTGTGAGATGCTCTTCCAGCGCGTCGCGGTCAATGCCGCCGTGGCTCGGCAGCGCCTCGGCAGGCGCGAGCCATAGACGAAGCTTCGCGTCCAGATGCGACGTCCAGTACTCGTCCTCGTGTATATGCAACTCGTTCACGGGCTGCCGACGCACATGACATGCACTACGGCGCTCCAGCTCCTCGGCAAAGTCACACTGCAGGCACAAGTAATAGTCCATATGGTACACGCGGCGCAGCAAATCAAGCTGCAGATCAAGCTGCTTCTTGACTCGCTCATGCTCCGTGCGCATGCCTTGCATGGCAGCACATCGTGCCTCAATGCGCTCGCACGCACGCACGTCGAGCCACGCCCACGTGTCGCCACCAATCAGGCACTCGTCCGCAAATAGCGTCGTGCGGTCCTCCTCCTCAAGCTTTTCAATCATCTGGCGCGACAGAGCCAAGTCATGCGTGAGGCGTGGTAGCGTGTTGGTCGACTCAGGCGCTATGCGAACACGACTGCTGCTTGGTCGGTCCAACAACGCCAGATGCAGCACAAAGTCGCCAAAGGCATGGCCGTCCAGTTGTCGGATCGCATCGCACACATCAGTTCCATGCTCAAAGACAGCAATTCCTGCGCGGTTCCAACGCCGCTGCACGATCGGCTCGAGCATAGCCACGTATCGAAAGCCTGCATACGTGCTCAGGTGGTCTTCCAGCTCGGTCCGTGGTCGGTCAGCCGGCCATACGCGCACAAGCAACTGGTGCTCAGGGTCCGGTGCCAGTGGGAGCTGGTCGGTGTCAAAGTGCTCTTCGTTACCCAGCCGGTTCGTTACTGTGTACATGGGCACAGAGGACCCGCTCTCCTGCAGGTCCCAACACACCTTATCTAGCGCCCCCGATTCAAGCTCGTGCAGCCACACTTCTTTGTGTCCCATGCGTCCAATACGCCGGCGCAGGCGCCGCGCTTCGACATATGGCGCATAAATCGCGTACTTCTCTTTAAACCATTCGTCACTCTGATGACGCAAGAAAAACGACCACAACGACTGTCTCTGATAATCTGTTTTGTACTTCTGGTATCGATCCGACCATTCCTCAGGCGTTAGAGACGCATTATCTCCATGCAGCAGGTCACGGTGGCGCATACAATGCTGGTAGTCCCGAAACGATAGCCGCGTGTTCATATTCAGGAAATCCTGGTACACCCCATCTCTGTGCTTGTCAGCCGCACCACACGTACGAACTGCCATACGCGTCCCGACCATGCAGGCGCATTCGCTTGCGCACCGGGCTCTCCGTCTCTCTGTATGCGCGCCGCGCCATCTCCGCAAGCCGAGCGGTGCACAGCGCACGTAACACACCAGTCTAGGCACACGACCTCTATATCACGTGAATATACACCCTAGGAGCGCCGCGATCGCGCGCTCCGCGTCGTGGGGACCGGGCTGGGCGAAGCACGCACGCTGCGGGAGGAGCTTGCAGCGCGCCGTGCAGGCGTTGAGCGTGTAGAACGCATGGAACCAGTGCCTGCGCCATCTGTAGCCGCATCGGAACCATCTTCGACCTCACGCTTTTTCTCGTCGTCGTTCAGCTGTTTTTGCTGTCGCCGTGTCGTGATGGAGCGCGTAGGCGTATCAAGGCCGTCGTCATCCAACTTGGATCCTCGTCGTCGCTTGCTCGCTCGTGCAGAGCCGTGTGAAGATTCGTCCTTGGGCAGATCGGGGGAGGTATCCTCTTCCGTATGTCCGCGTTTGCGCACAGTTCGGCGCTGGACCGATCGAGGCGCACGTTCTTCCTTGTCTGATTCAGACTCGCCGTCGTCGGCCATGGCATCAGCACCTTCATCCTCTTGTGAGGGTGGGACCACCTGAGTTTGCGCGCCGTCATCGCCTGCTTCAACGCGACGAGATACGATGATTGGTTCATACAAATACATGGGGTACAGGGCGAACTCTTCCTCGTCAACGTCCCGCAGAAAACGCGATCGTGCTCTCTCATGGTCCCGCAAGAACTGTGAATGCTCCTCGTAGGTACGGAGCCACACAGGCTCCTCTTCGTCGTCACTACCTTCTTCCATTTCGTCAAGTCCGCGTAGGTCATAAAAGTCGTGCAGCCGTGCCCACAGCGATGCACTCGATCTATTAGCCTGCTTCGCCTCTGGCGCGCCATCTAGGGCATGCAAAATGGACACCATGTGAAAATGTCGATGCTCTCCTACAGGGCGGAATACCGAGATGGCTCTCAGCAGCGCCACATCGTGTCGGGCTAGCTTGGCCTTGCCGCCCTGATCGTCCTCCCTGGCCATAAGGTCGACCAGGTGGAGTGCCGCGAGTCTGCGACCGGAATAACCAACTACACACACCTCCATCTAAAGGCTTACTTAGGCTCGCCCTCGACTGACACCTTCCACCACTGGGTCATGCACGAGTACGGATCCCGGTCAAACGACTGCGGTAAGCAGTAAAACACACACCTCAGTAGGATCACAAAGACACTTGCCTGTGTCGTGGTACTTGGCACGGTTTGCCGGGCAATGTGCCCACGGGATATGGCGGTATCCGATGTCCTCAAAGTGGTGGATCTGTGAACGATTCAGGAACAGAGATGCGGCAATACTGTGAACAGGCGCGTCTCCCCAGCGCTCGTAGAAGAACTGTTGTGTTAGACCGTGTACGTACACCACCCGCTTTATCCAAATGGGTAAAGTAGTCCAGATACTGCTGGCCGCGCCAGAATCGCAAGTCCGCGATTTCAAAATTACTCCAGAAGTGGCACATGTTGTATATCGAAGATTGCATTGTCTTCGAGTTATCCACAATGAAGCCCATCGCATTGTCTTCAGCAAGATATTCTGGGTGGTTCTTGGCAAAAATCTTGGTCTGTTCCCAGAGCGTGGGGATAGTGGCGGGATACTCATGCAAGGACATAGTAAAGCCATATGCCTTGTTATTCAGCTGCATAAACACGAAAGGATCATAGTCAATGTCACAGTAGATGCGAATGCCCGGTTCCACGCGCCAGTAGTATTCCAGTCCAAGCTCGTAGGTGAGGGGATGACGCCAGAAGAAGCCACTTTGGTAGCGGCACATATGACGGTACGACTCTGAACCACCATAAATAATCTGCTTCATCTCCATCTCCTTGCGCTTGGCTGCTGCCTTCTCCTGATCAATCCAGTCGGGGTAACTCCAGTGTTCCTTCGGCACTAGACCGAAATATACGGGCGAGCGCGTCATCTTTCGAACACCCTGCTTGAACTCCTCCGTAAACGGCTTATCTGAGCGTCAATCGCTGTGTACTCACCGTTCAGAAATACCCACGGATAGCCGAATTTGCGGTTGAAACGATCTTCCACTGCACGGTCACCAAGTCGCAAACGCACCATCCCGCATACTGGACTTCATATCATCCAGCTCGCGATTCCGTACTAGCGAGATAAAGGCAGCCTTAGCCCGAGGCGCCTGGTTGATCTCGCTGGGATAAAACTCGGGCGGATACAAGTTGCCATCGTCACCCCGAACAGCATACTTCCGCAGATCCTCAACCGTATTGGCCTGGCTCATGAATCGGTAGTCAGACATATTTGGACTAGTGCTAAACGAGGGGTACGTGGGGCACGACTGGTTACCAAAGAACGCTGGAATGTGCTTCAGCTGCGCCCGCACTTGCTCCGAGCCCCACGAGGAGAGAGACAGGTATGTCGTCAATAGGAGAACGAGCATAACTCCGGAAAGCAGAAGCAGAAGCCGCTGCGGCCGGCGTAGGATCGACTCAAGCATGCTCGTGTAGCCGCCTGTTGTCAGTGTTGGACAGCGCGTTGTGGCATCCAACCCGCTCGGTTGTCCTGTCACGATTATATAATCTTCAGCGTCGCTCGTCACCTTCCGCTCACGCTAGCCCTACGACGCGAGGGGCTGTCATGGCAGCTATTAATGGCATGTACGCACCACAGGGTGCTGCTGCTTCCTCCCAGAGAATGATGACTGATCAAATGCAAGTTCCAAACATAATTCTTCGCGAGATCAACAATACACATGCTGATTTCGTCCTAGAGAATTGCGACTTGAGGTGCGTATATCTCATGTTGACTCTAGTTTTGCCAACTCTCTGCGTCGAGCGATTATTGCGGATGTGCCGACTGTTGGTATGTAATGCGTTTTTTTTGGTAATATCCAGCAATTGATATGGTGGAAATCACCGTGAATACAACGGTGTTGGCTGATGAATTCCTGGCGCATCGTCTGGGTATGATCCCCCTGCTCAGCATGGATGCAGCCAAAGTACTTATCGACCAACGTGTATGTGATGTGAAAAAAGTCTAACCTACAGGATTGTTCTTGTGAAGACGGCTGTGATCGATGCTCAGTCGAGCTAACCTTGGACGCGCTGTGCACGTCCGACCGTGGTGCCATGCTTGTGACATCCAAGGACCTAGTCCGCAGCAATACCATTGCAAATATGTATTCGGATGAGGCCACTTTTGGTCCTGTCGCTCCTCGTCATCCTGATTTTGGCAAGCCAGTGGGGCATGGTACGCACGTCTATCTTACGACAGATGATCCCAATGCGCCTGGTGTATCAATTGTACAGCTTCGGAAAGGTCAGCACATCAAAGCTCGGTGCATTGCACGCAAAGGTTTTGCGAAGGAACATGCAAAATGGTCGCCTGTGTCCGCTGTCGGATTCGAATATGACCCGCACAATGCATTGCGGCATACAACTCTTTGGTACGAGTTGGACGCCAAAAAAGAGTGGCCTGAAAGCAAGAATGCACACGAGGAGGAGCCTCCTGCCGAAGGCACACCCTATGACCCTAGCCGTCGTGCTAACCGCTTCTACTTTGACGTGGAGTCAGTGGGCAGCTTGCACCCTGCAGAAATTGTTGAGACTGTACGTGATGATATCATAACATGACAGGGTCTCTCACTGCTAGAGTACAAAACTGCACAAATTGTACAAGAGTTAGGTATGCTACTTCAGCCCGCCGATGCTGCGATAGCAGCGCCCGGTGGTGGAGTGTACAATGCGTACGGGGCATTTGACGGTGTTTCCGCTGCTTACGGTTGAGTCTTAGTCATCAGTAGAACCTCTGGCTGGGCAGTACAGATAATATTCTCAGGACACCATGAGTCTGACGGGCAGTGCCTCCGGTATTCCGCTGGACCCGGGTCTAGATCCAAATATGACGTTGGTTCGCAGTCCATGCGAACCGCTTGTGAATATCACCACCCAACTCGGTTACAATCCAGATCTTGGCACCACTCACTTCCCACCGGGTGTTGCCAGGGCACGCTTAGAGGATTTTAGCGCGCGCTTCTTTCCAGGCGAAGACGTACGTTTGATTGATTCTGACATAAAGCCGGACCTTTCAATCGAGTATTGGGATAAATTTATGGATGAATATTGTGTGCCCACCGCGGTACTTCGACTTTGTTTGATCAACCAGGAAACGAAGCAATGGCAAAAATTCGATTTGGAGCGAAGCCTGATCAAACATTTTTTATATGGCTTGTATCTTCAACATATGCGTATTATGCGTGGTCACTTTCGGGAAATCCATGAATATACCTGCGATCCTTTGCGGCCACCACCGCCACCTACTAGGTCGTTTCTAGCCCGCTTACCCGAACCGCTCTTCTTGGGACTTACGACACATATCGTGGAATCTGAACAGGTGATGAATTTGATCGGATATGAAAATGGATGGCAGTGTCAGATGATGGGAAAAATGCGAGCACTTTTGACGCCCTATACTACTCTCGAGCATGTCACTGACCCTTCAAAGCCTGATGGCCCTAGAATACCTCGATATGTCACCTCCCTACGCCTACAATACTTGTCGTTTCTGATATTAGCACATGAGCTTTACATGCCCTTTGAAGAACTGACTCAAAGGCTAAATTCCAGTGTGGTTCCAAATGCTTTGGTGGAGCAGATAATTGAATACGGTCTCCAGCGTGAGAAAGAACGGGAGCGGGAGCGCGAACAGAAGCAGGAACCTAACCATGAAATAAAATCGAATACCCCGCTGTCTGCACCCGAGCGACATGGAGTTCGTGACCAACCTCAGGAGGACAGTTCATCTCATTCATCTGCGTCACGGATATTGTCACCGGCCACTTCTTTTGCGGATTCGATATCAAATGGTGGTCATCAGATACCCATATTTAAGCTTCCACGACCTAAAATATCCACTCTCCGATATATCGATGAATATGGAGTTCCAAACGCCTCTATCCCTGTGCTTAATGTAAGTGCGTCCTACTTACCCCAGATGATTGAATGCATCACACAACTATCAACCCTTATGGATTCCCATATATATGACGATCAAGATCCTCTGCAATCTGTGGAGCTATTCTATCAAAGCCAAGAAGACCACCCCACTTCTCTATCCGAAATGATATCGGATACGACGAGCTCTATTTACCATAAGTTTTCGTGTTGATGGGCTTCCCCACAGCGCGTCATCCAGCACGTGACTACATGCCGATGCGCGCCTAATTTCCAGTAGCATTGCGCTGTACTAATTCCGTTCATGGGTCAGACAGCCGGTCGTTTGACCGACGAGGAACGGCTTCAATATGGTCTCTACGTTGCCCAAAACAAAAAGGTGTGTATGGCAGCACCATTTGTCTCAAGTGGTGTTGTGTCGTCCCGACCTAGCACCTGGAAAGACTGGTTTAATTTGGGCCCCTTGACTTTGCATCAAGTTTTCTACATTTTTATAATGAATGGGATTGGCGCTGCTATCCTCGGTGGTGCAGCCAATTTTGGTGTTGCTGTTGCTATGTATAGGACCACGGACAAGGACATTCGAGTTTGGCCGCTGGATCAAAATACCATTGCAGGCGATATGGGTGTGACTGTTATTATCCAGCAAATTGTTACGTATATTATTACGTCGCAACTCTGCAACTTTGACTTGAGACATGGACTTAAACCCCTACGTCATCCATGGCCACCAATGATGCATTTCCCATCCACATGCAAGCCAACTGGGTCGTATCTTGGCGTTCAGTTGCCCGAAGATGTTCAAGCGCGTGGGCAACTATTGTACATGGGGAATGGCGAGAATCAAGGTCCCTTCGCTCAGTTTTGCCTTTGGTTCCTCCGAGCCACAAGTACAGGGAGCGAACGGAACGACCTTTTTGCTAAAGGGATCACATTTCGACACCGTATGGAGCGACTACTTTGGACAGCCTTGCAAGGCGGATGGTGGGCTGTTATTACATTTTGGTGGTATTGGCCCATTGCTATTGCCATTGTTGCTCCAATCTATGAACATGATAATTTGGTACACACCTGGACGCCCCCTATCATCAAGCTTCTCTTTGGGGGTATCCTAGGGCTTTTGACCAATCCGTTCATTGCCTTATTTACCATTGGTGCCGAATCACATGTACGTCGCTTTTATCCCCACGATTCTTTGTGGAACGAGGACATGTCTGCGTCTACTTCCGCATACCAAGAAGGCACGGCTATGTCACAAGATCTTGAGGTGATCACGGTGACAACTGACACGAATCCGAAAAATGCATGATTGTATATCAAATAGCGTGTAGTTGACATTCTTTAACATACTACTCATCCTGACGAGCAATAATTTCCTTGCTAATGCGACGCACAGCCATTAAGAAGGCTCGCAAGTGCTCAGGGTCGACATTTGGGGTAATACCATGGCCCAGGTTGCAGATTAAAGCACCACCACCACCAAAGCCGCCATACTGGCTGTCCAGCATGCGATTAACGCGATCGAAGATGACTTCCGGCTTTGCATACAAGAGAGCCGGATCCAGGTTGCCTTGAAGGGCAACTGGATGCGCTGTGTCTTTGTCACCGCACGTCTTTGCAAACTTTCGAGCACTGGTCTGGGCCTCGGCCACGCACTTGCGAGCCCAGGCCGGCTCAACAGTGTGATCAATACCAATCACATCGTAGCCAGAGCGGCAAATTTGTGTCATAGAATGGTTAATAGCCCCCTTGGCATACAAAATCATGGGGGGTGTCGACATAGAAATTGCCGACAAGCGATCATGCACATCCACGGCGATCGCAGTCAAGTATGGCAGCGAGAAGTTGCGGAAGTCATACGGTGTTAGCTCGCCAGCCCAAGAGTCGAATACTTGAAGTAGTTGCGCGCCAGCACATACTTGAGCGACAAGGAACTCGGCGCACACCGAAGCAATGCGAGAAAGAAGCTCCTTGCTCTCATTCGGGTAGTCAAACAGCCATTTCTTGGCCTTCTCCCACGTTTTTGAGCCGCCACCCTCAATCATATATGCCATCAACGTCCATGGAGAGCCACAGAAGCCAATCACGGGCACTGCACCGGCGAGCTTGATTTTTGTGAGACGAATGGCATCCGTCACATAACCCAGATCCTTCTCGACATTCACCTTCTTGAGGCGCGCCATATCTTTGGGAGTCTCCAAGGGCTTTAGGAAGCTGGGTCCCTTACCAGGCACCATTTGGACTTCCATGCCCATAGCCTGCGGGACCACCAGAATATCTGAGAAGATCACAGCGGCGTCAATCAATCCCTCATAGCGTCGAATAGGCTGGATGGTAATCTCTGAAGCAATTTCAGGATTCCGGCAGCACTCGAAAAATTCATGCTGCTCGCGCAGTTTGCGGAACTCTGGCAGGTAGCGGCCTGCCTGGCGCATCACCCAAACAGGTGCTCGCTCCGTCTTTTCGCCGCGAGCAGCGCGAATGATGATATCATTCCTCAGGCCTTCTGTCTGTGACTTGTTTTCACTGCTTTTACCCTGGCCCTTGGTGGTGAAACTCTGCACATGTGAAAAGCCTGGAATTTTCTTCATCATGATGAGCAGCAATGCGGAGTGGATATGGCGGTTCTTCGCCGTGCGTCAAGTCGAGATGCGTCACGTGGCTCGTCCCGCAACACATCATGGCAGCGCCTGTCGCGCCTGTACGTGTGGGATACTCATGCTAGGGCAAACTTATAAATGAATACATATTGCGTCAGGCACGCACACCAAAGCCATGCTATATCTGTTGCAAGAGTTCTCCATACGTTTTAGTATCAGTAAGTGCACCCAGCTTGGACTTTTTCTACGTCTGTGCATCACACGTCCATGACCGGGCGTTTGCGATCTGCACTCGGCCTGTTCCTGAAGAGCGTGCTGCGCCACACCAATGTGTTGAGAAAGTTCCAAGCAATGGAGTGCGCGAAAAATTTCTTTCCGACAGCTCCCCGACGAATTCTTTGCCGCCCTGTGCTACGCCTACCACCAACGAAGTTTTACTACACACCCACTTTGCCTTGCATCGTGAATTTTTCGGGCGACGCACTCGATTGTTTCAGCCCCGGCGAGCTAATGTGCCCAACTTTCCTACTGTACCGGGCGGAACTATGTAGACATTATGCGACATCCATCGGTGCATTTTCGGCAGCTGGTGTTTGAGCAAGGTGACGGGCAGATGAGCGAGCATCCAAGAAGAGGCTGTTTGTCTGCTCAATATCATCCACCGTGATCTCAGAGCGACCAGTGACGTTGGCCAAAACGGCCGCAGGTGCCAGCAGCTGCAATGCGAAACGGAGCGAGGTGGTCTTGCCGAGATCGGTCAGTTTCGAGAGTGCGTCGTCATGGACAGCGATGCCTTCTGTTGACGTACGAATGCGAATGACCTCGCGGATCTCGTCCTCCGCATACGGCATTGTGCGCACAATCATGCAGCGATCCAGCAAGTCAAGGGGAATACCGTGAGGCGCGACGATTCCGACGCTTAGGCCGCCCTCAAACTCGGTACCACGGACCGTGGACTGTCCTCGGTTGGTCGCCAAAATCACATGAGGACTAATGGTCGACTCCAGTGCGCGGTTCAGGTAGGTAAAGCACTCCATGTCGAGCATATGAACTTCGTCAATGAATAACACACCGGGCACGAGCTCGGCAATGCCCTGTTGAATGTACTTGTCCACAACCTTGTTAATTTCACCACGCAGCTTGTCTGTCACTTCGGTACGACGTCCTTTGATGAGCTGGCCCACCACGCTCATGATATCCTGGCCGCCCTGCGGCCTGGCATTGGCCATATCAAGGTCATGCAGGGTCACATCCTGGACCACTTCCTTACGCTTTTGCACATCGCCTTTGGGCAGCGCCACATATTCATCTGCCTCAAGGTCGAACTCGGTGGCATACGCATCCGAGCGGCCTACGCGTTTCACCGCGCCCGTGTTGGCCTCGATATAGATCACGTCACCAACAGTGATACGTTCTTTTAAGATGCTCTCATAAATGCTAGGGTCGAGGCGCAGCTGCTTTGTACCTTTGACAGTCTTAAGGGCGATCACCACATGCACGATGGTCTTGCCATAGCCAGACAACGGGTTCTCCATCTCGGTAGGTGTGAGCTCAGTGAGCTCGCCCTCGTACACTTCCTTGGTCTCGCGTACACGCAAACCAATCGCACGTCGGAAGTTTTCCATGAGGACCTCGGTCTTCTTGACCTCAGAGCTGTAGACCTCGGAGCCCACCATCGGACAGAACGGCACTTTATGACCAAGCTCATGTGCCATGCCCAGGGCGAGAGCTGTTTTTCCGGTACCCGGACCACCTGCCAGAAGCAGAGCGCGACCAGCAAATTTGCGCTGTCGAATCAAATCCAAGACGAGGCCACATGCTTCGCGTGCTGACCTTTGGCCTACGAAGCCGCGCGCTGTTGGAAAGGCCATGCCGTGCTCATCCAGGCCCAGACCCTTAATGTGCGAGTGCGTCGCAATACGAGCATTGTGCGAGTGAGAGGTACTCGCACTCGAGATTGGAACAGAACCAGCACCTGTGTCAGAAGGAGCGGCGCTCATGGTAGCGTCAGTTGTACCGCACAAGCTGTCTTCGACCGACCGGCCGTGGCGCCAGGGGCGTCGGAGTGGCGCACGTGGTACCACGTGACACGTCCTTTTTTTTGTGTTCGAGCACGGCGTGGCAAATGGGTTATCCCCTCCAAGACGTCATGGCCAAGGTCAATGGTGCTGAAGTGTTGCCCCCCTCGGCTGCGAAGGAGCAACTTAAGCAATATGCTTCTGCTGATGGTCTCAGCGTCTCGGAGCTTATCGACTCTCGTGCTCACGGTGGTTTGACCTACAACGACTTTTTGGTGCTACCTGGCTATATCAATTTTCCTGCTTCGAAGGTGGATTTGCGCACTCGTGTCACCAAAAACATTGTGCTGCACACGCCATTTCTGTCGAGCCCTATGGATACGGTTACTGAGGTGAATATGGCTATCTCTCTCGCTCTAATGGGCGGCATGGGTGTGATCCACAACAATATGTCGGCACAGGAGCAGGCTGCCATGGTTCGCAAGGTGAAGATGTTTGAGAATGGCTTTATTACAGAGCCAATTGTGCTCAGTCCGAATGAGACGGTGGGTGATGTGCTTGAGATCAAGGACCGTCTTGGTTTTGCTGGTATTCCCATCACAGGTACGTATTGTAACCCGGGGCTGGACGATGAAAATTTCATACTGCTGTAACCTTCGTTCTGCTGAGGGCGTGCCTGAGATGGGCATGTTGCTGCGGATCCTTTACCTATGTCCACTGACAAAGCCCTGGTTTTTATTTGAAGCAGACTAACACGACCAGAGTCCGGCTCGCTTCAATCGAAGCTTGTAGGTATTGTCACGGCGCGCGACGTGCAGTTCCGTGACGCTTCCACGCGTCTTTCAGATGTGATGACGACCGATCTTATCACCGCACCAGTGGGTGTGTCGCTCGAAGAGGCGAACCGCATCTTGCGCGACAGCAAAAAAGGAAAATTGCCCATCGTCGACCCCCAGGGCAACCTGGTGGCGTTGCTTGCTCGCTCAGACTTGCTGAAAAACCAGGACTACCCCCTGGCGTCGAAGCTTCCTGAAAGCAAGCAGCTGTACTGTGCGGCTGCCATTGGCACACGCCCCCACGACCGTGAGCGCCTGGATCTACTGGTCGAGGCGGGCCTTGACGTGGTCATTCTCGACTCGTCGCAAGGCAATTCGGTCTTCCAGGAGGATATGATTCGTTGGATCAAATCCAAGTACCCTACATTGCAAGTGGTGGCCGGCAATGTGGTGACTCGCGAGCAGGCGGCGACCCTGATCGAGGCTGGTGCTGATGCGCTTCGTGTGGGTATGGGCAGTGGTTCGATTTGTATTACGCAGGAGGTCATGGCTGTGGGTCGCCCTCAGGGCACCGCTGTGCGCCAAGTCGCCGAGTACGCGCGTCGCTTTGGCGTACCGGTAATTGCCGACGGTGGTATCCAGAATGTGGGCCACATTGCGAAGGCGCTGTGCCTGGGCGCTAGCGCCGTAATGATGGGTGGTTTGCTCGCGGGCACCTCGGAGAGCCCGGGTGAATACTTCTACCGCGAGGGTCAGCGACTGAAGGGCTACCGCGGTATGGGCTCGATTGAGGCCATGGAGCACCAGAGCAAGAAGCGCAAGCGCTTTGACGGAGCTACTGGTAAGGGTGCCGCCAAGGCAGACGAGAAGAGCACTGATGTGTCGGCCGAGAATGCTGCTACACAGCGTTACTTCTCTGAGAGCGATGCGGTCAAGGTGGCGCAGGGCGTTTCGGGCTCTGTGCAGGACAAGGGCAGCGTGAAGAAGTTCCTGCCGTACCTGTACACGGGTCTGCAGCACTCATTGCAGGACATGGGTGTGGAAAGTGTCGACGCACTGCGTGATGGCGTCGCTAAAGGAACTGTACGCTTTGAGCTGCGCACGGCCAGCGCCCAGCTTGAGGGTGGCGTCCATGGTCTGGCCCACTACGAAAAGCGTCTTTTCTCGTCGTAAATAGAGCGGTAGCGCGTCGGGAATCGATGATGCACGTGACACTACGGTGTCGGTCGGCCGTCCTCATACCTGGCGAACTTGCGCCACGATGGAGAAGAGGCAGAGCCTTGCAGGTGCGCGCGATGAGAGCGCACATGCTAAACGGATCAAGATGGAGAGTTCAAGTGAAGAACTAAAGGCGCCTGGCACTGAGTCGGAACGCACGTCGCCTCTGCCCTCAGGGAGCGACCGGGACGCATCGCGCGTCGCCGAGTCGCCACTGGCCTCTACCATGTCCAACCTTGACCGTCTTGCCAACTTGGCCGCCCAGCGCACCGAGTCGCCTAATGCCAATTCACTTCTTTTTCGTCCTGATAATCCGCTCCTGAGGACGCCTACGCAGGCTGGCAATGTGTCGTCCCTGCCTCTCTCCTTACAGCGTCTGCAAGCTGTCCGTAATGCCCAGGCCGGGAACGGATCGGTGGTATCGAGCCCTGTCCTCAGCTCTGGCACTGGTACAGCCCCGAATCTTATTAGTTCAAGTGGGTCTAGTGGCGCTCCAACCAGCTACGACCAGCTCGTGGATGTGATGGGCTACAGTGGTGTGGATTTGCGGGCGGAAGAGGCCTTTATCCAGCGGAGTGGGTCGCTTTGGGACGATGCCCAGGCTGCGTCTGCGATCAGCACGGCGGGCATGGCTCATGGTCTGTACCTTAATGTATACCCCTTGTCGAGTATGGTCCATCGGATTGCCAAGCAATATGGCCTCAAAGTGGATGCGGCGACACTGGACTATTTGTCGATTGCGACGCGCATGCGCTTCCGCAACCTGTTAGAGTCGATGGTGCGCGCATCCCGGCACCGTGCGTGGTCGACTCACCAGCGGCGCCCGCCTTTGCATCCGGGGGCCAACCCCGATGGCACGCGTAATCCCGTGTTCCATGAAGAGGTACTATCAAATCCCACGAAGCAACTGGCCGCCATTGAAAAGGCTGAGCGCATTGAAGAGGGCAACTGGCGGCGGATGCGCCTAGAACGCGAGGAAATGGAGGCCGCAGCGCAAGAAGCGGGTGGCGACGATGGCTCCTCTAAGAACAAGAAACGACCGAGCATGTCGTCGCGCAATCTCTCCGAGGACGTGCGCAAGCGCCTCGCGGATAGCACGGCGATGCGCCACCTGGGTGCTAACAGTGTCACATCCAAGTACTCCTGGCTGCAATCTCCGGGTATGCGCTCAACGCCGCGCGCGCGCGACTCGGATGCTGCGCCCAGCGAGTCGCCGTCGCAAAAATCGTCGACGCTGCCCAAACCAAAGTTTGCGCCTAGCGCGAGTCTGCGGTCCTCTGTGTCACAGGCCGCACATGCAGGTGCGTGGAGCGACGTTGCAACACGCCAAGCTGCGCAGCGGGAGCAGGAGCGTGTGGCGCGTGCGCGAGTCACGTTGCATGATGCGCTTGCGGCGCTGGAGCGTGAGCAGGCGGGCGGTGCCGGCCATGGTGCAGGGCGGCGTGCGCTGTATCTGGCGCAGGCATATGGACATGGCCGTGGCTCGCTATAATATACAGGACCTATGAGAGGTGGTGTAGGAATCTGTCGTCTACGCGCGATCAAACAATGTTTGTGCGCGATGCACGAGGGCAGCTGGGAAGGCACGGGCCTTCATGCGCTCGAGGATAACGCTGGCGCGGTCCGTGTGACCAAACAGTAGTTCCGCGCGAATCATGGCCTCGTACGTGCTGGGCTCGCGGTTGACGAGGGCGCCCAAAACATTGGCGCGATCAACCGCCTGCTCGCGGTTGGTGTACGTCGGTTTACGCTCGCGGCGCAGACCAAGGGCACCCGCACCGTGGTGGCGCGGAAGGTGGTTGCCAGCCGCTGCAACGCCGGCCGGCGGGTCGATCATGGCATCAAATACGCGGCGTGCCTCGACAAGACCCATCGGCCCGTCCTGGGCATACCCCTTGATGAGCAAATTCGCAATATACGCAGTTGGCAGGATGCGCTGTGTGCCCATGCGGGCGAGGTATGCAGGCATGAGATCCGTACGGCCATGCACGACAAACACAGCAAACAGTGCCTCGTATACGACGGCATCGGGCACGGTCGACACGCTCTGGCGCGGCGTAGACGGCGCGCGCTCGGCGATCGACTCGAATGTGCTGAGCGCCTGGTCCAGGTTGCGCAGCACCACACCCTGGGTATGGATAAGCGAGGCCCAGTGGGTGCCTTGCACGCTAACTAGGCGGTCAGCGGACAGGCGCGCGAAGACGGCCTGCTGACGGTCGGGCTCGACGGGTTCAATTGTGCCCCACGCGTCAAGAAGCAGCTTGTACGTGTGGGCGCTTGGCCGCACACCAGCCTGCTGCATTTTTTCATGGTAATAAAGCGCCTTTTCGCGGTTCATAACCGAGTGCACATAGTACTGGATCATCGTGTTGTACGGCGGTACACGTGGTTGGAAAGTCGGCTGCTGCTCCATTTCGGCAAACAACGCCGTGGCACGCGCTTCGTCGCCGGTGCGTACACATGCATTGATCGCAGCGCCGTACGTCACGCTACTCGGTCTTAGGTTCGTCGAGCGCATGTCCTCAAAGAGCTGCAGCGCCTGGTCGACCTTGCGCGCACGCGACAGTTTGGAGATGACAGTGTTGTACAGGTAGGTCGTGGGGCGTACGCCTAGGCGCTTCGACTCGTTGAACAGCTCTTCCGCCACAACAGCATCGTCCGTATGTTCCTGGATCGTAGCGATGAGTGCCGCATATGCACTTGCACTTGGCACCTGCTTCGCGGTGATCAGGCGCAGCCGGTGGCGGTTCGCGCGCTCGGCCAGCATGGCATGCGAAAGCGCCGTGATCATGCCATCCTCAAGCTGCGACCAGTGCTGCAGGCGCCAGTCGTGACCGTGATGCGTCGACGCTAGCACATGCATGGCCATCGCATACAGCTCGTCGATGCGATCGACCTGCGCATTGCGCCCAAACGCGTTGATCAACACAGCCAGCGCGCCAGGCGTCGGGTATTGCCCTTTCTCCACACTTGCTTGGAGTCGGTCGTACAGGTCGTCTGCCTCCAGTTGGCCGTGCGGTCGTGCAAGACCATGAATCAAATTTGAGAGCGCGCCGTCCAGTGACTTGACTGGCGGGAGTATGGTACTGCATTTTCCGTCAATGCACAGGTCATTCCACGCGCGGTCTGATACCGCCGGTTCGGCGGGCGGCGCTGGCACATCTTCAGCATGGTGCGTTGACGTCAAAGAAGGCGTGCTGTCGTACCAGCCCGTAACCATCTCGGCGCCAACCTCGCCATATTTGTCAACGAGCTTAGTGCGAATCGTCTCGATATCGAGCGGCATGCGCCGAGACAGGCGCGCCAGGTCCGCCAACAGCTTCCCCAAGCTCGAGTAACCCTCTGGGCCAGGGTATGCCGTGCCAGCTGCCAGCTCGGCCTGCAGCAGTACCTGCACGACGCGCTGCCAGTCCTGGTCTGAGAGCGCGAGCTTGCCAAGATCGCACTGTGCATCGCGATGCAAGGCCTCGTACTCACGGATAAGCGCCGTGGTAGTCGAGTCAACAAGAGATCCAGACATGCCATCAAGTGCAGGCAGTACCATGGTCGCCAGCGCAACAAAGCGGGGCATCGGCGGTCCCTGGGGGTGAGCAACCGCCGCATCGGCAATCGCCATTGGCAAGTGGCATGCATCACACATCAAACTTACACTCGCAGCAGAGCTGACATCTGCGTGCCGAAGCGCCATTGATGCCAGTGCAAAGAGGCGACTCGACATGGCCCCGTCGCCTATCACGGACTGGTGCGCCGCGAGACGCAGCACAGCCGATACCGGTCCGGCCTGCTGGCGCGTGCGCAGAGGATGCTCGGGAGAGAACTGTGCAAACACCTTTTCGGCAAGGGCGACCAGAGCGCGATATGATGCGGCCAAGTCGCTCGCGCTTAAACTGCGCTCAACCTTCCGCATCTCCAGCACGGTGGCGAGGCTCGTAACGCACCGCGACGCAGCGAGGCCCACGTCGGCGGGCGCGACGCTACGACCCGCAAGCACCAAGGCAATATCGCGCAGCAGGATTGCGGCATCGGTCGAGGGCTGCTGCATTGCAGCAAGGACCATGCCTTCGAGGGCGGGTGCACTGGGTGCTGGCAATGAGGATGCGCTAATTTGTTTCAGCCACTGCACAGCGGAGCGGCAGTCGCCCGTGTAAACAAAGCCCAGAATCATCCGACTGACAATTTGCTCGTCAAGCGGTGGCGTCGCGAGTTCGCCGGCCTTAGGCGAGAGAATACGGTCCAGCAGGGCCACGGCACCGAACGCATCGCCTAACGCAAAGTAAGCATCGATCATGGTTGCCCATACAGACGAGCATTGCGCTGGCGTAAACGATGTTGTAGACGGCTCAATGAGGGCCATGGCACTGGCGACGCGCTCAAATGTCGAAAAGACCTGAACGCACGCGCGCAAAGCCCGCGCCTGCTTATCCTCGGGCGTCTCTCCATCAATGGAACTGAGCCGTGGATTCATAAATACTTGTAGCAGGAGGCGGTACGACTCGGCATCCTTGGTGGTGCGCAGGTTGCTCTCAAGAAGTGACAACACGGCTATCGCCGTTTCGCTGCATCCGCGTTGTGCACAGCATTGCAGCAGGCGGTTGTACGGGGCCGTGGTCGCGAAAAACTGCTTGTTCACGTGGGCTTTGTAGGCCACAGTCATGGCGAGCGATAGCTGCGACGACTCCTTTGACATACCCACGCGCGAGAAAATTTCCATGTCCTTACGGCACAATGCTTCGATCACAAGTGCATACGTTTCCTCGTTAGGTATCATGTTCGAGAGCTGCATGTGTTCATACAAAGCATAGATCGCCTCCTCACTTGGCTGCATCGATCTCGAGGAAAGCGCGGCAGCGAGAAGCTCGTTCGCACCAGTCACACTCTTAGACGACATGGGAAGTGCCATATATTCGTTGACCAAGGCCATCAGGTCCGTTGTCACAAGCACCCGTTGGACAAGGGCCTCCTCTGCCTCGCTCTTGTCGTGTACGCCTGCCCCAAAAGTAGGAGGGACATGCGGCTCGTCATTTCGTATTTCCGCGGATGGGATTGCTGTAATCGAGTTGCGACGCACGCCGCGCAGGCGCGCATTGCGCTCCGACTCAAGGCGGCTCAGGCTCGCACTGCGCTTGCGACGGCTCAAAGTTTTTAATGGGGTGGTAAGCGCATCGGAGAGTGTCTGTGTAAGTTGTACATACATACCTCTGACGATAAATTAGGGACCGCACACCCCTGACCGAGATCGCCTGGTGCTTCTTTCGGCGCCCACACGCCAAGACTGCCAGTGGCCGAGCGCTCCACGGGCGAGACTTGACCGGACGTCGGAACAGGCGATATATCAAGGAGGGGTGTACGCGTAAGCCTCGCGAGGGGACCCGCGAGCTTAGCAAAAAGAGGCATATGCCTAAATGGGTCTTACCACTAGTGGCAAGAGCAGGGACGTCGATGGCGAAGATCTGCAAGAAAACCTGATTCCGCCGCGCCCAGGACCGTGTGATGCAGGCAACGCTGATTACTCGCCTCCACATCGCCGGCCGGCAAACCTGTGTAGATCGGCGGCTTGTGAGTGGCTTCTTCCAAACTGCCATTTGACGCCGAGCACACAGGGCCAATCAAGTCGCACCTTTCGCCTAGTGGCCAAACGACCATGCGATCGATCTATAACCAACAGCAGAAAGCCCCTCTACTCAAACGTGGTTCGCTTGCCTTCTGAGGGCACAATCCCATAGCTTTGCCGCGGCGCAGATGCATTTGCCGCACCCGGGCGAAGACGTCGAGGCGCCGACGCCTTCCGCCGTGGTGCACTGGGCGCGTCCATCGCCGCTTGGTCTGGTTCGTCCTGGGTATCTTGCATAGAGGTCGAGGGCACCTCAGACGGCGCCTGTGTACCCTGCGCTGCACGGCGACGGCGACGTCCAGGCACATAGTCAGGCAAAAGGTCCTTGGATGCGCCGCGACGCACTGCATCTACACCGGCAAACTCAAGTTGCAGTGTCCGGCCCAGCAGGCGTGCATTGCGAGGTTCAATCAGTGCCTTGGTCGCCTGTGCCGCTGAATCAAAGTCAATAAAGGCAAAGCTGCATGTCAGCACACCAACGTACCCTTTGCACTTGCCAGTGTCCTCAAACGTGCCCATACGGATTTTGCGGATGCCCGCCTGAGGCGGCGCCATGGAGGCATCGTCGGTTTCTACGCCCTCCATGTGACGGCGCCGCACCGAACTCTCGAGCAGCTCGCGGATATCATCCTCAGATGTCTCAAAGCTCAGGTTCCCCATAAAAAGTGTGGGTGCAGGCGGGTTCTTTTGCGCCCGCAAAATCCGCTGCGCCGTCTTGGTAAGACCTGTGCGACCGCCAGCAGGACTTCCACCAAGCTCTGCTGCTGAGGGATCCAGTCCAGGACGCCCGCGAAAGTCGTTGCCATTTTTTATAAGCAAGCGTCGGCCATGAAGCATCGTCTCCGAGAGCGCCACACACTTATCGACCTCAGCCTCTGAGGGAAGATCCACGTATGCGAATCCTTTGTTGTTCTCGGCGCGACGTGCTCCCGGAGTCATGTGAACACGGCTTACGCCTTCCACCTCATTCTCAGCGAGCCACTCCGACAGCTCGTCGACCGTCGTGGAGAAGGGCAGGTTGCCAATCCAGACACAAAAGGCACTCCGCTGCAGGCGCTGGGGTCGTGATTCTTTCTCATCCTCTTGTAAATTAACCTGCTTCTCCATTTTGCGGCGCTTACGCTTCTCCTTGTGGGACAGAGGCTCCTCGCTCAAGTCGTGTGGCTCATCCACTGGGTCACCCAGTATCTCTGCATCATCCACAGGCCGCTTCGTCAAGCGGGTCTCCTCTTTCGGGGCATTTGTTTCACCTGCCTGTCCTGCTCTCTGCTTCTGCTTTTCAGCTTTGCGCGCTAGACGGCGCTCCTTGTTGGTCAGTGCCTCATCCGACATGAGGGGCGAAAAAAAGTGACCTCCACTACCGAAGCGTACGGCGCAGGCTATGAGGGAGCGTAGGCTCTGCATCGATGTGGTGCACGAGGCGCTCCATATCGTCGCTCTGAATAGCCCGTGTACCTAATCGACGCACACGTTTCTGAGGACTAGGGGTATGCGGGAGGATGAGTCCTTCCTGAGATTCGTCTGCAAGACCAGCGAGATCTGTCGGCTTCGTGGGCTCTGACGCACGTGGCGTTTGGTTCATACGCGAGACGTTCGACTGAAGCACGGAGGTATAGCTGGGCACAGACTCGTCATCGGTCTCAGATGTAGACGTGAAGGACGGTTCCTGGGGCGCAGCGCGCGTCATGCGCGCCAGAAGGTCGATCTTGCGGTCCAGGAACGCATCACTGGCATCAATTTCCGCCTGCAGTTGGCGCTCGTAGTACTGCCGCATGTGGTTGAGCGCTTCCTCCATATGTTGGGCCATCTCGTCTCTGACAGTCTTTTCTAGAGTCTGACAGAGGCTCTCTGCCCTCTCGCAGCGCTGGCGCAGCCGCTCATTTTCCTCGACAAGCATGTTAACAAACTCATCAGTGTCCTCGTCGACGTCATCGTCCTCATGGTCTGATTCAGCTTGTGATGCCAGCGATAGGCTTGATGTATCCGCACTGCCAGGGCCCGGCCCAGAAACAGCCGATACTTGGATACCGACGTCTCTGGCCATGGCACTAAACCGCATGACATTGGCACTCTCCTCGTACCCGGTGCCATACGGATTCACATTTACAATCATTACCACCTTGCCATCACCCATAAAGAACGACTGGAATAGCTCTGTGAGCTTTGAATGGCGAAAAGGTACAATACTCTGCCGCCGCTTGCGTGTGTCATCGGAGCGCGACGACGAAAGAGCCACCTTGGCGTCACCAGGCGCCACGATTCCAGCCCGCAGCTGGTTTTTGCGCATGGTCTCCAGGCACTGGCCCAAGCACATTAGACTCTTGTTGATGTTGCCTGCTTCCTTCAATCGCGGGCCGGCGGGCACATCCGTGTTAGCAATGCGCTCGCTTCCCGCGAGGTCCACAATGCTCAGTCGTGACACAAAGTACTTGCGACTCAGGCCAGATACGTCCCGCTCACCTAATTGCACAGTTGTGAGCTCGCGCAGAATCTTGATGGTAAAAACACTGTGGGAGCGAGAGCTAGAGCGGTTGGCCATGGTGCTGAATACGGAGCGGTTTTCTTGGCCGCAGCGCAAAATTTCGCGTGCCTCGTAAATGTTGGATATCTTGATCTCCTTAAGTCCGCCCACGTACTTACCGCCACTCTCGACCTCACTCTTTAACAGCAGGGGACGACGCGCAGGTCCAGCCGACTTCTCGTCCGTCTCGTCACGCACTGCATCGGTTCGTGCCAGCAGCGATGGCATGGGCGCTTCCAGCAGGTCATAAAGCTTTTCGTTGTACACTTCCACATAGCTCACCCACACACTGTAGCGGTAATCAGGGTGTACAGCGAGCGTAGTCGGATCGGTGGCAGGCGACTGAAAGATGCCAGCTTTTCCTACTCCCACATCCGCCCCACGTCCTACGCCCGGCCGCGGCTTGGCCCGAGGACGGCTTGCTAGAAGGCTCTTACTGGGATCTGAGACCCCAGGCTGCACGCCAGTCAGACCCATTGGACGCACGGCCTTGGTGCACTCACGCCCCTGGATACTGTTAAATATTACATCCATTGTGCGAGGCAGAATACCTGCCTCGCCCGGTTCGTCATTGCCTTGCACAGTATATGTTTTACCCGAGTTGGTAACGCCATAGGTGAACACGAGGCTGTTCTTACCTTCGAGTAAGTCCTTCACCAAGGAAAGAGTAGTATGCTGAAAAAAAGATTGTTGTGCTTCCCTTGGCGATTCGGTAGGGACGGGCGCAAACACGCGGGAGAAAGTGTACTTAGTAGGGGCCTGCGCAGCGTGACGCGAACGAGCGTACCGCCGGGTAGCCACGTCTGTGGGCGGCTGTAGGACGGCTTCCGTCTCTGACACGGCCTTTAGGTAAGGGTCCGTCTGTATCCCCTGCGTGTCGGGTCGGATTCGCAGGTATGCTTGGATCGGCTCGCTCGATACGCCGAGCTCGGCGAGGCGACCCACGCTAGACGCGCTAGGTGTGCGAATGCCAGACATGGGCACACGAGCACCGACAGACCCTGCCACAGATCGGTTTAGTGCCGTGTCAGGCTTGCTAGGTGAGCCTGTTCGGCGCTCCTCTAGCGCCAAGCCCATGACCAAGTCGCGCACGATCGTCGAGACCGTCTGTCGATCGGTGGACGCGCCGAGCGTGTTTGGTCACGTGAATCACAAGAAGCTACCTGCAGCGAGCGACGCTTGCTGCTACGAGTGGCCGATGCGCTGGGTACCGCCGATAGCGCGAGCGTACTCGCGTGCGCTTACAACAGCAGCACGGCCAGCATCCCTGCCGCCATGCGGACAGCCGCTGCCGCATACTCATCCGCATCTCTTTCCGGTCGATTTTCGCAAGGGCACAGACCCCTCGGTAGGCGGACAAGTCGCGATGGAGCACTTGACGCCGGGTATACCCGCAACAGAATATGAGCAGCGGCGCAAAATGCTAATGGACAGGCTGCCTGAGAAAAGTGCCGTGGTGCTTATGGGTGGGAGGACGAAGTACATGTCGCGCAACATCTTCTACAAGTTCCGGCAGGAATCCAACTTTTGGGTACGTTCTGTCTGCTGACCCAGTACCTCACCGGAATGCAAGAGCCTGATGCTGCCCTGATTCTAGAGAAGGACCACAGTCCTCGCGGCTACAAAATGACCATGTTTGGTACGTGCGTCACACTTACCGACAGTGGAACCGCGCCAAGCGACCAAAGAAGTGTGGGACGGTCCCACCTGTGGCCTCGACGGCGCCGAAAAGATTTTTCGTGCCGATGAAGCAGTGATGAACGATCCCTCCGTCATGCTCAACTACATCAAATCGGCACTCGCGCGCTGTGAGCACTTGTATGTGGACTTGCCCGCGCAAGTAACCATCCCACGGCAGAGTATGCGTTCGCCCCGTTTCAGCATCCACGACTTTTTGGCGCCGCCCTCGCCCACAGGCTTTGACCTGTTTGTGCGTAAAACTGATTTTGAAAATGTTGTGCGGCTCCTGAGTGATCGCCGCAACACACATTCCCTGCAGCGGGAAATGGACCGGCTGCGCGTGCGCAAGAGCCCCAATGAGCTGGCCGTCATGCGGCAGGCCGGATCGATAAGTGGACAGGCAATGACACAGGTAATGCGCGTCTGCCGGCCGGGCTTGCTGGAATCCGAAGCACAGGCAGTGTTTGAGTACGAATGCGCCAAGCACGGCGCTGAACGTCCCGCGTATGTGCCGGTGTTTGCCTCGGGTCGCAACGCATTGATGATCCATTATGTGCGTAACGACGGCGTCCTGGGTGACCACGATGTCATGTCAGTGGATGCAGGATGTGAGTTCCGTGGCTATGCCTCCGATATCACACGCACGATGCCGACTTCCGCGGATGGGCGTTTCACGCCTGCTCAGCGCGATCTCTACGAAGCACTCTTGCGTGTGCTGAAGGGATGCACGGCGTTGGCCACAGAGCATCAGGGCTATACCCTGTCGGGTGTGCATCGGCGCAGCGTGGAAATGCTCGCGGTCGAGCTGCGGGATCTCGGCTTTCATCTCGGCTTTGGCACGCTGGAGCGTATTTTGTATCCCCATTATATTGGCCACTGGCTTGGGATTGACCTGCACGATGTCAGTACGGTAGAGCGTGCAACACGCCTGCAAGAGGGCATGGTGTTTACCGTGGAGCCTGGCCTGTATATCCCTGACAATGAGGCTTATCCAGCGGCATTCCGTGGTCTGGGCATGCGGGTCGAAGATGACGTCGCCGTGGGTTACTCGGACTACACGGTCCTGTCCAGCGAGGCGCCCAAGGAGGTGGCCGACATCGAGGCAGCATGCGGAGGACGCATCTAAATGATTTATTACACTATAGCAAATCGAAGTCATCCAGCTCGTCATTGTAGTTAGCAATCGCACGCCGAATCTTGGAGGTATCAACCCAGGTGACAAAGTCCTCCAAGTTACGAGTCACGAGGAACGCGGGGTCTGTGATCGTGTCGGGACCCACACGTACATGGCCCTGCTCCACGTATTTGACCGCTTGCGATACGCTCTCGCTCATGTGCAGGCGCACCATGACCACCGGCAGGCGCCGCCGACAAAACGCACTCACGTTGAGCTTCTCCATGATATCACTCATTTTGGATCCCGTGTCGAGCAATCCCATATCATACAGTTTGTTCAGCATCATGGACTCCTGTTGCGCACGAAATGGATCGGCCGCCGGCAACGTTGACAGGCGCAGTGCTAGCTGCCGTGCCTTGCCGACAAGTACGTTGTATTTGTGATAGTCGTCGCGATCCTGGATATGGTACCGCCGCATAATCTTGATTTCCCGTAAATTGTTCTCATTTTTCCACTGAAGAAAGTCGTGCCTAGGGTTAGCGAGTCGACGCACTTTTTCAGCAACTTTTGCTCATGAAACTTGAGCTGGCGCATGGTGGCGATGAGCTTGAATTTTTTGATGTGGAGGCGTACGAGATTGACTCGACGCCACGATGGCGTTCAGTGGCGCTCTGGTGGGTACTGTGCGGCTCATGCCAGACATTGACGGATCTCAATGACTACCTCGGTCCTTCGCAAGTGTGTATTAAGCCCGTTGATGCACCGGCAATGCCGGTAAACGATGCACAGACGAGCATCTCTGTGGAGGATGGTGTATATGTGGAAACGTCGACAGGGTCGTCGCGCGCACGCACGACGCTGGAGACGGCACAAATCTCTCTGAATGACTGCCTCGCATGTAGCGGATGTGTCACAAGCGCAGAGACTGTGCTTATTGGCATGCAGAGTGCGGAGGAAGTGCGACAGGAGCTACAGCGCAAGGGAGACCGCGTTTTTATTGCAACCATTAGTGCACAGAGTGTTGCATCGCTGCAGACGCGACTAGGGAGGCCGTATGCGGTACTTTGGCCTCAAATTTGCCTAATTTTGCGGCGCATGGGCTTTGATCTTGTGCTCGACACCTCGCTTGCACGACACATCGCTCTCCGAGCGCATGTGCGGGAGTTCCGTGAACGCAAGAGGGCTAAGATGGAAGGAGTGCAGGGGAAACCCACGCTCCCTATGCTAGCTAGTGCATGCCCAGGCTGGGTCTGCTACGCCGAGAAGGCCCACAGTGACCTTCTGCCGTTCGTGGCAGCAACAAAGTCGCCACAGCAGATATCAGGACTGCTAGCCAAGCGCGTTTATGGGCCTGAGCATGCAGGAGCGTCCGTTACAGGCAGTCTCCCTGCTCCCTTGGCGAGCATTTACCATGTTTCTGTCATGCCCTGCTATGACAAAAAACTGGAGGCATCGCGCAGTGACTTTACGTCATCGGACGGTGTGAAAGAGGTGGACTGTGTGCTGACCACAGGCGAGTTGCATGACTTGCTGGTGGAACACGACTTTGAGACCTATACGCCAACCGAGCAAGAGCTTGCCGTTCCTCGTCCGCACCCCGAGCCCGGCTCCAGCAGTGGTGGATATCTATTTGCCATCCTGATGGATGTGTACCGGACGTGGATGAACGATCATCCCAGCTCGACGCCAGCTATCGAGCAGCGGACAATCCGCTCATCGGATTATACCGAGTACCTCTTGCGCGCGGAGACAGGTGAAGTGCTGTTTAAAGGTGCCGTCTGCTACGGTTTCCGCAACCTACAGAACCTCGTCCGCAAACTACAACGCGAGACGGGTATGAAAAGCACACGCATGGGCCGTGGCCTAAGTCGTCGTGGTATGGATGAACCCCCCTATGAGTATATCGAGGTTATGGCGTGCCCTGGTGGTTGTGTCAATGGCGGGGGGCAAATGCGGCCGGATCCTGAATGGAAGGCGGCACAAGAGGCTGAACAAGCGCAAGCTATGCAAGAGGGCGCACCTGTGCAAGGGTGGCAGGGCACAGACCGTCGGTGGGTGCAGCTGGTGGAACATGCGTACTGGGATGGTTCGGCGCTGTCCGACAATGTTCTGGGAACAGTAAAGGAGGCGCTGTCTCCCTCGGCTCTTCGCACATGGCTCGAGACCCTGGACAAGAGCGCCGCGGCAATGGAACACTCATTCAGCGAGTCGGACTTCCGCACGCAGTATCACGGCGTCGAAGCGCAAACGAATGGCCTGGCCGTCCAGTGGTGATTAGCGGAAAAAGGGACGGATGATCAGGATGGCAACCAACAAAGCAATGCACAGCAGGAGCAGTAAAATCAGCGCGCGCCGACCTGCACCGACCTGGTAGCGCATCGCTCTCCCCAGCTCCGCGGATGACTGTTGCATATCTCTAGCCATACTGTCAATGTTGTAGTCGACGCGATCGAGCATCGAGCCCTGCTCAATCACCAAAACGTTCAGATCCTGAAACAGCTGTGCCAATTCCGCAATGGAAGTGGCAATCTGCTGCACTTCCCTGTCGCGCTCCTGGATTTCTTGCAGGCCATCATTTGTATCAATGAGTGTCTGCTCGCTTTGCTGCCACTGCTTTGACTAGAGTAAGTAGCAAAACGTACCAGTGCGACATCATCCCGGACACTGTCTTCATCGTCTAGAAGCCACGCCTCCCTTTTCTGCGGCTCTTGAATCTCCATGCCCTGGAGCTTGCGCAAATACGTCGATTGCTTTTGTCGAAACACCGACGACATGTGCTGTACACGGGTCGCCAATGCGGTCTGAGCATTCCGCGCAGCGGTGACCTCAGGCTTAGACAAGCGCTTCGACCGAAGTGCTTCGGTCGTCTGCTTCGCCAGCTTGGCCACCTGCTCAGAAGCCCGCCGAAAATCCTGCGTGATATCGTCTGTGAGGTCCTCAATCACACGTTTTTGGTCGCTTTTATCGTCAAAGCTAGGTAGTAAGTGCTGCGCATGGAGTCGATCAAGTTGAGCAAGTTTGGGTATCATAGCACTGAGAATCGCATCCACCTGTTCCGTGGCGTCGACCCATGCTGGTGGGAGGGATACATCGAGGGCGACCTCGTCACGCACATCGTCAAAGTACACATCTTCAGATGTTGGGGCATCATGAAGTAGGGGCGTGCTTAGAGCATTGCTCTGCGTGCCAGGGGTAAGTGAATCTCGAATAGAAAGGAATAGCAGTGTGCGCGATCGAGTCACGCCCATATGGGGTGGACCCGAAGTAGCAGAGGATGAGTATGCTGGTGGCGTCGCTGGCCACTCGCACAGCATCGTCGTGGACAACAATCGTTCGACGCTTCCGTGTGGAGGCAGATCGTCCGTGCCTGCTCAGATCGCCGGGCAACAGCAGGCATCTGTGCTGGACGCCGTGTAGCATTCCCAGCACAACGAAGGCGTGCTGTAACTATCAGAAGCGTACGAATATGCACGCAGGAATGTTGACCTTCATATAGCAGCTACCAATGTGACTTGGGCAGGACTCGCCACTAATCCAACATCGACGCGCCACCCGACTGGCATAAGTCGACAATCACCACATACCTGTACAGCGTCCATCTCTGCCTCGCTGAGGCGCAGCGAGGGTGTATTCCAGTAGCGCGCAGGCAAGTCGAAGACTTGATCCACCGCATCCTTAGAGATGCTGCTGGAGCTCTTCGACGGGGCCTTAGGCGCAAAGTCGCTTAGACTGAAAGGCTTGAGTTTCGACGCATCAAAGTGCGGGCCAGACTCCAGCACCTCGCGGAAACGAGCAAAGTCCTTCTGGATATCCGCGGGCGCATCTGGGTGCGGTTGCGGCTCATGCGAGGCTGGGTGTCAATATTAGGTGATCACATACGTTTTGGTGCCTTGCGATCAGGGAAACTGATCATCGGTGAGCGCGCGCGTGCACCACGAACAAGCGTTGCGCGGAGCATGACTGGCGGCGGCAATGTCCGACTAGCTGCTGCCGACCGGGGGCGAGCATTGGGACTTCGGCCGAGAAGTAGGTGTCCGCCTCGCCGAACGGGCGCCGCGGCTCGCGACCTACGCTATAATGACGGATCACACCGCCTCGGTCGAGGAGAGCAATGCGGCGCGTCTGCCTCTTGGATACCGTGACTCTTGCAGCGCGTACGTGTTTATACTAATAGAAAAAGCCTGCTGATTCCCCTTAACAAATGTCGCCGAAAGACCTTCTACGCTCCGTGGGCTTGTGAGGAGGAGCGGTACGTTTGTCTTTTTGACCCCAGTCACACCTACGAGCGCTGCCAGTACCAGGAGTATGTGAATGGAGTACTTACATCTAGCTTCCTTAACCGCCAGAAGAAGCTCCAGCAGCTCGTGGCTGAGAAGGCCAACAGCGCGGCCGAAGACCTCTAGGTTCTAGATACTCCGTCTTTTACCGCACACTGGGCATAGCAGCAGCACCATATGTACTTCCCACTGCATCGACCTCGCGCGTGCCGGTCGTGGCTGCTGGTACGTCGTGCTGGTGCGTGTTGTCGCTGCGTGGGTCGAGGGCCTTGCCTAGGAACCCAATATAGTACATGCGAGAAGACGTGCGTGCAAGCGAGTCGCTCTGCGGTGAGTTTGTGCACACGCACCAAGAACAGACTCACACTGTGGGTGTGTGCAAAGCGCGAAGCGCTAACGGGGTACGCAGTGACCTCGGTCGCCCCGGTCAGTAGGGCAAAGTCCGCCTGCGCCCGTCCGCTGTTAGGGGGTCCCAGACGTCCATCCAGGGCTAACTGGACCTCGTCAAAGTCCAGACCGTTCGGGCAGTTGACAAATGCTGCGCATTTCTGAGTAAATGGCTGGTACGTACACGCGCGGCTAGGTCGCTGGGCCGGGCATATAGCAAGATGCTCTGAATGCGCACAGGGCAAGTAAATGGGATATTAATGATCATCTTGTGTCAGTCGTAGACAGCGCACCTGGTCGTCAACACCGCTCTCCACCCAGGTTTCGACGGAGTGGCGCTGATCCCATGGTTTGAGCGCGAGCTTGGCAGACTCGGGCGGCTCAATATTCGTCCCCCATACGTTGTCATGGTCAATGTAGCCATACAAGTTCGTATTATCTCCTGCGCCAGCCGCCACAACCGCCGTGCGATCCTGCGAGGTAGACTCACCACCGCATTGCATGCTGTCCGCGTGTCGCTGCTCTCTATACGCTGGGTCTCTGCGGGGTAAGAGACAGCCTAGTAGGCTGTGTTAGGTATCGCATTTTGCTCTGTCGCTGCAAATCTCCACTCGGCAGCCACGGACGCGTCGTTCGCCATGGTGCGTAGCGTCTTGTCACTGACACCAGGGTGTGCCCGCACTATTCCGATGGCTTTCCAAAAAGTATCCGAAGATTGTGCAGAGCGTCGAGGAGGAGGAACCCGGGCAAATGCCGGGACCGGATGGTGCGCCCGTGGACATTCCCGTGGACATCTCGCGACCCAATCCAAACGGAGAGGAGTTTGACTGTTTGTACCTAGATATGAATGGTATTGTACATCCATGTACGCATCCGGAGGGCAAGTCACCTCCAGAAACGGAGGAAGAGATGATGGCCGAGGTGTTCAAATACACTGAGCGTGTTGTGAACATGATTCGACCACGGAAGCTACTCATGATGGCGATCGACGGTGTCGCTCCGCGCGCTAAAATGAACCAGCAGCGCTCCCGAAGGTTCCGCTCGGCTCAGGATGCAAAGATCCTGCAGGACCAGCGCGAGGAGGAGTTGGAAGAGCGCCGGAAGAGAGGGCAGGCCTCGGAGGACGAAGTCGTGAAGAAGTCGTGGGACTCCAATGCGATCACGCCAGGCACCCCCTTTATGGACCTTCTGGCATCCTCGCTGCGCTATTGGATCGCACAAAAGCTCAACACGGATCCCGGGTGGAAAAATCTGTGTGTCGTCCTCTCAGATGCGAGCGTGCCTGGTGAGGGTGAGCACAAGATTATGGACTATATCCGCCGCAAGCGCAGTGACCCTAACCACGACCCTAACATGAAGCATGTTATCTATGGACTCGATGCCGATTTGATCATGCTTTCCCTAGCGACACATGAACCTCACTTCAAGGTGCTCCGAGAAGATGTGTTTGCGCAGGATTCGAAAAACAAGGGCTGTCACCGCTGTGGTCAAGAAGGGCATTTTGCTGCGAACTGCAAAGGAGAACCGCCGAAAGAGGTTAAATCGTCGGGTAAGAAGCCTTTCATCTTCCTGGATGTCCCTACGCTGCGTGAGTACTTGGCCGTTGAGCTGCAAACGCCGAGCACATCGTTCCCGTTCGATTTGGAGCGTGCGATCGACGACTGGGTCTTTTTGATATTTTTTGTCGGTAACGATTTTTTGCCTCACTTGCCCAGTCTTGAGATCCGTGAGGGAGCCATTGACACGCTGCTCAGAATCTGGAAGCGGGAGTTGCCCCGCATGACGGGCTACGTTACGAACAATGGACGCGTCGAGCTGGAAAATGCACAGTTTATCCTCGATGGCCTTGCGCAAGCTGAAGATGATATATTCCGCAAGCGCAAAGAGACAGAAGAGCGGCAAGAGGCCAACAAGCGGCGCCATGCATCGTCCAACTACCGTGACGTGCAGCATGGTGATACGACTTATGTTGAGGTAAAGAAAGCTGCGCCAGCCTCTAAGGCACTTCCGCCTCAGCCCCAGGGTACTACGAAGCCTGTACCCGGTGCCCGCCATGGCAAGGGCCCGGTTATGATGGCCGAAGATAGCATGGATGTTGTAAAACACCGTGCACAGATTCGCATGGCCAACATCAGTGCCGCAGAGGAAATGCGAGCAGAGCTGCAGGGAAAGAAGAACGCAAAGCGCACATCGGATGAACAGGATGGCGTACGGAAGCGCACTAAGGCAGATCCTGATGCCTCGGCAGAATCTACTGTATTCAAGCTCGATGAAGAGGTCCCCGCGAACGACACGGTGCCTCGAGTCGAGCGGGCCAAGTCACTGGCATCGGCCACAGAGGGTGGTAAGCCCGTACTAGTAAAGCCTGCTGTGGATGCACCGGCTGACATCAAGACGGAAGAAACGGCCGACTCGGCGAGCCAAATCGAGCCCAAGGTGGAAGAAAGCAACGAGTCGCTCCGAGAAGAGGATGATTCCATTGAAGACGACGACGATGACGTGCCGCCCGAAACCAAGCAGCTGGAACGCAAGGTTAATGCAGACGGCACAGTCGACTACGAAGATACGGTGAAGCTTTGGGAGCCTGGGTACCGTGAGCGCTACTACCGCCAAAAGTTTGGTGTAGAACTCTCGGATACCAAGTTCCGCCGTGAAGTCGTGCAGGCCTATGTGGAAGGGCTGTGCTGGGTTTTGGCATACTACTATCAAGGCTGCCCATCGTGGAAATGGTACTACCCCTACCACTATGCCCCTTTTGCTGCTGATTTTACTGATGTAGCGTCCCTGGAGATCAAGTTTGCTGACAGCAAGCCATTTCGCCCTTTCGAGCAACTGATGGGCGTACTTCCAGCAGCAAGTAAGAGCAACTTGCCGGAGCCATTCCAGTGGCTGATGACGAATGAGGAGTCGGAAATTCTTGACTTTTACCCAAAGGAATTTTCAATCGATATGAACGGGAAAAAAATGGCATGGCAAGGAGTCGCGCTGTTGCCGTTCATTGATGAGACCCGGCTTCTTACGGCCCTTAAGCAGAGATACGACCAGCTCACAGACGATGAGGTCCGGCGCAACTCATTCGGTCGGAATGTGCTATTTGTTGGTAAGGATGCGGATCTATTCCCAGTGGTCAGTCGCCTGTATACGAAAAGAAGTGAAGGGCGTGCTGAGCCTATCGACACCTCTCGCATAAGCCAGATGGCTGGATCGCTTACCGCGGATTCGGCGTGTGTGCCTGGGTCCACGTACTACTCGCCCCTGACGTCGCTGCCGGATATGAAGGATATTCCGAACGATAAGAGCATATCTGCGCATTATGACTTTCCCGAGCAAATCACGCCTCATAGGAGCACCCTGCTACGAGGGGTACGCTTACCCTCTCGCCGCTTGACACCTGCTGATCAGGACTGGGTCATGCGCGGAGGACGTGGTGGTTATGGCGGTGGCGGTCGCGGTCCGCGTGGAAGGCGCGATGGCTGGGGAGATCAGGGTGTCATGTATGGTCGCGATGCACGACCAAGCAACTCGCTTGGCGGTAGCCCTTACGGTGCAGGGCCCTATGGTGCCAGACCCTACAGCGGTGGGCCCTACGGCGCCGGACCCTACGGCGCCGGACCCTACGGGGGCTACGGCAGCTCTACTGGCCCTTACGGCGCTGGACCCTATGGCGGCGGCCCTTACGGCGGAAACAGTTTCTCCTATGGTGCGCCAACATCCTATGGAGCTGGCCCCTATGGCGGGTACGGAGCCTATGGGCAACCTGCGTACAACTCGTTTGGACAGCCTTATGCTGCATACGCTCAAGGACCACAGGCGCAACCACCCATGAATTCGTACGGATTATACAATTATGGACATGCGGGAACAGCGTATGGGTCAACCTATGGGCATAGCCAGAGTGGCTACGGCGCAAGTGGCCCGCAGCCCCCCTATGGTGGGTATGGCAGTGGCTCACAGCGCTCGGGTCCACGTGGCTCTCGTGGCCCCTACGGATAGGTGGATCGCTGTGTGGAGGAGATCGGTGTAATAGAACCGTACCCCGTATAGGAAATTGGGCTAAAACAGCGGATCGGTACAGAGATTCGGTTCATGTCTATCATCCAGCTAGTCCCTGGTGTGCAGTCGTATGACTGGGGGATCCCTGGTAGTCGTGATGACTGTTTGGTGGCGAACTTTGCGGAGAGGACACCCGAATTGAATCTGGCTCGTGAGATGGACAGGCCCTATGCGGAGCTGTGGATGGGCACACACCCTACGCTGCCTGCACGTGCCATTCTGAAGGACCATACCACACCCCTTCTTAATGATGTTTTGGTTCAAGACCACACGAAGGTTGGACATGATGTGGAGCATATCTTTGGCGTGGACAAGACGCGGGGTGCGCTCCCGTTCTTGTTCAAGGTGTTGAGCATTAACAAGGCGCTCTCGATACAGGCCCACCCCGACAAGAAGCTGGCAGAAAAGCTAAACGCGGAGAAGCCTAATATGTACAAGGGTACGGTCACGCTAAACTAACATCAGACGATAATCACAAGCCTGAAATGGCCATTGCTCTACAGCCATTTGAGGGATTCTGTGGCTTCCGGCCTTTGAAGGAGATTGCCGAGTTTGTGCGCACCATTCCTGAGCTCCGTCATGTACTGGGAGCCGACCAGTCCATGTGCGCGCGCCTACAAGAAGCTGCGGAACTTCAAGTTCAGTTGAACAATGCCCAGGTGCAAGAGACCGTGCGTGCTGCATTGAAAGGCGCTTTTTCGGCACTGATGCATGCCAAGAAAGACACATACGCACCAGCTGTGGCCACCTTGGACAAGCGGCTACGCACCAGTCAAGATGCTGCCGTGCCCTCTGAGCTGTCCGAGCTAGTGCAGCGACTCAACGAGCAATATCCCCAGGACGTGGGAGTGCTGTGCATCTTTTTCTTGAACTATGTGCGTCTGCAGAAGGGAGAGGCCATATTCCTCAAGGCCAACGAGCCTCATGCCTACCTTTCCGGGAACATTCTGGAATGCATGGCCGCCTCTGACAACGTGGTCCGAGCTGGTCTGACCCCCAAAGCCCGTGACGTCGATGTATTGGTGGATATGCTGACATATGAGAGCTGCAGTGCTGAGAAGCAGCGTCTTGAGTCGCCTCTATGGGAGGGAGATGCTACTAAGTCGACCCTCCTGTATGATCCGCCAATTCCTGAGTTCTCCATGTTGATGACCAATGTGGCCGCCGGTGCCAAATCGGAACACCGCGCGATTAATGGGCCCTCTATCGTGCTAATTACCCAGGGCTCAGGCGCTTTGAAAGCAGGCAGCGAGAGTGTGCCGGCCAGCATGGGTCGCGTTTTCTTCGTCGCGGCCAACACGGTGCTCACGGTAGACGCCTCGGAACCACTCATCATGGCACGTGCGTTTGTCGAGCCTAGCCCCTAATAAGAATGCTCATAGACTAGATTTATGTCAAGCGAAGACATTCTATAGTAGGGAGAAAGGTGATGACAGCGAAAATAGACAAGGTCTGAGAATCTACTTGTTAGTCTGTTCAAAACGCGGAGGGAAGAGAATGGGAGTCAGAGTAACTATGACTGATGGCTGCACAGAGTCTTTGCTCCGAAGAGCTCGAGCCGATGGCAAAGTTTGTCATCCTTGAAAGGGGCGGAAGGGAGGGGACACATACCATAGAATGGACGAAAGCTAGAAAAACAAAAAACCAGCGAGAGCGCAGGTTGTCGCGCCAGAATTTTCTGTACCTACAAGGGTATACAACATGTCACTGTGCTGACAAACCGACGGCATCGGCATCCGACCATCGTGCGCCTTGCGAGAAGACAGCGCTAGATTAGAGCACGGCGAGTCGTACTTCCACGCTGCCATATACCCCTGCGCCTCTCTAATAAGCGCATGTCATATGCGTGGACGACCGCCAGTCCTTCGAAGGCCCCCTTGGCGAGCCTTCGCGCCTAGCCATCGCGTAGGTGTGTTGCGCCGCGTGTGGGAGCCAGGGCAGGCCTGCTCATATCGGCGCATGCCAACCAGGACATGTGGGACATCATTCGTTCCAATTTCTTTTATCCACACCGGCGAATATACGGAGTTAACTGCTAGTATTCATGCTGTGCGGGCCTGCCTGAAAAGCGCCGAAAGCGCATCTTCACCACTTCATACCCAACTCCCAGCAGCGACGCAAGCCATCAAGACTGAGCTCATGCGTATGTCTGCAGATGCAAAATTCCCTGCACAATCAAAAATCTGGCACGATGTGGTCGATACGTATCTCGACCTGCTGGAAGCGAGTCCTGCACGCGAGGCCCGGTTAGTCTTTGAGAACCTGGCCACACTGGCTCTGCCGCAAGGGTATCAAGAGCCCCGTATTTTAGCATCTGGACTCCGCCTTCTTGCAAAGTGCTGTAACGAAGATGCAGGGCCAAGAGCGATCCAGTCGGTATTCGCTAGCCTAGTCAGCTTGAGCAAACCTGCCGCAAAGGATACCGCCCGAACGGCTCGCAAGCTGGTCCTGATGAATCGCTTATCTGAGGCAATGTATATTATCGATTGGCACATTCGAGAGCATTGGCACCATGGTGTACCGCCGCCCTCGCGCGGGCTCATGCACACAGTCATGATCCAGATGAAGACGGTCGAACAGGTGTTGCGGATGCGCCCGCCTCCCGAGCCGGGGCGCTTCATTGCAACGCCAGCCCTGTACGCAGAGTATGCGACAGCCCTGGCCATGCTAGGGACGCTTCTTAGCGAAAACTATTTGCCATTGGTGCCGGCACACAAAGAGGACATCACTTGGTTGGTGAAACACCTGACGCATTTTTATACCTTGGAATACGATGTTCCGAGTACGTCCGGTGCCCAGGCATCAATTTATCGCGCATTGCCCGAATTTCTTCACCGGCTTCCATGTGGTCGAGACCCAGAGGCTGCCAGCGTCAAGACGCGGCCGAACTTGCCGCAGCCATCGTGCCAAGCTGACCGCGCGGAATTCTTCCTGCCTGTACTCAGTGAGCGCACCTACAATGTCCTCGTACAGTATGCTCTCCAGCATGAAGAGCAGCCGCAATGGTGCCGTCTTGTACTCGAACACATGATGCATGAACGGAATCCACCCATCGTTCCAGATAATGTGACGGCCAACATCCTTTTGCAGCAAGCGAATAAGCGGCATATGCACGACTTGGCATTACATGCTCTAGAATGGGGTGCTTGCCCCTTGTCCCCTGACGAGCCATCTGTACCGACAGAGATGAGCTCGCAGAGACTGCTCGCTCACCTAGATGATGCGTTGCGTGAAGAGAACACTTTCCGTGTTGAGGGGCTTATCTACCACTTCGTGCAGAGCTGGCTCCAGTGCTGCGAACGACCTGGGGGCGTGCCTGCGATGCAGGTCCTCGGGCGCCTCTATCCTCAGTTGCGTCAAAGGCAGACGTCTCAATCCTCACGAGTTGCATGTGACCCCCGCATATTCACTGCCTCACTGTACCTTGCTGCCCGCTCTAATCGTAAGGGCTTAGCCTTGCAAGTGTGGCAGCTCATAAAGGACCACTGTGAAGTGACACAGCAGATGGTGGCCTCGGAATCAGGCACCGTGCTCATGACTTATTTTGCGCACGCTGCACGTCGGTCCAAAAAGCAATCACAGTCTGATGGGAGCGAATACGATGGGCGCGCGCAGCGACTTTGCAGGGTGGCTCTACAGGAGTATGCATGGTTGCTAGAGCACTGGAGCACGTATGACCACCATCCGCCAGCGCGCATGTACGTGCCACTGCTCCGCCTCCTTCGACGCACAAAAGGCCAAGAAGCAGTATATGCAAGACTTGTGGATGATATCTATGCACTGAAATTAGGCGACTCTCCCCGCTTGCGGCGTGTCATCGATGCCACCCACGTAGTTTTGGCAGATACCCCGATGTAGAGACGCTATCCGACAGGTTGCAAATAGGTATAAGGAACAAGGCCGCATTGATCGGGCTGCTCTGGATTTTTTGCAAGGATCCAGCCGTCTTTCTCAGGGGGGAAGGCTTCCACAGGTATACCTGCTTGGAGTGGTAGTTCGTTGTCGGCCTCAGGTGCAAAATCGTAGATGGCAACACAGTGAAAAGATTGAGACGTTTCCTGGTTCTTGCTCGGAATCACATACCCATGCCCATAGTATCTTTCGTCATTTGTTTCGAATGCAAAATCACGAACCCCTAGGATTCCTGAGAGCACAAGATCCGCTTCATAGTCACCTTGTGTATGGTCATTGGATTTCTCACGGAGTAAATCTTTGGAACATGTCGATAGCGATTGTTGGTGTGTGGGTTCTGTAGTCTCTGGGGACGAGACGATTGCCTCCGCATCGAGATCGATAATTGGCACCGTTGTACTCATTGTCAAGTCATCAATGACGGTTGGCGTGGAGAAGGCAGATGAGATGCTTCCGGCACTCTATTACCCCCCCACTTTGGCCCTCCACTTATCAAACTTATCGAAAATGGGATAATTGTCACGGGACAACGCCTGGAGATAGATCTCATGGCTTAGCGCGGTGGCCCAAGCACTGGCCCAAGCGCTCCTTGTCGAACACGGAAGAGGTGATTCAGAATCTCTTGCAGGAAACCTTTTTGACATTTCAAATTGAGTTTGAACACTCGGTTCCCATAGCAGCGTTAATGAAAATTTAATCTTTGCCACCAACCATCATGACGCCACCCTCTAGTGACGTTCCAGTGTGGTGTAACCTATGTACCTCTACAATTGGGAATGATAGATACAAATGTATGCATTGAATAACTTACAAAGGCTTAACCTGTCCTGACTGGGATTGCTGTTCGTCATGTAAATCAGTGGCATCAGTTAGACATCCAGGCCATAAGCTGATGCATGTCCTCCCCGACAATCATATGCCGAAGAACCCATATCCAGACCAGTGGTGTACGCACCCAAATGTACACTGTGACCGTGCGTAAGCACATACTGACCGCCAGAATGTCAAAACACCATCATAGGCCCTCGGTTCAAATGTACATTATGCCCAGACTTTGATCTGTGTGCATCATGTGAAGCCGATCCAAACACTACGCATCAAGCTCAGTATGGCTTCACACACCTTTTTGTCAAGATTCCTAGGCCACTAAACCAACAGGACTGGGCTCGCACTATCTTTGGACATGCCACTGTATGCCAAGACCAGCATGCATCGCTGGCCGCTACCGACAAATATGCGACAGGTGTGGATCCTGATGCAAAATCGGTAAACGAGAAGATTACTCCACAGGTGGAAGAGCCTGAGACAGCACTGCTTCTTACTGAAGTGGTCGAGAAGGAAGACGATCCGCCGCTCCCAGAAGATCCATTTTCAGGCACAGGGACACAACAATTCGATTTTGTCACTGGTTTGCGCGCCGCCTCTCAACTTGTGGGGTTGGGACGCGATGTTCTCAATCACCCATACTTGCAGCAAGCAGCGCCTCCCTTGAAGCACATAACGGCATTTATGTCGGCCTTGCACACGCCCTCCGACGCCAACGTCATGCCGGGTGTCGATGTTTCACAGTTGGGACGTGCGGCAGAACAATTGATAAACTCCATCACATCTTCGAAACGCTCTGAGACCCCTTCTCAGAACGAGGTTGAAGAGATGCTATCGCAAACATACCGGACCTCTGCGAACGAAGATCCCGGTGAAGTCAATTTGGCGGACGAAACAGAGACATACTATGTACCTGTTGTGAAATCAACTGAAAATGCATCAGAATCTATCCATTCAACTCCATTGGGTGATGCTCTTGCCACCAACTTCCAGACACTCATTCATGAACATACAAGCCAGTCCAAGCCATAGACTATCTAGGTTGCTTTTCTCCACATTGACACATATCGCCATGTCCCCTGCAGGGGCTGAGCGACTAGAGTGGGTCCTGTGGACCACATTGGTGCTTGGGACGTCCTTTTTCGTCAATCAGTATGTGCCGGATCCATATATGGTAGGTAAAAACATACTTACATGTAGGATGAAATTTTCCATGCGCCGCAATTCTCCCGCTATTGCGAACGACACATGGATTGGGATCCGAAGATAACAACGCCTGCGGGATTGTACTTGGTGACACTTGGGCTTCACGTCCTATTATACCCTTTTGGATTTGCGAAATGCACACAAACTGGATGGATCCGTTTCACCAACGTGCTTGTATTAAGCATAATACCGTGGCTGTGCTTACGGATACGTCAGCGACAAGGCCGACGTCGTGCAAGCCTGGCTCCCTGGATCTGTGCGACACTGCCACCTCTGTGGTTCTTCGGATTCTTATATTACACGGATGTGCTTAGTACTGTGGCTGTTTTGGCAGGCATGCTAGCAATGGAATCGCGTCGCTACGGTATGGCGGCTCTCTTCGGATGGCTTTCGCTGTGGTTCCGACAAAACAATATCGTATGGGTGCTCTTCATGATGGGTGCATCTATGCTGCAGGAGCTTCAGCGCCTATCTAGTACACCTGCAGAAAAGATGCCTCCGATGCTGACGCTGGTTCAACATTCATCGACATGGGCCAAATTGGTCCGTACCGGCGCGATATTCCTACCCGTGTTTGTCAGTTTCGCTGCCTACCTATGGTGGAATGATGGCTCTGTCGTTTTGGGAGACAAATCCCACCATCAGCTGGCCATGCACTTGCCTCAGCTCGGCTACTTGTTCGCATTCACTCTATTTTTTGGCTGGCCTGCTGTGGTTTCGTCGTTACGAGGACCTTGGCTCTACCACCATGGCATACTGGCAGTGGTGCTACTACTGGCCGGCTTTTTGGCTGTTCACTTTGGTACCATGGAGCACCCTTTCTTGCTGGCAGATAACCGCCATTACACGTTTTATGTATGGCGCCGAATTGTCAAGGCGCATGATGCCATGCCCTATGTTTTGGTTCTTGTGTACGCGTTCAGTGGTATGTTGTGGATGCGCACACTCGCCCGGACTCGCAATGCTCTCTGGATACTTGGGTGGCTAATTGCTACAAGTCTCACTGTGGTGCCATCCCCCCTGATTGAGCCACGCTACTTCCTGGTATCCTACCTGCTGTTGCGTCTATATGCGCCAGATCCACCCTTCCAGCTGCAGTGGCTGGAGCTTGCTTGTCATATATGTATTAACGCGGTGACCATGACTGTGTTTTGTCTGTATCCCTTCCGCTGGCCCCGGGAGGTTGGGTGGCAAAGGTTTATGTGGTGATGCTTCTGATCTATGAGCCGTATGGCAACACGGTGGGTTCGCGGTCAGGGTACCAAGCCTGTTCGATCATCCTAATGGCTTCATAGTACACGGTATCGCGCCACTTAACCGATTCAGGATGCTTCGGCTGCTCGTCGAAGGCGTGCGCTTCATTGGGGACGCTGATAAAGCGAGAACGCTGCTTTTGCGCCAGCGACCCATTCTTCATAATATGGTCGTAAAAGGTTTTTGAATCCAGGTAGAGAACATCGGCCTGCCCCGCGATAAACATTGTGTAGTCGGGGTATCTCTCCAGGGGAAGATTGACCACACAGAGTTCAGGGATTGCTGGATCCAGCTGCATCGGCACATACGACGAGTACATAACACGAAAGGCCCATGGCTCCAAAATCACGCCGCTGCGGAACTCACATGGGGGATTGCTGCGGTCACCCACTGGTGCACCCGATGAGGTGGCATCAGTCGGAGGGTAAAACGTCACCACCGCCTTGATGCGCTCCGGCCCGATGACATTGGCAGTTGACAGCGCCAGGTTGCCACCGGCGCTAAAACCTGTGATGGAGACACGATCGAGATCAAACTTGCCTTCTGCATTGGAAAAAATCCACGACATCACGTCATGACAATCATGCAGAGGAAATGGGAATGGATATTCAGGCGCTTTTCGGTAGTCCGAGTCGATCACGTAGCACTTAAGCTTGGATGCCACAAGGGAGTTGAAGTAGCGAGAATTGCCAAAAAAGGCGGGGACCATGAAGCCGGAACCATGGAGGTTCATATTTACAGGAAGAGGTCCTTCCGGCTTATCCAAAGGCTCGTAGATGAAGGCTACAATGGATCGGCCTTTATCGCGCGATGGGACGCGGACCTTTGTGACCTTCACGTCTGGGGCCACTGGCGGACGCAGCTTCTCGGTCATAGCCACTTCCACCTCGGCTAGCAGGCGAAGAATAAAGACATGAAGCCAAAGGCTGATATAACGCCACGACCACTCATGATGCAGGCGGCCTACTGAATCCACTGTTTCGCGCGGCATGGCCGTGAACGGAGAGATCCGAGTAGAGTCCGCTTGCAGCTCAACGGCTCCAAAAATAAGCCAATCGTATGCAAGATAAGATTCTAGCTACCTACGAGCTCCACGACGCACGGATCAAAGCCTTGGCCGCCTCTTCCATTTCATCCCGCCATTCAACAGACGCAGACGCATCAGGGAAGTTGTTGAATTCATGCGCCTCTTGCGGAATCGACAAGAAGGAGCGGGTCGTGCGCAACTCTTCATCGACCCCGTCGTGCAGGTGGTCCAGCATCTGGCGACACGATTCAAAGAGAGAGTCGGCTGAGCCACAGGCAATCAGGACATGCTTGGGGAACTTTTCCTGAGGGTATCGAATCGGTGAAAGACGCGGGTTTTCTGTATCCTCGTCAGAGTTGGTGTATGATTCGATAAAGAAGGCCATTAGTTCATTCGGGATGATAATACCGCTGTGGTAGTTCGGATCTGTGCACTTGAAGACTTTGTCAACTTCGGAAATACGGCACACATTCGGAGCAGGGTACAAAGCAAAGCATCCTTTCACACGCTCCGGTCCCAAGTGCGCACTGATCGATAGGGCCATGTTGCCACCTGCACTCGATCCACCGACGGTGAGACGCTTTGCATCGTACAAAGACGGGTTGGCAATTGCATATAGAACAGCATCCTCAGTGTCCTCATGAGCAGCAGGGAACTTGTGCACAGGTGCCTTGCGGTAGTCACAGTCCAGAACAATGCATTGTAGATCCTTCGCCAGCTTCACGCACATGTGCCGGTCCAACCCCAAGCGCTTCAACACTGACATAAGCTAATCATACGTACCCCAACCGGATGCATGCCAGTTCAAATGCACAGGTAGAGGTCCCGTAGCACCAACTGGTGAGTACCGAATCGCGCGAATCGAGCGTCCCTGATCGCGCGATGGAATGCGGATATACTCGATCGTAACCCCGCTCCTATCAATGGAACGCTTAGACTGATACCAAAAAATCTTCACATAATCGAAGATTCGCAACACATAGGCAGTCGCATAGAACCAAATCGTTCGCAGAAGGGGCATGATGGTTGACGACAGCGAGGTGGGGCGGGCTTTCTTTATCGTCATGCTGAGTCAGCACGAAGGGACCTGCTTGGCGCACTTGCGGATTGACGCAGGGGCCGCGGCGGGCGATGAGCAGTGCGCCTGTAATCCAGTACGAGGTCTATCGTGGAGAGCAAGACATAGAAGATGTAATGCGTTTGATCGAGAAGGAGTTAAGGTAGGTCGCTGAACTAATTTTCAGTGAGCCTTATCATATCTACACCTACAGATATTTCCTTAGTACATGGTACGCATGCCTAGCTAACGACAGGCCACAGCTAAGTCTATTAGTGCGTTGAATAATTAACAAAAGGCATGGAAGGAGCTAGAAAATGGTAAAAAAGAAGCCGTCGGTGTCATTGTGTGCAAATTAGACCGGCACCTGCGCGGCTCGCGGCTGTGGCGCGGCTATATCGCCATGTTGAGTGTGGAGCCACATTGTCGTGGTCATGGTATTGGTGCGTAAGCCTAGACTCATGCAGCCAAAACTCTGGTCCGCCAGGCAATCGATAAAATGGTACACGGAGGTGCAAGTGAGATTGTCTTGGAGACGGAAGTGACCAACAAGGCGGCACTTCGCCTGTACGAGAACTGTGGGTTCATCCGCGAAAAAAGGCTTTATCGTTTCTATATGAATGGTGCGCACTGTTCGCTCACAACAGGTAACGACGCATTCCGGCTGGTACTCGTGTGCCTGCACCACCCCACGCCGACTGAACCGCCACCACAACGCACATTCCCGCCAATCCGTTCACCCATGATCCTATAATACCACTTTTAATTTAAGAGGTATCGTGCATGGATAATCATCCGAGCAGCACACAGAAAGAATTTATCCACCTGTTACCATGTTTCTGTCGATCACAGCGAGAGGACACCCATAAGCCACGTTGCCCGAGGTCAATCGTACATTATACCTTATGCCACCGGTCCGTGGCGAGCAAGCAGCCAACGATCGGCGCCAAAAGCAGGAGCTCAAATAAGAGCGAAAATTTAGGCTATAGATTCTACCATAGTTCTTTAGATTTGGTGACTTGGCCGTGTCATAACTGTCTTCCCACGATTTGCGACCGTCGAGCAAGGGTGCGGCGATCGAGCCGTAATATATATATGTAGCCAGTCAATATCGCGGCGATACAAAATGAAGATACAAACAAGATGGAATACTCTTATAATGGCAGCAATATTTTTGCAACACTATGCTGGTTGCCCTCGGGAAGAAGTAGAAGATAATTTGTGTAAGGTTGGCAATATTGATGACGGTCGCGAACAATACAGAGTGTAAGACTTGACTTACGTCGCTGTCATTTAGAGTTACTGGATTTATGAATGGGCAGGGTTCGAACCGCACTCTTCGAGATACGGCGGCAAAGGGTCAGACAACATAATGACTCAAGTTGCGCAATTGAGTGGGACTCCGCCGCGCTCAGTCCCCGGTGGAGGTAGTAAGGCCGGCCCAAGCCCCAGAGCAATTTGTCGAGCCCGCGGAGAGCGGCCAGCTCGTAGCTATAAAATGCCGTATCTGTGACCAAACACATCATCTACTCATTTGAAAATTGAAACAAAATAGCTCTGCTGACAGCTGCCAAAGTTCTATAGCGATTACTGTGTCTTCTTTGTCTCCTTGGGCGGAGCACGGGGCCCGTCGTCTTCGAGGCAAGCAGCAAATATATAGCCACCCAGCACTAAATTTGCGACAAGTGCTGCAAGACCACCTGCGTAGACAGTATTACCTGTGGTAAGTAGACCGCTCTTACCAGCGAGCCAGCGGTCCTTGGCAAGATAGTAGGCCGTAATAGGGGCCACAAACAGGGCCACACTGAAGAGTGCCAGCTTGATGTAGACTCCACTACCATAAGTCACTAGATATACATACCGAGCAGGGTCAGGGCCGCGCTTCGCGACGCGCGATGGCGTGGGATCCAGCGACATGGCGGCGACAGTCGCGTTACAAATGGTCCTGCGCCGCGCTCGGTCCACAGGTGGAGGTGTGTAGGGCAGCGACAGAAGCGACGCGCCTTGGCACCTAGCATGAGCGCCCCGAAACTGTACGTATGACGCACTCACAACAGCTTGTTTCTTGGGCCACCCGAGGGGAAGCTACGAGCCCTTTTGGACAAGACGATGGCTATCCATGCGAAGCATGGCCCATTCGACGCGGCTTTTATTGTGGGTGACGTGTTTGCGAAATGCGACGCGCTCTGCGACGAGGAGCGTGCGTTCCTAGATGGCTCCTGTCAGAGTACGTTTACCAGCTGACTCAGTGCCTATGCCTACCTACTTCTTCTTTGGCACACACATACCCGCTGATGTGCAGCAACGCATTCCTGCCGATCACCGTGGCCCCGTGGAACTCGCGCCAAACTTTCTCTATCTCGGCAGCGCCGGCGTCGTATGTATGCACGGTGTGCGCATCGTCTTTTGCGGTGGCTTATGGGACACAAGCAATGGCGTAGATTGGCACGCGCGCGAGCCTCCTAACGAAGAGGCTGACGACTGGCAAATATGGAAGCCCCTCGACACGCCCGAGGCGTCGTGTGACGCACTGCGCCAGCTCCTGCGCCACCCTGCGCTAACGCTTGGCGAAGCTCGCGCGCCGCCACCGCCTGCGGACCCAGGAAGCCTGCAGCAGGCACGTGCTTTTCAGTACGCACAGGCCGCGTTTGAGTTTCAATGTGAGCGCGATGCGTCGACTTTGGCTGCACGGCCACCCGTGGATCTCCTGCTGACGAATGCGTGGCCGATCGGTATGGATGCGCTGAGCGAGGCACCCAAGCCGGATGCGTGCTCGGCGTGGGGCCGTGCTCCTATCACGCGCCTCGCTGAATCGTGTCGTGCGCGGTACCACATAACGTGTGCTCCTGCTGCCGATGAGCATGGCGCCTTTTTCGAGCGGGAGCCGTACGAACATCCGCCATTTGCGGCACTGCCACCGCCGGATGTACTTCCCATCACGCGTTTTGTGTCGTTGGCACGCGCGGCGAACAGTGCCAAGCGGCGATGGTTCACAGCGTTGCGCATCCTGCCGCGGGTTGAGTTGGCCGGCACGCCGCGCCCTCATCCCCTGACGGCTTCTCCGCTGTGGGTGGTGCCAGCAGCACCCGCACCTCCGCCACGTCCCGCGCACAAGCGCCATGAACCGACTGAGGCACCAGAGAGCGGTCGACGGCGGCGGCGCAAGATTCAAGCGGTCGATCCGGACCAGTGTTGGTTCTGCCTGAGCAATCCATCGCTGGAGAAGCACCTGATTGTCTCTGTTGGCATGGAGTGCTATGTGGCGCTGCCCAAGGGCCAGCTGCCTGTGTCATCTGAGGCCACTACGCCCGTACCAGGTGGTGGTCATGTCCTGATTGTGCCGATCACGCATACGCCGTCGGTGTACGCTGCCGAGTCATCTGAGGCTTTGCGGCGCGAGATGCGAGCGTGGCGCGACGCGCTCACTAAGTGCTATGCGGCGTACGATGCTGTTCCGGTATCGTGGCAAGTCGTGCGCCGCGGCACACGCGCAGGTCACACACAGACCCAGGTGGTGCCGTTGGCCGCCGAGCATGCAGCAGCGTTTGATGCATTTATGACTGAGACGCTACATCGCGAGCACGGAGCGTGGGAGAGCGAGACGGTGGCCTCTACGTGGGAGAAGGAAGATGCGAACTTTACGCCGCAGGACAGGCAAGACTACTGCTACATGGAAATAGGGGCCAGGAAGCGGCTGCTTCTGCTGCGCAGCGAGCGGTTCAACTTGCAATTTCCACGGTACGTATTCGCTTCTCACAGCAGGGAAACACTCGCAAATTTTCTGGATATGCCTGGGCGCGCTGACTGGCGCGCATGTGTGCGCTCTGCCGACGTTGAGGCGGCGGAGTGCGATGAGTTTAAGGAGGTATTTGCGGAGTATGCGGAGCAGGTGACCGGGTAGGCTAGGCAGCGGCGCGGCGCCGTGTGCGGCGGCGCTCAGGCTTGACTTCGACCTTGACCTCCGGCTGAGTCTCCAACTGGGCCTCCGCGTCTGCCTCTTGAGCGTCCAGCTGGACCTCTGGCTGCGCCTCTTCCTCGTGTGGTTCAGCACGAGGCTCGGCGGCCTGTGCAAGGACGTCCTCCAACTCGCGGAGGTCCGTTTCGCCCGTCTTTGCCAGGGCGCCTGCCTTTCCCTGGTGCATTTTGGCGAGGATCTCAGAGAACCGCTGGTGCACGTCTGGCACATATAGTTTGTCCTGATAGTATGGCAGGCCGTCCAGCAGCTTTTTGATCGAGCGCTCTGAGCGGTACGGGAGGAGTGAGAGGCAGTACGCAATATCGCGCCACTGCCGCTCCTCGGACGTAAGACGGAAGCGCTGACATAGCTTTTCGATAACGTTCTCTGCTTGCCGCTCCTTGTCGATGAACGTAAAGATGAAGCGCATCGTATTCACAAACGTTGCTTCGTCCACGGCGTGCGCGCCGCTGGACAAGTGACTGATGATATCTGGCAAGTTGTTGTACACGGCGTTCTCTTTCATGGCGAGCTCGCTAAAGAATAGCTTGGCAAGATCGCTTACGCGCGGCTCCTCATCCTCAAGACACTTGGCCAACTCACCGAGCTGCCCCTTGACCTTGATCATACCGTTCAGAATCAGGTGTGTAAGAACCATGAGCGTGTTCTTCTTGACACCTAGATCCGGATCTCCGAGGCCCGCGTACAGCCGTTCACTGTTCTCGTCCACCAGCGTGCCGAAGCACACAGCCACGTCACCGAGTCCAATCACTGCGTTCGCACGCACGACCTCGTCCTCCGACGCGCGCAACAGGTGCAATAGCAGCCCGAGGTTCGCCTCGCAGTACTCACTTGAAATACACATAAATTTACACAGCGTAAGAGCCGCGGCGCGGCGCAGCGGCGCATAACTCTGCTGACGCATTGTCGAGCACAAGTGCGTGACCAACGGGCCGTACAGCGCGAGCAGACTCTGGGGGCCATACAGCAGCTCGCGGTCTCGGATAAACCCGAACAGCTCGCCCAAGTCGTCTTCAGCCTGCTCGGCCACCTGGTCGAGCTCGGATGCCGGCTTACCGTCCGTGCCAGCCTCCTTCTGAGCCTTGCGCCGCTTGCACTCTCGCTCCACGAGCTCCAAGTACACAATCTGTTTGAGTGCGACATGCCCCACCACAAAGAGGGCCTGCGCCAGACTGTAGGCTGCATGTGGGCCGCCGCTAAAGGCATGCAGGGTACTGTGCCGCACAAGCTCCGTGCACAGCGCATCGGGCTGTTCGCCCAACAGGTATATCGCCTCGATCGCATGCTCCGCGACGCCGAACCATGCTGCATCGCATCCCGTCGCCTCGCCGGGCATGATGACAACCGCGCGCAGACGCGCAAACATGGGGTGCGACATAGGGTACCGCACATTGGAGTCAGAGAGCGCGCCCTTGACCTTCTTTGCACTGCCACTGACACGCTGCAGTGCGATACACGTATGCTGCGCGAGAAGCAGGTCCTTGGCACCGAAGGGGCCGAGCCCGATGCGCAGGAGGGTATCGATGTGGTCTGCCACAATGCCGCGGTCCGCCTTGGCCAGCATGCTAAGGACCATGATCGCTCCGCGCCGCTGAGCACGCGCGATGGGCCGGGTTGTCGCGTACACGTCCCAGAGCGTATCAATGACGGCACGGTCCACGAGGCCCTCGCCATGCATGACGCTGAGCAGCTGCTCGAGACTTGTGAGCTCGGCCAAGGTCGCGCCAAACGTGCGCTCAATCATGTTCCGCGCAATACGCGCCGTATTCTCGGCGGGCGGCGCACCTGCCTGTGGCTCAAAGTACAGCGCACGGTACACTTCAATGAGACGACTGCGCACGCCCTTTAGCTGGCTGCCATCGTCCATCACGAGCGCATGGTCCTTGGTCCAGATCAGGTGAATCATAGCCCGTACGCCGTCTATGGCGCCGTGGATCTTGTACTCGTATGCGACGCGGAAGAACTCCATACTCGCAAGCACCTCGGCCTTGTTCGTCGAGGCGAGCAGCTGAACGAGGATCGGCACACCGCGTTCAAGGCACGTCATGAACTTGAGCGCGTCCGTGCAATACGTGTGTGTAAGCCGCAGCTGAACGAGCTGCTCCTGGTCCGCGGACGACATGGCCGGTGGCGCAAGGTCCGACTGGGAGACGTCAGCCTCGGCAGTCCCCTCTTCGTCGGTGAGGGGGCGCGTCAGTACCGCCTCCGCCTGCTCGAGGCGTGACTGAACAGCTGCATGGCGCTCTGACCACGCGTCCATACTGAGCTCGCCGCCATACAGGGCGCCATACGGGTGCGTGAGAATGAGCTTGACGAGCAGGAGGATTGCGTGGCGCCGCACATGGCTACTTTTGTCCTCGAGCGCCTGCACGGCCAGCTCTGTCATGCGCAGGCGCTGCGCTGGAAATGCGGCTGGTAGATCACAAAGTCCGTTGCACACCTGGACGGCGCGGGTGCGCACGAACGTTGTGACATCGAGGAATCGCTCGAGCAGGCGCTCGAAGAACGCATCGATCTGCTTGCGATGCGCAGGCGTATCGTCGTCGCCATCTGCTGGAACGTCTGTGGCGCCGAGATCCGGATGCAGCGCGAGACTCTTGATGAGCAGTCCCTGTACCTCGATCATCGCATTGCGCATTGGGTACGACTCACTGTCCTGGTGCTTCTGCAGCAGGCTGATCTGTTTCAGCACGCTGTGTGGATTCAACTCAGCCATACGCACGAGGAAGCGTCCATAGCTGCGGGGGCTCTTGGAGTCGAGGCCGGTAAACGACTTGGCGGCGAGCTCGCGGAGCACATCTTCGCCAAGGCGTGCCACGTCAAATTCGACGCGCAGGACCGAAAGAAGCTCGGCCATAGGCTCCGCGAGGTGTTCGTAGTACTGGAGTGACTGCATGATGCTTGTCTGCACATTAAAAGCCTGACCGTGCAGCTTCACAGCGAGGCACGTCACCTTGAAGAGGCCCAGCTTGACGGGCGCCACTTTAAGATACGCCTCGTTCTCCTGCAGCAGCATCACGGGACGCAGGATGCAGCGGGAAACAAACGTGTCGCGCATTGCAGCAGAGGACCACAGGCGCTCCGACACGGTGCGCAGCGCCTTGGCCAGCACGCCGAGCACGGTGGGCAGGGACGCGGCCCACGACCATGCGCCATCCGTGCGCGCACCGCGCGCAGACGTCTTGGGGCGCGCAAAAGTGTCCCTGTGCTTCTCCAGCAGCTGGATAAGCCACTGGAGCAGGAACGCGTAGCGCTCGAGCGGCTCGGCCAGGGCGCTCGTGGCGGTCGCATCCGTGTCGGCCAGCTCATCAAGGAGACCACTGAATCCACTGAGAATCGCATCGAGGAGACGGTGAGCGGTATCTGGCTCGAGGTGACCCACATACTTGATGCACGACTGGGCATACGTAAACGTAGCCGCATCCTGCACGGCCGTGCACGAGTGCGCGACCGCATCGACGACGCGTGTGACGGCCGCAAGCTGCGTCTGTGCATCTTGCGCATCGACCAACACTTCATCCTCGATGTCCAGGTCGTCCTCCTGGAGCTTGGTCAGCGCGTCCGCGAGGACGAACGCGGGGCCGTCCATCGTGTGCACAGCGTCGCGCGCAGGAGCCCCGAGGTGTTTGTTGCGCGTTGGTCACGTGCAAGAAACGGCGCCGGGGGCGGCGCACCGTGTCCAGTGACGACGATGGTGGGTAGGGCGTGCTGACCTTAGGACCGCCAGAAGACGGCGCCGCCAGGTGCGCGCAATGTCGTCCACTTTTTGCGGAACAAGTCGGGCATGAAGACGCGTCCCGGCGTGGTGAACGGGCAGCGCGCCGACTACTTCAAGGGCAGTGCGGCCGTCAAGGCCGTGCTCTCGCCCGAATACAAGAAACTGAAAAACGTGCCGCAGGTCGAGACGGAAGAGGAGGCAGAGCGAATGCTGCATAGCCTGCTTCCTTTTGCGTTCTTTCTGCGCGTGGAGCGCGGCCCTGCGCCGCCCAGTACCTCCAAGGACCACGCCGCGCCGCGTCCCCTCAAGGTGATCCACATGCAAATGTTTGAGAAGGATATGCACTATGTGTGGCTCTACGAGGGCTCGCAGCTTTGGCAGCGCCTCGCCGGCCTGGGGCTGATTGCGCTCCTGCTTGCTGCCGTCATGTTCCCACTGTGGCCCATGTTCCTCCGCCGTGGTGTGTATTACCTGTCGCTTGGCGTGCTGGGCCTGTTTGGCCTGCTCATGGTGATTGCAGTGTTGCGCCTAATCTTTTGGGTGATTTCGATCGTGGTTGTGCCGCCTGGCATCTGGATCTTCCCGAATCTGTTTGCGGATGTCGGTGTGATTGAGTCGTTCATCCCGCTTTGGGCCTGGGATGTGCCGCCGCCCAAGAAGAAGATTCGCCGCACTAAACGGAAGGGCAAAAAGGGCGAGGAGGTCGTGGAGATGGAGGACACACCCAGCGCACCTCCGCCACCCACAGAAGAGGCCTCTGTGGAGCCGACACCTGAGCCCTACGCAGACCTGAACTGACCGCATCTATAGTACACCTACTTGTGCTTATGGCGCGCGGACAGTAGGCCCGAGGCGAGAGCAATCTGCCAATGCTTGCTCAGTGTCCAGAGCCAAACAAGGACGAGCGCAGGCATACACAGCAGCACTGTAAGCACGGGGAACAGATCCGGGTATCGGCGGAGCGCTGGCGCCCACAGGGCCGGCGCGAGCGGCACCGTCGCCCACAAGGCCACGAGGCCCAGCATCGCAGCCTGCGCGACGGCGCGCACGGCCGCCCCAGGTGGCGCGCGCACCGCGCGCAGCACCTCCCAGGGACGGTACCCGATGAGGTAGTTCCACAGCACCAGCAGGACGCCCCATGCCAGCAACTGCCCATCGCGCTGCAGGAGCGGCCACAGGCTAAAGACGCCCACGTTGTTCGCAAAAACGCCCCACTCCCAGTCGGCAGCGGCGGCGCCTGCGCCCGTGCGGTCGCCCTGTACAGTGAGAAGAAGCGTGAGTGGCAACAAAGGGAGCAGCACGCTCTTCTCGTGCGTCTGGAAGCCCCACAGGTAAAAGGCCAGGGACGTCGACGCCAGGGTATACAGCAGGAGCTCGGCGGCCGGCGGGATCGTGGCGGAAGGGCGGCGCGTTCGCTGCCCGCTTTCCTGTAGGCGCGCTGATGTGCTGCCGGCCAGAGCCGAGCCACTGCGCACAGAGCGGCGGTCCGAGCCACGACTCGACTCGTGCAGGGACGGAGCGCCGCCGGTTGTGCGCCGTGTCGTACCTGAGACCACAGAACCCGCGCGGCGCCGCAGATCCGCCACAACCTGGTCCACATGTGCGTCGTCGGTAATCGACTCGCGCCGCACTGACTCGACAGAGGCGACAAAGAGCAAGATGCAGCACGGGAGGATCGCCAGCAGCACGGCCAAAAGACTCAGCTTGGCAAGGGCTGGGATACCCAAGAGGTTCGGCAGTTTCCAACGTGCGCCGACGGGCAACACGCTTAGCGCGCACCATACGTTCGCAACTTTGTCTTCAAAGAGGCCGCGCGCCAGGGGGAAGATGCGGTGCAAGACCTGTCCGAGCTCTGTGACTTGCCCGAGCCACGGGAGCCAGAGGATCGCAAATACAGCCGTAGTAGCGCTTGCCAAGCCGATGAACAGCGCCGCGCCACGCAGGAGGTCAGTGCGGGCGAGTCCCACACAGCGGCCGAGCATGATGGCAAATACGGCGGGCGCATAGTACAGGGCCATCTGCTTAAAGCACAAGCTCAGGGAAAAGAACACGGCGGCCGCCACATACTGCAGGCTCACATGCCGGCTGAGTGTGTCGAGCAACAGGTGCTGGAGCTCGGCGGGGGCGCCGGCGGACGTATACACGTTGGGCTGCCTGGTGAGGAGGAGCGCGAAGCTGAGCGCTGCCAAGCCTAGCATCACGGCATTGTACTGAAAGTGCCCATGGTCAACGAGGATCAATGCGGGTTGGCACCACACGGTCCACAGTGCCATGTGCCGCACTCGCGTGCTGCGAGCGTCCAGGCGCCGCAGCACGAACAAGGCGACAGCGGGCATGTATACGAGTACGTCGAGCACGAGCACGCTCAGGCGCATAAACAACACAATCTCAGGTGTCTCGGAACCACGCGACGAGCGCAGTGCCAGCGCCGGTCGCAGTGCGGGAAATAACGTCGCGAGGCGCCCACACGCATAACTGACCCATGCGGTCAAGGGCGGGTAGTCGAGGCCCCAATACAGTAGATCGTAGCGGTACCAGCGGCGCACGGGCAGGTGCAACGCGAGCTCCATCCAATGGCGCTGTGCCTCAAAGTCGCCGAACATGGGCGGCGCGCGCCGTCCACTCCAGCTGCCGAGTGCCACGGCGCAGCGCAGCAGTACGGCCATGAGCCAGCCTAGCAGGTACACGGAGCCACTGAGCTCTTCGTGTGCCAGGTACCGCAGCACAGTACGCAGTGGCGACTCGGTCTCTGGATCGGTAGCGCGCTGCGCCACGTCCTTGGTCGAGAGGATTGGCCGTCGCGACTCATGTGAGTGCACTTCGCGCGCGCTCTGTTCGCGCCAGAGCGCAATGCGATCGTGTGTGTGAGTGTCGCTGAGCGCGTCGGTACGGGCGGACCACAGCACGCGCGAGCTCGACGACATGGCGCGCACGCTAGGGTCTGGCTTGTCTAGGGGGGGGCTGCGCATGTGCGAGAGGGAGATGTCGCGCTCAGGTGCCACGCGGGATGCAGTGTGGCCCTGCACCTCACTCAGTGCACGCTGGGCGCCTGAGCGACTGCTGGCCACCGGCGCCGCTCGCGAGACACTCCGCGCGACGCTAGGTATGCGCCCCTCACTTACCTCCTCATCCTTACGATGCGTCAGTAGCCGAGGAGTCGACATTTTACGTCGGGCCTGACTTGTCACAGAGGGCGGCTCACGGCCGCTGCCCAGTGACGAGCGCGACGGCATCGGCCGGGCCGCGCGCCTTCGTGCATGCGCATAGCCCAAAGGAATATCTGCGGCACGATCAATATCTAGCTCATTGTCAAGAACACCGCGCGCAGCGGGGCCGGTTGCGCCAGCGCCGCCGTCCCGCGTCATTGTAGCGAACCGCGGCGCAGCGGCGGCCGCCCCGGAGTGTTGCTTGGTGCTGACTAAGCAGAACCTAGCGCGCCGCACCACGCCCTTGGCCGCGCCCCGCGCCAGCACAGGGCCTGCACGCGCATGGCCACGGAATTTAGTGATGGGCTGACGAACCAGCCTGTGGTCATTGACAATGGCTCTGGGACCATCAAGGCTGGGTTTGCTGGGCAGGATACGCCCAAGTGTTTCTTTCCCACTAGTGTAGGGCGCCCGAAGCACACGCGTGCGATGGCCGGCGCCGTGGAGGGGGACCAGTTTATTGGCCGCAGGGCGCAGGAGCTTCGTGGGCTCTTGCGGATACGATACCCCATGCAGCATGGACTTGTGAATGACTGGGGGGATATGGAACGGATATGGAACTACATCTACACGGAAGAGCTCAAGACGCTCCCAGAGGAGCATCCCGTCCTGCTCACTGAGGCTCCCCTGAATTCGCGCGCGAACCGGGAGGCGGCGGCACAGGTCTTCTTCGAGACATTCAATGTGCCCGCCATGTATGTGAGCATTCAGGCGCTGCTCAGTCTATACTCGTCCGGCCGCACCACTGGTGTCGTGCTCGATTCGGGCGACGGTGTAACCCATGCTGTCCCCGTGTACGAAGGCTTTGCGATGCCGCATGCCATACGGCGCATCGACGTGGCCGGTCGCGATATTACGGAGCACCTACAAATGCTGCTGCGCCGCTCAGGGTACTACTTTCATACCTCTGCAGAAAAGGAGATCGTGCGTGCGATCAAGGAACAGTGCTGCCAGCTAGAGACGCAGGGCTCAAGCAGCGAAGCGAAGCCACCCATCGAGTTTACGCTCCCTGATGGCAACCTCATCAAGCTGGGACACGAGCGGTTCTGTGCGCCTGAGGCGCTCTTCCGCCCGGAGATGATCGGACATGAAGATGTAGGCGCGCACCAGGTCCTGATCGACGCGATTGGGCGCGCCGATCTCGATCTACGGCGTCAGCTCTACGGAAACATTGTTCTGAGTGGCGGCACCACCCTCACGAAAGGTACGATCGGCCCAACCACTCACGTCAGGTTATGGCGAGCGCCTCCTATACGAAGTCAAGCACCTCGCCCCCCCGGACATGAAAATCAAGATCTCAGCGCCGCCTGAGCGAAAGTACTCCACTTGGATTGGTGGGAGCATTTTCGCCGGGCTAAGCACGTTTCGCAAGGTTCGTGCCTCGCACTAACGTAGATGTGGATATCCGCGGAAGCATACCAGGAGGATCCGGAGCTAATTCACCGTGTACGTTTCATGCACGTGAGTACTCACATGTTAGACCCTGTAGCTCCACTTGGACCGGCGGCGACACAGGTCCATTTAATATGATTGGCTCACAGCAGCGACCTTGTCCAAAGCCTCGCCACTTGGATTATGTAGGTAGACTACCCCCATCACAGCGTACGACGCCTGGGTCTAGACGCTATAGCCCACTCGCAACGTGCTTTGGCATGGCACTGCAGCGTGGTGCTCTTGCCGAGGAAAATGGCGAGACACCCTCTGACGGATCGTCCTCGTTGCAGCATAATCTCGAATCCTGCTCCGATTTGTTCGATCCGAATACGCTGGACACAGGTCGCCAATATACAGTGATTAGGCGCTCCGGGAGCGGTGCGTTCGGCGAGGTTTATTTCGCTGATTGGCACAGCCCCCTGTCCAGCGGCACCATGGTCCCGGCAATGCAGCACCCTTACACGCGCCCAGCCTTTTTTGGTAAACGCATCGTGGCGATCAAGCGCTGCCGCTTTGGCATCGCCCTGACTCACGGTAATACTCGCCTCAATGAGCTGCGCGCTCTACGAAGTATACCCGCACACCCAAATACTATCGCCCTGTACGATGTCTTTAGAGAGCGAAACCTACTGCACATTGTGTTTGAGTGCATGGAAGGCAACCTGTACCAGTTGATCAAGTCGCGCAAAGGTCTTCCCATGGCGCCAGGCCTAGTCGCTTCCTTGGCCGAACAAATGTTCCGTGGGATTGCTCATGTACACAGCCATGGCTTCTTTCACCGTGATATGAAACCTGAAAATGTGCTTGTCACAACGTTGGGCCTCGGAGAGTATCCAATACCTGGCGCCAGTGCCACCCGACAAGATGTACTCGTGCTCGCCAAAGTCGCCGACTTTGGCCTGGCCCGCTCACTCGACAGCCAGCCGCCCTATTCGGGTTACATCTCCACTCGGTGGTACCGTGCGCCTGAAGTTCTCTTGCGCATGCCCTCCTACTCGTCCCCCATTGATGTGTGGGCCCTCGCTGCAATTACTGCAGAAATGGTGATGTTAGAGCCCCTCTTTCCCGGCGCCAACGAGCTCGATCAGCTCACTTGCATCATTCGGGTGCTGGGGACACTTGGCGACGTGCCACAGCTTCCGAAGCAGCATACGACGTTGCACGTTGGTGGAGGACCTTGGAAAGAGGCCCAGGCCCTTGCGCAGGGCCTTCATCTCCAGCTACCGGAAGGCCCGGGCGTTCCATTCGAATCGCTGGTCACATCGTCGTCCTATCCCATGCTTGTGGATCTTCTATATATGATGCTCCGTTATGACCCTCACCAACGATATACAATGAGGCAATGCCTACAACATCCCTTTTTTACGGTGCAAATGTCCCATATCAAGCCTCTACGATGTATTATGCCGGGTAAGGAATCGGCGGGTCCGGTAACTCCAGAGATGTCAAACGGACAAAACCTGTCTGACCATGGTAGCCCTGCCTTGGGCATGGAGTCAGACGAAGGCCTTTTCAAGACGACGGGAGATACTTCTTTGCCCACATCAAAAGGAAGCCCGGCGGCACATTTGACCGAAACGACCACGGACTCGTTTAAGAACCAAGAGAACGAAGTCACGACCTCTACGAATTCATCCAATTTGAGCGACAATATCCAATCTGATCCTTCCAGAAGTCACACTGTGAGTTTACAAAGATTGCATTCAAGAAAGACATCCCCGCTTTTATGGGGTCTATTACGACCAAGATCCCTAAACTCGAATCCTGAGCACCAGTTAGAACACAAAATAACCGGACTGTCTTTTGGATCCAATTCCAGTAATGACAGGTCAATGAACAGTAATTCCTTATTCCAATCGCACTTTCTCCCCACGTCGGGATCCATTATGTCATTAGGCAAACCCCGCAAGGAAACGACTCATTCAGATACTAAACAGGCAGAGCGCCGCAAGCGAGAAGAAGAAAAAAAGGTCATGCAGGAACGCTCTCGCGCAGTCATGCAAAAGCGTGAAGCTTTGCTTCAGTCCAATTATGGTTCAATTGATAAAGGCACACGTTTTAGCGGTTGGAGCATCTAGATTGGTATAGCACAAGTGGTCCTATTAACGTTCCACTTGCGAAATTAAGCGAATCCAAAACTACGATAGAAAGCGGCCAAACTTAGATCGACCCAGCCACGAGGTACGCTTGGAGCTATTGCTCGTTTTTTCCGGAGGTGCCGAGGTCGCAGACAGAGAATCATGCGATGGTGCCTTGGGTTCCGTCAAAGTCGCAGCCGATACTGGCCCAGATGTCGCAGTATTCACCAAAGGACTTTTAGCATTAGCCTGTAATTCAGCTGGATGTCGGGGGGCAGAAATTTCTTGAATGGACGTCATAGAGGGCGAAAAAGCCATAGATTGGCGCATCAAAGAGCGACGCGGCCTAAGCGGGGGCTCCTGGCGCATAGCGACGTCATCCTGAGAGCCAGAAATAGTGGTCATAGGGTGAACTGCATTCATCGGCGTCATGGGTGGCGTCGGCAAGTTTAGCTGGTTTGCTGGCGACATGCTCTGTGGAGAGGTTGGTGACGCAGACAACACATTCTCACCAGGAGATGTCGATAAACTGGATTGGCCTGAGATTCGGATCGGCATGGAACCAAACATGGACATCGGACGGCGTTGCGAGACCAAGCTGGAAGTAGCATTTTCCTCGGACCCGTTCGTAGCATTAGTTAGAGAGATAGCTGGCTTTACTTGTGGCTCGGTCAACATAGGAGAAGGAAGAGTTAGTTCATGTTGACTTGGCTGCGGCACCTTATTTATCGCTGAGGATGCCTGGGGCGTCTGCGTCAACGTAGATGAAGCCGTCGTGTCTTGCGACCAGGGCAACACCGTTGGCACTAAATTCGTCGTAGAGCCAGATCGATAGAGCGACGGCGATGGCTGTGTTACTGAATTTCTCTTAGCTGGTTCTTCGGCGTCCTTGGTTTGCGGTGGACCAACTGTGACAACATCCAGCTCACTGTCGCGGCTAGCTGGTTGAGCAGAAACAGGCTTATCCCTTGTCGATTGTGACATATCCGAGGCTGGGCCTAAAAGAGCTGCGGGGACTGCCGCGGGAATTTTGGGCTCTGGAGCTGAAGGGGTAGGACCCACTGGAACCATCATCGTCTCCACGTTCGAGGATGGCGGCGAAGCGGTCGTCTTTGGTTCTCTGATCAGCGTACTAGAACCTCCCCCGGGAACCGGCTCTGGTCCGGCTTTGTTTTCTAGCCGAGAAGTAGGTAAATGGGTCTTTTCGGAAGGCTCGGTGCCTGCCTTTGTGGTCGGTGGGCCAAGACCCGTGACTGGTTCATACAGCTTCACCGTCGAAGGTGGTGCCCCAGACACTAGTGGCTCACGGGCTGTCACTGTGGGTGAGGGAGCAGGTGCAATCGCAGGTGTGGGCACGGAGGAAGTTGTTTCGGCCATTGAAGACAAGGAGAGGGGCTCTTTCACGGATACGCTGTGAACAATGGGTGGCGCATGCTCTTGATTCTTTGAAAGTAAAGATGCCACAGGCTCTGCTGTGGGTTTCAAATCCATCATAGTTACGGACGCCTCGTTTGTCGCCGGCGGTGACACAGGTTTGCTAAGCGAAGAAGGCGACGTCATTCCGCTAACTGCAGCTTTGGTTGTAGGAGGATGGAATGAGCTGTGTCGTGGCGACAAAGGCGACGACGAAATTACACTGTACGAGGCCGAAGTTGCTCGCGCCATGGTAGCCGCTTTGCGGAAGTTGGCAGACGTCGCAGACGACGACATATCCGATTGAGGTGTACCTGGTGTCGTCATCTCTTGGCGATCACGCTCCGTCCTGTCCTTTGACACTGTCTGGTAGAAAAGGACATAGGCACTCCCAATTTCTGGTGCATCGCCATAGTACTTGGAAATGTCTGATTCGGGAATGAATTGCACTTCTTCATCGTCAAACAAGGCCCAACGCGAGCCAATCTTTACAATCGACACATAGTGTCCTTGATGCACACCCGAGCCCACATGAATCACAATACCCACTAACTCATACAGACGGTCAGGGTGATTGCTTTCATCTGACGAGTTAAACAAACGGAGGTCTAGTGGGAACACCACTCGGCATGCGTGTTTGATATAGGCGTTAATGTTTTCGTCGTAGCGGAAACGTTTCAAGTGCAAAGCTAGAATACTAGGCGACGACTTGATTTTCATGCGCTTTTCTGCCTCCTGTAAGCTGGAGCAAGTGTCACAGAAGAACTTATTTCGCCCGGCGAGCATCTCGCTTTCAGAGAAGAGTCGCAGACACGATGATACAGACGTGTAGGGAGCAACATTGATGGACAAATCCAGGAACTCCTCGTCCCGACTAGTGATAGTCTCACACGACAGGCAGCGCGTCTCGTTGGTCAGCACACCTTGGAAAAGTCGGTTAACAAAGGTCTTGTTCATATCACCTGTCGGGGATGTCACCGACTGCTTCCTCTGTTTCTTGGACTGCTTTTTCTCCAGATCTTCGCCCACTTGATTAAGCAAGAAATTTAAAAATTCATGCGCGTCATGGTGCATGGTACAGTCAAACAAGTTGCTGCTGTTCCGCAAGGAACCCAAGAAAGACTCAAGAGCTTTACGTTCCACACTATCGCCAATGATGGCTGCAGTGCGGCCCTCCAAAGGCATATGAAACTTCTTGATATGCCCATTCCGCGGGTTGGATGCTAAGCTAGACGCCGTCAATGCCATTGAATGGAACAAATTTGTCAAGGCATGCTGCATGGAGTGTGCACTTGGTGTCGACACTGGAGGCATCTGCTCTGCTGAATCTTCTTCTGGCTCCATCATTGCGTCACGGAATGGTCTGCAATGATACAAAGCCTGAAGAACCGAATTGGCATAACAAGTATTGCCAAAGTTCTCCATTCCAAGCAACACCGACTTCTTCTTACCCAAGTGGATGGAGCGACCTTTGTCTGTACCCCAACGAGACCATTCTGTGGGTGTCCACCCAAACGATGCATAAGAAGAAGGCATAATTACGTTCCCTGGCACACCAATGGGCGAGTCCAGCGTAGCCGTCATTGGTGTACGAGGTCCTGACATTTTCGAGCTTTGCAGCTGCATATTAAGTGGCGAGATCTTCATCGGACCACGCGACTTGGAGAAGGACTTGACATTTGACAAGTCTAATTTTGAGGATGGCGAGCTTAATGTCGCAGACGAGGCCGCCGAGGAGCTCGGCCCTTGCCCGGGGGTCAAAGCACCTGAGACACTTCGCCGCCTATCCAATTTCGACTGCTGCGTATTCGAAGCATCCTGTACCCCAGTCTGATTTGTATTGAACCTCCCTTTCAACGAGAAAGACATAATCACCGAGGCGTATAGTCACTAGATCAACGACGTTAGACCAATCTCTAGTTCACAAGGCCACACTACGATGTCGAGATGCCAATAGGGCCGACCGGGGGTCTAATACCTCCACTTCATGCAACACGGGACAGCCTCTTAGTGCAGCCCGACCCTATTTGATCCGCTACGTACGCTGGATCTCTAGTGAGTCGTCACCATATAAATAAAAGCCTAAATGCTTTGACAGTCCGACCCAGGGGACTAGTGTTGTGTTTACACCGTTGTCATTTAAGCTCCATTTGACACCATAACGATCCATCAATGGTCATAATGGCAGACACCCCCACAAATACTAAGACCATTGGTCACTACTTCATTTTGAACCTAAACGGCCTGTCAGTTTCATAGTATTTTTTATCATTTTTTGCGTGTACAAATAAACGTTATACAAAAGGTAATCTAAAGAGGATGCTAGAACCGGCTAGTCATTAGACATTCATCATAAGCGAAAACAGAACCAAAGGTTCAACAGCCAAAAACGGGTCCTTGATAGTGCACAGCATTATCAAAAACAACAAAAGTAGAATCGTAAGTATGAGGCACAAGGACCTCGGGTATGCACCAGGCACACATGTTGGTCTTTGGTATCATCAGCAAACTCATCCTTTCAAGCAGCGTGATTATTGCAGTTTGAAAGGACCGAAAAGCGACAGATCCCAAGGGTTGGGCTTGCTGCTGTACCACATGGTAAGACCAGTTGTCACACCCTCGTCTAGGGTGCCCGTAGTGGCCAGACGCTTGAAGGCACTCTTCGTCAGGTCAATGTGGTTCTGCTTGCAACCGGCACACTCGTCAACGATACGGACACGCACGCAGCGAGAAACCTTCGGGTTGCAGAGACGAATGAAATCACCGCAAGAAGGACCATGGTCCCAACCCTTCAAAACAGCACCAATGTGGTTGGAGTTCGAAGGGTCCCACTTGCCATTGCCACAGGCAGGGTTCTTCAAGTCTTGAGAAGCGTACCAAGTAATCTTAATGCCATTTGCCCAGACCGACTCCTTCTCAGCAGGGCCGTGAGTGAAAAGCTCCTGGGTGTCCTTCAGGTTGCGCTTGTTCATACCGAAGCTCGACTTGCCGCGAATGTTAAGCGAGCGCTTTTCTTGCTGGTCATCCTCGAACTCATTGTCACCGACCTCAGAGTCAAAGAAGACCATTTCCTTACCGTCATCATCGAAGAGCTTGTCTTCTGCGCGGACAACAGCAACGAAAGTGGCTAGAGCGAGAAAGGCAAAAAGAGCAAACTGAACAAAGCGAGACATTATTCTTTAAGACTTGAGGATATGCAAAAAGACTTGAGGGAGAAACAGGCGGCTAGCGCTCTGACGAGAGTGGAAGGGGAAGGGATGAAGTTACTGTTGTTTTTTCGAACATTAGCTATTATAGCCTGGCGCTCATGGCCTGCCGAGTTTGCCGCGGTTGGGCGCTGGAGGCTGTGTCTCCCCCTGCATCATGTGAAATGGCCTAGTTGCACCTATGTCACATGCACGGGATACATTGTGCATACTCTTACAGGTTGCCGGGACACATTGTCCACTCATTCGCATTAATTGATAAGGATTAGTTAACGTGTGCGTCAATGATGCATTAGAGCAATGAAGCATCAATAAAGCAAATGAGGAGTCGCATAGGTTGTGTTTATGGACCCTAGGGTCAGGTTGATAGGCGTACGCTAGGCGAAGCTGAACTAATCCAATCACAGTTGTGGCCCAAACCTCTTCCTATTTTGATTGAACGTGCACTGCTTGCCCCTGGAACTGGGGTGCATTGCCTGGGCTTGGCATAGGGCGTGCCATGGCATCCCGGTAAGGTAAAACTAGTCATCGTCTCTATCGTATCCTGATCTGGTTAATCGAGCTGCTTCCAAAAGGTATTTGCCTTCTTTGTAACGTTCAGAAGACAAGAATGCATAACACTGTCTGTCAGATATGTCTACTTACATATTTCCATCCAACATAGTTACGACAACGCGAGCAGTATATGTCGCACACAACATGTTTGCCTGTACGCATTTCGCGTTCTTCGAATTCATCCTCTTCCGAATTAACAACCTGCCACATTAAGTAGGCCTCTCCGAGCTTGCCACTAAAGTCCTAGCGTCGTGTCAGATTGTAGTAGCTTACTTTACTTATGACATTTGCTTCGGTAGCTAAATGCGTCTTGCAATTTTTACATACATATATTTGGGCAGAATTTAAGTAGACGCGTTGATTCCATCCCATTTCGTTTCTACCCTGGCTGCTAGGCCCACAGACACGCCTCGTGTCTATCCTCACCTGTCACTGCCGCATCCATAGCGTGCTCGGGCCATACCACGTGACTTCTCCCAGCCTCTCAGCTCAGGCCTTCGCATCATCCTGGGATTAAGTTGGCTATCATGTCACTATCACGCTTCCTCCGCGTGCCTAGCATCCGACAGGCAGGATGGACCCATAGCTCCACCATCTTTGAGCCTTTCTGCTTTCGACTCACGCGCAGCTTTGCCACGGAACCCCACCCGAAGCCGCATGAGAATCTTTCGAAAGAACAGGCTGAACTCTTGCGTTTGCTGCGCGAGGGTGAGATAAAGTCAAGGGCTTTGCAGAATGAGGTGCCTCTTGGACTAGCTGGTGAAGCCCTTCAGCAAGGGTCTAGAGTTGGACCGAGCAAGATCGACAAATGGGTCGGCCTGGGCAAAAATTGGCAGGACCTCAGTGGTCGACAAAAAGGTGAGCATACAGGTGGTGAGCTCACAGACAGTCGCACGCGCCGCAGTTGGCACGTCTCGTTTGTTTGTGATTAGTGCTGGCGCCTTGATCACACTGATTATTGCTTATTCCCTTTCTACAGAGCTCTTCGCTCGCAACAGCCCCACAGTCATCTTCAATGAGGCCTGCAAGCATATTCAAAAAAGTGACAAGGTGCATGAATATCTGCTGGAACCATACCGCTTCCAAACATCATTGACAACTACTCGCGCCGATTTCTCTCCCTTGAACCCTCCGTCACACCCCCACCGTCCATCTCAAACAGTGCACTCTATGCGCTACGTGGATCCTCGTACAGGGGCCGAAAAGCTGGTAATGCACTTTTATATGGAGGCCCGTGACAAAGACCGCCCGCTCAGCTACTGGCAACACGTTCGCTCCGGATTCTTGGATGGGGCGCAGTGGCTTCAGCACAAGGCCTTGGAAAGCTACGAGACAGCGTATGAATGGTGGCAACAGTCGTCACATCCTGACGAATCGACTTTATCTTCGTCGACGGTGGCTACGGACCCTATAGCCACCCCTTCTGAGCCCTGGTGGATCACGAAGAAGCTCCGAGGATTGGTCCATGGGGTTGGTCAAGTTATCGGGAGCACAAACGATGCCGTTGGCCTGTCCAAGCTTGACCTGGCTGCGGGTCTACGCCCTGAACCTGGTACGTTTACAGAAGGTGAGGTGCATGTGGAACTCGTCAAGGACGAGCGCGGTGTGTACCAGTACCAGCGTTTCCACATCGATATCCCTCATTCACGTTCCCCCATGTGCAGGCGGGTCTATTTGGATCGTCGCCGCGGAGATTTGCCGACTAGGTAGTTATTCTCCTATAAGTACGAATACATCTATAACTGCATGCCCTCCGGGAGCATCATTGCCTTGTCGCGGGCCTCGATCGCATCGAATTCGTTGGGCTCGTCCATGCCGTCGTCGTCTTCATCCTCGTCCCCATCTTCGTCCATGTGCTTCCTCTCGTCCGCGGCGCGACTGGCCTTTGGTTCGAGGATGGCATTGGAGGTTTCCACAAGCTCGCGATCTTCTTCTGAGAGGGGCAGGTCGACCACTGCGCCTTCACTGTCCTCGCCTGGTGCGCCGACAGCGGACCAGTATACCAAGGGGATGAGGCGGAAGTGTGCCATCTGGATTACCAAATGCTTTAAGATTTGGGCCTTCTCTGCTGTGAGTTTCTCGCCTTTCTTGCACACGGTAAACTCCTCGAGAAGGGTAGGCACACCCATCTTTAGCTGTGTGGGCATTCCCAAGGCGCGAAGTTGTGGCTCAATGCTGTGCGGAAGTGTCTCGGGAGGATCTGTCCGGCAATGCACTGGGCCTGCCGATAGCTTAATGGTCTCGGTTGCGCGGTTTCCCATTCGGGCATAGTCAAGACGGCGGTAGTCGCTGCACCAATCGAGCACCTCCGCTGGCGGCGAGTCGGTCATGAGAAGGCCCACATTTCCACGGAGACGTTGCGCGATTTTGCCGATACCTGGACGAATTTCCTCCTCCGGCGTCTCTCCCAATGCCTTAGCAATTACACGCAGCTTGCCAAAGAAAATCTTCGAGCCATTCCACAGCGAACGCACCTCACTGAGGTAGGCATTGCGCATGTTGCTAACCGCAAACACCCAAATGTAGGAATACTGGTTGGCCGCATCACGCACATTTTCAATAATATTCTCCTTGTGCTCCCTAGTCTTGGCTTTAGTCTGTGTCAACGAGACCACCTTGGCACGTTTCGTACGTGCCATACTAGCCAGCGGTCAAGAGAAGATTTTTTGTGTGGCTCGCCCGCACGGCAAAACTTGAATTTTTTGATGCTTTGTCAGCGGTGTCGACGCCGCCTCAGCGGCTAGCTCGACGCTGGTTGGGGTGCCGCGGAGATGCTGCCTAACCTAGATGAGCTAGAGGCTTCTCTGCTCAACGTATCTGGGCAAGTAAAGCTCGATGTGCGATTCCGTGCGCTCTTTACTCTTAAAGGTCTGGCCGCTTTGTCTGAAGACAAGTGTGAGCGCGTGATCGAGATTATTGCGAAGGGCTTTGCTGATGATTCTGCCTTGCTTAAGCACGAAATGGCGTATGTGCTGGGCCAGCTAAAGGACACACGTGCGCTTTCCCACTTAGAGGATGTCCTGAACGACACCCATCAGCATTGTATGGTGCGTCATGAGGCAGCCGAGGCGATGGGCGCTATCTCCAGTCCTGCCGCTCTGCCAATCCTCCGCAAATATGTTTCCGAGGATCCAGATGTGGCCATTCGCGAGACGTGCCACCTGGCTATTCACAAAATTGAGCTTGACAATTCCGAAGCTGGGCGCGCGGAGCGCGCCTTGCAGGCCCAGCGCGATAAGGAGCATGGTGATGCAATCGCTGCTGCTGCGCGGGCCGCTGCACCTATTGATCCAGCTCCTGCGATTGTGCATATGCCAAATGATGAGAAGACCTCCTCGGTATATACACTGGAGAATGTGCCTCATTTCCGTCAGGTCCTGCTAGACTCGTCGCTGTCCCTATTTGAGCGTTACCGTGCCATGTTCGCTCTGCGCAACACGGTGCAGCAAGGCGGCGAGGAGGCACAAGTGCCTGCAGTGAAGGCCCTCGTCGATGGCCTTTCGGACAAGAGTGCTCTGTTCCGCCATGAAATTTGCTTCGTCTTTGGCGAGTTGTGTCACCCTGCCTGCATCCCAGCCATGTCTCGTGTGCTCAAAGATAGTGGAGAGCACGAAATGGTACGCCACGAGGCGGCGGAGGCGCTGGGTGCTGTCTTGGAGGAGGGTGGCCAGGACACGGAAGCGATGGAGGTCATGGACGTGCTACGTGAGTATGCCAATGACGAGGCGGCGCCCCGGGTAGTGCGGGAGAGCTGTGTCGTGGCTTTGGATGAGATCGCGTACAATAACGACCCGACGCAGTTTCAGCGGATTGAGTAATTCTCTATGTGCCTACATCGCAACACTAGGCCTTGCCAGCCTTCTTCATAGCCTCCAGCATCAGCTCACCAATCTTCGCGGGGCTGTCTGCGACAATGGCGCCTGCCTTCTCGAGAGCGCTGACCTTCGAGTCGGCTCCGCCCTTGCCACCGCTGATAATGGCGCCGGCGTGACCCATACGACGGCCCGGGGGCGCCGTGCGGCCAGCAATGAAAGCCACAACGGGCTTCGGGTCGGGTCGCGACAGGTTGTACTTCTCCAAGTACTCGGCAGCATCCTCCTCCATGCTACCGCCAATCTCACCAATGATCACCAGACCCTCCGACTTGGGGTCTTCCAGGTAAAGCTTCACCAAGTCCACCGTGGTCGAGCCAGGGTATGGGTCGCCACCAATACCGACACAGAGAGACTGACCCAGACCGACACGCGTAGTCTGGTTGACCGCCTCATAAGTGAGGGTGCCCGAGCGCGACACGATGCCGATCTTGCCGGGCATGTGGATGTGGCCGGGCATGATACCGATTTTGCAGCCAGCAGGGTTGATCACACCCGGGCAGTTGGGGCCAATGAGGCGCGACTTGCTCTGCTGCTTGAGCACGTTGGCCACGCGAATCTCATCCCTCTGGGGAATGCCCTCCGTGATGGCGACAATCAGAGGCACCTCCGCCTCGACGGCCTCGATGATTGCATCGGCAGCACCAGCCGGCGGCACGTAGATCACTGATGCGGCCGGCTTAGTCTTGTCGACGGCCTCCTGCACGGAACCGAACACGGGGAGACCCAGGTGCGTCTGACCAGCCTTCTTGGGCGACACACCACCGACCAGCTGGGTACCGTAGTCAAGGGTCTGCTGGCAGTGGAAGGTGCCGGTCTTACCAGTGAAGCCCTGGCAGATAATACGCGAGTCCTTCTGCACGTAAATGTTCTTAATGGTGTCCTCATAGCTGCGGCGCACCGCCGACGTCGTCAGGCCACGCGAGCTAGCTAAAAAATGTAAGAGCGTCCAAAAACGTACCAGCACGCTGGAACCCGCGGAGCACGTTGGTAGATGCCTTGCCAATCATCATTGGGAGTTGCAGTGTCACGGCACGTTGGAAACCTCAGCGGAGCAAGCACCTGCCAGCTGGTCAGCCTTTGCCCGGGACGCATCACGTGCACTGACACACGTGGCTCGAGCGCCGTCCGGCGTGGCTACGAGACTATCTTGGGGGGCCTGTGCCGTCCAGCAGCGAAAGGGCCTGACGCAGCTGTGTGCGCGCTGTCTCAAGATCTTCATAGTCCAACGCACTAGAAGCCCAGCGACAGAGTTTTTGAGCGTGTGCAATCTCACGCACAGATAGGCCCGATTCCGGCGCGCGGTCCTCTGAGTCCGAAGGCTGCGCCGCGAGTGGCCCGGCCTCCGCGGGAGGCTTCGACGTCTGGTCTGTAGAGCGTGCAGCCATGACGTGCACCTGGGGAGCATCTGTCTCGCGTGGTACTTGTGGCCACTTTAACTGGGTCGCCTCCTCTGCATCACTCACGCGCGCAGCTTGTGATGCATCATCACTGGATGTTTGCGCTGCCTCTCTCTCCATAGCCGTCTTGTCCGGCCCAGGTGTCAGCGCCGAACCTTCACGCAGGGCCTTTGAGATCTGGGCGGCTTTCCACTTGGCGTATTTGATCTTTGTTTGCATCTGCTTTAGTCCATGCACACGTACGTCGGGCTCCAGCGGACCAAATACCTGGAGCAGCTCCAAGAATTTGGAAGCTGCCAAAAATGACTGCGCTGTTGACCTGAAATTAGACCATCAATACGTACCGAGAAGCCTTTCCTTCACGTTCTTCATTGTCCGCGCCCAAGAAGATCTGTAATGCAAAGTTTTCGATATAGGTCTGGCCGATGGCATCGTTCGTTACCGCTTCATTCTCGCTCAGCGTTCCTTTGAGCTGGGTCAGAGGGCGGAAGACATACCTGCTCAAGCTCGTCCATAAATTGGAGCAAGAAGGCTTGCGCCTCTGCATGCCCGGTGCCCTTCTCAATGCCAATTTGAGCCGCGTAATACTTGCCTGGAATGAGCCGTATCGACGTACACCAATATGCTATTACAGGATCCACACGCTCTACCTCCTTTGCGCGCTGCAAGAAGGGTACTATCTCTGTCAGCACGGACGGCACACTCGATAGCATGATCGTAACGCACGTTCCAGCGCGAAAAACGCTATGTACCTCCACTGTACAGGGTTATCTACAAGTTACCAGGCTCGTCCCACGGTACGGGCGGCCATTCGCCGTCGAGCGATAGTACCGACCAGTCGTCCAACTGCGCGAGGCCATTCGATCCCACAAGATCGTCCCCCCTTTGCAGATAATGCAACAGTATAGGGAGCTTGGCCTCGCTAGGGTCGCCCTGTGCTGCCAGCAAAGCCATGTTAACCTCTTCAGCCACATGCAACCTGTGCATCGGATCTAGCCATAGATGTGCGTAGGCCGGCGCATCAGTGGGTATCGGCATGCGTGTGTCGAGTAGGCAGAGGGACATGCATTTTTCGAGCTCATACAGGAGCGCCGGGTGATCTTCCACAAGCGGGGCAAGTTCCTCCGCGGCAAACTCAAGTGCTTCGTCCAGCAGCTGTTGCCGCAGCAGCTCCATCATACGCAGTTTTTGCAACTCAAAGAACAAAAATGGGCATGTATCTAAAATCTGCGTGTCAGCTGCTCATCATAAAGAGGCATGGCGATCAGTCGAAAGATGGTGATTAGGTTTTGACTCCGCATCGCAAAGCTCAGCGTGGTGCATGAAAAGACTCGTCCTTTCGCCTGCCATAGTGAACATACCTCTGGATGGATTTCAGTAATGCGCCGCATGGCGCGGTCCACGTCGCCATGTAAAAGCGCATCGCGTATGTAGGCGCGGGCCTGCATAGCATGCCGGTCCTGCGGCATACTTAGAGCGGCATCGTCAGCCAGGTTCTCTGCCGCTTCTTCATGACCATGCAAAATCAGGTACTGTAGCACGATGGAATCGAGATCCCTGTAGTTAGCCTGCTCACAGGCATGATTGGCATCAGGAAGCAAAAGAACTTGTATCCTCATAAGAGATAGGAGAGATTCCCACTTTTGCGAATAAAGTCTCATCCGCTAACCTGGTCGGACCAGATACATACTCATGAGAGACTGGGGCCCCTAGCAGTTTCGAAGCCCAGGGCGACTCACCCATGGCCGGCCTACATGGAAACGGGTTGAAAATAAAAAGACGACCGCGGCGGCGTGGACAGTCTCTATCACGTGATATACAACCGTCGCGTGCACGGTGGCCGTTGCTCGTGCCGACGATGGCGACGTCGTCGGTGTACTACAAGTTCCGCTCGCAGCGCGAGCCCCAGCGGCTCACGTTCGACGGAACTGGTATCAGTGTATGGGACTTGAAACGTGAAATTATCCTTCAAAACAAAATGGGGAAGGGAGCGGACTTTGATTTGGCTGTGTACGACGCCGATACCGATGAGGAGTTCAAGGACGATAATGTCACGATCCCCCGTGCATCACATGTCACTGTTCGGCGACTTCCTCCTTCAAAACCAGGCAGAGGTACTGCACAACTGTATGTGGCTGATCTCCAGGCACCGGTCGCGGGTGCTGCACAAGAGGCTTCGTCCATCTCAACGATGGGGGGTCAGAGCGTGAGCACACCATACCGGGGCCCGATGACCAAGCGCTTCGACGGGAATGATGAGCCTGCGAATGTTGCGCCTATTACATCATCGGCGATCGATAGCCAGCAGGATGAGGCATCAAAGATTGCCGCCATGTTTCAAGCTTCAAGCGAGCAATGGGAAGAGACCCAAGCACGTATGGCCAATGCGACCTACCGGGAACGCAGTGGCATGCCACGCCGAGGCCCGCCCCCCGGTCGGGGTGGCTACGCGGCTCCTGCGGTCGAGCGCCCGCCGCCGCCGCCCGGCTTTATCTGCTACCGCTGTGGGCAAAAAGGGCACTGGATTCAAGACTGCCCAACGAATGACAACCCCGAGTACGATAACCGCCGATTCAAGCGGACGACGGGTATTCCCAAGAGCATGCTTCGCACGGTGGAGCAATCGACAGCCGAGACCATGTCTGGCGTCATGGTCACGGCTGATGGCTCATATGTGATTGCGACGCCCGACGCAAGCTCCTGGCAGCGGAGCCGCGCGCGCTCACGACCACTGTCGAAAACGGATGTGTACCAATCGGTACCGTCAGATCCATCGTTAGCTTGCCCGTTGTGTAGCAAACTGCTGCGCGAGGCCGTCAAGACGAGTTGCTGTCAGACGTCATTTTGTGAAGAATGTGTCCAGACCTACCTATTTGAGCACGACTTTGTGTGTCCCGAATGTGAGAAGCGTATCCCGGACCTTGAGATGCTAAAGATCGACGATGTCAAGCGTAAACTCGTGCGTGAATATATTGATAAGGCCATCGAGCGCAGCGAAGAGGCGCTCGAGCAGGGCACGGGCGTCGACGACGAAGCGGCACAGCAGGCGGCTGTATCCGAGTTTGCCGCGGCAGGGACCGTGTCGAAGGCGTCCGAGGCGCCACAAGATGACAAGAACGTGCCTGATAGTGCGCCGGCGCCTGCTAAGCCCGCTGCGCCCGCTACACCTACGGCGTCCGCTGCACCCTCCGATACCCCTGTGATGCCGCCTGTCCCTCCCGGTGGCTTTAACCCAGTGTTTGTACAGCAACTGGTCACCATGCTTCAGAATCCTCAACTACCACCGCCTTTGCGAATGCAGGCCCAAATGCAACTGCAGTTCCAGCAGATGCTCTTCTTCCAAGCATGCGCGAGTGGCGCGCGACCACCTGGCATGCCTGGGCCCCCCGCAGACGCAAAGCGCGCGGCACCCTCTGGCGGGCACACACCACCTGGCAAGCAGCCACGATATACCTAATGTAGCTACACGTCCTCTGTAGCGCGACTTAGGAGAAGCCATTCAAAGGTACCGGTCGTCAGAGCCGTGCGCATTTGCCCCTCACGTACATACTGCCCCTGGAGCAGCGCGGCGTCGCTCTCTGGCACGGCCCACACATGAGTCTCTGGCCGGCGGTGCGCCACAAACAGAAAGTAGTCGTCCAGTGGCTGGCCGTCTGGTGTACATGGTGGGGCGCGTGATCCAAAATGCGAGGTGTGTGCGCCGAACGGCTGCTTCGGTGCGCGGGGGTCCCGCTGGTAGTCAACCTGTGTTAGCTCGAACCAGGCGGACAGGCCGCACCAAAATGGCTGTTCCTTGGTCAACGAGCGAATTTTGTAAGCAATGAGCACCTCTGTGGTGGGTGATATAGTGGTCAGCGAGATCAGCGTGCGCAAAAGAGGAGCAAGGAGCTCCGGAAAATACACGAGGTCCGAGCACAGAATATGTGTGGGCGGCGCGGTGCTGGTAAGGACGGCATGCGCCGCGTCATGGTCGCCCCATGGCAAGGCACACACATGTATAGCAACATGCGTGCAAGCACAAGTACTTGCGTTGCGCTCCAGCAGCGGGCACACGTCCGGGAGGTCGGTGAGCACGACGGTGCCGCGTCCGCCCTGCCGATCGAGGGCCTGCGCGGTCGCCAGGCCGGCCGTACCTACACCTGCTCCGAGCTCCAGCACAGTTACTTCGTCTGCTTGCAGGAGAGTGCGCGGCGGGTCCCATGTGCCAGTGCCCTCGGCCAAGTACGCCAGAAACAAATAGGCCGACTCCCTACCATGAGTGCATCGTACGGACCATATACGCCCGGCAATGCCGTACGTAGCGATATCACCTGCAGAATCACGGTACCATGCCTCCGTGTCTGCGCTGGACCGCGGCGCGCTTGGACATAGCGAGAGTGCCGCCGGAAAATTGGGCCGCGCGGCCACGGACATGGACGGCGTCACACAGGTGGACTGTGCGTAAGAATATGACACCTCGGCCGAGCCCCATAGCGAGCGGCGCGGTCGGCAGCGATCGGTCTGTGACGCGCGATGAGGCGGTCGGGCAGCTCAAGGAAGCCGCGCCCGGTCATCCGCCATGAAAATGTGCAGCTTGGCAGTGGTGCAGGTGTGACGTCAGCTCCAATTATCGTACCTGGCCACAATGCGTTTCCCAGCGCGCCAGTGGGCTTGTCGCCGGCAAATGCGGCTGGCGGTCCTTCAGCACCCGTGCAGCCAGGCGCAGTGCCTCCTGCGGCGCCCTCACCGACTAATGCGGTCCCCGCATCGGCGCCTTTTATACCTATGGGGCATGCGCCGCCAATTCCTCTGCCACCTGATGAGCCCGAGCCAGATGTGTCGGCCACATTGCCGGCGCCGCCGACGCCTCGGCCGGTGCCTGTATCGGCAACCCCCACACCACCGCCTGTGCCCTGGCCGCGACACTCGCCTAGCGTGCCTTCCACGTCGGCACCTGTGGGTGGTCCAAGCGCTGAGAGCCACCCGCCGCCGCCCCCGGTGCCCAAGGAGACTGCGAGCGACCACTCGCCTGCACCTGTGCAACGTGTCTCTCTCTCGTCTGATGCCAGCGCCGCGAATGCCTCGCCTTCTCTGCACAACCGTGGAGCTCGTGATCGGCTGCGTCCGGCCATGCGTGAGTCGCCTGTGCCAGTGCAGGCCAAGCGAGTAGGCTCACTCACGCAGGAGCGTGCGCTTGCTGATGCGCGGCAACAGCAAAAGTTGCGCTTACTGCGACAAGCTGAGCGGGAGCGACGTGGCTCATATGTTCCTCACCGCATGGTGCCCCAAGCGAGTCGGTCTGTTCGCGCGTATGTGGACGCAAGCGATGAGGAGCGTTTCCGGCTTTTGCATGCGGTGCTGCGCAAGCTCACGAACGAGTGGGGCTTTTTGCTCGATGCTGAGTTCAATCCAGTCCGCCTATCACTGGCACTACTGCCGACTGGCTCGCTGCATGCGCACGCAGGCGAATTTGCGTCGCTGGCCTCGTTAATCGAGTCATCGCTGCAGGGCACGTTGGACGACCACTACGACTCGTTTGCGACGGCAATCACAGTGCATCACGGTATGATATCGGCGCTTGGTACGTCACAAGACGGTATAGCCGCGACACGGCGAAAGCTGCAACATGCGCGTGATGCACTGGGTGCACGGCGCGCCGACTTTGAGCAAATGTGGCACCGGCTCGAAAGCGTCAAAGAGGCGATGCGTGTGCTGGGTCTCCTTGAGCAGCTGCGCGGCGTGCCTGAGGAGCTAGAGTCGCTTATGACTGCGAAGCAGTTCCTAGACGCGACCCAGCTGCTCATGCGCTCACTCCGCATGATCCAGCGTGCCGACCTGGCCGAGCTTGGCGCTACGGCCGACTTGCGTGCGTATCTCCGCACACAGGAGCATGCACTCCTAGATATCCTGATTGAGGAGCTGCAGAGCCACCTGTATCTGAAGAACTACTGGTGCGATACGCGGTGGCGCGCCTATGTACCGGGGCAGGACGACCTGCCGGACGTGGTGCTGGGCGCCGATGCCCCGGAAAGTACGAGTGCTCCGTCGAAGCTGCTGCCGTTCTTGGGCGCGGTGCGCGCACGTATTCCGTACCAGGATCCTGCGCGCAACGAAGCCGAAATACGCCGCGCGGACGAGGCACGCGAGGCGGAGGCGGACTCCCCTGAAGCGTCTGCGGCGAGCTACGAGGAGGACAGTTTTACGTACATGAGCATGTTGCTGGAGTCGCTCAGTCAGCTTGGAAAGATGGGATACGCGCTAGACACTCTGGCGCAGCTTGTGCCGATGGAGCTATACCAGCTCGTCGACGCCACGATTGAGGAAGTGCAAGCGCGCCATGAGGCGCGCACAAGTGGCTCGACAGCTGTGCGGGTCGAGGCCGTGCTGCTTGCGCCGCACGCGACGCATTCGGTGCTGGACGATGGGCATCCACGGCGCTCGTTCTCGCTCCGCGGTGCGCCTCCGCCCCGCATTCACGCGAGCACCGAGCTGGCGGCGCTCCAGCGCGACACAGAGACGATGCGCGACTTTTTCTGGACGCTCTTTTCTAAACTCGAGGCGGTGCTTTGTGCGCACCGCGCCGTGCAGGAGGTCGCGGGCGTGCTCATTGCGCGCGCGAACCCTGACGATGGGCATGCCGCGGACCGCGCGAGTGCCGAGACGGGTCCCGCTGCACTCGCGCGCGTCTGGGACGCCGTGCAGCACGAAATCCAGGCGCTGCTCATTGATTACCTGGCTGAGGACGCGGAGCGTGCGCCGACTACGCAGGCCGTTGTTCCGCTGGATGTGGTGCTGCGGGCGCCGCGGTACGAGCGTGAGCGCAATACGCTGTTCCGCCTGCGTGTGCCGACGCGGCCCAGTGGCTCGATCAAGGCGGCCGCCGACGTGGTCGATGCGGCGCTGCATGCGAATGTGCCCGGGCTCGTTGGACAGGACGCGTCGCAGCAGGCGGTGCTAGAGCCGCGCGCGCGCGGCGACGAGCACCTTGGCACGGGTCACCGACGTCTTGTCACGCCGTTTACATTCACCGCCTCGGTGCTCATTCCCCCGACGCTCGCATTTGTGCGTCGCGCGGCGCTAGTCCTTCCCTCGGACGTGGCCACTGGCGGCGACTTTTCCCTGTTCCTCCAAGCGTTTGTGCAAGAGCGCTTTTTGCCGCTGCTAGGCAGCCAGGTGCAGACTCTTGTGCAGAGTCTATCGCATGCCCCTGACGCATTCCATGCAGAGCCTGGTGCGCGGGTCCGCGCGGCGCGGCCGGTAGTGCGCAGTGCCGTGCAGCTCGTGTCGCTCGTGGACAGCCTGTACTCTATGATGCAAGCGGCGCCGTTCCAGCACGCGTCTTACACGCGCCTAGTGATTCTGGCGTTCCTGGCATTCTATGAGGCATGTAATGCGCGATACAAAGCGCTTGTGGCCGAAGACGCCGAGGTGCTAGGTGGCCCATGCATGCTGAGTGCTGTTTGGGTCCAGCGCCCCGAGATGTATGCGTGCCTTGCTGCGGCGCTGGAGGCGGACCCCACGAGCGTGCGCGCAGCCGACTGTCGGCGCGCCGAGGCGCGCAACGAGCTGCGTCTCGCAGAGGCGTATGAGATTCGACGCAGTGACCTCATCACGTCTCGTAAGCGGTTCCTGGCGCTAGGTGCGCTGCAGCACAGCCTGCACTGGCTCAGCACGCACCTCCAGCAGTTCCGCGTGGGCGACGAACGTGAGGTGGGCGATGGCTTGCCGCTGCCCGCGACGCCCGCATTAGCGAGTACGTGGGCGGATGTGCCGCGCATGTACACGACGCTCGCGCACACGGTGCTGATGACGCTGCGTGTGGAACTGCGGCTCAAGACGCTGCAGGCAATGGCACAGGCGATGCAGGGCGCGTATGTGACGGACGTGCACAACCTGGAGCCGGACGTGCACGTGGTCGACCTCAATACGGAGCTCGCGGCGTGCCACGAAATGTTCAAGGAGGCCATGCTGCCTGAGCACCATGCGTTTGTGTTTGACGGACTTGACGTGCTGATGGATGCGCTACTCACGCAAGCGGTGACGCGCCTGCCGGCGATCAATCGCTATGGCGTGACGAAGATGCTGCGCAACATCCTGAGTGTGCAGCAGAACCTCAAGAATATTGTCGACGAGCCGCGGCGTATTGACTTGGAGCGCAGTAAGCGCCTTTGGGAGCTCCTCACCAAGGAGCCAGAGCAGTGGCTTGCCGCGCTGCCGACGCCGCCGCCGTACACGGCCGCCGAATACCTCGCGGTGGTGCGCCTCAGTCTAGGCCTCGATGACGCGAAGCAGGTCCAGCCGCTCGCCGGCACAACGCATCAGCCCGTACCGGAAGGGCGCTTTGCCGCATGTGTCGACCAGTTGCATCGCGCGTGGCGCGCTGATCCGTAGTCTATTCACTACACATCCAGTTCCTCGAGGCGCCGGCCACGGCTCAGCTCCATATCGCGGCGCGAGCGCGCGCCCTGCCCGCGGTTATCGCGACGCATGGGGCCGCGTACGCCGCCACCCATGCCAATCGGAGCGCTTCCGCCCCACAGTACCTGCAATGTGGCTTTGACGACATTCATGGCATTCGATGAGCCATACACGGCGGCGCCGAGGTCCGTGAAGCCGGCGGCGCGCGCGATCGGGTGGATCACGTTCGGCACACGCAAGCCAAAGCCGGCCGGACGCGGCCGAATCGCAACGCGCGTAGCGCCCCAGCGCCCCTCGACGGGCGTCTCGACGGTATTCGCGCCGCTTTTGGAGCGGTGCACCGAGACGAGGTCCATGTTTTTCACCGCGGCATGAAACGCTTTTTTGTTCGCACGCCCTGCATTAGCGTCTTTGCCTTCGCCGTAGCCCACAAGCCCGCGGCCATTGCCCGCCACGACAAGGGCGTACCAGCTGGCCACTCGGCCCTTGCCGGTCATGTTCACGACGCGCTTTAGCTGGATGTTGTAGCGGTGCAGCGCCTGCACTTCGCTCGCACTCAGCGGTGTGACGGAACTCAGGTAGCTTTCCGAGTTGACTTCTTCGCCGCCGCCGCCGCCCGCTTGCATCATCGTCTGGATCGCCGGCGGGGGCGTCGCAAAGTGGCGTTGCTCGTCGTTGTACAGTGTCACACTACCGCCATAAGGGCTCACCTCATCAGGTTTGACATGGTGTGTCGGCCCATCCAGCACGCGATCGCGCGACTGAAGTAGCCGCGGAAACTCCTTCAGGTCCCACTTGGTGAAGAGAATCGGCAGCGCCCGCTGCATCGCGGACGGCGCCGTCTTGCGCACAGCTACCTGCGTAGCCTCAGTCGATTCGTGCCGCACCATGGGCCGCACAGCTGCCACAGCACGCGCAGCCCAGCCACGCCCCTGCGCCAGCAGCGTCATCGTGGGGCTCGCTGCGAAGGCGGCCGGCCGCGAAGACGAAGGCCCTCACGTGACGCGACACACGGCGTGACGTGACAGCCCTCCGCTGGGTACGCTGTCATCGTCTCTGACCCTGGCGCCGAGCCCATGCAGGATACACCCGTATCCTCCCCGCCACTGCGCGCGGGGCTGGCGACTGCGCCTGAGGTTAATACACAACCTATGCATATGGCCCGCGCCGGGTCGCTCGATGGCGCAGCGAGCGACGCACATCGGCGCCCGAGCGACCCTCTCGTCACGGCGGCTTCTCAGACGAGCTCGGTCCCGTGGCATGCGTTTGCGCCTGTCGGCTCCAATCTTTCTACACAGCCCTCGCATGCCATGCTATTCCTCCCATCCGACGGCGGCGTCGAGTCGGTGACCCTGCCGCCTCGGCCGCTTTCGGCCGCGGATATGCGCGCCCCGTCGTTCGCCCGGCCAGAGTCGCATACTCTGTCCACGAACAACACATCCCCCCGCAGTACGTGCCCTGCTCCCCTCTCACGCGCGAACTCGCCGTACCTGCGCCGCACGCGCCGCGAGGAGGCAGACGACCCGTCGCGTGTGACACTTCATGGGGCCGCAGCTGGGGCGCACGCCGCTGGCGACGAGCGCACGCAACTTGTCGTACACAACCTGCCGCCGCATGTGCGTTGGCAGGACCTCAAGGATCTTTTTCGCCGCGCAGGCACTGTGCTCCGCGCCGATGTCCATCTGAATCCAGATCCACGTGTAGGCGCATGTATCGGCACGGTGCTCTTTGCCACCGAGTCAGACGCTCATCGCGCGATCAATACACTCCATGGATACACGTGGCATGGACGCATTCTCGAGGTCGTGCTCGATCACGAGCTTGTGACGTCAGAGACGGACCGTCGTTCTTCACGCGTGGGTCTAGAGACCGAGGGTCTTGTCGCCCGCACGGCTGCTGTGGCCCAGCCGATTTCACGAGATGGTGCCCCGGGTATGCCCGATGCTTTGGCGCCAGGGCATGGCCTGCCACCCCGTGCATCGGGCGATGCTTGGCCTGCGGTGTCATTGCCGTTCCCTGGCCGCGTGTTGTTTGTCGGTAATTTGCCCTTCCACTGCCAGTGGCAGGACCTGAAAGATCTGTTTCGTGCGGCCGGCAACATACAGCGTGCCGATGTCGCGCTGAACGCCGAGGGCCGCAGCCGTGGTTTTGGTACTGTGCTCTTTGCGTCGCCAGAGGATGCCCAGACGGCCGTACGCCTATATCACGGGTATGAGTACAGTGGGCGCACGCTCAAGGTCCACTTTGACCGGCACGCACACTATGGCCCCTCGGTGCCCGGCGTCCCCACGGACCCGTCGCAATACACGGCCGCATTCCAAGTGGCGGGCCCCACGACGCACGCGAGTGGGCCGAATGGGCCGCCGCTCCCCCTTGGCATGCTCGATGGTCGCGACGCCTGGGCTGCGCCGCCATCGGATCTTGCGCCGCGCGGTGCCGGTGTGCCCCATCCTGGACGGATTGCACTGCCGCCACTCTCGTTCCCGACGCCCGCACCTGTGACGCCCGGTGTCCCCCTGACACCCGGCATGCCCAGCTTCCTGATGCGCTCAGTGCTAGAAACGCCCCCCATATACCCCTACATGATGAGCCCCGGCGTCGCCTTTACGCCGGCGGGTATGCCTTACGTGAGTGCGGCACCTGGCGGCCCGGCGGATGCATCGATGGGCCTACCGAGCTACATGCACCCGGGCGTGGGTGGTTTTATGCCGGCCGGCACCGGCGTCTTGCCGCCTACGCCTCACTGGTCGCAGCAGCCAGCGCGACCGCGAGCGCGCACAGGCTCTGTGTCGCACACGACTGCGAACCGCGATGCTCCTGCCCCTGTGGGAAGTCATCGTGCAGGGCCCGTGCCTGGCGAGTATCCGTTCCCCGTGGCCCCTCAAGAACAGTCTGCTGAGGCCACGGATGCGCCTCCTGACGATGAGAGTGCGACTGCAGATGCCGACGGAGCGAGTATGCTGCCTAGCACGCGCGACCTGACGAATGCGATCGCCAAACTGAGTGTGCGTGGCACGGCACGTGCCAAGCAGGCTCCCGACGATCTCGGTGAGCGTGCCGCGGCGGGCGAAGCCTTGTCGCGTCTACGGCGCGACTTGGCCGCTAAGGAGGTTACGCGTTCGGCCATCCCGGACGCCGAATAGCGTAGCCATGCACGGTTGCACGTACGTGAGCATCTCCCGGGTCGTCAGGAAACATTGGCTGCGGTCAGGTGAATAGACGTACCGACAAAAGCCATTCCTCCAGCTTGGTATACGTATAGTGGCGCGCCTCGGCCAGGGGAAAAAAGGAGAGATCGCGCTCGGCAAGATGCGGGCGATGATGGCTAAAGAAGACGAGCACCTGCGCGTTAGGACGCGCGGCCAAGCACCGATCGACCGTGTCAAGCAGAGCAGGGTGAGCTTGGTGATTAAAAATGAGATCGGACATGAGAATCAAATCAAAGCCTTGCGGCGCATGTGCCAGGAGGGGTGTTACGTCGGCGCCCCATATATACCCTTGCGCCACGGTACGTGGGGCCGTGCACCCATTTTGTGCGAGGTTGTGCGCGAGATTCTTCATCAAGTCAGGGTCAGGGTAGTCGGTGGATACGACGCGCCGTGCGCCCAGCTTGTCGCATACGATGGACGGTAGACCAGACGCGGCGCCTAGTTCAAGCACATCCTTACCGGCCACACACGTGCAATGTGTCTCGAGGAAGCGCGAGAGTGTGGGCGCTGCATTCCACAGGTAGTGGCCCCACAGGGGATGCGAGCCGACGAGCTGCAGTCGCACGTGTGTGCCATTCTCCATGGTATGGGTCGCCTCAGTGGGCGGCGGCGTCGGTGGCCGAAAGCCGGCCGGCTCTTCAAAAAGCGCCCAGTCGCCAGGCGTCGTCTCACCGTCGTCACTCATACCGTCGTCGGCGTGCCATCTCCGTCGTACGCTCGTCGCATCACGTGCACACATGCGTTATCTGATGAAGCATCAGCCCACCGCCGTGGCCATGTTGCGGGGGTGGCGCGCCCTCTCTGCGTACGAGAATGCACCTCTCTGAGAGCGCGATGATAGAGCCACAGCCTCTTCCGGCTACAGACCCGCAGAACATTGTGCAGCCTACCAAGGAGTGGGTCCTCCCAGCGCGATGCAAGCCAGGTCGAAAGCTCTCGAACAATGTGCCCATGACCAAGCGCAAGGCGCAAAATCGCGCCTCACAACGGGCTTTTCGCGAACGCAAGAATGCGTACCTTGTTGAGCTTCAGCAAAAAGTTGCACAGTTTGAGGCCCGCGAGGTCGAGGCTAATATTCAGATGCAGCACATCGCACTCCAGTACCGCCAGGAAGCTGAGGCGCTCCGAGCCGACAATGCGCGCCTCACACAGCAATGCCGCGAACTCGTCCAGCAGGTACAAGTGCTGCAGCACACCGTAAAGAACCAGAGTGACGAAGGCAGTACGCCGCACACTCGCAAGGCGCCGCAATCGTCTAGGAGCTGCTCCCCAGCGAAGCGCGCGTCCATGTCGCCCTCCCCGCCAAGGGCACCGGTGCCAGCCGCTCTGCCTTTGCCCCGTCCGCTGGCGGACGATGAGGAAGACGTACTGGATATTGACTGTATATTTTGTCCGGGCAAGAGCCAATGCGTATGCCGCGGCCATGCCCTTTTGCCTGTGGACGACGCGAGTCCCACGCTAGGAACATCGTCTGCCGTTGCTCTACCGGTCCGATCCATGACACAGAAACGTTTATGGTACACAGTGGACTCGACGGGCCAGATACCCCGCCCCAGCCCTCCAGCCCCGGCCTCGTCCTCACTCAAGTCGCCACCACATCCGGGCTATGTGCGCATTCGACGGCGCACGCACAACTCTGCAAAACCTTTCACACACTTATGGATGACGCGGCCTGCCACACGTTCGTGCACAGGCGATCCACAGACGTGCGACGCGTGCCAATCGGATCCGCAGCTGCAGGAGTTTTGCCGATCCGTTTCACAACATCCCGTGTCAGCGGCACGTGGAACGCAGGCCCACGAAAGTGTGCCAGCGGCTTTCCAGAGACTTCAGCGCCATCCAAACTTTCCCAAGAGTCGCGCTGGTCTCGACATACTGGCAGAAGTTGTCTCGCACGACTCAGTTGGCGATGCCCCCAGGGCAGGGCCGCAAGATGCGCTCAAGACCGAGCGGTCTTCCATCCTTGTGAGCACATCGGCTGTGTCCGAGGCACTGGCCCTCCTTGACAAGCGGGCGCCTGATATAGCTTGCCCTTGCCCGTGGGCCCAAACCTCATCGCGGCTCCCTTGGCCTAGGTAGATTACAGATTGGCTCGGAACTGGAGGGACGAATCATCAGGTGCATACGGATCGCGCCAATCTGCACCCATGCCAGGCTCCGTGTTGTTGCTAGGCACGAAGGAAAAGTCCCATGGACGCTCCTCGCCATGCGGTAGGAACGATGTGTGTCCGTGGTATATCGGCCGCCAAATATCTCCGGAGCGTACGTACTTGCTCACACTCGCGGTCGCCGCACGTACTTCCAAATGTGCGACATCCTCGTACGAGCTTCTCGTTTGGAGCATGCGCCCTAAGGCAATGGCTGGCGCCGCATGTGTCACGAACATGACGCGCTCGACATTCCAAGATTGGCAGCGCTTTTCGATGCGGTGCATGACCTCTCTCATACGTAAATGAAGATGCTCTTGGCTCTCACCCATCGGATCAGGATACAGTAAGGGCGTCCAACGCGTGTCAACGCGTGGAAATAGGCGCACCACATGCTCGGGCGCCCTAGGACTCGGATGCCGTCCGGTGGAAGCGGGCCAGACAGGTGCAAACCACTCAGCCAGACCAGGCTCAACTACGAGCGCGATATTTGGCAGTGCGTCAGCAATCGGCATCGCCGTCCGCAGGCACCGAGTGTAGGGCGAGCACACGAGGAGCTGCGGCTGCTCATTGGCGGGCATAGCAGCAACGAAGTGGGCCAAGTGCTCTAGCTGTTCCTCGCCACGCGCCGTAAGCGGAGGATCGCGTGCAACGTCCGACGCCAATCCGAACATATTGTGATTCATGCGGTGCGCATGCCGCACAACATACAGCGTCGTCAGCATAGCAGAGCGTCAAGCCATCACGCTCAGTCCTACCTCCACATATACCGCTTGCTGGCGCGGCTACCAACACCTTGCGTGCCTTAAGATGGACGCGTTTCTAGCGGCGCATGCACCCAATGCGCGTGTTGATGGGCGACCTTGGATCACGCTGACCTTTGCACAGTCTCGGGATGGCAAAATTGCCGGCGCACAGAAGCAACCACTACGTCTCAGCGGCCCCACGAGTATGCAAATGACACACAAACTGCGCGCTGCGCATGATGCCATTCTTGTGGGCATAGGTACGATACTTATGGATAACCCACGTTTAAATGGTACGTGGCGCTGCTAATAATAGTGCGTCTGGATGGGTACCAAGGACCCTCGCCTCGGCCTGTGGTGCTGGATAGCTACCTGCGAACACCACCCTCCTGCCGGCTGCTGCAAGTAGCTAGGCCCCTTCGCCCCCTCCTAATCGCAGCTGAGCCTCGTGCAGATGAGGCTGATGCATGGAATGCTCGTCGCCATGCTCTGGAGGCAGCGGGCGCACATATACGCACTGTGCCGCGGCATGGTACGACGCTAGCCTGGGACGCGATTCTCAAGGTTCTAGCCTCTGAAGGCGTACATGCGCTTATGGTTGAGGGCGGCTCAGGCGTTATCGACAGTCTATTGCAAAGTCGTGTCGTACCTGATGTGGTGATTGTTACCGTGTCGCCTCTCGTTGTGGGGGAGCTTGGCTATGGGTATACAACGCGGTTGTCGGATCAGTCGGCCTGGCAGTCTGTTCAAACGCTTGCCCTAGAGCCTGATACCATAGTGGCATGGAAGTACCAGCCCTAGAGTGGCGAAAATATGCTCGATACGAGAGTCGTCGCTTCGTTCATACGAGCGCGCTCTTCAAAGAGCCGTCGAGATGTTGCGACTATATCGTCAAGCGAGAGTTCATGATCCTTGCACACAGGAAGGCCTGCAAGTCCTGACGTGGTGAGATACTGGGCTAGCGACGCCAATTGCTTTTCAGCTCGGTCGAGTGCGCCATAGACGCTAGTCGCGTCGGCCTCGTTCGCCAGTGAGTAGGTACTGGGGTGAGTGTACGAGTACATACATGCGATTAAACAGCTCGTCCATCGCGCGCTGTGTCTGCGGAAGATGTATGCTAGACAGAGAATCCAGAGACTCTGATATCGACACGGTATGGGTAGGGTCCGGCAAGGCTGGTAGCAAGGCTGTCGGCTCTCCAGCCGGTGGTGTCGGTGCCCCGCTCATTCGTGGATGTAGTAGCTTAGTCAGCGTGATCGTTGCCCTGGGCGGGGACGAGTGCCGATCGATCGCGTCGGGCGGCCACCGATGAGCGAAGTGTCAGGCAAGAGCGCAGACGGCCCAGAGAGGCTGCCCGCTCTGCCTGATATGCGTCTCGAGCAGTTTTTTCTAGCCACATTGCGCGGACATATATTTTTGGATGATAGGGTCGCCGCTGACCAGCATGGCACGCCCAACACAGCGTGGGAGCGTGTAGCACACATTGCATGGTGCGTACTACTCACTGACGCAGGTGGCCACTGTTGTATCAACTCTTCTGGGAGCAGATCGTCTCTCCGATTTGGCAGGGCATGTTGTGGGGGCTGGGCGGTGTGGCGCTGTACCATGCGAGATTTGTATTTGCCAAGGTGCATGCCCAGCGTCCGCCCCCTGTTACACCAGGTCGCTCTGCCAAGCCATTCCTTTCTCAGCTACTCGCGCGGCTAGGACTTGGAGGTCTCGCTATTTAGGACCTAGGTGCTCGTCGCACCACCGGCCTGCTCCGCATGTGTCTTCACCTCATTGGTACAGTCAGCAAGTGCCTGCAGTTTACCCAGGCATTTGCCTGTTAATTCTTCATCGGACGCGTGCCTATTCACCAAAAGGCACTCGTCGTAGTCACGGATAAGGTGCCCACACTGCTGTTTCATCGTCTGCAAGAGGGGCACGGCCTGGGCTGCACAGTCCGCCAGCGCTTGTTGTTCCTTTACGCATTCTGCCTGGTTTCCTTTGCTGGCCAGTATGCAGCGTTGGAACGTCGCTCCCGTGAGTCAGGTACACGTACATAACGGTCCTTGGCAATGCTTGCCGACCGTTTCCATCATCGGCTCCATGGACGAAGTGGAGGAAGAATGGTCACACGTGCATGAGCTACGGGGTCAGTACGTCCGCAGGTCGCGGTCGGTTGTGTCTTCTATCTCAGATCGTGTGACGAGTGTTTGGCAGTAGGCCTTTCGCATGTGATAAAGCCGCTGGAACATAGCCGCATGATCATGTAGCATATCGAGTCCACCATGCGGGGTATGTGTCAACTGGCGCCACAAATCGTAGCGCGACAACATATCCTGCACAGTATCGGCAACGATCGGCAACGACACATTCATGCCCGCTAAAAAATCGAGCAATGTAACGCCTCCAGGTGCCATATCGCGCACTAATGCTTGGACCTCCTGTGCCATTGGCAATACGACCACCAGGGCCAAATACAATGCCGCCACGGCCAGCACATACGGCGGCTGTTCGAGGGGTAGACTAGATCGATACATGTCGTTGACGATGGACCAGCTCGCCTGGCGCAAGGCTGCCTGCATCTCGTCACGATGGTTGGTATCCATCTTGACATAGCCCACACATGCGTCACAGAGTGTCATTAGGGTATCGTACGGGTGAAACACCAGTAGGTCAAAATCCAGCTCCTCGAGCAAGTAGAACTCCATTTCTGCAATGGTTGGGATATGATTCGGAAGCTCATGGTAGCCAAGTTCCTGCATCATTCTGCTCGCCTCGGCGCAGAGAACACGGATTCGCACTGGCGCCTCTTCCACTTTGCTCGCTAGGTACATGCATGTCACCAGCACTAAAATCGGATCTGTGCTTGCATAAGAGTTCTTAGAATAAAAACGCTGAAAGTACACAGTGCCTGTCGCAATAACACGCTGTCGAGTTTGCAGCCGCTGGCCCAACATACTGATGACTGTTCGTCAGCGTGGTTTCGACGTACTATTGATACACCATACTGTAATGCCCTCCAGCTCCAGCGGATCAACATACCTGCGATCCTCTTCACGAGCTGCCTCAACGTCCGCATGCCGCAGGAGCCAGCGCTTACATTGGGACGACTCCCAATAGTTGGCCGCCATCACCCCATGAAGGCGGGCGCCTGAAGCGTTGCATCGCAGGTGGAGGCCTACTTTCCTGGGGCCATGCATGACGGTGGGCTTGAAGCGAAGCATCGAGGCGTCGCCGCCGCATAGCCCCACCCTTGAGCCGCGAGATGCTAAGGAAGAAGAGTGGCAGCTCTTCCAGGCGACTCAGGCAAGCCTGGCTGTGTTTCCTTGTCCCGTGTGCGGCCATTCGTTTGCACAAGTGGATATCGATCGGCATGTGAATGCGTGCCTGGATCAACCAGGCCCTTCGGCGGATCGTGCCTCTACGCGCAAGGATGAGATGCTGCATGAAAATTCACCCAAGTCGTGTGGTACACGTGGGTCGCCGTCTGCGCTGACATCTGCATGGGCGGCCTTGTTACCGGGTCGGCAAAAACAGCCAGCCTCGCGCACGGGGAGAGTGCCCTTTTACAAAATACTCGAAGGCATGCCACTTGCTGTGGACGCGTTCCGTTACGGAGCAATTGACGGGTGTGAAGGATACTTTCTTACTCATTTCCATTCGGATCACTATGCGGGATTGTCTTCTCGGTGGAAGCACGGCTTAATATACTGCTCGGAAGAAACGGCGCGTTTGGTGAGAAAGCGGCTGAAGGTTGATCCATCCTGGCTTCGACCTCTTCCTATGAATTTACCTCAACTCATTCCGCGGTCCGGCGGTGTGTCTGTGACTTGCATCGATGCTAATCATTGCCCCGGCGCGTGCTTGTTTCTTTTTGAGGGGCCTCGGACTGTGCATGTATATGGGAATCATGCACCGGGTCGCATTGTGCGGTACCTACATTGCGGAGACTTTCGCGCATGCCCTGCACAGACAGCGCATCCTGCCCTGCAACGGCCAGTGGATATTGTCTACTTGGATACAACTTACTTACACCCGCGGTACAATTTCCCCGCCCAGGCACAAGTCATACAAGCTTGCTCTGCTATGTTATTGAATCGTGCTCCAAGCACCACTCTCTCCGACTTTTGGCGCGGCCGCTCAGAACCTGAGGCCTTCGAGCAGTTGGTGCTAGTCGGCACATACTCTTTGGGCAAAGAACGTCTGGTGAAGCAACTCGCACAAAGCTTACAAACCTCGATATTTTGCGCGCACGCCTCTCGACATGAGACGCTCCTGGAGCTGGATGATCCCGAGCTACAGGGCATGCTTACACGTAATCCGCAAGAGGCGCGGGTGCATGTGGTTTCCTTGCACTGGATCTCCTTCGAATCGGTCTCCTCGTACGTCCAGACCCTCCAGCAACAGGGCATGCGGATTACGCGAACAACCGCCTTCCGACCAACAGGGTGGACGTTCCAGCGCTCGACAGGGTCAGCACCGACACCCTCGCGGAATGTTGGTGCGCTGATGCAAGCGAGCCGACCACCCGAGTTTACCTTGGCAAGCCTCGTGTGCGCCGCGTCGAGCACAGCCTCTCTTCGACTTGTTAACGTGCCATACTCGGAACATTCATCATTCTATGAGCTTATGGCCTTTCTGCTGACGCTCCATCCTCAGCGTGTCATACCCACGGTGAACGTTGGCAGTGCCCTAAACCGAACACGCATGAATGCATGGCTGGATATATGCTTGCATGCATCCAGAGAGCAGAGATCTGTCCAGCCACGCTGCCCTGACTATTGGTGATTAGACAGAAAGTTCTGCCTTGCCCGCGCTGGCAAAGGAGGCCGCGTACGGCTCTAGAGCAGGGCGAACCCACTTGACAAGGAAGCTGTCCACTTGCTGCGGGGCACGGCCTGTGAAGCTGGCAGGGTCCAGAAGCTCGTCTAGGCGGCCAGTAATGGGGGCGAAGTACGGGTCCTTACGCACGCGCTCAATGAGGTCGTTCTCGCCACCCTCTTCCTTCACCACACGCGCTGCCTGGTGCGACAGAACACGAATCTTTTCGTGGCACTCCTGGCGATCGCCGCCGCTGCGTACCATGGCCATGATGATGTTCTCTGTCGCCATGAATGGCAGCTCAGCAGAAATATGGCGAGCGATGATTGCTGGGTAGACCACCAGGCCCTCGCTGATGTTCTGCAAAAGCGTGAGGATTACGTCCGCGGTCAGGAAGGCCTCAGGGATTGAGAGGCGTCGGTTGGCACTGTCATCCAGCGTGCGCTCCATCCACTGGCCACCAGCCGTCTCACGAGCGTTGTTGAGTGTGTTGCCCAACCAGCGCGATAGCGCACATACGCGCTCCGACCGCATGGGGTTACGCTTGTAAGCCATAGCACTCGAGCCGATCTGGTCCTTCTCAAAAGGCTCTTCAATCTCCTTGAGGTGGCATAGGAGGCGGATGTCTGTAGCCATCTTCAGAGCCGAGGCAGAGAACGAAGACAACGTCGATAGCACGTCAATATCCACTTTGCGCGAGTAAGTCTGGCCCGTCACGGGCATAGCGTATGGAAAGCCAAACAGCTCGGTCACCCGCTCATCCAGCGCCTCCACCTTGTCGTGGTCGCCGTCGAACAGTTGCAGGAAACTGGCCTGCGTGCCAGTTGTGCCTTTCACGCCCCGGAAGCCAAGGTCGTCACGGGCGCGCTTGATGTTGCGGAGGTCCCAGAGGAACTCCTGGATCCACAGCGTAGCTCGCTTGCCGACTGTTGTAAGCTGCGCAGGCTGCATATGCGTGAAGCCGAGTGTAGGCAGATCACGGTACTTCTCCGCAAATGTCGCCAAACGGTGAATAACCAGGGCCAGCTTCGGCAGAAGTAGATCAAGGCCCTTACGAAGGAAAATAAGGTCAGCATTGTCTGTGACATAGCACGACGTAGCGCCCAGGTGAATGAAGGCAGCAGCCGCAGGCGCAACGGTGCCAAACGTGTGGACATGCGCCATGACATCATGACGACGGCGCTTTTCTTCCTCAGCAGCAACTTTCATTTGCGCTTCATCGAGAGTCTAATGTAAGATACAGAGTACACACCAGGTTCGCACGCATCTGCTCAATTGCCTCATCAGGGATAGGAAGCCCTAGCTCTTTCTCAGCGATGGCTAAATTGAGCCAGAGCTGACGCCATGTGCCAAATCGAGTCTCATATTACAAAAGAAATACGTACAGCATTGGAAAATAGATTCGACATTTCCTTGCTTGCATAGCGGCTCGAAAGCGGGGATTGCCAAGAGTCCATGGTGAAATAGGTACGCACGATCCGATTTCAGGAGCCCTGGTTATGTCTAGCGCCTGCACCGACCAGGTCGTCACGTGATGACGAACGGAAGACAAGCCGTAGGGAACTGTCGGAAGTGCTTCTCCTTGTGCGGCCATGACTGGCTGGTTCGTCTGTTTGTGACTGGTAAGTGTTGCCCCCATCCATTCTTTCCCTTCTATGATGAACCTAAGAACCAAGCTCTAGAATTACCCTGTATGCAAAGATGGAGACATACTCTTAGTTATCAGTTTCAGCCTTGTCTGACCTCGTCTTCCCTCCCAGCGTTTGAGCAGGCTTACATACAGATATGTACGTGTCAACTCCAATTTTTGGAGGATGATATTTTCCGATGGGCGGACCGAATCGGCAGCATCCTGGCGAAAGCCAGCCTCGGCGCTCGTGTACAATTGCGTCATAGGGGTCGCGATGTTTGCCGTTGAGGATTCATCGGTTTCTGAATCTTGCTAGATGGAGCATGCTAACCATAGAATGAGTGCCTCCGAGAGTAGCTATTCTACGCCTGAAACAATTGTGGACGAATTTAAGCGGCAAGGCCACTTCGACCAAATCCGGAAGAAGCTGTTCGACGCTTTTTTGCAAAGTGACCAACATGCTGCATTCCGAGCAGAGCTCGAAGTCTTTCTTAAGGATCATGTCATGGCAGAGGCAGACCGAATGGTTTATCGTGATGCGCGCTTGAGGCATAGTGATTTGATGCGTGCTTTTGATCAACAACCTTACCTCGATGAGTTAGTGCGCGAACTATGTCGCAATGGTGATAAAGAGGGCTTGCTCAGTGATGACAGCCCTATCTCTCACCAAGTCCACGAACAGGTTGTGACCATGATGGCTACTGATGTTTCGGGGACCAGCACGACCGATGTACCATAAGTTATACCCTAGTCTATAGCAAATGTATCTCTACAATTTTTCCGATCCCTCTTTTGCGCTGGCGGTCAGCTATAAGTCTGTACCACGTACAATGATAAAGAGATAGAATTAACGCAGTGACGCTCATCCGTTGGCGTAGAAAAGCCTTCTCCGTAGAAAACGTGGCCTAAATGTCCGCCACAGTTCTTGCAGGTGATTTCCGTTCGCCGCTTGACTGTAAGCTGATGGAGCCGTACGTACCATGCCGAACGAGAAGTCGTCGTGCCGATCAATTGCACCTGGCACCGCATCGAAGAAGGCAGGCCAGCCACAGCCACTGTCAAATTTAGTTGTACTTTTGTACAAAGGCGCAGCACAACCGGCGCAATGATAGAGACCTGATTCGTAGTGCTTATTGTATTCACCGGTACCGGCACGCTCGGTTCCTTTTTGACGTAAGATACGAAACTGCTCGGGACTCAAAATAGCACGCCACTCCTTCTCACTCTTTGGCATAGAATTCATACGGAGCACGGGACAGGCAATCGAAAAATGTCGGGCAAAACGGAGTGACGGGCGAACCCCTATCATTTGGTGGAGAAGCAAGTGTCATAGGCCTGTTTGGTCGGCATAACGCTCTCCCCCACGTAATTATTTCTATTTAAAAGCTTCATGCCCCTCAAGGATACGATTGATCCATAGGAATGAAGAATATTGTGGGGGTTGATATGTCATCGTTCACGGATAAACTGCATGAGAGCTTAAAGCTCGTCACGCTTTTCAGGAAATTGCAATGGAGCATTCTGCTGCGCTTGCTTCTGAACTTGATCCTGGTCTTCAGGCTTGGACTTGGCAAGCGGGTGCTTGTGCCCGGTGTTACGCTCGTAGTTTTCCAAGTTCTGCTGGTATTTACTGAGGCTGTAAGTAATGGTGTACGTACGCTGCAAGGTTCCTGGCTTGAATATTGAGGCGTTCAGGAAGTGACATAGACTCTACACTATTGCCGCTCATGATGGCAACGGATAAAGTGTTATACCACACCAGTGGGGGTGACAGCGGAGGTCTGTGCTCATGCCACGTGGAGGTGGCAAGAGGTTCCCCACGCAAACTCCTACTCATCTCTTCGTGATCATGCAGGTAGGAAGAGCCTTGATCTTGGGGCTCGCATGCCTTACTGTACTGTGCCAAGGAAAGAAGGCTTCATCAGATCGAATCCTGCTTGATCATATCAAGACGCTCACTTTCCACCGGGGACAGATGACGACAGCGCGGCGCTTGGACCCTGTGCCACAATTGACATGTGAAGGAAAACTTTGTTCGAAAGTTACTCCGCGGGTTGTTCAGTGTCAAAACCGCGGAGATGGACAATGGAAATGTGAGGCGCAGCTACCGCTCTGGGCGCAACTTGGTGCCGTTCAGGTATCATGTGAAGGATGGGATAATAGACAGGATCCATATGTCTTGAGGGGATCTTGCGCCCTGCGGTTCGAATTGCTCCCAGCGAACGAAAAAATGAGTGGCAGTATGGAAGCCCTCTTATTTTCCATTGGGTTTTGGGCTCTGTTCGCATTCATCGTATTGTCTTTCCTCCATACCTGTCTGGGCTCGGAAGATGAGCCAGGTTTATACAATAACACGGACCCGAGAGCACCGCCCCCCTATCAAAAGCACGATACAAGAAGATTTAGCTCCCCAATCACTCGTGCTCTGACAGCTGTGGGACTTGGTACTGTCGCAGGCTACTTATTTCGAACTCAAACCCAAAGAGTACCGTCGACCATTAATGACCCATACATGCCTTTCCCTGGGTATGGAACAATGCCACATCATGGTGTATATTACGGTGACGCTGCAACCCAGCTACAAAGCAATACTGTTACATCAGGGACGCAGTCGCATAACAGCACCGGCTTCGGAGACACCGAAATTCGATAGCCAACTACGTATTTGCCCTCCACTCCAACCCGACTGTCCACCAGCATGCGATGGCCCCTGGGGCTGATACCGCTTTTTGTGCGGCTTTGTATCGCTAATTCTATTCCTTATGAAGTACTTGCACAGGAATCCTACGATATCATGTTTGAAAATCACACTGTATCGTATTCTGAAGCATTTAATCAACTCCAACAGGATGGACTGCAATATGATAATTCTTCGTTCTGGCAACCTGGCGCAACATACAAGCCATTCCGGGTCACATCCAATGAAACTCATATCTGTCGTTTTCCAATCAAAGATGTAAACAAAAATTTATCCAGTGAGCTTTCCACTGCCGAGGCTTCTGAGATACTAGCGCGGGGATTGAACCGGCTAGACAGTCTTTACGATGAGGTCCCATGGATCCAGAATAACTATTTCTTGAACATGTTCTTTTATGGGAGGAATATCTTGCAAGCGCCGGCAGCTGAGGCCTTCTACATATATGAACAGATCGACCGTTTCCCTTATTTCTCTAAACCTGAGACTCTACGAAAAAATTACTATATGTTGGGAAGGTGGCCCAACGGGTCTACTTTGGAGGAAAATATACAGAATTCCCAATTAATGCCCTTACTCGGTTCGGCCACCTCGGATCCTAACACCCCGAGTGGACCTCTTACCCATAACTCTAAATTTTTTATCCAGCAAGTATGGAAAAATGGAAGCATTTGTAATCTCAATGGAATACCGAGACAAACTACTGTTCGCGTAAGTGCTAAGAGGGCTCTAATAACAGTACTATTGTGGCAGTACTACAACTATAAAAATGTTGACGGAAGTAATGACATGCGATTAGTATGTGTGACTATTACTCACGCAGTGTGGCTGTGATTCATACACCAAGTCTATGTGAGGATCCTTCCTTTGATCCTGCCATCGTGGATAACTTGAATACAGTGCTTTGTCGATTGATCGTTCCGGATGATGAAAACAGTCGCATGGTGTATATGGAGGCAATTGGAGCAAATCAGAGAGCACAGCAACCAAATTTGGATAACCAGGAGCTATCAAATGAGGAGAAAGTTGAAAGTGAAGCATTGTTCGGCCAAGAAGCCCTGGATATCAAGGACAAGCAGAGCTCGAAAATTTTTGCCTTGGTGAATAAGCTAGATATTCCAGATGATGTTAAAGACAAACTGGCTACTCTTCTCGCTGACAATGCTGAAATTTTTCCAAAAGATGAGCATAGCTCTCAAGAGTTGGATTCGGCTCAACATTTTTCCTGGGATGATGTTCGTATAGTAGTGGATGATGACTTGTAGCTATAGTTATTGTTGGTCGAAAATCGTCGTATTGTCTCCACATCGTTTAGGAAACATCTTCATGTTAAACCCGACTGCTGATCTACCACCCGGCATCTTCCTCAAAACGTCAGAGAGCGCTGCCTCATCCGATGAGAATGTGACACCACATCTTATGCCTTTTAGTATTGCATACAGCGGTCCAGCACCCGTTGACACATATTTTATTATGAGGCCAACGGAAACACCTAACCGCAGGTATGAAACTTTGCCAACTGAAGATGATATTCATGCTGAATTAAGCGAAGAATCAAGCGCATCGTTCCGTGGTCGCTATATTCATGGTAGGTTAATGCGACTACCTGATAACTACAAAATTTCGTTTTGTCATTTATGCAATCACAGCTTTGATAGCGGATCTGCTGAAAAACTATCTAGCATAAAGAAACCTGTCGTTCGTGCCCCTGTAAGAGGTTCTAGGTTTTCACTTGATGAAGAAGACGTTGAAGATGAAGGAACTGATATCCTACCACAATACATTAAGGAATCGACCAACACAAAGGACGGGCCTATCATGTCACGCGAATTCGTTTTGAGCCCCATCTATCCGGCAGAATCTTTTTTCTGGATCTGGAACCCCGACGGTCCCATCGATGTCGGTGGCGATCCTTTCATACAAACTTGCCATAATTGGCTGCTTAAACTTGCTCCAGCCGTAAGTTCTAAACCTCTAACATTACGCAGATTCACAATACGATTTGACAGCTATAATAAACAGAAGATATTTATACTATGATTGTTCACCCACACGTGAAATTGAAGTCTCGAGGGGAGGTGTTAAATCTTGGCAAGATTTAAAAGCCACCACGGTAGCCTCCTTGGTTGCTGGAGCCATAGCTGTCAGAGCCACCAAAGCCGCCCTGGTTGCCGGAGCCGTAGTTGCTAGAGCCACCAAAGCCACCCTGGTTGCTGGAANTTGCTAGAGCCACCATAGCCGCCTTGGTTACCGGAGCCGTAGCTGTCCGAGCCACCAAAGCCGCCCTGGTTGCCAGAGCCGTAGTTGCTAGAGCCGCCATAGCCGCCTTGGTTACCGGAGCCGTAGCTGTCCGAGCCACCAAAGCCGCCCTGGTTGCCGGAGCCGTAGTTGTTAGAGCCACCATAGCCGCCCTGGTTGCTGGAGCCGTAGCTTTCTTGGTTACCAGAATTTTGTCCAAGCTTGTCCGAAACCTTGTTCATAATGTTACCGGCTGCAAACTGTTAGCATTCCGTTCATCCAACCCAAACATACCCTTGCCACCGGTCAAGTTGTTAAGCATGTCCATGATGATAGGTGTCAACTGTCAAGAACACAGCCTTAAAATCGTGTCTTATATGTCCCCGCGCTGTGCGCTTCATACGTGATTATCCGCTGTCGCACCACACGTTCCAAAGCACGGACCAATCCAAAAGTTTATTACATAACTCGTATGTCATTGCTCCGTGAGGCGCTACTGCGGGGCTACGGAAACTGGGTTGTAAATACAACCGTGCGCACTATGCAACCCCAATCGGCATAATTTTTGCCATTCCAGTCGCTTCTTGTGGATTGACCAACGAGACACTCCCTGGTTGCTCGGGCCCGCATCCACAGTCGTATGTCTCATTCAGTTTGGCGCAGTCAAATTCCGGCTTCTTAAGCCGCTTGTTCACCTTATTGTGCAAGTTACATAGCCATAGTTCCGCATTCTTCCGTGAAAGCACCTGAGGAGGCCATTCCTTTAGCATTTGCTGGAAATGTGCTGCACAATCGCCGCATGGGTATAAGAGTGAAAATAAATGAAGGAACTCGCGCAAATTCTCGCTCTGCTCTTTTGTAGGATGCTCGGGAAATCGAGCCATCATTGTATGAAGGAAGCGCCATGTCGAGCGGCCAAGCTCAGCCCTGATGGTTAACTGTTACCCACACATACTTTGCTGTAGCGTTTGTCATTTCAGGAGCATAAGCACCATCCACGGGACGCTCTACCACCGGTCGAATGGGAGGGAGGGGGTTAGGTTGTTCTGTCACAGACAATGTAGGGTTGGGCATACTTTTGATGATCTTATCCAACCCTCCCATATCATAGTAGGGGGTTGTAGCAGGACCTTTCATCCACACTGGATCGTAGCCCTGCTTAGATTGCATAGCACCCCCGACCATCCATTCCCCGGTCTGAGGATTGCGTACCAAACCCACTCGCGTGTGCGATAGATATATAAAAGAAGGTATTAGCAATAACAAGAGCGCTAGAACAAAAAACCTAATAAACCGAGAGCTCATTGCCACAGGCGCGGTTGGGAGTGCGAACGGCTCTTAATATGCTGGGCCTGCCACAGCCACGTGACTCAGTTGCCGCTCAAGCATGGCGCCAGACAGCCTCAGGGCTGCATAAAGTGCGCTGAGCCGCTTGTTGTCCTGCATGAGCCAAATCCACCATATCTGATAGCGTCCAATGTTCAAATTTCTTAGGTATATTCGAAATCTTGGCAAGTACTGCGCCGAGAAAGTTATCGCCTGCTCCCGTGCTATTCATCTTTTGATCGGGGTCGAGGGTATTGGCTGGCATATGTAGAATAAGAGGACTTTCTTCAGACTGAGCATGCGTTACAACCAAGACTCCACGACTTCCAAGCTTGATGAACTGTGTATGCGCCAGTCTAGCAGTTGTTAGCGCATCTTGGAGCCAGGCTGGTGGTAATTCCCATCTAGTTGCTAAAGTCTGTACGTTACTCAGCGAAGGATGTGGTGCATGCGGCAACCGTGTGCGGACGAGTTTTGCCAAAATGCTGAGCTCATATTGATTAGGCGTGATGAAATGCACACGCTTTGGATGGGACTGAAGGGTCAGAGCCTCTACCAGACGCCCGCACTTCTGCACGGATGTGGGCTCAAATAACACAATGGAACGAACAAAAGCACATGCATCCAGTGCAGTAGCCAGTGTCTCCGGCAACATATTTGCATCCATACAGACGACGGGTGGCTTGTGTCGTCGAATTTGTCCCGCAACCATAGCTGGCGTCATTGTTTGTTCCACCATATCCATGTCCGCCGTACCGGTAACAAGCTCTCCCGCGGCATTGAGAAGCAGGTTACACACGGCTGTCTTCTTGGCTGACACCAGTGCATCGGTCCGCATACTCGCCTTTGTTACCTCCTCGACTAAGGTCTTTCCGAAAACATCTTCACCACAGGGCGCGCAAAGAAGCACATCAGTGTCGCTAGAGAGCATGGCGTGCGCTGCTCGAGCGACATTGAAAGCCACACCACCTGTGGAAAAGCGTATAGTCCCTGGAGAGGTAGAGTGCGGAGAATCTACACGCTGCTGTGCCGTGATATCCATCGCTGCACACCCAAATACCATAATCTGCAGGATAAGCAAGGACATGGCGTACGTACCTGGGGAGATGGTGTGTTCCAATAGGCCACCTGCGAAGATGGCTTCCCACTCAATGCTACAGCGCATTCCGCTGCATACCGTGCATTGTTTAGAACAAGACCCACGTTACTCTTGACAGAGTGCTTCGCTAACTGGCTGACTCGCTTTAGCAGCCAAGGTGTGACCAGTTTACCCTGTCGATCAATGCCAAGTTCTTTGCTTTCTTGGACGGCCTGTTCCACGGCTTTTTGAATGATTGCTCCGTCCGATTCAAATTCGTTGGGAATGGGCACGCCAAAGACCAGCCCATTTTCAAGCCCCAACTCTTCATTTCGAGCGATCGTATGAGCTGCCTCTTCAATGCTTGCCACTGTGGGCACTCGACAGCCCGATGCAGCAGTGTAGAAGCAGGGAAATTGACCCTCTGGGTGGAATGTAAGCACAGGCACACCCTGAGTCTCGAGATATTCAAGTGTTCGCGGAATATCCAAGATTGATTTGGCTCCAGAGCAAAATACTGCCACAGGTGTCCGTCCTAGTTCAACGAGATCTGCAGAAATATCCATAGCTTGCGCGTCAGTGGCAACTCACGTACATGACTCGGCACCGCGGTGCACGCCTCCAATACCCCCTGTGGCGAAAATTTTGATCCCGGCACGACGTGCTAGAGCCATTGTCCCACTCACTGTGGTACCGCCAACCCAGCCGGTGCCTTTAGCCAAGACATGCGCCAGCCCACCTCGGCTTACTTTGACGGTATGCGATGGATCACTGTCTGACACCCTTGCCAATTCACTCCGTGTTAAGCCAATGTGAATACGCCCATCGAGTACTGCGATCGAGGCTGGTTCAGCACCTTTACTGCGTATCTGCTCTTCAACGGCGACTGCCATCTCGTAATTGATGGGGCGCGGAAGACCATGTGTAATAATAGTGGACTCCAGGGCTACAACAGCACGTCCAGCCTGCAGCGCTGCCTGAACGGCGTCAGTGACGACCCAGCGCGCGCTTGATAGCATTTCGTGCTCTGACAAGTATCTTTCACTGGCGGATAAATGATAGCTGTGGAGGCGACACAGCTTAAAATCCGATCTTATGCCGCTGAGCCTAAGTGCACCGCCGTTCGGCGCTGCCTACAAAGGCGCTACGCTGCAGATTTTAGAGCATGCTAGAGAAGCCGCTGGACTAACGTATAAACCTAGCGTCTTTAACCCGGGCACACTCACTAGTAAGGGTCCCATTCGTATTGCTAAGAACCGTGTACTTCCTCGTCATCTCCATGACGAACCTGGCTTCAATATGTACTATGAGCTTCATGGTACCGGACCTAACCGCATAGCATTTATCATGGGACTCAGCAATTCGTGCGCTAGCTGGCTTGACCAGGTAGAGGAATTTGGCAGTGACCCCGCCTGCTCGGTGCTGGTACTCGACAATCGCGGTTTCGGTAACACGGAAGCGCCTATGCAACGTTACACGACTTCTGATATGGCCTTGGATGTATTTGAGGTCATGGACCACATTGGTTGGAAGGGCGACCGCTCTGTGAACTTGATCGGTGTATCAATGGGTGGTATGATTGCGCTTGAAATGGCGCGCCAAGAACCCTCTCGTCTCGCCTCGCTTATGCTGTTAAGCACATCTGCAGGTGAAGGAGGTAACCTACCGCCGCTCAGTGGGCTTATGGCTATAAGCAAGGGCATCGGAGAATCGATCGTGGGTATTGCGCGTGTCGAAGCTCGGGTAAATCGCGTTGTCGACGTGCTATTTCCGAAGACCTGGCAGAAGCAAAAGCACCCACTCGATCCAGCAGGACGTACGAATGGCGAAGTCATGCGAGACATTTTCAGATGGCGACACTACTTCAGTTTGCATCCTACACTTCATGGTCCGATGAGTCAGATGGCCGCTTGTTTAACGCATCATGTACCGGAGTCAGCGCTAAAGACCATCCAGGATAATGTGCCAAAAGTTTCTGTGATGACAGGCGATTGGGACAATCTGGTTGCCGAGCGCCACTCGCACTACATGAGTCGGGTTATGGACAAAGCTCAATTCCGTGAATGGCATGGCGCTGGCCATGCTATCCACCTGCAATTCCCGGACAAGTTCAACGCGCATGTGCGTCAGTTCCTCAATTTGGCACCCAATCCTTAGTGTCACCGGTTACCTCCACATGGGTAGATAGCCGGTCCCTAGCCGCTTCTTTGGTCTCCATTTTTTTTCGTAAGCCGACATGATTCGGCAAGTGCATCCTACGCCCGATGTGGCTAAGGGCGTTAAGTACTGGGAGGGTGTTCCTGCAACTGTCGATGGAGTATTGGGCGGCTATGGTAATGGTACATTGCCTCGCGTTGACGCTCTAGGTTCGCGAATGTTCCTTATGCGAACGTTGCCCTACCTGAGCGCAACGCCCTCACCAGCCTACAATGGGTCGCCTCAGTCCTGGCTGGAGATTCGACTTCAACAACGCGGTGGAAAAGGGAAGACAGTGACACGTGCACTTGATTGTGGTGCGGGGGTAGGTCGTGTGACAGCGGATGTCCTATTACCGCTGGTCGATGAGGTGCATCTGGTGGAACCTGTCGCCAAATTTCTGCACGAGGCGAAACGACGCTCAACGAGTTGGTTGCCCATGCGAAACACGGAAGCAAACTCTCCTTTCCACGCACAAAAAGCCGTCCATTTCCATATCTCTACTCTACAGGACTTTAATGTCGCTGATCCAACCTCAAATCCGGCTTATTCGGATTCGATTCCCCCTACATACATGGAAAAACCGACTCCTCTTCCTCTTGCGCCACTATTGTATGATATTATACTGTGCCAGTGGTGCTTGCAACATCTGTCTGAAAAAGACCTCGTGTCCTTCTTACGAGCCTCTCAAAAAGTGCTTCGTCCACCTCTTCCTGCCGAAGATGAGTCCATGGCATGGAATGGCGGTATTATTTTTGTAAAGGAGAATGTATGCCGTGATCCAGAGGACGGCACTGAAGCTAGTTGGTATGACGACGAGGACTACTCGGTGACCCGATCGAGGCGTATATATGAGCGTCTATTTCATGAAGCAGGTCTTACGGTCGTACGGTCCGAGGTGCAACTAGGGTTTCCGCCCGAGCTGTTTGAAGTGCACATGTGCGTACAATCCATTGACACCAGGTGGGCATTGCGCTAGACAAAAAAAGAAATTATGGCACCTTTCCTTTTGCCCTTGTGTAAGTCAGCGTCAGTTTTAAACTCATCTATTTGGGCTCCAGAGCGACAATCCTACGACTGTGGGTCTTCATTCGGTGAGAAGATCGATGCGTCCATCGTGCTCATCTGGCACAGTCTACCATGACCGTGACAGGCACTTCTTGGCGATACATTTTTAGTCAGATATCGTATGCATCGTCAGTCAGTCTGGGATAATAAATTTTGTGGGTAGGCAAGGCGTGAGCTGTCTTAGTGCACTACCTTATCCGTTTATCCAATCTGTTTCTTTTGTGCCGCTAGCGGCGCATTTACAATGATTGATGTTGTAGAGACGGATCTCTCGCAAGTCTCAAAGGCGTTTGCTATTATGGGTGGATTTGTGGTAATTTATGGTCTCTTCAGCTATGTCGTGCGTGAACGGTTGTACATTTCAGAGCCTCTCTTAGCTGTGACTATTGGGATCATTGTGGGACCACATGTACTGAACTGGGTTGACCCTTTTTCATGGAGTGATCGTGATACTGTGAACGAAGTCACTTATCAAGTTTCTCGTCTGGTCATTGCTGTACAAGTGCTGTTCACTGGTATCACACTCCCAGAAAAATATCTTTGGAAGGAGTGGAAAAGTCTCTCCGTTCTTCTCATTCTTATCATGACGACGGCCTGGTTTATTACGGCACTTTTGGTGTGGGGCTTGGTCAAGGACCTGACGTTCTTGGAGTCACTCTGTATCTCGTCCTGCGTCACACCTACGGATCCAGTGCTGGCTAATTCCATCACATCGGGTCGCTTTGCTGAAGAGCATGTGGAAGAGCATGTTCGCCATATCATTTTGGCCGAGAGCGGCGCCAACGATGGCCTTGGCTTTCCTTTCCTTTTTATGGCCGTGTTGCTCATTGCTCGCCGCTCTGCTGATCTGGGCGAATCCATTGGCCAAGAAATATGGCGCTGGTTTTATGGTATCATTATCTATGACATTCTCCTTTCATGCGTCTACGGTGCACTGCTCGGGTACATTGCCCGCAAGGTCCTTCGATGGGCGGCCACACACAATCTCATTGATATGTCCAACTTTTTCAGCTATGGCTTTGGATTAGCATTATTTACGTTGGGAACTGCAGGGTTATTTGGTACCGATGATATCCTTGCCTGCTTTGTGGCCGGTAACTCCTTTACGTGGGACGACTGGTTCCGGCTGCGCCAGGAAGAGAACGACTTTCAAGAAATCATCGACATGCTACTGAATGCAGCTATTTTCATGTATATTGGTATGATAATTCCTTGGAATGAGTACAGCAATGAGGCGCTGGGGCTCAATGGATGGCGTGTCGTCGTACTAGGAATTATGGTGATTCTTCTTCGCCGCATCCCATGGGTCATGAGCGCATACAAGATCATTCCCGTGCTTCAAACTTGGCAGGAAAGTGCCTTTGTGGGATGGTTCGGGCCTATTGGGGTCGGTGCAGTATATTATATTGAAGTTGCATTGCAAGCCGTGCCAGACGACGATACCCGCGAGCATCTGCGTCGCACCATTTCGCCTGTCGTCTTGTTCTGTGTCTTTTCTTCTGTCGTTACACATGGTGTCACAATTCCGCTTATATACTTTGGACCCCATGTGGTTCGACACACTCGAACACTTACCGTTACTCGCACGAGCCATAGCGCGGAGCAGCGCTCGAAGAACAAATCCTTCCTCCAAATGCTCGGCGACTATTTTACCCAGAATAACAAAATGCCATCAAATACTGACATTGTCAGTGGACCATTAGAATCAGGTGAGCTGAACCACTATATCCCCGCACACAAGCCCTTTTCTCGTGAGAGGAATGGCGAACAGCCTCCCGATCTTATTTTACATCCACATGGACGCATGCTAGCTGAAGCGAACAATATTGGGGCGAATGACCCCGTTGAGCCCCAAAAATATGGTGCTAAAGCCCCTGATAATGGAATACCTTCTGAGACGGTCGTTGACACCTCTTTGCCTAAACCTGCCCCTCCAGTGTTGCTGTCCGACTAAGCAGTCTGGCACCGTCGCATACTCCACATACAATAGTGTTGCCTAATTTCCCGATCGATTGCAGTCTCCGCCTGTCCCGAACTGTCTAGCGCCATGATCGCAGATGGAGAGGTCTCTGTTGTAAACACACGAGATCCTGAGGTGGACTTTGTAATCAAATTTGAAGGGGTACCTGCCAAGTTCCTCTCCTCTAAAACACGCGCCCCTGCCGCACTGCTGCAGGGTCGTGCGGCGGAGCTGGAGCGTTTACTGGCACGGCTGCGAAGTGTACATCTGCAGTGCACTACACGAGCTGGTCCTAGTGGAAGCGGCGACGTATTGATTTTTCTGCGTGTAAGCAACGAAATTCTCCGTCAGGCACGCTGGAATGAGCGGTGCGTACTGTTCTTCTAATTCAGGTTGCACGACTTTGTCAACGGCGTGGGTATTTCCAAGAGCCTTACCACTACCGAGTCACTAACCCCTGCGGAACGCCTTCGCTATACATATCGACTTGTTACAGGCCCTAATACGGAATCGGTGGCCATCAGTGGCATGTCTGGAGCAGGCGTTCGCGTTCGCTGCTCCGAGTTTCCTCATGTCATTGACATGATGCCGCTACACAATGTCCACTTTGACCGAGCATGGATTCAAGCTTGGTCAAATGTATCGGTCAGCTCTTTTCTGTCAGGTATCAGCGACGAAGATATCGCCCAATTGCGCGACAACATTGGTGAACATATTGCGTTATACTTCGCCTTTTTGAACTACTACTTCAAGGCCCTGGCGCCTGCTGGAACCCTGGGTCTGATTTTCTGGGCTTGTGGCCAGTCATTCAATGCCGTTTATTCTATTTTGCTGGTGATCTGGGCCACCATTTTTCTAGAAATGTGGAAGGTTCGCGAGCGAGCTCTCGCTGTGCGCTGGGGCATGACGGGTGTGTCGCGCCACGCCGCTCGGAACTACTCTTTCCAGCCATCTGCAATTGTGAACGATAAGATTACGGGCGAGCGGACCGAGGTGTTTGAAGAATGGCGCCGAGAATTACGCATTATTGCTTCGCTTCCTGTCATCCTTATCTTTATTCTGCTTCTACTAACTATTTTGACCCTAAATTTCCTAGCCGAGGTCATCACCGCCGAGGTTTACGATGGTCCTGGCAAGGCATTCGTACCTTTTGTACCCACGGTTCTCTATTCCACATGTATTCCGCTGATCATGATGACCTGGAATGTTACTGCCCGGCTATTGACCAAGTGGGAGAACCATGCTACAATTCGTGCTTACAACGGCAGCTTGACGCTCAAACTATTTGGAATGCAAAGCCTAGTGACCTATGCAGGTCTTGTACTCACAGCCTATGTATATATTCCTTATGGCGAGCGAATCATCCTTGAGCTCTTTCGTCGTGGATTCCTGACGGAGATTTTCCGCGTCGTGTCTGGCGAAGAGCAATTCTTGATGCCTAAAAAGCTCAACTTCAAAATTAGCCCACAACGCCTTCATTCTCAGCTGTTTGCTCTATGTGTGTCAGGCCAAATCATGAACACCGTTTCGGAAGTCATCCTTCCTGTTGGCCTGCGCCTCCTAACCCAGGTGCACCGGCGATGGGCCCAGCGGCGACAAACCGACATCCAGCAGCCATCAAGTCAGGACAGCGTGTCCCAGGGCAGCGAAAATGAATTTCTTACTCGTGTCCAGGCCGAGTTTCAGCTCCCAGTGTACGATACTTTTGTGGACTACGCCGAAATGGCAACACAACTGGGCAGCATTGTGATGTGGTCTGTCATTTGGCCTCTTGCGCCTACTATTGGCCTGATCAATAACTTCTTTGAGCTCCGCTCCGACACCGTGAAACTGATCATCAATATGCGGCGACCCATTCCGTTTCGGGCCGAGTCGATCGGCAGCTGGCTCAATGTCATGACTCTCATTCTGCGTCTTGCCGTCTTTACAAATGCATCGCTCGTGTACTTGTTTGAGACACGACCTGACAGCAAATCGGGATCATTGGAGACAGTGATGCGTGCCTATGTTCGTGAAAGCACGAGCACTGCTGGATCGATCTTAGCCCGGGTATCTTCTCACTTTATATCCTCGGACAACGCTGGAAGCATTCTTGCTGCCGCCTTCCTCTGTGCCGTTCTGTGCGACCAGATCTTTGGTATCGTTCAGTTGATCATTCGCTATATCGTCAAGAAATACATGTGGGACAACAGCGAGGAAGACTTTGCGATCCGCAAAGTAGAACATCTAAATCGCGTGGCGTTCGTGGAGCGGCTTCAGTCATCGGACGTCTCTGCCTCAAAGTCATTGGATCCATATGAGAGTGGTTCTGATGTCGCGTATGGATTTTGGGATCCTTCATATGATGATGGCCTCCAGGCCATTTTCGGTGCCGGAAAACGGGACTGATATATAGCAGAAATAGTGCTAGCAGGGTCTACTTTTGGTGGAGGTCGTGGAGTCGAACCTTCCCACAGTTCTCATGCAAGCCGATCCGATACTCGTGCTTCGTGGTGAGTTGTCCCAACAGGGTCTCCTCCGCGATCAACAGCCGGCAGATGAGATACTTCAGATGATGATGGAAGTCGAGGGGGGCAATCCCTCGGCAGCAGCACGCGCTATTATGGATGCGTATTCCGCGGAGCGTCGAGCCACTGCAGAGTCTGAGCGTCCTTTCGAACCCCTTGCTACTAGTGCGCCTGCAGCCATTGCCCCTGACATTCCTCGTGATGCACCAGAGCATGGTCCTATCCAGCACCTTTTCATGATACTATGGGATCAACCGTGGTTCACCGCGCTCTGGCGCCTGGGGTCGTGGCCCTTTTCCGTGGTCGGTTCCGTGCTTCTATGGGTTTTACGCATGACCCACCTAGTACAGTCCCATGGCTCTGGTAATTCAAGTCGTTTCTCTGAGGACTCTGTCGCATCAGCTCAAAGATGGATCGATATCTTGGAGCGTGACACAGCAGGTTCTGTGAGTTTGGATGCCTTGGCATTGAATCGAACTCCGCTTCCACCCTTTGTTGCATGCAGCTACTCTGATGCATTGCGAATGGCTAAACAAAATACAAAAATCCTCGTGGTAGTTCTCACGAGCCAGGTCCATGGTGACAATCATTTGTTTCGCCAACAAGTACTTACCAATACTGCCTTAGTCCGCATGCTGCAGTCTACTGACTTCCTTGTATGGGGTGGTGACGTCCAATCACGCGAGGGATTCCAGGTTGCTACATTGCTGGAGGCTAGCACTTTTCCCTTCATGGCCTTCATTGCACTCCAGCCACGTCGCTCTCGCTCCCGTGGCACCACTGTGCTTCATCCGGCCGTGTTGTCACGGATTGAGGGCTCGCCCCAATCAGTATTATCGGCCTCAGCGATTTGCTCGCATATCCAGGATGTGCTTCTCCCGCGCACACAATCGTACCTAAGTCAACTCCGACGCGAGCAGCGCCAGCGCGCGATGGAGCGGGAGCTTCGTGCCGAACAGGATCGTGCATATGCTGAGTCAAGTCGACGCGATCAAGAGCGCATTCTACAACGACGCACCGAGGAAAAGCAGCGCGTCTATGAAGCCCATTCGGCCGCAGCTCTTGAGGCCCATCGCGCAGAGCAGCGACAGCGAGTAGCCGAATGGCGTATGTGGGCTCAAGCACATCTCGTCCCCAGGGAGCCTGTGTCTAACCGCAGCACCGAAATTCGTGTTTCCATCAAGCTACCTGATGGCCGAAACTTGCAGCGTCATTTTCGCCCAACAGATACTCTGGAGCAGCTGTACGCTTATGTGGATACCATTGATTCACAGGTGGACGAGCCACCTGTGTGTGCGCCGCCAGGCTATGAACATTCGTTCCCTTTCACTCTGGTCCAGACGTACCCCCGTCGCGTATTGCCCAATAAAGATTCACTCGCCAGGCCTTTAGAGGATCTGGAAGGCTTTGGTCCCAGTGCCAATCTTATTGTGGAGCCATCACATCCTCCTGACCTCTTGGACGAAGAGAGCGAGGACGAAGACGATGATGATTGATTATGAAGGTCTACTTAACCCAACCACTGTACAAACAAATCCTTTACATCACTGTTCAATTTTCCGCGAAGATGTGCTTAAGGCTGTAGTAGTAGGCCATAGCGGGGTAATCCTGGTGGGAAATACCAGGCATATAGTCTNAAAAGAGCTAATATGTTTAAATTCACGCGGCTCACGCACTGACCCGCCAGCAGACCAACCGGCGTCGTGGAAACTAATTTCGTTGTTTTTGACAGAGCCACGATTCCGATCCATCTGGTTAAAGAACACAGGCGCCATAAGTAAAACAGTATCGTCTTTCACATTCAGCTCATCGTAATTTTGCGCGACTCTATACGCATTTCCCATGAGATTGATGTAAACCCAGGCGTCGCGCCACATGCCTGCAAGTGCAATTACTACACGTTCAATTTTATTCGGATCAAAATTTTTCATTATATAGTAGGGCAAAATCGCTTCGAACCCATTTTGCTTGGCAATCACGGTAGTTCGGTTCAAAACAAAGTTGTGAAACACCGGCGGGATCCAGGCATAGCCTGAAGCATACGTGCCAACAGCGATCGGATTCAAGTGAAACCAGGCACCACGCGCCCATGGAACCTGGACGCCATTCCCTGTGCCATCCACAATGTCGTTCTTGTACCAAAGACCTTCGTTCGGGTCTAAAATGCCATCAAAATTATTGAGCACCTCCTTGGCGGCTCTCACCGGGTCTTGACGGCCAAGCTCTGCAATGTGCTGCTGCTCGTCCATAGAGGCCTGTGCCAAGACTCCGTGAAGATAAATGGAAACATAGACGACACCAACACCCAGGAGTTGGAACCATCTCATAATGAACCTGGGTCCTGATTATAGAAAAACCTTAAATAATGTCCTCCTTTTCAACTCCGGTTAAAAAAAACTAAAAGTTTGGAAAGATTCCTTTATACCGGAAGTCAAATGCACCCCGGATTTCAGACACTAGGATGTTAATCTTGGCGTACTCTTTTTGGAAGGTCTTCTTACCGCTTGAGCATAATACACGCCGCCGCAAATAATTTCGGCAAATTCTGAACACGTGACGTGCTACTCAGCGTCTGGTCCGTGCCGTACACGTGACCACAGGGAATCACCTTCGTGCATAGTTCTCGCATTGGACTACGATTGGAATATGCGTGTCCATCTGCGAGCGCGTTGGCCGTGGTTGGGGCGTAATTTTAGCTCCTCATGCTTGCGACTGTCTCAACCAGCTAAAGTGGCTGCTCTTGATTTTAAAATTAGCTCTGATGATGCTGTTTATCGCGCTCGACTTGCTGCCCTGGAGCAGCTCCTCCCCACCATCAAAGGGCGTTGGGGCGGTGTGGGTTTTGCCGTTTCACAAGCATTTGGGCTCGGGTGGATGACAGAGCCTGAAGATTCTGTCATGCGCCATGTATCAACGCGTGCTATGTATTATCCCATATGGGTTGTGGATGCCATCTGTCGTGTTTCTTGCCGGGGCGACAATGGCGAAGCAGAGGCACAATTCATTTCCACCAACTCCGCTTTTCCGGGCAATTCATGGAAGCCGATGGATACCCTTCCGATCCGTGCGCCTCCTCCCCGCATGACTGATACGCCATCATCACAGGAGTCTGTTATCACGCCGGGCGATGCACCTATGGTTTATCAATCGTTTTCCCGGGCCCGACACTTGAAGCCTGATGTAAAAATCACGGGGGATATTAATATTCTTCCTTTCAATATATCACCTCTGTCCTTGCCGCATATATTCAAATCTGCAGACCTACGAAGCTCCATTGTGGATATGCTCTCGGAGGGGCCTGTTTTGCATATTAACCACCGCTTTACCATTCTTCCTGGCGTTGAGATTCAGGTAGCTAACCTGAATGAAACAAAGAATGATGGATCTCAAGCTAATCTTCGTTTTGACTGGGATTCTCTCAAGTTTGATATGCTTGCCTGTTATCCTGTCATGTTACCTATCCATTTGGTACGGTTTCACTATGATGCACACGGCGAGAAGAATCGTGAAGCTACCGTAGCTTTGGGTGCATGGGATGAAGGTAAGTGCTATTCCTAACACTCAGGCTTGCTGTCCTATGCTCTCTCCTGTGATGAAAAAGATGGCTGGATGTACAAAGGCGAGTCCTCTTGGCTTGATATTGATATGGTGGACTTTCATCCACAGATCCCCATCGCACCATCAACACTGGACCCTCAGACGAAAGCATCGACGGAAGCATCAGATGCCCGAATTGTCGACTTGATGGCTCAACAGTCGCAGATGCAGGCCGTGTTCGAACATCGTGCAGAGCAGCTGATTGAACATGCTGACTGGAGCTCGTGCGAGCAATGGGAGCGTGCCCAATCTCCTTCAGAGACGTCTGAAGAATCCACTGCTGGGCTAGGCTCTTGCATTGATTGGCACAATATGCACATTCGCCCATATTTCGAGGGCGTGGAAGAAAATCGGCGTTATATTGCCCTTTTTACCGAGGCCTTGTTCTCCAGCCGACTGATTGAAGGGATTGACAAAGATTTAGCCAAAGGACGGGATATTACCCATGTGCAGGCTGTCTATAAAAATGAGCTTTTGAGTGGTATGTGGATATGCGCTAATGCGATAGGCGATAAGGCGATCAGTGCACTACGCGCGAGCTTATCAGAAATCAAACGTCGTCGCGATGAGACGCGTCCTACATGGATGCAGTAGATGATATGCTAGCATTAACATAGTTCGGTGTAGTTCCAACGGCCAAGGGTTCTAAGCGGAGCTGCTACGGACCACAACATTTTGACCATCGATATACCCTTAACTTCTCGAAGACGTATTACCTTAACATTTGCTGGGTTATATCTACACTAATTGTCACTGAAGATGTGCTTAAGGCTGTAGTAGTAGGCAATAGCGGGGTAATCCTGGTGGGAAATACCAGGCATATAATCCNAAAGGAGCTAATATGTTTAAATTCACGCGGTTCACGCACTGACCCGCCAGCAGACCAACCGGCGTCGTGGAAACTAATTTCGTTGTTTTTGACAGAGCCACTGTCGCGGTCCTTCTGGTTGAAGAACATCGGAGATAAGATCAAAACGGAGTCTTCCTTAACTTTTAATTCCGGGTACTTGTATGCGACATTTAATGCATTACCCATCATGTTAATATAGGTCCACGAATTGCGCCATTGCCCAGGAAGCACGATAATCACGCGTTCAATTTTTTTGGGATTATACGACTTCGTAGAATAAAAGGGGGCAGTCGCATTTTTTCTATCCTTTTCGGAAAATAGAGAGGTTCGTTTTAGCACAAAGTTTCCAAACTCCTGTGGAATATAGAGATAGCCAGTTTGGTATAAGCCGAGTGCCCATGGGTCCGAGTTGTACTGAGCACCACGAGCCCAGGGTACTTGAGCTTCATCACCTGTACCAGAAATAATATTGGTAAAATGCCATGGAAGCTGAAATGGATTGAGAATACCATCAAATTTCAGAACATGCTTCGCTGCAGCAACGGGGTCTTGTCGGCCAAGCTCAGAAACAAGTTGCTGTTCCTCCATGGAGACATCTGCTGCTACACCATATAGCCGAGTCAACACGTAGAAAAAAATAGTACCTAAATATAAGTACCAAGACATTATTGCAGTGTAGAGGTGTTGTGAAGAAAGACGTAGTCTCCTGATTTTAGGAACGTCGTACCCCGTAATTAAATCCAAACGAGTTTACCATTCAAGGTTTTAACAAGTGCATGTTGCCTCTTCGACCAATCATTTATTGTTGACTCAATTTCGGGGAATTTTCATTTGTAATTTATAATCGGTCAAGCGCAGTTCAGACACGGACTCCGACGTTCAATGGCGGTGAACGGTCCGTGCGTTGTCATGGTGTCCACTCATCAATCTCTATGTAACTTTGTTTGCAGCTTGCACATAGGCCGCCGCGTATGATACGGAACTGTCTTCTAGAATACGACATTGATTGCTTTGCTGTCATGTCAGCGAAGAATACACACTGTATAGTAAGTGAAGCGGCACTCATGGCTCTGTCCATGAATCTCAAGAGCAGTCATTATACTCAATAGGAGAAAAATTGGATGCCTTCCACAAACAGTGTTGCGTGTATGCTGTATATACTTGTGGAATACCTGACAAGCGATCGAAGCACGTCCGGATGAGAACGAAATAGCCGACATGGCCTCAGTATCCAGGTCCGTGATCGATGCGTGTATAGGGTACTTTGCGTAGACATCGGGTGGTGTTAGTGCGTTCAGAATCACAGGTAATTCACGAGAACCAGCTTGATAACGCGTGTATCGGAAGCGTAAGCCCCAGTGACAAAAGTCGCTGGATACGATAAACATGGTATTAGGATCGGCTGCAAAAGGCTGAAGGATTTTGGCGTACTCTTCTGCCACGCTCGGGCTGAGTGAGCCCACAAGAATAGGAACTACGCGAACATCACGTCTGCTCCATACATGCCGGATGTAAGGGTAGTGCATCTCTAGGCTATGCTCGTCCTCGTCGATCTCGGCTGACATGTTGCGAAACATTTTTGTTTTGGCCAACACACGATTCACTGTGCATCAGTGGCAATGGACTTACCCTCAAGATCAACAGAGAGGGGTCCCAACGGAGTCTCCAGTGTGTCAAACTGTGACAAGGCACAGCCCTCCAAGTAGGCGTGGTGCGAAGGTCCCAGGACAAATACACAATGCCTGCGTTAGCATGTGCCACGTACACATTGTCTGGGTCAATGCATTGGTATGCCCATGCGAAAGTAGGCCCTGCAAATCGATAGCCCGCGTGTCTTCGATCAGCGATATATACGTACGGCGCAATAATAGCCTTGCACCCATGGGGAAGAGGGTGCTGCGCCACGGCCGGAGTGTCGGACGACGGTGCTTCTCGCGCAGACGTCGCCAGCCATTCACTTATCATACGTCCAAGATCATGTGCTATTGTCAGGATATACTACGCACGATCGGCAGAGTACCATGTACCTGCATGCGTTGCGGCTCGGGTAGGCATAGAAATGAGGCAAAGATGCGTTGGCCTATGCGGAGTGGAGGCGACGTTACTTGCTCGTGCATCGCATGTGGTGGCGGCCGGGTGCCGGCGTCGGCGCGTCTGCTGCGATGCGCCGCCGTGCAGCGTGGCTACCTTTGGTCGAGCGCTTGTCTACGCGTAGTCTTTCACAGAATGTGACTCTACGGCCCTATCAGCAGGAGTGTGTTGGTGCGTGTCTACAGGCGTTGGAGCGCGGCTGCAGACGTATGGGCGTATCTTCTCCTACCGGCAGCGGTAAAACGACCATCTTTACTGAGCTGATATCAAGAATCAAGCCAGAAAATGATAGGGCCACACAGGCGCTTATCTTAGTGAATGGAGTGACACTGGCACGGCAGGCTGTAGAACGTGTTCGACATATGTTCCCCGACTGGCGTGTCGAGATGGAGCAGGGTTCGAAACATGTGGCCACAGGACATGCAGATGTGACTGTAGCTATGGTACAGACGATAAGACAACCGGAGCGACTAAGTAAGTTTGACCCACGTCGCCTCAAGTGTGTGATTGTTGACGAAGCACACCATGCTACCTCTGCGTCCTACCTATCTGTCTTATCCCACTTCAATTGTGACATTCAAAGTCTAAATCTAGAGAAAATATCTGAAAAAGAATGCAATGTTCCCATCATTGGTTTCTCTGCGACATTTACTCGACATGATGGAGTATCGCTCGGTCAAGTGTTTGAAGAGATCGTCTTCCATAAAGATTTTCTCGATATGATCGACGAGCAATGGTATGTTTTCTATGCTCATCCGACCAGGCTCTGCCCTATTCGTTTCACGCTCATCCGTGCGGACATGGATCTGACCGAGGTGGCGTCGACGGCGTCTGACTACGTTATTTCCTCCCTTGCCAAGGTGGTGAATCAGCCGGATATAACCTCTTTGGTGGTGCGTAGCTGGATCGACCTTGCATGGAAGGTCCGAAAGGCCACACTTGTCTTTGCAGTGGATATACATCACATCAGAGCAATTGTGGACGAATTCAAGGCTCGAGGGATTGATGCACGGGCTATCCATTCCGGTATGTCACATCGCGAGCGCGAGCAAGTTTTGGTCGCTTTCCACAATGGCGCATTTCCTGTGCTGGTTAATTGCGGTGTGTATCAGTACACTAATTAAAGCGATCTTGACAGAAGGTGCCGACGTGCCTCATATTGACTGCATCTTGCTGCTAAGACCGACGAAGTCTCGCAACTTGTATTCACAAATGATTGGACGCGGCATGCGACTTGCGCAAGGTAAAAATGACTGTTTGATCATGGACGTGGTGGGCAACACACAAAACGAACTCGCTTGTTCACCGAAGCTGTATGGCTTGGAAGAATGCGTGCATGTACAAGCTAGCGTGGAAGGTATGCTCTTGTTTCTCACCTCAGACGCAACCCCTCCATATGCTCGACGCGCGACACCGAATATTCCTTCCCATTCAAATTCTTTTATGGATCCCCCTCAGGACGTGATTTTTGTGAATTTTGACGATCCACGCGAGCTTCAACGCGCGATGAGTGCCCATGCACCATCGTCGTTGGAGAAGTTGTCTTCATTCGCGTGGGTAGACTGTGGTTTGAATCTGTACATACTGGGGTCGTGGGATGGCGCCTACATGAAACTCTTCAAAGAGCGGGACCAATGGTTGGGTTACTTCATCTCCCGCAACCCCGAATTTTGGAAAGATTATGCTGCTGGCTTACCCACCTCGTCACCCTACTACAAGCGCAAAGTGCTGGCGAGCGACGACTTTGCGCACGCCATGCATGCAGCTGAGACTTTCATGATTAAGCTATTCCAAGCCCACCAAAGATCTCCCAAATGGCTGTGGCGTACAGCGCGCTGGCGTTCCATGCCCGCCACAGCCAGGTCTCGCGCCACGCTGCAGCGGTTATTGGATCGTGGGGTGGAATCTAATGCCGTTGTGCCCCCTGATGTCACACAAGGTGCAGTACATCGCGCTCTAATTCGTCTTCGTCACGGAGGTAAGGCGCAGTGGAAATCGGCAATGAAGCGGCGCAACAAAGCACAATTGCGTGCCAAGGGGCAGTCTGTGCAAGTAGGTCCCCTGGGTCGCTGATCCTCCACATAATCCTTCAACATGGATAGTGTGGTGGGCTTTTTCGTTAGCATCTTGAGATCGATACTACGGGTTCGTGTTCATCTACTTATATAGACCTTGCTATTGGGGTTTATCCGGAAAAAGTTCCACAGTTTTGGAAACAATTCGCACTCTGGCGCGAATGCTGGGGCTTCCGCGCCGGCGCAGCCGCAGGGCTATCCTTCACAGGGCTATCAGCCCCAAGCTTACACTCCACAAGGTCATGTACCACAGGCATACCCGCCATATGGGTATACAGGACCAGCTGGCGCCCCTCCTCCCTATCCCCAAGGATTTCAGCCGGGCAATGAAGCACCTGGTGGACCCGCTGCGAACTCTGCGCAAATTCTTGGAACGACAGATATCCATCTATTTGACGACAATAACCAGAATGCACAGAATCCTCATTACAAGGAACTTCGTAACAAAGCGAGGTCTGAGGGTGACAAAATGGCCAATGCATTTAAGGCTTCCAAGGCAGCCTATGCTAAAGGCGATGGCGCACGCGCTAAAGAGCTAAGCAACGAGGGCAACATGCATAAACAAAATATGGAGCAACTTAATAGGGAAGCGCGCTTGTGGATCTTTGCTGCTAACAACGCTGACAGCCCGCCGGATACGGTCGACCTCCATGGCCTGTATGTAAAGGAGGCCCTAGCCAAAGCAGAGGAAGCCGTGCAAAAAGCCCAGGCGCAAAACTTTCCTCAACTGAAGCTCATCGTCGGAAAAGGTATTCACTCACGAGATCATGTGGCTCATGTCAAGCCCGCTGTCGAGGACTTGCTACGCAAGTATCATCTTAATGCCCATGTGGATAAACACAATGCAGGTATTGTTGTTGTCAATTTGCAGGGTCCGGTGGGTGGTGGTCAGGCCAACTTTACGCGTGACATTGCTCAGCAGGCTACTGGAGATGAACAAGAGGTATGTGAACCACTCCTGATTGCCAGTGTATCGTCATGTAAAGGGAAGCCAAGAGGACCAGCGCTCCCAACCTCGTGATATCGATTTCAATCCATCGGGAGCTTTTGCAGTCCCACTTAATCGTAGGCCACGCACACGTGCACTCACCGCCTCTAATAAAAAGGGGTACGCTTGGTCTAATGTTGTTTTTAAAAAGAGATCTTTGGAATAGAGCATTTTTCTGGCTGAATAGGGTGCCAGCTGATTGTACCGCCGGATGACTTGGTTGAGTTGGTGCACAGCTTCTGCATGAAAATTGGCCTCGCGTCGAATCCACTCTGGATCACGAAATCCTTGGACCCAGTTCAAAAGTCGCGCTTGGCCGGCATCCATGCTCTCGTCAACGTAGAATACCGGTAATTCTGTCTTGTTATCGACACGACCCCAGTCCACTCTGACAGGAGTAAACTGGTGCCAGGCCTCAGATTCATCTAGGCACATAAGCGCTCGACAAATCCATGCATGCTGAATTCGTTGTCGCAAAGTCTTTTCTTCCGTCTTCACTTCCACATGCAACTCGACCCAGGGTGGTCGTGCTCCTTGGCGGTGAACCATGCGATTTAGGAAAAATTCTTCGCGCCCTAAATAAGGATTGCCTTCATTATGGTCCACAACAATAGGTTTCCCGCGTAGTGAGTTGCGCTCAAATACTCCACGATGCCTTGCTTCCTCAATCTTTTGTTCAGCTAGTCCCGCGATGCCTTTGACAGCCCCCACCATAGCTATCAATGGACGGTGTTGTTGTGTGCTTTCCACGGAAGCACTTCCCTTTCCATTGTGATTCAATTTAATTTGCACAGCATTTTCAACACGCTCGTTTTCCACTACACGACGAAGCGACTGCCGAACATGGGCCATGGCCTGCCTGTTGGCGAGAGGAAGTTGAGTGGGTGAGAGGCCCATGGTATCGAGTTTCTTGGCCATGGCCGATTTAGGTGCCTCAACGTTCAGATAGCGCCCCCGATACACTTTAGGTGAGTCCGCGCGCGCATGAGTTGGCGTAACAAAGACAGCATTCCAAGGTTGTCCTTCTGGCGTATATGGCTTGGCTCGTGCTACAGGTTTTTCTTCCAGGCTCGATAGTGGTCGCTCTGACGGTTTTTGTGATTTTTGGAGGCGCTCAAGTTCAGAGTCTCTGCCACTAGCACCACTTCTTAGGGGCTTGTACTTGTCCATGAGCATTCGTAATACAGCATCTTCCAGTCGCTCGTCCCCTGTCCATACGGGATCCTCTCCAGGGGATGCCCGTCGCTGTTTCTGCTGCAAGATCTTCTCTTCTTTTACAGCATCTCGGAACAACTGATCCGAAGCACGCTGTGAGTACTGCGCACACCTCGGCAGTTTGATGGTACGTGCACCCCGCATAAATGGACCAATCCCTATTAGCATGATGGGCGTGAAAGAACTCCACCTACGTCTATTTCGCCAAGGTCTCCTCATTGACCAGCTCTCCAACGATAGGATACTTTCCTGCAAAGTGGGTCTCCCAGTCAGCCATATTTTTTCGTTCTGCATCTGTCAAGTCGGATAATGTATCAATGGGCTGGTCAAGAGGAGTGAGCATATCTCGTGTTAGTATGAAGTCCGTACCTAAAGCAAAGGATTGCTTGGCCATTCCACGCGACGCATCGCGGCCAGCAAAGTTACCATATGCGCCATTTGGTCCATAAAAGTTTTTTCCTTTCGTCACATCAAACACGTTTCCGTTGATGGCAAGTAGAATTCGTGACTCTTTCCCATTTTCTCCAGGAGTCGTACCATCGTGAAGTGCGAGCGTACGAGGAGTGTACCTTGTCCACTCTATCGATTCTGGATGCGAATTAGGAAGCGTAGAGTACTGGCTGTTGTAATGAATATTCTTAGCATCCTTTACCGATGGCTGACTGAGCTCTGATGTCGCATCTGGAATCAGGAACAAGTAATAAACAACAGGTGCAACAAGCACCAACAGGAATAGATTCACAGGATTGTCGTAGATTGCATGAAAGTGCTGCGGTTACAAAAATGAACGCACTGGTTGAAGAACTGGGGGAAGCAAGGATGAAATGATTTGTCCCATGTCGAGGTCCGTTCGCAATGGTGTGAGAACAGCACGCCACTAGGCCTTGGCACTGTGCTTCTGCTTAGTCAGACATAAACGGTGGGCGAAGTGACTCGTTACATCTCTACGAGCATGTCGTATCTACCCCCACCCCAGCTCCAAACACTAGCGATCCATGCAGACCAACCGGACCACAATGAAGTTGAATCTTATCCGGCAGCTCCTCCTATATCTATGAGCACCACGTTTCGACATCCCCATCCTGATAGCGAACTGGCCAAGAACGGCATTAGTATGGAGGAGCGGCCTGAGAATCCTGCCATTCACGTATACTCCCGTTACACACAAGAAACGCGCCTTCGTGCAGAATCAGTCATCAACAAGATGGTAGGTGGGCATGCACTTTTGTATTCATCTGGCCTTTCAGCTGCTGCGTCGGCATTAGATTTCTATATGCCGTCGACGATCGCGATTCGCCGCGGGTACTTCGGTGTGCATGCTGTGATTCACAAATATTGTGCAGGAAGAAACGTCAAAGTCATAGATCTGGATGATGATTATCCCGTTTCGGATGGGGCGCCAGCGACTGGTGACTCGGATCGACGCCACGGAGCAACATTGGTTTGGGTAGAAACCCCTCTAAATCCAACGGGTGAGGCCAGAGACATGGAACATTATGCAAGACGTGCTCATGAAGCCAATGGCTACATGGTTGTTGATGCCACTCTCGCACCACCCCCTCTTCAGGATCCCTTTCGGCACGGTGTAGATATGATCATGCATTCTGGCACGAAATACTTTGGCGGCCACTCTGATCTTCTTATGGGTGTTCTAGCAGTGCAAAGCTACAAAAATTTTAAGCATCTCTGGGAAGAACGTTCTGAGAATGGTCGTGTGCCTGGTAATCTCGAGACTTACCTGCTTCTTCGCTCTCTTCGAACGATGCCCCTTCGCGTCCTGCGACAGAGCGAGACTGCCACAAAGCTAGTCAAGTTTTTGTACAGTCTCACAGAAGGCCAAAAGTCGGACGCGAATGTACCAGTTGAGATTGCACACGGGCGCGTTATCAAACAGGTGTGGCACTCATCGCTCCAGCCTCGAGTAACGCTGGATGAGGAACTCGAAGATACGGTGAGGGAAAATCATGACTTTGATCCTTCTTCTCAGCTTCCTCTTGGTGGCTCGCCTACTTTTGGAATACTTGTTTCCAATGAAACGTATGCCAAGTATCTTTCACACTACTTGTCTTACTTTATTGTACGTTTCTATTGATCGACTCACACGCAGCCCGCAACCTCCCTGGGAGGTGTGGAATCTCTTATTGAACAAAGAGTCCTTGCATCACCGGACATCGATCCGCGAATCTTGCGCATATCTGTGGGTCTCGAGGACTTTGAGGACCTCAAAGCCGATCTAATGGCTGCTATGACACGATTAGTAGAAGAGCACTCTCCCTCATGTGTCTCTATCAAATAGACCAATCATTTTCCATTCTTCCCCACATTTGTTTTGTGGGGGTGGGTATGAGGCACGCGATTGCACGTGGAGCACGCATTTTTCCTCCCGTCGCCGCTGTGCGAGCGATCTGGTGTGTTGAGGTCCACTAGAGTTGTTTTCCATATCATAACTATATTTATGATGCGTATGAATATTGCCGCTTTATGTTTTACAATTGTGCTAATCGGCAATGCGGTTGCACAGCTGATCGATGACATGTATGTTTTTCTTGGTTATTGACCTCAGTAACGCTATACCAGCACCACTTGTTGCTCGTGCTACAAATGGGACCGTATCGTCATCTATTAGCCAGGGTCCTACACCTAGTGCATCTAATCAACTTGAGCATACAGGCTCGGCTGCCGTGGGTGCTACAGCCACACTTTCTGCTGATACAGCCCAAGGCACCTGTACGTTCAACAACGACTTGGATGGGAACCAGCAGGCCAGTTGGACTGAATCAATAGTGACGACGTGTTGTACTGGCGAGAAGACTACGACATGCTGGTACCGCATTCAAGCTAAAGTTGATGCCGCTGACGCTTGCAAGATCCCTGTATGCGCTGACTTGAATTCAAATGATCCTGAAAGGATGGCTGCATTTAGGCCCCTCTCAGGTACTAACGGCGAAGGAAAGTACCAGAATATTTTCCCTATCCTTTTCTTGAGCAGTGGATTGAAGACGGCTATCCCGCTTTTGCTGTTTGTTATTGCCCCGATTTGCGCATCCCTTGTGCTTCTCTTGTAACTTTTCATCAACCAATACCCATGTTACAACATTTGAGCACAGATGTAGAAACATGTACCATAGGATCGTTTGTTTCATGACGGAGTCACATCGAGAGATTGTTTGGTTCTACTTTAGCTTGCCTAAAGTACGACATAGTGAATGTCAATCTGCCGTACAGGGTCTATTCACAGGGTATCGCCAAGTCATTATTAATTGACGTACACTTTGGTCAATCTCTGAAATTTGATGCACTAACTCTTTTGATAAATGTTATCACGATCATACTTATTATAGGAGCTAAATCTATATACAATTCAACTCGAATACGTGTGTATTTACCCCTTAAGATGCCTGCTGGTCCCCATTTCACAAACCACTGTTCGGAATCGAATTGAACAACTAGTTACTTACGTTCTTTGTTTGGCCCTCCACATTGCATGGAACCAGCACGACGGAGGTGACATGGTCGCACTTAAAGAAATCCCCATCACAGAGTCAGATTTGTCCCAAGACATGTTTGAGCTCGATATGACTGCATCAATTTGGTCAGACCTGGAGCCTATGCCCCCTAACGATGGCCCAGAGCCTCTCTGCCCCATCCTATATGACCCTGAATGTACGTTTTGCCTATCTAACCTGTAGACTCGAAGGCAATGGGCCTGTTCCGAGCCCTGCTCAGTCTTCATAATGGGGAGGTTGAGGTCTCTGAGAGGGCCCTATCTCTAACCATGCACTTGGTGCAGATCAACCCTTCCAACTATACCATTTGGCAGTACCGCGCCTCAGTTTTAATGAAAATGGCAGAGGGTAGACAAGACAAGACCTTGCTGAAAGAGGAAATCAGTTTCCTGAACGAATTTGCTCGTGAAAATATGAAAAACTATCAAGTCTGGTATGTGTATATGCTCTCATGATATCTAGGCAGCACCGGAAATTGGTTGTTTCTATGCTTGGCGATCCCTCGAATGAGATGGAGTTTATCGAGACAACACTCAATGTCGACGCAAAAAACTACCATACCTGGGCCTATAGACAATGGGTGTTGGTCTATTTTGGGGGTATTGGTGATAACCAACACGGCATGTCCTCTCCAGGTGCATCACAATTTCCTCAACTCTGGGATGCTGAATTGGCCTATACCGATATGATGATCCGTCGGGATATTCGTAATAACAGTGCTTTTAATCATCGTTGGTTTTGTATTTTCGGACCTGCATTGCAATACAGGGAGCAGTTGGATCCTTCACTAGAAAAAAAGCGCGAGGATGAAATCTCTTATGCACTTGAAATTGTGGCAATGGCGCCGAATAATGCTAGTGCATGGAACTATCTCAGGGGGTACGCATCGGTGATTTTATTCTAACGACTAGGCTTCACCAATCTCTATCTCCGATCAGACCATTGATAAATCTTGAATTAAGGGCCACTGAATTCTTATCAAACAAAGACCATGCATACGCTGCTCAACATCCAGAGGAAGACCAAGCGAACCAGACGTCACCTTATGCACTTGAATGGCTCTTCGACGCGTCCTTGGAGGCCATGGATGCGGGTGATACTAATAAAAGACAACTTGCTGAATTAGTACGCAATAGCTACTGACACAGCTTCTCGTTCGACTGCGCAACACTGACCCGGCCCGGGTTAAGTACTGGGACTACTGCGAGCAGCGACTACTCTCATAGAATAGTGGAGGTTGTAACTGCACCGCTTCACGGCATGCAGGATTTTGGCAGTGGGTGAACGCATGGCAGGGCTAATGGACAGTGGGGCGCTATCGCCCTCACAATGAAGAATCTGAGAGAGAGGAAATCCATCGCAGTCGACCGAAGAGTGAAGGGATATCGCACAAATCCCGAGTAGTTCGATGTAAGTATCCTCAAACTAACCAAAGTTGAGATCCCGTTCCATATTTGGTGGTTCGTACCACGCCTACAACTAACGAAAGTGGGAACTGTAATATTCATATTGCTCAAGGTGTGCGGTTTAATGCTACTAAAAAAATGGTTTCACAGTACTACTCAACGCCCATTTGGTCTTTCCTGTGCAAATGCCATAATTGTCAAGCCTTTTTCGAGATTCGTACCGACCCTAAGGTTTGTTGATATAATTCTCATCCAAGAATTCACAATATGTGGTTGAATCAGGTGCAAGAAAGAGGGTTACAGAATGGGAACCCTCCGAAGATGATCATGTGTTTGGCTCCGGCACGTATATGCGGCTGACACAGTAGATCCTTCCGAGAAGCAAGATGCAGATGCCTTCGCACTTTTAGAGAAAGAGAAACTACGCAAAACCCAAACAGCTGTTCATCAGGACCGCGTATTAGAACTTGAAAAGCTCTCTGCTGAACAATGGTCAGATCCATTCTCCAAAAATGCTCAAATGAGGAAGAGCTTTCGACGTGAAAAACGAGCTCGACTGCGTCGAGAATTGCAGGACGCTGACTTTCGCCGAACTATAGGCTGGGACTCTAGTCGAATTCTTGCATCACCTAGCTCGAGTGAGCCGGGATTCACGACCCCGGATATACGTCGGGCTTGGCGACAAGCTCAAGATGGTAGGCGCTACAAACTCTCCAGCAACTTGGAACACACCACCCAGAGACCATCACCTAGAATTACGCAGGGCCTTTCCAAGGCAGGGCAATCTTTAGCAGACCGACTAATGGCAAACACAAAATCCAAGCGCGAAAAATCAAGCCGCTAGTTTGTATTTGTATGTATATTATCGTATACCTAGATGATCTTCTTCCCAGACACCTCAGGGGTGGCCACCTTATCAGGCACAGTCTTATTCTCTTGCGGAAGCAGAGTGCTAATCTGTAATCCTGTTGACCTTTGCACGTCCTGAACACCGGTGGAGAACAACGAACGAAGTTTGTCTCCCGTCATCGTGAGGTGATCCACACCAGTGTACCAATACTGCTGAGCCTTTTCCCAGTAGTTACGCCGAGTCTCACTCAACTGGGGTGCATACTGATATTCTTTTTTCTCGTAGTACTCGACCAAATTATCAGAAGTCTTTGGCAGGAAGTACTTCATGGATGCTGCAAATACCACGGGAGGAACAAACCAGCGGACGGGGAACGCGCCTGCTGTAAACAAAGAAATACATACGGTAGCGAGTAAAGACCATGCTGGCCAAGGTAGCCACGCCCACATACAGGCCATTCGGAGTAAGCGACTCGTCCTTAGACATAAGTTTGGTCATACGGTCTCATGTAAGCAGCTGCTGACATACTTTCAACACGATGTTCAACATTCACGACAGAGTCGACACCCGAGCGAACCGAACGGAACGCCTCACCCGTGTACTTCTGTGCTGTCTGGCGGAGCTTGGAAATTTGGCGCTCCAGCTCAGTGGTAGTCTCAACGACGTAAGTCTCCTTATCGGGTTCAGGGTACACTGATAGCTTTTCCTGCTCGTCATTAGCTGCTAAGTTCATGATTTCACGTACTGTCGGAACCATTCTTACGTCGATCGATGCTTAAGTTTGGTTCTGTCGGTCGGTGCGACCCGATCCACTACCGTGGGCATTACGCATAAATCCACATTACGACATTACGTGCGCGTCCGTGCTTCGACATTGAGCTTGCTCCACACTCAATCATGTCGGACGAGGAGGTACGAAGGGCGAATTCACACAAAGTTCATGATGGAAGACACTTTAGATGACGAGGAGGCATGCATTTCCATTCTGACTTTAGGACTATGACTTCGAATACGAAGATGACGAAGAGGAGGAGGATGCCGATGCGCAGATCGAGAACAAGTACTACAATGCGAAGAGTAAGTTGAGCAGCCTGACCAAAGGCATCAAAACTACCCAACCTGAACAGGCTCTCTATGAGTTTCAGGAAATAGTTGAACAAGAAAACTCGAAATCTGAATGGTATGCGACGTAGTTAACATGCAGGGGCTTCAAGGCATTGAAACAGCAAGCGAAGATTCAATCTCTAGCAGGCAAGTATGAAGAAGCACTCGGGGCCTACCGAAGCCTATTTTCGTACATGCACGCAGGGGTTACTCAGAATTATGCGTATGTGCAATAAGGTTGACAGCAGCGAAAAGTCGATAAACTCACTTCTAGACTTCGTTTCAGCTTCTTCGGTTGTACCGCTGGATTATTTACAGGCATTCTATGATATCCCAAAAGAACTTGCACCGTCATCAATTTATGATCGCATTAAAGTAAAGTTAAAGCTCAAGCTGGCACGATCTTGGCTGTCTCGTTGTGCATGGTCAAGACTCGAGAAGGTATGGCGCTTGGACTGACACCCAGACACTGCAAAGTTTGCGTGCTATCGAGTTCGGTGACGGCAAGTATAATTCCCAGGGACAAGGCACGACACTGCTGGAGTTACTCTCAATGGAAATTCAGATGTACGATAAAATGGGCAAAGCCGACATGGTGAAGGTGCGTCAAAGTGTGGTAACTCAAGAAATCGTATGAGACAGCACTTGGAATCGATAATGCAATTCCACACCCATGCACAATTGCAATCATCCGAGAGTATGGAGGCAAAATGCATATGGCGGAGAGTAAGTGACCTGCACTGATGACAGAAAACTGGCAGGCTGCTCAAGTGGACTTCTTCCAGGCGTTCAACAATTACGACGAAGCAGGGAGTCCCCAACGGGTAGTTGTATTGAAATACCTTGTGCTCGCTCATATCCTTATGGGCAATGGAATCAACCCATTCGATTCCCAAGAGACGAAGCCTTATAAAGACGATGTGGAAATGGCTCCTCTGGTGGCCCTCTTGAGCGCATATGAATGCCGTGATGTTCACAAGGCTGTTGCTATTGTGAATGAGTCACGCGATACTCTAATGAAAGATGACTTTATCCGTATTCATTTACCTGATGTACTTCATGAGCTCCGTGTACAGTACATTCAAGAGTACGTGAAGCCTTATCGCAGCGTTCGACTCGAACGGCTCGCACATGTAAGTACGGCTTTCTGACCATAGGAATTACAGCAGTCTGCGCAAGAGATTGAGTCCCTTCTGGTCACGCTCATTCTCGATCAGCGAATCCGTGGACAAATTGATCAGGTGGCACAATCCCTAGAGCTGCACCACATCGATCACAGCACTGCCTATCTTCTACGTCGAGCTCTCATTCAAGGCTCCACTGAGATCGCACATATGAACCAAGCAATTTCGAGATCCGAAGGTACGTGCAGAGTTGCCCCCTTGTATTCATGCTAGAATAGCAAATCGTGGCGTGATGTTATAATTTTGACGCGTGTGTAGAAGTTCATGACTAGCTTCGGCGCACAGACCATATGCTCCACTCCAATCATTTTCTAGTTTACAGGCGTGGATGTACGTCGGACCAACATTTTGGCCATTCGGAACAATGCACCAGGAAATCCAGCTTCTACGTAGTTGAACGCCACTTCTTAGTGTCGAAGGCTGTACGTTATGCAAAGCTTTTAAGCAAAGCAGCATCGAGCTAGTTCTTCATCCCCTCCCTCCCCCCCTCGGTTCTGGCAACCGGCACACCTCGGTATTAGCGTTGATCGCATACCCTTCTACATTCCTTGATCTCACTCTCTTTGAACTCTACCCATTCACTATTACAATGCAGTACTTTGTACTTCCCGCTATTGTAACTGCCACTGGTCTACTTGCTGGTGCTGCTCCTGTGAACAAGGAGGAGACTGGTATTCAGCCACTTGCTCCGCCTGCCACACGTCCTGGAGCTCCTCTGGTCCTCCAATGGAACCCTGATGTGTCGGGTTCCAAGGATTGGAAGCATATGTCTATTTCTCTGGTGTCGGTCGGCCAGGATGGCCACGAGAAGACTACCAAGCTCGCCTCGAACATCGATGGCACGAACCCGAGCAAGACGAACTACACAACGGAGGCTCCGAAGCACCCTAAGAACTCCAATGTGTACTTTGTCGAGTTTTCTGACGGTAAGACGAAGAAGAAGTCGCCTCATTTCACCATTGAGAATGCGGACAGCTCGTACCACGTGCGCCGCCATGCTTACTCGGAGACACCTGGAGCGGTTCCTGACTCTGAGCTTTACTCGGAGTCGAACCTCGATGAAAGTACTGCTGGCAATTCGATGCGCCCTTCGGACCTTGAAGCTTTGAACTTGCAGGACCAGGATGAGAGCAGTGCGAATGGCCAGCGCGCAGCAGACCACATTCTTTCGCCCCAAGGGCAACTAGGTGGTCCTGTGAATATTGGTGGCATAATGTACGTGCCACTGGTCCCCACTGGCATGCTCGAGTCTTTGGTTCGCGATCATGGACATGCTCGACCCACTCAGAGTACCTCGAACAATACTGCGAGTCACCCTAACAGTACGTCTAGTGGCTCTGCAACGCGCACTCCGACCAGTGCTGACCGAAACATGATGGCGCACTTTGAGTCCGAGGGTCAGCAATTGATCCCCGAAGGTCTTCGCCCAACGTCGTCCAGCGGAAGCAGCCATGCGACGGAATCGGTGATGTCGTCGCCTGAGACCTCTTCTCATCGTGGACACTCTACCAAGTCGGCAAATGCGACAGCCACAGGCACGAAGACAAACCACGCCTCTAAGACGTCTCATAAGAGTTTGGAGGATGAGCTGAACTCGGCTTCGTTGCCAGAGAATTTGAGTTCTCGTACGGGCTCGCTCGCGTCGGCAACTGGAACTAGGGCTGCGTCGGCTAGCCCCACGTCAGCCTTGTCTGCTACCGCATCGCATGGTTCACATGGCCTGGATAATGTTGCCTCTCAACTGTTCAATGTGCCTGCAATGAAGAAACGTTCAGACAATGAAATGAATCACATCATTTCGCGTATCGCTACGGCGAACCCTCAGGTGAGCCGTGCCTTTGCAGCGAACACCAGTGGTGCTGGTCGTGGCAACCTGACAAACACGGCATCCAGCAACGACAGCAGCAGCACCTCTAGTGCTCCCTCGTCTACTTCAGGCCAGGGTAAGTCGAAGCAACAAGCTGAGAGTACGGGACATCACCATGGCAAGGCTTCTTCAACGGCTTCTGGGTCGTCGTCGTCGTCGTCGTCGTCGTCGTCGCCGACGTCCTCTTCGAACAGTACTTCTGCAAAGCCCACATCGGCATCTTCACGTACATCCGGCAGTAGCGGTGCTCATCAACTGAGTGCTGAGGTGCTGAGCTCTCTGGCTACGATGTCAACGTCACAGATGCCTGAGGCGTTAAGCTCGCTCGGCATCACCCAGTCGGTGTCGCTGTTCGCTGGTATGGACCCTCTGGCTGGTTTCAGGTCGTCGAGCCAAGATACTAAGACGTCGTCGTCGTCGCCATCGTCTTCGCAGCCGTCGTCTTCGTCTTCGTCTTCGTCTTCGTCTTCATCGCTGTCGCCGTCGCAGTCCTCAACCTCGACCTCGTCTTCGCAACCCTCGTCTTCGTCATCGTCGATTTTGGACTCGACGTCTGCTTCTACGCATCACCATGCTGGCAATGCAACACACGCTCGTAACAACAGCTCGTCTGCGGCTAAGCCAACCTCGGTGTCTAGCGGCAGCCTAACGCGCTCTCGCGGTTCTGGCACCCGCACTTCGGGGTCGCAAAGCCAAAGCAACGATATGTCGGATATTCTTGCGCAGGGCATCCTTGGCGACACAGGCCTCTCTCCTTCCCAGGTGAGCCAGTACTATGGCAGCCGCAGCGGCCACAGTAGCAACAGTGCCCAGAGCTCTCACAGTGGACACAGGTCGCAGGGCGCCAAGAGCCATGGTCAGGGCCACATGTCTGCCTCGCTTCATTACCAACATGGCTATCAGAGCGTGTCGCAGAGCTTGTAAACTGAAGTGGCTATCTCATTGAGTCAATGACGTGAAATCAAGGTATCTTTCCCCTTTACTCCCTACCAGTGCGCATGTGTCCCTCGTTTCTTCCCCTTTCCATGCTGTACTTGGATGTATGTAGTGCCTAACCAGAATGAATTAACAATTTTATATATTGTCTGCGTTCGTTGGTTCCTGTGCGATAAATGTTACTTAAAGGCGAGGCGTTACGCCAGACGCCATGGGACCCAAGTAGGGCTCATGCAGGAAAGCAGCAATTCGTTCCACTTGCTCAACACCAAACCTTTCGTTAGTTCTTTTTACGCACGCTGCAACACTCGCACGATCAGATTCACGAGTGGCTACAATCCATGGAAAACCAAAAGCGCCCTGATCCACTAAGGCCTCGGCCTCTTGGGCCAAAAGACGCCGGGTCTCTTTTGAAAAAGCAGTGTTAAGCAGGGTGCTAATCTCTTCTGCAGTAAATGTAGGTTGCAAAATTTTCTCCAGGGCCTCGCGGTCTAGCTCGTGATGGCCTACGTGCCAAATTTCATGTAGGCACTTATTGATCATCTCATTGAGCTTTTGAGGGTACCTTTCCTTCATGACACGCAGCATACCCATCACTGGGAAGGTCACAAAGGGAAACTTTGAGGGTATTTTTAATTTCACTGAATTAGTGTGCAAACGTACCTCCGTACATACGATCTGCCGCTTGAAGCAAATGGATCATATGGGCTCCCTTGTTGGGCACAGACACGGGAGGCTGATTGTTGGCGAACTTCATCACATATGCCAGACTAGATGGCTGCCAATCAATTTTAATAGGCCATTTTTCACTATAACGCTGCAGCACATGGTAGCCAATGTAGGACCAAGGCGATACGCAGTCAAACGAATACACAATTTGGTGGGGCATGGAGTGATGTGATGTGTGGAGTAGATCCTTATGCTCCGACACGCCATGGCCAACCTTTCAGCTGTGCCACGCTATATTGAGATTGCCGTTAATTTAGGTGATCCCATGTTTCAGGGCGAGTATCATGGGAAAAAGAAGCATGAAGGTATGCTTAAGGGTCTTATGCAGGTGATCTCGAGCATGTTATTCGACGTGCCGAGCAGGCTGGTGTCTCGGCGCAGGTTATCACGGCTGGCGCCTTGACAGAGCTTCCGTCTGTACTGCAGCTAACGGATATGCGTTCCTCGTTTTTCTGTACGGCAGGCTGTCACCCTACACACAGTTCAGACATGGAGACCTATGAAGGCGGTCCTGAAGCGTTTGTGTCGCGACTGCAGCAATATATCCAGGAACATGACCGCATTGTAGCTGTGGGTGAATGTGGACTAGGTATGTGCCACAGACTTATGCAGACTATGACCGTCTTCACTTTGCTTCTGCAGAAACGCAGAAGCGCTGCTTCGACCTTCAGCTACAAATGGCCACCAAAGTCCGACTTCCCCTCTTCCTGCACTCACGAGCTGCGCATAAGGATTTTGTGGACATCCTGAGGCCTTACCTGAATTCGTTGCGGCCACCTGAAATACAGACGGACAAAAGTAGTCCTGGAAGTGTTGGTGTAGTGCACAGCTTCACGGGTACGGCAGAAGAACTCCATGAGTTGCTCGACCTCGGACTCTACATCGGCGTGAATGGTTGCTCGTTAAAGACCCAGGAGAACCTGGATGTTGTGAAGCGGATTCCCTTGCACAGGATCCTTCTAGAGACAGGTATGTGCTCTTTAACTAATGGTAGACGCCCCGTGGTGCGATATCCGCCCCACGCATGCTTCTGCCAAGTACCTGGACGAGTTCAAGGCAAAGGAGCGAGAGCTAGCTGCTGTGTACTCGCCGCCGAGAGCTAAACCCGAGAAGTGGTCACCAATGACAGCTGTCAAAGGACGCTGCGAGCCATGTCAAATCGGGGAGGTCGCAGCGGTTGTCGCGAGAATCCAGGGCGTGTCACTCGCTACGCTGGCTGCCCACGCGTACCAAAATGCCGTAGCGCTGTTTCGGCTACCAGTCTTATAGCCACGTGCCAAGCCCGATCGCGCCGTCGGCTACGGACACGCTCGATCGTCGACTCCTCCACTGTACGATGGACACGGAGCATGACGAGGCGGTCTCCCAGCTGGGCGGCCTGGCCCTCGGGCAGCTGCTCGAGGACCTGGGCGTTGTCAATGCAGACTCAGATCTGAGTCGCATTGGCCTGGGTAGTAGTAAGGTGACTTCCGCGCAAGCCCTGAAACGCGATGAAATCTATCGCAATGACTTTGATGACGAAGCAGAGGACGAAGTCAGAGATGAGGCAATGGAGGATGAGGAAGAAAAAGCCGAGCCTTCAGAACCCGTAAGTTCATCCATCCGACCTCTGCGCCACGGCACGTTTAAGGTCCGTGGCGAGGATGATGACTTTGCCGACGAAGAAGAGAGAGAGCCCGCGCCAGCGAAAGAACCACAGCAAGAGACCATCACGGCCCCGAAAACCGAGAAGATGGCTGAGCAGGTATTGAGCCCTCGGTCAGAGGCTCTAAAATTGTTTCCTGACTTCCAGCCGGGGAAGATTTTGGACTTTACTGAAATGTTTGGTACACGATCGCTTAAGCGCCGAAAGTTGGTCGGCAAGCTTCCAAAGAATGCAAAACCTGTACACGATATTGATGCCCCCATAACAGAAGAGCAGACGCTGTTGTCGACGCAGCATGTCGAACCAAAAACAAAATTGTCGGCAGTTGCCTCTTTCGCACGACCCTATATGGGTGGCAAGCAGCATTCGATGGCCCATATCGAATGCAAAGTGCTGTATGATGATGATGTGGAAGACCGTGAACCCCATCGTATTACGGAAAATATTAACAATGTTGAAGTGGATGACTGGGAACAGCGTGTGGTTTTACCGCAGGCACCTACGGACGAGCAAAGTGTCGTTCCCTTTACGCCGAGACCTACGCTACAAGATATTAGCCGCCCGCGCAACACCGAGCTGTCTAAAGGTGTCTGGTTTGAAAATATTATCTGGAACCCGCACAGCAACTTTCGACCATTTGATCGTCTGATCATGGACATGAATGATGCGGACATGATCCTTGAAAGTGAAAAGACACAATCCGAAAAGCAGGTATCGCTGCTACGTGCGGACGCACCGCCCAATCTTCTCAAGTCAAGCAAGTACGTGGGCGAGCTGGATCCGTTCAACCTGTCAAACGATCGCATGTACGAATTGAGCAAGGAACACAGGCACCGCGTGCGGCAAACGCTGGGACAGTTAGTGGTACGTCATGCTTGGCCTGCAATCAAGTTGCAGCTGCCCTTCTACAAGACGCGGCTTTCGAAGCACGAGACTCGCTCGTGGCACCGGCCGCGGATCCAGTTTCCTTCCAACATGCCCATCACGTTTTCGAGAGTACGTTCATCGCGCAAGTCCAAAGATGGTGAGCGCAAGTCCAAGGATCCCAGTGAAGTGCTGCATAGCACACGCGACCTGACTCTCAAGGATGCCAGTAATTTTATCCTGTGTGAATACTCGGAAGAGTATCCACCGCTGCTTTCGAACATTGGCATGGGCAGTCTACTAGTGAATTATTACCGGAAAAAGGATGCCAAGGACGATCATATTCCGCGCGCGGAGTTGGGTGAGGCATTTGTGTTGGACACGACAGATGAGTCACCGTTCATGAAGTTCGGAAGTGTTGAGCCTGGGCAAACGCAGCCAGTGTTGTACAACAACATGACGCGTGGCCCCCTCTTCCGGCACAAATCGTCGCAGAATGAGTTCTTGTTTATCCGGAGTACAACAAAGAAAGATGTAAAGTACTATCTGCGGGACATCCCGAACCTGTTTGTGGTGGGCCAGACATACCCGACGACCCCGATTCCTGGTCCTCACGCGCGTCTTGTAACGAACAACATCAAGTACCGCTTACAAATGATCACCTATAAGCTGGTGGAAAAGAGTCATGCGCACCGCATCAAGATCCACCGCGTGATGAAGTACTTTCCTGATCAGAATGAATTACAAATGCGGCAGCGTTTGAAAGAGTTTATGGTGTATAACCGCAAATCGGGTGATGTGCACCAAGGCTTTTGGCGTCTCAAACCGGATGTACCAATCCCTGACGAGGCAGAGCTGCAAAAGCTGCTCACGCCCGAGCACATTTGTCTGGTGGAAGGCATGCAGGTGGGGCAGCGGCATTTGCTGGATGCTGGCTTCACCAAGACAGCCGAAGGTGCGGAAGATGATGGTGACGAAAGCAAGCTGGAGATTGAGCAGCTTTTGGCACCATGGATCACTAGCAAAAACTTTTTGCATGCAACGCAGGGCAAGGCCATGCTCAAACTACATGGTGAAGGAGACCCCAGTGGACGAGGTGAGGCGTTCAGCTTTGTACGTGTATCCATGAAAGAGATCTTTTTGCGTGCGGGCGAGGACGTAGATGAGCGCTTGGCGGCCGAGGCGGAGGCACGCGCCAAGTCGGGTCACCGCTACAATGTGGCGGAACAGCAGGCGATTTACCGCTCAGAGATTGACCGGATTTGGCGAGCACAGCTCGCCGCACTATCGAACCCTGAGCCCCCCAAAGTCACGCCGAAGGAAGAGCAGCTGTGGCGCGAGGAGCAGCGCAAGGAGAAGCTTCAGGAGCAGAAGGCCACCAAGCCTCTACTAGTTAAGCGCCTGGTACGTGTGCACTGACTGACCTAGTTCAACGGCGTATGGTACAAGCACATTGTGCGTGACCCGTCTGTTATCAATGCCTACGTGAAGCAGCGCCAGGAGATTGAAGAGCAGAGCATTGTGACTGAGTCGCTGGTTCCCACAGGCGATGCAGCTCTAGATGCGCTACGCAAGAAGCGCCTCGAGGAGGAAATTGCTGCGCGTGTTAAGAACCAGGACCGTCGTTTGCAGCGCAAGAATGCCAAGGCAGCCGCCGAGGGGCTGTCTGGCGACTACAAAAAGCTACCGAACAAGACCAACACCAAGCGGCGCTGTGGACGCTGCGGTATGGTGGGTCACATGTCGACGAACAATGCGTGTCCCCAGTACCAGAATAACGACCCGACGGGCCGGGGTGGGGCGGGAGCTGGCAATTCGGTACGCCCACCAAGCGTTATGCCGATGCCGAACAGCACCTACTATACCAATGCGTCAAACCAGCAGTCGTCAGGGAGTGCTAGTGGGTCGATGCTGTTCCCACCATATGGCCTACCTGGATCCATGGGACCCCAGTCCCCTATATAATTGGGTATCATACTCTGGTAGTGGTACGCGGCAACTGGGACAAATATGCTTGATCTCCATCCACGACACAAGACACGCTGTATGAAAAATGTGGTGGCACTAATGTCAGTGTCTCATACATACTGGAGTCACCATGACACCTGATGGCGCCGTCGTGGAGCGCCAGCGGCCCTTTTTGGAAGGCATATGAGTCTCGGCCGCCCAGTCATTAGGCATGAGACAAATGGGACAGTCGCCCAAAGGCATCGACGCTGGATCAGGTGCCATCTCAGCATCGGATGGGAGAAGCGCAGCGAGCGCTTCTGGTGAAGGATGCCAGTCCCATTGCTGCTCGGCGCGGCGCCACATGCGTGGGAGGAAAAAGAGGGGGCCGAGATAGGTCTGGCCCAGAAGGAGAAGCATCTGAGCGACGCTGAGACCGATGGGGATCCACACATAGGACGAGCGCGGAATCAAGAGAAGGTTGTACTTGTATTGAAAGAGGTACAGCGGTACATAGCATCTCGTCAGTGTCATGCCGATAATGGTGCTAGGATGGAGACCCGTTGAGCGGCGCTGAGTGTTATAGATGATCTGGGGAAGCCAGTACGAGAAGAGTACAGGGACAAGCAGCATATTCAACAGGTCAGGCGACCATAAAAGCAGGGCAAAAACACCCAGCGCGCCTACGACGAGGATGACTTGGCGCCGGGAGACTCCCTCCACCGCCATGTGCATACGACGTCGAACAAATGCGATGTAGGCGCGCCATGCCGGCACATGCATCTCGTCTTGCTCGCTGTCCTCTTCGGGAGCAGCGTCCGCCTCGCGCGTCCGCGCAGTTGTCGGTGGCAACGTGTCGCGGTGGTCCTGGGTCCATTGCCGCAGGATCATCATTGCTAAGCGGTACTCAAACACCATTGACAGAGTACCGGCCATAAATCCCATTGCAAGGAGAGCATGTCCGAGCCAGCCCTCCATCGAGAAGCCCAGGACAAGGTGTGAGACACTGATAAAAGAGTCATGCATTGTCTGAATAAATAGAGAAATGCCCGAAAGACGTGCAATGTCGCTGTGCGTTTGTGTCCGCTCACACTCTTTAGCCATAAGGACCAGCTGGACGAGAAGTACGACGAGCATGCCCAGCACATAGTATCGTACGTCGTTCCAGAACTGCGCCCGTGCCAAGCCTTCCATCGCCTTACTCGATACGTACAAGCCGCATGCGCCAGACGTGCCAGCCCAGTCCACCCAAAGGGTAGGTGCACGGGGCAAGGCGAGTCCAGTCGGCTCACGTAGCTCGCGCTCCACGAGGTCCAGCGAAGCTTGGCGCGATGGAGGGCCAGCAGCTTGTAGCTGACCATACAGCTGGAGGGTGCAGTTATTGTCTGATTGACCTAGACTGGCGGGTGCCGGTGCAGCGTCGCCCCGCTCGAGCATCTGCTGCAGTCGATGCAGTCGCTCATCCAGGTCAGCCAGGCACGCCGTGTACGTGTCGTTCCGGTAGGGTGACTTTTCTGGAAGCATGCCCAGCACAGTGCGGATATCCAGTCTCTGCGGTGAGGACTGCGGCGTGCTGACAGTATACATTTCACCTGTCTCGGGAACATACACGCCCACGAGGTCGAGCTCAGTGACGGATCGAGCGCCGGACGTGTCGTGTGCATGCACTGTCAGCTCTCCCCATAGGCGTGCAAGCTTCGTGTGCGGCACGGGTACCTGTACCAAGGATACCTGGGTGGTGAGCGGCGACTGACCTTCCCATACAAACGAGCCACGCGCCTGCATCTGCACCTTGGCAACGTGACTGACATTGTGGGCGGCGACGCTGCCAATATAGAAACCACTCACATTGGCGAAAAATGCGTGATCATCTTGATGCATTTTCTCCTTGGATTGCAGCCAAGCATCGAGGCGCGGGTCGCGGAGGGGTTGGGGCATCGTCCAGTTGCCCTGCCGCGTCGTGTTATGAGTCATGTAACCAATGAGCTCCTGGCGCTCACGCTGAACGCGTGCGATGGCACGCTCATACAAGGGTGTGTCGTCGGCGCACACGCTGAAGCGAAAGCACAGCACGAAAAGAACCAGCGCCAAGGCGCACGCCCGCAGGCTGCGACCCCGCATGTCGGACAAGTGGCGCACAGGCGCGGCTGGACCGCCGTGGGGGGCTGAGTCAGCACAGGGTGGCCGTCGTCCTTCTTGTGGTGCACCACGCCGGACGCTCTGACAATGCATGTGCATGTCCTCGGCGTGGGTGCGCTTGGCACGTTGGTGGCGACGCACCTGCGTGCATCTGTGAGGCAGCGGCTCATGCAGGTCTCACGCTCACGCGTTTCTCGCTGGCTCGTGCCACAGCATGTCGCGCCGTACCTGCCAGACCCGGCGCGGACGAGCCTCACACTGCACATGCGCGACCGACCAATGATGATGCCAGCACAGGGAACAAGTTTCCACCTCAGCGTGGAGCGCGATGGCGTGCCGATGACCGAGCACGGATTCCAGCTCGAACTCGTGTCGCCTGTGGACCCGGCGCAGCCGCGCCTGCTCGTGCCCGATGCGGACGGCGTGCCACGCGAGGCGCCAGGCGTGCCGCCAGCGCCGATCGACAGTTTGATTGTCGCTACCAAGGCCGATGCGACTTTAGCAGCGCTGCGCCCCCTCATCACACGCATTACGCCGGCCACGACGGTTGTGGTACTGCAGAATGGCATGGGCGTGCTAGACCAGCTCATTGAGCGTTTGTGGCCGCGGCCCGAACACCGGCCCCACTTTATCCTGGCGAGCACGACGCACGGGTGTTACCTGAAGCGCCCGCTACACACAGTGCATGCAGGTTTTGGCTCTGTCTATCTGGGTGTAGTGCCCGGCACCCATGGCGCGGTGGAGCGGCCGCTGCCGTCGAGTTCCAATACCATGGACCCTGAGCTTGACTTGGCGGCGATCCCCGACACACACGCGACATACTCACTGCGCTCGACGCTTGCGCTTCTGCTGTCGCTCCCACTCGATGTGCGCTGGGAGCGCATCCGCATGTTCCAGCTACGAGCACTGCGAAAGCTAATTGTCAACGCGTGTATCAATCCGACGACAGCGCTTGTCGACTGCAAGAATGGCGAGCTATTTGGTGCGAGCTCCGCGCTTGAACTCTTCCGAGCGCTGTGCACAGAAGCGAGCCAGGTGCTAGAAGCGCATGCGCGGGACGCGAAAGCGGCGCAGACAAGCAGCGAGGCGGACGTGGCGCATCTAAGCTCGCTGCCACTCGCTGATCTACTTACACAGACCGATGCCGATGGACTGCCACTGCTCGACGCATCGCTACAGCCGGCATCAATGCTACACGAGGTCGAAAATGTTGTGCGCGCTACGGCCACCAACTGGAGCAGCATGCACCAGGATATCCGCAGCCGGCGAGGACGGACTGAGATTGACTATATCAATGGCTACCTGGGCGAGTTGGGCCGGGCATATGGGATTCCGACGCCAGCCAATGACTTGCTCACACATCTGGTTAAGCTCAAGGCGCAGCGCACGACGGGATCGTGGCAGGTACCCAGCATGTAGTTAGGTGCGGACACCGCGCTCGGGGTCCTGCATTCGATGGACTTGCACGTCGCTGTGGTAAGCAGGTGGAGACTTACGGGCCCAGTGATACGTTCGCCATGTTTTGCGGCGTGATCAAAATGTACTGCACGCCAACCGATGCGCGCGCTGCATCGACCTGGGTTAGCCGCGCCACATACGATCATCTTCATCGACACTTGGCGGTTAACTGCGTCCATAAACACATCGAACTCGTCGAGGCACCGGATCGGGCACCCGATAGCCTCCCACAGCGAGAGCAACAGGCATATGGTCGCAAACGACTTTTCGCCGCCCGAGAGCGCCTTCGGGTCCTTGTCCATAGGCTGTGTACTGTCACCGGTGTGCACCTGGCCGTCAGAAAACCAACGTACGCGAAGCTTGAGTGTCTGTGCATTATGGTCAAAATGCAGCGAGCCGGAGAAGCCGCGGTTCTGCAGATGCAGCGCAAAGTTGGCACGGGCGCGCACCGCTACAAACCGGCGGAAGTAGTGCCACTTTTCCAGCCGCAGCTGAATCGCGCGATCCAATAGGGCAATTGTTGCGCGTGTATTTTCCAGCTGCTGCTTCGCGTCCTGAAAGGCCTTGTTCCGTGCACGCAGTTCGCGCACGACGCTTTCGACAGACAACTCAGAGCGCTCGGTCGCAGCGGCCATGTGCGCCTCCATAAGACGAATTTGCTGCGTTAGCATACACGCGTACCTCCTCCAGCGCCTCAGGCGTGCGCTGTGTCTCGACACGCGCACAATATTCGGTGGCCGTGACGGTCCATGTCTGTCGTGAGCGACGCCAACGTACGTCAATGAGGCGTGCGAGCGCCGCCTCACTGTGCTGCGCCTCGTCCATGGCAGCCTGCTGCAACTGCATCTGGTGTGTCCAGTGTTCCTGCGTCTTTTGCAGTCGGACCCGCTCCGTGTACTTGGTTTGCAGCTCCTCCTCTTCCTTGCGCATATTTGACTCGACCACGTCAATCTGCGCCAGCAGATCTTCACTCTGCGCGAGAGGTGCCACAAGAGCCGCCTCGAGCGCCTCCTTCTGCGCCTCGGTTTCCTGGAAACACGCCCGAACACGCCGCATGTCTTCCTCGGCCTCCGCGCGTGCCTCCTCCAGCGCAGCCACATTGGCCGGCTCATCCTCGCGCAGTTGGTCCTCGATCTGCGCAATGCGGCGCCGCAACTCCCGCAGCGTCTGCCGGTGCTGTGCCATGTCGTCAGAACGCACGCGCTCGTCCTCGCGCCACGCGCGCTCGCGATCGGTAAGCGCGACGAGCTGTGCATCCACCTCGGCAGCTTGGCGATCCAGCGCTACCAACGCTGCCTCAGCCTCGGCCCGTTGCGCAGATGAGTCGCGTGCAAAGCGTGGCGCGCCTTGGTACCGCGTCACCGTCTGCGTGGAGCTGCCCTTCGGGCCACCTGTGATTTTGAACAGATCGGCAGAGTAACACTGCTGAACATTACGCTTGTGCTGCCTAACGAGCGCATCGCCTGCAGCACGAGCGCGCACCAATGCGCTCTTCTCAATGTGCTGAGCATCAATTAGCACACGTGCAATCACGTCGTCCATCTCCATGACCCGCAGCATCGTCAGCACGGATGCATCCGGCTCGCCGCTTGAGTAGTCGAACGCATCGGGGGCAGCCGTGATGATCTGGTTCGTCGCATGGCACGCCCGCAAAATGCGCGCGAGACGCGCGCGGTCGTCGTGGTTTGTCACGATAAACGCATTCAGCGGATCGGCCAGTACACTTTCCACAAGCGGTGCCCATGTCAGGTCCGTGAGCCGGATATGCATGCCCAGAGGGCCGATTGGCTTGTCGCGCCACTGGGTCTCACGATCAATAGCGGCCATGACGCGAGGCATGTCAGGGCCGCCAAAGGCCGTGATTCGGTCACGCTCCGCATCGCGGCACCGCTGCAAGAAGCTGCGCAGGTGCGACATCTTTTCCTCCATCACCTGCCGCGCTGACACAAGTCGCGTACGGTCTGCCTGGCACGCACTGCGCTGTTGGACGAGGTCTTCCGCCGCCTGTTCAAGCGCGACTAGGCGCCGCTCTGTATCCAGTCGCTCACGCACCAGTGCATCGCGTTGAGCCTCCTGACCCTGACGCACGGCGCGGCGGTCCTGCGCCTGCCGACGGACCTCGACATCGATTTGCGACTGGAGCTGCCGAAGGGTATGCTGGATGCGGTCCGCCTGCTCGTTCAGCTGGCGCTCCTGCGTCTTACACGACGCAAGAGATGCGCGCTGCTCCTTGATCTCGGCTAGGACGCGCGCGCGGTGCTCCTTAAGCTGCGCCTCACGTTCATGACTCTCACGACTGCGCAGCTCGAGCTCAGCCACCACGTCGTCCAGCGACGCAGCTTGCGCGGCATCGTCCCCGCGCCGCCGCTCTAGAGCGCCAAGCTTGGCACGCGTACGCTCGAGCTTTTCAGCGACACCGGCGAGTTCCTTTTCCTTGGCAATGACTTGGCTCCATACCAGCTCCTCTTTGAGCGCGTCAAGTTTTTCTTGCGCGCGGCGCATCTGCTCTATCTCCTGCCACCGTGCATTGGCGTCGCGTGCAGCGCGTTCAAGGTCTGGCAGTGCGTCTTCGGTGAGAGTCATAGCCCGGCGCATGCGCTGGATGTTGGTTTGGATGAGTTCATATTCTTGCGCCAGCTGCGTGAGCTGCGTGCCCCGCAAAAAGAAGCTGTATTTGTCTTCTGCTTGCGAGCTGCCAAGGAACTGCCGCGCTGCATCCTGACTGAGAATGTTCATAGGATTGTCCACTTGAATATTGGCATGGTCGCAGATGGCATCAAGCTCTTCACGTCTTGTCGACACAACGCGCCCATCCGCTGAGCGGATCTTCCAAGCACCGCCGCCATCTGCATGTAGACGTCGCTCAATGGTAATGGCATCGCCATACACGTCTGCCCGGAAGGCATCGGCGCCGTGGTTGCGCAGCAAGACACGGACCTCACCGGCCGAGGCGCCCTCGCGAATGAAGTCTTTGAGACTGCTGCCACGGCTCGTCGTGTTGGCCTTGCCGCCGAGCGCAATCGTGATGGCAGTGAGGATTGCGCTTTTCCCACTGCCATTATGACCAATAATAAAGTTGATGCGAGGACCGAGTCGGATGCTCAGGTGCCGATGACACATGAAATTGATCATGTCCACACGCTCAATGACGCCCATCGCATCGACAGGCAAGGGCAGCGACGGGGTGGTCGCAGTGCCGCCCGCCTCGCCATTTGAGTCGCGAGGCTGTGGCGCCACCTCCGCATCGGCATCAGTGTCGTCCTCACTCGACGATGGGGTATCTATGCGGGCGCGTTTCGACTGCATCAGCGTACCGTACGAACCAGCAAGGCGAGGTCATTCTCCTCATCGTCGCCGTCCTCTGCGCGCGATCGTCGCATGCCACGCGCCGTGTTGGGCGTCGCGAGAGCGGGGGCCACGCGTGTATAGATCCCAGATTGCTTCTTTCCACGCCGGGCGGCGGCGTCGTCGACCGTCCCCTTTCTCCTCATGTTCGCAGGTATGTGGTGCCGCACTCACGCATAGGCGCCGCTGTTCCCTCGCCTCTGGAGCTTGCCATTGCGCGTCTTCAAGCACGCCGTACCATGCGCTCATTTGCGCTCATCGTGGGTGTGCTGCACTTTAGTACGTGACGTGTCGTCTCACACTAGCGCCCTACCTGTTCCATTATGTGCGTGCGCTTCTGCGCCCTGCCATGTAGTCTACAAAAGTGACGCACGATCGTCGTCTTTCTCGTCCTTAGCGGGCTCGGTAGTGGCCTCGGGCGCTGCGTCAACTGTGTCGAGAAAGGGATGACTTAGCCACCCGTTCTTGATCGCAAACGCAAGAATCACGTCAAAGTAGTTCGTCTGGGGTGAGTGTAGGAGCCTACCTGGAGCCATGTGTCGTCTGTGTGAGTGTCAGTGACGTACTGTGAGTGCCCTGTGGAAACAGGTGAATCTCCTTCGCGGTGCTGGGACACAGGCGGTACAGTTCCTGCATGTGCGACGGCGGCACAAGCTCGTCAGCCTGGCCGCTCAGAAAGAGCACGGGCGTTTGGGGGCGAAGCTGGGTAATCGAGGCCTCGGATGGCCAAATCTCGCCTGCATGTTAGTAGGCAGTACGCACGGCATAGGAACGCAAAGTAGCGCAGAAAAGGCACAACCGAGGGGATCAACTTCGGAATGCTCAGAAACGTGTTTTCGACCACGACGCCGCGCACGGTGTGAGGGTTGCGCGCGGCTAGATCGATCGATACGGCACCCCCAATCGATTGGCCATACACAATCACCTTGGTGCCCGCGAGCACCGGGTGCTCGCGAATCCAGTCAAGCGCTGTCTGCGCATCGACACGGATGCCCAGCTCGGATGGGTTGCCAGTGGATAGGCCATACCCACGGTACGACAGCATCACGACATGAACCCCGAGGCGACGGTAGAGCACGCGAGCGATCGGCAGTCGGTGGCCCATGTTGCCTGCATTCGCATGGAGCATGAGGATAGTCGCGCGGGGCTTTTCGTCATTGTGTGTGATGGCATACACATGCAGGCGGATCTTGTCGGGCGTGACGAGTCGGTGCTCTGTATACGGCAAATGGTACGCCTCGGGCGAGTCGACAATCGTCCGGGAGCCCTCTGGGAAAGACGACGGGTAAATGAGCGCCGTTTGGTACAGGTAAAGCAGCCCTGCAAGTGTGGCTATACTGACCCCAACAGAGCCAGCTAGGACACGCAGCACATTCGTGAAACTCATGGGGAACGACAAGGTGCGCGATGCACAAGCCACTTACACATTCGGCCGATCCTACTAGTACGACCATGGCCCCACCGCTGTACAGTATGTCACTGTGGCTGACGCGCAGCTACGCAGACGGGACGTCTGTGGCATGCGTACGTGCGCATACGACTCACACAGCGGTCAGATTCTCGTCGTGACCGTGGGACTGCCGGGCCGCGGTAAGACCCATCTGGCGCATGCGATCCAGCGGTATCTGCGCTGGATGGGCGTCAAGTGCCAGGTGTACAACCTAGCTAACACGCGCCGCGAGATCTTAGGGCGCATCGATCAGTTACCGCAAGACTACTTTGGCGAGCGTCGGAACAACGACACGGTGCAGCTGCATCAGCAGGTGACGGAAAGACTTGAGGCGCAGATCGAGGGCTTTTTCGAGCATGGCGGGCAGGTGGCTGTGTATGACGCCTACAATAGCAACCAGGAGCGGCGGACGGCCGTGCAGCGGCGCTTTGAGGCCATGAATGTACAGCTCATGTTCATCGGTACGTGTACATCGCTCATCGCAGAATGTCAATGTGATGACGAGGAAATGATTGAGCGCAACATCCGGTCCATGCACACTTTCAACCCCGACTTTGAAGGTTGGGACTTGGACAAAGTGTTCCAGCACTTGCGCGAGCGTATCGCGCAGCATGAGATTCTCTACGAGCCGATCACAGACCGCTCGTGCCCCCATGTGCAGCTGCTGAACCTGGGTCAACGCATAGTCGTGAACCATGTGCATGGCTACCTCCAGAATCGTATCGTTCTGTTCCTTATGAATATGCACAGCCGCGAGAGAATGTACGTGTCTGCGACTGACGCCAGCATCTACTTTGCCCGGGTATGTGACCCCACTAACGAAACAGGCAGGCGAAGCGCTCGTCGAGCACCTGTACAAGGCCGACGCCGACTTGTCGTCGCTGGGCGTGACATACGCAGAACGACTGTGCCAGCTAGTGATGAGTCTGCGCCAACACCCCGACAAGACGAGAAGCAGCGACATGTCGCTGTCGCAGGAACACAGCGTGTCGTATATCGCGCCAAATGGCGAGCAAGTAAAACCGCTACAGGCCATCGACACCTCACACCACGAGCTGCAAGTATGGTGCTCTACACGCAAACGCTCCGAGCGCACTGCAGCACCATTCCGCGAGCACGGAGTGCGGGTAGTTGAGCTATCCCGCTTGTGCGAGATGAACCCGGGCATTGTTGACGGCATGAGCGATGAAGAGATCCTCGCGCGTTTTCCTCGCCATCGCGAGGAGCGTGACAAAGACCCGTACGGCTTCCGCTTCCCCCGCGCTGAGAGCTACCACGACCTGGCCATCCGCCTCGAGCCGGTGATCATGGAGCTCGAGCGTGTCAAGGAAGATGTGCTGATCATTGCACAGTCATCTGTGCTCCGCTGCCTCATTGCCTACCTGCAGGGGAACAAGCCACATGAGATCCCCTTCATTCAGGTCCGCGAGGGCGACCTAGTCGAAATCTATCCCCAGGCATTCGGCATCGCAACGCGTGTTTACTCATTCTGGGACCCCGAGAAAGAGCGCGAAAGGCGCGATAGCCAGTTTGCCCGACAAGCTGCGCGGCATTTGGCCAAGCGCCAGGCGGCCGCGTCGACTAGCGAGGCGGGCAGCAGCCCGGAAGAGCCTCGATGATTACTGTATAAGTAGCAGAACGTACCTTGGCATACTTATCGCTCTTGAGCTTGGAGCGCCGATCCAGCATAGCCTCGGCAAGTCGGCCCTCGCGCTGCGCACGTAGTAGCTCGCGCCGCGACTCCTGCGGAAGCTGCGCCGTAGTGCCAGCCGTCCAGCCTTGGCGCGATAGGGAGAGTTTCGCTTCGTCGAGCAGCGAAGCACGCGACGCCGGCGCTGCCGTGCTCTTGCGCTGCATTTGCCGGTGTGCATGCCGGTACTTCCACTGCACACGCAGGTCCCATACACCGCCCGCCGTTGGCGCCGACGCATCGGCTCGCACGCGGCGCCGACGCGCATGGTCGTCTTTCGGCTCGTCCAGTGTCAGATAGCCGCCGTAGTGAGACTGGAGCGCAAAGCCGCGGCGCGGCCCAACAAGCGCTGATTCATTAGGCACCGTATCGACAGGCTGGAGCGTCCACTCTTCCTGGGGACCGCGCGCCTCATTCGTCGCGGTAACTTCGCCGTACCGATCGCAGGCAAGGAACGTGCCTTGTGCACTCTTGAGCGTCCACTTATCTGACATGGGAAGCTGCGTTGCTACCCAGACCTGGTAGATGGTCTGCGGCGTCACTTCGGCGGCGGCTAGAGTTGCGCCGTCATCGGGCCAGTCGTCTGGCAGCGACGGCGGCTCGACCGTGGTCGTTTCAACCTGAGAAAGTGGCGCATGAAAGTTCAGCGCGCTTGCGCTCCCATTTTCACCTAGCTGGTGCACGAAGCACGGACCCGTCACTTCGCCAGGTGTCTCAGGCGTGACCCACGCTGCGTCAAGTCGCATTGCACGTACCTTGGTCGTCGCCTCCATACATTTCCGCATCAGACTCATCAGCGTTTGCAGGCGCACGCTTTGGCGGTCGCGTCCCATCGCTGCTCTTGGATCGCTTGCGTTTCGGCTGGATTAATGGCCGGCACGTACCTTATCGCCCTTGAACGTCAGGCGCAGCGACCGCCCCGCTGCCATCGTCGGTGGAGGAAAATGCGCCAATTCATGCCGCGTCCATGGACGTGGAGCGACTGGACACAGGCGTGGCATTCGCTCCTTTCATCACAGGGCACACGCTCCCGTCAGCCTAGCGCCGCGAGTGCGCGCTGGGCACTCGATGTTGCTCTCGTCGTCGAGGGTCGGCGCACAGCGACGCTGTTTGATGCATCCACACTCGCATGGCGCGAATGCCTTGCATGGGACGCGTGGCTCGAGCAGGTACGTTGCTAGGCTCACCCAGCAACGCCTCCCCGTTATGCTTGTGCTCTTTGAGCCGGCGCGGCACGTATTTCTCGTGCATACGAAGGTCCTTGATACGCTACAGCAGCACCCTCCGTTATTTGTGGACCCAGCGCATGCGACACAAACGCTCGATGAGCCTCCGGAGAGTGCGCGAGTTGCGTTGGCCCTCCTACAGGATGCTGCACAGCGTTCACAACGCAGCATGCTCCTGCGCAGTGATGCGCCGCATGCACGTCTATGTGGAATTGCCCTCTGTGGCTGGCTCTTGGGATACCCGGTGTCCTATGCGGTGTCGCACGCGCCCGCCACCTTCGCAGCGCAGGCGCTGGATCGCTGCGACGGGCGCACATGGGACACTGACGTATGGTTTGATGATGATAGCCTCCCTGCTGGCGCCTTGTCACTTCTCCTAGTTCAGGCCATCGTGCATATGGAGGTGCCTGGCGTTTCCCTGCCACGCAACCATCTTATGATGTCTTTCTCGATACCCACGGCGTTACCGAACGCTACGGACATCGCGCGTGCCTGGCAGCGCCGCCTCACGATTCCATGGGGTGATGGTCCCACGCGCCTGCCGTTCCTCGAGCATGCTACCTGCGAAGTGCGCCTGTCCCATGTGCACCAGGACCATATAGCACTGTGACTAGGCACTCTGTTCGTTCTTCTTCGCCGCTTTGGCCTGTGTGAGCTGAATGAACGTACCTCCTGCTTCGCGCGCAGCGCGGCAGCGTCGCGCTCGCGGCGCTGCGACACCGAAAGACCATCGTCGCTACGGCCCTTGCTCATCTCAGCCTGCTTCTTCTGGTTCTTCGCGCGCGCCAGTTCACGAGCGTTTCCACCTTGCGTGAGTCGGATATACGTACGCGCCATCGTCACTGTTTCGGGATGCTGTGGGAGAAAAAAAGACAGAGCCTACTAGGCTTACCCCACATACCTGGCAACAGACCGGCCAGCGCAGGCCCTAGGCGCCTAGTCATACACGATGCTCTTGGTACGGGCCTGCCGCACATTCCCACACAAACCTCTACTATCACAGGTCCGTGCTCTATCGACGAACAAGTCGGGCGTTCCGAACCTTCTTACTCTCGCTCACCTTTCGGTGAATGAAATCGAGGGCGTTTTGCAGCGCGCGGCGCAGTTCAAACGCACGGCAAAGCACACAGCGATGGGTGTATGTGACCTGGAGCGTTCGTTAGAGCGCAAGACGATCGCGATCATCTTCAGCAAGCGCAGCACTCGTACTCGCGTTGCGAGTGAATCTAGTGTTGCTGCCCTTGGCGGCCACGGCATGTTCCTCGCGCCTTCGGACATCCAGCTGGGCGTCAACGAAAGTCTGCTGGACACGGCGCGCGTTGTCGGCTCTATGGTTGACGGCATCATGGCGCGTGTGGGTGGACACCATGAGGTCGAAGGCCTCGCGAGCGAGTCTGCTGTGCCAGTCATCAACGCGCTTTCCAGTCGTTTCCATCCCACACAGATTCTCGCTGACTTGCTGACGATGCTCGAACTCGATGGCGCAGCGCACAGAGCTCTGCCATCCCTGCAGCACCTCGCTGGGAAAAAGGTCGCATGGGTGGGTGACTCGAACAACATCCTCAACGACATGATCGTTACCTATCCCCGCCTGGGCCTGCATCTCAGCATTGCGGCACCCCAGGGCCCGGCGTATGAACGCGATCCTGTGGTGTGGGATCTCATGAAAAAAGGCCTGGCTGATCTGTCGAGTGAGCACACGCCCGGCCAGATCGAGTGGTCGCATGATCCGCAGCGGGCCGTGCGTGACGCTGACTTTATCGTGACGGACACTTGGTACGTTACACCACTAACGGCAGGATCTCAATGGGCGACGAAGCCCAAAAGGACCAGCGCCTACGCGATTTCCAAGGCTTCCAGGTCACGGAAGACCTCGCTCGCCGCGGCGGCGCCAAGCCTGACTGGAAGTTTTTGCATTGCCTCCCTCGCAAGGCCGAAGAGGTGTCCGACGAAGTGTTCTATGGGCCGCGGTCGCTCGTGTTCCCCGAGGCGGAGAACCGCAAGTGGACGATTATGGCCTGTTTCGAGTACGTACCCTCTGCTTACTCCCAGCTGGCTGTTTGGCGGTCGCGCCCTGTAGCACCCAACGAAGTCGTTCGCTTGTGGGCCTGTCACTCGTAGATTGATAGATCCGCGGAGGCCCTAGTTCCGCGGAGGTCCGTGCGCTGGAAACGGTTACTTATAGCGCCACCTTCCCTGAGTCGCCTCAGCTCAATTGCTATGGTGTCGTTTTACGAACTGAAAGCGGCTTTGCCAAACAACAAGACTTTTGAATTTTCTCAGCTCAAGGGTAAGGTCGTGCTTATCGTGAATACTGCGAGCAAGTGTGGTTTTACGCCACAGTTTGATGGTCTCGAGAAGCTGTACAAGGACTACGAGAGCCGTGGCTTTATCGTGCTTGGCTTCCCAAGCAACCAGTTTGCCTCGCAGGAACCAGGCGATGATGATTCGATTGGCAGCTTTTGCCAGCTGGTACGTATTGTGCATTTACTCAGAACTATGGCGTCTCGTTTCCCATTATGGCCAAGTCCGATGTCAACGGCGCAAACGCGAACGAGGTGTTCCAATTCCTGAAGCATGCCAAGCGGGGCTTCCTTGGTACGGAGGGTATTAGTACGTACTTTATGCTAACGGCAGAATGGAACTTTACCAAGTTCTTGATCAACCGCCAGGGCGAGGTCGTCGAGCGCTACTCGCCGACCACGTCGCCTGCTCACATTGCTTCTGCGATCGAAAAGCTGCTTTAATCCGCGCAAGCAATACAGCTATGACCTTTTCATACACCGATTCTATGCCGTAGTGTCTTGTATGTCTTTATCAACCGTGCTACATGTACTGTCCGCGAAATCTGCCGCACAGGTCCAAACACATGCGACGCAGGTGTCGGTCTACCTACGTGCACTATGACAAAGCACTTAGCCACCATTTACCTTCTTTTCCCACTGACGCTTTAGACTAGTATAAAGCTGCTGGATAGGCGATGATTGCCGACTGTTCGTGCTTGTTGATATGACGTGCTTGGGAAGTTGGCGCATATCTTCCGTAAGCCACGGGCCACGTACCTCCGTCGTCTGCTTGAGCCTGCATCGTAATGTACTCCTTCTTCTTCGCACGATTCATAGACTTGACATATGCATAACCTGTGAACATGGAGACAATCATGGCGGCCCAACTGTGTATGAGACGAATTTACGTACGCCATGGCCATGCGTTTCGGCGACCCTTCGTAGATGGCCATGCTAGTAGGATGTGGAGTGCGACGACGCTGCATCGCACAGACCGATGGGCGACCAGCTCTGGGAGGACATCCTGGCCATTCGATCGTGCCTCCTACCTGAGGAGTTCAGTTGGAGAGGTACCATCGATGAACAAGAGTCTTGGGAGTCTGCCTATCAAGAGTATCAATCGACGCTTACGCCACCTGCTATACAGCAAGTACATGTTGCCCTGCGCGTGAACAAGGCCCTAGGTGTGTCCATGCATGCGAAAATGGATGCTCGTGAGCAACAGCCTACAGTGACGGTCCTGATTCAACGCAGTGATCTTGTGTCACACGATGATATCACCGATATGGTGCAGACGCGTCTTCTCGAAGGACAGGCACTCGAGATCCCCCATCCCCTGTTTGACGTCCTCACACTGCTACAGGAGGCCATGTCGGAGCGGGAAATGAGCTACCAGGACCAAATTTCAGCACAGCAACTTAGCATAACTGAGGACCGCTCCGCATATCAGTCTCAATGCGACATGAAACGCGTCCTATTCTGGTCCCACCATCTCGTGGCACCCTCAAAGCGTAAGCAGTTTGCTACATGGTGCCCAGAACTCAACGTCTGGGGTTTATTGAAATTAGGATACCCTGGCTTTTTGTGCTTTGAAGGGGCTGTGAAGGATGTCGATGACATGGTTCGTCGTGTCAAAGGTATGCAATGGCATGCTATTTCCCAGCGTGTTGAGGTGACATGGACATATGCGCGACCGGTGGACCTTAACGGTCCCACTCATGATGCCGCTCTGCGTGCGTGCTCTCTGGCATCAGGCGACCTGAACGCATCGACAAAGTTACGGACCCGTTGTGAAGAGTCAGAGAGCTTGGGCGATTTCCTGACAAGGTATGCTATACGAGCTTACACAGACTGAGGAAGGCTGGACTACAGGAGGACGAGATTGTCGAAGCATGCCATCTTCGTACAGCTCGGTAATTGAAAAATTCTAGCATCTGCCAAAGAGGTAACGGGCCGAAACCCTCACACATCGTCGAGGCAAGCTCTCAGTGGATGTGCTTTCCTTTTCAGCAAACACAAAACTTAGCACACACAAAACTGTCACTCTTCTCTTCCTTGTTCGATCAGGACCCCATGCACCAAGAAAGGAAGAGTGCAGGAAAAAAAGACATCATAGGGGCCTGGCTTCGGATACCCAAAGTCTCCTATGGGGTCTTGGGTTGCTTCAGCAACCTCTCCCATCCGTGGTAATACCTGTGAGAGCGCAAGCCAAGCTTGTCAGGCAATGTTCCACAATTGTGATCGTTAGTGTTAAGTTGGATATACATCCACGACCGAGCCCAGCGCAGCGAGGCGCACCACAGGGGCCACGCACAGAATCCCCTGATACCAAGAATACCATGATTCCTGCACATGTGCAGCACAGCTCCAGGTCGTGGAATGCATATGTCCTGGACAGTCTTGTGTTGTGCTCGTGAGGGAGCTGTCCATAGGCCCAGCCTTCCTTTTTGGATTACCTAATCCCATGCAGTCGTTCAGTACTTGCGCAGATTCTGCTCTCGCACGGCCCTGCCATGAGCGCGCCACAGCGTACCATGATTGCTGAGATCTTGTGGGATATTGGGTGCTCCAAACTGCCTGAGTGGATATATAGTGCCTAGAAAATGCTCTATACAAACGAAAATCTGTACTCGTCTTGTCAGGCCCGCTTTCCTAATCTCTACTTTAGCGAGCACCACACACTTCTACGGCCATAGTGGTCTCGGCTGGACACTGCTGTGACACGGAATCCACAGGACTAGACATTGAGTGCCTTGCTTCAGAAGGTCTGTTCTGTCGAATGCAAATATGTGTTTCTGCTAGTATATACCCACCCCATAAAGAATGTAGATATAGGCACAAAGCCACATGGAGACGAGGTAACTGCGTATAGCATTTGTAACAGCAAGTCCTTTTCTAAGATGCTAAACGTTTGTTCGGATAGAGCATTGGGCTGCGGCGTAGCTTAGATAGCAACATGAAGAAGTGGGTGCTAATTCCTAAAAGTTGTCTGTAACGAAAGCACTTGCATACAATGCTTTGTGGCCAGCATAGGCATCTTGAGACACGATGCTGCTTTCACCAGCTTTAACGTCATCTCGTGTCTTGGTCAAAACGCCGAAGAATGCATGTGTATGCGGTCGTAAGCATACTCAAGCCAGATTATCATCCCCATCATACAAGAAAATGGATGTCAGTCATACAGACTTGTCTACATAGCATACCAGCAATGTTGTACGTTTTGCACTAATGCGTCTTCGTTCACCGTGCGGACCGCCCCACATTACAATGCAAGGACAACCAGATGAAAAAGATTTGTGAATGGAATCCACTACGAATAAAGTAGATGCTATTCTTCGAGACGTTTACTCGTAGATCCACTGGTCCACAGCACGGGTGTAAGGGATCGTAGCGTCCTGTTCACCGAACCAGAGGGCAATCTCGGCCTTGGCCGATTCGACCGAATCGGAGCCATGGCAGATGTTCCGGCCCACATCAATAGCAAAGTCCCCGCGGATAGTACCAGGGGCCGAGGCAAGAGGGTTGGTAGCGCCCAGCAGGGTGCGGCCCTGCTTGACGACATCCTTACCCTGCCAGACCATAGCGACAACAGGACCCGAGCTCATGTACTTGATCAAGCCCGGGAAGAAAGGCTTGCCCTTCAGGTCCTTGTAGTGCTTCTCCAGGTGCTCCTCGCTGGCGTGCACCAGCTTCATAGCCACGAGCTGGAATCCGCGGTCCTCGAAGCGCTGGATGATCTTGCCGACGAGGCCACGCTGGACGCCGTCAGGCTTAATCATGATATAGGCTGGCATTATTACATTCATACGTACTCTGCTCGGAGGCCATTATGCTGAATGTGTGTGGAAGGTGGAAGAACCGTGCCTCACCCAGGCCCGCCAGCAAAGAGTGATACTCACGTGACTGACACGGTGGACCCGTGCCAGCCAGATAGGCTCTTGCTTCGTCCGTGCCGCAGCATGTGGACACGTTTGGGGTTGGCCCTAGCGCGCCGCGATGTGGTGGCGAGGCCCTTGGTCCCGCAGCATATGTGGCGCACACCATTGGTGGTGAATAGAGGCCAATTTGTGAGTATGTCGACACACATCGGGCATCGCACAGCCTCTCACTCACGAACCTGGGCGGCGGCGGGTCTTGCGACAGGCGCAGGTGTTTTGTCGTTCGCCTTGCTTCGATCTAATAGTCAAGAGCAGGATTCAAACGAACAAGATTCACAATTAAAGACTGATGATTCGCCGTCCCAACCATCGCTACCTCAGTCGCCCCCGACAATTGGCAGCCTTTTATTTTTGTACCTGATTGAGCCCGTTCTGGTATTCAAGCGTTTCCTTGTACTTGTTTTTATTTTCGCACCTGTCATTCTAGCTTTGCCGCTACTTCTTATCGGCAAACACAAAGTCTGGAAAGATCGGAACGGTCGCTCTATCAAGGGGGAGCGGTATGGGGCCTTGCTTTGGTACAAAGTGCTTGTCTCTCAGATGGAGCGAGCCGGTCCCACATTTGTGAAACTGGGTCAGTGGGCTGGCTCTCGTCGCGATTTGTTCCCGGAAGAGCTTTGCAACAGATTTGCCAAGTTACATTCCCAAAACCGTCCACACTCGTTCCGTTATACTCAGAAGGTATTGGAGCGTGTATTTGGAAGGGCTTTTGATGAAATTTTCGTCACGTTCGATCGACATCCCGTGGGAATTGGTGCTGTGGGGCAAGTTTATAAAGGTGTTCTACACGAGCGCCTGCTTCCCCATGATTATCTTGTGGAAAAGGACAAGTTGGACCGGCTCTCTGAGACGGCTGAGAGTATTGGGCGCGAATTGGCTCTGACCTACGAGCACGATGAGTCACTCAGGCATATGCCCGGTGCGGCTGTTGCAATCAAGGTACTCCATCCCAAGGTGCACCAGACAATTGGTTATGACATCAAAATTATGCGCTTCTTTGCCGGTCTCATCAACCTGATCCCGGGTATGACATGGGTCTCTCTTCCTGAGGAGGTCGATCGCTTTGCAGCTCTGATGGTCAGTCAACTTGACCTGCGTCAAGAGGCTTCCAATCTGCAGCGTTTTGAAAGGAACTTTGCTGGCAGAGGGGGGACAGTGACATTCCCTCGTCCACTGCAGGCCTTTTGTTCACGGGATGTGCTGGTCGAGGAAATGATTGAGGCTGTACCACTCAAACACTTTATGAAGCTTGGCGGAAAGGAGTATGACAGTAGCATCGCACATATGGGTCTTGACGCCTTCTTGCATATGCTTTTAATTGACAACTTCACCCATGCCGATCTTCATCCTGGTAACATTATGGTCAAGTTCTATCGCCCTACAACACGATCTGTACTGCAGAATGTATTTTCGCGCATCTTTTATCGGTTTGACCCAGAATATGTGCTCGGTCACCGCAGTCGTACAGGGATTATTTCGGATGAGCGGATTGTGGATGATCTCCTTTCTCACACGTCGAATCCGGATGAATGGGGTGAACATATTCAGATGATCGAAGATGCGGGTTACCTACCCGAGCTTGTGATGTTGGATGCGGGTCTCGTGTCTGAGCTTTCACCCAAGAACCTGCGCAATTTCCTGGATCTCTTCGCTGCTATCGTCACTTTCGACGGCCGAAGGGCAGGAACGCTCATGGTGGAGCGATGCCGTACACCAGAGCTTGTGACGAACAAGGAAGAATTCGTGGGAGTCATTGGCAACATTGTCGATGAAGTAAAGTCAGAGACATTTAGTCTCTCTCGATTGAACATTGGCAATGTACTTTCACAAGTCTTGTCAGCTGTCCAGCGATACCACGTCAAGATGGAAGCGGACTTTGTGGACACTGTCTTGAGCATTCTCATCTTGGAAGGTATTGGTCGTCGTTTAGACCCTGAATTGGATCTATTCAAGAGCGCTGCCCCTATTTTGCGGTCTTTGGGCCAGAAGATGTCAACGGACGGGGCTACTCTATCCGGAGGGTGGCACGATATCAATTTCACTACCCTACTCCCTATGCTTAAGCTGTGGATATATACTGAACTCCGTGGTATCTTTGTACCATCTGCCAATGCCCCTCAGGTCGTCGACGCCTTTGTGCGGTATGGGTGGTTCTCCGACTAATTACAAGTCACTCATGTCGTCTTCTGAGTCAAGGTCGTCTGCATCGAGCTCACCCTCGCCCCCTTCACTACCGTTTTCTTCATCTTCCTCGAATTCTGCTTCCTCCAGGGCATCATCTTGAGGCAGGACAACCTCTTCCAAATCGGAAGCATCACCTGAGCCTGAGCCATCCGAGTCGGACTAGTTTGCAGTTAGTATACCCGAGTCATATACATACAGATACTGAAAAACCAGATGCAAAATCATTTTCATCAAATAGATCGTCCTCTTGTCCCTGAGATGCGGCAGCCTGTACTTTTGAATTTGCTGCTCCTTGCTTCGATGGCGTACTTGGCTGGGAGTTCATTGTCAGATCGGCTGAAGTAGATATGGATGCATTATTCGACACACTGCTCTTTGGCGTATCAGGTGGATTTGAAGGGAAATTCATAGTGCGTTCTCTCTTCAGTTGATTTTCAGTATTGCCGGAGATACTAGCCGGAGAAGCTGCACGCTTTCGGGGAGCCGAGCTTGCTCGGGCCAAAGGTGAAGAAGACCGTGAGTTTTCATGCAATATCCGTTGCGTGGCAGCATGAGAGACAGCCTTTGCTGATCGAGTAGAACTCTTCCGTGCTGCTTTTGAGCCAGCACCCATGCACTTCTCTAAGTGTGTTGCATAACGGTTGGATGACACCTGTCGAGAACAGACCAGACATTCAAACAAGGGATTGTTCGAATAGTAATCAGATTTGACTCCATTTGTACTAGATGTAGAAATGTATTTCGTCAGAATTACTGCGTACCATGTGATGAACGACTGGATATAAGTAACTTCAACGCACCTCTGGCCACAATGTGTGCACAGGCCCCTCTTTCTTTTCGCATAGGCGTGAGCCTCAAGGGCCACGTCAACAATAATCTCGTTCACAAGGGAGTCAAGCAAGCGTGATTCCTAAAATGAGAATAAATTGACACACAAATACACGCTTAGGGTCCATGATGTGTTGTCTGTCCTGCCCGGTGCGCTCGATCTGGCCCGTTCACAATGACTACGTAGGATCCGCACCTGTGCTGGCGTTCTAGCATTTCATGGAGGCTGACTCAGCAAGGGAGGTCACAGGCCTAGCGGGACGCCATACATCCCTTGTAGGCTTTGTTGCCACCACTCTAATCGCGACATCAACACGCTTCTAGGCGCGTCATTTGTGTTGGACATGTCTTTCACGTTACCCCCGCCTCTAAAACAGCAGCTCACGCTTTATCGCGATTCGCTCAACTCTCAGATTGAAGCTTGGGCAGCTGAATATCATGTCAATCCAGCCGCTATTCGTCGTCATCTAGGTTTCTCTCGCGAGTTTGGACGCCAGCCCAATTCATGGAACTTGTATCAGCGCTACCTGGCGGAGCAAAAGCGCAAGAATGCGAACGGGGAGCCCTCTGCGCTGGGTGCTGCCATGGCCAATCTTGGCCCGAACTCGAATTCCACACAAGCTCAACGTATCCGCGATGAATTGGCGCCTCTTTACCAAAAAATGAAAGAAGATCCCGAGTTTATGTCGAGAACGCAACAGGAAATTCAGGCGTGGGAGCAAGATAACCGGGTTGAGAAATCGAATTCTGTAACTCGTGCTGAATACAAACGTGCTGTGCGCCGCTTTGAACAGTTTTCTCAGCAATGCTCTCAAAATCTTGGGGCTGAATCCTTCACAATCATTGCTCACCCGAATATCGGATCCAATCATGTACAGATTGCGGCGTCACCTGCAGGTCTGCACGCGTTCCAGACAGCACTAGGTACAGGAAAGCCTCTCGAAACGTTCCAGAACCGCTTCGCTGCGTGTATTTGTTTAACAATTGCGCCCACAGAAGATCCTACGGCGCTAGAGCGTGATGCTCATCTTAATATTCAGGTTCCTCTGCAACCTCAGGAGCCCATCATTCTACCAGAAGATCCCACAATGCTCACCTCCATCCAAAAGCGTAAGCTTGCCACACCTCTTTTTCAGCGTTTGGTCGAGTCGTGCCTTGACCCGGTGGGCCTTGCCAACTTCCGAAAAAAATCTCAATCGCGGTTTCCCTGGAAGGGCCTCATGACGTGGCTGCATGAAAATGGCTACCGGTTTAACTACTGGCCGAATGATTCGACGCTTTATGGTATCCGGCATCCCACCGATGAAACGGCGCTGCTTCCCGCGCACCTCCGGTGCGAGGGTCTGAACACACCTAACTGCTGGAAGTCGGAGGCTATGAACGCCATTTTGCGTGCCTGTGTGCACCCTACGGATCCACTTCGTGTCGTGCGCATGTAATCTGTGACTTAATAGCATGCTTTCATGTAGTTTAGATAAGAATGACCACTGTATCGAAGTAGCAACTGTCGCCTAGTATTGGTTTTCGGGTGCATGTGCAGATCAGGCCTGGCTCATGTGCGTACTCTGGTCTTGTTGAGCCGAGCTCAGTGTAGCCTTTACGGTGGTCCGCATTTTTTGCGGAAATCCCTTCTCTGATTGGTTTGAATCACGTCACCTACCCTGTTCGTTGCATTCTGCCGCCAAATCTGCTGTGCGCCGCCGAAAGTGCTTACATATTTCGAAAGCGCTTCGACAGCTGCATTTGACTATTGTAGCTTGTCGCCTTGCACCTTCGAAGATGTCGCCACAAGGCACATCTCAACATTTTGAGAAGGCGGGAGATCAGGTAATTCCTCCTGATCCAGAAAAATCCTCGGAGCCATACGCCAAGGATCCCATGACGTATGGGAACGACAAGGGGGTGCAGCCTAACCCAAAACAAACAATGCATGAAAAGGCGCAGGATACTAGTGGCAACCAAAAGTTTGGTGTACGCGTGCGTGAGCACTGGTGGCAGCTGTGGCGCTTTAAGAACCCACCTCCCCCTGCACCGGAAAGCATTGACGAAGCAGAAGAACTCCCCCTGGGCCATGCTAACATCTTTTCGGATTGGTCCTATCATTGGATTGGCAAAATGCTGGTTCTCGGCTACCGACGTCCGCTCGAAGCCACTGATCTTTGGAAGATGGACGGTCCTCGTCAGGCCGAGCATTTGAGTGCCCGCGTTCTGGATCGCTGGGAAGCCCGAGTTGCCAAGGCCGATGCTTACAATCGGAGAATCGAGTCAGGTGAAATCAAACCCTCTAAACGCATGTATCGGACTTGGCGGAAGCAGGCACATAAAGAGCTTTCCGAAAACCTTGGAGGCGATGCGTCCGTGGACGAGCGCGTGGAAGCCAAAGCGACAATTTGGGGCATGCCCGAGTTTTCTCAATTGAAAGGTATTGAAATTACACCAGAGCTCGAACGCAAAAAACTGCTTGCAGGTAAAGTCAAGTCGTCTTGCAAACGTGCAAACCTATTCATGGCCTGCCTCGATGTATTTTGGCCGCATGTTCTGGAGGCCTTCTTCGCCAAATTGCTGGCCGATGTGGCGCAAATGTGCACAGCACTCTTGATCGAACATGTGATTGTCAGTGTGTATAATAGAGACACAGGTATGGGCTGTGTTTATACGGTGGTCATGTTTATCATGTTGCTACTCGGAAATTTCTTGTCGGGACGATTCTTTTACAAGAGTCTCTACGTGGGTGTATTCTGCCGTGCTGCGCTCGTCTCTGGTCTATTCCGCCGCGCTCTTAACATGCAGGGCCGTGATCGGTCGACGGGTAAGCTTACCAATCATGTCAGTACCGATATCAGTCGCATTGACTTTGGTGCACAGTGGTGGCTACTTACCTTTACGGCGCCGGTGGAAATCATTGTCTGTTTGGTCATTCTACTGACGCGGTTCGGTGTGTCCTGCTTGTCGGGCTTTGCGCTGGTGGTCGTTGTCACACCTATTCAGATGTATACAATGAAGTATCTCTTCCAGCTTCGTGCCAAGTCAATGCAGTGGACAGACCGACGTGCGCGTCGCACTCAGGAGGTCTTGTCTGGCATGCGCATCGTTAAGCTGTTTTCATACGAATCCAACTTTGTCAAGCTCATTTCTGATCTGCGCAAGGGCGAGCTGAAGTACGTGTTCGCGCTTGCTGTGGCTCGTGCTGGTCTAATGGCTACGGCTATCAGTTTGCCGCTGTTGGCTAGTGTCCTGGCCGTTGTAACGTACTACTACTCCCACGACCACAACTTTGATGTTTCACGCGTGTTCCCTGCAATCACTCTGTTCAACCTTCTTCGTTTGCCGCTCATGTTCTTACCCTTTGGCTTAAGTGTGATGGCCGACGGTGCAAACTCGTTCAGCCGTCTGCGTGAGGTCTTTTATGCGGAGCAGCATGACACGAACCTACAAAGCGACGAAAACTCACCGTACGGTCTGGACATTAAGAACGCTACATTTGTCTGGGAGGGCGTCGGCGAAGATGAAACGCTCAAGCCTGTGAAGAAAAGTGAGAAGCGCAAGACTGAGCAGAAAAAAGCGAAGCAAAAGCGCATGTGGACATTTTTGCGCCGTCATCGCAAGGAGAAAGATGCAACAAAAAAGCGCCGCTTCTTCCGCCGCAAGGGCAAGGGCCAGGTTGTTGTCACTGAGGAGCCTAAGCCAACGGCGCCTGTGCAGGAGGACCCTGTTGACGATGAAAGGTTTACTATGGAGAATGTGAACCTCCAGGTGCGCCGCGGTCATCTATGTGCCATTATTGGTCCTGTTGGTTCTGGCAAGTCGTCCCTCCTGCTCGGCGCTATTGGCGAAATGCGCAAGATGAGCGGTGATGTAACATGGAGCTCGTCCCGTGTGGCATTCTGCTCACAGTCGGCATGGATCCAGAATGCGACGGTTCGGGAGAACATCGTGTTCGGGCAGCCATGGGACGAGAAGCGTTACTGGTCGTGCGTTGAGCGCGCCGAGCTAATGTCCGACTTGGCTCTGCTTCAGGGCGGTGACATGACGGAGATTGGTGAGAAGGGTGTCACCCTCTCCGGTGGCCAGAAACAGCGTGTCAATATCGCACGTGCGCTTTATTACGATGCCGACGTGCTGTGCCTGGATGACCCACTCTCGGCTGTGGACGCCCATGTCGGCAAGGCGCTGTTTAACAATGCGATTTTGCCTGCGCGCAATGCTGGAAAAACAGTGATCCTCGTGACCCACGCAATCCAGCATTTACCCATGTGTGACCAGATTATCGTGATGAACGAGGGTTACATTGAGGAAACCGGCCCGTACACAGAGCTCATGGCGAAACGTGGCGACTTTTTCAACATGATGATGAACTTTGGTATGCTCAAGACAGACGGCGAAGAGGAGGAGGATGCCGACGAGCTAGCTGCCGAGGCCGAGGGCATCAAGCCACGTAAGGTGTTTGCGCTCGACGAAGTGCACAAACCTGGCCATGGCAAGACAATGGAAAGCGAAGAGCGCAATACTGGTGCGGTGGATGGCACTGTGTGGATGTCGTACCTCCGTGCCGGCCGCTCCTGGTTTATTTTGCCTCTTGTGTTACTCGCTGGCTCGTGTATGCAAGCGTCGGTAAACCTGTCTTCGTACTGGATTGTGTGGTGGCAAAAGTGGGTCGAGGAAAACCTGGTGCGCACTGGCCTCGAAGTCGGTATTTATGTGATGCTAGGTATTCTTCAGCTCATCTTCAACTTTGTTATGGATGTGGCTCTGGGTCTTTTGACGGTGTTTGCGTCGCGCTCCTTACACGACCGTGCAATCAAGCGCGTGATGTACTCGCCTATGGCATGGTTTGACACCACCCCCATCGGTCGCATCATTAACCGATTCGGCAAGGATATTGATGTGCTGGATAACCAACTGAGCAACCTTATTCGCCAGTGTGCGTCGACCGTGCTTTCAATTCTCGGTGCAGCTATCATGATTATTGTCTTCACCTACTACTTCGTCATTGTTGTGGTGTTCATCTTTGTCTTTGCCTACTTTTTCTCGGCCTTTTATCGTTCTTCGGCGCGTGAATTCAAGCGTGTGGATGCACTGCTGCGGTCCAAGCTCTACTCTCACTTTGCGGAGTCGCTGACGGGACTGACTACGATTCGTGCATACCGTGAGTCGGCCCGTTTCCTGCATGACAACTACAAGTACATGGACCTACAGAACCGGGCCTACTTCCTGACGATCGTGAACCAGCGCTGGCTTGGTTTGCGCCTCGATATCCTTGGCTCTGTTTGTGTGCTGGTGACGGGCCTGCTGTGCTCGGCGCGTGTAGGTGGTGTGAATCCCAGCACAGCGGGTGTAGCGCTGTCGCAGGTTGTCACCGTGGCGCAAACACTCGGTTTTCTCACTCGGCAGCTCACGGAGCTGGAAAATGAGATGAACTCTGCGGAGCGTCTCGTCTACTATGCAAACGAGCTGGGTCAAGAGGCCCCGCACCAAATTCCAGAGACAGTACCTGAGGCATCCTGGCCGGAGCACGGTGAGGTCGAGCTGCGCGATGTGTGGCTGCGGTACCGCCCTAACTTGCCCAATGTGCTCAAAGGCGTTACGTTCAGGGTGCGCGGCGGCGAAAAGGTTGGCATTGTGGGCCGCACCGGCGCGGGCAAGAGTTCCATCTTGACCGTACTTCTGCGTCTTTCGGAGGCGACACAAGGCTCGGTGCTCATCGACGGCATCGATGTGGGCCAGATCGGTCTCGAGAACCTGCGTCGCAGCATTGCGATCTTGCCGCAGGAACCTTTACTGTTCAGCGGTACCCTGCGCTCCAACCTCGATCCATTTGGGCGCTTTGACGATGCTCGCCTCTGGGACGCGATGCACCGGTCATACCTTACGGCCGCGTCTACGGCGAGCCAACCGGGGACCGGTGCGGTGACGCCACTCGTCGACGACAATGGCCAGCCCCTGCCTACTGAGAAGCAGCCGACACAGAGCAGGGCGTTGACGCGCTTGAACCTTGATTCGATCATCGACGAAGAAGGCGCCAACCTGTCTGTCGGCCAGCGTAGTCTGGTGTCTCTTGCGCGTGCATTGGTCAAGGACTCGAAGATCATTCTACTGGACGAAGCAACGGCGTCAGTCGACCTGGAAACGGATGCCAAGATTCAGCGCACGATCCGCACCGAATTTGCTGATCGCACACTGCTGTGCATTGCCCACCGTTTGAGCACCATTATCGGCTACGATAAGATCTGTGTCATGGACGACGGCAAGGTGGCCGAGTTCGACACGCCGTTGCGCCTGTTTGACGATGTCAACAGTATCTTCCGCGGCATGTGCGACCGCAGCGGCATCAAGCGCGAAGAAGTTGTCACGGCGCATGCCATCGCCTCGGGTGGCCAGTCGAACACAGCTGATGAAATTTCTGCAGCTAACATGGGTCCCGAACTCGTGACTCTGAGTCCGCCCCACTACCAGTAAAATATATCTCGTAAATTCTTCTAAATGTAGACTACGACGCGGGCGTATTGGAAAAGCCGCGAGACGGCAAGCGAATGGATGTGGTTGAACACGAATCATGGCTCTTAGACCACGTTTTCCTTAGCTGCAGGTGTTAGCGCATATTTAACGTACGAAACTTGAGCACAGGGCCCACCTGTCCAATGCACATGCCGCCCAGGCGGTGGCCCAGGTCAATGGCCTGCTCGATGGGCTTGCCGAGGATGAGGCCGGCGAGCACACCACCAGCGAAAGCATCACCGGCACCGTTTGTGTCGACAATCTGGTCCGCCGGCACCTTCGGGGTTGGGTGCACAAAGGCCTCCTTTTCGCCCTGCACAGCGCGGATGGTTGCCTCGGCGCCATGGGTAATAAGCACCGTGCGCGGCTTGTTGAGCTCCGAGGGTGAGTCGGCGATCTTCTGCGCAATCTCCTTCAGGTCAGTGGTGTCCACACCCACGGCCTTTGCCCACGCTTCCGCCTCGGACTCATTGCCAATTACGAGCTCAGCGTACGGGAGCACCTGCTCGACCTGTGCCTTGAAGAATTGCGGAATGAAGGGTGCAGACAGGTTCATCGAGAAGAACTTGCCGGCCTCCTTCGCGTGCTGGGCGAGCGACAGAGCGCTCTCCACACCATGGGTCAGGAAAAAGCCACCCAAGTAGTAGAACTGGGCCGCCTGAATCGCAGCCTTGGCGTCGGCACTCTCGAGGTGTTCCTTGGTGAACTTCTCCGCAGCGCCCAGGTTAGTGCACAAAGAGCGGTCGTGGCCAGTGATCACCACAGCGCACGAGCCAGTGGCTGTCTCCGAGTTAACCTGGTACACCGACTGCAGTCCCTCGCGGTCGTTGGCGGCACGTAGCTGGTTCGCCAGGTCGTCATTGCCGACACACCCGAGATAAGCAGTGGATCCCTCAGGAAGAGCGTATTGGGCACAGCGCGCCGTGTTCTGAGCCGCACCACCAGCCACGTAGGTGACTTGGTAGTTCTCCACGATGTGCTGGTAGATGCTCAGCTGGACAGGCGAGGCCAGCACCGCATCGTTGGCCTTGAGGCCGTACTTCCTCAGCACCTCCTCGCCGTCGCGAATCTGCATATCGAGCAGGGGATTGCCCATAGCAACCAGTTTCAAGTTCTGTGTCTGCACCATCGTTGTCGTCCAGGAACAATGGGCCCGCGCGAGACGTGCATGCTGGCGAATTGAGATCACGTGATAAGAAACGAGGATGCGCGATCGGTGACGACGCCGTTCGCGCCATGAGCCACGAGAAGCAGGAGGCGGACTTCACTGCGGAGGTGGATACGCTCCTCCCGCAGCTGGAAAAGCTCGCGGATGTATGTATATATCACTCACACAAGGCGGGCTCGCTCCAGGATGCACTCGATCTCATCGCGTCGTTGGAGAAGCGCACGCGCGGGGTACGTTTCACCTACTCACACAGTCTGCGGACCTCCTTAGCACGACACGTCTGCTCATGACAGCTGTACTTATGATTCGGACAAATAAAGGCACCGACAACACGAATATGCAGCTTCTGTGTGATACGATCCAGTCGTATGCCAAAAAGCACGGCCAGCTCAAGCAAGCTACAGCACGTATGGTGCAGCTCGCCATGCTCTTTCTTCGAGCTCCCGAGAAGTCAGGCTTCAATCTTCCCGGATCTCTCTATGCCGTAATTGAGAAGGACTCTCTCTCTGGCCAACCAGCGTCTGAGTCCATGGCAGTGGATGAGGAAGACAAGCAACAAGGGGACGAACCCGATCGGTCTGGCAAGGAAGACGACCGCGTGCTCATGCTGACAGAACGAGGCCGCACTATTGGAGATACTGGGCTTAGCGAAGATGCCAAGATGCAGCTCATGAAAACACTGCAAGAGGTCACCGAAGGGAAGGTCTTTCTGGAAGTGGAGCGTGCCCGTGTGAGCCGGCTGCTTTCTGACCAGCTCTATGCGCACGGGGAAGTGAACCAGGCGGCGGATACTCTCCAGGAACTTGCCGTGGAGACGTTCGGCAGCATGGACCGCCGTGAAAAGGTGGAGTTCATTCTCGAGCAGATGCGCCTCAATGTTGAGCGATCAGACTTTCATCGCGTTAATATGCTTAGCCGCAAGATTCATACCAAGTTCTTCGAAGATGAGGCGCAGCATGACCTCAAGCTATTGTATTATGAGCTGATGATAAAGACTGGTATGCATGACGACAAGCCTCTGGACGTTTGCAAATATTATCGCGAAGTGCGCAATACACCGCGCGTACAAGCAGACGAGGAGAAGTCTCGGGATGCATTGCGTCATGCCATCATATTCCTTGTCCTAGCGCCCTTTGACCCCGAACAGAGCGATCTCATGGGCCGGGTCGAGGCTAGTGAGCCACTAGACACTGTGCCCGAGTACAAGAGCTTACTCAAGTGCTTCACTACACCCGAGCTCATGCGTTGGCCCGGCATCGAGGCACTCTTTGGTCCCATGCTTCGTGCACTGCCGGTCTTTAGTGGAAGCAAAGAAGGCGAGAAGCGTTGGAAGCAACTACATACGCGCGTGGTCGAGTACAACCTCCAGGTTATCGCTAAATACTACACAAAAATTCGACTCTGCCGACTGGCGCAGCTCCTAGATCTCACTGCCGATCAGGCAGAGGAGGCGCTGGCCGATTTGGTGGTTAAGAAGACCATCCACGCGCGAATTGATCGACCCGCGGGGCTCATCAACTTTGAACCACGGATGTCTGACGATGAAGTGCTGAATCAATGGAGCAATGATATGTCCAAGCTTTTACAGACAGTCGAAAAGGTCTCCCATCTCGTTGAGAAGGAGTGGGCTATCCACCGCGCTGGACTAGTCGTAAAAGCCAACGAATGAGTAGTTAGTGAATCACTTGTGTCACGTGGTGTTGCGTGGCGGGGATGAGCACGGTGCAGCGCGATTTGGGGCCCATACGCTCAAGCACACCGCGTCCGTGCTAGTTGAGGAGCCCTCCGCACTAGTATGAGCCTAGGTGTCAGCGAAGATGAGCTCTTCCAGGCCTACCAGATCACATCGCTTTACCCTCAGCGGTGGGAAGACCCCGTTAACGGTCGTCAGACCCGCCGCAGCGTTGACTTCGGCAGTTCATTAGAGGAGTGGTCGGATCCACTTGGGCTGCGCCCCACTTTACCCTCCTCACGCATACAAGGGGATGAACAGTTTAGGAAGATCAGTATCTCAAGCAAGAGCTTTGATCCTAAAGTGTTTCTCAACACTGTTCATCCTAACGCTTCCTATGCTGAATTGAGCCAAGGCACGAATACCCTTAAGCAGAGCATCGAACAGCGATCAGAGGCACTAAAGGTTCTTGTCAACGAAAATTTTGACAGGTTTGTCAGCGTGAAGGCGACGACGGACAGCATTTTTCGTTCCATGACTGATCCTGAAGATGGCCCTCTCTCCAATGCGCCGACCGAGGGCATTCAAGGGTTTCGTGCGACAGTGCTCGAGGCCAGCTCCAGGGCAGATGGTGTGTTTCGTCCTGTTTTGGAAAACTATGTGAAAAGTATGAAGCTTCGGAATACGCTGGGTGTGTTCCAACGTTCGCGTTTCTTTTTCAACCTCCCTGGATCATTGCACGAGCATGTTGAAGTTGGTAACTACGAGGCAGCACTGCGCGATTACAAAAAGGGGCGGTATCTCTTGGAGAGCCGTCCTGGACAACTGCTTCCCATCCAGACCGACAACAATGCGAATGGAAAACCGACAGAGACACAGCTCGCGCAGCAGCAACGAATTTTTGCTCGCGTATGGGATGCAGTGGAAGAGATTATGTACCGCATGCAGTCACAACTTTTGGACATTTTGCGTGATTCGAAACGTTCTGTGGACGAGCAAGAAAAATGCATTCAAGTTCTCCTTGAACTTGATCCTCTCACAGACCCTGTGGCCGTGTTTCTTGAATCTCAGTATGGCCATATTCGCCTTTTGCTAAAGAATAGTTTCCAGCAAGAAGACAGAGCGCTTCGAGCTGCACGATCCAAGTCCCAGGTCAAGTCGTATGGGACTTTGGATAGAGCACTTGATCTTCATGAAAACCTAGTTCTTGTTCGCACTTCCAATGATACCAAGCCTACCTTTGACACTGTGCTAGGTGCAACTGTGTGGCAAGCAATTGAAGAGATGGTCAGCCATGTGTGTCAAAGTGCTTTACAGTCCATTCCTATTTTCTGGCGAGTCGCGAAGGACCATGCTGATGGCAAGTTTATCAAGGACCCCTCTTTACGCTCTAACATTGATAAACAATCACTGTCCTGGGCTGTGGAATGTGTTCAAGTTTGGGTGAAGCAACTCTTCGCTTTCTTCCAGCTGGAGCCATTCCGTGAGCGACAGAAAAAACCTTTGTTTTCCCAGCTACCCTCATGGGTACCCGATTCCTCTTGTTCCCTAATGACGACGCACTTTTTAAGTCGGATACTTCTCACTATTACAGAAACCGTCAAAGAGTTACGCTCGCTTAAGATCCCTGGTACATCTACGCAGCTGAACGCATTGCTTCTGGATACCCGCTTCCAGTTTATTGAGGTCATGTGCTTCCTGTGGCTTCGTGATGCACGTTACTGTCATTATATGGAAGATTGGGTCCCTAACACCCAACAGCCTGAAATTACCTCTTATCTATTTGCTTTCTCAGTGTTTAACCGATGGAATGCACGCGAGGGGTTTTTCCTAGCTGACGTGCGCTCACGGGTGAGGCAGGAATCGCCTGAAAATGAGGTTGACAGTATGTTTATCGACCGTTTGAAAACAACCTTTGTGAGTGTTCTCCATATATTTCTTGAAGGTATCGCAACGGCGGCACATGCACCGCAAGACGTCCCTGAGCTCCGGATGGCTCTTCATCAACGTCAAGGACGATCATTGCCACCGTCTCGGGACCACGATACGCGTATTCTTCTCACTGTCTCCAATCTCTCCCATCTCCGTGCACAGATTATAGGCGCCTGGGTTAAACAATTTGAAGAAGCATACCATGTGGGTTTGGTGAACGAAAAACAACATTTGCTCGACGAATGCAACCGTTTAGAAGGTGAGCTCCTTGGAGATTCTGTCCAGCGTAAAGGTCATTTGATTAAGGATACGATCCGTCACGGCATCCTGGAGAGTGGTATTGACTGGGGAGCACTATCCAAACCGACAGGCGTCAACGCATTTATTTTCCGGGCCCTGCTCTTGCTCGTTCAAGTGCATGCTCAAATCCGTGCTACTGTTCCAGCACTTGTTTCAAGAATGATTGTTGCCCTGGTAGAAATCATGGCGGACGCAATTCTTGAGGCGTATAGTCAGGTGCATCAATTCAACATGGGCGGTATGTTACAGGCTACCCTTGAGATTGAATTTGTTCACCAGACTATGTCTTTTCACGTATCTCCCAGGGCTGAAAGCACTCTGAAGCAAGTGTATGAAACGATCAGTCATCGGTATTCGACATCTGCTGGCAGCCGCAATGACCCATCTTTGCAGAGAGAGTTGGAGAGCGTTAAAGCAACTCTTATCGAGAGCCGCAAAGCCACCGCACTCGAATTTCTTTGCTTCCGAAAGCCCAAGTCTGAATCGAGAAAGGGCTCTGCCAAGTAGCTATGAATTCGATCGTCCTTTGCGAACCATGTATACGAACATAATTGATGAAAGGGCACTGAGCGTGAACCATGTTGCAGCATATTCTGCATGCTGGTTACGGAGTTCAATGCGTGGTGGTCGTCCAACAGGGATGCCTTTCTGAATGAGTGCACCAGCCTCGGAGAAAGTGCCATCGAAGATTTGCTCCACGTACACCGGTAACACTGGAACAGACCGGCTCTGTTGGAACGCTTCTTGTGGTGTTTGGGGATCAGAAATCCTCGTCTTAGTGAGCCGGCGAAATAGTGAGAACGATTTTGATTCCGTAGGAGCTTCGGGCGCATCATTGACATCAGCGATACCAGCCTGCTCATTCAGCCAGTGGGCCATCTGGGCCGGATTGATTTGCATCCACAAGTTGTTGTGAGGCTCATTGGCAAGAGCAAATCGACTTGGGGGGTATACTCGAGGCAAAAGCGTTACAATGGTGACTTCACGTCCATCATAGGGAAGGGGTGTTTTTAGCCGCTTGTCCATCCCAGTGCCAACAATGTGTTCGTCCGAGACAAAGCCCAGATTCACCAGCACATCAGGGCCACCAGAAGAGCGACAGAACGGCACTACGAGCTGGAAGCCACGCTTTCCTTCTCGACCGCGAGGTCCGACAAATAGTGCTCGCGAGACGTCAAAGCGACCTTGCAGCTCAAATTGGCGAAACTCAAACTCATTTAACACCCCCATGCTGTCGTGTCAGGAAATTAAACGTACTTGATATTCCGCGGGAAACGAAGAGGATCGCGGCGCAACTTATCATCCAATTCATCCATCAAAGACACCTTCCACTTAAGGCGTCGCAACTGCCAGAAACCAAGCCAAAGGGTAAACATCGGTACAATTGCGAGAACATAGAGCACAGGCGACTTATACCACGGCTTTCCCTTGCGTCTCTGAGGGCGGTTATATATGAGCGGCTCTCCTCCATCTTGTGACTCTATTATAGGAACAGGCATAGTCTGCCGATGCCCGTCCGTATAAAGTCGCGTAGAGAACACTCCCATAGAATATATAGGTGTTCGAACAGCTGGTATCATAGATGGTCGCGCCAGGCACGATCGTGGCACTCCACGCAGGAGAGGGCATACCGCCCCTACCTTCCCAAAAGCCCTGAGCATTGATATCGGTGGCACAGGGCACACTCGCCGTATACGAAATAAGCGCTCCACATTCATTGAGACTCGCGGAGCTTCGGCCGGTGGCTATTTTTGCAATATGTCGATTTCCATTTTCTTAACGCTGGTTGGCCAAATGGAGGGATGTGGGTTCCGCCAGAGTCAACGCAAGAAACGCTTCCCGAGCCACTTCCCAGTACGATGCAAGGCTTTGTCGCTAGTCGTGCTGCTGGCCTTGCGTCGAAGGTCAGCCGCACGGGGATTACATTCACTACGACGCGTGGTCTTGCTACTGTTACTGATACACCAAAGCGTACTTATGGTGGTCTGCGGGACCAGGACCGTATTTTCCAGAACCTGTACGGGCACCATGACTTCCGTCTGAAGGGCGCGCAGGTATGTACTGTATAATGGTTGACTCTTTATAGGCTCGTGGTGACTGGCATCGTACTCGTGACATCATCGAGAAGGGTCACGACTTTATCATCAACCAGATGAAGGCCTCCGGCCTTCGTGGTCGCGGCGGTGCCGGGTTCCCCTCCGGTCTTAAGTGGAGTTTCATGCTCAAGCCGGGCTGGGAGAAAGATCCTCGTCCTCGCTATCTTGTCGTCAATGCTGACGAAGGTGAGCCCGGTACTTGTAAGGACCGTGAAATCCTTCGTCACGATCCACACAAGCTCATTGAGGGTTGTCTAGTGGCTGGCCGTGCGATGGGTGCGAACGCTGCTTATATCTATATCCGAGGTGAATTCTTCGAGGAGGCGTACAACACCCAGGTTGCCATCAATGAGGCCTACAAGGCTGGCCTTATCGGTAAAAACGCTTGTGGGTCTGGTTATGACTTTGAAGTCTATATCCACCGTGGTGCAGGCGCTTACATTTGTGGCGAGGAGACCGCTCTTATCGAGTCTCTCGAGGGAAAGCAGGGCAAGCCCCGTATGAAGCCTCCGTTCCCGGCCGACACTGGTCTTTTTGGTTGTCCTACCACTGTGGCTAATGTGGAGACGGTTGCCGTGGCTCCGACGATCATTCGCCGTGGTCCTGCCTGGTTTGCTGGCTTCGGTCGCGAAAAGAACCAGGGCACAAAGCTATATGCGATTAGCGGACATGTAAACAAGCCTTGTGTCGTTGAGGAAGAAATGAGTATTCCTCTGAAGGAGCTGATTGAGCGTCACTGCGGCGGTGTTCGTGGTGGCTGGGAAAACCTCCTTGCTGTTATCCCTGGTGGCTCTTCGACACCTATGATTCCTCAATCTGTTTGCAGTGAGGTACTTATGGACTTCGATTCTTTGCGTGACAACCAAACTGCCCTCGGAACTGGTGCTGTAATTGTCATGGACAAATCTACGGATCTAGTCCAAGCTATTCTTCGTCTGACCAAGTTCTACAAGCATGAGAGCTGCGGACAGTGCACTCCTTGCCGCGAAGGTACTACGTGGCTGTCCAACATGATGGAACGCTTTATGGTTGGCCGTGCCTCCCTCCGCGAGGTTGATATGCTCTGGGAGATCACTCGTCAGATGGAGGGACACACTATCTGTGGTCTTGCTGATGCTGCTGCTTGGCCCATTCAGGGTCTTTTGCGCCACTTCCGCCCTCTAGTCGAGGAGCGCGTGAAGGAGTTCAATGCCCAGCATGGTTCTGTTTTGTACGGTGGTCGTCTCGCCAGCGACCGCGACCCTAACCTCGCTATCCCTGGTAACCTGTCCTTCCCAAACAAGGCGACGAAGGACTCTTACCAGCCAGGCGTTGCGAATGCATAGATCAGCGATAGTGTCTAACTTGACATGTTCCATCGGTTAGACAGAGTTACATTTACTGTGATTTGTTTGTGACTGCCTCCTTCCTTTCCGCTTCACGTCGGATCTCTGAAATAAACCTGCTATCAGAATGATATACGGACCAGTTGATCGACAAAAAGACCCCCACGGCCAGAAGCAGCAAAGCAAGCACGTGTAGATTAAATCCGGATGCCAGTAGCAGCGTCGAGAGACAGGCGAAAAGAGCGTAAAAAATCCAATTCATGAGTTCATGAGTGGTAGAGTTGACTCCTTCATGGAAAATGTTGTCAAGCAAGCGCTCGCATAACGTCTCAAACCGATCCATCGTTGTCCAGCGTAGACCTAGAAAGGGTGGAGCGTATCCTCCTTGCCCGATATCATTTAGTCAGCACATGTAGCTGACGAGCTTCGCCGTGCAACACGCCACTTTGCCTCGCAACCATGTTCGGCTTGATCAACGCGGCTGCGCACAAGCGCAAAGCTGCACCAAGTATACATATAGACTGGTCTCTCTACGGCGGGATCGAGACTACCCGAGATGTTCCTGATCCTGCAGCTGCTGGCAGGCCTTGGATGCCGCGTGTGAGCGAGAAGTCGTTGCCTTCTGACAGCTTTCTTTGGTCTTTAAATGAGGAGCCACATAAGTCGCGTCGTATTGCTATTTTAAAAGCCCATCCTGAAGTCAGAAAACTTATGGGACATGAACCGCTGACCAAATACGTGGCTTCGGTTGTCGTGTGCCTTCAAATTGTTACAGCTGTATCATTAACGCATCTGGGTATTGCCCCATTCGATTGGCGCTTTATACTCACTGCTTACATTCTGGGTGGTTTTTGCAACCAGCATCTGTTCCTAGCGATCCACGAAATCACACACAATCTTGCCTTTAAGAGTATTGCTGCGAATCGTTTTATGGCTATATTTGCCAATTTGCCTGTAGGCATTCCTTTTGCAATGACTTTCAAGGTATGTAACTTCTCTAACACTCAGCCGTATCATATTGAGCACCACAAGCACCTTGGTGAAGATGGGATTGATACGGATATGCCCACCAAGTTCGAAATGCTACTATTAAATAATGTGTTGGGCAAAACATTTTTTGCGTGCGTTATGTCACTAACAATTAGCGCTTTCCAACTGCTCTTCTATGCGCTCCGCCCCGGCTTTATTCGCGTCCAAAAACTGACTGGCTGGCATTATCTTAATGTCGCAGTCCAGATTACTTTCGATGTCTTGATTTGCTACCTTTGCGGCTCTGCTCGGCCGCTTTATTATTTCCTCATGAGCGCATTTTTTGCTGGGTCTTTGCACCCAGCTGCTGGTCATTTCATTGCTGAGCACTATATGTTTAGCAATATTGAACAAGAAACTTGGAGTTACTATGGACCTCTTAATATTCTGCTATACAACGTCGGTTATCACAATGAGCACCATGACTTCCCATCCGTTCCATGGACCAGGCTCCCAGCACTGCGGAAACTTGCACCTGAGTTCTACAATGTACTGCCATATCATACATCTTGGACTATGGTGCTTTTGGAGTTTATTTTCAGCAAACAATCCGGCTTGAATATGCGTGTGAAACGTACTCCGAAATTCAAGCAGCTGGCAGCAGACACAGCACCCGAAGACAAGCCTAATTACACAGGCTGGGAGGTGCGAGATACCCGGACTGAATAGGCCCTTCGCACCAAGCCGTTAATAGTTCTATATCATCACTCGTCCGCACGACACTGTCGCCGAGTCGCTCATCGGGCCTTGGGGGCTTCCCGATCGCCTTGCGCGATCACCTAATAGAGCTGCATTTCCAGACGCACGGCTCACAACTTTCCATCATGTCCATCTTACCAGAATGGCCCCCGAAATCTATCCGAGACAACGATCTCAATTCCCTTATAACCCAAAATGCACGCGACTATGCTCTTGGACATGGAATTGTATATCGTTCACTTCCAAACTGCCCCTCTTCTATGCCACCTCAAGACACTACTATCCATGCGCCTATGACTACAGTCCCTTCACCATTCCCAAGGAAACTTTTTGAACAGGCCATGGAATTGATGCCTTTATTTAGCAAACTTTATGCTCTTGTGTCAATGGATGAAGAATTTTTGGACCGTGTCATGAGCACATCTGTGATTAAAGTGGATGATTTTCAGCAGCATCTATACAACATCTGGTGCACTGTTCGACGCGAGGGTATCACACAACCCATGCATTTGGGACTATTTCGCAGCGACTATCTCATGCATACTAATGAGACGAATGAATTGAGCTTACAACAGGTGGAGTTCAATACAATCTCATCATCGTTCGGAGCGCTCTGTACCCGAGTATCCGAGTTACACCGCTATCTTTATCGCACAGGCGCCTATGCGGCTACTTCCGAGTTTCTGTGTGCTAAAAATATGCCTGAGAATGAGGCTCTCGATACGCTCACAGACGGCCTAGCTGATGCTCACCAACATTACACGTCAGAAACCCTTCGTCGCGCTCACGAAACACAGCCATCTATTCTGTTCGTGGTTCAGCCCAATGAGCGCAACACTTTTGACCAACGTGCCATCGAGTACAAGCTTTTTGAAAAGCATGGTATTTCTGTTGTACGTGCTTCACTAGAAGACTTGTGCACCAAGGCTACCATTCATGGCGATGCTCGCTTGTTATATGTGCAACCATTTCTCTCTTCGGATCCTGTCGAAATATCTGTGGTTTATTTCCGCAGCGGATATGGGCCTGGAGACTATCCTAGTGAGGCTTCATGGAACACACGACTTTTGCTCGAGCGTAGTCATGCGATTAAATGCCCTTCGATCAGCTTGCAATTGGCTGGCTGTAAAAAAGTTCAGCAAGTCCTGGCTGAGCCAGGCGTATTGGAAGACTTTATGGGAAATGACGCACCTAGTCTCCGCCTTACCTTCTCGCAACTCTGGCCTATGGATGACTCTGAACTTGGCCGGCAAGCGCAGTCTCTGGTTCTTGCTGACCCTGATAAGTATGTGCTCAAACCTCAGCGCGAAGGCGGTAGCAACAACATTTACAAAGAGGACATTCCTCCTGCGCTCCGAAATATGGAAAAGAGAGACAATGAACGCGCGTCACGCGGAGAAGATGTAACTGTGAAAGAGAGAGAGGGCTATATTCTAATGAGCCTGATAGACACGCCCAAGGACCGCGGCGCCATGATGCTACGGGCAGGTCAAGGTGAAATGTCGCAATATGTTTCTCAAACTACTAGTGAACTTGGAACCTATGGTACAGCATTGTTTGGAAAAAATATAAAGCCTATTATACGCTCAGGCGGTTACCTTCTTCGAACCAAGGCAAGTGAGAGCAACGAAGGAGGCGTTGCCGTGGGCTTCAGCGTGATTGATACACCCTTGCTTATATAAAACCACCATGATTGCTATGCATTCATAGCTTGAAGTGCTCGGCGCCTCTGTAGTAATTCTTCCTCAATTATACTTAGTTCAGCGTCAATTTCTCTTTGTCGTGCTAGGAGACGCTGTCGATACTCATCATCAGTAATGGGCTGCACAGGACTGTGGCGCAAAAACCAGTCATACGATTTTTGAAGCCATGTCAGAGACTTCAATTTAGGCTCCGTAGGAGAATCAAGAGCATCACGTCGCTCTGCATTCGTAATGGGTAAATTTGAAACATCTGCCTTGGTAGCTGAGCCGTTGTAATACGTCGACGTAAGACGCGAGAAGCCCATCGAGAACTCATTCCAGACAAGTTGAACGGCTGTACAAAGGCCGGAAATGGTTAATATTCCAGAAACAATCGGTCGGCGTGTTACACCAGCAGTAATGGCCCCCATAATTGCACCAGTGAAAAATGTGGGGGGGATATCCTGGAAGTGCCCTTGACGTGTACACATAGGCCATGTATTCTCCGTAGCAGGCCTTAACATATATTCTCGAAGAGCTATGTCAGGTAATTAAACTTACCAAAAAATCCGAAAGAGAAAACAAACCATCTCCTTGACATACGAATGGCCACAATAGCAGGTTCAACACGAGGTGTCCGCAAAGCACCAGCGACAGAGCCTGCTATGCCTCCTAAAATAGCTGTCGCTAGTGAATTACGAGCAACAATAAAGGTAGCATCGCTGTGTATAATGTCCCATGACGGCGTGTTGAGGCGACTAAGCGCCATAACTAAATTCGATCACGGTGTCAAAGAACTGCAGCAGGCTGCACGCAGCAGCAGAAGCGAATACGTCACGTGATGGAGAGGTCGTCACGGCACGATCGCACAGACTAGGTCGCTAGCGACGATGGTGAGTATCTCTGTTGTGACTGACTGGCAGGCAAACATTTCCACCACGCCCGTGCAAACTACTGTTCAGACTCTTGAGAGAATTGGTGCTCACTCACATGTGCGTGGGTATGTATCAAATAGCCTAACTGATGCGCAGTCTGGGACTGGACGAGCGTCTTGAGCCTCGTGACAGTGCTCAGGGTATGGTCGGTCAGCATGCGGCACGCAAGGCTGCTGGTATGATTGTGAAGATTGTACAGAATGCCAAAATTGCTGGTCGTGCGGTCCTTATGGCTGGCCCACCGGGTACAGGCAAGACTGCCATTGCAATGGGTGAGTCCTGAGCGAGCTAACTATTAAGGTATGGCACAGACGCTGGGCGAGGACGTGCCCTTTACTATGCTGTCTGCGTCGGAGGTCTTCTCCCTGGAAATGAGTAAAACGGAGGCTCTGATGCAGGCCTTCCGCAAATCTATTGGAGTTCGCATTAAGGAAGAAGCTGAGATCATTGAGGGTGAGGTTGTCGAAATTCAGATCGACCGCAGTCTCACGGGAGCCACCAAAACGGGAAAGATTGTTATCAAAACTACCGATATGGAAACTGTTTACGAGCTTGGTAACAAAATGATCGATGCTTTGCAGAAGGAGAAGGTGACGGCTGGTGATGTGATCACCATCGAGAAATCCAGTGGCCGTATTACAAAGCTGGGCCGCAGCTTCGCTCGTTCGCGCGATTACGATGCGATTGGTAGCGATGTACGTTTTTTAACTAACCACAGACCAAATTTGTTCAGTGCCCGGAAGGAGAACTTCAGCGCCGCCGTGAGGTCGTTCACACTGTCTCGTTACATGAAATTGATGTCATTAACTCGCGCTCTCAGGGCTTTTTGGCCCTCTTTGCGGGTGATACCGGTGAGATCAAACCGGAGCTTCGGGATCAAATCAATGCCAAAGTAGGCGAATGGCGTGAAGAAGGGAAAGCAGAGATTATTCCTGGTGTTTTGTTCATTGACGAAGTGCATATGTTGGACATTGAATGCTTTTCGTTCTTGAACCGCGCATTAGAGTCGGAGCTCGCGCCACTGGTTGTCATGGCTTCCAACCGTGGTCAGTCACGTATCCGTGGCACCCGCTTTACGAGTCCCCATGGCATTCCTATCGATTTGCTGGACCGCATTTTGATTATCAGTACGAAACCCTACACGGAATCTGAAGTGCGTCAGATCCTGTCCATCCGGTATGTTGGTCGAATTGTAACACCAGCGCACAAGAGGAAGATGTAAACCTAAAGCCAGAGGCCCTTGATGTGCTCATGCGCATGGCCATGGAGACTTCGCTGCGGTATACAATTAATTTGATCACCACAGCTTATTTGGCTGCAAAACGGCGCAAGTCGGATATTGTCGACGTGGCAGATGTCCGTCGCGTGTACAGTATGTCTTTTTTAAGCTTAAACCAGATCTATTTGTGGACGAGAAGCGCAGCGTGCAGTACCTTCAGGAACATGCAGCTGAATTCCTCAGTGAGGAAGTGGCGTAATAGTAACATAGAGAACAACCCTCGGGTGGTCTGGTTGAGATCCTAGTCTGGACCAGATTACATCAGCCTCCGCGGTGATCGACGCATGAACGCACGTCACGGAGTGTCCAGTAACCATGCCTGGCGCACGACCAGTGGATAGCCTGCTCTCCCATATATATCATGGTGAGCATCTACATACAATTAACATATTTAGAACGACAGGAACCTGGCAGTATGATGTGTGCCCAACACGCTTTGAATGCAATACTTCAGGGTCACTTTTATGATCCCAGCCAGCTAGCTCAGATCGCAGACGAACTAGCGGAGCACCAACGTATCGAACTTGGTATTGCGATGGAAGGCATTGATCAAAATTTCCATGTGGATGAAACCGGTTTTTTTAGCGTGGATGTGATCGACCGAGCTCTCAACGCCTGGGATATGGGCTTAGTACGGTGGCGCCCTTGTCGCTCGTTGGCCGACCGTTATGAGCATCCAGAGCGTGAATTCGCATTCCTACTTAATCTTGAAAGTCACTGGATTGCACTTCGTGGATTCGGACGCAATTACAAGTATTGGTATGTGTGTGTATTTCCTTACTTTAGGTTCAATCTGAACAGTTATTTCGAAAGGCCACAATGGATCGGTGATGCCTACCTCAGCACATTCCTGGAACAGGTATGTTGCATTTCTTTTACCTACAGTTGGCTCGGGAAAGCTACACAGTGTTTGTGGTGGAGCCCCAGGGAGACGTTGACCCTCCCGAAACCATCGCCGATGATTTGGCGGAGGTGTCCCTCGCGTCCTTGCGGTCCGAGGAGCTCGACTCGGATGCTGTCAACGAAAACGAGGATAAAGAATTACAAAGAGCTATTCGAGAGAGCCTAACTAAGACTAACGCAGATACGTCACCCTCGTGTCCAGCTCCTGCTCGACGGCGTACACGTCGCGGGCGTTCCAGCTCTGATGATGATATGGGCAATACCCATGGACTAAGCCTGCCCAGTGAATACACAGCTGATCAATATATTCAGCCACCTTTCAGTGGACGCCGATCTCAGCGTAAAATTGGCAAACTAGAGCCTTCCGGCACGAGCATGGAAAACCACGATTCGAATACGTCCAGGCACCCAAGAAATAGCTCCTCACCACCTTCAACGTTTCAGGATGAAGACTTATCATTTCATTCTTTCCATACACACAGCTCACCTTTTCTTCATCCCGTTGCAAGTCTGCCTATGCAGGATGTGGATGATGATGCTTTAGAACTCAGTGACACGGGGACTGCCGATGGAAACCAGGAAGTCGATTCAATTGATATTGAAGACGAGCAAATGCAAGCTGTTATAGCGGCAAGCCTTGGCCAAAAATATTCGATATCCCAACGGGTCCTGGATGAAACACAGCGTGCATTGAGACTAAGATCTATTGATAATGCTAAGGACACTGCTCAGGTACCCGAAGATGTCGAACGGATTAGGCGCCTACGTGAATCAGCCACAGAAGCAAGCAACTCAGAGCGTGAGCAGGTTGAACCCACTTTGGTAAAAAAAAATACCTCCTTCCCTGAAACTACTGATGAGGAAGCGGAAGAGAAGCATGCGAATCCCTCGCCAGAGGAAATGCGGCGGCTGCGTCTAGCGCGTTTCGGTTAAGTTCATGATTAAACATTAATCACTTGTAAAATTATCACGGACACCCATGCCGTCAAGAGCATGAAGTACCTCATTTAATTGCGTGTGGAGTTTCCGGATCACAAGTCGATCGATGGGATTGAGACAAAGCGGTGTCTTGTTTAACTCCACTGTTGAGGAAGACACACCTGTACAGCATTCATTCTTCTGACATACAGTGTCCCTCTGACCTTGTACATACGGGAGCAATGGTCGATCCGCTGCGGAATGCACGCGTGCCAAAGCACGCTCAAGGTCAATTAATTCGAGTTTCAGCGCATAGAGAGCAATTTTTCGTGAATTTTGACCTGAAGGCAAGTAATCACCGATACGAACATCAATCGAGGGCTTAGCACCTGACGCATGTTTACCCTTTGGTTCAGACGATCCAGAGCAAGCGCAGTAGGTGTTGGAGGTGCTGCAGCAACAACCACGAGGTCTGTCTGCAATTAGAACATCGTGAAATAGTTGCAGAGCTTTAGCATATATTTGCAGGGCCGTAGAAATTAGCAAAAGAGCACTAGAGCGGTAAGACGGATCTTTCTTGCATGTCGGACAGTCAGCGCTACAGCCGCATTTTTGAGAGATAGACTGGCTCATTGACAATGTAAATACGAGTGACGACATGACTTGACTTTGGGATGTGTCGCTGGTGTTCTGAGATGTATCTTGTATTCGATGACGGAGGGTTCGCTCCAGTGAAAGCAATGCAAGCCCCGAGTCACACCGACAGGAACAATGTGTACCGGAAGGGCTTGGAACACAGTGTATCTTTTCTGGAATGGAACTAGAGTGCAAAGAAGGGACGTGGGGAGTATGAAGAGCAGCATGAGCCTCTGCATCAAACTTCTTCTCAGCAATACCACAGCAGCTATTTTTTGTGAAGCTGCTTCCCTTTGGTGATTGGGCTTTCGATGATTTTAATGAATTGATACCGGTAGGCTCTGGCTGAATTAAAGTGTCTTTTGTCAGAAAGTCATAATATCCAACCCGTGATATTTGATCAGGATCACAAGCATTGGATGGTGTTGAAAAAGATTTGGGTTTATCCAGAGTTTGTGGAAGAGACCATGCTGCATCCCACCAACGCATATCTGACGGTACTGAAAATGCAAGATTCTCATGAAGAAAGGCACTTTGAGCGTACTCGAAGTCAGGTTCGGCATCACTCGTACCTGAAAAGAGGGTTGACGGCTTCTCCATTTCTAATAGAGTATTTGAGGTAGAGCTATCATTGGATAGACCCTCTGAAAGCTGAGTTACTAACATGTTCGAGGTGAGTCCATCTGACGGCGCAATTTCAAGTGTATACAATGACTCCACAAAAGCTGCTAGCGAAAGATCTGATAAGGAAGCATGACATTCAGTATCCTCCGAGCAGCTAAACTGTGCCACTGTAGGACTTACGTCCATATGCTCTGTAGGCAAAGGGGGTAATTGACGGTTCATTGAAGAGTCACCCTGTATCATTTGACCTCTTAATACGGCTGGTTCCATCTCAATCTTATCCAATGGCTTCGAAACAAATTCAGAAGTGCCTGTAAGCGTAGGTGATACAGAGCCAGAAGCATTTCGTGTCCTACTAACTGGCGTAGATAAATTCTGGTAAGATTCCGGCGATTCCATAGTTGTGGGAGATGGTGATTGGATCGAGTCTCTGTCAATTCCGCCACTATGCCTAAAAAATTGCATAGCTAGTACGTCGGTATTCAAGGGTGCCTCTGATATAGGTCGCTTTCTTGGTCGTCCGATGGGTCTCCGAGTTGCTGAATGTCAGCAGTACCATACATACTGAAATAACATTCCACATTATCTGATCCACAGCGGTAGCATGAGAGATCTCCATTTATTAGCCCTGAGCACCTTAACTTCCTAATGCGACATGGTTCACATGCATTACGGAGCGTATAGCCTAAAGTTTGTGACTCAGTCACACAGATCTTCCGACCATCTTGAGATACGACGAATGCTTTCGAACGGACAGCTTGTTTTGATTTTTCAGACTCCATGTTTCTTCTAGTGTTATTTAGATTCAAACACAGGTCAATTTGAGTTGAAATTAATGCAATCTGTCGAAAGCTCTTCCGCCAGGAGAATATTTGTTCGCCACCAAAAACGTTCCGAAAATACTCGAGGTGGAGGTGTTGGCTTCATGTACGTTCGTAGGCCTCATGCATCAAGACCCTGTAAGCTTGAATGACGTCAGTCTACCAGATGACCCTCCTAACTCTGAACGAGTAACGACAAAAAAATGAAATTGTGGATTTTGACTATGCTACATCTATATTTAATCTAATTCCGTCACACGACTCTGATGAATCACTAAGTCGACACAATTTCTTGCATGATGATAAAGGTGTGCCCACCAATCTGTCACTTTTTGATGGTGAGTATCATGTTATTTACAAAGCTATATCTATAAAAATTGGACTTCAGGTGGTGCGTACACAATGCTAATTATAGGGAAGCGGCATTTTTTCTTCACCAGGCGTCATCACGGCTTATACTGGCTTGATAGGCGCAAGCCTACTTGTTTGGTTGCTCAGTGGATTTCTCGCATTGACCGGTGCAAGCTCATATGTAGAGCTTGCTACAGCCATTCCACTTAATGGTGGTGCGCAGACTTACTTACATGTAAGTCATCGTTTCTAAAACTAGTATTCTTTTTCGCCACTTATGTCATACTTGTTTTTCCTATACGGCTATTTCTGCGATGAAGTCAAGCTCTGCAGCTATTATAGCGACTATTTTTGGTGAGTATATCACTCGTATTTCGCTTCATTTGGCGAGTGACGGTGAAAATGAATTTCAGAAGTTATCGCCCAGCGACTTGCCCCGTTGGCTTGTGAAGCTCATGGCTTCTCTGGCCCTTTTCTTGGTTTTGGCAATTCATTCGTTTCATCCATGGATTGGCCCTCGTATTCAAACGGCACTAACTGTGATTAAAGTCTCGCTTCTATTGGGTATTTTTTTCTTTGCCATTGTACAAGGTTGCAGGGGGTATATGCCGGAAGAATCAAGGGATGCGTTTTTATCCTTGGGTCACCTAATGCGCGGACCAACTTGGGATCTTGGAAGCTATGCATTGGCTTTGTATAGCGGACTCTGGGCTTATGATGGATGGGACCAGGCTACTTTTGTTACTGGCGAGATGAAAAACCCTTCACGATCAGTTTCAATGGCACTTCCTCTAAGTATCATGACAGTGATCATCTTATTTTTTACCACGGTGCTCTCATATTTTGTGCTTCTTCCTCCTGCCATTGTTATTCGAACTAACTCTTTTGCATTAGACTTTGGTCTAATGACTAATGGTGCTGTGGGTGCCATCGTTTTTACCTCGTTCGTCGCATTTTCTTGTATTGGTGCTCTTAATGCCCATCTATATACCTATTCTCGCCTTACAGCAGCCGCGGCACGCGAGGGGTTTCTTCCTCAAGTTTTCGGCCGTTTAAACACGCGCTTTGGTACACCGCTGAATGCGTTGCTACTCTCCTCGGTGCTTACTTTAATTTTTATTATCTTTGGGTCTGGATTCGCCAGTCTTGTTACTTTCAGCAGTGTCTGTACATGGTTTTGGTATGGGACGACAGCTCTTGGACTACTGGTTCTGCGCTGGCGAGAGCCGCATCTTCATCGTCCCTAACGCGTATGGACTTGTATACCCATCTTGTTTATGACAGTGTGCGCCTTCTTCTTAATCATGCCGATCTTCTCTGCACCTTGGGAAGCACTCGCTGCGTTTTCGTTCATCGCATCAGGTTGCCCCCTTTACTACCTCACCCAGCCCCAAGCTCGAAACTTCCTCAAAAGCTATATACCTCGATCATGGATCTTTTTCGAATCATTACCGACAGAAGAAACCCCCGTAGAAGTGGTTGACAGGTAAACCCTGTAGGTGCTCGAGACTAGCATTATTTGAAATCGAGGCCAGGAGCACGGACGTTTCACGAACCATGTGGCTGCCCCAGGCGCACGAGCCATGATTATGTCAGACTACGTGGCTAAACTACGGAAAGTGCGGAGAAATGAGGCCGCGGGGCGGCAGGGTCGCAAGGCGGGATCGTAATAGATTTACCAACGTCGATCTACCTTATGGAGCATCACTTCGGCGAGGGATGGTCTGAAAGGAACCGAATCCCAACGGTTCAACAGTTTAGAGAAGAACAATCCCAAAAGAATCCTGGTAGCCAGCGTGAAACGACATGGCGGGACTGGATGCCCTCTTATGCTGCTCCCGATGACAGCCAGAGTTCGCGTCCCTCTTACTTGCAGTCATTGAATAAAAATGATGAGACCGAGGCTGTCGATGATGCTGCGAAGAAACAAGATTCAGAAGCCAATACTGCGGATGCTGTGAAGCAGGGAAGGTCTAGCTCCCAAGCGGCTCCGCATAAGACCAATCATGAAGGCAACCGTCAGTTAGTTTCGGACAAGGGTGGTGGTGAAGAAGAAAAGAATCGCATTAAGGAAGCAGCAAAGACTTACAAAGAAGGACCTAAAAATGATTTCGTGGCTAAGGGGACGCGCGTTGTTGACGATCCGGTTACCGGAGGAGATGTGGTCATTCAAGATGCGAAAGATTTGGACATTGATCCTTCCCATCTGGACTCACGCTATCAAGGTGGATACTCGACATGGAAGCCCCGTGAAGAAGGAAACTACGAAAGCCAAAACGTTAGCCCTGACCCAGCGAGGCCCACCTCAGTTCTGCTACAGCGCTTCCCTGACCCTTTGAAACCTGATACACTAAAGAATCTGGACGATCTTTTCACAAAGATCTTTATTGGATATGTATCTGTCGTGGTGCTTGTTTGGGGTGTTGCCACCGTCGGACACGGCTGGTTCGCCTTCTTTACTCGCACCTTCCTACTCGCTCTTGCTGCACTGGCTGGATTCTTGGGACTAGGACTTATCAAGAATAAGCTGCTACTCGAATTTGAGAGGATTCGTTCAAGTATGCATCGTCAGCGTGGAGAGCGTTTTTCTCCCCCTTACCCTGAGAGTGTGGAATGGCTGAATGCTGCTGTTGCCGCCTTGTGGAAACAGCTGAATCCAGAAATGTTTACAGCAGCTCTGGACCAGGTTGAAGACATTATGCAATCATCTTTACCTAGTATCATCAGCTCCGTGAAGATTTCCGACTTTGGCATGGGCTCCAATCCACTTCGTTTTATTGCCATGCGCGCTTTGGCTGACCTTATGACAGACGAAGAATACCCACGTTCCACTTGGATCGAGAAGAATGACGACAATCCCGAGGCTGAGGAAACCGAAAAGAAAAAATCTAAGATGCAGGACATGAACTTGGATGAGCGAGTCGATTCAGAGACGAGAGAGTCTGCCATGGAAGACCTGGCAGGTGACTTTTTGAACATGGAAGTGGGTTTCTGCTACGCAGCCCTACCTGGCCAGTCGTCCAAGGACCGCACTAAAAACGTCCATTTATTGATTGAGTTTTTCATCGGTGCATTTGACTGGATCGAAATTCCTCTCCCTGTTTGGGTGCAAGTGGAACGCATTGTAGGTACGGTGCGTCTCCGTGCACAGATCATGAGTGAGCCGCCATTTCTTCGCAATTTAACATTTACCTTGATGGGTGTACCCAGTGTGAGTATTAGCGCCATTCCCATGACGCGTGTGCTGCCTAACGTGTTGGACCTACCTATCATTTCTCAGTTTGTGCAATCCTCGATTGCGGCCGCTGCCAACATGTATGTGGCTCCCCGAAGCATGACTATGAATATGAATCAAATCCTCAGTGGCGATGGTATCAAGAAAGACACTGATACATTGGGTGTCCTTGTTGTGAACATCCATTATGGTGAGAATCTCAGCTCACAGGATTTGAATGGGAAGTCCGATCCATATTGTGTTTTGAGTTTTGCCAAGTTTGGCCGGCCAATGTATGCTACACGGATTGTATTTGAAGATCTCAATCCTGTGTGGGAAGAGACGGCGTTCTTGCTTGTCAGCAAGGAGGACATTCGTTCAGATGAGGGTTTGTCGCTACAACTCTGGGACTCGGACAAACGTACGGCAGATGATATTGTGGGACGTGTGAACAAGCCTTTACGCGACTTTTTGCAGCACCCCAATGAGTTCCGAACCTTTAAGTCAGACCTGATGGGATTCGAGGATGCCGACTCAATGCAGGGTCAGCTTTGCTGGAGCGCTGCCTTTTTCGAAAAAGCGCGTTTGAACAAAGGCTTGCGCCGTCAGAAGGATAAATCTAAGCTATCTGCTGCCGAACAGGAAACGGAACGCAAACCTTCTGAGAAAGATAAAGAGCAGGAAGCGCTTACTCTCGACACACCTCCTGATGAGAAATGGCGTTGTGGTATACTGAGTGTGGTCGTCAAGTATGTGGCTGGTTTGGAGCGGCGCGACGTGGAAAAGGGCGTCTCTGATAATGAACGGGAAGGTGCTCATGGTCAAGACGTGGAAATGAGTTCCTCTTCGTTGCCCTGCGGCTACTGTGAGTTTATTTTGAACGACAATATGTTCTACAAGACGCGGGTGAAGCAGTACACAAACATGCCATACTTCCAAGCTGGTACGGAGATTTTCGTCCGTGACTGGACTAAGGCCGAGCTTCGCATTATTGTGCGTGATTCACGTCTCCGTGAACATGATCCTATCATGGGAATTGTATCGTTGCCACTTAAAAAGCTGCTGGCCGAATCATCGCAAATCGAACAGTCGTTTAGTCTCCAGGATGGTGTGGGTTATGGTAAGGTTGCTACCAGTATTGTGTTCCGCCAGGTCAAGGCTGATCTTCCCCGCGAGCTGACAGGTTTCAATACAGTAACGCTTGATCTGCTTAGCAGCATTGAAGTGAAAGGAACTACGCCTGAGAATACCAAGAAGCTGAACGACATCAAGCTGACAGTTATGGCGAATCTGTTCTCCACGAAACTCGGTTCGTTACGCAAACAGACAGAGCTCGACGAGAATGAAAAACTTCTCAGTGTGCCTATCTATGACCGCTACTCAACTAACGTGGTCTTTTCGTTTGGCCGCTTTGGAGCATCACACTTACCTGGCCCCTTCAAGGCTTTCGCAGTGGCCATACTTCCTCTGCGTGAACTCGAGGACGAGCAAATTACTGATATCGAGCTGCCTGTGCTAGCTTGTTCAAAATTACACGCGCTAGAGCGCAATTACATTAACAAGCAGACGACAAAGACGCATGACTTTGAGGAAATCGGGTCGCTTTCCGTGCGCGTGCAGGTGACACCAGGACTAAGCGAAGCACATCGCCCTATTGCGACAGGTTCGCGTGATCGTCATGAGTTTGAGGTGTACGAGCGCCTTGTCGGCTTGCCCACCCGTGCAGAGATCAACTCGCATGCGAACGACGACGGTGTCATTACGAGCGATGAGCGCAAGGCCATCAACAAGCTGCAAACACAACAATTGCATATGCGCCACCGCGGAGCTATGGGCTATACACCTGTTCGCACGGCTGTGTGGGCTAAGGATGGTTTGAAGGATCATATTCGGTCGCTTGGCAGCCACATGTTTGGCAGCAAAGACAAGAAGAGCCAGTTTGTCCAGTCGGAGACGTAGCCCCATAGCCTCCACACGACCCTCCACATTACCCAAAGACCGCGCGGTGCGCGGGCGTCGAAGCACACCTGGCCCATCCATAGCATGTCGTGGCTCAAGCACAAGATGGGCCGCTCCAAGGCGGCACACACGCGTCCGCCACTTCCACCGCTCGAGTCTCGTCTTTATGACTGGACAGGTGACCTGCGCGACTCGCGCAAGTATTCCGAGGGACTGCTGGACCAGCTGACACTCCCTGGAGAAATGTCGGCCCTTGCCTATGAGCCGGGCATGGGCTATCTGGCTGTGGGTACTACATGTGGAACGGTGCACGTATTCGGATCTCCGAGTGTGCGCTTCATTATTACACTTCGACCGCCGGTTCGTGTAAAGCATTTGCTTTTTAAAAGTGATACGTACTTGCTGATTTGTGTCGACGAGAAAGACAATCTCAGCATCTACGACCTCTCGCGCAAAGACCCGCATGCCTCAGCAGTGCATAGCTTACCACGTTCTGGGAGCACTCCTGACGTGCCTTTGCGTGTTGGCATCCATTCGGCGCGCAACACGGTCTTGTGTGCAGAGGTCACGTCAGGACACAGCCATCTGTTTCTGGGTCTCGCCGATGGGACCGTGGAAGTCTATGATCTTGAGCGCTTTTGCAGTGCACCCTATCGAATTCCCAACCTATGGTGGAATGAGGAAGAAATTTTACGCCGCTCGAACGTCCCTAATGCACCAAGCCGTCTGCACATTCCATTAATTATTGACATACAAACACATCCACGCGATCTAAACATATTGCTTCTTTGCTACGAGGGCGGGGCCATCCTCTTTTCTCTTCGCGACTCTTCAGCTCTGCGTACTTACCAGCTGCGCCTGCTTCCCGGTGCGCCTGGTCCCTGCGCCGACGACCCTTTAGAGGTGATCTGGAGCGAACGCCTGTGCTCCGCCACGTCAGTGGCCTGGCATCCAGAAGGTGAGATGTTTGCTATGGGCCATGAAAATGGGGCTATTTCTTTCTGGCGCATCAAGGATGAGGACAAGCCTGTTATGGTCCGCACTCTCGATAACGTGGACATTGAGCGCCCGGTGCCACCAGATGAGATACCTAAGCACTCACTGGGGCCGCGTGAGCCGATTTTTAAGCTCGCATGGTCAGGTTTCCCTGCCCAGGGCTGGTACGAGTACGGTGCGCAGGCCGCCAGTGCTTGGCGAGGGTCGACCGCAACTTCCGATCCAAAGGCGGATGCGGCTAGTCGTGTCCAAACTGCCGCGAGCGGTACCGTGCTGACAGTGATGGGGGGTACTGCAGCTGCTCAATCTTCCGCATGCCTGACAGTCTACCAGCTGCCGCCACTACCGACATCTAGCGTATTCAGTGGTGCAGGAGGTGAGCCGGCTGCACGACAGCGCCAAGAGCTACATGATGCCCTCCTTCCCGAGCAGGTGACAGTCTACAAATTGTCGAGCACTGTCGAAGATTTTTGTTTGCTTCCCAAGATAAACCCTCACTACCACGGCACATTTGATCCATACGGGGTAGTGATCTTGGTGGGCCCCGACCCCTCGTTGCCGGCTATTGCGGCCCAAAGCACGCACCGCGGGCTCGAGGCGTACAGTTTTCCGCCGCAGAGAGGCATAGGCACCTACCAGCGTCTGCATCTGCCGTTGCCTCTTATGCTTGCTGGTCGTGGCACCGTACTTGGATGTCGTGTCGCCACCGTACCTCTGCAACAGTACCGGCGGTTGACACAGCATGCCGAGCATGACGCTGTTGGTTCGATCAAACAGGACGAGCCCATGGGTGGTCTGGCGCGCCCCAACGTCAAGGGAGGCGCTCTGCAGCATGCTTTGGCAATTGCACGGCAGGGACGACCCCGCTTTCTAGTGACCTGGCACTTGGATGGCACCGTACGTTTCCATGATATCAGCCCGCACCTGCTTCTCCTTGGCGATGAGGACCCACGACGTGGTCCAATTTTGACGATGCCATTTCCTGCGCCGCTGCCGCACCTTACGGTTCGGGTGCGTCAGTGCATTATGCATCCCACTATGATCGGCGCGCCAGCTTTGGAGCCGATCCAGCGCTTCCCCATGCAACTGCAAATTGCTAATGTGTATGTCGCGTGGGAAGCATTGGAGTGCGCCATTGAGCTCTCTACAGGACATGTCGTGCACATGGCACTCGGAGGGGGCTCATTTGCAACAGGTGCGGCCAATACATCGCTTTCGCAGGCGATGGAAAATGTACATATCGATCAAGGGACGCCTGACTGCTCTGTGCCAGAATTTACGCCGATGGATGCGATCAGTGACATGTCCTCTCTCGGATTCCAACGTAAGTTTGTTTACTCACAACAGCCAATACTGTCATGTGTCTCTTACCTGGTCGAGCCACTGTGAGTGCTCTGAGCGACGTGGGACTCTTTGCGACGGCTTATGGAGGGATTCTCGTGGTCGCCGATTGCCATACGCAGGACATTGTCGTGCGGTCCGGCACAGGCCATGCGGACTATTTCTCGCGGCAGCTCGGCGCGCAGGATGAGCGTCTGATCAAGGCGGAGGCTCACAGCGAAATTATGTGGCTGACTTTCACCGTATGTCGCACCGCCAACGATCCGATGCTTGCCCTTCGACTCATTGTGGGCCGCGCAAATGGTTTTGTGACAGTGTGGTCGTTCGAGCGCACGAGTTTAGAGAGTTGGATGGGCTTCCGTGCCGACTCGGTCATGCTACCAAGTGGACACGCAGGCCACCCGTGCGTGTATGCCCAAGTGCTGGGACCTACAGGCGCTCCTGCAATGGCGACGGAAACTAGCATGCAGCGCGCATCCGTGGAGCAAGAGGCCATTCAAGTCAGTGACAATCTACAGGACTTTTACCTGCTCCTGGTCGTGTTCGATCGTGGTGCTGTGCTTCTCGACCAGGTAACCGGCGCTCGCATCTCGCATACTGAGTTCCCCGATGCTGTGGTCAGCGCAGAAGTGGTGGATCGTCAGGGCATCAAGGTGCTCCTTGCACTATCGAGCAACAGCATTTTTGTGGTGTCGCTCCCACGGATGGACACGGTTCATCGCGTACAGCGGCATGTGCCCCCCAGCCAGGAAGTGGTGAGCAGTATGCCCCATGCCTCGATCGACACGCTCGGCGACTTGGTTGAGCTGACAGATGGGCACCAGATCCGTGTTTGGACGACATTTGCGACGATGCCACATGGCGAACGCCCATCCCTTTTTCTTTTCACGCCGCGAACGCTGCCACTCCATCCTAGTGAGGGTGCCGGTGGCTATATTGCGAGTGTGACCGGCTGGCTTGGCTCCTCCGCTGGCCAGTCTCTCTCATATGGTGCTCAAATTGATTCCGTACTAGCCGGCTCGCGCCGGCCTAAAGCCCCTTCGCTCCCTGCGCGCATGACTCTCGAGCAAGAAACACTGGTCACCCCGCCAAAGGTAACGCCAATGCCAGATGCGCCTGGTGCGGAAAGCAGTGGAAAGGCCGCCGCCACGGGCGAAGGTGGCCGCCAGCGTTCTTGGTTCGATGCGTACCAGCGGCAGTTGACCAGCCTCACTAGCAGCAGTGCTCGGTCTCAGGCGCAGCTGAACATGCAGCTCCTTCACAAGCGGGACGAGCTCCTAGCCAAGTGAGTATCCAACGCTGACGACAGCCTCGATGAAAGTATGTCCACATTGGAACGCGGTGCCAAGGACCTTTTCAAACAGTACGTATATGTCTCTCACGCAGAACACGCAATGCGGCTCTCAAGGCGGCGGCGCGCGATAAGCTTGAGTCTTACATGTAGGCGCGTGGAGGTAGTGAATTGAGCGTCGCACGATGCACAGCACCACCGTCATGACTGGTCGATCCACGGCGAGGGAGGGTGTCGAGCTCCTCAAGGAGATCCTAGCATCTGTGGATGAGGTGGCTGCGGCGTACGTCGCGTGGAATGCTGCCTCTCCAGGCTGGACGTATGGCCCCCAACTGGCTTGGGAAAAAGGCCAGTGGGTCCCCACATGGGCGGCACTGGCCCGTACGCAAGTCCCGCTCCTCTCAGAAAAACCTGTCAGCTGGACAGCAGCACCTCTTGCAGGTCTTTCTGCGTTCCGACATGCTGTCCAGGCAGAGATCCAGTTTCTGGAGCAGGCCCATGCGCAGCCAGGTAATACGCCTTATCTCTGTGCGTTCTGGCAGGAATTGCTTCATGCACTAGCGTATACATCCCCCATCGTTGCGCTAAATACTACCGTGTCAGCCCATATCCAGGGGCCCCGCGTGAAGGTGCAGCTGGTCTCAGGCCAAGGAACGTGTTGGACTCGGATCGTGCCCATCCGCCTTGATGCACTACTCCATGAGTGCCGAGCGTTTGACGCGTCCAGAGAGCCTGGAGAAGTATCCAGCTACGATGATTTTATCGCTGATAATGCGCTTGTCTCTATTGCTCAGGACCTAAAGCGTGCGTCCGACGATTCGATTGAGATTCACTTGGTCTTGCCGCGTCTCGCACTGGCGCCAGACGTGCCGCCTGCACCACCGGTGGGTTCCAACGACTACTGGGAGGCGCCGGATACTGTACGCGTACATTGGCGACTCGCAGCTATCGTTGCACGAGTCCAGGAATCTGGTATACATGTACGCATGGGAGCCCATCCAGATCCAATCCAAGTCTCTGCGCAGATACCACGCCCTACACCACTTAAGGTATGGCATCCCACCGCGACATTAAATCTTGATGTGAGCGCGCTTGTCGCCCTGTGCAGTGATATAACTCATGGTATGGCCACCGACTTGCACGGCCATGCCAACCGTGCGCTTGCTTCACAGGCAGCGCACGAACAACAGCACCCACTTCTCCCATGGCTAGCTGAGTATCTTCACGAGCCAACTCAGCTTGTGGCCTCAGCCCAAGTCTTGGAAAAGTTCGCCGCAATTGTGGAAAGTGTCGCCTCGTCCTCGGAACGGGCTCGAGCCCAGTGGCTCATAGGACCACGATCAACTGTCTGTCCGCCCTGGCTCCACTTACCCCAATGGGAACGACTCTTCCCTGAGCCAGTACGGCGCGTCTCGAGCGATGTATCATCTCCCGATGAGGAAATGTCTTATGTGGACGCCTGCTTGTCTGCCCTTACACAAATTCGAGCCTGCCAGCGGTCGAAATCGCTAGGGCAGTCAGCTCATACTTGGCACGCACTCCAGTGGGGCTTGCAATCACGTACTACTACCCTCCTTGCCCATGCCTACGGTGTACAAGAGCTGACTGAAAAAGCAGGGCCACCGCCATCGCTTCTCTCCTCCGATGCCCTTCTTTGGCTCATGCAGCCCCGATCCTTTGTGTCGAATTCGCAGAGACGCATTTTGCCCAATACGCCGGTGATGAGACAGCGATCAGATTCGTCAAGCTCCGTGACTGCATGCCTTTCTGAGAGGACCCAAAGCCAGCATTCAGGTAGTAGGATGACTTGGCGGCGTGCTTGGGACTGGATACAAGGACCCCTGGTCCCGCAAGCGGGACTACTACCGTTCCCGCGGTGGTGGCCCTTCACGCCTTTGGAAACTTACTGGTTGAATCTAACTGCCCGTGTGGCCTGGGCTGAGCCGCCACCAATTGCTCTGCCAGGAAGTCCGAGAGAGGAGTGTATTGACTTGGAGGAGGTGGGGCAAGACACGCTAAGTGACACGGGCCTGCCTCGAATTATGCCGATTATCGAGGGGCAAACCCGGGTGGCTCGAAGCAAGGGTTTTGTGTTACCGGGTCAGGCCTGGTGGCACCAAATCAGCCGAGATGTGTGCCATAATGCGCTACATTGGACCCTGCTTGTTGCTACATGCATATCTTGGCTCTTCGCATTTGCTGTGCTTGTAGACAATGCTTGGTTCAGCGCACAAGTGAAAACATCTCACGGATGGGAAACGCCTGTGCCGTCGTCATGCACCACAACCTTTTGGAGTCGGAACGCGGAATGTGGCCTAAATGGCGCTGCATGTGCACCTTTTAGCGATGCTCGCTACACATTCCAGTGCCCGCGAGGATGCGAAAAGACCACACTATTGAATCCCCGTCAAGTGGGTGACAAGGCATATAACTACATGCCACTGATTGTCGGAGGGAAAGATGGCACACCGTATCGCGGAGATTCTTTCCTTTGTGCTGCAGCACAGCATGCAGGCGTGATCGGCCAGCGAGGTGGATGCGGACTACTTCGCCTGGTCGGCACGTTTGGTCCTTTTACCCCCATTGTGCAACATGGATTAGAGAGTGTTCCGTTCCAGGCAGAATTTCCTCAGTCGTTTGTGTTTGAACCCGTGCTGGACCAGAAAAATTGTACAGACGAACGATGGAAGATGTATGTGCTCGATGCTGTTCTTACAGCGTTCGTAACGCTCGTCTTACGACCCATGCCAATATTTCTTTTGTTCGTATGCCCCTCACTTACACACCAGCTGGCTTTTGTCTATTGTTGGATTCTGGCATGTCAATTTGGTGTCAGAGCTTCGTGATAATCCACCACCTGTGGGTGAGGCTGTGGGTGACTTTGGTGCATACCTGTTCGTGTGCTTTGTGATTTGGTACGCATGTCTGCGACACGTGTGGCCACACTTCCAGACTGTACCACTGGAGTTTGGCTTCAGTATGTTGGGGCTTTGGTGGATTGGTGTGCTCCTCGATGTTGTCTTTGCGGATGTGCCGTTGCAGCGGTTGGAAGCCAGAGACATTCAGCAGCAGCCTGGTGCTCTGTCGTCGCTCATTGTGATTGTGCTAGTGGTTGTGGTTTTGGCCATTAACCAGGTCCGCATTGTGAGGAATGCAGGTGTGCTTCCCAAGTTCCTCACATTGTATGTGGTAGCAGCGGTGATTTTAGGGCTCTGCGCAGCTGTGCCTGGCGAGGGTCTACGTTTGCACCACTACGTGATTTCGCTGGCGCTTCTGCCTGGCTGTGCATTCCCAACGTGGATTTCTCAGCTATGCTCAGCATTTCTATTCGGTATGTTTATCAACGGTATTGGTCGGTGGGGCTTTGATGGCCTTCTGCAGGACGAGAAAACGATACAGGGGGACGCTACAGGCAACTCAGCCTTGCCGTCCTTCGCAATGAATGCATCTACATCACCTTTGATCCAATGGGACCCTATACCAGCATCCATCTCTGGATCATGGGATAGTTTCGCCTTGCTCGTTGATGATGTGATGCGATATATGGGACCGCATACGTCCTACAACCTTTCCTCCCTTCTAGACTCGTACAAGCAGGAGCCCTCAGACGTGATCCCTTCGTCACAAATTATGCAGAGTCTTCAAACAGGGGTCCATTACTTGCGGTTAGCCTACTCGTCAGGGGGCACGCCCGGTGATTTCACCCAAGCGGCCCTTGCATGGATGAATGGCACCTTTGTGCCCCCGCCGCCAGGACGATCGTAATTAGCTATACCCCGTAGTCGCACAGGTCGACTGCCTCCACTAAGCCAGATGGGGCCCATTTCGCGCTTCTTCCTCCATCATGTCCCAGCAAGATGGCGGCGAGAGTTGTGAGGAACTCCTCAACCTGCTTCATCAGCGACTTATTTCCACCGGAGAGTGGTCATCTCTTCTATCGCAAGTGCGCTTGATGCTTGAGGAGAATGGCTGGGATGCACTACTCCGGCAACATGCGGAACGTATGTTAACCACATTTACACCAGGCGAGGTCGCTGCCCAAGACTCTATGCACCTTACGGCATTTGTTGACAAGCTAGGTGCATATGCTCATGGTATGTCGCCTTTTCTTATACAGAAACATTCCCAGAGTCTGTTCGCATTGCTATGACGGCTAAATTGCGCGACTTTCTGGATCGGAACTTGGAGGACGCATGATTGCTTTAGCAATTGAATGCTTCACTAATCATGCCACTGCGGTGCCTAGACATGGCATTCGACCTTATGTATTAATTAATGATTTACTTATCTCATGGACCGTGTCAAGGCACCACTTCAACGTGCGACCAGTCGCCAGATTTTTCTCGTGTATAGATAGTGCGTCGGAAGGTAGAAAGATCTAACTGATCCACCTCGCTAGGCTCAATGACAAGAAGGGCAAAGTTGGGCGAAATATCGCTATTTTGCCGCTTCGTATCGGCTTGGGAGTCAGAGTCTGGGAAAGCCGACGACAGGGGCGTTCCAGGTGAGGGTCCAACAAAGGACTGCTGCATTTCTGGGCTCAGGCTCTGCCACATACGCATACGTTCTGCTTTCCAATCTTGTGTAGCAGGCCAGTAACCTTCCGTGGTGGGGGAAGTGACATCCCTTGTGTTTTCATCGACTTGAACGATAAGGAAAGCTTGACCACGTATGCGAAACTGAATGCGCTCTGCTGCAATATACCAGGCCAGTTCTACTGGCACGCGCTGTTCCATGCCCATCTGCTTGCCCTTCTCAGAACGCACATCCGTTGTTGTCAATAGACAGTCTGAATCGCCTAGAAAGCCTCGGTGCACAACATATCGAACTCTAGGTGCAACATGCGACCCTTTCTGAATTGTAGCTAACGCATAAAATGCTGCGTAAGCATCACCCACGTACAGGCACTACGATCCCTACTGTGCCGCGTCAAGGCGCCAAGAATCTCGCGCCGCCACATCGCCATGTGGAGGGATAAGGTTTCCGGACAAATAACGGTGTCATCTCATTTTGGTCCCATCATGATATTTACATCGCCCTATCGGGACCTAGATATTCCACAGGATTTGACAGTACCTGAATTTGTGTTTCATCATGCTCCCGATGAGCTAGAAATGAAACCATTGTTTTATCCGTCTCCCAATTCGGCACGCACGGATGCGAAGCCACTTTCCTTAGCGGACGTTCGCCATGGTGCCTACAGCCTTGCCACTGCTCTTTTGTCGAAGGAAGTAATGGGAAATCCATGGAAGAAAGGTGAAATTTTTGCATTTTATACAGGAAACCAACATGACTATCTTTTGTGTGCGCTTGGTGTGATGCTGGCGGGAGGCATCCCGGTTCTTATCAATCCGATGTACAAACCGGAAGAACTGATGCATATACTTGAGATATCGAGGCCTCGTGCCATATTGGCTTCAAAAGAATCATATAAGAATGCCTGCGATGTGGCGAAAACATGTTCAAAGCACTCCGAATCACTCCTAGACATATGGGTTATGGACGAGCATCATGAGCGCAGCTACATTGAGCGTCTCGTTAAGCGGGGCGCACTGCTTCGTGAGTCGGGAGATCGATCTATCGAACATATTCATATTGAACCTACGAAAGATGAAGCTGTCTATTGTCTCAGTTCAGGTACGTCGGGGCTTCCGAAAGCCGTGCGACTTTCACATTACAACCTAATCACCAACACGATCCAGATGACTGTCACTTTAGGCGGTCGAGTCAACAAGCCTGTGTATGATGCAGCCAACTGGTACGATCAACCAAATGCCCCCCTTCAAAATGGGATGAATGAAGTTCATTATTCGTTGCTGCCCCAATTCCATTGCTATGGCCTAATCACCGCTATGATCTGTTTACATACGCTTACCCCAAATATCGTTGAATCAAAATTCAAACCCGAAGAGTTTTTCCGTGCTGTTCAAGAATACAAGGTGACGTTTTCCTTTGTGGTTCCTCCTATAAGTACGTTCTCCAGCTAACATCAGTGATTGCTCTTGTGAAATCTTCGCTGGCCGACAAATACGATATTTCGACGATAAAGTCTTTTGCATCAGGCGCTGCTTCATTGTCCAAGGAGCTCTGCGATATGGTGAAACAAATGCACGACATTGGTGTGACTGATGGGTACGGTATGACTGAAAGTATGTACCCCTGCTATTGACGCATAGTGTCTCCGATCATTGCTTTGCAGACACAGGATGATCTTTCACTGCAAACTTTGAATGTGGGACGTCTTGTCAGCAATACCGAGGCTATCGTGGTTGATCTCAACACCAGAAAAGAGGTGGGTCCAAATCAGATTGGCGAGCTGTGGGTTCGTGGTCCCCAGATGATGATGGGCTATCTTCACAATGAAAAGGCAAACCAAGAGGCCTTTGTCGATGTATTGAAAGATCAGAAACCTTTTTTGCGAACTGGAGATGTTGTTTCGATTGACGAAAAAGGTTACATAACCATTCGTGATCGCCTTAAGGATATTATCAAATACAATGGCTACCAAGTGGCTGCGTCCGAGATTGAGCAGCTAGTCTACTCACTGCCGTTTGTCCTGGACTGTGCTGTGGTTGCAAAGGTAGTCAAAGAAGATGCGGCAAAGAATGAGCTTCCTTGGGCTTTTATTGTCGCTAAGGAAGGAAATGATGCAAACGACAAACTCACTGAAAAGGTGCTGCAGCATGTAAACGAACGTGTCGCTGGGTTTAAAAAGCTTCGTGGCGTGACGTGGGTCGACGACCTCCCACGCAGTGCTGCAGGTAAGATCCTAAAGCGCGATCTACGTGCCCGTTTGAACGAAGAATAAGTGTGCTCTGTTCATCTACGACATACCATAGGTATCTATCATGCGAAGGGTATCGACATCGGGTATAAGGCCTTTGGTATGCATCAGGTAAGCCACGATATCCCAGGCTTTTACCCCGATGGCTGACTTAAAAAGCGAAGGCTCCAAGGGGCATCGATCGGTCAAGCGTCGGCGTTTGACCGGCGTAGCACCCAGGGCGGGTAACGTCTTCTGAGGTCCTCTCTCGAAATTGCCATAAAAGCGGGTATTTTCTAGTGCGCGTAAGTCTTCCACGATAGCGCGCAGACGAGAGCGCCATTGATATTCGATAATATCATCCCGCTCTACCATTAGACGCAAGGAAGAGAGGTCTCCTCGTTTTGCTGCAATGTGCAGAGCGATACTGCGCTTCAACGTGGGATCAGCACCTGCTGCCAGAAGAAAGCAGGTCAATGGCAGCGACTGTAAATGAACGGACATGGCCAGTAGGTATCCTTGTGACGAGTCAGCTGATGCCCGGTGAATCAGGATCATGCGAAGTAGCATCTCGACGTGCAACAAGGGTGGAAGACGCATGGGTATATGCTGTAGCGATACAGGCACCAGTTCTTGAAGATGCCGTATCAGGGAAGCCGCAATTGGTTGTGTAGTAGGGGAATAGACCTCCAAATGTTCTTTCTCGTATGGGTGTGCACACCGCAACAGACGCTTTGGAACTTCATGACAGGCGATATGGATGGGCACCACAGCTGGCACTCCATCAGCAGGATAAACGAAGATACCATGCAATTGACATATGTTCCCGTACTTTTCCGAACGTATGATTTTTCGCTCAACAGCAGCCAATATATGTGGTGTACAGATGCCAAATCGAGCTGAAAATGACAGAATGTCACTAGTGGCTGCTTTCCGCTGTGAAACCGCAGCGCCTGAGGGTGGGAAGGTTGTTGGGAGGAATTGCCGTTGCAAAGCGGGGACTAGAGCATCCCTGCTTCTTCCTTGCATAAATCGAAGTGTATATGAATCCATCCAACAATCAAGTAAGTATTGAACTTTGATATAGGTTGGGGCAAACGCACATGCATTATACAGGGCACGACACACAAGTGCGAATGATGGACTCCTTGACAATAATAATATATGCCATAAAAGCTAGGAATGAGCGGTATATTCACATACTTCTACTGGTAAATGACTTAGCCGACATGGCCCATGCAAGCCCATCCACCAGATACAGTCCGTCTAAAGTCAGGCTTGGCAAGGAAGATCGTGGACCAGAAAAAAATGTGTGGAGGTCGCATGTGTAACAAACACATTTTTGTTTGATACGACTCGCCCAGCACGTCTATGAGTCGTGAAATATGAAGCAGCCTGCGCTGCGGCGGTTCCATCAATGGGTATCAAGTCCTGGTTTCAGGAATATTTTATATGATCTTGCTGCTCCTATCACGGCAAATATAAGCTTGTTACCATTTCTGTTTGTGGAGAGTGTGCGGCAGTGGGTGGGGCGACGTGCTATTCTGATCTTTGTCTTGATGCACTTGGCATTTTATCCTGGAAATAACACTGTTGGAGCTCATTTAGAGCTTGTGTTTCTGGGACTCTTGTATGCATCGGCATGGTCTGCTATCACATTCCTCATTACTTGTTGCCAAGTATGGATTGACGACGGCAATCCCATCTTTACTAGTGCGAAAACGCGCGGTCTCGGTGCTGCCTATATTTTTGTTTCTTTTTTCTTTTCCAGTATAATATGGAGTTGTATCCCTCGTCTTCGACCGGCAATGAGGGTAGGAATGTTCACACAGACATGGGCCGTTACTGGCTCTGCTCCTGCTATTACTTCGCGCAACTTCACTGATATATTTTTCCCACTTCTAATATCGGCGGTGGTAAGTGCATGTTCAAATCTCCTCTTTCCCCGCACAGCACATGGCATTTACTTTCGTACTTTGTCGGCAGCTCTCAAGACGGTATGCCAATCCGTTGATACAGTGATGGACGACTTTCAACAAGGACTACAAAACTGGTTGACTGTCTCAAGACACCAGGCTTTGGAGACAACGACCTTAGATTTTCTTCAGCAATCGACCAAATTCCTTGATTTCCAGCAGCTTTTAGAAAAGCAGGTACGTGCTATTCGTGGTGCTGTGGCTGCTGCACAGCATGAAATCTCTTGGTGCCGTGTACATGTCAGCGAAACGGCACAATTCACTACTTATTTGAGCCATGTCCTTACATGGATGAAGAGCGGTTTTGGAATGTCACTTCCCAATGTCGAATTCGAACGCCAGCTGTTTGACGCGACTGAAGCTGACGTTGACGGGGTGCCTGGCTCAGGTACATTTCCGTCTCGCTCGCCAGAAGCAACAGGTACACCAGAAGACTGGTCATACGAGCATACGGACATTTATGAAGCCAAGATGTCTTTGGTTTCTCTCGAGGAGTCTTTGCGAGATTCTATTAATATGCTACTAGTCATGGTAAATTTGATTGTCGGAAGCACTCCTGCTCCAAATCGTGAAGCTGGAAAGCAATTTGCCCGTATGCTAATTAGCGATACTATTATTGCTGAAAAGCGGGAGAATACTTGGCTATTCGTGAAGAACATGCTGAACAAACTAGATAACGCTATGGAAGAGTCCCACGCCGGTCTTCAACGTCTTTTGCACAACCGTGGGTTCCGTGAATTCTTGTCCCCCTTTTGCGGCGGGGAGAGTGGTCACTTGGCTACACCGTTGCCCTCTGCAGTTATCACACCTGATGAACATGCTGAGCCGGCAGAGGGCTTCCGAGAGCCCTGCCTATTCACACCAGAGATGTACGTACTTGCTCAATTTTCTTTGTCTATGTTACAATTAGCTCAACAAACCAAAGACGTGTGGCAACATTCAAAGGATACGTTGATTCTTTTCCTTGAGCGGCGCAAGTATTCGTTGCACTTCCCTCGCATTAACTTCTGGCATTGGATCAACTCTTCCAGTGGAATTGGTTTATTCCATGCGTCTTTGCTTACAGACACATTTATTCCTTCATTGCTCCTGCAGCACCTGCGTTATGGTGATGACGACGGGAGTGGTGACTCCGATGATGGCATGTCAGAGCCACCTGATGTCTCGGCCAACATTTTTGAAGACAATAACCCACATTCGCATTACAAGTACTATATAACGAATATGACCAAAGCTTCAAGTCAAACTCACCGCAAAGATACTGGTACCTGGCTAGAGCGTCGCATCTGGGGCTTTGTTGCCTTTATCTCTCGGTCTCCTTCAGTGCTCAAGACACGTGTATGGCTTTCCATTTGGCTACAAAAGCTAAAAAAATCACATCACATTCATTTTGCTTTAAAGTTGGCTTCCGGTGTTACATTGTTTTGTACAATCGCTTTTCTACAACCGTCGCCAAATGATTGGTGGGTCAGTGAAAACGGACAATGGCTGATCATTTCTTATATCTGGTGTTTGGAAGCTTCCACAGGTGACTCCGTGCGAATCTCAATATGCCGATTAATTGGTACAATTCTTGGTGCTGTGTGTGGTCTGATCGCTTTCGAAATTTCCCGCAAAAATGTATATGCGCTAAGCGTTTTGGTTGTCTGTTTCGAGATACCCGCATCCCTACTGCGTCTACGCTTTAAGTACCCGCCCATTGGCTCGGTTATGGGTCTAACCACACCTATTGTGGCAATTACTCCCTATGTACAAAGCGATTGGACTAGTGCTTCGCATGTGGCTCTGGTTCGTGGCTACATGATAATTCTAGGAATTCTAGCTGCGTTGGTTGTCAATGTTGTATTTTGGCCATATCATGCACGCTCAAGACTGATTCGGAAATTAGCTCATACTACTACTCTACTGCAGGGTCTGTACGTGAATATGTCTCGGCAAATGTTTTATGGGAATATTCATCCATCGACTGAGACGACCATGAGCTTTCAGCGGCTCGAAACCGATATCCGTCGACAATTAACACAATGTGATGCGCTGAAGTCTGTCATGACTAGCGAGATTAGTCTTGTGCCCAAGCCGGTTGCCATAATGGACCGTATCTATCAACGTTTGCAAATGATATTTGTGCTATTTGTCGTGCTACGGGCATCAAGAGAGACACATCAGATGCAGGTGTACAACGAGACAATCTCCCATGTGCTGCCCCAACGCCAAGAGCTCGTATCTACAATCATGCTCGATTTATGGATGATTGGTCAATCTATGAATACTCGTTCTCGCATGCCGCAATTTGCCCCATCGACACGTCGTGCAGTGGATGAACTCAATGCAGCTATTGCTTTAAGCTACCATGAAGTGCTTGGGGACGACAAAATGCTTGTTTCTCGTCAGAAACGATTATATGATGGACCTGAAGTTCGCCAGCGCATCGCCACAGGCTTCTCAGTCCACGCAAACTCTGCACTTCGCAAGAATTCACGCACATACACCGGTACGCTTTTTGTGCTAGCTGAGCATTGCATACTTTCACAGGTAGCATTGTCTCTTGAGGCACTTTTGCATCTTCTACGATACATGCTTGGTGAACTTCGATTTGTATATTAAATTTCATAGGAAGAATAAAGAGAAACTAGGCCCTCGCCGACCGTAAACCACGTAAAGGGGATAAAGGCTGACCAGCACTGCTCAAAGAAAACGAACTTTCCATTTGCTTTAGAGTAATACGCCCATGGGTCAAGTGCGACTCGATGCGATTCTTCGTTAGTGTGTTAAATGACATACTGGGTCGGTCTCCGTTCGCACATGCTCAATCTCTCCTCGAAACCATGCGATCGTCTCCCAGCGTGCTTCCATATTAGCAATTCCCCGAGTTGATCGAATCAAAGACCTGTACAAAGACAGGACCTTTCCTTTTTGAAGAAAGAATTTAAAGCTGGGCCCTTGGCCCAATTTCAGGGACCGCATTTAGGGTCAGCACGGACCTAATGGTATAACGGCTTAATGATGGTGCATCACGTGCCTTGGTATCTACACCCGAGCGCAGCCACTACGTTTTCTCTTCGTGCGGCAAAGTCGTCCATTTCGTGTTGCACGCTGGCCTAATGTAGAATCTGTTTGCGCGAGCATTCAGGTCTCTATTGTACTTGAACTATGTGGCCAGGGTGTATTCAAAGGGCGTCCAGAGTGTGCGACACCAGGGGGTTGCCATCCCTCGTGCCCTCCTTGTGAGGGCCCGCGCGGGCATCTAAGCACCCATGCGACTGTTTCTATAAGCTGCCGCGGGTCGGTAGTCCGTACATACAACTTTTAGAGGCGCAAGTAGAGGATGAATTTCTGAGCAGTGATTGTACTCCACTGTTACCGTTTGCGATGGCACCTATTGCTGTCGCAATTATAGGATTTGGCAATTCTGCGCGAACCTTTCATATTCCATTTATAAGTTCGCTTCCTAACCATTTCGTACTGAAAGTGATAGTGCAGCGTCCTCGCTATGATCTTTCAGAGGATCAAAAGGCTCAAAATCACCTGCCACATGTCCAGGTGGTACCCGACTTAGGTGCAGCTTTGCGTGCACTGCCGGAAGGACTAGGACTTGTTGTCATTACGACAAATAATGCATCACATTATCTATATGCAAAACAGTGTCTTGAAGCTGGAAAACATGTGCTGGTGGAAAAACCTGTGGCGACAACTGAGGCCCAGGTACTAGAGCTTGATCAGCTAGCCCGGAAAAAAGGCCTTGTTTGCACTGTATATCAAAGTTTGTACCTTGTGCTAACTTAGATCGACGCTTTGATGGTGATTTTTTGACAGTAAAGGCGCTTTTAACCGACGTATCACCAGCACAGCCCTCGGCGCTCGGTATTCCCACTTATTTTGAATCACGCTTTGACCGATTCAGACCAATAGCCAAAGGAGGCTGGCGTGAAGAGGTGGACCCGGATGAAGAGGGCGGTGGTATGCTATGGGATTTGGGTGCACATCTGGTGGATCAAGTGGTCTCCTTGTTCGGTCCACCTCAGACCGTGTTTGGAACTGTTCGCAACCAGCGTGGACAGGGAAATTCTGCTGTGGATGATGACTGGATGGGTATTCTCTCCTATCCCACAACACATCCCTTACCTGGTGATGAGTTTGCCTCTGGAACGCGCCTTGCGGGACTGCAAGTCATAGTGGGATCTACTTGTCTCTCCACTCATGTGGAAGCTGAGCAGCCCAGATTTCGAATTGAAGGTACGCGCGGATCATATGTGAAGCGGGGCAAAGATCCACAAGAAGCCCAGTTAAAGCGTGGTTGGACGCCATTATCTCATGGCGATGCCTTTGGAGTCTATGCGGAGCAAGACCCAGCGTCTCTTAAGATGGGTCGGCTCACTACTAGTGCCCCTCCAATCGAGCCTGTGACTGCGTCCAGTCCTCCTTACCTTGCCACGCATGACATCCCGACTTTACCCGGCACATATTTGTCTCTATACATGAACCTGGCCGACACAATACTTGCATCGGCGGCGGCTGCTGGGCGTGGAGAATCTGCTACTGGAGTGATTGATTCTATGCTTTTAATTAAGCTTGAAGATGTGGCTCACAGTACTCGGATCATTCGTATGATTCGCCAGAGTTCACGGGAAGGTCGCGTTTTGTCTTGGTAGAACACTGGTTGTGATGATTTCCAATTTATAATTTCCTCCACAAATTAACTTTGCTTCTCGCGCCGTGTCGCGGCTGATGAGGCGGACGGCCTTCTGTCGGCTGATCACGAGAAGGCCTATGTCACAGGGTACAGAAAAAAGCCAGCTTTTAGCACTATTAAAGCGTGATACAAAGGAAAATCAATCGGCCTTTTATTCTGTAGCTGTGCCTTCTGCATTCGAGCACTGGAGGGTCATTGAATTGAAAAGTGAATGTCGGCGACTGGGCTTGGTTACGTCACGTCCAAAGAAAGAATTAGTAGCATTGCTTAACAACTATTATGCTAAAAACAATCTGGTTCCACCATCTGCAGCTGAAACGAAAGCCCAAAGCTCAGTCTCCGTCGTTGAAATTTCCGAATCCGAGTCGTCAAGCAGCTCGTCCAGTGGTTTCGAAATTGTGGACACTGTCCGACTTTCTGATATGAAAAATGAAATGGAATCTCTAGTGGAATCAACAGCAAACCTTGATTTGAACTCAAGACCCACAAAACCACTATTAACGCCATCGACTACATCAGAAGAAAGGGAAACTGCGCAAGTGTCTGAACTGTTCAGTCCTGATGCAAATTTCATTGACGAACCCCTGTGTCAAACCATAATGCAAGATTCTAAACTCTATGAACGAGTTCTGCAAATGGAACCTATTAGCCTAGATGAATTCCTCGGTGTCGCTCGACGTGCGGGTGTCCTTACTGATTCGACGTCGCAGAATCGCGCGAACCTTCGTACTTGGCTAGATTCACAGGGGATTTGTTTTTATGAATCCGAATTTGTGGGTTGATCGAGATCAACAATGGTGAATCTTGTGTGAGTCACTGTATCAGACATACTCGACGACAAAATATACTTGGCCTGTGGCGATATTTTTACAAACATATCGAACAGGCTGACCATTCCAATACCTTTTCACTGTCGTGTAAGCTAATTTCTTGTAGACGTACAATCAAAACGAAGGCCTGCGTAGGGAAAAACAAGCTGTAGTCTAAAGTGAGGAACCGATACATACGTGTTGAAGTCAATCTAACGTAAGTATGTAGCACGTACAAATCCATTACAGAAATCGAACGTAAGAACATCGTCGTTCGTCAGTGATAGGTTCTTTCTGTTTTGTGCGCGACCAATCCAGTTTGCACGGTGCCGCGGAGCCTGTGGGCTGTTCTTTTCGTTTAGTTGTTGGACAACGTGTTCGTCCTCTTCAATGTTACTGTCAAGTATAGGCTTCTTGTCATCACCCAACTTGTAGAACAATGGACTAAGATCATCGTGTATATAATCATCCGATGTTTTTCCTTTCGGGAAAGAGGGCCAATCCTCCAGGTCGAAGCACTGTTGAGCTGAATTGCAGGCATCCCAATCAGTGTCAAACAATCGGTTAGCTTGGATGCGATACATTGTGGCCAGCAGTGGGGAAAAAGCCCATGGTTGATCCGCATAAATATCATGTTTCACTAATGTCAGTGCGAGATACACACAGTTCGGATCGATAACGGGCAGAAAGCGAAGTGCTAAGCTCGTTCCATAGGGCAGGTTGTCCTGGTATTAAACGAGTGTACATACACGTATCGGTTTATCAAAAGAATTCCCGAACACAAGATCATCGCAGCATACACCGTCAAGAAATCTGCCTTGCACTTGGATGCTGTACGTCATGGATGACCCATAGGGATGGTCAAAATACGGAGCAGTCGAATTGACGGAAGAGTCATTAGTGTCGCCTGCAAAGTCCTTTACACGAACAGCTATACGACCTTGGAAAGCCTCTGTGTCGACAATTGTATGCTTGTCGTCATTATTCACGACCAGAGGTTCTAAGTGATGAGCGTCTGGCCCTGCTGAGATGCGCAACCGCGGTGGCATACTTCAAAGTTATTCGATGTACCCCCACAGAGTTTGTGCCGACGGGGAATCTTACATAATCACGCACAGACCAAATGCCTAGATCTACGCTTAAAAGGCTCGGGTGATAGGTCCCGCGTTCCTCCAACTTCACTATGCCGAACGTACGCTAGAGGTGCTTACGGCCAGCTTTTTGAAAAGATTCATGATAAGCTTTCCTCTAAGAGTTCCTCGAAGACTGAGGTGCCCACCGATATTCCCTCGTATGACCAACCTCTTGACCGTCGCACGATGTACCAGCTCCGTATGCAACGCGGTGTGAATCTTGGGTCTTGGTTCGCTTTGGAGGCATGGCTTACGGGAAGCGTGTTTCAGCATGCCAAAGATCCTAAGCAGAGTGACCTTGATCTCGTGAGTGGGATGAAGCCCGAGGAGGCTAAGAAGATTCTCGAACACCACTGGGACCACTTCATCGATGACGGTGACTGGAAGTGGATGGCGTCGCACGGCATTAGCGCTGTCCGTCTCCCAATCAACTATGTGCACTTTGTGGCGAGTGATTCGAAGTACTCTAGCCTATTGAAAGGAACTGAGTTTGCCTCATTCGCTGAAGTGTACCAAGGTGCATGGTCGCGCATTGAAGCGGCGATCAAGAAAGCAGCTTCTCACAACATCGGTGTACTGATTGACCTTCACGGCGCTCCTGGTGGTCAAAACAAAGATGCTCACTGCGGCAAGAGTGATGGTAATGTCAGTTTCTTCAACGGAATCGGCGCAGGGTCAAACAGGAAAACAACGATTAAGATTCTTGTTGAGCTCGCGGCAGCCGTGGCTTCCTATGAGAATGTCATCGGTCTTGAATTGATTAACGAGCCTATTAACCACTCTTCACTGGAGGGATTCTATGATGATGCCATCAAGGCTATCCGTTCGAGTAACAGCAAGGATGCTGCGAGGCTGCCGCTTTACCTGGGTGATGCCTGGCATACGCGTCATTATGCCAAGTATGTGGGCGAGCATAGTAATGCTGGTAACCCGCTGGTTATGGACCACCACCTGTACCGTTGCTTCACCAAGCAGGACCACAGTACTTCAGCAGAGGACCATGCCAAAGCCCTTGACTTGAACAACGGAGAAACTGCCAATTTCCTGAAGAGCATTTCTAACCAGACCGGTGGCAATGTGATCATCGGTGAATGGAGCAGCGCTCTGAACCCCGGCTCGCTTAAGAACAGCTCCAACAAGTCGGAGGCCAAGAAAGCATGGGGTATGTCTCAATGGTTTGCATTCGAGCAATTTACGGCTGGCTACTTCTACTGGACTCTTAAGAAGGAGGGTGGTCCTGACCCGGGCTGGTGCTTCTATACGGCCGTGGAAAAGGGTGTCATGCCCCAGTCGCTCAATCCTCTTCAAGCTACCCGACACCGTAGCCCGCAGGAGCTGCAGCAGGCGTGTGACCAGGCCATGGACCCTCTTTACAAAGAGCACTGTAAGTACTGGGACTCCAGGAACGCGAAGGGCCAGCACGAAGGCTACGTGCAAGGATTCCGCACCGCTTGGACAGACTACATGAGCTTCCTGCAGCAAGGCACGGAGCCCGGCTTGACACAGACTCTGTGCAAGCTTCGTTGTGCCTCGTTCGAATCACAAGGTCACAAGGATGCATGGGAGTTTGAGCATGGCTACATGCAAGGATTGAAGTCGTTCAAGAAGCTTCTGTACCAGTAAATGGGACAATCATGTGAATAATAACATATATAGCATTTTGAGAATATTATGAACTTATATACTATTCCTCTTCATCTTGATGCACGCTCACAGTTACACCATAATTATAACTGTCTTGAGGCTCGAACTCGTCATAGCCAGTTTCGTAGGTATTCGTTGGTTGCATAGCTGCAGGCGGTGCTAGCCTGTAGTCGTTGACCGGCTCGGCCTCCGTGGTCTCAATTACGGAGTCCTCCCATTGCTTATTGGGTTTAGGAATTCGGTCTGCAAGATAAGTAGAGAAAAAACGTACGCAAAAGCCCATAGCCAATACCACAACCCAGCAAGCCCTCTCCACCCCAATCTCGGTTGGGCACAATGACGATTTCTCTTGTGTGGTCGTAATCACTGTTGTACACATACAGGGAGAGGTTCGTATTGGCGCACTGTTCAACAAGTTGGAAAAAGTCACCTTCACTTTGCAAGGGACCACCTGTCCACCCAATAATGTAGTCACCAAAAGGAACCAAACCCGCCGAGTCGGCGGGAGACCCTTCCACTACATCGAGGACGTGCCATGTATGACTGACAGTTTCCATAGGATTGCAAAGTCGAAGCGTTAGGCCCAGTAATGACGGTTGTGCGTTCGTCTCATTCGAAAATTGGGACCAAGTTCTTGAAGGGACAACACGCACGTCTGTCTCATAAGATAGATTCAAGTATACGTACCACGAAACTCCTGTTGTTTCGAATTCCAGACATTCAAGACAATGGTCCGGCCTTCATGAGCCTCGACCATTGACCATCGGGCATGTGTATTATTGGAAGGTCCCGTAGAGCCCTGAGAAACATTGATGCCCAGATCGCTGAGTGGCAATCCATTAATGCCAATGCAAAAGTCAAAAAACGGCTCACTGGGTTTAGCGATAAAACAAAACGTACAAGCCAGCGAGTTGGGCAGGACTTTTCTGTGCTACACGTATGACATGGTAGCCACGTTTCGGAACTTCAGCATTAGTACCGCTTGCATTATCACACACCTAGGTTCTCTCCCTCGGGCTTGCTTTCACTCGCCCCCATGGTGGGTGGGACGGAGGATTACGCGCCTCGGCCTCCACCGCACGTGGCCATACTATGACCGCTAATACCCAATTTTGACACTTGAGATCCACGCTATTCATACACATCAAGAGGTGATTGTCATGCCTAAAACCACAATTATCTAGTTACCAAGAATGATGTCGGCGGCGACCTCAGCAAGACCGTACACAACGGATTCAAGGTGGCATGACATAGCAATAGGAGTCACGGAGGCATCAACAACGCGGAGGTTGCTGGTGCCATAAACCTTCAGGTTCTCGTCAACCACACCACCGTCGCCACGCGGCAGCATAGCGCAAGTGCTACTAGGGTGGTACTCGGTACCAGCAGCAGAGCGAATCCAGTTCTCCCAGTCCTCATTGGTCTGAACTTTGTCGCCGGGAACAGTCTCAAAGTCAATGACGTCCTTCAAAGGCGATTGCTGTGACATTTCACGAATCAGCTTGAAGCCCTCGCGAAGAAGAACAAGATCCAAGTTCTCAGCAAAGTAGTTAGGGTTAATCTTAGGGTAAGCAAATGGATCCTTGCTAGTAATCTTAATTGAACCACGCGAGAGAGGGTGCTGAAGAGCAGCCTGGATGCTGATGCTTCCAAACATCACATTACCGAGAATCTCAACGGGTGACACCTTCGAGGGGAAAATAGTGTCAGCAAGGGCATTGTAGGCCTTGCTCTGACCCTGCTTAACGGCCGGCGACACATTGTGGCTGTCCGCAATCTGCTTAGCACGAGCCTGGATCTTGCCAAGGATCGAGTCTTTGTTGTTGAACAGCTTGCCAAGCGATGTATATGACACAGCCGAGTTGACATACGAGTCTGCCTTAGCATCGCCAGTGACGGAAGTAGGGCCGGCATCCTTCTTGTTCTTGGGCTTGAACGACATACCAGCAGACACGTGGTCCTGAAGGTTCTCACCCACACCAGGAAGGTCAACCACCACATCAATACCGAGTCCATTAAGGAGATTCTTGTCACCGATACCCGACAACTGGAGAATCTGAGGGCTGTTGATGGCACCACCAGAGATAATCACCTCCTTGTTGGCATGCACAGTGTGAGAGGCCTCGTTGCTAGAAGCTGCATAGTGAACGCCAGTAGCCTGAGCGTTCTTGCCAGAGCGGTCAAAAATAATACCAGTAACTGTGTGGCCAGTCAGCACATGGAGGTTCGATCGCTTTGAAATGGGGTCAAGGTAGCCGTTGCGAGAGAAGCTACGCTGCCAGTTCGTCTTGTCAATAGAAGAGAGAGCAACGTAAGTTCCGTGGTTGTTTCCGTTGTAAGGGTCATTGTTGATCGCACCAGACATGCTGTCAGCAGTCTTGATGAACCGTTCAACAGGGTCGTAGGTCACAGCAGGCCAAGTAGTACCAATAGGACCATTGCTACCGTGAGAACCGGCGTTGTACTGGATCTGCAGCTGGTTCTGAACGCTCTTTACGGGGCCACGGAAGTGCTCGCTCTTCTTCATGCCCGAGAGGAGACTGTTCCAGCTCCAGCGGCCACTGCCACCAGCCAGCTTGGACCAGACGTTCACTTCCGTCTCACTTGGACGAACGTAGTAAAGACCATTGACAGCACTGCTACCACCAAGAACTTTGCCACGAGGCCAAGAAGCACGGCGGTTATTCATATGCTTTTGAGAGGAAGTGTGGAACTGCCAGTCATACTGTGTGTTAACAGCAGAGTTGTAGAGGTTGGCATCAGGCACGACAAACTTGTCATTGTCATCGTATCCCGAGTTACCCGCCTCAATAACAGCCACAGTAGTGCCCTGGTTTGCCGACAGTCGGTTAGCAAGCACAAGACCGGCAGTGCCACCGCCAACAATGACATAGTCGTAAGACTTGCCGTCAAGGTCCCAGCCGTTCCCGGTAGTGGTGCGCTTCTCGAAACTAGAAACATTGGCGAATGCCAGCGATTCTGTAGCACTCAGTACCAGAGCGGCCGAAACCACGGCCCAAGAGACAATACCCTTCATGAGCGATTGAGCCTTGCGAAGGGAATCTGAGTTACTCGGCTAATAAGTGCGGTGGGAGTTTACGCCCCTTAACATCTTAATAAAATACCCAGGCATGTGCTGAACGCGCGTCGGAACTGCGCAGCTCGTTCCAGCCAAAGAAATACAGAGCAACTGCACGCACCTGACATCTGCAAATAGATCATCACAAATAAGCATCCAGCAAGAAGGTAGTCGGAGACAATATTATGTCATCATGTTTCTATGGAATGTCTACGACAAAAGCACCAATCAAACGCACAAAGGGGTGTAAGTAGTCGGGATTCCGGGGACATCACGGCAGTCCATATGTTAAGACCCGTGTCATAATCATGAGCTTCAGAGCAAAAGTGAAAGAGTGACAATGGTTGCCAATATAGTCGAAATCCAAGATACACTAGTAGTAGTAGCATGGTTTTTTGGTCCATTGCCACTGTCATTAGAAGAGTCGCCGTTCGAAGCGCCTCCCTGCGAAGAGGACTGCGAAGACTGGGCCGAAGGTTGCTGGCCTTGACCTGACGAGCCCGACTGGTTATTCTGGGCTGACTGGATAATCTCCGAGCCGATTTCCGCTGTTGCATAGATGACAGACATCAGATGTGCAGATGGTGCAAATGGAATGACAGATGCATCAACCACACGCAGGTTGCTAGTTCCATATACCAGGAGTTTGTTGTCCACAACACCGCCCTTGTCCTGGGGTAGCATAGCCGCCGTACCACAAGGATGGTACTCAGTACCGGCTATTGAGCGAATATAGTTATCGATATCAGCATCTTGAGTGACATTAGAGCCGGGTTTTGACTCCTGGTCGAGATGACCATTCAAGGGCTGGGTTGCACCAATAGAGCGCGAAACGCCAAGAGCTGCGCGAAGCATATCCATGTCAGAGCTTTGCTCCAAGTAGCGAGGGTCCACAAGTGGATAATCAAATGGATCAGTAGTGTTGATAAGGATCGAACCACGTGAGAATGCATGCTGAATCGCATGTTGAACCTGGATATTTCCGAAAGTGAGGGAAAAGAGGATCTCAATCGCCGGAACATTCTTCTGGAGAAGGTTCAGAACAGTGGAATACGTGAGATTATAGCCACTTTTCACAGGATCTGGTGCATCGTAGGCATTTACTGCATTAGTTTGGTTGTTTTTCACGGAATCAATGTAAGAGTTCCATTGATCTTTCATAATACCTGGGCCAGGCACATAGGCCACAGCCGAGTTGATAAATGAATCTTGCTCTGGGTTACCTGTAATGTCCTGTGGGGGGATTTCAGATGCATTCTTAGGAGACCATTGAACATTACTCGACAGATGGTCATGAAGGTTATACCCGACACCAGGGAGATCAACAGCAACATTTACTTTCTTGCTTTGAAGGAACTTTGCATCTCCAATACCGGAGAGCTGAAGAAGTTGAGGCGTGTTGATAGATCCTGCACTCAAAATAACCTCACGGCCAGCATTGACAGTATACTCACGGCTATTGCGGTCGTGCTTAAATTTAACACCCGTAGCCTTCACATTTTTCGAGTTACTGGTATCAAACAAAATTTGAGTCGCCTGGTGGTCTGTCAAAATAACAAGGTTACTGCGGGCCACATTTGGGTCAATGTAGCCGGAGCGTGACCAGCTGCGAGTCCAGTTCGTCGGATTAATGTTTGATGTAGCCACAAAAGTGCCCGTGTTATTGCCGCCATCTGGATTAGATGTGAAAGGAACAGCCACAGTGGAACTCGTGTTAATGAAGTCTCCAACAGGAGGATATGTATAGCCAGGGTAAGAAACATAGATTGGACCGTTGCCGCCATGCGACGCGTCATCCCATTGAATGTTGTCAGCCTTGGCCACGCTGTCAACAGGATGAGCATATGTTTCCAGCTTTTTGTAGGCATTCAGCATAGAGTTCCATCCCCAGGTCTTCGTATCACCAATCAGTTGGCCCCAAGTATGGTGCTCGGCAGTGGTAGGACGAATGTAGTACATTCCATTAATCGCGGAACTACCACCAAGGACCTTGCCTCGAGGCCAGCTAGCAGCCCGATTATTCATGTAAGGCTGTTCCACCGTAGAATAACGCCAGTCGAGGGGGGTACGGACACCTGATTTGTACAGGTTGGCAGCAGGGACCTCAATACGATCAGTCTCATTTTTGGCGGTGCCCGCGGTTCCGGCTTCAATTACAGCAACTTTGATTTGGCTGTTTTCGCTGAGCCGGGAAGCAACGACCAAACCTGCTTGACCACCACCGACAATCACATAGTCAAAGGTCTTGCCGTCCAAATCATTTGGCTTGACAGAGATTCCACGTTTATGAAGTTCACGCTTGAAATGCAAGTTATCAGCCCATGTGAGCGATGAAAAGAGTGTCAATAAAATCAAGGCAGGAAGTGCCGTAATCCTTGGCAGAATCATGGCAGTAGTGAGAGTTTGGCACAACTCTGTTGAGTCGGAAGTAGCTGCAAAATGGTCTGACTAGTGGAAGCCTTATACCACGTGGGCGGTTTATATGTGGCGACCGTAGCGCGAACCAGGGCTGTGTTGATATTCCAATGAAACATCCAATGCAATGCACCCTCCAGTCATGCAATAAAAAGCGTTCCTACGGACCTGCAGAGCGCGCACAGGCAAGGCATGTGGAGGTGTGCCCACACCAAACATATGTCTGCCTATATCGCATCTTAATTCATAAAGTTTTATTTGGTCATCGGACCTATTATACCTGCCTTTGTAAGAGCATCACGAGCAGCGCGGTTGATATGTTTAAATCTTTCTGGCCCTAGTAATATTCCTCCGAACCAACGCGTCACAACTACCAAGGCATTTTCAATTTCCTGAAGTGTTAGCAGGCCTTTTGCACAAACCAGCAGAGATAGGAGATGTGCTAAACGACCACCGGCTGCAGCTTCGCCGTCGTCATCGCAATCAAAATATAAGTACAAAAAAATAAGAAACATACCATGATGCAAGACCCCATCTGGTGTGCGGCATATCCAGGCATAAATGGTTGGATGTGTAGCCCTCTGGATTCGCTTGTCAGATTCTAGAATATGTTTGAGGATGTGGGGCACCTAAGCATGTTAAACATCACGTACATACCTCATCTGGGCTCGATATCCTGATAGCGTGGCCAAGGAATTCAGATTTGCGCTCGACTATAATGTCGCTAAGGGCCATGTTGCGAAAATCGAGTTTAGGATATGATACGGATGCGCATGCAGAGGATGAGTCTTGATGATTAGGATTCGTTTCAGCAGCTTCATGCTGTACTAGCAGCCAATTTTGTACAGTTTCATAAGCACAGTCAAGACCTTGGAATAAAACAGGTACATTGCGCGACCATGGAACAGAACCTGAAGACGTGAATGTTCGGTCAATTTCAGAACGAATGTGTTGGTCGACAGAGCGACCATTTATAGTCCTGTTTACAAGTTGCATTTTAGGTGCAGTATCAGTGTTTGGATAATTAGCTGGTAGTTCTACTTGGAGCTTGATCGAGTCATGGCTAGAATCAAGGAGTGGCATCTTAACCTGGAGTATAACAGGTTGACCAGATAGAGATCCATAGACAAGATCAACATTTTCAGGCTCATATATTGATTGAAGAGCGATCAGCTCTTGAGAGAAATCCTCCGCTGAGTTGGCTTCCTCGTCAGTGTCCCAAAGACTGCGGTTCTGAAGACGCTCAATCAAGGTATCCATCGATGTCAAAAAAGAGCGTGCGCGAAGTTACGTAATCCCAACATTACAACACCATTATCAACTTGAAACTGGGCCAAGTGCGATGACATCTTTATGGAATCAGGCCTCCTACTTGTTGTACGATTCTCTCTGCTTACGTTGAAATAGAGGCAGGACAAATATATTGAACAAATACGCTATTGATGAATCAGAGTCGACGTACGTTATCAGAAATGACTGATACGTAGAGTTTGTGTTGGTCCTTGGAAGGTGTTCAAGGGGACTAGAAAAGCAGCGGCTAGGTCAGACTCACATGCATACATGACTTCTAGAGATTCTGTATCTATTTGGATATATACATATACCGGGAAAGATCAGCACCGAAAACTGGTAGTGGAACACCTGCGGCGAGAAGTGCGTATGTTACTACTGATTCACAGGTCACCATTTTATCTAGATTACGACATCCATGTATACTTGAGGTCGTTGAACCATTTGAAGAGAGTCGGAATTCTGTCATGTTTGCTACTGAGCAAATTGTAATGTGCTTAGATGAACTCGCCAAAAATACAACGGATCCCCATATTCAGCTGGACGAGGTGGAGATTCAGAAAGGCTTTTTGCAGCTAGCCCGGTCGTTAGACTTCCTTCATTGTTCGAAACAAGTTCACACGAATTTAAATGGTAAATCAGTACTAATCAATGCGAAAGGTGACTGGAAGCTGGGGGGATGTGGATTTCTAACGAACTTAAATGAGGGGGAGTCCCGACAAATCGATGTCACCGACGCTCTGGAAGATGACCTTCCTGATTACATGAAACGAAACCTAGATTATCTTGACCCTTTGTGTGTCTTTGATGGCCTTGTTGGAACAACAAATGACATGTTCGCACTGGGTGTTTTACTCTTTATGACTTTACATCATGGTGTCACACCGTATCAAACACATGGAAGTATGAACGCATTACGTGCATATGCTGATCATCTACCCTCAAAAATTCGGACTACCCAATTCAGCTCCCTAGGTTCGGATGTACAAGGTACGTGTGTCGCGATTTGATACAGATATACTTGTCAACCTCATTTCAAGAAATACTTCTAGGTACACTGCCAGTGAATTTCAGAAGTTACCTTACTTTAACAATGAAATTGTTTCAACACTAAAATTCTTGGAGAGAGACAGTTTTTCTGGTTTTATGCGCTCAGAAAAGATCCAGTTTCTTAGAGGTTTACCTAAAGTTTTGCCCCAATTTTCCAGAACCTTGCTTCGTCGAAAATTATTACCTAGCGTATGTATCACAAGACTAACGTTGGAGCTTTTCGAGGCGTCGTCAGATAAATCACTACTTCCCTATATCCTTCCCACTGTATTTTACATCGTAAAGGAGTTTTCGCAAGTGGAATTTTGCAAAAATGTACTGCCAAAACTCAGACCGCTTTTTGATGTGCACGATCCACCTCAATGCCAAATGATACTATTAAACCAAACAGATTTGTTTGTGAGTAAAACAACGCCTGATCAATTTCAATTGTATGTGATGCCTTTATTTTATTCCGCGATTGAACAGGATGAGATTGCAGTGCAGGAAAATTTGCTACAACGTATTCCACGAATTACCGAATACTTAAATTACTCGGATGTTAAGAAGCTCATGCCAAAACTTATCGCGCTATTCACCAAGACCAAAACACTCTCGGTAAAAGTGAGCGCTTTGATATGCTTCCATGCGATAATACCTATCCTTGATACAAATACCTTGACTGAGACATTACTCCCAACGTTGGCTCGTATCAAGACTCGCGAAGCATCAGTATTGGTTGCTTCTTTGGCAGTATATGAAGCTTTAGCGACAAAATTGGATCATAACATGAATGCAACGGCTGTTCTTCCACGCTTATGGATCATGTGTATGAGTCCTACATTGAACGAGACTCAATTTAGTCGCTTCATGCAAGTTATTAAGATGATAGGCGAGTCTGTGGAACAAACCCGTATGTATTCTATGCACTGATTCAGAACTTTCTTTGATTCGCGAGAATCACACTTTAAAACAGACCACAGAAGAAGCACTTCAAAGGAGTACGATAGAGGGTGGGTTCAATACACCTGGAGGTGAACATGAGTTGGACACCAAGGTGATTCCTACAAAGACACATTCTGAAATGAAACAAGGCAATAGCCGGTCCATGACGATAACTGACCCAGTTTCCAGTACAAATGCTACAAACTTAGAACACTCGCTTTCCAAATTTAGTGGAACTCAGGGGCAGCATTCCCTGAATCTATCCACAGAGCCATCCCCATATACAACTCATCGTTATGAATCTTCGGAACCAGTGGCGCAAAATATGTCTACACAAAGCACATCGCTGCTTGAAACAACGAGATCCCAACCGGATACACTAACCCACACCATTGGGCCCTCAATCGCACCCCCTCCTGGGTGGAGCGGAGGCCTGCTTGTTCCAGAGCCTAAAGTTGTGAGTAAAGGGAAGCAAGTTTCTCACACGCCGAACTGGTCCGACTTTGATCCGTTGATATAGAGTATCTAATCGTCTTGACCTGCCACATCCTCACATGCATCAATCCATTGTCTGTGTGAGCTCAAAATACTTACGAATATACATCAATGGGCTGTGTGAGTGTATCCGTGTCTGCTGAAAATTTTTGGCCACAGATTTTGCAACTCAAGTACCCAATCCGTGCCTTATCGTCGCTACTGTAAGCGGATCCTGTGACGTACATTTTGCACGAAACGGCTTTTTCATGGTGACAGAAGAGGCATGTAAACACGGTGTCTGCGTGAGATATGTGTATATTCTTACCTAGAGGCGGCACTTTCTTTCGTCCAGCACCAGGAGTGCGAGAAGATTTCTTGCGCTTTCCCATCACGTCGTAGATGCAAGGCTGGTTCCTACGCGCAACGGAGATGTCTATCACGTGCTAGAAAGGTCGCTAACAGAAACGCGCTTGGACCTACTTAAGCAGAATCAGCACAATGCCGGTTCCTGAAGAGGACCGGAAAGATCTTGTCGCTGAGATTGAACAGGGATCTAACATATGGGTGGCAGCAGGGGATGGTGATATGGATCGTGTTCGGTTTCTTATTGAGCACGGTGGTGTCACTCCCACAAGCAAAGATTCGGCGGAATATACGCCCATACATGCAGCGGCCTCCTATGCCAAGCATGACGTACTGTACGTGTTTCTTTTTAACCATTAGTCGATTTCTACTAAAGGGCGAACCAAAAGAGTCTGTTAATGTCGAAGATAATGACGGGGACACGCCACTGTTTTTTTGTGACGATGTAGCTACAGCCAAGGTACTTGTGGATGAGTTTCATGCAGACACAAAACACAAGAACCACGAAGGTAAAACGGCTGCAGAGAATGCTTTGATTAATGGCTCAGATAATCTGGCCGCATATTTGAGCACCGTCACGGGTGAAAAGCTAGAATCAAGGTCCGCATTACTGGCACGTTTTGGCGAAGAGGATGACGACGAAGGTAATGCATTTGGTCAACCAGAGGCTACTGAAGGACGTTTGGAAGAGATTGAAGATGATCCTGAAACAGAAAATCGCGTTGATGAGATTATGGAGCGCGTAGAAACCATATTGAAGCGCGCAGATGAAACAGGTGCTGATCCGACGGAAGAACTACGAGAATTGGTCGGTGCTAGCATCATGCGGCAAATCATGGAAGGATATGGAAAGTAGCTACCCAGATGCATCCAAGTCTTTCCCAAGCTCAAATGACTTGTTGATAAAGGTCGAGATGGCTCCGAGATGTTCATCACCAGGTTCGTTACGGTACACTGGATTGTTAGGAAAGCAGACGTACTGAATAGGAGCGATTCGGACAATGCGAGGATATCATTTTTGGAGAGCTTATCTTTTCCATCCGCGTGAATGCGAAAAAGCCAGGCCATAGCCCCAGAAATATCTCCATCTAGGAACATGATTTCGTCTAAACCTGTGACGATATCCTGAAGAGACAATGTGCCACGTTTCTCATGGTCCCAGTCCTGGAAGATTCTCGTAGAAAGACTTTGGTCCGGTACACGGCGCTCAATTCGCTCCTGTAGGCCATTCCTGACGATATATTCATCGCGCGCCCAAGTGAATATTTCACCTAAGAAAAGGCGGAAAGTCGTAAGATTCACACGCATTTCCTTGAGATCTTGCATTGGATCCACACTGGCAGGGACCTGATCCCCTAGTGTCAACGATTCTGGCGCATGACGAGCACGGTAAATGGCCTCGACCACATGATCATAGATGAGTGTCCTGCTATTAGTGAACTTGCAGTTTACGTACAGCTGCGCTTTGGAGAATCGACCGTGATCTTTTAAGTTGCGAATTGCACACCGACGAGCGAACCCTTCGATTTCCTCAACGATTTGCTGTCGGAATCGCTTCCGTTCGGATTCGATTGTATCGTTTGATACAATGCAGAATTCACGGAATGCAATCACCAGTAGTTGTTGGAACTTGGTGATTTGCTTGCGCCGTTCATCCGAACTTTCAGGATATGCACTATCCCCCAATGTGCGAAAGTAATTGCGAAGCATACCGATCATAGTACCGTCATCCGACACACTAAGAATAGCTTCTCCATTGATTTTTAGGATAGCAAGTCCCACTTGGAACAGCACCTGGGATCCAAATGCCATGAAACAGTCGATGATGCGGAATGCAAATACCATTGGCATACTGTTAATGAAAAGCGAAAGCAGCCATGGAAGAGTAACAAGACTCAACTGCATATCATTTTTGACGAAATGCTCATGAAGCATGGGCATTGTCTGTTGCACTAGGTTTTCAAACACTTTTTGGTCAAGCAATGTTCCAGCCATAGACTGTGTGTAATATCCAGGTAAAAGGCGATCGCATAGCATATCCAATAGCCAAAAACATTGTTCTTCCGACATGTAAATCAAAAGTGCTGCCACAACAATGTTCATGGCTTGACAGTACCCCAGCTCCGGGTTCCTCCAGCTATACGCAACCAGCACACGGCGCAAAGTTTCAATACCCTGGGGTGTCTGGTAGGCAGCATATTCGGGAAGAGAACGATTTAGATCTTTCTCAATTTCCTCCGTGCTCAGATTCGTTTGCCCTTCGTGGTCTTTGAGTAGCTTTTCGTAGACGCCGGGATTTCCCATGCGTTGAAAAATGGAACCACTTGCCACTTCCCAAAGTTCTCCACGCAACATATTTGGAAGACCCACTTGCACAAGCCGAGTAAACTGAGGATAGCGCAACAAGGTAATATTGCGACCGTGTAAACGCAGGTAATCTGTCCAGAGTCGCATCTTGCTTTTCTCCTTGAGCTTTCTCGGGTCACCCGGAAAACCAAACGTGGATCCAAGACCCATTAGATAGGATGGCGGAATTTCTGTATTAGATTCCGCATCATCTTCTGTGATTTTCTCTTGATTTTCCTCCTTTGCTTCTTTCAGTAGCGCTTCACTATAGCAAGAATCAAGAAAGGGTTTTAGTTGTTTCATCTCACCTAGATGAGCACGAAGTCGGTCCCGCATAGCATTGCAAAAACCTTCGCAAGAAGGACGAAGTGCATTGAGCTGAAAAACCAGCTGAAGACCATGCCACAGGGTAATACTGAGCGCAAAAACAGAGTCCCGAGTGTTCAATCGCTCAACACGACGCACTGTCATAAGTGGTAACGCAAGACGGCACCCGCGACCACGATCACCATGGCTAGCAAAACATAGAAAAGAGCTAGTTAGAGTCAGCCGTCCGGCAAATACAAGATCCTCTTGGACACTACCCGTGTCGGAGTTTTTTATGCTTAAAATAGCCGATATGATCTCTGCGCGGTTACCTGCAGCATCCACATATGGAGCTTCATCCAGAGGTAGTCCAAAAGAGTTGGCAAACTGTTGTGCCCGAGTAGGAGGGCGATATTCGCGCAAAGAATGCACGATAGTGGACATGGTCCTGGGCGGATGCTGAAGGGACCCGCACAATCAGGACTGTGCACAGGCCCTGGGTCTGCTCCACATAGCTACGGCCGAAATTGGTTAGCATGCGACGCCACAGCTGCAGGGACATTTCCATCAAACAAATAGTGGTGTAATATGATCCAGAAGGAACTACGATGGGTTTCACCCTATAAACAGATTGAAAGAGAGAGACTGTTTATCGGCGGATCTTGAGCGCCTCAGCCTTCTTATCAAGTTCATCAGCCTTGGCGCGGAGCTTTGCCGCCTGCTCCTTGGCCCGCACACGCTGGTAGCCCTTATCCGTTCCAAGGAAGTGGTCCCACCAGCGGAAGCTGGTCGAATAGCATCCAAGGAAGGCCATATGGTGATAGTCATGGTGGTCAGCACCAGCCCAAATCGGCAGCCAGTTGTGCAGACTAATGGGGAAGTCATAGCCCGAGTGTGCATCCACAGCCTGGAAGAGACGTAGGAGGACCCAAATATACACAGTAATAATGTGCAAGTCCTTTGTGTACGCACAAAGCATGAAGGGACCACCGATGGTGCCAAGTCCAAGGACCAGAACCTCAAGCGGGTGTGCGTACTCCGCAGCTAGACCAAACGGAGCCGAGTACTCGTGATGCACCTTGTGAATATGCTTGTACAGTGGACCCCAGTGCATCAGGCGGTGGACCCAGTAGTGGAAAGTGTCCTCAAACACAAAGAACAGTGCAATCTGCCAAGCCATCTTGTACCAGCTAGGGAATGGAACTCCATGGGTAGTCAGGCCAAAGTATTCACAAATAGGGTGGAAGCTCCAAATCTGAGGGAGTTCCACAGTGAAGTGACTCAGAAGCACCAGGCGAGTGCACTTCCACTGGTCCTTCAAGCTAGGCACGTAGTTGGGTTGGAGCTTGTACTTGCGCAATGAGGGCATGGCATCAATAATAATCCACGGAATCGAACGACCAAAGTAAACAATCTCGTGCAGCAGAAAGCTCATGACACCAGTGGCAATCACGGGGTTACCCCAGTACTGGTACCACTGGACCCAAAGCTGCTCAAAGTACGAGAGTTTGGACATATCAATGCCCGAGTAGAGCACCGAGGCAGGCGTCGGATGGCCTGTAAGAGCCTCAAGAGTCTGGTTGAATGACTGTGCCAACGACATGGGAAGGTGGGGAAGATAGGATGGTCGAATGGCACGATTTTAAGCGCGGTGCGTCGCGTGCTTTCGTTGGAGCAGAATCGCACGATTTGGGTCCGCCACGTGCTTTACCACGTGCAAGAAGAAAAAAAATAGGAGCAGCGTCGACAACGTCTTACTTAACGCTTCATTGCCTAAAGGCAATAGACCCCGACTTCTATAAAAGCACCTCTTCAGTAGAACTGGATACGCAGCAGTGTATCTATTCGATGATTGTGTGAGGTCGTAAAGGAGCCGGAGAGTGATACTATCCCTGCTTGCAGGGAGTGGGACGATGGGGCTGGGTGCGTCAAGGTGGATGATGAGTGTTCGTGCTCGCAGATGCGCCTCGTCGCAAGGTCTCGTTGTACATGTATATCCTATAGCATAAGTTACTGAAGCATCACGAAGGAATTCTAATTTTTATAACCCAGGAGGTGTACATACAGGGGACTTCGTGCCGGGAGAACTGCTGAACATCGCTTGCAGTGTCTGGCTGCCAGCAAAGAGAACGCAGAAGACACCAAACACCAATAATATAATATCGAGAATTTTAGCTCGTCGGGTAGTAGCACATGCCCTGTAGTGCAGAAGAGGGGGATATACGAAACAGAGTGGGACACAGGCGACAGATCCCACCAAGCTGACAAACTTGTCCAGGTCACTGGCGCCCATCCAGGCTGTAAGCATCGCCACCACCACAATACCAAACCGGAAAAAGTTCTTGCGCATTTTCGTAGTGAAGCTGTATTTGCCACTGCGCTTGAAAAGACCGAGTTCTAAAATGGTCAAGGCCGGGAATAATTGCAACGGCATCGACAACAAGATGGCAATAGAGTAAAAGGCCTGGATTGCCTGTACAAGGCGAGACTGACCGGGCATGTTAGTGATGACGACGGTTTGAATGTCGCTACCAAAGGCAGCGTAGGAGAAAATACCAGACGATGCAAACAATGTTGTCACCACCACCATGACACCCGTGATGGTAGCTGGGAATTTTTCCGGCTCTCGCATGCTCTCCGTAATAGGTATCACAAGACCAATGCCTTCAAAGGTGAAGACTGCTGTACCAATGAACAAAGGGAAGTTTTGACGGTTGAATAACTGCACATCGGCTAATCCATGCTCCATAAGCGACCCAATCTCATAATAAAACAGATAGATGATACCAGCAAGAATGAAGACATCAGCGATCAATGCAGTCCATGAGAGCTTCGCAATTTTGCGTATCAGGCTCAGCGGTAAGAAAATCAAGCATTGAATAAAAATGAGCATGGCCGCAGATACATGCGTCCGACACTGAGTCATAGAAAGAATTAGGGACTGCGTGTTTTCGGCCACAAAGACAGTGTACGCAGCAACAAACCCGAGCTGGGACACGACAATAGATGTGAGGATGGCATTACGCATGTAACGACCGTATAAGACCCCGCCCATTTCACCAAAACCGACATGGAGTTTTTGGTTGGTTTCCACAAGAAGCAGAAAGGACCATAGGGATACTGCAGCAAGCACAGACAGCACAATTGTAGAGAATAAGAGACCTCCGTTGAAGAAAGCTTTGCCCAAAAAAAGGATACCAGTACCAACAAAAGACTTGAGAAGCATAAGCACGGCGTCAAGTACACTGGCTTCACCTTTCTTTTGATGTTTCTTGTAACCACGATAGGTGGGAATGGAGCCGTGAACCTGGCGGCTCTGAAGGAGGCGAGTCGTTTCAGAAGGACTCTCACCTGCTTGCAACGCTGACATACTTGGTCGACCATCCGCATCTGCTTCCAGATCTTCTTCGTCCTCTAAGAATTCATCTTCATCCAGTTCCTCACCGGCAAAGTGACCATAAAGCATGAGAAACTCGACAAAGCTTTTTAAAGCCCTTGGTGGACGTTTCCCTTGCTCAGCGGCCTGCGTAACGATATAAGAACGTCGAAAACCACCCGGCTGCTTCAACATATCCTTGTCAAAAGGAACGTCAATACCACTGGTGCTAGGTAAGTGCATGCTTTCAGAGCGCTTGGTGCGACGCGGGCGTTTCTGGTGAGCCCAACGGTACACGTCCTCGGTGATGGCACCTCCCTCCATTTGATGGGGAGCCTGATACTCATCTTCCAGCGTTATATGACTGCTTGTGCTAGATATCAAGGATGGGTTTTGGTTATCGCCCCCCTCATTCGTATCGTCAGGCAGAACAAGGTATTTCTCCAGCACCTTGGCCTTGTGCTCATCAGGGAGTGGATGCGACTCCAGCTCCTCATCCATGTTTGTATCTGTACTCTTACGAGACATGGAGGGACGAGAATGTGTGCTGGAGCTGGAAAGTCCGCTAGAGGCCGACGGCTGTTCATCCGACATGATTAGCGGAGAGTTAAGCTCAGTAGGGCGCGGCTGTGGCTTTAATATTAGTCATCAAGCGGTGAGCCGCGAGCGGGAGCCACAAGATAAGAGCGCCTAGCGAACGGACCTCCGACATGAGTGTAACTGGCCCTCACACTCGCACTGAGGCAGAGGTACTGGACCGTGAAGCTGTACATATTCCTCCTAGGGAGTCGGATACAGAGGAATGCCGTCGTGAGGATGACTCGCATGAACGTGTGACACTTACACCGGGACAGCGCAAGTCGCTTGTCTTTCTGCAGATGAACACACCCGTGAGTCTGCTTTGCTGTATTGCTACCGCCCTGTTTGTGACTTTGATTGTGCCTTCCATTCATTATGTGTTCCGAAACCAGCCCACGTATTTCACTATGGCCCCCAGGATGGAGTTGGCGTATTTTGCCGTCATGATGGTTTTCCAGATTGGCTTCTGCATACTTGCACTTATTACACCTAACCCACATACACAACTATGCATTGTCGAGGGCACGGGATCGCGACTTGCGATCGAAAATTATTTGATTGCTATGTGGCTATTTTGCCGCGTTATGGACACTTCTGCATCGCTCCGAATGGGCGTGCTTGCACTGGCAATTATTCTCGTCATGTCTATTATCAATGCAGTCGTACTCCGCACCAAATATCAGCCACGCTGGATGCATCCATTTGAGTTGGTTTTGGTGCATATCCCTAACAAATTGATCACGGTACTCGTGTCTCAAGTGCTGATTTGGGACACCCTCATGTTGGCCTGGGGCTGGGACCGTAGCAATGGAAGAGATGCGCTTGCCCAGGGTCTTTGGATCTCAATTATTGTGCAGGTTATCATGGGAATTGTACTCGCTGTCTGGGTGGCACAGACATCTGATGTTTCCGTGTATGCTGCGTCGATGTTCTTGGATGCGGCCATCCTGAAGTTCCAAAAGATGCCGGTGATCGGACCCAACTCGCGGCCGTTCGTTCTAACGGCTATCATTTGTGTGTCGATGACGGTGCGTACGGTGTGTCTGGTCATTCCCGGCTTGTTGAAGCATGGATGTCTCATTATTTGCCATACACACCGCCACCATCTACCTGATGAAACCCATCCAGATACTCTTGTCGAGGAATCCGCTGAGCGAGAGACGACGGCCCCTGCTGTTGCATACGTACCAACAACGGCAGCGGATGCGAACGAGAGCACACGCTTGGTTCAACAGGCCGATCCCTCCTATGGAGGCCTATAAGTTTTTATAGTACAGAATTAATATCAACCCACGAATCGCAGACTGTCGGCTTGAATAAAGTACTTGGCAACAGTGCGCAAATCAGGATCCGTCTGATTCTTGTTTTTATTGTTTTTGGCAGGTGTCCATACGAATGGAACGCCACCTTCTGTGTTGGTGCCAGCACCATTGATGAGGACAAAGGTTTGAGAGAAGACCCGCGGGTAAGATTCAATCGGAGCATCAGCATCAAACTTTTTCTTAGATCCACCGCCTGTAGACGTAGCCGACTTGGGCGCATTGCTTGGGTCCTTGGTTACAATGCTTTCGGGTGTATAATGAGCGACAGTCCCTGACACGACCAGCAGCAGAGACGGCGCTTCATTTTGTTCTGTAGGTTAGTGCTGTTCGCCTCTTATACTACTCGGCCATGTCAATCCTTGCAACACAGTGAGTCCTTGCAGAAGCACCGGCTTGACCGGCTCGAGTATACTCTAGCCCGGGGCACGGCGAGATACGAGCATAGCCTCGTTCGCAGAAACCATGGGCCATTTACACGTACCATGAGCATTATATGGGCCAAGTGGATGGCAGTCAAAGGACTGGATCTCGTGGCGAGACCCAGGCTGCGCCTCCAGCCATTGTGCATACTGGGCAGCACCGCTGATGGGGTTGCCATTCCAGGATACACTTGAGTTTGGTAGGTACAGTGAAGGAAGCAGTTGCGACCGTTGTGGCGAGTCAGACGCTGCGTAATAGGCTGTCACAAACGTCTCTGCCGCATTGGACGTGAAGTCCATGAGCCACGCGGGCGTGCTCATTTGTCGTGAATCCGACATATGCAGGGAGCTGGGCAAACAAAGAAGTGGAGGCAATCGCCATGAAAAGGGCCTAATTTGCCTGTCTACGTTACAGCTCCTCGATGACTAAGTCCTCATCGTGCTCGCCGCCATCCGAAGAAGGCAGGTCTATGTCGACTTCTGCATCTTTCAGAGACGACTCAGATTCATCACGTTTGAGTAGGTTCACAAGCCTGACAATCGCCTCTGTGATCTGCTCTTTAGGCTCGGCCAAGTGCGCCTCACGCACGACAATGTACGCGCCACGATTACGCAGGCTTTCGCGTCCGTAATGCGATGTACAAAGAAGCAGCAATGACTCGACAAGCATGAGACGCAAAGCGCTGTCCTTCTCCCGAGGCTTGCTCTCGTCGACAAGCTGACATGCTTCCGGCAGTGACTCCTGGTCCTCCAAGTCGACTTTGGCGAGCTCGTGGCCGTCAATGAGTGGCATCAGAATGTAGGGCAGAATATCGAGGGAGGGGCGATCTTCGTCCATGGCACCTGGTGCTGGCGCAAGGAGAAGCTTGTGTGCGTGCTTGACGAAGAGCACGTTTTTTAGGGCACTAATGACGCCGCCACGACGGATCAAATCGGCGTGTTCCGTATATACCATAATGCGACCGACCGGATAGGCATCCGCCATCTGCGCATTGGCACCTGCCATAGGGGCCACAAAGAATTCGCGGCCTTTGGGAAGCACGGTGACATTGGCAAATACACTGGCGAGAAAATTGCACGTAGAGCGGCGCTTAAGCACGGGCCGCCCATCCGAGTCCATTTCAACAGGCTTACCAGTGTCTCCCTCATTTTTTGACGATTCAATGCGCGAGCGCATGTTTGCACCACTGGCTGAGCTTGACTCGACGGTGGCGCCTTCTTCAAAAGCGCGGATCAATTTCACAAGAGCGGGTACTTTGCCTGTGTGATCAGCGTGCATTGACTCGGCAATGCGCTTCGTAGCCGCCTCAGCAGCCATCTTCTTGGCCTCATAATCTGGCTGAGATGGATCTGCTTCCATACCACTCAACGAAACTTGCAGGTCAAGCGGGGATAGGAACGAATAAAAAGGCCGGTCTTCCACTTCAAGATCGAGAAGTCGCGAGCTGATGGCATCAAATTTGGTGAGATTAGATAGGAGCATGCAGGCCAGATCTGCCAAAAGCGACACAGAGTCCCCAATGTACGCCACGAGGAATGCGAGAAAGTCGTTGTCACCAATACGTATTGCCACTGATGGCGTGTCGCATAAATTGATGAGAGCGCTCAGTGCGTCATGAACCGTCAACTGTGTCGTGAGTAGTCAAAAAACGTACGGGCTGGTCGTTGCATAGACGTTTTAGCTGCTCCAAGACATCCAGAGGCTCACCGTTCCATGACTTGATGGGCTCACCGTTGGAGTCTTGGAGCTTGTCGGTCAGCAAGCGACGGTTCGCATGTCCTTTGGCACTAAAAGATACTACCATGGACATTGCAAGATGCCGCACTTGCGGATTCGGATCGGCGAGAAACTGAAGCACCTCATAGGAGGCCGGCAGCGCCATGGTCGTTCCTCGACAAAATATATCTTTAGATTGCACGTGGCACGATCTCCATTTCTGATCTCAGTTGGAGGGGCCGCCGAAGTAGGATATCTATAACTGGCTATGAGGCTTCATGAAAGGGATTAGTGCGAGACAAACACTTTGCCCTTGGCGCGACGGCGCACAAGAATTTTTTTGCCGGTTCGTGAACGGAGACGTGCGAGAAAGCCGTGCTTGCGCTTGCGCTTGCGCTGCGAAGGCTGATATTCTGATCCATACGTTGTGTAGCGCACCCCCATTATGGATGAGTTGAACGACGGGTGGGTTAGCGACTGGCGTGCCATAGCCAGAATGGAACCAGCGGGGCGGGGCACGACCATGGGCACGCCATGACGCCGGTAGGCGGACACGCTGGATCGTGCCGGATTTTGATGCAGAGAGCTCGGAGTTACGCGCACTACAGAGCGAAAAGTCGGCCGCGGAAGAAGCCGCACGTGTCGGGGAGCGACAAACCGTGGCAACGCCATGGCGATGGGAGGAGCAAGCGTTGTCGCACCGACTGCGGTTTTTCATCACGTGATACAAACTCGGCCGCGGCGGGTGCCTGGCAGCTCGCTCGGACCCTCATGCCGCTGCCTGCTCCCTTGCGGAGCCTACTGGAAGCGCCGAGATATGCTGTGAACCTATCTGTACACAGGAGTGGCCTTCTCCCCGCAGGAGTTACGGGTATACCTCGACCTCCGCCACGACTCCCGCTCCTGCAGGCCCTGTTTGATCAAATTGTCGCGGATGCCGCGAGTCGGAACGTTGCCTGGGGCGAGTGGCTCACTATATCGACGGCGACTTTGTTTGCCCTTAACGCACCCGGCACACTAAAGGCTATGTTTCGATATGCTGTGCGTGATGACGGTACTCTCCGTTCACTCCCAGAACGCGTGGACCGCGCGTGTTTAATGCGGGAGGCAGGGCTCAAGTGTCTAGGACTCATTGGCACACCCAAAGTAGGTACTATAAGCTCACACAGACTATCAACAACCTTGCTGCGCTACGCGCAGAGGTGGATGCCGATGAGGAGCTCTCTGCGGCCATGCCAACAGCGGCGCGGCGGTACGTGGTGATGCCTGACGCCAGCGATATTCGCCCTGAGATGTGGGAGCGAGTCACACAGGCGGGCAACCAGCTGTGGGATGACATCTATGCGAAGCAGTCACAAAAGTTACGCCACATTCTCGCTCATTCGCACCCGGACCTGGGCCTCTACATCATTCAGAATGAGTATGGCCCGCTGTTCGCCCCTCCTCCGGCCTACCACGATGGTATGGCGGAACCTGCGTGGGAGATCCATCGCTTACGTATGAGTCTCGTGGCCATCGCCTCTTTGCATGCGCAGGGCGGCGTGGCCCCTCAAGTCACGAGCCACATATACGGCTTGCTGCGGGCCAAGGACCACATCGCTCACGTGCAGGGCCTGGAGCGCCAAGGGCTCGACTTCCTCACGACGGAAGCCGGCGCTCAGTGGGTAGTCGAACTGGTCAACGAGGTGTGTGGAATGAATCTCACACAGATCTGCCGTGTCGTCGAGGGCACAGAAGATGCCGACCGCGAGTCGGTGTCGGCCCGGCTGTAGCTCATAGTTGGCCTCTTCTCCACTCGTCACAGCTCGTCATGACGGACTGCGCAGCGCCCGCCGAAGGGCCGCACGTGTGGGCCCAACATGGCGATTCAGAGAGGCTGCACGCCTGGATTGAGGGTGGTGGCGATGCCAACATACGAGATCCCGAGGGGATCACGCCGCTGCACTGGGCTGCCATCAATGGGCATGTCGCCTGCTGTCGCACGCTGCTTGAGCGCGGCGCAGACGTGCATGCCATTGGTGGTGCACTGCGTGCCACGCCCCTGCATTGGTGCGCAAGGAATGGGCACACCCAGGTTTTATCGCTCCTCATTGAGCATGGTGCAGACCCGCTGATCAAGGATGGACAGGGTTTTCACTGCCTGCATCTCGCGACGCAGAGCAGTCTGGTGATGGCTGTTTTGTATTTTTTGCAGCTAGACGTCTTTGGTCCTGACACCCACCTAGACAGTCGCGATGCACAAGGGCACACAGCGCTCATGTGGGCTGCTTTTCAGGGCGACGCACTTTCGGTTGATGTCCTGCTCAAGTATGGCGCACGACTCGACACTGTCGACGACGACGGACTGACACCCCTCCATTGGGCTGTCGTGAATGGGAGTGCATTGTGTGTACAGCGCCTTGTCGCCGCCGGAAGCCGTCTGGACACGCGCGAACGCGCAGGAAAGACTCCCTGCGAGCTGGCCCACGAGCTAGGCACGTCACTCGCGTTCCGCCAGGGCATGGCAAACAACCTGCTCGACGAGTCCGGAGCACCTCAGGCGTCACGCATGCCGCCTGTGCTGAAGGAGGCACTTGTTTTTCTCGTGCCGCTAGCCCTGTACAGTCTCACCTTCCTCCTCTCAAGCTTCGCGCCGTGGTTCTTGGCGCCGTTCGTGTTTGTTCTAGGTCTCCTCTTTACGCATGTGCTCATTGCCCACTTCCTTCTTGGATGCCGATCACCACGGCAGCTGCACAGCACGCGGTACTTCCTCTCGTTATTATGCCTGTCGCTCGTATGGGCAGCTCTGGGCCTTGTCTCTATCGCGCACGGCCCGGTCCGGCCCAGCGTTCTCTTGGGCCTTGGAGCCATGCTGCTATTTGTGACGGGATCGCTGACATTCTGTGTGTTCATGTCGCCTGGTGCTTGTGTCCAGCCAGCATCCGTCGCGCAGCGCCGCTCGCAAGTGCTGAGCTTGGCGCAGCATGGCCAGCTCAATGGTCTTTTCTTCTGTGTGTCGTGTCTCGCGCGGAAACCGCTTCGAGCAAAACACTGTTACGTGTGCAAGATGTGTGTCGCGCGCCACGACCACCACTGCCCTTGGATTGCCAACTGTGGTACGTCGCATGACTAACGATAGTGGGCATCAGGAACCACCGTGCCTTCCTGGCCATGCTCCTCGCTACGCAGGTGGCTCTTCCCTGGTACCTATGGGAAGTCGTACGCTTCTTCCGGGTACAAGTGCCTGCTTCTCTGGTACGTGCCCAGACGTGTCCCTTCCCTCACGCCTGTGCTGCCGTCCAGGTTGACGGAATGCTGTACTTCTCGGCAGTATGGCTACTCATCACCGAGACATGGCTCTTTATCCTCACCCTGTTCCAGCTGTACCAGGTGGCCTACCAGTTTACGACATTTGAGCGCAGTAACTTATCTCGCCACGGCTACATGGGCGGCCGCCCTGATGCCGGCATGCAGTGCCAGACTGGGTATATGCGGCAACAGCGCGAGCATCTCGCAGCACAGGGTCTCTCGCCCGCAGAGATCCACCGCATTCTGCATGGACGCTCTGCGCCGCGGCGTGGCTGGTGCGGTTCACTATACCGGAGCGGCTCGGCTCTGCTGGCGCTGGTGGGCCTAGAACTGTACACGCGTCCTCGGCAGGCCGTGGACCCCTCGAGAAATCCCTTTGACGGCGGATGCTTCGCCAACTGCGCCGAGTTCTGGACTGCTGGCAGATACTCGCACACCGACTATACTTCGCTGTTTGAGGTCCCTGAGCTCGACTCGAAAAAGGACAGGTAATGTTCATCTATTTCCTCAGTAGGTCGGCAAGTACTGCGTCTATGCTGGGTGCTTTCGGAGCTGGGGCAGGGCCAGCGCGAGGGGGTGCGTCGGTCTTGTAGGCATTCAAGACATCGTCCACAGTAGCTGCCGGTGCGGGTTTCGGGCGCGGTGCACGCATGGAAACGAGACCCTGGAGGATCATCGTTTGCACTTCGTGGCCATCAAGCGGCTGCATCAGAGAAGATAGACGTACCTTGGACGGCGCCGAGTCAGCCTTTGTAGAGCGACCTTCTTTCGCTGGCTCTCCGCCCAGCTTGGAGATGCTCGTGTGAGACGGCTTGGCCGTGCCATACGCGCCCTTGATCTTTCCCAAGTAGGCTAGCACATCACCTTTGGTCAACATGCCATGGGGACCAGTGCCCTTGATATCCTTCTCTGGCTCGGAAATGCCATATTGGTGCGATAGCCGCTGCACGGAAGGGAAAACTGGTTTGGTAAAGTGCACGGGTCCTTTCGATTCTGACGGTGCGGCAGTGGCGTCGCTCTTCTTGGGCGCCTCCTTGGGCGCCTCCTCCTTCGATTTCTCGTTGTTCGAGCGGGCTTCAGACGGGTCGGGCAAGTCTGAGAGATCATCGCCCTCCTCCGCCACATAGGCAATCACATCATTCACTGCCACATCTTTAGAGCCCGACGGCACCTATGGTTAGCCGGCGCTACGCACAAGAATCTTCGCCATCACACCCTCATTCGCTGCCTCGACATCCATCAAAGCCTTGTCAGTCTCGACCTCGAGCAGAACATCACCCGCATTGAACGTATCGCCCTCCTTGACCTTCCACTCGCCTAGGTTGCCCTTCTCCATCGTGGGGCTCATCGCTGGCATCGTAAAAGGCTCCACCTTCAGGCGCGCTGGTGTCGTTGACAATGATGCCAACTGCATCACACTCATTGGGGCACGTTTGCCAGTCCAAGCACGACGGACGGCCCACAGCATCGGCCCTGTCATCGGTCGCATTGGTGTACGTGGTCCGACCCCTCCGCCAGCCAAATCGGGCCATCCACCCCAGTAGGCCTATGTAATGTCATTATGTGGAGGCAGCTGGCACATCGCGCGGTTTGAGTACGCCGAGGGATTGCAGCAGCGCACGGTGGTTGCGCCCTGACTTTTTTAGGACGCCCAGCCCGTGACGCGGTGTCCACGGTCCCAATGAATCATTTGCGTAAAAGTCCATCGGGTAATCTGCACGGTCGATGTCCTCTGAGCGGTCTCGGAAAGAGGGAAACCGTTGCATGCCCAGTGTATTCGGCGCCTCGGACCACATGCGTGCCTTACCCATAGCTGCAGCCGCCTCGTATGGGCTTAAGAGTGGTTTGGGAAACGCCGAACCCCAGTCAATTGAGAGGCGAGGACAGCTCGTCTGTACCAGCACCGATAAATGCGACCCGAACAACTCGGCCTTTTGCGGTGAGAGTTCCGATAACAGAATCGGCACTTGAGGCACATGTGGATCACGCTCGTGCAAGGAAGTGCCTAGGTAGTCTAGCACCTTGGTGCTTCCCTGGCGGCCAAGCGTGCCCAGCACTAGGCCCCACGCAGACTGAGACAGCGCATCGCCCCGATCGAGTGTGGCCTGGGCGTCACGAATGGCACTCTGACGTAGACGGCGCATCGACGTATGATCATACAGCTCGCGCTGGAGCCGCTTGGTATAGGGGTCATAGCGAAATGCTGGGATCGTGGGGTTTGCAATCATGATCGACTCCAAATGGAAGCGGCCGTCACCCACATAGAGTATTGCATCCACCGACGTGGCGTCCAATTTAGGTGACGTGCACCCCAGAATCTCACCTGGACTCAACGGTTTGATCTGAGGCACAGTCACCGTATACACATCCGGCTCTGCTGTAACAGCCTGTTTTTCCTCATGTACCTGACCTAGGCTGATGGCTCGTTGGGTCTCCGTGTCAGCAGGGCCCTTCGTAAGGGCATCGCGGATGCCCTGAATGGCGGCGATGAACTGGATTGTCCCCACCAGTGCCAAGTGCGTAGGTCGATTTTCCACATCAGACGTCTGCACTGGCACAGCAGCCTGCATCCCCTGCTCACTGGGCTGCGTCAGCACCTTTTTGTGGAAGTGTGCGCTATTGCTAGGGAAGTTGGCACGAATCGAATGCAGCAGATGCGTTGTGTCGACGAGGATCTCGACAAATACATAGAGAGTGCGAATCATCGTTTGATCCACCGGAACTGGCGTCAGCGTCAGAAACATACCCAAGCAGCTGTGACCGTAATGTATAAGCATATCGCACCCTAGCGCCATGGCGGTATAGTCGTCCACACAGCATGCACCATAGGTCACATCGCCCATTATCACAGCCGTAGCTTCTGTAAAGCGCTCAATGATATCCACAATCGATGTGGCCCAGAGAGTTAAGCCTTCTGGCATTTGCAGCGCCACACAGCGAGCATGGTACTTTCGTATTTGATGTACCGTCTTATGGATCTCAAAATTGTAGTTCTTCGGCAAAAGACTCTCAATAGCCCCATTCAAAAGAGGATCTTCCAGTACTGAGGCTGGTATACCCGTGTCCAAAGACACGGGAGCCGCGCCCCCTTGCCGCGTAAAACGGCGCTTAGGTTGGGCGGCGTCGTTCATGGAAGTGTGGAGGAGGGTCGCGAACTCTCAGCGAGGAACGACGATGCTGGAACTTAGCTCAATGCTCGCCTTTGCTGGCCAGGAAGGCTCCTGTATTCCTCCATCTGATGCTCATGTACATGTAACCGATACGCTGGATGCTTCTGGCCAGTTTATTCTCCTCCATTATGCATTTGCAGCCCTTCAAAGAGAGTGCCCTGTCCTATGGTTGGGCTCGGGTGCGGATGGCAGCGTACATGTAAGCCACATTGCTAGAAAAGCGGTATGCAGGTCGTACTCATCCCAGGGAATCAACATGTCTCTTTATACCCAGTACTTTCATTATATTGACTTGGCTTCTCAGATGAGAGATGGACCAATTTTTCCGGCAGCCCTCAAGTGGGTGCGGGAGGTTCTGCCCCTATCGGATCAGTCGCGCGCCCTGGTCATGGTCTCTGATCTATCATCATTGCTTTGGAGTACACCAGGTCCCTCTGATGCGGTAGTTGGTCAATCTATCCAATGGCTCCGTGCGTTGCGCGCTTGGTGTGCCATGCACAACGGCTCTCTGATTACGTTGATGCATGCTGATGCATGCTCTATTGTCAGCCACGCTGGCGTGCTGGATCCAACTGACGAAGCATTGCTTAGGTACATGCTCCGTACAGCTGATCTTTGGGTGTCTGTCAACGAGCTGCCGAGTGGCCGAGCGGCCGACTGTGATGGCGAGCTCGCCGTGCATGCTCTTACCCGACCCGCTGCAGCTACAACCTGTACAGATGCGTCCTCCCCTTTGCTAACGTTTCTTCTGGAGCGGTACATGCCTGCTTCTGAAAAGTGTCTCTATCGCATATTACCCGATGGAACAGGACCGAAACGGGAGGACGGCACACGTGCTCTCGTCCGGGTGTGGGCTCGCGGCACAGGTCTTCTTTAAATCCGCTTTGCAATTTCAATCGCCCCTTTGCAGCCATATTCTACCACGGCAGAAAGTAGTGCATGCGCGGGTGCCTGCTGAGAATCGTGGTCCACAGCCGTGTCCAGATGCTCTAGTTCATCGTCACGGAACTCGACCAACACACTGCGAAGAAGAGCCAGCGACTCATCTAATTCCTGCATTTTATCACCTGTATAAGTCTTTGAAAGCTTTTCGCGGATGTCGGAAAGGTGCTGCAGTTGACTAGAGTCAGACACAATAACGTACTCGTCATAATGTTCTCCAATAGCCGTTTCGACGGCCTCCGTACACGCCATAGCACTTTTCTCACCCAGATATGCCGTAAATCCACCAAGTATGCGTCCAGCAAGCGCCCATACGGGAACAAGGGCAGAGGGACGAGTGCGATAGTCATCCAGCATCGTTGCGGCAGCGTGTAAGTGCTTCTTCTCGTTCTCCCACATGTCCGAAACAAGATTTTTCACTGAGATTTGACCTCGGTATCCAAAAACATCAGCCTGTGCCTCATAGATGGTGTTTGCTGCGACCTCTCCGGAATGATCCACTCGCAGCATTGATGCCACTGCCTTGCGGTCGACGGGGTCAAGCGCCTGTATAAAACGCAATGCCTTGGCCATCCGCGCTATACGGTCACTTGAATTCTTGGTAAATGCATCAGAAGCCAGATTCTCTGTTTGAAAAGCTCGTCTCTGTGTAATAAGGCGGCAAGTCGCTGGCAACTCCACCATGCACCGAGAGCCCGCTCGGAACATGATTGTGACGTGATACATTGCGTCTCCACATTACGTGCTGATAGGTCCTCCACATTTGGACACCGTCATGTTTAATCCGTAATCACCAGATCATTGCCACGCGCTTGAATGCAAGTACTTTGAGGTTACCAGGATTCAAGAACGAACATGCTGACATACTATCCGCTCCTTACTACCTCAATGTACAAGCTTTTTAGCATTATTGGACTTCTTTTCTATGGAGTATCGATCGTTTCAACCCAGTTCGTTGAGCCACCAAAAGACCTCAAGACTGTGAAAGGCCATGCAAATACTACTGTGCGGTTCAAAGAGGTACCGCATGGTATTTGCGAAACACACAAAGGAGTGAAAAGTTTTTCTGGCTACGTAGATACGGCCGAAGACGAGCACATGTTTTTCTGGTTCTTCGAGTCTCGTAACGATCCCAAGAATGATCCTCTAACGATTTGGTTTAATGGCGGACCAGGCTCGTCCTCTATGATTGGCTTGTTCCAGGAAGTGGGTCCTTGCAGGATGTGGCCCAATGGAACCTTGTATGACAATGAATTTTCGTTTAATGAAGTCTCAAACTTGCTTGTCATTGATCAGCCCGTATCTACCGGCTTTTCCTATTCTAAAGTGGGCCCTGTAATTCTCGACACCAATTCAGGTTCAATAAAGACACTTGAAAAGGAAAATTGCCCAGATTATATCTCCGTTTCTGAAAAATGCGCGACTCTATCAATCCCCGAATCCACAAAGTCTCCTAAATCCACCAAGGAGGCTGCTCCAGCGGTCTGGAAGACAATTCAGGGTTTTCTCGGTGCCTTTCCTGAATATAGCCGTGCTTCTCTCCACATCGCAACTGAATCTTATGGAGGACATTATGCTCCTGTTTTTGGAATGCATTTTCTTGAGCAGAATGACCTAAAACTTGACGGAACGGTTCCTCTGCACCTAGAATCTATCATGATTGGGAATGGTTGGTATGATCCAATGGTTCAATATGCCGCTTATTACAACTTCACTGTGTCACCTGGTAACACGTATGATCTTAGGCCATACGATAAGACACAGGAGAATAAGCTCTACAATTCTATCTATGGAGCGGGAAAATGTGTTGATCAATTAAAGGACTGTTACCACACAGGTAGCAACAAGGTTTGTCGAAAGGCCGATAATTATTGTGCTCGAAACGTTGAGCAGTATCTAAACCTTCTCGTGAGGCGTGATGAATATGATATTCGTGAAATGGAGCCTGATCCATTCCCGTATGGCAGCTATGCATCATATCTCAATAAACCACACGTCTTGACGGCAATTGGTGCCTACCAAAACTATACTGAATCATCGAACGTTGTTTGGGACGCCTTTAAGACTACAGGTGATGACGCTAGGCGACAAGGTTCTACTAAATACCTCAAAGCTCTTTTGGAGCATGGTGTCACCGTCACTTTGTTGGCTGGCGACGCAGATTACAACTGCAATTGGATCGGTAATGAAATCATCGCTAACAAGGTGGGGGGCTTGTCTATTATGAAGGCTGGATATCAAGATATTCTTGTGTCGACTTCTTCCGTACCCGGTCAAGTGAAGCAAGCTGGTTCTTTCAGCTTCTCACGAATATATTACAGTGGGCATGAAGTTCCTTTCTATCAGCCTCAAGCTGCTCTCGAACTTCATTACCGGACTGTACATGGTCTTGACATTGCAACCGGTAAACATAAAGTTACGAAAGACTACATTACGAAAGGTCCATTACACAGTGTTTTCCGCGAGGGTAATTCCACCGTCCAATTCCAGAGACTACCTGTCGATGCCATCTATAGCACGGACACTTATGGTCCTGCTAAGTAGGCAATTCACCATGTACTGTAGGCCCTTTAAGTAATCAACGGGTCCCGGAGCTGCCTAAAACAATTTCTCGTTTCATAATATAATTGTCTGTTTGGTCGCTATGTGGTCGTCACTTTCGAAGTATGAATATGTAAAACATATTTAAAACAGCTCACAATGCACGATGCGGATGTATAAATTCATCCAGGGAGGAAAGAGTTCCCTCTATAATTTTGATAGTGCATTTTCCTCGTGCATCACTAATTTAAGCATGAGCACCAGATATCATTTCGTTGATGCTGGGAAGTCTAGGAGCACTTGACCTCACATTTGACATGATAGGCGGCAGCATTTCTTTGGCAGGGTCAATCGTCTTCGGCCTGTACTCAAGTCGGTGACTTACTCGTGGCGCAAAATTTTGGTATATATTTCGGTGAATACCTGATGGAGGATGCCAATAGGTGGTGGTGTATGGCTGGTAGGTATATCGCGGTCTGCGTTGCTCAAATAAACTTGAAGAGCGTGTTGGCTCATACCCATAATTTTCATAGGGACGCTGGGAATATAGGTTTTCACTCCATGGCAATCCACGGAAACTTGAATATGAAGTATTTGTGTAAACATTTGGGATAGAGTGGGGGTCGGACTGATTTAAAAGGGTGGGTTCATTTCCAACACTCGGCTTCGGTGTAACTGAAGGCTCATTTGGCTTTGGTGCAATTTTCTGCGGCTGCGAAGCAGATGTACTGAGATTGGACTTTTTTCGCTGCTTCTGACGCTTATTTTGAAAGAATACTTGAACTTTACGGGGCGAGAGTCCCAACTTGGCAGCTACTTCCTCCCGCACTTTGGTCGAAGGAAAGCTTGTTTCTTGAAGTAACTCATGAAGAACACGACTTTGTTCTAAAGTAAGGAGTGTTCTTGCTCGCTTACCGGGTTTATCAGAATAAATGCGTTGGTTTCTCCGCTTTGTTTTAGTGCTGAGATGTCGTGGAACTCGGTTCTCTAAATCCATCTCATTTTCATCATGACTTTTCTCCGACGAAGATTCATAAGGACTCGGAGAAGAAGCATTACTCGATGCGGTTTGTTCAACTAAACGATCTGATGAGTTGTATTCATCAACATTTGATTGCTTCTCACTTGTTTTACTGTTTTGGCCCTTGCCATCAGATTTAAAAGGCATGATTTCCTAGAGTATAACGTGCACTAATGGGATAGAACCAGGAATCAATCCTCGTTCAACTCTTTTTTGTAGAGACCAAGTAAAGGACTCGAGAACTAGGTGGTAATTGATGAGGAAGCGCTACGTCAACGCTTTTTTGTGCTCGTGTCCTTATAGTCACAACCTATGGTAAAAATTAGTATAAAGCCGTGCGTTCAATCACTGGCTGTAATTATGCATGTCGAAACTTAAACCATAGAGAATGAGCAAATTAAGATATGCGATTCTTGCTACGATCTAACCTATTTTCACAGCTACCAATAACACAGCCACACAGATAGCTGGTTTAATTTCTTTTTCCATCCAATGCACGAACGAATGAGATTTAGTCATGCGTTCGCGTATCGAATATCGGGTCTGTGCGTTGTATTGAAAAATGCAAACTGTCCTTTTTATTTATGCGCCGAGGACCAGGAATAGTCGCGCTAGATCGCAATACTTTATCTAATGATCATTATTCATCGCTCTCACAACGCTTCAATGAAGCAAAGTTACAACAGTTGAGGAACCAAATTGAACACTTCTCTCATTCTCTTCGAACATTTGCTGTGGCACATAAACAAGACATTCGTAAGGATCCTGAATTCCGACACGCATTTCAACGTATGTGCGCCAGTTTATGGGTGGATCCTTTGGCAGGTCATCCTACAACATCTAATTCAGAGGGAAGCTTGAGCAAAGTCGTGAATTTATGGAGTGATCTTACAGGGATGAGTGACTGGCAGTATGAGCTGGGCGTTCAAATTGTCGATTACTGCATAAGTACTAGACCACAGAATGGTGGTCTTATTTCAATACAAGACTTGATACACGGCATCATCCGTGTCCGCCAGGGTCGCTCGCATTCCACTGTTCACGGTGATTCACTTGTGACCCCAGAAGACGTCGAGCGTAGTATTCGTGCTCTTAAGCCTTTAGGGTGTGGTTACAGTATTTTCAACCTTAATGGGATCAAAATGATACGAACAGTACCACAGGAGCTAAGTGATGATGCTCTTTTCGTATTGGGATACCTATCTTCGGCTCAAATTGCAAGGAAAGACGCTCTTGGTATTCCTTTTATCATCCCAAATCATTTGGTTGAATACGCAAAGGTCTATTCTCCTGGTACCTCTTGGACACTTCATCGAACAATCAAGGTTCTAGAGGATATGGTGATGAATGATGGGACCCTCTGGATTGATCCTGATCCGAATTGCTTGACTGAACACTCTCCAGCATCAGAACATTGCAAATTTTATGCTCTGTCTATAGCAGAATCTACATGTGTATAATATTTTGGTGATAATTTTAACGATATTATGATCACACAAAACTGACGCTCCCGGTTCGGCCATAAAGCCATTCTTGCTTCTCTTCGCTGTACCGCGTGATATCACGTGTATTTGGGGACTGCATGATGTAATTGTATTACCTACTAGGCTGTTCGATGATGATAGCCATTTCGGGAGCTGCTTGTCATTCTAGCAGTGCATTACCATTATGGCGCCAGCACAAGGTGGTTTCTCGTGGTCTAATATTGCCGTTGGCGCAGTAATGAATATGTTTGAGGTAACCACTCTTGGTCAACCTTTTGAGGTAATTAAAACTCAGATGGCTTCAAACCGTACTCAGACTATGCTCGAAGCTCTCAAGACGGTATGGAGTCGCGGAGGCCCCCTTGGCTTCTATCAGGGTCTGATTCCCTGGGCTTGGATTGAGGCGTCGACAAAGGGTGCTGTGCTTTTATTCACCTCCTCTGAGGTGCAGACCGTTGCTAAGAGCTTTGGCGTGGGCCCTGGAGCAGCTGGTCTCTTAGGTGGCATGACTGGTGGTATTGTGCAAGCATATGCTACAATGGGTTTCTGCACATGTATGAAGACTGCTGAAATCACGAGGGCCAGACAGGCAGCAACTGGTATCAAGCCACCATCTACTTGGCAGGTGTTTGCTGATATCTACCGGAAGGAGGGTATTCGTGGTATCAACAAGGGTGTGAATGCTGTTGCTGTGCGGCAGATGACCAACTGGGGAAGCCGGTACGTATATTCTAAGGAAGTCCAGCTAATATTTCTAGCATGGGCTTTGCTCGTCTCGCTGAAACGCCTGTTCGTCAAATGAGCGGCAAGAAAGAGGGCGAGAAGCTGAACTCTATTGAACGTGTTGCATGCTCTTCCATTGGCGGTGCGCTGGCTACGTGGAATCAGCCAATCGAAGTAATTCGTGTTGAGGTACGTACAGTCTGTCTGACCTTTTAGATGCAATCGCTGTCAAAGGTTGCCGCCGAACATCGTCCTGCCAAGCCCAGCATTATGAGCACGTTCATGTACATCTACAAGGAAAGCGGCATCAAGGGCCTATACCGAGGTGTTACACCTCGTATTTGTCTTGGTATCTGGCAGACGGTACGCGTAATATTTATGAACTAACAATAGGTGTGTATGGTCTCGTTTGCCGACACGGTCCGTGATTGGATGAACACCGCTAGTAAGTAGGCTGTTGCAAGCAGGTGCTTGCGCGATATTTCCCCGTGGGGTTCCAGCGAGGCGCTTGCTGGCCGTTCCACGTATAATCACGTGATAGTACCGTAGCCCGTGCACGGGTTCGGTGAGTCCGTTGTCTTTTATTCCGTGACCATGTCTATTAAGCACGTTTTTGACGACGCCAACGGCCTCATTGATAAGGCCTTGCTTGGTGCAGTCTCTACCAACCCGGATCTGCGTCTGTATGTATTTTCTGAAAGTGCTCTAACCTTATAGCTATGCTCCTCACAAAGTTGTCTATGACACCACTCATACTCCTGACAAGGTGGCAATTCTTGCTGGTGGTGGCGGTGGTCATGAGCCTACCTTCAGTGGTCTTGTCGGCCGTGGACTTGTGACTGCGGCGGTCTCTGGTGACATCTTTGCCTCTCCGAGTGCTGCCCAGATCTGCTCTGGCGTAGACCTAATCAACAGTGACAAGGGTCTCGTGGTGGTGGTTCTGAACTATACGGGTGACTGCCTTAACTTCGGTTTGGCTTCAGAGAAGGCACGCGCGGCCTTCTCTGGAGCTGGTAAGGGCCAGGAGGTCGAGATGGTCATTGTGGGTGACGATGTGTCCGTTGGCCGTAGCAAGGGTGGTCTTGTCGGCCGCCGTGGTCTCACGGGTGCTCCGTTTGTGGTCAAGGCTCTTGGTGCTGCCTCTGAGAAGGGATGGGATGTCAAGTCTATCGGCAACCTCGGTCGCTCTATGGTGAAGAACTTTGTCACTGTTGGCTCTTCGCTGGACCACTGCCACGTGCCTGGTCGTGCCACAAGCGATGAGGAGCGTGGTGCGCTGGGCCCGAAGGCAGTGGAGATTGGTATGGGTATCCACAACGAGTCCGGTGTGAAGCACATTGAGAACAAGCCTAGCGGCCCTGATCTGATTAAGGAAATGCTCTCGCTGCTTCTCAACAAAGACGACAAGGAGCGCGCGTTTGTCTCGTTTGAAAAGGACGACGACCCGGTCCTAATCATCAACAACCTGGGTGGCATGAGCAACGTGGAGCTGTCGGCGATTGTGGCCGAGGTGGTGGACCAGCTGAAGAAGGACTGGGAGCTGAGCCCTGTGCGTGTGTACTGCGGTACCTACGTGACGTCGCTCAACGCCCCTGGATTCAACATCTCGCTCATGAAGCACAAGGAAGTGTCGAAAGACATTGGTTCCAACGTGCTGGAGCTCATCGACGCTCCTACTGACGCCACTGGTTGGTCAGGTGTGTCCCAGGGCTGGTCGGACAAGGCCATTCTCAAGACCCCCGATGAACACTTGAAGGAGAGCGAGAAGCGCTTGGAGGAGAAGCGCAACACGGGCCATGCAGTGAGTGGTAGCCTAGTGAGCGGCAAGTCGGCGTCGGCCGGTCCGAAGAATGGAAACCCGGACAAGGCCAAGGAGGCGCTGTCGAGCCTGTGCCGCGCTGTGATTGATGTTGAGCCGACGCTGACCAAATATGATACGGTGGTCGGCGATGGTGACGCTGGTGAGACGCTTCGCCACTGTGCCGAGGCGATCCTTAAGGCCGTTGAGGGCAACAAGATTCAGTGCGACCGCGCTACGGCGATGGTGCTGGGTATGACGGAGGTGCTCGAGTCCAACATGGGCGGCACTTCGGGTGCTATCTATGCCATTTTCCTTACCGGTCTCGTTCAGGGTCTCGTGAAGAGCACTGAGAACACGGATGAGGAAGCCACTGTCAAGCACTGGGGTTCGGCTGCTGTGCACGCGCTCGAGAGCCTGGGTCACTACACCCCGGCTCGTCCTGGAGACCGCACCCTGGTCGATGCTCTTGACCCCTTCTGCCGCACGCTGCAGAAGGAGTCTGACAGCGGCAAGAGTGACAAGGATGCACTGGCTTCTGCCGTCAAGGCCGCGAAGGAGGGTGCGGAACACACGCGCGACCTGACTGCTCGCCTTGGCCGTGCTACTTACGTGGGTGAGACCTCGGAGAAGGTGCCTGATCCTGGTGCGTGGGGTGTGTGGGCTCTGGTCGAGGGTATCCTGAAGGCTCTCTAGATGACCCATACATGCTGTTGCTACAGAACCATGTGCTACATGTCTCAAATTAACCAATTGTCTGACTCGCCTGTGTTTTCGAAAGGCGTAGCAAGTTGCTGGACGCATAGTAAACACGTAGGACAGGCACCAGCTATGATGGTGTTCATCTCTGCCCGAAGGGCCTCCATCTTGGTCCATGTATCGGGTGGTAGTGCTTGAGTCTGGGCCTTGCACCTAGGTGTTGTGGTATCCATCGATTCTGCATTTAGAGAGAAGGCCCGCCTGGTGCTATTCACGCCCTCTTGAAGGCCTGTAGTGATAGCGTCCACAATGACTTGAGGCAAGACACTTTCCCGCAGGCGCTCTAAAGACATGCTCAACAAAGCGCTCGAAGGCTTGCCTCTCGTCGGTTCTGCTGCCGGCGCGGCATTTTCGTTGGCTGTGAGGGCACCAAGTTGATTTTGCAAATGCAACAGGCGCCGAAGCCGTCGAGGCGGCAGGTGCTGCGTAACTTGCTCAGTGAGGCAGTCAGCATGGAAGCCGTGGCGACATGGAAATACATAAAGATGGCGCTGGAGCAGTGGTTTCTTACATGCCATACATAGCTGTGACGCAGGCACCTCAATGAAGCGGTCTCCAAGTTGCTGAATATCATGTTGGATACTTGCAGCAGTGGCAGCCGTTTTGTCCATGTCTTCCTTGAGAGAATCAATACGTGTCACATAGCCTTCTAAGGTATCACAAATCTGCTCCTTCAAATCGTCCACGACGTAAAAATCAGGGAAAAATGGAAGTATGTCTTCCACTGTGAGTAGGTCTGTGCGGAGTAGGAACTGCATTACCTCCTGCATGCTTGGGTGGGCCTGGACAACATGCTTGGCACACTGAAGCCACAAATCACGTCGCAAATCCCGGTCGTTAGTAGCCAGGTCGGCACAGGCACAAGCCAAGTCCACGTCACCCTCACTCAAAGCCAACTGCACAGCGTTTTCGTACTGCTCCATGCGCGCATAGAGACGCACACACGCTTCGTGGCATTGTACTGCCGCACAGACACGCAAGGCGAAGGCCAGGTCAAGGCACTCTGATGGCGCTTTCTCCACGAAAGCCAGCAGTGCTGGCCAATGTCGCTCACTTGCAGCCAGGCGTGTTAGGCGTAGTGCATAGGCGGATCCATCGCGCGATCCTTGTACATCAATCGCGTAGGCGAGGTACAACAAGGCATAGTCGGTCGCATGGTCGTCATCTTTCTGCGGCTTGTACTGCAACAGGGCCGGCACGAGACGGCCGACATCAAGCATGTCACAGCGCTGCCAGCACTGTACAGTCTCGGCAGGGGCATGCTTCATAAGCACTTCCGAAAAGTCGAAGTAAAGCTCTGGTTGAGACTGAGCACTCAATGCCTCCAACGCCCGCGTCCACTCTTGGGCATCGACCCAATGCTGCACGATTCGCCGCGTATCATGCCGACTCTCTGCATACATAAGCCAAATGTCCATGCGGCCCTGACGCAAAAAGAGTTGGTACGTGGTATGTGGATGCAGGGCAGTGGCATGCCGATGAAGAACTTGCTGTATATCAGCCCGCAGCGACTCAACAGCGGCGTTGTCCATACTCTCTTCCTTCTCACTGAGGGCTCCCATGTACAGCTCAAGCAGCCATGTAGCCAACATAAGCCGCTGAACGCCCTGGTCACGCGGCAAAGCATCCAAGCAGAGACGCACATAGTGTCGCAGCGCATCGTTGGCGCGTGCGTCCATCAGTGCTAGCATCACTTGTTCCATTGACGGTACCTTGGCTGATGCATAACAAGTTGCGGCCTCCATTGCTAGCCCGGCTGCTAGTAGCGCATCGGCCTTTTTGGCCAGCACTGCATGCTTGGCGGAATCATTCGGACAAAATGCCAGCGCTCCATCAAAGTCTCGCTGCGCTAGCAGCGATTGCCATACATCCCGCGTTTCGTTTGTAACCACTAGCTCGAACACTGTACGGGCGGTGTAGATCCAGCACGAGCCAGAGATGGGGTCCACAGCAGTGCCTAGTACTCTCTCTCCGGACTCTAAAGGTAGAGGTGCTTCGTACACTAGCTGTGCATCGAGCGACCGAAGGCATTCCACTCGCGCGTCATACACCAGCACATGGTGCAAGGGGGTAGAGCCTAACGCCAAGGGTTGGTCCTCTCTTGGAAATGAGATCAGATCAGCATGCTCTAGCGCGTGAAGGTTCCGAGCCTGCGCCGTATAGATCCCTGCTCCACTGAGCCAAGAAATCACCCGCTGCGGGGCCTGTGGAAGACGGGATGGGGGCGTCGCAGTCACCAGCCCTCCTGGCCCAGCGGGCAAGTCTGTCTTGACGTATGGAAGCGGCGACGTTTGGTAAACGGTAAAAAGCGACTTGAGGATAGGCTCTCCATCGAGTGTCGATTCGCGACACGAGCCCGCAAACTCGAAAAGCCGTGACGACGTCGCCACTGTGATCAGCGCCTGCTGCTCCGCATTATATTCCCAATCAAGGCCTGTCACGGGCTGCGTATCGGAAAGGGAGAAGAGATGATGTACATAGCGCTCGAGCGCCGGCTCGTGCGAGCCGCCGGCGCGGCGGGCCCAGCGATCGAGTAGGTCGGGCCGTTCGTCACCAATCTGTGCTGTGATGATAGTCTCAATGAGGTCTCCACGAGCAGTGCCCAGAAGAATCGGTGGCGTCCAGATCCATCGCCGAGGCCCTGGCAGCACACTCAATGGGACAGGCGGTGTGCTCTGTGGCGGGCCCCATGATACGGAGGTGACCGGTACACTCTCCAGACGTTGAACGAGGCGTGGTTGCGCCCAAGATGGTGTCCAATAGTAGGTATGCGTGTCAACACAAAGAAGGAGATGCGTAGCCGTAGGGTCCATATATATCTTAATCGAGCGAGCAGCCTGCCTTGATGGGGCGCGAAGAGGCGGCGATATGGGCACCATTGCACGCCTCGTACGAGTAGGGTCATCCAGGTCCAGTAAAACAATATGTAATGGTTCGCTGTCCTCGCGAGGGCATAAGCACAGCGCGAGTCGATTCGAAGCTGCTGCAAGACTTGCTAACGGAGCATCCAGCGCGTATTGCACCGTGCCAATCTGAAACAGCGGCATGTCATGGCTGGCAATTGACGCATCTGGCACGTCCCATAGGGGCACAGTATGGTCCTGCTCATATCCTGACGGCATTGTTGTCAATCCATAATTAAATGGACCAGCGGCCATGGTGAAGATCGCCGCCGCGCAACACTGGCTCGTTCGCCGACGTAGGATGTGACTACGAGCGGGGTACACACGTGACTGCTACGCAACTACGAAATCAGCTTCGCGATGAGGAACTTGACACCGACAAGGGCTGTGGCGACATCCCCGCTCGCCATCGTCAGTAGTTGTACATGGAGAGAAAGTGCTCCCTGCTGATCCCGAGAACCAAGTGCCTGCGCAAGCTGCTGCAAGACAGGGACCATCTTACTGTCGATGAGACCATTGTTGAACAAGTCCAAAAGAAGCTGAACACGACGGTCCGCGTCATCTAGGAGGCGCAGCGGTTGCGCATCAATGCTGCGTAGTCGAAGGACCTCGCGCGCCAACACATCTGCTACACCCTTTAAATTGGACGGGATGTGCGAGCGGTCACCGCGAGGATACTGGAATCCAGGCTTCGGGCCCGGTGTCGACGGCGGCGGCGGCGCTCCATATCCACCTCCCGCTGGCGTTTGCGACCGTGGTGGCACACGCGCCTGTGGAGGTCCCGGCATGCTCTGTGGTGTCGGCGGCATACCCATGCCCTGTGACACTCCTCGAGACGGCATGCTAGGCATGCTCTGTCCAGCAAACTGGCTTGGCGGTCCGGTCACCTGCGCCCGCAGGGGCCGGCCAGGGGCGGATGGCGTCTGTGGCCGCATGTACGCTGTGCCATCAGGGCCCATTCGAGAAGGGTCCATGCCTCGATTCGCCATCGGAGGCTGTCCAATCCCAAGACCCGTCCGCGGCGACGGCGGCGGCGGCATTGTGCTAGGAGGCGGACCGTTCGGGGGTCCACGGGGCGGTGGCGGTACTGACGCCTGTGGCGGCGGCGCCATAGGCGCCTGGTTCGGGAAGGGGGCTGCGATGGCAGCTGCCGCGGCCGGAGCAGGAGAGCGCCTCGGCGGCATAACTGATGTGGGAACATCGTTCCAACCACCTTGGGCACGCTTGAGTGCAGGCGGTGGCGGCACAGACGCTGTCTCAGGGAGCACGTTGGCTGCGCCGGAGGGTGGTGCACTGATCATCGCCGGCGGCGGCGGCGGCGCCTGGATCGAATTGGCATTGTAGCCACTGTAAGCACCTGCACCAGCAGGATTATCGACTGGAGCGGCCGTATCATAATTGGGTGCATACGGCGACGGCGACGGCTCAGGCACAGCTGGCACAGTAGGAGCCGTACTCATTGGAGGAGCTGTGGGCACTGTCGGCACAGCAGGAATCGTCGGGAGAGTGGGCACTGTAGGCACTGTAGGCACTGTAGGCACGGTGGGTACCAACGGGGCCGTCGTTGTCTTGGGCGGGGGGTCGAGAGGCGCCATGCCGTACGTGGGCTGCGCGTAGGTGCTTTGTCCATAAGCATTCCCGCTGCTACCGGGCTGGGTGTACGCGCCTTGATCGTATGTGTACCCACTGGCCTCGCTGGCCCGCAGCAAGCGGTCGTGTGCCCACTCGGCGTTGCTTGTACCACCCAGCGGTACATAGTCCGCCGGTGTGAGAGCCACAAACTTGAGGGCAATGTCCACAAGGCCTTGTTCGGCCAGAACATTGACATACTCCAGGATATAGTCGTAGAGAGGGGCCAGCTTAAACTCCCTGTATGGCACAGTGCCGTCCTCATTCATGGGCGGTGGCTGTAGATCCTCATCTGTGTATTGCACAGCCTGCTGGAAGACAACCACCTTTTCCACGAACGTCTGAAGTGCCTCGGCGTGAGCAGAGTACTGTGAATCTTCTTCATGGCCCGCGCCCTGCCTCAGCGCAATCTCTTCCTCCTTCATCTCATCAATCCACATGCACATGACCTTTTCCAGACGACCAGCGGCCAAATAGCACAAAACCGCATTCTTGCGGTCATTGAGTGCCTCACGACCCATACCACTTTGCACTGACTGCAGGTAGCGGTTTTCCAAGCGTTGACCCAGCTGCTCAGCGAGGCCATGGAAGTCCTCAGGTTTTGCAAATGTGCACAGCACCACAAAGATCTCCTGCCACTCACTCAGATCCGCGTACAGTACCACATCCGACAGATCCTCCAAAATAATGCTTTGAAGAAGTCGCAGGTAAGGAAGGCGGGTGGCATGGCGCTTGAAGTAGGCACGCTGTGTCTTCACCAGCAGCTCATCGCCAGCACGCGTGGCAAGGACAAGGGCATCAGCAAAGCGATCTTGTGACACTAGCAAGGAAACAGCACTCTCAAAGTCACCCAGGATGAGCGCCTGTGTCACTAGACGGTCTGGGTCCTGCTCACCACCGGGATGCAAACGGAAAGGCTCCACTGGTGCCGGTGGCGGCGGTAGCTCACTCGGCATCTTATCGAAAAAGGCGGCAGGATCGCCGTGCTCGGTCGCTTCAGAAGCTTGCTCCGTGACGGGCATTTCCTGGGCCTCATCCTCCAGCAGTGAAGGACCTAGGGCGCTGACGGCATCCTGAATACGCGACGACACCAAAGACTTGCTGAAACCCAGAAGCTCAACGAGTTCATCACGAGATTCAGCTTGGAAGAGTGTCTGCAGTGCTTTCCAGTTAGCAATGTCCGCAGGTCTCGTGTCCGCATGGCTGCTCTGCGCTGCGCAGAACTCCTGCAAAGTGCCTTGGTCCAGAGCATCGCTTAGAGTTTGTGCACGTATCGCAATATGAGGCTCTGTACGAACGTTCATAATTTGGATCGGGAAGCTGCGACCACCGGGCACTGGCTTAGGAATACGCACCAGCTGACCACCAAATCCAAACGACACTGAAACTGGGCGCCGTAGCCACTTGGGCGCAGTCACCAAAGGCATACCGCCCGACGAAGGAGGTGGGGCGTTGCCAAGCGCATTGAAAAGGTCGTCTGGGTTCATGTTGGTCGTATCTGTCGGTGCATTCTGGTCATCCACGACGTTGGTGTCCTGCAGCGACTGTACCATAACATGACCATCAAAGCTGGCCGTAGCTAGCATGTTGGGGTTGCGTGGGTTCCATTGCACGTCAAATGCCCAGTTCGCTCGCGGAGGCATCTCCGCCACAATCTCATGCGACTGTGGGTTCCAGCAGAGCGTACGACTGTCCTTACCGCAGGACAGCAGTAGATTTTCATCTTGCTTGCACCATGACAGGCCCAAAACGCCCTGCTCGTGACCTTGCAGTACAGATTCAGGAGCACGCGAATTGCGCAGATCCCATAGCACAATGCCAGGGTTCATGTCATCTTCAGCAGCCGTGGCAATCCGTGTAGGGCTTAGCGGATGCCAGGCGAGAGAGCTGATATTGCGTGCAGAACCACCAGCTGTACTCATAGGCCCGCCTGCAGTCATGTTACGTAGAACAGCAATCTCGCGCTTGTGGCGAAGGTCCCACACAGTAGTGCACCCATTTGTGGACGCAGTAGCGAGAACATATGGCACTTGGCCATTCCAAGCCAAGCTGGAAATTTCATCCAAATGCTGCGATCGAGAGCCCGGCGTGTACGGTTTGCCTGGCGACTTGAGGTCCCACACATAGATCTCCGCGTTCACCGAGCCAGTCGCAATAAGGTTAGGCTGCGGCTGGTTGAACGAGAGGCCTCGGACGGTGCCCTTGTGCATAGTGTTGCGAAGGACCTGGGATTGTGGGGCCGTAGCAGGGTTTAACATCATGCCGACATCCCACACACCAACCTCGCCATTCTCCAGACCAGCGGCAAGCAAACCGAAAGGCTTGTCTTTGTGAGCAAATCCCCATCCTAGACGGTTAAAACGCGCACTGGTTCCAATGGATGAAACAACCGAGGGAGTCACCTCCGTCGTGGTGTCATCCGGGGCAGACAAGTGCCAGAGTTCTAAAACGCTGTCATTGTTGAAACTCTCATCCAGAGCGCCAGCAACTGTTCCCGTGGCCATCATAGGTCCACCCGCCTGTGCATTGGCAGGGGACCAGGCAAATGCCGCAGTACGCGGCAGGTATGCCTTCATGCTTCACGATGCGATCAACGGTGAAGAATCGGCAAATTCGCACTTGTATCGTGGAACGCGACTTCAACTGCCGCCCCGCCCCGACCTTGCACCTAAGCAGAACAGTGTGCTGGCACGCACACGTGGACCCACGTGGCAAATCCAGGGAACTTCACCCTGCGACGCACCATTTGGACGTGGCAGCATGGCTGCGCGTAGGGACGAGAACTACGTAGACGGCGCTGAGTTTGATGATTCTGACGAACTCATTGAGGAAAATTCTGATGACTCGGATGAGTTCCACGCGCTGCCATCTCTCGCGCATTCATCCGTCAAGTCCACTTTGACGTTGGGGTCTAAGCGCAAGGCAGGCGAGGCGCACGACGACGCAGCCGCCTCTGGAAGTGCCTCGCGAACCGAAAAGAGAAAACAATCGCAGAAAAATGCTGGATACAGTTGGGAAGCTGCGTACCAACGCTCATGGGACCATGTACAAGAAGATGAAAGCGGAAATTTGGAGAGCGCTGTTCGACAAATGTTGGAGGTCAGTAAACGCAAGCGCAGTCTCCGTGATAGCGCACCTGTACAGCGCGGTATCATTCGACACCTAGTTCTTGTTTTAGATCTGAGTGAGGATATGATGGACCGGGACTTGCGGCCAACTCGGTATGTGCCTCTGCGCAAACTGACGAGTAGCTTCGACTTGACGCTCCAGCTATGTCGACAGTTTGTGTCCGACTATTTTGACCAAAATCCTATCGGACAGCTGGCCATTGTTTGTGCTCGTGATGGACTTGCCGAGAGGCTCTCCTTGATGGGCGGGAACACGTTCGATCATGGTGCCGTTCTTGCTAGCAAACGCAAACTCGAACCTCGAGGTGAACCTAGCCTCCAAAACGCCCTTGAAATGGCCCGCAACTGCCTCTCGTATGTGTGAATCGCTAATCTCAGTCACCTTCCCATTTCAAATACACGCGAAATTTTATATATATCTGCATCGCTCACAAGCGTTGATCCTGGCAACATATACCAAACAATTCAGAGCTTGGTGGATGACCATATTCAGGTATCTGTGATCTCTTTAGCAGCGGAAATGCATGTGCTGTGTAACCTGTGTCAGCGGACAGGAGGTGACTTTCATGTTGCCTTAAATGAAGATCATTACAAAGAGTTGCTCTTGAAACATGTTCCTCCTCGTGTGATTGTCCAAGACTCTTCAACTAACCAAAACGACAATGGTGATCTTTTGGTAATGGGATTTCCTCGGAGACTTCCTTTCAATGCGCCTTCTTCATTATGTGCGTGTCACGGGCGTGCCATTGCTAGTCAAGCTTCTAAGGCTGATTCCATGGCGCCTTCCAATGGCTACATCTGTCCACGATGCTCCTCTCGAATTTGTCAAGTGCCTACAGATTGCCCTACCTGTGGCATCACTATTATCATGAGTACACATTTGGCAAGAAGCTATCATCATTTATTCCCCGTGCCCAATTACGAGCCGTTGCCCTGGAGCGAGTATGTACAAATTGGGGGGGTCACTAACCACTAGCGTCACTGAAAGCTCACCTCTAAGCTGTTTTGCATGTGCTTTGCCTTTTCCTACTATGCCCGACAATGCTTCTTTACAGTCGGATTCCCTTGATCCAACACTGGCACCGTCAGCCCGGTATCAATGTCCAAAGTGCCGACAACATTTCTGCCTAGAATGCGATGCATTTGTTCAGGAAGAGCTACACACATGCCCGGGCTGTACTTGACTATATTGTACTACTAGACATCCCATGTCGCTACCCTTCTGTCACTATTCGTGCGCTAAGGCACCTGCACGTCGCCTCCTGTCCGTCGTTCGAGTATCTCTTATTCGTCCAGTCGTGAAATTAGATAATCTTGTGTCGTGGAGGCTATAGATATTCAGCTTTCGCTGTGTGCACCGCCTTCTTCCCTACGTGCATATAGAGGTGCACGCCCAGTCTTGCAGGTCTGCCTTTACCAGTCCTGGTATCTCTGTTGGCTAGTTGTTCTTTTTCATACTTCTGACATTATCGAAGGATAGTGTTTGAAGTGTGTTAGTCTGACCGAGCATGGCATCAACATCTGGCAATCAATATGAGCAAGTCTACGATCGAACATTCGATTCGAACCACGAAGACTTCGCGGATGCTTCTACCCAAGATGCTTTAAATGGTGCCGTGAACTCCCCTAATGTATATTCAGAGAACATGCTTCAGGACCCTGCTCCTGCCTTGGATAATGTCGTTCCTGGATATGGACAAGGAGCCCCCGTCGTCATTGGTGAAGCGGTCACGTCACAACCGAATTCATCAAGTATTCCTTCTTCCAATCCACTACAAACTCGGAACCAGGTACGATTTAGCACAGAAGAAGACCGGCAACCGCGTGCTACTCGTATCCGAGTGCGCCCAGAGGGCCATGGCCCCACTATCACTGTGTCGCAGCCTCATCACGTTCCCACTTCAGGTGCCGTTGTATCCCCCATAATGGAAACAGCACATGATTCTAAAGGGCTATTTCGTCCGAATAAACCTGGTCGCATTAACCTTGAAGGGCTTCAACCTACTGTGGCTGAGGAACATGTGGTGCACGTGGACCCCTCGACTGGCTCGCCGGGGCGAACAGGCGCCGTGAATGTGGATGGTGCTGATATGGGAAGACTTGCTTCATTGGCTCATGAACTAGATGAACAAGGAAGTGAAGCTGTATCTGAAGAGCCACCCCCAGGGCAAGCTATTATTCGTGAAGAAGCCTTTCTCCCAGGGCTTGACACGTTGCCCCAAAACGAACATCCCAATTTTGCATTAAGCAATAGTGACGGACAGATTACGCCTGGTGCAACAACAGACAGCAGCGCTGACCCAATGGAATCGATGGATCATGTTGACCTGATTGAAGGCGAGACAGATGGCATGCCGTCAAAGCTCCCAAGGTCCATGCGCCGCAAAGTGAGCGACAGCTCATTGAAAGGCTGGCAAAAGATCAAGAAGCTGATGGGCACATTTCATCCTGAGGAGAATACCGAGGATATGGCGGAAAAGGGACTCTTTAGCGAGAATGCCACCAACATGAAGAGTGTGCCTGTTAAGACATCTTCGGGCATTCGTGGCATTGGAGGTCGAAAACGACCTGACCCTGTGGAGCGTCAAGCAGCTCGATTGGTGAAGACACATAAGCTGCTGAGTGGTGCACCAGCCTCTGACACAAGTGATGACGACTTACCCAACCTTCCTGGCATGAACCGAGCACATCTACCTGATTCCGAGGCATCAACTCCTGACGCCCTCGACACGATGCAGCACCTTGATGCACGACCTGCCGCTTCAGGAGGTGTGCTGGGGCAGCTTTTGAAATTGTACGAGCAACAGCGTGAGGCAGATTCACAGTCGGAAGATGGTACATCTGTGGTGGCTGGAGAGCAAGGAAATAAACCTGAGGAAATTGGTGGTGGATTGAACTTGATGGGCGACAAAGTAGTCGATGCCTTTGGAAATGAAGCCCATCTTTCTGAAGTTGATCCGGACTTGCTCAGGAAGGCTTCAGAAAAGCCACGTCTGGCAGGACCCCAGACCGGACAGTCTGCATCCCGTCGTATGTCGATGGCTAGTACTGGTTTGATCAACTTGGCGAATCAAAACCTATCGCAGGTGGGAAACAATCTTGGACGTGTGGGTAACCGCAGCAAAGCGGTAGTCAACACTGTTGCCACTGATGTCGGCATTGATGTAATGGATGAGCGACCAAAAGCTGCTCGCTCTGCTGCTGGCACAATTGGTGCGTTGATTGCTACGACAGGGAATCTCGTTGGTGCTGTGAGCCCATTGCATGCCCAGTTGGGACCGAACCCAAACCGACCGGGCTATACATTGGACCGTTATCTTCTCCCTGAAATGGATGAGAAAACATTGCGCCGTACAGCTAAGATCGTGGCTGAAGCAGCACCAGTGCCCAAAAAACTGAAAGTACCGCAGACGCCAGGTGGGCATCCACTTCTCACTCCTAACACTTTGGCTCGCGTCAGTCAAAGTGACCCTAATTTTAACCCATACTTTGGCAAGGCATCAGACGCAAGGTCAACGGCAGGTCAATCACAGATCTCCTCTAAGCGAGCTGCTGATTTTGCAAAGCAATCTGGCGCTACTATATCTCATGCAGGAAAACAACTGCTCCATCTTAAGCGACCACCTACATCTGCGTCTGAGGATGGCGCCGACTACTTTACAAGAATGAACCCTGAGGAAGTGGCCAAGAAAGAATGGCAGCGGAAGCTTCGTCGTCGCAAGGCGAAAAGCAAAAAACAAGAAATTTTCATTACTATGCATGTGGCGGCCATTCTTAAACGTCAGGAATTTCTTCTGAAGTTGTCTCGTGCACTCATGATGTTCGGTGCACCGACACATCGCATCGAAGTTCAAATCCAGCAGACTGCCAATGTTCTGGAAATTAATTGCCGGTGTGTTTACTTCCCTGGCCTCATGCTCTTGTCATTCGGTGATGAGAACACGCATACATCAGAGACTAAAATTATCAAGCAAGGCAGTGTTGTTGATTTGACAAAACTTACTGATATGCATACCATTTATTGGAATGTCGTGCACGATAAGATTGGAGTGGAACAAGCATCCAGGCAGCTTGATGCGCTAATGCGACGCAAGCCTCTTATGCGCAAGTGGCAGCATGTACTTGTGGGTGGATTGGCATCTTCGTTCATTACAGTGGGTACATGGGCATTCCAAGGTTCTCTTCTCGACGCTTTCGCCGCTTTTGCTCTTGGCGCTTTCATGTGCTTTTGGCAGCTTACCATCACGTCAGAAGTCTACTCGAATGTGTTCGAAATTGTTTTTGCCACAATAAACTCATTTATCGCAATGGCTCTCCATCGAATTGGGGCCATACACACCATAAACTGGGACGCAAACAGACAACAATGGACCAATAATGTGGAATATGGAAGGTATTTCTGCTACCAGTCCGTGATTGCTGGCTCTATTGTACTGATTCTTCCTGGTTTTATTGTGCTTACGGGTGCCTTGGAGCTCCAGTCTAAGAGCATTGTGGCAGGCTCTGTCCGTTTGGTCTATGCTATTATTTATTCAGTCATGCTGGGTCTGGGCATTATGATTGGTGCGCTACCGTTGGTACAGTCAGGCGACGCCACCGTGGACAGCACTACGTGTGGTGCCCGAACCTTCCCACAATTTGCCCACTGGTATAATACACCACCAGGAGGTATAGCGCTTTCGTCACCGGACAGTGACGGGCACTTATACCGCTCACTTGCTTGGGCGTTCCTTACTGTACCAGGCTACGCTGCTCTTTTGTCTTTGAGGAACCAGGCAAAAGTGGTTCGGAAAGAATTCCCCGTCATGGTATTTATCGCTGTTTGTGGTTGGGTGGTCAGCAATTTCGCTGTCTTTGCCAACGTGCCATCTGCGTTGCAAAGTCACACATACCTTTTCTCTGCCATGGGATCGTTCACAGTGGGCACTTTGGCTAACATCTACGGCCGCATTTTTGATGGACGCAGCTTTGTTGTTGCCGTTCCTGGTATTCTTTTCCAGCTGCCCACTGGTATGTCTGGACAAGTCACGTTGTACAGCTTTGCGAACCTGAAAACCAACGACTCTTCAGCGGTAGTAACGCAAGGTTTTCAGATTGGTGCTACATTGCTCAATGTATCATTGGGTATTGCGATTGGTCTATTTGCGTCATCACTATTGATGTTTATGCTAGGAGGTCGCAAAGTTCGTGTCGGTGGAATGTTCTCTTTCTAAATAAACCGTCCATAAGATGTACTACATACGATCTTGTTTACGAAACACTGTAGCTTCGTTTTCCGCCCATACACACGTCGCATGATTTATAATCAGCACAGTAGACCGCTCTCTATACATCTCCCAAGTGCAACGGGCCCATTAGCATGGCTGGAATAGCCCCTCCATAGTCTAAGTCTTTCATCTACTTGACCAAAAGTGTACTAGATGGGAGAAACCCTATGACTATCAATAGTACATCTAATGATGATCACTATCCACCTTCTGGTAGCGAATACCACTGCAACGTAAGAAATATAAAGCATACCAATACGGGCAGCCCTTTGGTCCAGGCTTATCCTTCATTTGTTAGTCAAGCTTTTCAGAAATTGACTCACCAGGTTGATGTATACGCGGGGGTGTCCCAAAGGGCCATCTCCTAACGATGTCAGAATATCTAAGCGCTAACACGTACCGCCATCACATGAAACAACACGCTGGGTCGTCATTTGAATAGGGTGGTTGCTGATAAGTTCCATGGCAGAGAGCGGCTGAGGTTGGAAGCGGTAGTCCGTCTGTTCAAAGCGAGGGCCCTTCATGGCCTCCGATTTAGGTCGCTGTGACTCGCTCCAAGTCTCAGGGAAGTTAGGGGATTGCTCGAGGCCATACTCAACCAGACCTGGCGGGTTAGTCGCCTTAGCAATCGGAGTTTGGACCTGAGCGCTAATGCCATGACCATCAGTGCGAGGACGGACAAAGTCGCCCTGGGCTACACTGGGGGCAGCCTCCTGTTTGGTCGGAAGAGATTTAAACAAAGAGGCGGATGTGCAAATAGTGCGCGAAGCAGAAATGTGATTGCGCAGCGCACGAGTAGGCGCCAACATGACTCGGCTGAGCATCGTTCTCAGCGGGGGCCACAAATGCACGGGAGAAAGACTAGCGCGGCGCACCGAGGCGTGCCGACTAGGTCACGTGATCTTGACTGATTTTGGCGATGCTTGCATGCTCTGACACACCGACCGCAGCTTGTCTGATAGCCGTGGGCTTTCTGGGCGCGAATACTGAGGTGGGACCTGAGCGCATTTATTCAATTATGATGCTTCCTCCGAAGAAAACTAGCAAGAACTGGGAAGAGCGCCAGCGCCAACGCATGAAAATGCTCAGCATTAAAACGCGCGAGCGTGAAATGAAACAAGCAAAAGAGGATGAAATTAACCGTAAACGGGAAGTTCGCCGTGAGCGCGAACAAAAAGCAGCCGAAAAAGAGCGCCTTGAGGTTATGGCTGCTAAGGTGAGTATATGGCACGATTTCCTCTGACATCTCAGATGAGCCGGAAAAAGGCCTTGCGTCAAGCTCGACGAATGGGTCGCACAAAGAAAGTGGCCCATTGAACTGTCACTCACATGCTATTTTCACAATTGTAAAATTAGAATCAATAGTATTTTAAATGCCTACTTTGGCCGAATACATGGACCAAGACACGACGAGATAAACAGTTTCGGAACATCACAACTAACGGGATTTAAATGAAGCAGCGATGCACGCTGGATATATCTTGGTCTGTTCATGGACCCTTTTGGAAGGCGCTTTCTTCTGTAGACAATCTGTGTGATACAGACAATGTACCTCCACTATTTAACCCGCAACCATGTCAGGCAGATTGGCAGGGACTTCTAGTTCCAAAGTGCTAGATGCAGATGCTCCGTATTTAGTAGAATCATATCAGAACAGTGAATCAAGTGGCTCTCTGAAACAAAATCTTCCGATATACACATACTCAAGCGATCCTCAAACGCCTGGTCAGCCCCGATCATGGGAAGATGCTGCGCGAGCAAAGTCTAAACCCATCTCTGGGCCCAAGCCTGGTATGCCCGGCCATGTATATATCGACATGGACAATAACGATGTAATTGCAGGAGTTCAAGGAGGATTCACGAACTCTCCCACTCCGTTAAACACGTCAATCACAGGTTATGCGACAAGTTTAGGCTGGGAATTGAGTAAGCAATGCGCACTAGCATATATATTTCCCCCGTTTACTAGCGTGTTCCTCCTCATTTTTGAGACCCAAAACGTAAGTGAAGAATGCTGATCTCTAGGATCTTGTGCGCTTTCATGCCTACCAAACAGGGATAGGTGGTGCAGTCATTCTTGTGTTATCATGGCTTTTCAATATTTTCTTCGGCCATGGGGGCAAGATTATATGGCGCATATTCCTAGTTATGTCATGGTACTGTGCATATCTTGCACATCAGTCGGCAACGTCATTAGAGCGCACGCCATTTCTTCCTATGCTAGGACATTATGCGGTCTCATACGTCGGCGATGAGTAGGGTAGGATCAGACTACCTACATGTCACTTAATGTAGCTACGGAAAACTCACCTTCATCGAAAAAGGTTACTTAAAGCTTGCTTTGCTTTCGGAGCAGGGCCGAAACAAAATAGATTGTCAATGCTGCAATGCTCACAGCAAACACTTTACGCATATGTGCCAGCCATGGCAGCGTATATTCAATATAGACCATTTTGCTTTCGCGGAAAGTGCACTTAGTGCGCTTCAATACAAAGGTCGGACGGCCAATAGTGTCAAGGTAGGTAGGGAAAATTTCCTCGGTGAGCGAATCCACACTAAAAGGCAAAGTGATATCAATATCCCTGGCTCCTTCGGGCAACACAATGCGCAACGTGGCCTCATCGACTGCAACCGCTTTTGGAGAAAGGAGGAATGGAACCGCAACACGAATGCGCCATGGCTTCAGAGGATTGACACGCGCGCGACCATTTGTACTCATAGGTTGGTTCCAGCCAACGGTGAAAGTGTAGTTCCATCCACCTAGAATAGGGAATCGAGGGGTCAATTCTAGTCGACGTAATGAGCCCGCCACACTCGGTGTGGCAGCTAAACGTGATGTTGACACATTACCAACTGCATCCACAAAATAAACGTCCTTTGAGTCGGCAGGAAGCATGATTGGCAGACTGAGGATTTGCGACATCCGTTCAGAAAGTGGTGAGGAGTAAAGATTGAGCATATTCTGAGCACGGTTGAAGTGACCTTTGAGCTTTGGGCCGTCATTCCGTACCCAAATATGGTCCTCAGTCGCAAGGTTGTCACCCCAGTGGCTGATTTGAACTTGACGATCATAGTCAACATAGGTAATCACAGGTTTGGAGTACAAGTAATGTACAGAGCCTTGTGGAATAGCGGCAGATTTTCCGTTGTACACGGCAAGATCTTGGTAAGGTCCAAACGTGATCTTATTTTGCGACTTGGTCGTTTTCACGGGAGCCGTAACGTTCATGATAGAGTCCGATGTGTGAACGATGACTGATGCCTCTTTAGTTACGTACGCTGTGCGGGGCATGACGTCACCCTTCCAGAGAAGTAGTTGACGCTCGCTTTGTTGGATACTGCGAGGGAAAGGCTCTGACTGATGAACGGTGGCTCCATGGATCACGAATTTCACATTTTTTTCGTCGACAACATATCTCACTGGAACATTCACTTCATAGTGAATCGTATCGTCATCCACAGGGCCCAGGTACAAGATCTCAAGTTCGTGGTTGCTAGTTTCCCCTCCGCCTGCATGTAGGTATGCACGCAGAGAAGACAGAAGGTCATTTTCAGCTTTACTTAAATAGAGGTCGTAATTAATAGACTCTTGACCGGCTTTCACGGAAGGTGTGGCAGTAATGTCGATTTCAAAATGTGCGGCAGCACCACCAAGATTTAATGTCTTCGTGTACTGAGACTGAGTCCAAAAATTTCCTTCTGCGCAGCATACAGATATTGGGAGAAAGGAAAGTAAAACTGTGATACATAGGTAGAATATAGGTACAGCCGAGCAGATAGAGAACACCCTCATCTTGTGAGCCGGCGGGTTAACGCGTCGCACGGAAGGCCAGCGACGTAGCGTCCGTGCCTCCATAGGGGATATAAGCAATTAAATTACAACGGCGGTGATCGATCAGCTCGATTCTCTCGCATCTTGCACAGCACCGTTCTGGCCGTACTGCAGAAACATGGTCAAACCAACTTCGAGTGAACCCAAAGGAGACAACACACGGAAGGTCCAGGAAAGTGATGGGAAGAAAAAGAATGTGCCAGGTCTTGGTGCTTTGGATGAAGACGATGAGTTTGAGGAGTTTGAGACGGAAGGTCAGTGAGCCAGTCATCATTTCCTGCTAACATGATAGATTGGCCTGAGAATAACAATATGATACCAGGAGCTTCGAATAATGCAGCTGGATCTAATGCTGCTTCTGTTGTACTTGATATGAGTGGCTCAACCCGTTCGGGTGGTGATCACCTTTGGGAAGACAATTGGGACGATGACGATATTGAAGACGACTTTAGTGTGGCTCTTCGGTAAGTATCGGGAAATCGTTACTTAGTAGTCAAAGAGCATGATATTGACAATCGCAGATCCGAACTCGAAAAGACGAACGATGCCGCCACAGCCTCTTCGTAAATAGGCGCATGAGCACAATTACTATCTCGCCTAAGGAATTTTACATGCGTTTGAGGACATTATTTATCTCTATATATCCATTAGAGTTCCGCATATGACCATCTAGATTCTTCATCCCGCAATCCGTGCCAGCTTAAGGGACACATGGCCACGACCCCACAAACCGGGGGCCCTTCCATCACCATCGTCACGTGATATGAAGTGTGGGCGCAACATTGCGATCACGGGTCGCCACCTTGGCAGTTGAAGTAGACATTCATGAGCTCTACCGAGATTGATCAGGAGCGTGAATTCTCGCACTATGGGACGGATGATGCTCCTAACAACAATGGAATACAGGATAATTCTGAAGACTCTGAGATTGTTGCCATGAAGCAGCGTGTTGCAGAGATGGAGGCAGAGGCTGCCAAGCTTCGCGAGATGAATGAAGCAGCAGAGCGCGAAATCGAGGGAGCAGGAGCGGTTCATCCGACGGAAGAAGAGAGAATGAAAACGGATGCACGCAGTATATATGTTGGAAACGTAAGTTTTACTTCGTAACATACAGGTCGACTATGGTGCGACGCCAGAAGAAATCCAGCAACACTTCCAGAGCTGCGGTACGATCCACCGTGTTACGATTTTGTGTGATAAATTTACCGGCCATCCAAAAGGCTTTGCTTATGTCGAATTTGCTGACCCTTCCTTCGTCGAGAATGCCATGGTACTGAATGAAAGTCTATTTCGAGGGCGTCTTCTCAAGGTACGTGAACTACTTATTTATAACCAGGTTACTCCCAAACGGACGAATGTTCCCGGCGTAGGTATGCGTGGCCGCGGCCGTGGCCGTGGCTTCCGAGGGGGATTCCGTGGCTACCGTGGAGGTTTCCGTGGTCGTGGTTCCTGGCGCGGTCGTGGTCGGGGATGGTAAATAATCGATTCCGCCTGCAGCAACACTGAGACGACATTGGGTCAGAAACTCAGCGTATAGAATCGAAAAGTCGACGCAAGTCTTGCGCCGCTAGAACTAATGTATGATGTACGCATAGCATCATTCTGAAAAGGGCCAGAGTGTAGAGCGCGCAAAGCTGGACAGAAAGCTCGGAACTTCCGGTAGACGCGTTTGAGATAAAATAGTGCCAAAATAATTGGGCCATATAGTGAAATAATTGATAGACATAGAGCCTGCCTTAGGATTCAGTGTCGATTTTAGATCAGCTGCAATCCTTTGAACTTGAGAATGAGCATACGAATTGGATGATGTCTGACCGGACTCTTCACGCGCTGGATCTTCAGTTGAATTTGAGGAGACGGGCTGTTCTGTTCCCAACGACTCTTTTTGATCAAGCAGCCATTTCAGTTCCGCAGGCAACGATTCACTCTCATTGAACCAGCCTCTCTTCTCAGCCAGTGCCCAGAGAATTTGAACAGAGTGAACAAGAAAGAGATACTCCTCTGACATACTACCACTTCGAGGGGGCGAGAGCGAGGACGGAGGGGCTTCTCCCAATAAAGCGACATCACCATCAGCATCTGCTTGCATCTGCTTCGTAAGGGCTTGAACCTGGAGACGAAGTGCTTTAATTTCTTCCTCAGTTTTATCTCGCTCATGGGCACGGCTACGACTCCCACGATATGACTCTCCCAAAATAATGAGAGCAGCCACAAGAAACAAAAACCCTTCAGAAATAGCATTAGCTCCATTGCTTATGGCCTTTGCATCATTCAGTGGCCTGATTTTAACGTGCTCGCTGTTTCCTGGAAGCAAGTTCATTCGCAAACGCGACTCGGTTCGATGTAGGAACTGGGCCAATGAGATACACATCTTTTTGAAGGCATCATGCTGAGCGGCTTGGCTTTTTATCTGTGTGGCAATAGGCTTGGCAATCGTGCGGATCGCCAATGACACAATTTTGACACTTGCCATGATGTGGTTGGAGTACGTCGGCAGTGGCGCAGCTCGCTTGAACCGACCGCCTCCACACAGATGCACACGACTGTGCAAAGCCAGGCTACCTAGAACTACTAACAGTCTAGCCAGACCACTGGATCGAGTTTAGATCAATTCCCTCTTGAACCATTTCCCACAATGGACTCATTTCGCGCAGACGCTGAACAACTGCGACAATTTTGTCGCATACAAAGTCAATCTCCTCATCCGTAGTGAAACGGCCAATACCAAAACGTAGACTCGAGTGGGCATTGGCATCGTCCAGACCAAGTGCACGAAGCACATAGGAAGGTTCAAGTGAGGCTGAGGTACATGCAGATCCAGAAGAAAGGCAAATGTCGCGGAGCGCCATCAGCAAGGACTCGCCCTCGATATATTGAAATGTCAAGTTTGTGCAACCAGGATAGCCATCAGGATCACCATTCAGGAGTACCATTTCAACGCGCGACATAATATTGTCCTTAAGACGCTTTGATAACCTGGAAACATGGGCATGATCATACTGCAATGGTTAGTAAAGTTCAAGCAAAGCGGGCCAGATGTCTCAAGTTCCCTGCAGTAGCTGGTCCACACACATGAAATGTTCGTGAAAAGCACCTGTACCATAGACAATAGCGTGGCGATGTCGCTATCCCAGCGCCATAAATCAATCAGTAGCAGGTGTAGCATGCAAAGTTGGACCATATGCCGGTATCATCTTCGACACGGCCCGCGAAAAGTCGAATACGTACCGCCATTTCCTTCTTGGCAAGGCGAGCAGCCTCACCAAATCCAACCACAAGCGGGGTGGGGAGTGTACCACTACGCAGACCACGTTCCTGACCACCACCGCTGATCAAAGCCTCCAATCGAACACGAGGACGGCGACGAATAAAGGCAGCGCCAATACCTTTGGGACCGTAGAGCTTGTGGCTCGACATACTCATCAAGTCAATGTTCGCCTCATTCACGTCAATCGGAATCTTTCCAAGAGCCTGCGCAGCATCGGTGTGGAAAAATGGTTTTGGCATACCACGTCCCAATTGCTTGGACAGATCAGCGCCATATGTCTTTAAAAGTTCTCCAATTTCCTTAATAGGTTGGATAACACCAATTTCATTGTTCACTGTCATGATAGACACAATGCTGGTAGTCGGGCGCAATTCCTTCTTCAAGAGATCAAGATCGATTTGGCCGTTAGACTGAACAGGGAGGTAAGTAACTTCGAAGCCATTTTCTTGAAGATAACGGCACGAGTCAAGGACGCATTTATGCTCAGTCTGAGTTGTAATAATATGGTTCTTCTTAGCCTTATAGAAATTTGCCACACCCTTGAGAATCATGTTGTTGCTTTCAGTAGCACCGGAAGTGAAAATAACTTCCTTTGGATCACTGTTTATAAGACTAGCAATGTTACCCCTAGCCACATCTGTGGCAGCCTCCGTTTCCCAGCCGTACGCATGTGTACGGGAGTGAGGGTTACCGTATTGGTCCACAAAGAAGGGCATCATTGCGTCCAAAACACGCGGATCCACAGGAGTAGTAGACTGTGCGTCGAGGTAGATTGGACGATTTGCCCCTCTTGAGCTGCTGGTCTCCTCTGTTGCTCGCTGGAACAAGTCATGGCTTGAAAGTGTGGCATCACCCAAGTCGTGTGGGATAGGAGACGCGGAAGTGGCCAACTTTGAGCAAGTCACAGGAGTGAGGCGGTAATTTCGAATACACCCTGCAGCTTGGAAGGGTGTATAACGTTGAAATACTGGTATTGTAGTGTTGATACCTTTGCGGAGCGCAGCCACAATCATGATGCTGGCACTGAAAGATCGACGAGATGCATTGATGTCACTGAACTATCTATCGGCCGAGACACTGTCTGTGCACGTCCACCAAGTGGGCCAGACAGCTCGTGACCTACCTTATTGCCAATGGGAGAAGATCTACGTACTAAAAAATCTCTGATTCATCCAAGGGTGCAGGATCCTCAGCCTGGAATTAGCTCCATAATTTGACATACCTCTACAGCATCTGGAAGTTCAAAACCTTCTTCGGTTTGATACAGCACGCTTTGTATTTGTTTGAGCAGATCCGCCTCTGATGCATAACTGGGATCCATCAGCTCTTCGCCATCCTCCGTAGGCCGTATAACCTCCGCCAGGCGTTCCTGTACAATCACTTCAACGTCGCGGAGCTTGGCAAAGTAGAAATCACGCTCCCGCTCCAGGCTGTCTACGCTCACCTTCATTTCGTCAATTTCTGTCGTCAATTGATTCAACATTTCATTAGACACGGCAGGAGCACGCGCCGCCCCACGTGCAGCAACAGACATACGACGAGCGGGACCTGTCGAAGAGGGAGCGCGTGCTGGTTGTGCAGAAGATGGGGGCCGCGCCCCGGTTGCGGATGGACGGGGACCCGCATTGGATGGCCGTGGCCCAACATTGGACGGCCGAGGTGCGGCACTCTGACGCGGACGAGCACCAGCACTGGACACAGGTCTTCGCCCAGGTGTAGTTCTTCCTGACGAGGGTGCTAGTGCGCGACGGCCTTCGGCATCATAAGAACCTTCACCGGTATAGTGCATATCCCAAAACTTTTTAATCCACTGCAAAAACTCCAAGTTATCCTGCATCTTGCAGCGCACAAGACGGTCCACGGGGATCGGCTTGTCGATGCGATTCTTAATGAATACATTCTGGAGCACCTTGAAGTTCGCTAGTGATTCATAGTCATGACGAGCAGCGAAATTGATTCGCGACATGGGCACATTGCCTATGGTTAATTACGCCAGCAAGTACCTACCATAAATAGTATCAATTATTTGAGCATATGCGGCACCAGTACCACATTGCTCTACTTTGGTATAATTCAGGGCAAGGAGTTCGTTGAGCCAACTTAGCAGCTCAGTACGCGATGCTGACATGCTTGCTGACTCTGGGACAACCAACACAAGTGTCAGGCGGGGCACGCGGCATTCGGTGCAGGGTCACATGTGACGACACGTGACGTGACTAAGGGACGCTATAGAGCCAGATAGGCGTGGAGCGCGTATTAGTATTACTGCCATAGATGGCGGTGGTTTCGGTGCCTCCGTACGCCAGCAAGGGTTTAAATGGATGCCATGCCAGCGTGTTAATAGTAGCAGTCACTTGGATTTGATGCACAATTCTTTCGGATGCGGTCGACATCTGTAATGAGTCATAGCAAGCACTTACCAAACTGATTTCTGTGTCCTCCCCACCCGCAGCAAGCCATTCTCCGTCGCTAGAGAAATCAATGCTTCGCGATGGGAACTTGAAAGAGGAGAATATGTGACGCGATGTCCAGTCAAAGGCATCCCATAGGTTGATCGTGCTGTCTGCAGCTGCAGTCGCCACGAGTCGACCGCTGCGATCCCACTTGATGCAGAATATAGCAGCGGGATGCGTAGGTCGGACAAGATCGCGAGTCCAATTTGGATGCAAATCCCATGGACAATGCTCCTTCGGGTCAGATATCAATGAAGCAGGGGTATCGGGTGTCCTCAGGAAACTGATATTTCCACTTCCCATGGGAAGAAGCAGCATTGATCCATCGGGTGACCATGCGAGTTCATTGATCTTTGGTGAGTATAAGATACATACTTCTTCACGATCGACAGTCCCATTTTTAATCGTGTGCAAAAAAACACCACGGTCTCCATCCAACAAGCTAACATTTTCATTTTTATCACCGACAGCAATCACGCAGCCATCCGGATGATAGGCTAGGTTGATATTAGCACCAGGTGTCGTGATAGTACTCGTTGACTTTTTTGTGCGGAGATCCCATAGCCGAACTGTCTTATCCAGCGCCCCTGTAGCGATAAAATTGGGATTCGTTGGGTGACCAGCAATGGCCGAAATTTGATCCGCATGGCCAGTCAGTTCAGTTGAAGCAGAGACATCCATCTTAAGTAAGCTCTTTCATACATACAGTCCGCTCAGGGTGCCAAATACGCGCTATTTTATCGTGGCCACAACTGATAAGAGCATCACCCGTCGCATTCCACGTCAATGCACGCGTTCCAACTGTGTGGCCTCTCCGTAGTTCCTTCATTGCTGGATGCGAGCCAAAAGAAGGATAATGCATCCCCCTTCTCGTGAAGAATGATGCATCAGAGAGTGCATCTTCGAGCTGCCCGACGGTGCGATGTTCGTCGAGGACCGTCATCGTTGTGGAATAGAGAGTGATGCGGCAAATGGAGGTGTGCATCTATCGGCCGACTTTATATTACACAACGCCGTAGATGGCGTTTAAGAAGGCTGCCCACGCGCCAAGGCTTGAAGCAACAGCCTTGAGTCCGTTGGTGCAGTAAGAGAAGTATTTAATGTATCCGAGTTAGAATCACTGGGATTGCTGACGCCAGCCAGCAGGGTGTCAAGTTGCTGCTGGGATGAGGCAGAGTTTGTAGAGGGATCAAGACCAGTGGCTGACAGGGCACCTGAGAAAGTAGCTAGACCGGCAGTTGTCCTTTCTCTAAGTGCTTGCGCAGCGCGATGAGAGACTCGACGAATGTAATCGCTGGAGAGTTCGTCCAGTTGTTCCATGCAGTAGAGCCGCTTCTTGATCTTGTCGATGGAGAATTCCAACGCCGTCAACCGAGAGTCCACCTCAGTGCCTTCAAACTGTATGCCTAGAGTGGAATGGCCTTCTTTCGCAAGAGTAACAGCCTTGTCTAGAGTTTCAGCGTCAGAAAGGATACGAGTTACAAGATCGAGCTGCCGCTTTGAATCCTTGTCCATATCATGCAAAGTCCAGGGTAATTGGTCATCAGGTGCGTCGGTGGACAACGCCGTCTCGATTTCGTTGGCAATAGATTGTTCTTCATCCACGTTCGCTTCAGAAGCATGATCAGCGGAGTGAAAACGACCCTTTCGGCGAGACGTCGTGTGTTCACGAATTTGACTTGCCTGTGCTTCAATTTCATCTGCCTCTGCATGAAGCGCACGAATATCAGCTTCACATTGATCCCAAGCGAAAAGTTCTTTGCGAAGCTGATCCAGCATGCCCAAAAGTTGCTTTTCAGCGTGCCTGTTTGACGCATTTCGGGGATGTGGCTGAAGAGGGGTCTGGTCTTTTCCATGCGATTGATGAAGCCAACTTATACCAATGAGACCATCATGTAAATCGCGTAAGGTATCATCCATGACTTTGCGGAGTAGCGGGGCAGACTCAGAAATATGCTGAACGTCTTTGTCGCTGAGCGACTGCTCTACAGAGAGCGGTAAAGGAGATAATAGGCTCATACCATTCTGTTCGTCGCGACGTGAACTTCCATGCTTCCGTTTCCGGGACGCAGGAAATGGCGCCTCGGCAAGGGCTTGGGAGATAGAACGGTGCAGTGTCCAACGTAGCAAATGTTTCATTCGAACAACAGGAGGAGCCTGGTCAGAGCAGTGACGATACAGCACATCGTCGGGTATATCATCATGTGGGTAGGCAGGTCCGCCGTCACGTAGACTGGACATCCGCCGCATACCTTTGATGCTTATACTGTCGCGACGAAGCCCCGAAACAGGTGGACGAGACATGGGCTCAATATTTCGGCGGAAACGACGAGGAGGGACTCCTATAATATCCTCACCATGACTGGCAGGTTGAACTCGAGTGAAAAACAATTCACCTGGTAACTCTTCATTGGTATCTTGTCGGTTAGAATGGCTAGGCTGCGTGCCTTTCACATTTTGAAAGGATTCTTTCTCCTCTGCTAATATATCTGAAAAGTTTCTCTGGGATAAACCTGCTCGTCTGTCGACTGTGGATAATGGCCGCCGAGGGCTCTTACGCGCACCGGCCATATCTACGACGTACGAGAATCGTGGCGACGCGAACGTCACCACGAGACGCGTGGAGCAGACGCGTGTTTAGTCACGTGAAATGTCTTCATTAGGGTACAAGGATGCACCTATAGCAGGGAAGACAGACTATCTAATCTTAACATTAAGCATACGAATGTGCAAGCTCCTCCGAGTACTGGTCCAACAGGTGAACAATCCCTGTAGTGAGCTGCTCGAACTCCTCCACCTCACGTTGAGATAGAGGGCGGACAGTGGCGGGTGAAGGATCCTCACCTTCATCATCATCGTCGGCCAGAAGGACCTCGGACGACATTTGAGAACCGTTGACTGTTGAACTGGTACACGAAGGCATACGACTCCGTACCCCTTCAAATATGCGGAGCATGCAAGCATCCATCACGGACTTGATACGCTCAATACTATCCAGCGCATCATAATTGCCATTGACGGGAAGCCAGGCATCACATTCGAGACCCTGGGCCGTGGCCTGCGCCTCGGTAGCACCAAAAAGCATGTAAGAAAGGGGATCGAGACGAGTACAAGTACGCAAAAATGTCATCGAGCCTCCGCTCGACCCCGCCGTTTGCATCGAGGTATTGTGTACTTTTTCCGCAAAAGCGTAAATATCTTTTTGTGGTGGCAAGCTTCCCTTCACATCCTTGGTAAACTTGGAGCTGCAAACACTTGAAGGATGGATAAAGCACGTCTTGTCCTGAGACGTACGTAACGTGCGTTCCCCTTGTCGTATGGCAAAATGGGGCGAGGAGGCCACAGCAATCAAGGCACCCAATAATGGCATGCTGTGTGCATTGAGGTTGAACTCTGGGTCGGTCTCGCGCACGCGGCGGCGATACCGTGGCACCATGGAAGTAGATTGACGTATGACTTTAATAATGTCAGCCTTCTGCAAACTCTGGAACAAATTGTGTTTAATCTGCTGAATTTGGACCATGGTAGGGCGACTTAGCATATTGTTATGCAGGAAGCGGTTGGCCTGCGACGAACTGATCGACTGGAGACGAGTCCATTCATAGTAGGCATTGAGTAGACACAGCGGATCAGAACGGAATGTTACGGGGCACCAGCTGTCCTTGATCGCATTGGCCTCTTTTTTCAGATGCATCGGTGCAATAAAAGGATCCCTGTTAGTGAGAATGGCAGCAAGTGCCAACACAGGATCAAGACAGCGATAGAAAGCACCATAGAGGCACATCTTACCAATTGATACATCCAGTGGAAGATGCTGTAGGACTTTGCCAAGCGACGTTAGATTCATATGGTAGTCCAGAGCCCCGATTCGTTTCAAATCCACCATCGCTGCTTTAACACGGTCTGAGGCAGGCGGTTCAATAGCCGCAGCCAAAACATCTTCCACTTCCATCCCTGGGATTCCGAGGGCTTTGATATGCATGACGACGTTACTTAGATCCACACGTTTCATTTCCACCGTTTGATGCACACTGAGCTGATCATACCGAGCCTTGGACAGCACACCATAGTACTCCCCAGGACGATGGCGACCGGCACGACCTGCACGTTGGTTTAAATTTGAGGTACCCACCCAAGCAGAGACCAGACTAGACAAGTGCCGCTCTGGGTCATACCTCTTTTCCTTTACACGTCCGGAATCAATAACATAAACCACGTCAGGAATTGTGACGGAGGTCTCGGCAATATTAGTTGAGAGAATAATTCGGCGGATGGCTTCATGACGGGGAGGCTCGAACACAGCTTGTTGATCTTCCACAGGGACTGACGAATGCAAAATATGCACTTCGTATTTGGCGGGATCATGGAGCGGGACATCCAGTAAAGGACACTGCTTTGTATCCAACAAAATCTGGTGCAGAATTTTGATCCCATCCCAACCCGGCAAAAACACAAGCACATGGCCATCGTCAGAGCGCGACAGTACATCGGCGATCATTAGAGCAATGAGCGGATACGGAAGCTCAAGATCATCCACCAAGACACCGTTCTCCCCGGTAACATCAGCTTTGATTTGGCCGCCTTTTTGGGCAATCTCACGATGGATATAATCGCGAACATTCTTTTCGTGCCATATCCAGCCACCCTTTGCTCGTGGAAGAGAGATGGCATTCAATCGTTCATACGTGTCCTCCAAGAATACCTTTTTCACTGGGAAGCTGCGACCGGGTATCGTAACCACGGGCGCAGGACGGGCCGAGGGCATTAGTTCCGCAAAGTAGTCCTGGAACAATTTGGGATCCACTGTGGCGCTCATGAGAATCAATTTAATGTCGGGCAGACCTCGACGTTGGCGATCAGCCAGAACCCGCTTAATGATCACCAACAAGAGATCCGTCTCAACATCCCGTTCATGTACTTCATCCATAAGAATATGAGTAACATCATCCAAGAAAGAAAGGCCAGATGGGGCTTCCATCGCAGATTGAAGGCGTCGTAAAAAGACACCTGTGGTGCAAAAGGTGATGGACCCATGAGGCTTTGGCATCTTGCTGTCAAAGCGAACCTGATAACCCACGGTTTCTCCAACCTTCTCGCCACGCTCCTTAGCCACACGCTGAGCAACACTGATGGCAGCAATTCGGCGAGGCTGCGTACAGATTATGTTACAGCGTGAGCCTTGGTTGCGGAGAATGTAGTCGTCAAGGAGAATCTGGGGCACTTGCGTCGTCTTACCCGAGCCAGTAGATGCCATGCAGATCGTAACAGGATTTAATTCGACCTTGACGAGAACGTCACCAGCGTGTTGCGTCACTGGGAGCAGTTCACGCGACGTTCGAGTGGACTTGACACGGTCGTCCGTCTGATACGCATTCAGGGTTTGGAGCATCTGGGCCGACTTTGCCTCGTGCTCTTCTTCCGAAAGAGTGAAACGACGAGGTTGCTTGGCCAACAAAGGCTTTGGAGCCGCAGCTTCGGCGGTCGAAGGAAAAGCAGCCGTCGTGCGCGGACGATTGGCATACAAGTCACTGTCGCGTATTTGATCATACAAGTGCCGCAGGTTTTCTTCGAAGGATTCGGAAACGCGGAAATACACAGGTGATGCCTTGCCCATGGGCTTGTTCTTGGGTTCTAAAAGGAATGTTTGGTACACATCTTGAAACTCCTTCTCCAGACGGACGGCCGTATCTAGATAGGCCAAGTTCTGAGCAACTTTTTTACTCGTGCCAAGCCCCTCACCGATCACCGTGCCACCAATCGACATGGTCGCGTTCCAGCCACTCGGGACTGTACGACGACCCTGCAAATTTTGCATCTCTGTGATCGAAATGTCCGGATTGCCATAATGAAAGTGATGACAGAAATAGTCAATAAACTCTCGGGCAGTTTCTAAGGTCAGGGGAGATCCATTCGAGAGAGTGGCAGACAGCGCAGTCGTGCTGCCTTTGGTGCCGCCAAAGAGGCCCGGAGGAGGGTTAGAAATATAGTCGCGCTCCAAGAGCATTAGCATGCCATGAAGGGCAGCTGCTTTTTGTGCCTCTTTCTGGGAATGGCCATCGCCTGTAGCCACGATGCCAACTTCCTCATCAATGGTGCACGTGCACCGAACAACCTTTTCATGACGGTCTGGAAAACGTCCTTCTAAGCTGCTAAATTGAGGAGGGGCGCCGAAACGAGATTGTGTGTAGGTGTAAATGACGTTCTTAGGATTCTCGAGCCACTGTGTTTTGGATTTCAGCAAAAGGTCGGCAAATCGTGTGCGAATATCGGAAAGATAACAGGGTGGGAGGGTAAGGAAGGGGAGATGAGCGTCAGAGTGAGGGTGTCGTTTTCTGGGTAAGCTGGGTGGGCGTACTTTTGCTTGCCGTATCGGCGAGAAGACCCTCCCCTGCCATGGCTCGCACTTTTGCCTCCGCTCGAGCGTGAACCGCCTCTAGGATAGAACGTAGTGCCTGCGGAGCGAGCGCGCCAATCAGCGCTGTCAGCCATAGCAGGGGGGAGCTGGGTGAAAAATCGTTTAGGAGAGTATAGGAAAGGGGTGCTCACTGGAAGTAGGTCTTGTCGCCTGAGAAACGAAATATACTTGGCCACAGGTGATCGAAACAATCGAGCCATACAATATGGCCAGGACAATGGTACTCTTCGTTCTCAGGCGACAAGAGAAACTTCGCAGCGACGTGGGATGGCGAGCGTTAAGTGCCGGGATAGGAGCAGACCGACGATAAAAGTTCCCCCGAGAGAGAAATATACGCAAGAGCGTTCAGCGAATCAGGTGAAAGCAGAAATGTTTGTACGTGGGAGAGCCTACGCAGAATTATTAATCACATTCGTCTTCTAGACCAATGCTACGAAGGATTGGTGCAACCGAAGGCTAACGGCTGCAAAGAAACTCAGGAGCTGTCGTGATGATTGGTCGTCGTCGAGTGTAGCAAGAGACGGGTCTATTAGACGCGGAGAGCGCATTAACAGTACCTTGAGACTGCGCAGCACAGGAGGTAGGACGGATGTGTCGAGCACGGCACATTCGTCAGATTTGGCCCGAACCGACTCGAGTGGTGTGAACCCGAGGGGCAAAGGGCGCGGAAGGTCTTCGTCGACGCTCATCTCGCGAGGGAGCGACGATGGCGGTGGGAGGGGGGCTGGCAGAGGGGGCCTAGTCGCATCAAAGTAGGCTCGCTGGCCGGCGCGGAGACGCGGCAGTACATGGTCGAGCGCGTGCCAGCTATTGTCGCTGGTATCGAGGAGGTCACACGGGCGGAACTCGCCCTTGTACCGCATTTTAGGACAGCTGTATATATAGAACCCTGTGTGAGACTGGCCAACGTACCCAAATAGTACCACCGGATCGTCGTCACCATGCGGGAGAGTTTCTGGCCCAGGGCAATTTCACACAGAGCGCTAATCTTGCCCAATTCCCAGGACGAGAATGCGGGATCGTAAAAGAAGTAGACGCTGCTCACACACCGAGGAAGGATATCAAGAACGCCTACACCCACTAACTGGCCGCGATCGAATGTCAGTCATAAGACGTACATCGGTACTCGTGGTGGTATAGGCCAAACGAACCTTCATGCGTCTGGTCAGTCATCGACACATACTGGAAACGGAGCATCGACGAGGAACGACTCCCAGCCAGACCGGTCACTGATCTCGGAGGGAGACTCACCATGTACGGCTGCCTGGTAGCGGCGGAACAGCTCGTACTTTTCATCCGTCGACGAGGCAGGGCGTAGAGACACCTGCTGTGAGCAGCATGTCATACCTTGATTTTGTCCATCGCTGGCTCGACATACGGTGCACCGATCGACGGTGTTTCGTCGAGCTGCAATATGAGGCCGAGCCGTTGCTGAAGGGACCATGGCCCGTGGGCGCCCCACTTTCCCTTCCAGCGGGACGGCTTGGGCTGCCCAGACAGACGCCAGTACAGGCCACTGACCGCGCGCTTCTGGGACTTGTTCGGCGCGAATGCAGCAAGAGGCACACTGTATAAGAGCGCTTAACGCACCGAATCGAATGCTGGGGACAGCATGTCCGCAGGTTATCCGGTTTGTAAACATAGTGCCCGGACCGGCGCCAACCTTCGTCAATCAGGGACTGGTAGTGCTCGGGCTCCAGGCGTGCGGCCTCCGGTCAGTCGCCGGACATACAAGAAAACCATACGAGAGGCTCCCATTCGGCCTTTCCCTCCTTGGCACACCGGTCGCACCGCAGTACCCACAGGAGGACCGCGTGTAGCCAAGAGGCTGCGCTAGGCTCATCGACATGGTCGCAGCGAAGCGGGGCCCCTGCAGGGCCTCCACCCACCACCTCGACGCGAGCGACCCCGAGCGGATGGTCGGTGCAGGCGCCGCGTCTGGCCAGCGTTCGTCGCGATGGAGGCAGACCAAGCGCCGTGGTGCCGCCTCGGCATCGAGGCCGGCTTTTCCACCGCGGTATGCCCAGATCCTTGCGAACGACACGCTGGAGACGCAGGTGCAGAATGACATGTCGCCCTTTCCGCCCACGTACCGAGGCCAGGTGTCGCGGAGGCATGTGCCGGAGCACGTCCGTGCAATGTATGTGCACGAGTACAAGCTGCCTACACTGCGGAGCCTGTGCCTTCAGATGGCTGCGACTCATTTTTCCACGCACATTCTGCCGACCCCCCAGGTGCTAGAGGCGCTGTCGACCCCGACCCAGGCCCGGCTGAAGCGGCCTCGGCGCGACAAGGACGACTATGTGCCGGACGAAGAAGACATGCCACCCCTGGCGAGCGACGCGGGAGGGCTGCCGCATCTCTCGTCGGACGAGGCGCGCCAGTGGCACGAGCGGAACAAGGTGTGGCTGCAGCACCTGCCTGCCTTTTACATGGACAAGCTCTATGAGCTGATGTGCGAGCATTCGCCGCTGTCCATTACAAAGGAGGTGCTCTCGTGCTATGTATTGCCGCAGGTCGGCTCATCGCCCGGCAGCTCCAGGCTGCGGGAGCGCATCTTCTTTCCCGCGTCGCTACCGCTCTTCTCGCAAGATACCAAATGCGCAGCACTCCTACTTGCCACCCTTGCGGGCAGCCTCGCGCTGTCACCGCATGCCGCCGAGGTCATTGGCGCGCTGCGTGCGATCGACCTGCACGGCCTTACGCGACTGCCCGCCGGCGCCGTGGTGCGCTTGCTCAAGGCGCCGCGCGCGCCATGGCACCTGGTGCGTGTGACGCTGCCGGGGTGCCTGGCCGTCGACGACGCTACTGTCGAGGCCCTCGTGGAGGCAGCAGGCGCGTCGCTTGCGCACCTGGACCTGACGATGACGTCCGTGAGCCCTGCTGCGCTTGTTGTGCTCGGCCGCGCCGCGCCGCGCTTGGAGCGCCTGCACCTCGCGTGGTGCGATGGATTTGCCGACGAGCGTGTGGCAGAAGCAGTCAGCTCGTGCATCGCACAGGGCATGGCGGCACAGCCTCCCGTGATCCCGTTCCGCCACCTTCGCGAGCTGGACGTGTCGCATACCAGCATGGGCGACGTGGCGCTGGGCAGTGTGTGTGGGCTCATTGGCCCGCAGCTCACGTCCCTCGATGTAAGCTACACGCAGGTCGGCGAGGCGGGCACGCTCGACGTGCTGGCCATGGGCCTGGGCCGCAGCGCCTCCGCGCAGCCCTCGCGCCTCACGCACCTCGGCCTGGCGGGGCTCTGTGTGCATGCTGCGGCGCTCGTGCGCTTCCTGCAGGCGTTCCTGCCGATGCGTGGCGAGGAGGGCCGGCGCAGTGCGCTGCGCTCCTTGCGTTTGGACGACCTCGTCGAGTACTCGCGGCGCGATCCGACGTCGCTCCAGGGCCGCTGCGGGCTGTCCGGCGACACGCTGCACTGCGTCGCTGAAATGGTGCATGCGGCTGGGGCGGCCGGGCACGGCTGGGAGCGCGTGAGTGTGAGTGGCGATAAGCGCCCTGCATGCGCGCCGAGCCACTGGGCGCTGGCGAGCCAGCAGGGCCACTACTCGCTGGGCGATACGCTGGCCCTGCTCATGTCCAGCGTGGCGCACCTGCATGTGGGCGGCCTGGAGATGGCGGCTGCGCACTTGGCGCCGCTGCACGGGTATGCACCCTCGGAGCATCCGACGCAGCGGCGCCTGCGTGCCTGGTACGCCCCGGCGACCGCGCTGCGCGACGATGCGCTGTCAGCGCTCGTGCCCTGGACGGGGGCCCTGGAGGCGGTGTCGCTGGACGACACACTCGTTACGCGTACGTTGTATGACTCACCTAGCGACCTCGATCGATGCGCTCGTTGCGGCGAACCCCGCGCTCGCGTGGATCAGCCTCTCGCAGTGCCGCGGCGTGCCTGTGCGGCAGCGGCGCCGGGTCTGGGCCCCCATGCCGTAGCCTCCACAAATCCGCCGAATTGGCTTTTCCTCGCGCCATGCCCGAGCCTGTCGCGTACGAGTACCTGTCGTGCGCGGTGAGTCGCACGCCCCACGTCTCGGACTGGGCGCGATTGCGCAGTAGCGATGGTGCAGCGACGGATGCGCTTGTATTTGGCGTGCACCACTCGTTCGCCATGTGGCTCGATCCCTGCGTACGTAGCCGCTGGACTCACGCAGTCGCCGTCGACGCAGTTGCGGCGTCTATGGCCCACACAGAGCGGCCAGGCCGTGCATGTACTCAAGGTCATCCAGACAGCCGACGCGCCGCCGAGCCTCGTGCTCGGCACGTACGAAGGCGCGTGGGAGCTGTGGCACTGGGAGCCGCACGCGCGTGGCGCTGACGTGGGCGACTGGGTGTGCGATGCGTGCGTGCCGGGTGCGCACGCGGCGCCTGTGACGGCCCTCGGCGTGCTGCGCGATGCGCAGTCCCTCGCGGCGATGGACGAGGCGCTGTTCGTCACGGGCAGCTCCGACGCCACGCTCCAGGTCTGGGGCCGCACGGCGTCAGCGGCGTTTGCACCGCAGACGATTTCCCTGCAGGGCGCCTACCCCCTGGACGTGGCGCTCGTGCGCCTCCCCGTGCCGACGCCCGTGGTGCTCATGGCCGTCGCGCTCACGGACCGGCGCCTCATGCTGTACACGCGCGAGGGCCACGGCCCCTTTGTCAAGCAGCTTGCTCTCGAGGGCCACGAAGACTGGATTCGCGCGCTCGACGCGGTGGTGGCGCCGGATCCCGCGCGCGCTGGCGCCCCGTGTGTGCTCCTCGCGTCGGCGTCGCAGGACCAGCACATTCGTCTGTGGAAGTTGCAGCCGGACGCGCCACGCACCGACGCGCCACGGCGCGACGCCTTTGAGGCGCTGGCCAGCGAGATTCTGCCGGATGACGCCGGCCTGCAGACCCAGTCGCACGCGCTCGTGCTGGAGCATGGGCGCTGGGCCATCGCCCTGGACGCGCTCCTCCTCGGCCACGACGCATGGGTGACGAGCGTCCGCTGGTGCCCCCACGACGTGGACGGCGCGCCGCGCGCCGCGCTCGTAAGCAGCTCGGTCGATAACAGCGTGATTGTGTGGATGCCGCAGTCCACGTCTGCATGGCCGACGCTGGCGGACCCTGCCGCCGCGCATGCGATGTGGCTGCCGATGCACCGCCTCGGCGACGTGGGCAGCCTTAGCGGCGGCTTTCTCGGGGCGTTGTGGCGGCCGGGCACTGCGCCGGCGATCGCCGCGCACGACCGGCAGGGCGCCTGGCACCTGTGGTGCCTCACCGAGCGGCAGTGGGTACCCCAGCCCGCCGCGTCTGGGCACGCCGGCGCCGCCACGAGCGCGGCATGGGCGCCATTCGGCGACGGATTCCTGAGCACCGGCACAGATCGCACGACGCGCTTGCACGGCACGTATTCGTCCGATGCGCAGCGCACCTGGCACGAGCTCGCTCGGCCGCAGACGCACGGGTATGCGATGCAAGCGGCCGCCTGGCTCGATCGCACCTCGTTCGTGAGTGCCGCAGACGAAAAGGTGCTGCGCGTGTTCAGTGCGCCGCAGGCATTCATCGATCGCGGCGTCGCCGGCGGCCTGTGGCAGACGCCCAGCCTCGAGGCGACCGTCGTCCTCGTCGATGTGCGCGATGCGCAGTGGCGCGCGGCGGCAGCGCTTGCGCCCGCCGTGCGTCGCGCGGTCGCGGCGCGCACCCCGCGTGTGGCCTTTCTCCTGTGTGCTGCGAGCCTGGCACACGACGCCGACGTGCGCGGCATCGAGGCGTGCCTCCAGACCCTGTACACGGAGGCCTGGGCGTGCGCTACCGCGCAGGACGACTGGCACATGGATCTGCGTGTGTATCTCGTGCCGGGCGCCTCGTCGTCCTTGTCCGCACACCGCGCGCTGCGCGAGTGGGCTGCGGCGCATGCGCCACTGCGCGCCGTGCTTCTCGTCGGCGGCGCCTGGGAGGCCGATGCGGGCGCGCCCGCCGCGCTCGCGCCGGGTCTCGCACCGGAGCGCGTCGATCCCGCGCCGACCGACCCGTCCGGCGGCGCGCCGGAAGCGGCGCCGCACGGCCGCGTGGCAGCGGTCGGTGGCACCTTTGATCACCTGCATATTGGGCACAAGCTCCTGCTGAGCATGGCCACACTATGTGCGTCGCATGAGCTCGTGGTCGGCGTCACGGCGCCGTCGATGCTCACGAAGAAGAAGCACGCCGAGTATGTGGAACCGCTGGACGTGCGGCAGGCGGCTGTGCGTGAGTTTGTGCGTGACTTTTGCACGACCCTGGCACCGATCGCACTCGACGTCGTGACCCTGCACGACGCCTGCGGCCCGGCCGGGACGCGTGCGGACATCGACGTGCTGGTGCTCACGGACGAGACAGCACAGGGCGGCACGCTCGTGGCGCAGGAGCGCGCGGCGCGCGGCCTGCCCCCCGCGGCGCCGTACGTCGTGCGACTCGTGGATGCGCATGGCCATGCGGGAGCGAGTGCCGCGACCAAGCTGGGCAGCACGGCCCTGCGTGCGCGGCTCGCAGCGCAGGGCGTGCCGCCCGGGGCGGACCGCGTTGTGCCGGCGCCGCGAGCTGCGGCGCGTGCGGCTGCCGCGCACGTCCCGCCGCTGGGCCTCTCGAACCGTGCGGTGGACGAGCCGGCAGCCGCGCCAGAGCCGCTTGTGTCGTCTGCGCCGCCGGGGCCCGAGGCGCTGCAAGCGCTGACGCTGTGGCCCGAGGTCGAGAAGCTGTATGGCCACGCGTACGAGCTGCTGTGGGTGGCCGTCGATCCACACACGCAGCTGGTGGCAAGTACCTGCAAGGCGACGACGCCGGCGCACGCGGTTGTGCGCCTGTTTGACGGGGCGGACCACTTCCGACCGCTCGCGCCGCCGCTCGAGGGGCACACGCTCTCGATTACGCGCGCGGCCTTCTCGCCGGACGGCACGTACCTCTTGACGGTGAGCCGCGACCGTTCGTGGCGCGTCTTTGTGCGGACTGCGCAGGGGTATGCCCCGTGGATCGGCGAGCGTGCGCACGCGCGGATTGTGTGGGACGGCGCGTGGGCGCCCAGCAGCGCGGAGCGCCTCTTTGCGACGGCGTCACGCGATAAGAGCGTTATGGTGTGGCGCATCGCCGACGGCCAGCGGCCGTACGAGCGGCTCGCGACGCTCGCGCTCCCGGCCGCGGCCACGTCCGTTGCATGGCATGACGCTCGCACGCTCGCTGTGGGTCTCGAGAACGGCGACGTGCGTGTGTACCGCAGCGCTGATGCGCGCGCGTGGGCCGAGCACGCGGCGCTGCCGCGGCACCACACGGGGGCCGTGCTGCAAGTTGCCTTTCGTCCTATGGGCGCGTGGATCCACGCGTTCAACGACGTGCCGGCGCAGCTGCTCTCCGCCGGTGACGACGGGTGCGTGCGGCTCGTGTCGGTGTCCCTTAGCGGCCATATCTAGCGTGAGTAGCCCGGACGTACTTCTGCAGCACCCACTCGCGGTTGTCCAGCGGGCACACGGGCCGCGTCTTGAGCCAGCGCGAGATGCAGTGGAAGTGGAAGGCGTGCTGCGTGAGTGGCGCCACGTACGTTGCAGGCACCCCATGCGACGGTGCACTCGTCAATCGTCGTCGATCCCTGGTTCGCCTGGCACTCGATGCCTGCGTCAGTGCGGCCGACGTACACAGGTCCATGATCTGGTTGCGGCAGATGGCGCACTGCGTGAGGGGACGCGACGTACATTGTCCACCTGGATGTCCCAGCTCCATAGGCACACACTGTTCCACTGGCGTCAGCGAGGCGGACCTGCCTTCTTCACCTGGAAGCGCGGCGCACCCTCGCCGGGCGCCGTGTCCACGTCCATCGCGGGCGCCGGGGTGTCGGTCATGGGGGAGTGGAGGCAGGTGGCGGTTTCCGTCGCGCGTGTGCCATGAGCTCGTCCCGCTCGGCGCCGGCGGACCTCGCGTCCTTGCGCGACCGCTCTCGCCAGGCATACCTACAGAAGCGCTCTGCCCAGCAGGTCGAGCTCCTGCGCCGTGAGATCGCCGATGAAGAGGCGTTCTTCCAGGGCGTGCGCCTATCGAAGCGTGAGGAGCGCGAGCTTGCCCACAAGCGCGAGCTCCTGCGCCTCGCCGAAGAGTACGAGGCGCTCGATGACCGCGAAGAGGGCTACGTGCTTCCCGAAGACTACCTGACCGAGCAGGGGCGCATGGACCGCGGCCGCAAGCATGACGCGCTGCATGCGCGGCGCCACGACCACGGCCGCCGCGGCCCCCGGCCGGCGGAGGGCGATGCCTTTGAAAAAGAGCAGATAGCGCGCTCGCAGCTGCTCGACGCGCCAGAGCGCGGCACGGACGGCTTCGACTTTGTGTTCGATGAGGCACAGGCCATCCAGTTCATCATGGACCACAAGGACGCGCCGCCCAGCCTCTCGGCGGAGGAGGAGGCGCTGCAGCACCAGCTGCACGAGGCGGAGGCGCGCGCAGACTCGATCGATGCGACGCGGCGTGCGCTCCCGGTGTACGCGCTGCGCGAGGAGCTGCTCGATGCGATCGCGCAGCACCAGGTCCTGATTGTCGTCGGCGAGACGGGCTCGGGCAAGACGACGCAGCTGCCACAGTTCTTGCACGAGGCCGGCTATACACGGGATGGCCAAAAGGTGGCGTGCACGCAGCCGCGCCGCGTGGCGGCGATGAGCGTCGCGGCCCGCGTCGCCGAGGAGATGGGCGTGCGGCTCGGCGCCGAGTGCGGGTACAGCATCCGCTTCGAAGACTGCACGTCCGAGTCCACGGTGCTCCAGTACATGACGGACGGCATGCTCCTGCGCGAGTTCCTCACCAACCCCGACCTCGGCTCGTATGCAGCGATCATGATCGACGAGGCACACGAGCGCACGCTCAGCACGGATATGCTGTTCGGCCTCGTCAAGGACATTGCGCGCTTTCGCCCTGATCTGAAGCTGATCATCTCGAGCGCGACGCTTGATGCGGACAAGTTCAGCGCGTTCTTCGACGACGCGCCGATCTTTTACGTGCCGGGCCGCCGCTTCCCGGTGGACATTCACTACACGCCGCAGCCCGAGGCCAACTACCTGCACGCGGCGATCACGACCGTGTTCCAGATCCACACGACGCAGCCGAAGGGCGATATCCTCGTCTTCCTTACCGGGCAGGACGAGATCGATGTGGCGATGGACAATCTGCAGGCGACGGCGCGCGCGCTCGGCAGCCGCATGGCCGAGCTGATCGTGTGTCCGATCTACGCGAACCTGCCGAGCGACCTGCAGGCGCGCATCTTCGAGCCGACGCCGCCCGGTGCGCGCAAGGTCGTGCTCGCGACGAACATTGCCGAGACTAGCATCACGATCGACGGCATCTCGTTCGTGATTGACCCCGGCTTTGTGAAGCAAAACTCGTACAATCCACGCACGGGCATGGCCGCGCTGACCGTCGTGCCGTGCTCGCGTGCGTCTGCGAATCAGCGCGCGGGGCGCGCCGGTCGCGTAGGCCCGGGCAAGTGCTTCCGGCTGTTTACCAAGTGGGCGTTCCAGAACGAGATGGACGAGAACACCGTGCCCGAGATCCAGCGCACGAACCTCGCCAACGTCGTGCTCCTGCTTAAGTCGGTGGGCGTGCACGACCTGCTGCACTTTGACTTTCTTGATCCGCCGCCGACCGATACGCTCATTCGAGCACTGGAGCTGCTGTATGCGCTGGGCGCTCTCAACGACCGGGGAGAGCTGACCAAGCTCGGGCGGCGTATGGCCGAGTTCCCGGTCGATCCGATGATGAGCAAGGCTATCCTCGCGAGCGAAGAGTACCATTGCACGGAGGAAGTGCTCTCGATTGTGTCAATGCTTGCGGAGAGCAGCTCGCTGTTTATACGGCCCAAAGACAAGAAACTCGAGGCAGATCGCGCGCGGCAGGCGTTTGTGCGGCCGGGCGGCGACCCCCTGATGCTCCTGCACATCTGGGACCTGTGGGTCGAGAGTGGGTACAGCCAGGTATTCTGCCTGGACAACTTTTTGCAGCCCAAGACGCTGGGGCGTGTGCGCGACGTGCGCGACCAGCTGCGGCGCCTGTGCGAGCGCGTGGAACTGGTGCCCGAGTCACTGCCCGACACGACGGACCTCTCTGGCGTGCAGATCGCGCTGACCGCCGGCTACTTCATGAACACGGCCGTGCTCCAGCGAGGCGGCGAGACGTACCGCAGCATCAAGCAAAACACGTCCGTGTACGTGCATCCGTCCTCGAGCCTGTACAAGCATGTGCCGCCGCCGCGCTACCTGTGCTACTACGAGCTCGTCGAGACGTCCAAGCACTTTATGCGGCAGGTTATGGAGATCCGCCCCGCGTGGCTCTCGCTCGTGGCGCCTCACTACTTCTCCGCAGACGATGTGCGTGACGACACACAGCAGAAGCGCATGCGGCGCAGCGCAGGCGCGCCGCCTTCGGCGCACCGGCGTGAGACGGAGGCGTAGCTAGGCGCTATCTGACAGTTCACTGAGCGGCGAGTCGTCATCGGCCGTCGCTGGTGCGCGGGTCCTACGCCGCTTGGCGCGTGGCTTGGGCGCGCTTGGCGCAGGGCGCGGGCGGTTGCCTCGCCGTGTCCCGGGCGGGAGAAGCCACCCCACGTGAAAGTACTTGAACGAGTCGTGGCTAGACAGCGACGCGAGCTCACGCGGCTCCGACGTGTCGTCAGGCTTGGTCGTCTCGGTCGGCGCTGCATGCCGGGCGCTCCGGCGCGTCGGCGCCGCAGGCGGCTTGGCCGGACGCGACGGCCGCGGCGCAGCTGGCGGCGCAGGCGCATCTACCACGTACCACTGGTGCAAGAATGCACCGAGGGTGCTGGTATCGGCTGACGGCGCACCGACGGGCACGCCATGCACAGGGGCTTCGTACGGCGCTCGGAGCGCGCGCCACACGTGGTCCGGCGGCTCGAGGCTATGCGGCGCTTCGGTTGCGTGACACGCCTCGGCGGCGTCGGCACATATCCGCGGGAGCTGCTGGAGGATTTTCGCCGCGGCGCGGTGCACGGCCGAGTCAGGCGCATTGTACTGCTGCGCATTTGCGCACACGAGGTGCACGTCGGCCTCCCAATCCGCGACGCCCGAGTAGGCCATCGTGTCGATCTTAGCGCGAATCTGGCACCATGTCATAGGGCGCTCAATCACGTCGTAATAATCGGGCACGTCGGCCTTGGAAACGGGGTACAAAAACCACTGGTCTTTGTCGAGCCTGTGTGAGCGGTGCATACATACGCTTCGACGCGATCGAGCGCGCGGTGCAGCTGCGTCGACCTCTGCAAGAGGCCCTGGCGCACGAAAACGGCCTCAAACAGCTGGCCCTGTCGCAGCTTGGTCTTCTCGCGCTTGCGCACAAGATCCACGAGGAGGCGCACCTTTTCGAGATCCTCACGCAGGCGGAACAGGTATTGCAGCTTGGCCAGCGTGAGGGCCGGCGTGGGCTCACCGACAAAGTGGCCCACGGTCCACGGCTCCATGTGCAGCCGCTTGAGCAGCGGCGCACCACGCATCTGCTGCCGCTTCAAGCTCCAGTAGCGCACCATTTGGCCCACTGTTTGGGGCTTGCGCCGGATCGGAAGGCGTGCGGCGTACTCGAGGACACGGCGCACCAGGTAGTGCGGCACAGGTAGCGGCCCTGACGAATATAACTTGTGGTATGCTCGCGCACTCTTGGACGCCAGCGACTCGTGGCTGGGCCGCTGCAGGGACACGGTCATCTCGCTCGTCGACACGTCCGACGCACTCTCGTCGTCGTCCTCGCCGCGGATGCGTGTATGCAGCTCGGCCTTTTGCTGGGGCGGCAGATGGTGGTGGCAGTATGCCTCGAGTATATCGCCCATGTCCTCGCCTGCCTGCTCCTCGGAGCGCCGGCGCGGCGGGAGCAAGAGGCCGGCGCGCCGCGCGCACATGACATGGAACGCTGTAAAGCACGAGCGGTGCTCACACTGGATGCACGCGCCACTCCGGCGCTGGCACAGGTAGCACCGCAGGCGCCACCGCGCCTTCGGGATCGCGGGCACCCCGTCGATCGGCTCCATGTACACGGTATTACCCACGCCCGTCTCGGGGATCCACATGGCACACAGCAGGTGTGCCCAAGCCCCCTCCGTTGTTTGCTTGAAGGCGCCGCCCTCGTGGGGGCACAGAACGCACGATACCGGACGATCTGGGGACACAGTGCACTTGCGGCATAGCCACTGACCCTCAGGGATATATGGCACGCCGTAGCACTCCTGGTGCACGGCCAAGTTGCAGCCGTCGCAGAATACGATCGCATTGAGGTTCTCGCAGTCGCTGTCATTGCAGATGGCGCAGTTCGAGTCCTCAGGATAATCTTCGTCACTAGCATCCTGCGCAAGGCGCGACGGAATACGCTTGATCAGCTGGAACCACTCCTTCTCGAAGCGGTCCATGATGATCTCGAACGCCTCGTAGCTGATCACATCAAGCTGCTCGCGCCTTCGCTCCACATTGAGCGCGTCAAGCCACTGCTGATCCTGCTCATCCATGTCGTACTCGACCTGCTTATCAAATTCGTCCTCGGTCGGCTCAATGTAGTGGACTAGATGGCGCGGCAGCTCATAGTGCGTGTCCGCATGGTAGCCATACTGCGCCATTTGCGCATCGTGCACGCATGCCGCCTGCGCTTGCGCTTCTTCCTCCTCAGAGATGCGCCGGAACGATGGCCTGAGGCGCTCCGCCCCGCGCCGCGCTTCAGACAGCTGCCTCGCGGGGTCCTTCATGCAGCCACGCCCTGATCCACCGCGCGTGGCGCGAGCGTGCTCTCCACGTCGACGCGCCCTGTCACGTGGAGCAGGCCAATCAGTGCAGCCTTCACGCGTCGCTTTGGCTCCGCCAGCGCCATGTCCCCACTGCGTCGCAGTTCGCGGCGCGGGTCGTCGCCAGCGTCTCCTGCACGCGAGCGATCGCAGCGCAAGGCGGCGCGGGGCGCCTTTTACACGCAGTACTTTGAAGAAGGCGAGCTCGGCGAGGTTCGTGTGCGCCACTCACCGCAGGAGGAAGACACGTACGAGGCGCCGCACGATGCCACCGACGACGACAGTCAGGACCCTACGGCGGAGCCAAGGCGGATGCATGTAACGCGCAGTGGTCGCCGAACCACGAGCTATGGCACGCGGGCGTGGGGCGACGACGACGAGCCGACTGATAAGGTCGTCCGTCCCCGCCGCTCGACGCGCGTCAGCAAAAGTCTTCGCGACTTTGTCGCGTCTGACGATGAGGAGGAAGATGAAAACGCTGACTACGAGGAAACCATGCGTGCGCGACGCGTTGTCGAGCGTGCTGAGCGTGCACAGCGGCGACAGAACCTCATGGATCTCGCTGCATCGCGCTCCGCACGACGCACCGGCGCGGATGCGGACGAATCGAGCGACGCGCGTGCGCGCGCATCGTCGGACGAGAGCGAGGATGAGTCTGCGCCTGCCGCACGCCACCGCTCGTACAGCTTTCGCGAGCGCAAAAAGATCAACTATGCACTGGTACCGCCGCAGCCTGAGCCACTGCGCGACGGCTTTGGTCGGCGAATCCGGCGCACATCGCGCCCCAGCACGCGCGCGATCTCAGACGAGCCAGACGCCTCGCAATCCCGCTCTGGCTTTCCGAACCTGTCACTCCCTAGTTTGCCTCGCGCGACGCGCGCTGGCGCGTGGCCGAGTGTGCCGCTGAGCCTACCAGGGCAAGATTTCATGGGTGACATGGACAGCTCGGACGACGAGCCGCCGCGCACGGGCCTGGCTCCCACACAGAGTGCCCTGGACGGCCGCCTTGCCGCGCCGCTGCTAGAGAGTGGTCCGACGCCGACCTCGGGAGCCGGTGCACTTGGCTCGGCTACTGATGCGTTTGGGCGCGTGCACGAAAAGGATGCGCTTGCCGATGTCGACCCCCTGGGTGTCCGTATGGACATTGACTTCTCGCAGGTGGGTGGCCTGGAAGACCACGTGCAGCAGCTCAAGGAGATGGTCAGCCTGCCCCTCCTTTACCCTGAGGTATTCCAGCGGTTCGGCGTGACTCCGCCGCGCGGTGTTCTCTTCCATGGTCCTCCTGGTACTGGCAAAACTCTGGTGGCTCGAGCGCTCGCAGCCAGCTGCTCGACGGAGGGCCAAAAAATTTCGTTTTTTATGCGCAAAGGCGCCGACTGCTTATCCAAGTGGGTAGGCGAGGCCGAGCGTCAGCTGCGCCTCTTGTTTGAGGAGGCCAAGCGTGCACAGCCCAGTATCATTTTCTTTGACGAAATTGATGGTCTTGCGCCGGTTCGCTCCAGCAAGCAGGACCAGATCCATGCGAGTATCGTGAGCACGCTCTTGGCGCTCATGGACGGCATGGACGGGCGCGGCCAGGTGGTGGTCATTGGCGCGACGAACCGCCCCGACTCGGTGGACCCTGCGCTCCGTCGGCCGGGCCGCTTTGACCGCGAGTTCTACTTCCCTCTGCCATCGCGCGCCGCACGGCAGAGCATCCTTCAAATCCACACGCGCCACTGGGACCCGCCGCTGGACGAATCGCTAATTCATGTTTTGGTCGACGCAACACATGGATTTGGAGGCGCAGATCTTCGTGCCCTGTGTACTGAAGCCACGCTAAATGCGATCCAGCGCAGGTACCCTCAGATCTACCGAACCAACGAGCGTTTACTGCTGGCTCCAGAGACCATTCAGGTGGACGGTCGCGACTTTTTGCTGGCGCTCGAGCATATGGTTCCCTCGTCCGCTCGCTCTACGAGTGCGTCTTCGACGCCCCTCGCGCCACACCTCCATCCGTTGCTTGCGTCGTGTCTGCAGGAGTGTGAGGCGCTCTTTGCGCGGCTGCTGCCTCAGCGCACCAAACGCAAGGCCTTGGAAGAGGCCATCTACGAGGACGATGTCGCTACAGCATCGACAGACGACCACTCGGGCGCTGCACGACTAGAGCGAGAGCTGCTTCAGCAATCGTTTGTACAGGCCCAAGTGTATCGTCCTCGCTTGCTTCTTCACGGCACACCGGGTTTGGGCCAGCGCATCATCGCTGAGGCACTACTGCATTCCATCGAAGGCTTTCATGTGCTCACTATCTCGGCCGCGCAGCTACTGGGCGACGGCACACAGACGCCTGAGGCTGTCCTCTCGCAGCAGTTCCAGGAGGCTCGGCGGCTCATGCCGAGTGTCCTGTTTGTACCGGACGTGGATCGGTGGCCCAGTTTGTACTCTGAGCATCTCCATGCAATGATGGGCGCGCTCCTGCATGGTTTGCACCCACAAGACCGGATCATGCTTCTCTCGACGTCCGACACACCTGCTGCTCTCTTGCCTGCTTCGATCCGTGCGTGGTTCGGTAGCTGGCCATGGCATTCGTACGCTATGCAGCTGCCAAGCGAGGCGCAGCGCCGTGACTTTTGGCATGACGTCGCAGTGCAGGCGGCCCGACCGCCGACGCAGTTTGCTGATGCCGTCCCACGCCGGCTTCGCGTGCTTGAGGATTTGCCCAAGGCCCCTCCACGTCCGCCGCGAATGCCGACGCAACTGGAACTGCATCAGCAGGTGGAACACGACGCGCGATTGCTTGAGCACCTCAAGTTCCGTCTTGGCTCCGTGCTCGCGGAGCTGCGCAAGAAATTTAAAAAGTTTACGCGCAACGTGTGGGACGAATACAATTTGCGCACGCTCATGGAACAGTTTGAGTGGCGCCGAGAAAAAGGCAAGGTCATTATTCAGCTGCGGTACGATCGTCATCCAGCGGTGGACTCAGATGTCGAGTCGGGACACAGCGCGAGTCCCCATGCTGAGGTTCCTGCTGAGGTGCGCCACCCAGTCGAGTCAGTCATGGCCGTTGATGAGACAGGTGATGCCCCTGCAGCTTTGCCTGCCGAGGAGCCGCAAGATGCGCCTCATGATGTGGATATCGAGACAACTGAAGAGCCGACCGTTGCGACTACAGGCGATGATAATACAGACCCTGAGGACTCGACATATGTTCTTCGCGATTTTACCATTTATACCATGACACTGGACAAAATGCAAAAGCGTCTATACCACAACCAGTACCTCACATGCGATGCTTTCATGGAGGACCTTGGCAAGATTGTATCGAATACCGAAGCAGCAAGCGAGGTGGACTCGGATCGCGTATTCCGTGCACATCAAATGCAGAATTTTGCGCGGATTTTGCTAGACCAGTACGTCGATGCGCCTTTTCGTGCGGAATGTGCGGCCATGGCCACTCGTGTCCTGGCTCGAGAAGAGGAAGCACGTCGCGAGGCGGAAAAGAAAAAAGAGCTCGAAGTGCATTCACGTCGTCCCAACGGGCAACGATACAGTGCACGCATGCTAGGTGAAGAGCCTCAAGCCAGTGATCTCGTCGATGTATCAACGATTGAGCGCGCCCACAAGCGGCATCGTTCGCACTGCCCTGACGACAACGCGTCAAACAGTCCGCCTGTCATGCAGGAGCCGTCTTTGAATAAGACAGCTGCTTCCGATGGCATGCTTGTGCCTTTGATGGATCCTGCTCCTGCCGCAGTGCCTTTGCCCAGCACGCCTTGCGTACTTCTTGACGAAGCGGCCCAAGCGCAGCTTGTGGAGGCGCTCGTGCAGCGGACGGCGGACTTTACCGTTGAGCAGCTCGAGCAAACCCGTGCTGGTTGTTACGAGCGCATCCTCGCGCACCGGTCCTCTTGGAAGCGCGACACACTTGTATGTGATTTGTACGACCTTGCCCAGCAGATGCGCGACGCTGTTTGTGCGGATAACGTCGCGACTCCGTAGACCCTATACCATGTCCTGTGGAGGTGACCGATGCTGACAGAACCTTGTGGAAGGCACACGATGTGGACGTTTGGCTTGCGTCCCGCTTCTCCACATCCTTTAAAAGGCCCGACACCGTAGTTGCCACCATTTCCGCACCAACCATGGGTAAGGATTACTATAAGATTTTGGGTGTGTCGAAGACTGCGGGCGACGATGAAATCAAAAAAGGTATGTAAAGGCGACTGATGTGTAGCATACAAGAAGGCGGCTCTGAAGTGGCACCCTGACCGTAACAAGGATAACGAAGCACAAGCCAAAAAGAAGTTCCAGGACGTGGGCGAGGCCTTTGAAGTGCTTTCGGACAAAAACAAGCGCACAATATATGATCAGTACGGCGAAGACGGTCTCAAGGGTGGTGTGCCGATGCCAGAGGAAGGCGGTGCCGGCGGCTTCCCAGGCATGGGCGGCTTTAGCAGTAGCGGCAGCGGGCCAGGTGGCGCTCGCACGTTCCGCTTCTCGACCTCCGGTGGTAACCCCTTCGGTGGTGGCTTCTCTCCTTCAGATCCCAACGACATTTTCGCGCACATCTTCGGTGGAGCCAGTCCGTTCGGCATGGGCGGCATGGGCGGCATGGGAGGCATGGGTGGCATGGGAGGCATGGGAGGCATGGGAGGCATGCACGATGATATACCCGGTGGCATGCCTGGCTATACATCTTTTGGAGGTGGCTCCCGCGGAGCCGACTTTGATACCCACTCTGAGCCCAAGGTACAACCGAAGGACTTTGAAACGCCACTTATGCTTACGCTTGAAGAGCTGTACAAGGGCACGACTAAGAAACTCAAAGTTGGTCGCACTCTTGCAAATGGCCGGACTGAGGAGAAAGTGGTGAGCATCGACGTTAAGCCGGGCTGGAAGAAGGGTACGAAGGTCCGTTTCGCCGGCGCCGGCAACGAAGTGAGCCCTGGCAAGGCGCAAGACCTCGTCTTTGTAGTGGATGAGCGCTCTCATCCCCGCTTTACTCGCAATGGTGATGATCTGCGCCTTGTACAGCCACTCAAGCTTGTGGATGCTCTCGATCCACCGAAGCCCGGCACACCTGGCTCGCGCCGTAAGATTGTCACGCTAGACGGTCGCTCTATTGATGTGCCACTGCCGTCGGCGAGTTTGGGCAAGACGACTATTATGCCGGGTCGCACAACGCGCCTTGCAGGCGAAGGCATGCCTATATCGAAGGTTAAAGGCACTCGCAAGGGCGACTTGGTGGTTGAATGGAACATCGAGTTTCCTGAGCGCCTTACCGATGCGCAACGCTCCGCTTTGCGCAGTGCACTCGGCTAAGAGGCTACTTGAATCCCTCGCAGGGATGCATCCTGTAATTCTATATAGCACTAATGCTCAAATCAGCAGACGCTCGATAGCGAGCTTGATTGTCTGGATCTGGCTTTGCAGCTCACGAGCCTCGTTGGTTGTCACACTGGCGGCGACCACGGCGCGCGAAACACCACAGGCGCGGCCAAGCGCAATCTTCGAGGGCACAAATACATATGGTACATTCTTGTCTTCACAAAGGAGAGGAAGGTGGAGCACAATCTCAATAGGCTCAACGTCGGCGGCCATGATGATAAACTCACAAATACCGCGGTTGAGCGTCTTGGTGGCTTCATTGGCGCCCTTCTTCAACTGCTTGTAGTGCGACGCCTGCTGCACCAGATCAAGAATCTGGTTGGTGAGTGCAGCATCAGCGAGAGGAAAAGCCTTGGGGTTCACTTGCGATTCCGACATCGTTGACCGTTCAGAGACCTCACAGCTAGGATCACTGGTCGTGGCGACGATAATTTTCTTGCCAGCCGGTCAAAGTCCCGTTAGTCACGTGAGCACTTAGCACTGTCCCTCCACCTGTGCACAGACGCTGGGGGGAGTTGGGGCGTCATTTGCTTGTCGGACGACCCCGCAGTACTTGCCAACAACGTTTCTGCGAGACGATGTCATACATGTCGTCAATATATAGCCAAATGTTTGAAATTGTTCCAAGGCAGGGAGCAGCTTCATTTCAAGCCGGTTATCTTGGCTTAAAAGGTGCTTCATCGGTGGCACAAGGCGATGTACTGATCAAACTCGACATGGCAGCGGATGAAGTTAAGTTATATTACAAATGGTAAGCACGCACATCTTACAAAAGTGTATTGTCTTTGATAGCCACAGAGCAATTCAGAAATGCAAGCGGCCCACCGCTTGAACTGTATCGAGCAGATTTGGTTCTTTGGTCGGCTCCTGGCATATCACCGTCGAGCAAGCCACCTGCCGTATTGCCTTTTCAATTTCCATTGACCAATGATTTACCACAGTGCATCCACTCACGTACGAGTCAATTGTCCTACTCACTAAGGGCTACATTGTATCATCAACGTGGCCTTCACTTACATACCAATATTCTCTTCCATCCGCGCCGTTACACGGATGCAGATCCAACTGCTCTTTATACATACGCCAATGTGGGACCTCATTGCATGATGCCACTTGTTCATGGTGATAGTGAATATTCACTGGGTCCTTCTTACTGGTCATTTGATTCACCGATCCGAGTCTATTTTCGATTGGAGCGCAGTGTGATTCGCCTCTGTGACCCTGTTCAGATGCAGGTGCATATCCCCTCTCCTACTGAGGTGCTCGTCAAAGATAAAGGTATAAAGCTCCAAAACGTATCAGCCACCCTTGTGCGGGTTATCCAGTCACACCCCGCCGGACGAATGTACTCGGATGCGGCTCTCCTTGAGCACATGGATCATCAGCAAGTTTCTCCAACACCTTCTACAGCGTCTGATGTGTCTAGATCCATGACTGAAACTGCTCCCGCATTTGAGACATTTACGGTGACAACTAGTGGAAAGTCTTGTCGTTTTAACTCGCAACGTGCAGTTCATTTACGTTTAGCGTTGCATCCAGGCAGCGTTCTTGGTTGTTCACAACCTTCATCTAGCTCATTTGAGCCAAGTTCTACTGAACACAGCTTGGGTGGTGACCAAGTTTGCGAATCGATTTCTCAAGACACTGCATTGCATAATATACGCTTCGTCCTGACTATCCGCGTAGTTATTAGGGGGGTTCACGGTGAAAATTTGGATATGATAACACGCCGGCTTATCAAAATCTTGCCAAGTCCGCCCGTGCTACCAAGACCAATAGACAGCGAATCTGATGTGCAAGAGAAGCAGTCTTATGACAAACATGCAATGCGAGAATCACATTCCATGGTTAGCTTGTTTACCGATGCTATGGAGTATGATGGCTACGATGACACGATGACGAACCTACCAGTCATCTCTCCGGCTACTGCCATGTCAGCAATGGCTTTGGATGAAATGTCTCGCCCAGTGAATCATCACGAGGCGCTTTCAGATCAACACACGTCTATGGTAACTCGAGGGGAGGGAACCATCCCTCCTGATTACCAAAATATAACATCTTCTAACGATACGGAAAGCCTTACACTCGATGAAGAGCTGCCTGACTTTGATGAGGCATCTAGGCAGCCACCAGAGCCATTATCTATATCTTTACAGACGTGGACTGAAGCTTCCAATTTCACAAGACCACCTAACAATGATGCTATACCCTTGGAGGAGATATTGTCTCCCTCCTCTCCGTCTACGGCAAATTTGCCACCATCATACCTTGATTCTGCCAATACCTGTGATAGGGTGGTCTCTCCTTCCTCTGAGTCGATGCCGCCTGCCTATGCTCCGCCTCCTTCTAGGTCTGACCCTGTGCCTTCCTCCAGTGATACCATCTTTCCGCCCTTGTATGAAGCCTAGACATGTCTATCGATTCAGTTCACGATCCAGCAATCGCTGCAAAGTCAAGTCCTTCCACCAAATGTTTTGAGCCTGAAGGCACTGGAACATATTCTGTTCCGTGAGCATGTATTGGGCGTATATTCGATCCGAAGGTGGGGTCATATCATCTGGTGTGCTGCTTTCACGGCGCCAAACGTGAATTGCTGCAGGGTTTTTTCCTTGCAAAATACTCAACAGCTCTTCACGGTCACGCACATAGAGTCTGGGTTCCAGCAGCTCTATGATCGCCAGAGCAATGCGGAATAGTGTGGCTTCACCCTCATCCAGGAAGCTAAAGTCAGTTATGCGCCCTCACATACATAATATCCCACAGGTGTGACACAGTGTCAATTTCCAACCAGGGTACAAAGAGTGTCTGTATCCAGCCATGTAGATATTCAAGAGGTCGAATATTCATCTTGTGCAAATTGGCATAAATGTCGGGCATACGCTCAGCTAACAGGGCATTAAAGACACGGTCGTACCCGAGCAGCTCACTGGAACGGTTATCTGAATTCAAGTGACGTGTGTCCAGTTTATACATTGCTTTGAGCCACGGTTTGGACGAGATCATATTCAGCAATGCAAGTAATGCTTGTGCTGGTGACATATTCATCAATAACAATGCGGCAAGGCTTGCAGTTCCCGGTACATAGATGGAATACTTTTGATACAAGGCAGTCAAATCCGGATATGGTTGCTTTTCACGCTGTGACGCTTCGTCGGCGCGTACAAATGCGAAAGTCAGCGTCACATTCTTCAAATCTTCATACAAAGGACCTGTCCCTGCCTCAAATAATCGCAAGGAAGGCAGCGTCTGCGAAATATCGGACTCAATCTCTTCTATCCATTCCAAGGGTATCTTGCCATCAGAGAGAGCCTGCTGTACAGGCACCAACGCTTGACCGAACAAATTGTGAGAGAGCATCAAATTGTTTCCACAGGCTCGCAGCCAAATACGTCCTCGCAAAGCTGGAGGAATACCGTCCCACCACAAATCACGATATTTTGGTTCTTCCCTAGCTCGAGTCCAGCAAGGCAAAATTTCCTGATCCCATACCTGTCTAGCGTGAGCCTCTTTTTCCATTCGCTTTCGACACTCTGCCTTCCCGGATTGTATTCGCATTTTTTGCATTTTTTGCGATGCTTGCATCATGGCAGAAAAGTCAGCTAAATGCTTGGCTTCCTCTTGTCGGGGCTTCGGGGGGAGATGTAGCATCCTCGTTAAATTCGTCTTCTTGCCATCTGCGGATTCTGAGAGTCCCAAATTTGTAGTGCCGGAGGGCGACGACGTAGTGGTTTGTGAGGTAGTGTCACGATCAAACCCTTGCGATGTTTGACCACGCGAGAATATATGGAGACTGTCCAATTGTCCTGTTTGCGTGAGCGATGTGTCTGTGTCACTTGCATCATCTGGCTCGCTAGAGGACGTTTTGGTATTTTCTTGTTGTTTCTTACGAGATCTCTCCAAAGACGGACTGTCATTGATGTCAGGCGAATACCTACGTAAATCACTTTGCGCGCTCTTGCTACGCCCTGATTGTAAAAGCAATTTTGACGCAAGCGGTGTCAGTACTCGTTCGGTGTATTCCTCATGATCATCAGGCATGGGTGAGCGGACCATAATTAGTTCTCCATTTAAATCACGAATGGTCATGGTCATTCCTGGCTTCATTTGTGCATCGAAATGAACACCCTGTGGGGATGACTGAGGCTCCTTGGATAATATCAAGGGTCGTAGACGCGCGGACTTAGGGTTCTCAAGGCGACTTCTGTAACGCCCTTCTACCTTTCGAGGTAGAGCTGATGGTGTCATTGAAGCCATAGACCTGCCAGCCATAGGTGACGACTGGTATATGGAATTTCTCGGCAAGGACCCTGCTGAGCCTTGAGCAATGGTATGCAAATCAGGTGTGGATGACGACGCGATGGCATGCTGTATACCTCCATCAACAGAATGCAAATGTGAAGTGTTAGAGGGAAGGTGTGGATGAAGCGTGACTTGAGAGAGCCAACCAGACCGCAAACGGGTTCCCAGATGGCGCGCGTTGGCTGTGCGTATGATAGATTCGGGCGGGGGCTGGTCATGTAAATCAACGTCGACGAAGTCATGATCCTCAGATGATTCTGTCTCTTTAGAAGTCATCTTTTGCGGTATGTGCCACACGTCTCACTCTTAATGATCACGCGTCGACAGCCGGCAGTGGTGTGAAACGCGTCCGTTCTCGTGGCGGCGAGCGAAGCGGGGCACCTCCACAATACAGCCAAACTGTACGACCAATTTAACAAGGCTTGCAAGGATTCTAAACCGTTAGTTAGTGCCAAGAATTTGTGTCCAAACAGAAAAAAAAAATCTATCACATTGGCTACATTAAGGGAACATCTATCTATACGACGAGGAAGGGGAGCTAGTCAATGTTCTTTCCTGAACAGCAATTTAAGCGCGACCAAATACTTTGCTGGGCGCGCTTGTGGTTTGGGTCAAACGGTTCCCGCATTTTTTCGTTGCTCTCCGCTATTTGGTCATGCGCCTCAGGACCAAGGTCACCAAAACCTGCAAGCTTTTCATTCTCACCGACCATAGGACGTGGCGCACCACGCTGGCGGCGAGACTCATCTCCAGATGCCTCGTTGGTGGGCCTTTGTGAATTAGAAGCCCAGGCTTCATCATTTTCATCCTCTGCCCCTTGGCCATCCCGTTGAGGCACTTCCTCGTATTGATCTTCACCATCCATATACCTTTCCTGCGCCTGGCCCTCCGACTGCTCCGAGTAACCTTGAGCGTTTTGGACCGTGTCTCCAAACGAACCTTGATTACGAGAAAAATCATCAGCATCGACGAAAAGGTCATCTTCACTAGAAGAGGAGAAGATTGAGGCACTCGAAGAGCCAGCACCCGAACGAGGAGTCTTAACCAAGTAAGACAAATTCGAGCGAGAGTTGCTCATCTGACCATTAGACATCATCGCTGCTCCACCGGCTGCCGCAGTGGCCGCGCCAGCACCGGCGCCAGCAGCGATATTAGCATTGGCCCCTCGAGAGCCATAAGTAGGCGTCTCAGTCACATTGCGGTTTCCAGTTAAGTCCGTGCCAAACGTGTGACGACCGTCGTTGGGCGAGCGAGGCTGCGATCGAACGCCAGTGCCAGCAGCAGCTCCATAGGCTGCATTAGAATGCTGGTCTTTCCAATTTTCTTTGCTCTGGTCCTGGTGAGTGTTAAAATGTCCTTCGCGCGATGAAATGAGCTTTTGCAGGGTTGGCAATGACATCTCCTCACCGACAACATGTTTGATGATTCGTTGGTTCTTTTGCTTGTATGTCCATTCCAAAGCAAAATCATCTCGAATAATACCCGCACGATCGTACATAGAGCTTGCGAAAAAGAAGGACGAAAGCGACAAAAACGTCGCACGGACTTTAAGAGCCATAAAATGGCGTTCTTCCATTAACGCATCATCCTGGCCCTGGGAAGCAACCCAGCGGCGCGTGATCTCTTCATATGCTTTTGCCTGCTGCATATATTGAGACCAGTACTGTCGACGCTGAGGGTCTGACCGCATAAGGGCAGGTTTCTCTCCTTCACCAGTAGGGGTCCACTCCATAGCTTCGGCCAAGTCGCCACCCATGGAGCTTTCGAGGCGATCACTGGGAATCAAGTCGAGATCAGCCGGCTTGTTAGCGAATGATATCTTCGCACGGACATGGGCATCGAGCATGGGCGCCAGTGCCTTCCAAATACCTTGGAAAATCCAAGGAGCTGAATAAATATAAAGCTTGTAGAGGGTCTCGGGGTAGTACGCTTCAAGTATAGAAATAATTGTCAAGAGCGAATGCCAGTCCATATTCTTCAAACTGAAACCGGACAAGTTGAAGACGATCACAATTTTGTCCATGGGGTGCCTGACAATTCTGCGGAAGGACTCAGCACAAGAAACGACATAATTTGTCATAGTATCAGCACCCTGCTCCTTTGCAACATGTCGCTTCACATGAATATAGATAATTGGCATTAAATTATCGGTCATACCAGCAGCATAAGCCTTACATGCAGGCCCTTGTCGAGCAAAGTCCTTATCTTCAGCACTTAGTCCAACATCTCCCTTCGCCATAATGTCAATAATATTAATTTCAATGCGCCATTTAAGACACTTGCAAAGCATGGCGAATGCGCGATGAACATTCCACTGGATGTAAGTTACGTATAAATAAACAAACCTTGCGTGCACGAAGATACTTGAGTAGGATCATATCAGGGATATCTGGGCCAAAAAGGAACCATAACTGTTCGTAAAACTCATCAACACCATGTGTAGTGAAGAGGTCCTTGAGTGCACGTTGTTCTTCATGAAGTGCCTTGGCCTCTTTGCTCGCATTATCAGGCGGCCCGTGGTGAGGGTTATCAAGGTTGAAATGCCCAGCCTTGACTTTGTCAGGGTCATTCAAAATTTGAAAAATCAAATCCCAGATTTCGGAAAGCTTCTGCTTCTGACTAGAATCCAGGTTACCTGCGAGATCAGAAACCATATAACTAACCATAATTGCCTGGATCAGGTTTCACAGGCTGTGCCTGCTTGTATTCAGCCATGGTGGTCGATAGACGCCCTATGTACGGCTTCCTCAACCCCGCGTAGCAATAAGTCCAAAAAAGGTGCTGAGTCAGCACGGGCCCAAAGCGCTACTTGATTGGATGATCTCTAAAGCCTGACCAAGAAACCTGCATAATGTTGATCTACGGAGGAGCGAATATGGTCAACTTCGTATCCTAACCGGTACGTTTTTCAAGCTCCATTTCTTCGTGATATTTTGCCCCCTCTTGTAACATTACTGTGGCGAGACTGACACACAAGTACCGGAGTCGTAGCTGAGCCATTAGATCGAACCGGCCCGCTTCCTCGCCCTAGTAAGCCAATGGAAATTAATCGCGTCTATTTATAGATACCTCTGCATGCAGGCATTTCCATCGATCCAGGTTATTGCACTTTCATCCTTCCTTCATCCACTCTTAGCACATGTCATTGGTTACATTTTGTTGCCCCGCTTCCTCCGCATAAGATCTCGTGATATGTGCGATTAGATTTGTCCAATACATTCGGATCAAAATTGGTGGAGTAACATATCAGGTTGATACTTGTCTGTGGGATGAGTCTCGTGATCCACGTAGGTCCTGTCATTTGATGCAGTTTGGCCAATACGTTAGGGTCAACATATATCGAATTATAATATGTCGATTGATTGGATAAGTTTCATATCCCAGATCACATGCCGGCACATGCAACTAGTCATCTCGGCTACCTTGTCGAAAGCCTTTAAATGGTCAGGGTTTTCGGCACTCGCCAGCTTCCCTCATACTAATGTTCTTCAGTCGCATTGCTGCCCTCGCGCTTAGCGCTTTCGCAATTAGCAGCGTGAGTGCCGCTGCTATTGAGCGTCGTGCTCAGACGTCGACCACTCAGCCTGTTGATGTGCCCTACAACGTGGATATGATCTCTCAGGCAGCTGGTCTTGTTCAGCAGTCGTACTGCAAGCCTGGTAGCTACGAGGCTGGCCTGGAGGTTGGTGACTCGAAGCTGCTCTGGTCGACTGGTGATGGTAACTTCCGTCAGCGTGTCTTGATCTACCACTCTAAGAGCCTTGGTATTGCTGTTGCTTTCGAGGGTACCAACACATCGTCTCTGCTGTCGGATGCCAACGATGTTCTGTTCTGGCATGACCTCCCGAACTCGCGCTACAGCGAGTACATGCCTAACGGTATTAGGCTCATGCACGGCTTCCAGGAAGCTTACATTAAGCTTGTGGACGATGTCATGCCCGCCATCAAGAAGTACAAGAGTCAATACAATGAATCGCGTGTTACTGTGATTGGTCACTCTCTGGGTGCCGCTATTGGTCTTATTGCTTCCATGGATGTTCACTACCGTATTGATTCGGGTCTGTACAAGTCTTACCTGTTTGGTCTCCCTCGTGTTGGCAACCACGTATTCGCTGATCTGGTTGACAAGACCATTGGTCACAAGCTGCACTGGTTTGTGAGTGGTCGCGACTGGGTTCCGTCGGTGCCTCCTCGTGAGTTTGACTACCAGCACCCCTCGAACTATGTCTGGATCTACCCTGCCAACAGCACTAACTGGAAACTCTACCCTGGTCAGGAGAACGTGCATGGCTTCCCTACTGTCAGCCAAGAGTGGGGTGTGTTTGACGATCACCAGGGTGTTTACTTCCACACTCAGATTGGTGCTTCCTTGGGTCGCTGCCCGGCTACTGTCGGTCAGGACTAAATCTGCGTTGATATTTTCTCATAATTGTTGACGCGCTCCCCTTGGGTCGTGTCTTATCATAGCGAAATTTGTTGATCGGAGTTATACCTGCATGTGAAGAAGTATTACTGTGTTTGTCAGGGCACTAAACTTGTATATCAAGCTATTCACATTTTCTGTGATTCTGATAACTACGTCGCTTGCATTTACTCCACATGCTCCATACTTTCGCTCTTTATCTCTATTGCCGATTACACAGCCCGTACACAGAATAAGACTTGCCCATCCCTTATCATGACGGGAAATGTACACCTCCATATCTAAAGGTAAACATATATAAGACGGGGTATTTACAACCCCCCCCAAACTTATCATGGTTCAAGTCGTCTTTTTTGCCTTAATCATCTGCGCTGTAACTTCATTCTACTCTTCGCTGGCTGCCACTCTCAATCGACGGGCTCAATCATCTACTTCTCAGCCTGTAGAGGTTCCTTACGATCTAAAGAAGTTCTCCCAGGCAGCTGGACTTGTTCAACAATGTTATTGCACTCCTGGATCTTACCACAAGGGTCTTCAAGTGGGTGATTCGACTCTTTTATGGGGAATTGGTGACGGAAACATGGAACAACGCGCTCTTATCTATCATTCAAAGAGTCTTGGTATTGCCGTTGCGTATATGGGTACAAATGTATCTTCGCTAAAGTCCTCCTCTAACGATCTTCTCTTTCTTGGCGAACCGCCGAATGCTCGTTACAGCGAATATTTCCCTGAAGGTGTGAAGCTATTCCATGGATTTCAGCAGCCATATATCCAACTTGTTGATCGTGTCTATGATGCCATCAAACGGTTTAAAAAGGAATACAATGAAAATCGTGTTACTGTCATTGGTCATTCTCAAGGTGCTGCTATGGGTCTCATCTCGTCCGTTGACTTTGAGAATCGCTTAGAAGATGGGATTTACCGCTCATACTTATTCGGTCTGCCACGCACAGGGAACCCAACCTTTGCCGATTACGTGGATCAAACCATTGGCCATAAACTGCGTTGGGTTGTTAGTGGGGATGACTGGGTTCCTGCGGTTCCGCCTCGTTGGTTTGATTACCAACATCCATCTAACTATGTCTGGATTTACCCTGCAAATTCTACGAACTGGAAACTGTACCCTGGTCAAGAAAATGTTCATGGCTTCCCTACTGTCAAGCAAGACTATAGCAATTTTGACGACCACCAGGGTGTATATTTCCACACTCAGATTGGAACTGAGATTGGTCACTGCCCTGCTTTAGTGGGCCAGGACTAAGTATGCCCATGCTTCAAAGCTAGGGTGACAGTGTCGTTAGTGTTCTAAGACTGAGACAGGAGATTCGTGGAGATAGTACGTCGCCGGGGGGTTCGGTTCCTTCAAATTTATATCAAGGATGATTCCTTTTATGTTATTGAAATTGGTTAAAGATAATTTTTATAGAAATTTTTGAATCCTAGTACTTTAATTCTGAAGAGTGTGAAGCTGTATCTGGAATCCAAAGGTATCTTATCGACGAAGTACCATATGAGTTTCCATTATTTAGTTCTATATAACATTAAATCTATTTTTAATTTTTTCAGCCAAGGTTCAAAAGAATACACCTCTGAATAGAAGGATATGGGACGTAGCTGTCTTTATCCCTGCTAAGGTCAACTGTGCCTATCGAACCCCAGCTTGACCTTATAACGCATAATTTGTTGGGATCAATTTAAATTGGCCTGAGCCAACTGTGGAGGTAAGGCCGAGGCGCTCGGCCCGACTTTAAAGCTATCTCCCATACCATGTCGGCTCAAAAGCGTAGTGTAGCCATTCTTACGTCTGGCGGCGACTGTGCCGGAATGAATGCTGTTGTATCTACGGTTGTGAAGATGGCACTCTATCGCGGTTGCGATACTTATGTAATCCGTGAAGGGTATGAAGGTCTAGTCAAGGGGAATGATGAAGCTGAGATTGGGGATGATGATGATGTCAATGTAAAGCATCTGAACAATATGCCTCTTTCGTATAACTGTGGAGATTTCTTCCGTCTTGGTGACTTTGATGGCGGTGAGTCTTACTTGAATCACCGCTATATCGTTAAAATTGGCTGGGACGATGTGCGGGGCTGGAGTCAGATGGGCGGAACACTTATTGGAACAGCCCGTTGCCAAAAATTTCGGGAGCATGAAGGACGTCTCAAAGCTGCTTACAATTTGATTTATCACGGTATAGATTCGCTGGTTGTATGTGGTGGTGACGGCAGCTTGACAGGAGCCGATATTCTGCGTACAGAATGGCCGGAGTTGGTGAAAGAACTGCACTCTACGGGTAAAATTACGGAACAGCAGGCGAAGCGTTTCGCTCATCTTCACATGGCAGGTCTAGTTGGCTCCATTGATAACGACCTCACCAGCACGGAACTTACAATTGGCGCCTCTACGGCACTTCAGCGCATTTGTGAGTCTCTTGATGCAATTTCGAGCACAGCAAGCTCGCATAGCCGTGCATTTGTGGTTGAGGTGATGGGTCGTCATTGCGGCTGGCTTGCTCTCATGGCAGGTATTGCTTCGGGCGCCGATTATGTCTTTATTCCAGAACGACCTCCGCCAGAGGATTGGCGCCAGGACCTACGGGAAAAGCTCTTAAAGACACGAGAACAAGGAAAGCGTAAATCAATTGTGGTTTTAGCTGAGGGCGCTATTGATCGTGAGCTACAGCCAATCACATCAGATATGGTCGCTGCGGTACTTCGTGACCTTCACTTGGACACTCGTGTGACCATTTTGGGCCATACCCAGCGTGGAGGAAGTCCTGACGCCAATGACCGTATTTTAGCGACGCTTCAAGCCATTGACGCGCTTGAAGCAATTATGGAAGACGAACCGTCAAAACCATCATACATTATTGGAATCACTCAAGGTCGTGTAACGCGGTTTCCCCTCCGTGAATCGATTGCCCATAACAATCTTTTGCCGGAGGCCATTAAGGAGAAAAGATTTGATGATGCTATGAGCTTGCGCGGAAAAGAATTCCATGATGGAGTCAAAATTTTTCTGTACAATTCTATCCAAATGGATGGCAAAGCACCTAACGATGAACCCCTTACTATTGGCATCATGCATGTTGGGGCGCCGGCTGGTGGTATTAATGCGGCTGCTCGCACAGCTGTGCGTTTCTGTCTTCACCATGGACATACGCCGCTTTTAATTCAAAATGGCTTTAAAGGCTTAATCAAGGGTCAGATTTACAAAGCCGGCTGGCTGCGTGTCGACTCCTGGGCCTCTTCGGGTGGCTCCGAGCTGGGTATTAACCGCCTACTCCCTGACACGGATCTGCCTGGTGTTGCGGATCAGTTAGAGAAGAACAAGATCCAGGGTCTACTGATTATTGGAGGATTTGAAGCCTTTCAATCGATCAAGATCTTAAGTGAGTCCCGCCAAGATTTTCCACCATTCCGTATTCCTATGGTGGCACTTCCAGCAACGCTTTCAAACAACCTCCCTCTGAACGAGTACTCAGTGGGAACGTATACATCACTTAATGTCCTCTGTCGCACCTGCGACATGATCCTTCAGTCGGCCTCGTCGTCTCGCAATCGTGTGTTTGTGTTGGAAGTACAAGGAGGTCATTGTGGTTTTCTTCCTGTTATGGCAGGCCTGGCTGTGTCTGCTTCACGCATTTATACGCCTGAGAGGGGCATCACCCTTTCCCAGCTAGATGGAGACCTCAAGTTCTTGAAACGTCGGTTCAAAGCCGATCCAGAAGACTCTAATGATGGACGAATTGTCATTTGCAGTGAAAAGGCTTCGCCTGTGTACACAGCCCCCTTCATCTCAGACGTCTTCGGCAAGGAGGGTGGTGCGATCTTTGACAGCCGATACGAGCGTCTTTCTCATCAATTACAGGGTGACACACCATCACCCTTGGATCGTTTGAAAGCCTCTCGTTTGGCTGTCATATGCTGTGAATTTTTGGAGAAACATGCTGGCTCTGCCTGTGCATGGGATCCACCATCGGCCATGATTTCCATTCGTCAAGGACAAATCCATATCACGCCTATTGCTCAAATGGTAAAACATGCTGACTTTGTGTACCGTCGTGGCGATGAGCAGTGGTGGGCCCCATGCGAGCAATACGCGGATATCATTAGCGGGAGAGTCTCTATCTAGACAAGGGTCATGAAGTCAACATCGGAACTTGATCATGTTCTTTGGCTTTCTTGATTTCGCGAGCCCGCTCAAGCATAAGGCGTTGCCTTAATAGTCCCTCTTCACTCCGAGCATGCATACGTGCTTGCTCGAGATTCCTAGCAACCATAGATGTATGTTGTGCTGCTACACTCGAATCTCGAGCGCTGTATTGTTTGGCACCGTCGATTTGGATCGTAGCAATAATGCTGCCCAGAAAGAATAAAACAAAGAATATACGGTGATTGAGAGGCGCAGCCTCGCGCTGGCGCTTCGCATCTTCCGGAGTGACTTTCGTATGACCATAAAAATGATCTGAAGTAGACCGATTTTGTGCCATATGCTGCCAGGATGGACCACGACGCCGCAGCATTTCTGACCACATGTACCACTGCTCCCACTCCGCTTGCGTAGTGGGTCGAAACTGAGAGGGAGAGGACCAATGCATTCGAGGTGGTACATCTGGCGTACCCTCCCAACCTATGCAGTATTTGTCGTACATTTCTCTCTGGCGCGGATTTTTCAAAAGCTCATACGCCTTGACCACTAAGCGGAATTTTTCCAAATATTGCTCCTGTTCTTTTTTGGTCAAATTTGGATCGAGTTTGTCAGGATGAAGCTTCTTGGCGATAGTATAAAACTGAGACTTGATATCAGCAGCAGATGCAGTGGGGGAGACGCCCAGCAATTGGTATGGTGTGGATGACGTGGCTAACCGCGGGCATGTTGTGGAGAAGGAGCGAGTCGAGCCATCTCGTCCTTGACCCTGTCGAGTTAGTGGAAAAACTCGCTGAAAGGTCTTTTGGTGTCGATTAATAGTAGAAGTGGATAAAGACGTATGTCTTTGTAGCGATGCTGCATAATCCTTGCTCATGCGCATTACATCCTCAGTATTTTGACCAGGAACGTGAAATAACAAAGAGGGAAAAGAAAGTCCTCCCATCAATTCTGAGCATCCATCACGCATTGAGGATTTCCAAATATCTTCTGCCGCATTTAATCGCTCATCGTGCTCATCAAAATCAGACGATGACTCGTTTATGACCATACCGCCACCAAAGAGTTGTGACACGGAGCTAAAAGATGGGTAGTAGATAGAGTCATTGTCTTGTTCATTATCTTGCAGGGTACCGTTGTTAGTATTAGGTTTCTTCTCTTGCTTTTTCTGGGAGCGACCTTCAAATGTGGCCCGCATTCGAAGAGTTGAAGTCCAAAGCTTCCTAGTCGCGGGTGTGTATACCCATCTGAGCACACGAAACTTCGATTCGCCTACCGAAAGAAGGATAGTGGACGCCATTATCCTAGAGTAGCACAAACAAGAAAGAGTGTGCTGCGCTGCACCAACTTCGATGCGCCTAGCACAAAATTGAAATTGTGAAACGGTGGCGGTTGTGGAGAAATAGTGTCACGAGCCGCTCGGACACTTTTCTCGGTTACCGTCGTAACTACATGATCCGTGCATTACTTGGATAGAAGCAAGCCCAAGCAGATATTTACAAAGATAAAGAAAGTGCAGAAAACTTGGGTGTCTAAGATATGCACCTTTGCTCAGTTTGGGACAACGTTTGATCTAGAGCCTCGATTAACCGGTGAGAGTCTTTATCAGGACAGAAAACGTACCTTGGATTTCCATCTGAAGTGATTGAAGTGCTTCCATAGACGTTGAGTGGATTAGATCCTCCACGCGCTGTGATAGATCGTCATTCTCCTTTTGAAGTTGATCCATTCTTTGGAGAAGACGAATACCAAGGTAAGGGTTGGGTCCATCTGTGATACCTTCACGTTCTGATAAACTCGAACCCTGACCCTCCAATGCACGTAAACTTTGCTGTGCGTTAAAACAAATTGATTCAATGCGAAGTTCCAGCGCACGCTCTCGCTCCGCAAAGGCCTCGAAAACGGATTTTATATAGTCCCATGAAAAAGACTTTGCATGTTTCTCCGGAGGAGGCAATGGTAAAACTGGTCGCTTTGGCAAAGCCGGAAAGCTCTTCTGAAAACCACTCGTAGATGAAAGATGGCTCATACGCACCGAAGGAGTAACGCCGTATCGCCGCTACGGTGCTGCGATAGCATTCGGCCGATAGACTTGGATGCTACGCACAGGCTGCACGAACCGTTACCCAATTGCAGTGGCTCTGTGCTAGCATCATACCTATGTATCCCCGCATAAACCATACTATACAAAAAAGATTTTTAACGCTTTATTCAGACGAATCTGACATCCTGCCAACGGTGTGTTGGTGGTTCTTCGGGAAGCCCTTGGAACGGAGAATTCTGCAGCTCAGTAACAGTGACGGGATGTGAATAGGGATGTTCCAAATCTCTGCTCGCAAGAGCATCATTAAGTGAAAATAACAGCATACCACGGTTCCCCATTAAATAGGGACGAGGTATAGTCTCGTTCATCGCTTCGACGTCGCTAGGACCAAATGCATTTAGGTCACGCATCATCGCCTCGCGCCAGCGATCATACGCTCGCCTCACAGAGCCCAAAGGGTCCATGTCTCTCAAATGCTCAACAATTGTCCGAGGAAGCGGGTTGTCTTGCTCACTAGTGGGCTGGTTTTCAGTAGGAAGGGCCTGCAATGCCTGTTCCCTCTCCTGTCGCCGCGCCTGTTTAACGAGAGAGTGACTCTTCTTGTACATATAAATATAAGTCAAAAGGCTGTGAAGAAAAAGGATCAGGCCAAAGAGTACAATGAAACAGCAAATCAGCTTAGAATGGCTTAGCGCATTTTGTGTAGGTAAGGATATAGTATCACTCGAGTGTGATTTCGAGGCTGCTTGTTTCTTTTTCAAAGCTTCTTTCATAGCAAGGTCGATATTGCGCAAAAGTTCGAGACCATACTGAATAAGAGAGACGCCTAGACCTGCCCGGCTGCCAAGCTTTGCGGCATGCGTCGTATGCAAAAGAAAAGTGAGCACAAACCCAATAAACTGGAACGTGCCACTAATAACCATATTCCATACAAATGCAAAAATGGTTCCAATCGTCATCGTTCCAATGATCATTTCATCCACGTCTCCAACAAATGATCCATCGGGCGACCACGCCGTGTCGGAATCAGCAATTGAATTGGCACCAAAGACGGTGCTTTCCCAGTAGGTAGGAGCAGAGTCTGCGGCCGCAATTTCATAGGTTGGAGGTAATGTTTCGTCCACCTGATGTTACTCGCTAAAACATACCAGATCATCATCATCTCCTCGGTCGTGTGGATCTATGCTTTCCCGAACGCGGTCAGGCTTTGCGTTGATATTCGAAAAAACGCCATCGTGATTAATACCACCGCCCATGGGCCGTGAAGAAGATCTAGAATGATCTGTTCTCCCATTGATAGAAGTGTACTTTATACCAGGGAGCCACATACCAGATAAGCGACCGAATCGTGCCATTCCCTGCCGGATACGATCAAACACAGATATAGAGTCTGGGTATGTGACACCATCTCTTTGATGAGTCAGATCAGATTCTTCCATATCATGAGAAAATATCACAGCGTTGTCTTGCTCTGATTGTTGTTCATGATCTAAGGTGGAAGGAGGAAATAAATGCTGCCCCGAGGTGCCATCGGGGCCATCCTCCAACATTGTGGGGAGGAAGTTCGCGTAGCTGTGATCGAGCCAGGCATGTTGCTGACATAATTCCCAAGATTAAATCCTAGGTATGAAATGCCCACATTGCATCTCAACTCCGATTTGCACACACTACCATGTCGAAGGTGTCGCAGCCGGAGTTGAAACGCTTTCTCGAGAAAAGAATCATTGTGAACATCCAGGGTGGTCGGAAGATTCAAGGAACTTTGCGTGGATATGATCTTTTTTTAAATCTCGTTGTCGACGACGCCGTGGAACAAGTCCAAGCTGAAAACAACCAAAACCTCTGGAAGGATGGCGCCCACTGTGGTACTGTGGTACGCTGATTTTTTTATAAATTAACTTATCAGGTCGTTCGAGGAAACAGCGTGAACAGTCTGGAAGGTCTTGAAACCATTAATACGAGGTGATGTATGGAATTTGATCCCTTCCTTGACCATTTTTCTTCGGCGCCGGGCGTCGAAATCATGTATAAGCTTCCATGTAGACAGTACATGTTTCTTGCTTTCTATAATGTGTCGCCTATTAGTTGTCGCTCCCCTTACTTCACCTAGTCTAGGTGACATCTTGACAAGTTTGATCACGCCTTAGATAAGCAAGGATGAGTCACGGCATATACTACACTGTGCCTGATCCTTGGCAACCACACTATGACGACAACCAACATCCGCGAGGCTACTCCTGAAGATATACCGACAATATTACACTTTGTAAGTTATGAAATGTTGACGCACAGATCAAAGAGCTTGCTGAGTATCAGAATGCCTTGGATCAGGTGGAAGCCACCGAATTATCTGTATGAGTCTTCTATCTAACATCAGCTGCAAGAAACTTTGTTCACGAGGCCTTTTGCAAAGGCTGTGATTGCGGAGTTTGAAGGAAAGGCAGTTGGATTTGGTTTGGTACGGCTAGAGAACGCTAATACAGTACTACTATACATACTCGACGTGGACATCACGACCTACACTTTTCTTGGAAGACATATTTGTGACTTCGGAATGCCGGGGAAAAGGAGTTGGCAAACACATCTTCAAGTACATGGGTAACTTGGCCCTTCGCGAGAGGTGCGCTCGGGTCGACTGGAACGTATTAAAAACGAACCAGTACGTGATAAGAACTAACGACTGTTCTTCAATTGGATTCTATTGTAACTATTTAGGGGCACGTCTCTTAGACGAGTGGACAGGATGCCGCCTCGAAGGCAAAGAGATCGAGAGGCTCACCAAGCTTATTTGAGTGGAGATAGATCAACGCGCCACATGGCACTGAGTAGTCCGACAGTCATCATTAGGAAATGCGCGGGCTTATAGAGCGCACGGCTTTCAATCCTACAACGGTTTGGCTGTGATGGAACTCCAATCAATCCCTGGTGGAAATGGTGGCTATGAGCTTCATCAAAAGCTTCGCACAAAGGCAGTACGACTACTGCGGAAAAATAAATTTGATGAGACCATCGAGATGCTTACTGACGGCTGCATCCAGCTTCTCGACATGAACGAGGAGGGCAGTGCTTGTGACTTGGCTGAATACTTGTTGGATGTTTATGTGAAGGCCAACGTTCCCATTAACGATGAATCTCGCAGTAAGTCCTTGACTCTAATTTAGACCGCATCATTACCATTTTGAGCAAAACTAGCTCTCCGATGTGGCGCCGAAAGTCTATTGCAGCTGCTGTTAAATGGTCTGTGTCCGCGTGTCATCATCCGCTTGGAGATGAGAAATTGCGTTTGTTTCTTGCCGAATTGCTCTGTAAAGGTATGCCTGCCAATCTTATGCAGCAGGTCATCAGTACTATGAGGCCGAGAGCCACTTTATTGCAGCATGTGCCTTCAGCACTATGGCGGCCGAACCCTTTGCTAAAATGCTGCTAGAATGGAATACGAAATATGCGGCTGCTTTGTCAAACGCTGACCCTAGTGGGCCAAGCAAAGACTCGATCGAACGTGTGCTTGTAGGCACATTTGCTCTGCGAGGCTGGATTCCGTATGTGATTCGAAACATCTGACACTTTAGCATTCTTCTATTGCAAGTTCCTGAGAGTGCAAGCGCATTTCTACGCGCGTATGTGGAAGCAGCCATTGCTCAGCACCCAGCGCTACTCTTGCCGGTCAAGCCAAATCCTAGAGAATACAAATCGCCTGCGAAGGTCTCGACTTATGCGGTGGAAATTTTTATGACTGCAAACCCAGCTCTCAATCTCTCGCAACAAGCAGTGGCCCTAGTTTGTGATGTACAAAGCAAAGATGGTGCCGTGCCTGAAGAAATTCGGGTCTCATGGCAGATGCTACTTCGACAGATCGTTCAGGAAGGCATTCTCACTGGAATGGAGTCCGCTTTTGAGGTACGTGTCAATTTTCTCACGCAGCTTCTTTCGAGTCTCTCCTCTGTGTACTTTGGGATGCAGCCCCCTCGTCGCCAGATGGATGCTCTATCTAGCATGTTTTCGGGCATGTTAGGTGGCTCCAGTGCTGACTCGAAATCCGAAGATGCAAAATTCAATATCCGACAGCTTCCTAAACCTTCTGAGCCGTCGAGCAAGAAGACAGCAGGAACAAATTCCGAGTCGGCGCCTAGCACAAGCGAAGCAGATCAGCTGGTGGACGACGAAATGGACTAGGTAGGCAATTTTAATTAGTCAGCAAAGAACCTGGTTGCTCTCGGGTTGGAGCGATTGGTTTTCATCTCCGACGCCACGAACGACACGAGCGCTAACGTGCTCGTTGATTCGTACCCTTCTGACTTGTTGATATAGTTCAACTTGGCAGATATGGTGGGAGTTCCCCCGCCTGGTTACGCCGGTGTGACAAGTGGTGCACCCCCTGGGTTTTTGCCACCACCGCCTGGCGAACCTAAATTGATGACACCAGAAGAACTCGCAGCCAAAGCTCGCAAGTGGAAACAGACACAAAGCCGAAAATATGGTGACCGTCGTGGGAGGACAGCGTTTGTTGATACAGGGAAGCAGGAGCTGCCCCCCGAACATGTTAGAAAAATTATCAAAGACCACGGTGATATGAGCAACCGTAAGTATCGCGCTGAGAAGCGTGTGCATTTGGGTGCGCTCAAATATGTGCCACATGCTATGATGAAGCTGCTTGAGAACATCCCCATGCCTTGGGAACAGGTCCGCGAAGTGCCTGTGTTGTATCATATTACAGGTGCCATCACGTTTGTAAATGATGTCCCCAAAGTCGTGGAACCTATTTACCATGCGCAGTGGGCGAGTATGTGGCTTGCTATGCGGAGAGAGAAGCGTGATCGTCGACATTTCAAGCGTATGCGTTTTCCACCGTTCGATGACGAGGAGCCGCCCATTGACTACGGTGACAACATTTTGGACGTGGAACCATTAGAGGCCATCCAGCTCGAGCTTGACGATGAAGAGGATTCACCCATAATTGATTGGTTCTATGACCATAAACCATTAGTGAAAGATCGTGAGTGCATCAATGGACCATCGTACCGATTCTGGACACTGGACCTGCCCAAAATGGCCGCACTTTACCGCCTGGGACGTACACTGCAGAGTGACTTCACGACTGGTGACCGGAACTACTTTTATCTCTTTGATCTCAAGTCCTTCTACACGGCCAAGTCGTTGAATGTGGCCATCCCTGGAGGTCCCAAGTTTGAGCCTCTGTACAAAGATATGAATGACTACGATGACGACTGGAATGAGTTTAATGATATAAGAAAAGTGATCATTCGCCATCAAATTCGCACCGAATACAAAGTAGCTTTTCCTCACCTCTACAACAGCCGTCCACGATCCGTCTACATGGGAACCTATCATGAACCCAAGAACGTCTACGTGCGGACAGATGACCCTGATCTTCCCGCCTTCTATTTTGATCCGTCGCTTCACCCTATGTCGAGCCGCACCTTAAATCATGGACATCTGTTCCGTGACCACTACAATGATGGTGAACCCGTCATCCCACACGAAGACAGCGTGTTTGGAGTGGGTGTCAGTGGCGACGATCAGCTTCCTGAGGAAGAGGCCTTTGTACTCCCACAAGGCCTCGAACCGTTTTTGGATGAAGCCCCTCTTGAAAATGAGCTGACAGCGGATGGCATTGCTTTATGGTGGGCGCCACCGCCGTATCATCGTCGAAGTGGAGCAACACGACGAGCTGTTGACGTCCCGCTCATCAAGGCGTGGTACCTAGAACACTGCCCTCCCGGTCAGCCCGTCAAGGTGCGGGTCAGTTACCAAAAACTTCTAAAGAAATATGTGCATAACACTTTGCACACGCGACCCCACAAAGCGCAGTCCAAAAAATACCTGTTCCGTCAGCTCAAGGCAACCAAATTTTTCCAGACGACCCATCTCGACTGGCTCGAGGCGGGTCTGCAGGTTGTACGACAGAGCTTCAACATGCTAAACCTGTTGATTCATCGTAAGGCACTCACTTACTTGCACTTGGACTACAATATGAACTTGAAGCCAGTCAAGACACTGACCACAAAGGAGCGGAAAAAATCGCGTTTTGGTAATGCGTTCCACCTTGTACGAGAGATGGCGCGTTTGACCAAGCTAATTGTTGATGCACATGTTCAGTTCCGGCTTGGCAACTGCGACGCCTTCCAGCTTGCTGATGGTCTGCAGTATTTGCTCAATCATGTGGGTCAACTGACAGGTATTTATCGGTACAAATACAAGGTCATGCACCAAATCCGCACCTGTAAAGACTTGAAGCATGTGATTTACTACCGTTTCAATTCTGGTCCCGTCGGCAAAGGGCCAGGTGTTGGGTTTTGGGGTCCGTCATGGCGTGTGTGGATCTTCTTCATGCGCGGTATCACACCACTGCTTGAACGTTGGCTTGGAAACTTGCTTGCTCGTCAGTTTGAAGGACGTAATGGACGCTCAGGAGGCAAGTCAGTGACCAAACAGCGTGTTGAGTCGCACTTTGACTTGGAGTTGCGCGCTGCCGTCATGCACGATTTGCTTGACATGATGCCTGAAGGCATTAAGCAGAACAAGAGCAAGACCATTCTGCAGCATTTAACAGAAGCGTGGCGCTGCTGGAAAGCCAATGTGCCTTGGAAAGTTCCAGGTATGCCGACAGCGATTGAAAATGTCATCCTTCGATATGTGAAGTCTAAGGCAGATTGGTGGACATCCGTCGCGCACTACAACCGTGAGCGAATTCGCCGTGGTGCGACGGTGGACAAGACGGTGAGCAGGAAGAACCTGGGTCGTCTAACGCGTTTGTACTTGAAGGCTGAACAGGAACGCCAGAATGCATACCTGAAAGATGGCCCGTATATCACATCCGAGTCGGCCGTGGCCATTTATACGTCGACAGTGCACTGGCTCGAGAGTCGCAAATTTCAACCCATTCCCTTTCCGTCGCTCAACTTTAAACATGACACCAAACTGCTGGTGCTTGCACTAGAGAAGTTGAAAGAAGCCTACAGTGTGCAAGCTCGACTGAACCAGACACAGCGTGAGGAGCTGGCACTAATTGAGCAGGCCTTTGACAATCCGCATGAGACCCTGGCCCGCATCAAACGTCTCATGTTGACCCAGCGTGCCTTTAAGGAGGTGGGACTGGAGTTTTTTGACACATTTGCCAAGCTGGTACCTACGTATGACATTGAGCCCATCGAAAAGATCACGGATGCCTATCTGGATCAGTATTTGGCCTATGAGGCGGACAAGCGTGCACTGTTCCCTGCCTGGATCAAGCCCAGCGATCAGGAGCCACCGCCTTTACTCGTGTACAAGTGGTGCAATGGTGTGAACAACCTGACGGATATCTGGGACACCTCCAACGGCGAGTGTAATGTTTTAATGGAAACGACCTTGTCAAAGGTTTTCGACAAGGTTGATATAACGCTGCTCAACCGTCTATTGCGCCTGATTATGGACCACAATTTGGCTGACTACATCACGGCCAAGAACAATGTGTCGATTGTATGGAAGGACATGGCCCATGTCAACTCGTACGGTCTTCTCCGTGGACTTCAGTTTTCTGGCTTTGTGTTCCAGTACTACGGCATGATTCTGGATCTGCTCATTCTAGGTCTACGCCGCGCCAGTGATATGGCCGGTTCGCCCAAGATGCCCAACGGCTTCTTGCAGTTCGAAAGTACGGAGATCGAGACCCGTCACCCGGTACGTATGTACATGAGATACGTCGACCGTGTACACATTGTCTATCGTTTCACGGCGGATGAGGCTCGCGACCTTATCCAGCGGTACTTGAGCGCAAACCCCGATCCAAACAACAGCAATTTGATTGGGTATAACAACAAAAAATGTTGGCCCCGTGACTGTCGCATGCGCCTGAACAAGCACGACGTGAACCTGGGCCGCGCAGTGTTCTGGACTGTGAAGAACTCGTTGCCACGCAGCTTAACCACGATCGAGTGGGACGACACGTTCGTGAGTGTATACAGCAAGGACAACCCGAACCTGCTATTCGCTATGCAGGGCTTCGAGGTACGCATTTTGCCCAAGATTCGCCAGAGTGATATGGGCGATCAGCGCGACGGTGTCTGGTCATTAGTGCACGCAGGCACCGGTGAGCGTAGTGCGCAGGCCTATCTTCGTGTCTCGGATGAATCCATTGCCAGTTTCCACAACCGTGTACGGCAAGTGCTCATGGCCGCTGGCTCCGCGCCGTTTGCCAAGATTGTGAATAAATGGAACACGTCGCTGATTGGACTCATGACCTACTATCGTGAAGCGGTGATTCACACAAACGAGCTGCTCGATTTGCTAGTGAAGTGTGAAAACAAAGTCCAGACGCGAGTGAAGATTGGTCTGAACAGTAAGATGCCTTCCCGTTTCCCGCCCGTGGTCTTCTACTCGCCGAAAGAGCTGGGCGGTCTCGGCATGTTGTCGATGGGTCATGTTCTCATCCCACAGTCTGATCTGCGCTGGTCTAAGCAGACGGAGACAGGTATTTCGCATTTCCGTTCGGGCATGAGTCACGACGAGGACCAACTAATTCCCAACTTATACCGGTACATCCAGAGCTGGGAGTCTGAGTTCCTGGACTCGTCGCGAGTATGGTCCGAGTATGCTACCAAGCGTCGTGAAGCTACGGCCCAGAACCGGCGTCTGACGTTAGAGGATCTGGAGGACTCGTGGGACCGTGGTATTCCACGCATCAATACGTTGTTCCAGAAGGATCGGACGATCTTGTCGTACGATAAAATGTGGCGTCTGCGGAATGAATTCAAGCAGTACCAGCTTCTCAAGTACAATCCTTTCTGGTGGACATCGCAGCGGCACGATGGCAAGTTGTGGCAGCTGAATCAGTACCGTACTGATATTATCGCTGCATTGGGTGGTGTAGAAGGCTGTCTGGAGCACACGCTATTTAAGGGCTGCAACTTCCCTACATGGGAAGGTTTGTTTTGGGAGAAGGCCTCTGGATTTGAGGACCAGATGAAGCACAAGAAGCTGACCAATGCGCAACGCTCCGGTCTGTCGCAGATTCCCAACCGGCGCTTTACGTTGTGGTGGAGTCCGACAATCAACCGTGCGAACGTGTATGTCGGTTTCCAGGTGCAGCTGGATTTGACGGGTATTTTTATGCACGGCAAGATTCCCACCCTCAAAATTTCGCTGATCCAGCTGTTCCGAGCGCACTTGTGGCAGAAGATCCACGAGAGTGTTGTTATGGACTTGTGCCAAGTGTTTGACCAGGAACTAGAGGCGCTGCAGATCGAGACGGTCCAGAAGGAGACCATCCACCCTCGTAAATCGTACCGCATGAACGCGTCGTGTGCAGATATTGTGCTGTTTGCATCGTACAAGTGGCCCATGTCGAATCCATCGCTCCTGACCGATTCGCGTGATGTCATGGGCGGCGCAAGTGGCTCTAAGTGGTGGATCGACGTGCAGCTGCGATGGGGTGACTTTGACTCTCACGACATTGAGCGCTACTGCCGTGCCAAGTATCTGGACTACACCACGGACAACACTTCGATTTACCCGTCGCCCAGTGGTGTGCTGATCGGTATTGACCTGGCCTACAGCATGCATAGCGCGTACGGGTCGTACATCCCCGGTGCGAAGCCCCTGCTGCAGCAGGCCATGGCCAAGATCATGAAAGCGAATCCGGCGTTGTATGTGCTCCGTGAGCGTATCCGCAAGGGTCTGCAGCTGTACAGTTCGGAGCCGACAGAACCTTACCTCAACTCGGGTAACTATGCGGAGCTGTTCAGCAACCAAGTGATCTGGATGATTGATGACACGAATGTGTACCGTGTCACCATTCACCGTACGTTTGAGGGCAATTTGGTCACGAAGCCTATCAACGGTGCCATCTTTATCCTAAACCCCCGCACAGGTCAATTGTTCCTCAAGGTCATTCATACGTCCGTCTGGGCTGGTCAAAAGCGACTCGGCCAGCTGGCCAAGTGGAAGACAGCAGAAGAGGTGGCTGCGCTTGTGCGCTCGCTGCCAGTCGAAGAGCAGCCCAAGCAGGTGATTGTCACGCGAAAGGGTATGCTGGATCCGCTTGAGGTCCATCTGCTTGACTTCCCGAACATTGTGATTAAGGGCTCGCAGCTACAGTTGCCGTTCCAGGCCTGTATGAAGCTTGAGAAGATTGGCGACCTGATTCTGCGTGCGACGCAGCCGCAGATGGTGCTGTACTCCCTGTATGATGACTGGCTGAAGAGTATCTCGTCGTATACAGCCTTCTCGCGCTGCATCCTTCTTCTACGTGCGCTGCACGTCAATACGGAGAAAACGAAGGTCATTTTGCGGCCTACGATCAATACCATCACTCAGCCGCATCATATTTGGCCGTCTTTCTCTGATGAGGAATGGATCAAGGTTGAGATTGCGCTGCGCGACCTTATCCTACAGGACTATGGACGGCGCAACCAAGTGGCGGTGGCCAGTCTTACGTCGAGCGAGATCCGTGATATCATTCTGGGCATGGAGATCTCGGCGCCGTCGACGCAACGGCAGCAGATGGCCGAGATTGACCAGAACCAGCCCCAACAGCAGGTCACGGCGACGCAAACGCGCACGGTTAATGTGCATGGCGACGAGATCCAGACGGTCACTACGACGCAGTACGAAAACCAGCAATTTAGCTCGAAGAGTGACTGGCGTGTGCGGGCACTTAGCGCGACGAACTTGCCGCTTCGGTGCCAGCACTTGTATGTGTCGAATGATGACGTGCGCGAGGATGCGGGAGCACTCACCTACGTGATCCCGAAGAACATACTCAAGACCTTTATCGTCACCAGCGACCTGCGCACGCAGGTTGCTGGTTTCTTGTACGGTTCTTCGCCGCCTGACATGCCTGCGGTGAAGGAGATCCAGTTGATTGTGTGGGTCCCGCAGCGTGGCAGTAACACTGGTGTCGAACTTCCCGATGCGCTTCCAACGCATGAGTACATGCTGAAGGACTTGGAGCCACTAGGGTGGATCAAGACGCAGTCCCAGGACCTTCCGCATCTGGCGCCGAGCGACGTTGCGATGCATGCCCGGATGATGGCAGCGCACCCTGAGTGGGGCGCGAGCAGCATTTGCATCACGTGTGCCTTCACGCCTGGCTCGGTAAGTCTCGCGGCGCATTCGCTTAGTGTGGCGGGCTTTGAATGGGGTCGCAAGGCGTCGGCTGCGGATGCCTTGGGACCAGCGCCGGGCTTCCATCGCGGAATGGTTGACAAGGCTCAGCTGCTGCTTAGTGATCGAATTCTGGGCACCACGTTGGTGCCAACAGATGGTGCGTGGAACTACGGCTTGTCGCTGTCGGCGCAGTGGACGCCGCACTTCCAGTACACACTCCAACTTGCTCCACCAGCGGCCTTCTGGGACGAGGTGCACCGCCCCCAGAACTTCCTTTCGTTTGCGGGGGCCCTGGCCGACGAAGAAAATGCGGCTGATTGGCAGAATGCCCTCGCCTAACACTTGTAGGACCTATGTACGCGGCAAATACATGACCTCGACACCTAAGGTCGAGCTTGCAGGCGTCGGGAGCTGCGACCGCAAGCCCACCGACACGAGACAACGGTGCCAGTACCCTTCCCAGAGCAGCGAAAAGAGGCCCGAGGCACTGAGGCGCGCCTTGAGAGCGCCCATGCGCGCTGACGAGCCATTGGCCCCCGGCTCCTCCGACTCAGTCACGCCATCGCGCGCTACGCGCCGGGTTTGCGATGAGAGAGAGGGCAGGCCATCCAGGTTTATGTCTGTTGCACGCAGAACTGGTGCGGCTGCTGGTGTCACTGTAGCCTCAGAACCGGAACGGGTCAACGGAGACGCGGCCGCCTCTGGCGCCGGCGGCGTTTCGCGCAGCGAGATGGACGTATTGCCTGGCGGTGAGGCCCATACACCGAGGCGCTCACGCATAGTGCCGGATGGCCCGTCGGTGCTTTCCTCGTCGCCAATCCGCCGTAACTTGTATTCCACGCCCACAGCCCAGTCTGATTGGTAGGAATAGACGTTAAAGTCGTAGCGTGCGCATAGGAGAAGATCATCGTCGATACGCGCCGCATAAGCCGCGCGCAGGTATCCCATCATCGGGTTAAGTGTCATGGATGCCACGGCCGGACGCGCCGGGGCGGCCCAGCCAAGGGCAGAAGCGCCGCCGTTGGGCATGGAGCACCGCAAACCGACCGACACACCCGCGCTTTTTTCTGCAATGCTGAAAAAAGCCTCACCACCTGCACGCAGAGTGCTTCCGTCGCGGAGCTGGTGGACATGCTGAAGGAAGCGAGCGCCCCAAAGAGCCTCGTCCAGAGAGTAGCTGTATTCAGACATGCGCGTAGCACTCTGCCGCTGCAGGGTAAGCAATAGGTGCGTTGTGCCGGGCGGGTCGATAGCATAGTCAGGGTCGGTCACATTTGAACCACGAGGAGGGAGGAGGCCGAGCCAGCGGCCCAGTGGATCCAAGGGGTATCGTGGCGCTCGTGAAAGTGCCGTGGCCATAAGCTGCCAGCGCGGAGACAAGCGGGTAACCCATAGGCCCTCCATGTAACCCATGGGAGCATGAATGCAGCCATACAAGAGCTCATCGCGCAGTGCCTGCGTTGGTACTGGCGGTAACGTAGGCGGTGTATCAGGCTCGAGAAAGGTGCCAGCACGGGTCAGGCGCTTGAGAGGGTCGTGGACGCACGCAAGATGTACAGGCGCGCGGCTCGACACATGCGCATATCCCAGGGATCCGCTCAGTGGCGCTGTATGTGCGCGTGCGCAGGCCAGGAAAGACGGCGTGGAAACACTGGCGCCCGAGAGTAGGACGCCATGAGGTACCGCAAAGTCCAGCAGCACTGAGTCAGGTCAAGCGGCACGCACCATCGCTGGCCGTCATCAAATGAAGATAGGACATTTGCTCCTGCCATCCTGTGGCTTGCCAGTACTCACGCAGCAGCACGGTGGCAGCATCGTACATGTTGACGCGCCCGCTCGTGGCAGCTGAGCAAACCGGGGATGAAAGTGGAGGGAGACGAATCGGTCGACGACTATAGACAGAGCGCTACGCACCAAAGATGTGCTCGATTTCGTCGATGCCGCCAGGCTGTGGAGATGGGAGTGGCTCTTCGGGAATAAGGACGTCGGGAGTAATGTTCCATACCGGGGAGACGCTGTCGTCCGCATTATCCTTACCGGATTCGTCGTTGTGCTCCATAGACAGCGCATCCTCAACTAGGTCTTCCATGTTCCAGTGTAGTGGGGGACGCATGGCACTAGGACTCGAATTGACGCGCCGACGCTCATTGTCTGATACGGCAGGTGTGCTCCACGACACATTGCGGATGTGCTTTGGCCGCCCTGGGGTGCCGCCCAAGGTGTGTGCTTTGGTCGACGGCACAGGCATGATGCCTGGCGAGCGAGACAAGACATCCATTTCACGGGGACTGAGGTGCTCCCAGTCGCTGCGCCCATCTTCAGGCGTTTCTGCACCCGCGCTGGACGGAGGCGTCGGGTCCGTCGAAGGCGTCTCAAGTGACTCGAGCGGCACTGCAAACATTTCCTGCAGCATGTCCTCGTACATATCCAGGTAGCCGTCGACGCCCATATTGTTGATGTAGCGCCCAGGTGTTGAGGAAGCGGCGCTTTTCCGTTCTGCAGGGAAAGCATCGCGCTCAAAGGCATCGCGCTCAGTCTCAGTGGATGGCTTAGGCGCAGCACTCTCTGCGCTCGATCCTGCGACCGGAGCGAGGAACTGATACTGGGTCCGATTGTAGTACTGGATCAGCGTACGGATCGTCTGCTCTCCACTCAGCGACGCTTCCACCTCTGCGTCCAAGTCGCCGCCGCCAGTCCACTCATCCCGCAAGTGCGGCCGGCAGCGGAGGTAGATTTGCGTGATAATACTCATATTGGACTGCCGCCATTTGCGGCCGCAGTACGGAATCTGGCACTTGAGAATCTTGAGCACATACAGTTCCAGACCATCGTGGGGAACGCTGAGAACGCGCTTCAAAATCGCCGAGCTCTTGTACTGCACCAGTAGGAGAATCCGATGTACCTTCCCCTTGCATACCTGGTACAAAATGCGCGTAAGATTCACAGTGGTGGCCATGTTTCGCCAAGAGTAGGCTTGCTGCGGAATATCACGCTCTTGCGTGTGCCGAAGTCGCGGGAGGTCGTTGGGGTAGGCCTCCCATACACGGCCGATGCGTAAGTCTGTTCCTTCCAGGATCGACTGTGGTGTGGCCGTCGAGTTGTAGTGGCCCACGACGCGGCAATACTCAAAGAACCCGAAGGGGTGTGCTTCAGTGCGCCACTGTGTGGTCTGGCCGACCTCCTGGAGGCCAAACAACTTGAGAATGAGAAGGAGCACATTTGAGTCGAGCAGCATCTGCGAGAGATACTCGAACTTGAGAGCATGGCTGACCTTGAACCACTGCAAGCAGAGGAGGAGGACAGCGCTGATGCCCTTGTTGAGAATTTCTCTGTGGCGCACAATGTCCAAGTCTTCGAGCGTGGGTGCCGGTGCCTGTTCGGATGGTGTCCCCTCCGCTACAGCACGCATGTATGCACTGCTCGTGCCACCGGATGTGGTTGTAGCTAGCACCAGCTTAAGTAGCACGATCACGGCACTTTGCAGGGATGGAAGAAGGCCGCGGTACATGTCGTCGACCCAAGCCATACGGCGAGCATCCTCGCCCTGATCCGCCGGTGTCTCGGGCGATATATGCAATGCTGCCATAGCATCGCTCAGGGATGCCGGAGAGCCTTGCAGATCGTTCAGCAGTGACTCGCGCGTGCACCACGTTTGCCATGCGCTGGTGCTAATGTACAAATGTTCCGCGTACAGCGCGCGGGCTTCGTCAATGACTAAGGGTGTCATCAACTGCGGTGGGAGCGGCAGCACATAGGGCCGATTCTGGTCCGTCTGGAACTTTTGGCGGCCCAGTTTCACCGGGGGTGGCGCCGTCGCAGCCTTGACAGCGGCGACACGCTCTTCGTCAGCCGAGCTGGGAGGCTCTGTGGTTGCATCGCCATTCGACAGGAGCGGAAGTGCCTGTGTGGCGTACCCAATAGCCTCGCTTTCAAGGCCTCGCTTCTGCAAAGGAGCCAGCGTAGGGTACTTGGCAGCCAGCTCGGCGCGAAAGTGGCGGATATCGCTGGGCGAGGCCGAGCATTTCTTGGCAGCGGGCGTTTTCGGCGGAAGACCTTCGCGCTGCCGCATGAGCTCTTTGCACCGCACTAGCTCTTTGTGGCCTCCGAGCGTGGCTAAAACCGACTTCCAGAGCAGCAGCACGAGTTTCTTAACGGGAAACCCCTTGATGCTCTTTTCGCGCAGGTTGGCCACGAGCTCAAATAGGTATACAGGTAACGAGGGACTGAGAGCCACTGACGGTCAGTGCATGGCACGTACTTAGAGCCTCAGCTAGCATGAAATCTCCACGTAGCAGTTCGACCAGGCTGTATAGCTGGGAAAAGTGCACCGTGACTTCCATGTTCACCTCTTCCATAAGCGCTGCCTTATCTTGCGGCGTGAATACAGGGTCCTTGGAAGGACCGGCTCCCTCAGGTAAAAAGTCGGGCAGCGAGCTCAGCCAGTCGTGTCGCCAGCATGCATGTTTGCAGGCCACGAAGATATCCTCGAGACCTCCCAGCTCAAACACCATACGCGCATTCTCACGCATCCAGTAGAGCTGCTCGTCTTCGCTGCTCGTCTCGCCAAACGATCCCTGCAAGTGGTAGAGCAGGGCATGCGAAGCGCTCAGACGCGCCTCATGCGCCTGTAAGTCGAGAGAGTCCAAAAGGCGCTGCAAGAGGCGCCGCCGCACGGGCGCTGCAAGAGTGATCCATGCTGCATGTTAATCAGTAGCACGTACTTCCAGGTGGTATGTTGCTATCCATGCGCAACGTGGGCCACTTAGCCTCGGACCATTCGCGCCAGCTAGCGCAATTCTCCACGACCAGCGGGGCTTCCACGTACGAGTAGAACTCCTCCAGTTCATTCGCCACATGGTCCGCGTCGTCGTCCAGGGAAAACGCGATCTTGGGTGGTAAAGACTTGTCCTTTGTCTCTTCTTTGGTAGCCGGCGCTGCACCGACCTCCGGGGGGGCGCGTGTCGATCGCATGCGCTCGCCCGCACCGGCCATCGCGATCGTGCAGTGGCCTCCGCCCCGGCTTGGTGGTTCTCACGTGATGTAAAGCGCGAGCGTCGCTGTCGCCGCCCTCGCCCTGCCCGTGCGCCATGATGCGGCTGTTCGTCACAGTGACTTGCCTGCTGGCCATCGCCGGTGCGGCCATCGCTGCCTCGGCTACGGGACAGCGTGTGCTTGCCGTTGTGGACAAGGAGCATACGCACAGCTATGATGCGTACATAACCTCGCTTCGGCAGCGTGGCTTCGAGGTCAGCGTCCAGGTGCCTGGGGATGCGCAGGACGGCACCCTCTTTGAGTTTGGCGAGCGCAAGTTCGATCACTTGCTCTTCCTTGCGCCGGAGATCAAGCAGTTCCCCCGTGGCTTGACGACGCATACCATCGTCGAGTTTCTTCGCGAGGGCGGCAACATGCTGGCGGGTTTGTCACCGCAACTGAGTGAATCATGGCGCGACTTCGCGCGCGAGTTTGGCCTGGAATTTGGCGAACGCGGCACCATGCTCGTGGACCACCTCGGTTACGACAAGACGGTGGACACGGGCAACCATGCTGCTGTGTTGGTTGGAGGATATCGCGACCAGCTAGGGGCTGGAGGAATTGCCGACGAGGCCGGGGGCGTGTTTTCTGACGAGACGCGCGCGATCAAGGAGGCACTCGTATACCGCGGTATCGCGCACTGGGTCGGCCCGAATCCCCTTGCCTTCCCGCTCCTGCTGCCTCCGACGACGTCGTACCAGACGGACCCACCGTTGATCACAGCCTCCCCCGACGGTGCCTGGAGCGCCTCGAATGTAGGGAAGCTCGAGGCTCTCTACTCGCAGTCCGATCTGCTAACGGGCGCCGATGCGCACACGCCTGATGCGAGGGCTTCGCTGGCGACAGCCATCCAGCTGCGCGACAACTCGGCGCGCGTGGTGTTTGTTGGCAGTACGGAGCTCTTTGGTGACTTGTACAGGGACGCGGCGCGCCCGCTCCAGCGCGCCTTTGTGAATGACATTACGTCGTGGGCGTTCCAGGAGCGCGGTGTGCTGCGAGTTACGCGCACGGCGCACCAGCGCCTTCGCGCCCACGAGCACGACGTGCGTCCCGACTACGAGGAAAGCGAGCACACATCGAGCATGTATCGCATTAAGGACACAGTGTCGTACTCGATCGGAGTTACTATGTTTGATGGACAAACTTGGGGACCGGCACCTAGCGATCTCGGCCTCCAACTGTCGGCCGTGATGCTCGACCCGTATGTCACGGTGCCGCTCGTGCCTCACCGGGGGGCGAACGCGACCGTGTACGAGGCGGACCTCCGGCTCCCTGACAGGCACGGGGTGTTCACGCTGCGTGTGAACTGGAAGCGACGCGGCTGGTCGTACGTGATGGCGGACGATGTGGTGCCTGTGCGACCCTTCAACCACGACGAGTACCCCCGCATGCTTAGCAGCTCCTGGCCCTACGTGGCAGGTGCGTTCTCGACCATGCTCGGTTTTGCAGCGTTTGTCTATCTGTGGCTGACGATGCCAGCCGAAAAGCTCGCGTCCAAGACATCGTAGATTACGTCCATACCAAGGCACCTACGGAGGTGAGACACATTGGTTCGCCGGCCCACGACCAGCCGAGCGCAGGAATGTGCGACATGGCCACGTCTGCACACTGCACGCTCGCAGCATGTGCTAGCGCAGCGTCGGGCCCCTGGTCCGCACGGTAAACGAGCTTGGTATGCACGCTCCGGGCGGCGCAGGCCAGCATGCGATGTGCTTGCTCATCGAGCGAGTCGGGCGCTTCCGTCGGTGTCAGGACAGCCACGCCGCATGAGTACGGCTCTTGCGCATGGACGCGGTATGTGCAGGCCACGCCACCGCGCACCAAGGTGCCGCGCCAAGCCTCCGCGGGGGGCGCCTCTTCACCAGGCATCGAGGCGGTGAGCTGCCACTCGGCTGTGGCATGCTTGGGCAGAGCATCGCGTCCCAGGTACACACACAAAAGTGGCACATGCGCCGGGTCCGCAGCGAGCCATGCATCGTCAGGGATGGATTGTGCATGCGGATGGGCATACGGGCTCAGCGACTCCTCGAGGCCAGCGTGCCAGGCGCGTGCGACTGCCTCTGACCACGAGCAGTCGGGCTGCATGGCCAGCCAGCACACGCCGCCCTCGATGTGACCCTGCGGATCCCATTCGCGCACAGCGAGTGCAATGCGCCGCTGGTGTTGCAGGGCGAGGGCCAGCTGCAAGGAAGGGCTGGGCGGCACATCCAGGGTACATGGCTCCATACCAATTTGGCCGGCCATGTAGATGCGCCCGTGGGCGCCCACTGCCTGGGCATAGGGCCCAATGTTCGCGGGGGCCCAGTAGCTTCGGCTCTGGACGTGGAGCGAGCGGCGCTCGCTCTGAGCCGCAGGTCGACAAGCGACCGCATCGAACACGACGCCTGCGCCGTGTCCTACGGGCAACGCAATGCAAGCGCGGCTCGGCGGCGCCGCGCCGAAGTAGGTGCGGTAGACGGCATTGATCGCGGCAAAGTGGGCCTGCGAGGAGAGGTACACGTTGATATGAGCGATGTCCGTGCGCTCGAAGCCATGCGCATGCAGCGTCGAGTCGAGACGCGCAAATATGTCGCGCACGCTTTCGTCGAAAGACATGGATGAGGCAGTATCGCACAGATTGGCGATCGTGAGCCAGGAGCCCCGCGCCGCGACAGACAGCGGCGGATGCCATGGCGCCGTGGTGACAGGTGCAATATCGTTCAGTGGCGTAAGCGGCGCACTCTCAATCGCACATAGACTCGCATGCCCTAGCGGATCGAGGAGCGGCGGAGCGGCTAGCTGAGCGCGAACGACCTTGGGACCATAGTTTGGCTTGTCAACCAAGCTGGTCTGGCAGAGGCGCAGGTAGCTGACGCTTGCGAACGCAGCGTCGTGATGCATGACGACCTCGGTTTGGTCGCTGCGTAAGAAGAGACGACGTACATGGAGATGCGCTTTTGGAACAGGGGGGAATCAAGTGAGAGAGTTTCGTACTCGCCGCCCTCGCCACATACGTGCGCGCCGTACAGCTGGTGCAGCTGCTCGAGTTTGGGCGTAAGTGCACGCAGCGTCTTTCCTAGGTCCCGCTCGCCCAAGCCGATACCTGCGACTTTGATGAGGATGGCGTCGAGGCCCGAGGCGTTCATTTCGTGCAATAGAGATGTCTGGTTCCGCTGCCACAGGTACGCCAGCGGCTGTAGCTGGAGGTCGGGCCGCAGCACTACATGCTCGACTCGCACGCGCTGGTAGTTGGACAGGATGGCGCCGACACTGACGCCCTCAAGGTCCGGGTGATGGGCCTTGACCTCGCGCAGGAGGTGGTAGAGGTCTTCTGTCTCGTCATGCGCGTCATACGCAGGCGAGGTAGGATCACGCGCGCCGTATATAGCCCCCTGGTTGTTTGGCTGGCCCCGAATGCACGCTCGGTACAGCGGCAAGCCCATGGCCGCCGCGACGACATGCACGGCATCGTGGCCGACTGTCTGGTACATGTACGAGTCGATTTCGTCTGCGTAAGTGCGCTGACGTACCTTTGCCCTCAGGCGGCGCTAGCGTGGCCAGCGCCACGATTTCATGGCCCTGAAGCACACAGTGGCATAGGTTAAAGCAGCTATCCTTGCCCCCTGAGAGCAGTCCTACCACCTTCATGGCCAAAGGCACGGCGCAGCTCCACATGCAAATCGGTCGCTTTCGCGTCAACGTGGATCGCATGCTTGCACGCTGGGGGCGAAGCAGCGCCGTGCCCCTGCTGCGACGCACGCTCCCCCCCTGCGCTCTATTGCACCAAGTGCGTGCGTCTGGCGCCAAGCGTCAGAAGCGCCCGCGCCCCAAGCCCCTGGCGCCAGTGGAACTGACCACGAAGCCCCGCGTCCTGTCACCGGCGGATCTGGAGCGTCTGCAGACTGACGCCGTCGAGGCGTACGCACAGTCGCGATCGTCTATCAAGCGCCTTGAGGAATGGGGCTTCTCGCTGGTGGCCCTCAACCTGCTATGCGACAACCTCGCACGACGACAGGGGACGGCCAATGCCGCCCCCCACGCGACACCCTCGGAGGCGTGGACATGGCTGTTACGGGCTTGGGCACAGTCTCTACCCTCACACAAGCTACATACGTTTGCGTCTGTGGCTGAGCTGATGTCGGCTTATACCCAGCAAGGCAGCGACGCGCTGCACCGTGCTTGCGCACAGTCCTTCTTGTCGTGGCTACGCCAGGCCTGGCACGACCTGCGCACCCATGGCGAACTGCCTGTGACGAGCCTGAGCCATGTCCGCGAGGCCGGTGTGCATGTCGAGCTAATCCAGACCATCACGAATCTGCGTACCCCTACCCTGGCCTACGCAAATGCGCGCTCGCTCACACGCCAGATCCATTTGCACGTGGGTCCGACAAACTCGGGCAAGACGCACGGGGCGCTGGTCGCTCTGACGCGCGCACGCACTGGCCTCTACGCGGGCCCGCTGCGCCTGCTCGCGCATGAGGTGTGGGAGCGAATCAATCATGGCGCTGTGGCGGCGGATATTGCGCCGCGCGCTTGCAATTTGCGTACGGGCGAGGAGCTGCGGGTCGTCGACGAGTATGCAGGCCTTGTATCATGCACGGTGGAGATGGCTGACGTCACACGCTCATACGATGTTGCTGTGATCGATGAGATCCAGATGATTGCAGACCCCCAGCGCGGCTTTGCGTGGACGCAAGCTGTGCTGGGCCTTCCGGCCAAGGAACTACACCTGTGTGGCGAGGCGAGCGCGGTGCCACTGATCCGCCGCCTCGTCGAGCTGTGTGGTGATGAGCTGCACTTGCATGAATACGAGCGCCTGACACCGCTGCATGTCGCGCCGCAGAGCCTCCGTGGCGACCTGTCCCGCGTGGAGCGCGGCGATTGCGTGGTGGCCTTCAGCCGGTCTGGCATCTTTGCGCTGAAAGAGCTCATCGAGGCCAAGACAGGCCTGCATTGCGCGGTGGCCTATGGTGCTCTGCCACCTGAGACGAAGAGTGAGCAGGCGAAGCTGTTTAATGCGGGAAAGCTCGATGTCATGGTCGCCAGCGACGCGATCGGCATGGGCCTGAACCTCAAAATCAAACGCGTCATCTTTGACACGCTGAGCAAGTGGAACGGCACGGAGCGGGTCCCCCTATCTTTATCGCAAATCAAACAAATCGCTGGCCGTGCAGGACGCTACGGGACTGCACGCGGCACAGAGGAGACACCAGGTGGATTCGTGCTCACACGGCATGAGGACGAGATGGACACGCTGCGGACTGCGCTCGCCGCGCCAGTGCGGCCGATCACACATGCGTCCATCCAGCCGATGAGCCGGCAGCTGGAGGACCTCTCGCTCCTGCTTCCCCGCGTGCGCACACGGACTAAGCACCGCCGCCTAAAAACCCGACAGGACTATGCCGTGTCGACCCTGTACGACGACTTTCATGCGCTGGCAAACGTGGATGCCCGTGCATTTACACTGGCCGATTTTGATACACAGCAGGCCATGTCGCCTATCATCGAGCAGCGGGGTGGTGACCGCCTGACGCACGCCGAGAAGGAAAAGTGGTCTAACACACCTGTGAATATGCGTGACGAGCGAGCCGTCGCGTGGGTAGGCCATGCCATTGAGCTGTACGCGCGTGGCGAGCTCGTGGAGTTTGAAGCGTGTGCGCGCCACCTGGGCACGATCGAGGCGGAGCAGGCGGTGGCTGAGACGATGGCCGCCGCACAGGCCAAGCGCGACGCGGCAGGCTCGACGGCGCCGGCGCCGGTCTTTGCAGAGGACGATGAAAATGTGTTGAGCATTCACACGCTCATGCTACTCGAGTCGCTGCACCGCACACTAACGCTGTACCTATGGCTCGGTTTCCGCTTTCCTTTGGCCTTTTGTTTTCGCCAAGATGCCGAGGCACGCAAGCGGCGCGCGGAGGCATCGATCCACTTTTGTCTCGAAGCGATCCGCGTGCGCCGCGCGCAGCGCCTGACCCGACTAGGTCGCCGTGACGAAGCGCGCTCGCTGCTGCAGAAGCACCTGCCGCACATGGGCCGTGCACCGCTGTCGCACTAGGGCTCTGCCTTACGCCAGTCCCACGAGTGCACCAGCGTGCCTTTGACAGGCAGTTTGATGCGCTCACCACGGATAGGCTCTTCGACCTCCTCGGCATGCCCGTCGGCCTGCGCGGCCCGGCGCGAGGCCTCGAGCTCGGTCGCCAGATGGAAGCGGAGGCGCTCCAAGGCGGCATGGAGGATCGAGTTGGCACCGCGGTAGCGACTAACCATGACACTAGGGGTATCTCGATGGCGGACTGACATCATCGTGCCTGTCAGCAGCGCGCGGCTGGCTGCCATGCCATGGTACACCTGCTCCGTGTGGTGGTCGTCCAGTAGGGCCGGTGGGTCACTCAGCCGCGAAAAAGCGCGCTGCATATCCGGATAGGTGAGCATGCGTGCTCCATAGTACAGATGCGACGGGTGTCGGTACGATAGCGAGGGAAACTGTGCCCCGGCTGGCGGCACCAATGCCACAGCCCTTCCGTGCGGATGCACAGGCGTGAAGATGGGCGCTGCAGTAGCAGCATGCGCCTCTTCGTCGACGCCGTCTTTCGGCGGAGGAATCGTGATGAGCAGGCTTGGCCCTGGCGCACTCGACGGTGAAATCGGATGCACATGCACGCAGCCGTGGAGTGAGTCGTTGGGCACATAGCGCTGGGGATCAGCAATGCTATGCGCGAGGCGGCGGCGCTTGAAGGCAGCAGCGGCTGAGGATGCCGAGGTCGGATTCGTATGATACGAGCGCGTCAGCGAGGTCAAGTACATGGGTATGCGGCTGACGGGGTCGCTTTCCAGAGCATTCATCGCATGCATAAATGCGCCCAGGGACGAGGTGGATGGGCGTGCCGCGCGGGGCGTATTGGAACGGCGGCGCTTGAGGCTTTCCGTGAGTGAAGGGAGCTCAGAGCGCGAGTTGGCCTGGTCGGCCAGGACACCGGCGTAGGCATCAGCACTGCGGCGCCATACTTTGCGCACGCCGTCGTCGCCTACCTCGTCGGCAGGCGGCACGCCTTGGACCGACGCGGCGCGCGGTTGCGGCGGGCGCAGCACAGTCTCAGTGGGAGGCGACGGTCCGAGCTCCGTCGGCTCAGGCATTGAAGGCTTGCGTTCCCAGTCGTCGGCGCTCGGCAATGGCGGCAAGAATGAGGGGATATAGGCGTCGTCAGTGCGCAGCAACGGAGACGACCCGCGCAACGGAGTGCTGCTCGGTGCATCGCTAGCTACGTCGCCCCATACGAGATCCTCTTCCCACGTCGCTTCGACGGCCTGCCGGACTTCGAGTTCTGCCCGCAAGGCTGGGTCTTTGATTTCCTGAAACACCAAACTGACGCGCTCGGGCTGTGCGCGTGCAGCCAGTACATACTCACCCAACTGCTTTTGCTGTTGCTGCACAGGCTCCGGCCACAGGTCTGTAGCGGATCGCTTCCACACCTCCTCGTCGTCAGCCCATTCGAGCAGCTCGTCCAAGGCGCCAGGCCCCATCACATGCTCGAATGCGCTCGCTACATCCCACACATGAGCGTGTGTTCGTCCTGCCTCTTGCGCCATGCTGGCACTTGTGCGTGCGAGCAATGCTAGGTACCGTTGCATCAGCTCGGCCAGCACATGGCACGCGGTCGCACTACTCCCCTGGAATCCACAGGAAGACAGGAGGGCATACGCCGACAGCTGTAGCTGAAAGAGTGAGAAGTCAGCTGTGGGACGCATACAGGACGTAGTCTTGCGCAGCAAGGCCACTTCCTTTGACATGGCCGGCGTCGCAGCCATGAACGACAGTGCGGGCGATGAACGCGCCAGTGGGTCGCTGCAGAATGGGATCTATGAATTGGTATATTTCCTCTACTGAGAGGCTGACGCTGGGAGCAGCGCCCGCGCGGCGTTGGAGCGGAGCACGCACATGTTTTGCATGCTGTACTTGCCTTTGCGGCCATGATCACCAAGATTCTTGCCACTGAGAACAATATCGAGATTCTTAATCGCTTCTTCGGTGCGGCCCATACTGATATAGAGACAGCCAAGCTCATAGTGGCAAAAGTACAATAGGTAGTGGTCGTACTCGCACTGGGCCGCATTTGAGGCCACGTATTGAAGACTAGCCTCGGCTCGCGCTGCCGCATTGCTTACATGCTGTGACAGTCCATCCTTTATATGCTTCTCTGGGTACGCCAAGTTGCGGAGAACAACGCCCTGGAGGAAGTGGGTAAGACACAGATCGTCTACACTCGGCTGTTGCTGCTGCTGCAGACGCTCGATCTCTTGCTCAATGATCGGTAGCGTGCGGCGCGCAAGCGTAGAGGGAGGAGCAGTTGTGAAGCAGTGCGTCAAGTACGCGATTTCTAAGGCGGGTAGGCACAAGTAACCATACTGACCCATCTTGCGCGACTTACGGGCTGCGAACTTTTCGAGGGGAATGCTTTTACCGGCGATGCGCTGTGTCATGGAAGGCACTCGCTCCATAATATCTTTGGCCTCTTCTTGCGCGTCTTGCTTGCCAGTCTGATACAAAGTCGCCGCGCGAGCATAACTGTACAGCGCTTTCGACCAGTTGTTCTCGTTGGCCAGCACGGTCATGCAGGCGTAGGCATCGAACCACTGGTTTAGAGACATGAAGCATAGTGCCATATCCCAGTAGCAAATATGCTTGAGCTGCACGTACTCCTCTTGCACATCACGCGCCTGTTCAAAGCATGCCACCGCCTCGGCTGATAAAGCTTGCGTGCTGTACAGGCGGCCATGGAAATAGAGGAAGAAGACTCCCTCAGGATATCGCTTTAGGTGATACAACAGCACCTTTTCTGCAAAGGGGACATCGACACCAGGTACAGGGAGGAACGTGGAGACGACCAGATGATACATGAGGAGCGTCATGTCACAGATGGGACTGCGGATTCCCTCGGTGTGGATCGTGCGCCGCGGCGTGCTCGTTGAGTTGGACCATCCAGCCGCGCGCTGGAGCAGCGATAGGCCGACAGGCACGCTGCCCTCGTAGCCAAAGATCTCCATAATCTTGAGAACTTTGGATGGCAGCAGGCCTAGAATCAGGCTGATGCAGCCAGAGCCCAAGAACACACCGCTGCGAAAGTCTTCGTCGTTATTGGCACCGTTTTTCTCCGCCCATTCAACGTACTTGAGCAGGCTGCGATAGTCTCCATACGCCGCACGCAGGTGCAGCGCCTCGGCCAATGAACTGAGCAGGTCGCCTGAATAAGCAATGCCCAGCACGGCTTTGAGGAGGGTGCATTCGGATGAGACAAGCTCAGCATGTTGCTCAACAGGAGTCATGGATGAGACCCAAGCCACAGAGGGACCAGCGCCTCGAACAAAACGGCCCAACGAAGCAAGTGCAGATTGCTTTTTCCGCAAGAGACCCGCAATATGCAATGCGTCCTTGCAGTGCGATATGGCCGTGCCTAGATCCTGGTGCTCGAACGTCATGATGGCTTTGATCGTCGAGAGGATCGCATAGGCCACGGCATAGTACAGACGACTCTCTGACTTTGCCTCAATGAGATCATACGCATCGTTCATGCGACTGTTTAGAAATAGATGCAGGGCCTTTCTGGCCACATCAAGGTCGGCAAATAGTTCGTCCGTCGTCTGCGTCACATCGCCGAAAGTAAGCTTTGACATACGTTCCGCCCGACCCTTGGCATTGCTTGCGAGCAGCTGACTGTCGTGCTTCCGCGTGTCTTGCCTCAATATTTCGTCTTGGTTGAGATCTGCTCGCAAGGCAGAAGCAGGGCCAGTGGAGTGTATCGCGGAAGATGCTGTGGGTACAGCATCGTAAAAATCTTCGTCATTGTCACTTGATGCAGGGTCATCGAGGCTGGTAGTTGCACGGGATGACGCCCTTGACATATTGGTATCGAGGAGAGCTGGGCCATCTTCCTGGTCGGTAGCCTTCGTCCGGACCGCTGGACGCTTTGATGACATGGGCGGCATGGATTGACGCTTCTCTCTGGCCGACGAGGTCGTACCACGCACAGTACTCGTCCGCCCATGAAGAATGTTTTGCCGCAATACCTGGTCTGTCAGCGAGATCGGCAAGTGTTTGGATGAAGCATGGGACGCACTGCCCGAGGATAACACTGTCTCGGGTGACAAGCTCGATTTCCGCTTAGAAACAAACGCGCCATTTTCAAGTGCGGAAGGCAGCAGCAGCTCCTTTGCCATGGTCCAACAAGGTGCGTACTCGTCAACACGACGCAGATATGGGGTCACCCCAACTCCTTGCCCCACATGTACGACGAACCAATCACAACGTATACAACTATGCAATCTAGATCCACAATTTGGACAACAGTAACAGTCACGGTTAGAGGCCTTGGGCGCTTAGCTGCTCCTCGCTGATCTGTCCAAGAGTGTATTGTAGCAGCTTGTACGCAGCCTTAGGTTTATACACAGGAATCATGTGGCTAGCCTTGTCCACCATCACTAGCGTCAACTTGCGCTCCGCGTGGAACGTGCCGGCAGGCTGGCCTTCGACCAAAAGCGTCTGGTTGGGCCGGGTCTGGAAGCCTTGATGGCCGGCCCATGTCATATTCTGGATAGCCAGGGCTGTGCCATTTGGCAGCATAATGTAGTCATAGGTACCATGCTGCACTACCGTACGCTCGCTCTTCTCGACCACAGTGGGCAGTATAGTGTTCACCGGAAATTCAGTCTTCGAGTGCTTCATGATGTCAAAGGGTTTTTTCTGGGAGCACTCAGTATAGGTGACATTATCGGCATGGATCAATGTCTTAACACGGGGGTTCCTGTTAAAGTAATTGTACTTGTGAGAGACCTCCGTGGTGGAATCCATGCCAAGCGCATCCAAAGGGCATGGCGAAGGACCGAGAATATTGAACGGTGAGAAGCATGGATTGGCCTTCTTAGCCATTTTCTTCATGCTTGAGTAGACCGACTTCGACGAATTGAATTGCTCCGGCACGTGAAAGGGACCTGCAGGTGGGTACTTGAGGTTGTCTTCGACATAGGTGTCAATGCCGATCTCCTTTCCCTGGCGTATAAGCTGGTCCACATCGCTCTGATTCAGATTCATGATCTTGGCATTCTGCTGAGCAAACTGCACGGCGGGAAGCTCTTTGCCAATCATGTTGTCATAGAAAAAGGCGTCATTCATTCCAATACCCTTGAGGTGAATACCAGCCAGCTTGTTCTCTTTCTCGTTCTTGTAAATTTGATGGGCGATATAGGGAATAAACTTGCCTGCAAAGCTTTCGCCCATCAGCCACAAGTTCTTTCCGCGCAACTTTGGGAAATCTTTGTACAAATTCAGCAAAAAGCCATTAAAGTCTAAGGCCACCTGTTCCATAGACTGGTTTAACGCAGGGCCTCGAGAGAAGCCCGTGCCAGCAGGCTGGTCGACCCACATTATGTTCGTCAGGTTTGTCCACGAGTATGGGTTTGGTTTGGCCACGTACGTTACAGGGTCCATCTTCACAGGCCCCTCTTCGCCGAGGATGCCACTGAGAGAGGAGCAGCCAGGACCCCCATTGAACCATATTACAAAGTCGTTCAAACCCACATCGCCCGTTGCAGGAACCATCCAGAAATATAGCTGGCGCGTCTCATTCGGCTTGCTGCTGACAGGCTCGTAGCCGCCCCAGGAAGGAGGGAGCTCGAATGAAATATTCGGAAGATGTGTGGGAATCTCAAAGCCTAAAGTAAGATTACGGTATACATACGCTTCGTTCCGCTAGAGCCAAGCCGTTCGCGAAGCTGGTTAATATTGTATCCGCTTGCATTCTGCGATTTGTTGGTAGCGGATACTGAAGCAGCCGCTACAAGCGCACCCAATACAAGGATATGGCTTATCGACCACATATTGGGGAGCAGAGAGTGAGACGCACGCCTAGATGCCCTTTATAGTAAGGCCCTGGCGATCGCCTCTAGGCCCGTGCCAGAAGCTGTAATGTCATACATGTCATCATCGATGGTCGGCAATGCAGGCCAATGACATGCGACGTGGAGGCTTACTATCAAATGAAAGTATGGAAACCGTAACTTAGTCATAAAAGCTAATATGTAATCCCGATCGTTGACATACGCCCGCCCCACAGGAGCACCGAATGCGTCACGCAACGGTACCCCGCGTATGTGCACCGACTCATATGCCTTTAAAATACAAAAGTTGAATGAGAAGCACCCCAAGGCCTGCTCCGACTGCTGGCAGCACGGCCACAGCACACCACAAGGCAAATTGCCATCGGGTAATATGAATGCCATGATGTGATAATATAGTCAACCATAGAAGTCCAGCGAGGCTGGCGGCAAATGTACCACCCAGGGCACCCAAATTTGAACCGTATGCGACTGAGTACATACCTGCCTTTACGATAAGGTCTTTGTTGTTGGGAAGCCCCTGTAGAAATGCGGGGCTTTGCATCACCTTGGTGAGAAGAATTGTTGATCCAATATTGGTGCCTCCAAAATTGCATAGAATGATACTAAGAATCGCCATGAAAAAAACAGTGGCCCCCACGCCATGGCGGCACACTACGGCCACACCTTTGGCCATGATTGTAACGAATCCCACATGATCCAGTGCTTGGACCAAAATAAACATGCCAAATGCAAACGGGAGAAGTTCCAGAGGGAGCCGGCGTAGCGTTTGCAATGTAGTGGGAAATGTGTGTTTCATAGTTCGCCAGAGCCGCCCAATCCATCCAAAGCGGCCGTCGAATCGGTCCAAGTCGGACTCGGATGACGTATGTTTGGCCCGTCGATACAGGTCAGCGCAGACATCGCGAATGAGACACAATGCAGCACCCGGAACACCAATCTGAAACACTTTCACATCACCAATAGCACTTGTTCCTATCAGCACGCCAATGACTGCGAGCATGACTGCAGTTGTAAAAATAGCGCCGCTGGGATCGACCAGGAGTGACTTGGGATCAATATCGGGGTTGAGGATCTGCTTGGGGATGTAGCCGTAACTGGGAGTGTGAGCCTCCGCAGCCTTCTCATCTTTTGGTTGTCGAAGGCCAAAATAAAGCATTAGCACCGTCAGCGCCACAACTGCTGAAACAAACGAAGGAAGCACCATGTAAGCCGTATATTTCACAAAGGATAGACCAAAGCCAGTGGCGATCACCAAGTTTGTGGGGTTTGAAGATACAAGAACTGCTGAGGCGACATTAGCCGCAACAAATTGGGACCAGAGCCAAGCGTCGGGAGGTGATATACCAGCAGTGCGCGTTATATACACCAAAAAAGCAGTGCCACTGAGAATGACAGGATCATTTCCTAGGATCACTCCTGCAAGCCACAGGAAGAAGTACATCCCGATGTATAGCACACGACCATCAAAATATGCCCGCTTACAGATGTGACAGGCCAGGTAACGCAATAGACCAGTAGCATCTAATGATATAGCAATGTAGGCGAGTGAAAGAAATAGGAGCAAAATATCATAGGGAAATACGCCGCTCTCGCCAGCGATGCCATCGCGAACCTGTTGCCCATCAATACTGCGGGTCATCAACAATAACAGCACCCCTAAAATAGGGGCGGACACGTGTGTGAGTGGAACAAGAATAAATTCATCATTCTTCTCTGTATTAATAGAGTCTGAAGAGGGCTCTGCCTCCTTCCGTGCTGGAGCTAATCCAGCAGCCCGTCGCAACCTCCATGCTCGTAATCGAAGCCATTGGGAAATTCGCTTAGGTAAAGGTATATAGCAAGGGAAGATGCATAATGTAGACACCACAGCAAATACCACAATTGTGAAGATGCCATGGCCGTCCAAATGGCCGCGCGGGACGGGCGCAGCGGCCCCGGTCATGGAACAGAACAAGGGACGCACAGGCCCCTGCGTAGATTATCTAATTGAATGGAGACTTACGAATTGCATATCACAACATTAGTGAACTAGCTACATGATTTTGCCGAAAGCGGTGCCTTTCATCTTGACGTTTTCGTTGAGAGATCTGTGTTCAATGACTCCATATGCTTCACCCGGAGGAATATAGGTAGCTGCGTCAGAACGGACGCGCTTAGTAGGCTCCTCGATCCAATCTTGCTTCGGAGTGAGCGGTTCATCCGACTCTGAGCTCGTCATATTGCTAGAATCTCCCCACAAGAGCGGCGTCGCAGAAGGGACATGGTTTTGTTTCCTTGAAGCGATCTCCATACCACCCGACAAAACACCGACCCGCATCATAGATAGAAGGTTATGAGCGGCATTGGAGTGTTCATAAACGCCACCTTGGAACGCAACAGACGCATCCTTGCCAATGTAGGCAGCAATGTAATTTCGTCCACCGGGGTGTTGATCCATAAACGTAGACATATCGTGGATAAAGCCATGGACAACAACCAATGGCTTTGTCTTAGCTTCAAGAACAAAGTCATCCCATGAGAGAATAGGAAGCTCAGAAACAGGCGTAGACAGCTTCAACTTTTTCGCCTCGTCGTGTGCGGCACGAAGCTGCATTACAAGGCGGCCCTTGTTAATTTCGTTCTCAGGGAACGTCTTGAGATTGTAAGCAAGGCCAATCTTGTACATGGACCAAATGAACCACTTCGTTGGGTCATACTGGTACCACTTCACAGCATTACGAAAGTCCATGGGGAACTCGTGGTGGAAATTGTGATATCCTTCACCAACCGTGCACAAAGCCGTGATAATATTATCACGCGGCGAATGCTTGTTGTCAAATGTTGCATCACCCAGATAGTGAGCAAGCGAGTTGATGCAAAAGGTCGAGTGGTGCACAAAGACCAGACGTGCAACTCCCGCAAAGAAAAAGCCACCCTTCCAGTCGCCCCAGCCCAGACCTGCGACCAACGTGGGGAAAATTAGACCCCAGAACAAAATCATGGGAATGTAGAAGCGGTGCTGAAACATTACCACTGGATTTTTACGCAAGTCAGATGTATCCACAGGTCCAGGCTTACGCCGGGGCTTCACAATCATCCAGCCCACATGCGCCCACAAAAGACCTGTGTGGGCACCATATGGATCGAGGTCTGTGTCGGTATAGCGGTGGTGAGAACGATGCCCACGCGACCACCAGTGAATAGACCCCTCGACAGCACCTGACCCCATGCACATAAGAGCATATTCTAGAAAGCGGGAAGCATTGTAGGAGCGGTGAGACCAAAGACGGTGGTAGCCAGCCGTGATACCCAGACCAGTGATAAAGTAGTATGCAATAGACCAGGCAAGAGTCCGCATATCAAGAGGCACATTCCAGAGACCATAAAGAGCCAGGATTGGTGTGATAGTGAGGACGGTGAATGAAATCCATTGAATTTCACTCAGCACATGAGACCATTGAAATGGAGGAAGCACTTTTTGAGACCGGAGCGTACGGTCCACGAAGGAAAGGCCATTGTCAGCCCCATCATCAAGACCAACAATGTCTTTCTCCGCGGTGTAATCCACCTTACGAGCACGTATGGCGCCGGACATGGAGTTGTGGCAAACTACAATTCCAGAGCTAGGGACTGAGATACGTATTGAAATACCACGTGTTAATGCCACTGGGTTGCTCGAGGCATTGAGATTTGGCCACAGACCCTCGGATTTCGCCGAGGGGCGTCGCTTATTGGCTCCAATGCGTCGAGCCAGCCAACCATTGAAATTTACCTCCACCTGGATGTGTGCGACCGGACTTGGGCAGTACGGGGGCAAAGTGGTGCCACTCGAAGAACAAACCACAGTATCAAGCGAGAACCTAAACGCTATATGACTTCCAGCTTGATGGCGAAGGTGGGGGGCCTTTAATGGAAAAAGGCTTTTTGATCAAGGCTTTGGAAGGAGTTCCCCCTCCTTTCCATTGTTTTAGCTAGCCACTTTAGCTTGAAAGCCGTTGTTTCATCGACGAACCTCTATACTGAAGTCTACACGAAGGTTAATACTGACGAAAAACTAATATGTGAAATCCTTGGCTCGATACGTATCTGCGGATACAGAACCGTGAAGGCCCCGTGTTCCATTTGATCTACTTAGGTCGGTTTCGTCTAGTTAGTACTGCGGATGGGGAACACACGGAAATATTGAATGATGCAGTTTGTTTTCCAAAGACCTTTTTCATTTGGCTTTCAAGCCTGCCGCTATTGTGTGGCTTTAATCAATGCCATTGCATCATTGAGATATTTTGAGTTATAATCCCTAATATGTACTCGCTAAAAAGACCAAAGAAGTTTTATATGACTCGCACGAATCAGGCGTAAGGTTTGTTCCGATACTACAGACAGGATCCTCACCTTTACTTTCCTCCCTCACAGCCTTCTGTGCGGTGTAGCCAAATGCGCATGTGTTGGCCTTGGACAGTCTAATCACTCATGAAAAGGGATCCATTTACGTTCGTTAGTTAAACAGAAACACAAGTAATTTTTAAAAACCAGAAAAATTTAGTTTGGTAGGATCCATACGCAAAGAGCATATTGTCGATCGTGATCGGTCGAGGAAGGTTGGCACTGCGTGACTATGTTTTATACTTACGAATCGCAAAAATTCATTTTCATACAATCCAGATTAGGCCCTCCCTTGTATATTGGAGGGGAGGGGCCCGATTCCTTGGCTACACATATTAGACCGTGATCTAAGAGATATATTGTCGAGGTGGGGGGATGTCTACCTCGGCGGCTAGGTTCAGAAGGTTCAAATGCCAAATATGGTATATGTCGAGCAAAACTGATTGGCAAGTAAATGCCGTAGTGGTGTAGGCGTCTTGGTATCATTATGTGTCGTCCAACCACAGGACACCTAGTGTCGATGGGTACAATGCCATGATTCGCATGGTACGTGACTGAATTTATGACCAGCATCACCTCGCTTGGCATCCTCGCAGCGACAAAGATCCGATTTACCAAGGTCTGACATATGTTACCCCCCTCGAAATACGTGAGTGAATTGGTTGTAAACAATAGAGCGAACAAAGTTAGCATCGTTTTGAAGGATGGTCGTCAGACGGTAAAAATGTTATGTTGGAAAAGAGGTTGAAACTCCCGTATATTAATATGTGCGTGCCCCCCCTCCCCCGTCCTCACACTCCCACATCTTTATTTGTTGGACGCTAGACTCTGGTAATTATCTGTATTATCTCGTAAATATGGATGAGGAATACCCCACTTGCGATCGCTATTTCATCAAAGAGGGNCGCCACCATAGGTAGATGTCGGAGATGGGAGAACCACATTTGGGGGATGTTTTATTATTTCACCAAAGCTTGCCCAAACAGATATGGTCCTTGGATGATGCAGGTTGGAGAAAGGACTCCAATCCGATTTAGATCCAGATGAGCCACTATCGTATTCTGTATCATTCAATGCTGGGCAGATTTGGTAAAATGGAATGTTTGTTAGCCACCATGGATGCTTTTCTGCCAAATTGGAATCCAAACGTAATCATCGCTCATTCTCACTTGATCGCAGGATATTTAGAGAGAAAAAATTTTGGGATAGACCTGATAGTGTCTTGGAAAGCCGACTCAGCTCAGAACTAAACAATTCAACTGTGTCCAGTCGGGCTTGATGTTTTGAAACTTCGACTAGAATCGCTTATTGTTACGGTTTTCATCTGATCAGATGTAAAGCAAGTTTTAAAAACTGGTGATAGCAAAGTATCACTTGCCCTTAATATGTTCAAAGGGAACGAATTGTTTGATAAATATATGATTGTCGGGGAGAGATTGTTCATCTCAGCGTTAATCATGACACTATGATTTTTTATCAGACCTGATAAGTTTGTCGACGACGACCATAATTGAATATTGGCTACTTTGGAAAGCTCTCTTGTCAAGTTGGTAGTGTCATCTGGTATCAGTACGTTTGATAAGAATGAATCGTTGAACAAGCTCATGATTGACGTGGTAACATTCTGAGTAAACTCAGGCAAAGAATTATGCCGTTCAGCCAAACTGAACGGCCAGAAGATTCGATTGAATCCCATTGGCGATGATGGCAAGAGTTGATTTGCAGAAGACATAGGTTCCATATCAATTGGTGGCGTGAGATCTCCAGGTCGTAGCCTATTGGGG